TAAATCCATTCAGACCTACAAGCTGTTTGAGGCCCGTCCCATGCATGTTTTCAGAATTAGTTATCAACCATGCACATTGTAGTGTGACAGGCGCGGCAAAGCAAGGATAACCGTCTGTCTTTCCACATCTCCTTTTCTTGCCTTTTGACATCCTCTCAGCAATCCTTTTTCACGTTAAACGCTCGGAGAGAATGGGAGTGAGAGGCGTATGAGGCAGAGTGGATTTTGTTTTTCTCTTCTCTTCACGGACTTTATTTCCATGGTGGACCCGGGTGGTCATGGCTTGGCCGACATGACTCTACATTTAGGCCTAATCCACAGCTCCCCCTCTCTGCACTCTTCTTGGTTATGATGGAGATGGAGAGCGAGAAACTTATTGAGTGGGAGAGAGACATCGAAGGAAAGGCAGAGGAGAGAGAGAGAAAGTGTGAAGTGATATTGTTGAGTTGTCCAGGCAAGTCCGGATGCATTGGTTCCGTATAACATTCCTATTCCACTCCGACAAACGGATGCTGCCATTCTAAGAGGACGCAATCCTGATTTCTCGCTTCAGAGCCAATATCTGCACCATACAAATAGGAGGATATGGAGGGAATGCGATACAGACTTGGAATATGGCTCTTTCTTCTTATCCTGCTCAGCCACATTGATGTTTTTTGAGCCTTTCATTGCTCAGCCAAAACGAAGTCTTTCAAGGCCGGAGCTATTGACAGATTAAGAAAACATATCCTATTTTGTAGGACATGACAGAAGCTTTCTTGTTATCTAAATAATGTGAGCAGTGCTGAGGTGGCATAAAAACACTATTTGTGAAACATTGTGTGCTTAAACTCGGCGGTGAAATTACAGCCGACTCGCACAACAAAAAAAAGTGGAAGAGCAGAAGCAAAAGTAGTTCTCTCGGTAGTTGCAACATCAATTTTTAGCAATTTTTTCCTTTTCATTCATCATCTTGCAAGGAAAAAAACTCATTACATTCAGTCATTTTGTTATATGATTGTTAATAGGAAATTCAGTCTATTATTATGCCTCACAACTAAATCCTCATATTCCTGAGAACACTCAGCCATACATGGCAACGCAGCCGAACCCCTCACACAACAGAGGCACTGACAGGCTGGAAATCACCGAGGGCAAATCACAGAAAATTGATCACATCCAACAAAATGGCTGCAGTGACTAAAATTGGTGTGAGCTTGAGCTTGCTTGGGATAAAAAAAATAAAAAATAAATTCTCCAACAAGTGCATTGTGAGTCCGGCACAGATATTGTTCCTTCAAAGAAGATGATTTCAGTAAAAGCTTTGTGTTTTTTTATGTTTTGAAGTTAATCAAGATGGTGACATTTACATCAGGAGGGAGAGTGGTGGACAGCAGGAGACATAGTTAAAGGGAAGGTGGGCAGGGATGGGGTGGCAAAAAGAGGATGTGTGGATGATAACAAAAGACACAACAGGGGGGACACAGAAAAAAAAGATCCATGAGATGAAGAAGAGGAAATAAGGTGTGCTGCAGTCATCTGGAGTGTGTAAAAGGGTTATGCTGAGAGGTGGCATGTTCAGATGCGATAGACAGGAAGGAGAGGAGGAAAGAGGTGGGTAACAGTGAGGTACAGTGAGAACAAATGAAAAAAGGCTGGTAGAGAGGAGTGAAGAGATTTAGGATTAAGGAACGAGCGTGGGGTAAAAGGAGGAGGATTAGGGGTTTGGGTGAGAGATGGACAAAGTGAGCGGGTGGGATAGAGGAGCAAAAAACAGGAGAGTAAGAAACACTGAGAGAGAAACTGTACAGGGCTTTTGACGGCGAGAGCAGGGATAAAAAGATGTATTTTTCCTGCTTCCTCTGTTGTCCTCCCTCTCCTCTGGGCAACTTCCCGCTGCTCTCCCCCTCTCTGCTGCCTTCCTCTTCTGTCTGACACAGTGGGAAGATAGGTAGGAAACCTAATCGAGCCAGACACACCAGCTGCTCTCTGCTGACACTCACAGGTGGAGGGGAGGAACTGCAGATCCCGCTGACCAGCCAAAGCGAGACCCCCCTCACCTATCGGCCGGAGCGGCCATCAATCCGGCACAATAGCCTGGAGGAGGCTGGGGGAGATGGGATGAGAGGAAAGGGAATGTGCTCTTGTGATGCTCAATGGTAGCGTTTGCCACTAACAGTGTCAAATATAAGAGGTTTGATTCCTGCTGGGCATGCTAGAAAAATATGTGTGTGCACTGTCTGACATGTGTAGAGTATAATAGTGTAGAAAATAACCAAAGATCTGCTGATAGTGTTGAAAAATGGGGGATAATACAGTAAATGACCAGTCTTTTGAACTTAATCAGCTCATCAATACAATGAGCAATGGTGATTGGCAAAGTGGTTCAAAAAGAATTCTTCAGACTGTAGAAATGTAGGCTGCTTTGTGCAAAACTCAAGAGTGAAATTGCAAAGACTTCACAAAAAGGTGAAAATTTGACCTCCGCTCGGATTTCTTCTTTGAAAAAAAAATATTTTCTATTTTCTATTTTGATAATATTTGTCATCAGAAGTAGCTAATGTTAATTCTTGGTAATATTTTCTGAAATTCTAGTAGTTTGTGAATTTCTTTTCTGTCATTCTTAATAGTTTTTATTTCTTAATATACAAAATCAATTAAGAGAAAACTACACCAGCCATTAGCTGTGAATTTGCAGAGGTTAAATAAAGAGTATACTTATTTTGCAGAGTTGATTCTCAAATCCATGTTTGTAAAATGAAGCTGATGTTGTAATGCCTGCTTTATGATTTCATGTGATATTCTGTGAATTTAAGTAAATACCGTTTAAATTCATTAGCAGCATTTTCTCCTCAAATAACATTTCTGGTATTTGCAGGTATTTTTCCTTTTTTGTACTTAGTACCTATAAAATTGTGAATTCCACACAGATGACTTTATAAGTTTATGACAAAGACGCTCCCACCATCACACTGCCTGCAGTCCTGCCACTAAAACCCAGCGGCTCCACGAGATCGGTGAGATTACAACAATGATTAAGTCAAATTAAGTTCTCCTCTTCTAAAACTCTGTTAACTCTCCGGACTTCAGGCCTCCTTTGGTGCCTCAAATTAAATAAACATAGAGAAATAATCAAGTTGGTGTTATTACCACTCTGCATATGCTCACTTTTTGGGGTTTCATTTGAATTTTAAGGTGTAAGAAATCATCGGGTGAGGTCTAGCAGGGTGCCATGCAGGGTCGGTTGTCTTGGGTACAAAGCGGTGGCAGTGTTACCGACACCGGGCTACATCCTGCAGGTAAAATGGATGAGGGTCAATGCCGAGGAGAGGGAGTCTGCCTCCCTGGTCATTGTGCTGGGGGAGGTAGTCATTACAGACTGACCGTTATGGTGACAAGCGCTGACACTCTGAGGCTTCACTCGGGGGAATTACATGGTGGACAGGCTATGGGGTGTGCAAAGGTTGTGTGGACATTGTACGTGCCATGCATTGTTTTCTTCTATATATACATTAAGTAGCTGTGTGTGTGTGTGTACATGTGTGATTGATTCTAGGTTGGCATATATGTGTGTGTGTGTGAGAGAGAGAGAGTGAGTGTCCAGGCTAGATAGCACATATTTGCTAATCTGGAGGGGGGTAACTGGAGGAAGGGGGTAGGGTCAGAAGCCGGGGTCAGGTGTTAATTCACTGCTTCAAACCAGAGCCGAGCGACAAAACCAGGGGAGACCACAGCAGAACATATCAACTAAAACCACAAGGATACATTCAAGGTCCACCGCGGTAGCCACCTCTGTCTCTCCTCCTGTTGTTTCACTCTTAAATTCCTCCTCACAACAATTTTCCCCCTTTCTGTCCTAAAATTCTCCTCCTTTAATTCACCCTTTCCTTATCCACTTTCCTCTTTCTGGCCGGCCCAGTACGCCGCCTCCTCCCCCAGCTGTTAGACCCCTAAAGGTCAGTCAGTCTGCAGGGTCATCAGTCTGGGATGAAGCTGAACCTTGACCCTGAGGCCCTTGATGTATTCCAACCACAAACCCGCAGACACACTCACATAATGGACATGTGCGGCCTCACAAGAGGCCTGTTTCATTGTGGTCATTTTTGATCAATTTATCACCTCTCTTTTGTCACTTATTGAAGTCCTGTCTGTGCTGTCGGAGCCTCAGCCCTGCGCCAAATGTTGCCGCCTGAGCGACCTGGTTAGGAAAGACACCAGCATCGACCACAGATCTTTTTCAGATGATTAATCCAACCGCCGTTTATCAGCCGATCGATGCAGCAATGATCGTGAAATGTCTATTGATTATTTTCAATAACCTCAATTGATACGTGACATGAGGAAAAACATGTTCTTGAACTGGACAGGCTGACAAGGTAGAATACACACAAACACACACACACACACACACACTTACTCACTCATGCAATTAAAACACACGTCCACTTGAAAAGAGGGGCGCCTTTTTTCTAGCAATGAACTGACCTTGTTGAAATTATATACTTGAAATAAGCAGTAAAGAGAAGACAATTTGATGTTTAAGTATTTCGTCTTGTTTTCTACGAAGCAAAAAGTTTAGTCATTTTAAAATACATACAAAGAAAATTAAATAAAATATAAAGCAATTTTTTTCCTGGTGTTTGCATCTTCTTTAATTTATAAATCTATTTGACAAACTTCTATTTAGTTCTCTGATTCCCAAAATAAAACTTAAAATATTGCTAACTTATTGGACTCATAAGCAGTCCACTTTGGAGTTTTCTCATGGCTAATCCTGTATCAATATATTCGGTGTGTGTCGGTCACTGCTGGCCCTCCTTGTGACAAAAAAATAAAAAACGATGCATCGTGCACTCGCAATCTTTCCGCCTTAATTGAGGAACTGGCTAGGCGACCTTTGACCCGCGGGTCATTACCGTATTGTGCACCGGGCCGCGGAGAGCAGCCACACCATTTGGGAGGGGAGTCGTGCGCAGAAAATGGATTAATTTTGGATGGCCTGTGGTGCTTGATACCGGCTGGAAGTGGCCCAGTAACAGAAATGTATAGAAAAGCTCCTTCAAAGCCTACAGCAGCGATCGGCTTTCTAACACAGAGCTGAGCCAATAAAGGCTTTATGAAATGAGACCTCGGACAGGCTGCATAGACTTTAACATAAACCATAAAATTGAGTGTATCAGTTATGGGGTCTGTTTCCAGTCGATAAGGTGCAGGACGGACAGTCAGGGTGCTTGTTCTGCAAAAAAACACGAGAGCAGCTCTTCTAGCAGCTACCTTTCGTTTACACCGTTTTTTCTCAACCCTTCTGGGATTAGACTGACCGAGAATTATGACTGATCACCTCCCTGAACTCATACATGCGAAATGATCAGAACGCAATTTCAGAAATATTTAGATTTCGTGTTTTAGTTTAACGCGAAAAATGCAGACGTGGCTTGATTAGGGGCATTTTATCTTATTGGACTTTCTCCTAATAGAATAAACTTGAGGAGCTGCAGGAATTACGCACATCCTGTCGATTTTCTGCGGGACATATTAGGAGTTAATAATTTAATCTGAGCTCCAAAATTCAAACTAAAGCCTCTGTGTGGAGTTTCATATTTTATAATTATCCAGACTTTAATAAAACGTTTCTAAGATGTCTGTTGGAGCATCCATACCACCTCTGCTCCTCTCTAAAGTTAATAAACTGTAACTCAGACTGTGTCTATTTACAACATGATTTGCATTTACACGGAGGAGAAATTCGACATGATCACTCCATAAAATAATATCAGGATCAGGAAAATTCAAGAAATTCTTGCACCATAAAGATGAACGTGTCTATGATGGTATTTGATAAAAGTAGCCTATAGCTCTTTAAAAAATGAGAATTCTAGTTTTAAATATTCTGGAACTTTCGGCAAAGGATTTCAATCACGTTTTTATCCAATGGAAGGGCTGGATTACCTCTTAAAATGTCAGCTGTTGACTGAACCGAACTTCGATTGAGATACGATAAGAAATTGAATAATATGCAATCGATTTTTATATTTGAATAATATGCATAAATTCACCAAAAATACATTTAAACTGGAGAGGGTCTGCAGGAGAAGCTGCAACACTCGCAACACGGAGAGGCCCATGCATGACAGCCTGTATGCATATGATAAATCTGCATGAATATTTGCATAATCTAAAAACATTCATATCAACCTGGCTGTAAAATGCAGATTATCTTTAAAAATAGACATTTTAATCCTGCACAAAATGTCTTTATCCAAGAGTTAACAACGGAAGGATTTGCAGATTTTAACTTGTTATGCAAAAGCAGCAGAGTTTGTAGTACTTTATAAAACTAAAGCGACATTCAGATCAAACTCATTTCGTTATTCCGCTATTTGATTGAATTTTAAACAATATTTTGAATCGTTTGCAAACAAGAAAATAGGAACTTTAACTGAATAATTGCGCAGATCACAAGGAGACAAGTACAACACACACCGAAACGAACACACACACACACACACACACTTTCCTCTCTCTTGCTTACACTCACAGTTTTTTTCACGCTAATGGTAAAATTATGCTGAATCTAAATATGGAAGTGTATATGATAGGAAAAAAAGGAGAGATTCACCGTCACGAGTGGACAAAACTCAGCCTGTTACAATGAAAAAATCCACCCAAGTTCAGAACACGAGTCACAAAAGCAGAGCAGCTCATCTGGCATTGTCACCCTTTCACTGTAAGAATAATAACCCACGTGAAAAAGTGCACTGTATTTACTTGAAACATCACCACGTTTGTTAGGTAAGATAAAGTGTCCTGTCCCGAGTGGAGTGGACGCCTTCATTGTTATGCGCAACAAATGAGAATATATGCAAAAGAAGAGGGAGAAGTTTGAACAAAGATGCTCTTTGCTTAATGAGAGATTGTGCAATGTGCAAAAAACACAACTTCAAATGAACACACAATCCTTCTCCAGGGATTCTCTATTAACAAAGACCATCAACGTGGGTCAAGTTAATGTGCAGAGTGGATCACACTCGTCTCACCATATCATGAGAATCTTAAAATGTTCACACATGAATCTTATAGAGATATATATTTCAATAAAAAGGCTCTGGTCTGATTGACTTTATGACTGGACTGGGGGAGCGTATATCCACAACGACACGTACAGTTTCCATTTGCCTACGAACTTGCAGACGATCTTTAATGGTGCTGAAAATCAGTCTAAATGATAAAAGGCAGTTTCTTTCATCTGAACGGGTTTCTAGACACCATCCAAAATCAGAGAGGCAACCACTGGACACCCTGACCCTGCAGCAGTGCTATTATAAGAAACTGATCATCGATACATTTGGTTTGGGACAGTGTGAGAGTGCAAGTGAAGATGCAAATGAAGGAAATACAATGAGAACTAATGAGTCACGATGGGTAGATTTCATATGGCGTGAAATTTCAAAAGGATAAATATGTTATGAAGGGACATCTGATCTAAACAACGGCAATGATAATCCAGGATGACCCCACTCCCTAGATGTGTGTGTGTGTGTGTGTGTGTGTGTGTGTGTGTGTGTGTGTGTGTGTGTGTGTGTGTGTGTGTGTGTGTGTGTGTGTGTGTGTGTCCATACAGTGAGACTGAGCAGATCAAATCATCACACTGTAAAAAAAAAAGGAAAAATAAAGAGATGTCTGCGTGACGTTCAGAGGGGTAAATTGGTGATACAAGAGTGTCTTTGCATGGTTTGGAGTAAAGCTGCTTTGAATCATGACCTGGCACCGTGCAGAGGCAGCAGCCAGCAGACAGCGTGCGCTAAGCGGACTGCTATAGAGGAGGAAGGAGAGCCCCAGACGGAGAGTGTTCCAGTGTCCCGCTCCCCTCCTCTCCTCCTCTCCTCTGCCGATGTGAGCTCCCGGCTCGGCCTTATAAAGCCCACAATCCCCTCCTTTTAATTGATTTTCTCATAATTAACTCAGTCTGCCCATCGATTTCCCTTCGGCGGCGGATCAGCCCTCACCGTGCTGAGGTGTTATTGTTGCTATCTGCGGGCATCGGGACACCGACGAAGCAAATATCGACTGGGCTGATTAAAACCATCAAACAGCAGGTAAATGTGGTCGTAAACTGCTGGGTTATAGGCGACATTATGCACAGATTAGGACACGGGCTACCTATTAAGAAGGCGACCATCGTGCACGCCCACCTGTGCGTAATGAGCTCTCAAACCAGCCGAAGCATTTTGCAGTTTGGAATCAAACAACAAAGAAGGAGAAGAAGATGATGGAAAATCACTGAGTCACGATACCAGATAATGAAAATAGATTTTAAGACGTTATTTCCTCATCATTTCTGAGCTTAACCTCCTGCTGCTCGATCTGCATGCATTCAAATGTGGGTGGCGTTACGCGTAAAATACGCACAGAGCATTCAGTAACATCACAACAACACATTCATCCCTCTCGCCGTTATAATGCAGTTAACGTTCACGCTATTTGCTGTCGATAAAGGGAAAACAGAGCAAGTGTATGCCTGCAGAGGGACTTCCGCATATGCATGAAGCGCTGAGCATATTCCGAATCAAATATTCCCGCGACAATACAACATGCAGAGCAAGCAAGAAGACACAACGCTATTCGTCCACAGAGCAAAGGAGCAAGGGAGGACAGGAGGGGGAAAGAGAGAGAGAGAGAGTAAGGTAGGGGGAGAGAGAGAGAGTCAGAACACGAGGGTTGCCCCCGTGAATTAATTTCTACCTAATCAATAAAACAGAAAAAGACCATCCCCGTACAAAAAATCATTAGGACCGATATTTCTCCAGCCCCTCTCTCCTCTCTGCCCTCTCCCAGGACGCTGCCAGGAGGAATGTCGGGACTCAAATCTCTCGCGGTTTGAATTAACACAGAATGAAAAGACTGGGATTTTAAGAAGGAAAAGGGGTGTGTGTGTGGTACAGCTGAGGAGAGGAAGGTGAACAGACACATAGAGAAAAAAGAAGTTCAGTCTAAGGCACCTTTGCGCAGTCTCTGAAATCTGCCTCTACTTTTTTATGTGCGTGTTTTTGTGGGTGTGAAATTTACCAGTGCTTCCATCGGTGAACGTCTCCATCCTCGCCATGCGAGCAGCCTGTCTGGACAAGAGAGGGATGGAGAGCAAAAGATGGGGGAGAGGGTTCGGGGGGCGGGCAGAGGTGCATGTAAGAGGGGCCAGTGTGTGGGGCGGTTGATCTGGGCTTGGGGGGCTCGGCATTAAACCGAAGGGTGGAGGGGTTAGAGGTGAGGTAGGGTGGGGTGGGTGTAGGAGGTGTATTTGGGGGGGAGGAAGGGAGGGTGGAGGGGGGCAACACCCTAACCTTTCATGCCTCCTCTTTCTCTTTTCGTGTCCCGCGTTGTCCCCCTTTCTCTCTTCACCCCTCGACGTATGTCTCCCAGTGGTTTCCATGGCGACCCGGTGGCTGTGGTGCTGCTGCTGAGGAGAAAGAGGCGCGTGCAAAGCGGAAAGCGAGGGGGGATTTTAGTTTTAAGTGCAGGAAGGGATAGTGAACACATATCAGGGGTGAGTGTAGCATTCAGAGGCTTTTCAGTGATTAAACACAACTGCACAAAACTCACGTGACGGTCTCTATAGTGTGCCCGTTTTCCCGCGTGATGTCCATGCTGATTCACTTTCTACGTGCATGCAGGGTGTTGAGAGGGCCCAGTTTAATCCAGCTGCAGGAAATCATGCGTAATTTTGCCATTACATATAAACCAACCCTCAGCTTCTGTGAATAAAACAAAGAGACCTGTCTTTACCGTGTGAGGTTTGAAGTCTGTGACCCCTCTTCATGACACAGCAAATGTCAATCAAGAACTCAGCTGCTTTGAATATGAGGCCTCCTTAACTTGGAGGTTCATTATGCTGCCACCTGCAGGCCATAGATAACACAACCCTTTCCAGTCAGCATGAGTATAATAACCTCTAATCCCACTCTCTTACAGTCTTTATCCCCTTGAAAATGTCTAATCAGTCTCATAAATAAGGCGAGTCTGACAGAAAATTAAAAAGTATGGCAGATTTGGCAAAAGAAAATGCCAGAGATGAATAAATAATGAGAAATGCTGTCTGGCCAAATGAATTCAAATCAAGTAAATGGCCTAATTCTATCTCATATCCATGTATTCTAGAAAAATGTGCTTATCCAGAGCCATTTTAAAACCGTACTTATAAAACAGAGTGCTGCAGCTGGCCACTAGCCGTACATCCACACACAGTACATGGGTAAACCAAGGGAGAAGCCTTTCGAGAAGATCACCTAATCTAATTTTCTCTCCTCAATAAAAGCTGTAGAATTTCCCCCATCAGAGAGATGTACCATATGCTGCAGGGTATACATATAATAAATACAGCCCCAGTGGGCTGGCTGAAGGCTGTAGTGTCTATCAGCTTTAGATGACACGTTTCGATAGGAGACTGATTTAGGCCTGAGCTACCACGAGATGACTCGAGTCTCCATCCAATCAAAGAGGAGCGGGGAACACCTGCGGACAGTGGAATCAAGTCTACAGGAGGATGATGACCAGTGTCCAGGCCCACAGCCCAACATTACATTAGCTTCTGCACACTGATACAATTTGCAGTGTAGAACACAAACCCACGTCTGATGTCTCTATTGAGTGTTTTAGGCAATAAACCCAACAGTCACCTCAGCAAATGTCCACAGGGCCACAGGCTGAAAAAAAGGGCCGCTTTATATATTTGACTCCAAGTTATTCTCTTCTGCAGATAATAGAAAGTGAAAACACATGTTAGATCTGATGGATTCATTAAAAACACTGTGTGGTGTTATCTTTTACGATTGTGCTTCAGTCATTGTTTAACCCTTAACGCAGCTTCCCTTGGACGTCAGGCCCCCAACCAACTGCATCACAAGACGGCCACCATCCTGTCCCAGCTCTGTCTCCATAGCAACGGGATCTTTGACCCCATCTGTGAAATCCTTGACCTGGATGTAGATCGGTAAGGCATCAGGGGAGCTGATTGGCTGAATGCTTCTGCTGTGCTGATGCCTGCAGAGGCAGTGGTGTGGGTTCTGAGGGTCAGTGGCAGACGGCAGGTAGGTGGCAACTAACCATAAGTAATGGTTGGAGAAATGAAGTTTTCACTGTAAAGAAACAATTGAACATTAAAAAAAAAAAAAAACAACAGTTGCAGTTGCTTTCTTGCAGTGAAATAGATAAAAGGATTGGCGTCATCTCTCTGTCTGTTTGCATGTGGCCCTGTTATATTAAAGACAGTATCCAGATAGCTCAGCTTAGAGACAATTTAATTCAATTCAATTCAATTTATTTAGGATAACCCCTTGAGATGCAGCATCTCATTTTCGAGGGGGTCCCAAGACAGGAAATAAGTTAGCAGCTAGCCTTACTGGGTCCAAAGAGAACATAGTCCACCTTCTACTACTACTTCTTTAAAGCCCACTAAATAAGCAAGTCACCAATCTGGGCCAATAAATGGTCCCCAATATAACTGTTTTTAAAACAAAAGCAGTCTTTCAAATCCTCAATTATTGTAGACCGATGGATAAAACTCATCAGAAATATTCAGTGTAATTTTCTACAAGCTCCAGGTTTTTGCTACCTTTGGACAAAGCCAGGTTAGCTTGTTTCCACTGTCTTCTATCTATCTACCAAGAAAAACCAACCAGCTGTTGCTGTTGTTTCTTGATTGTTAAATCAGTGCTTTTAAATCTCGGCAAGAAAGCAAATAAATGTAGCTCCTGAAAAGTTGAAATATTACGTTAAGCACCCAGACCGATGGGGAGATTGTGAGAAGCACCCATGTGATGTTAGAGACAAGTTTCTGGAAAGAGGTGGAAACCCTGTGAAAACCAAGATGAATCAAGAAGCTTGGAGAAATGTAGTTGAAAACCTGGGTCCAGGGTATGGAAGTCTGGTTGTTAATGCCATTTTGTTGCCTTTGGGTGTCACCCCAGAAGAGACAATTCGACTCATCTTGGGGCACACAGCCTGACGGAAACAAAGGCAGCTCAAGCCACTCTGCCTGTGTCTACTTCATCCTAAGACATTTGTGAGCATAATGTTCATAGTGCTCCAGATATGTGTCCCAATTTCTTTGACAAACAAATCTCTCACCATGGCAGGGTCATCCAAGAAAGAGTCATTGTTCTGAGGAGGAACATAGCAGAATCTTTGGAGTTGGATCTCTATAGTTTTGCAGACTTCTCAGACAGAGTGCCTGGGTCTCCCCATGGGCATCACATCGCTGGTCGTGCTTTAAGGCTGGGTGTGGTGAGAACTGAGCTTTCAAAAATCTCAGTTCCCCAAGGCAGGCCTTGGGCAGTTTAGCTGACCATCAAACAAGGCATACTCTGAACAGGGTAGAAACGGCCCTATCAGGTTTCCCCCTGAGGGTTAGTGCTGCTTACTGCTCTCCATGATGGCAAGTCAATAATAAAACTTCATTCATACACTTGACAGAATTTTCAAAGAGTGCTCTTTACTGGCCTGATAATGGTCATGGCTTCAAGAGACTAAGGTATTAAAAACCTAAAAGTATGTGAGGAGGACCTCAGCAGAACTGAATCCACATTAATGAGCCCTAGATGTCAAAAAAATACCATTTTACTTTTGTTTCACTGCTCGACTGACTTCAGCGTCTGTGTAAGACAGAAAAAATCTAGCAACTTAAAAAACTTATTATATTCTAAACTACCCAAACAAATTATTAATCATAGATCATTAGTGTCTTTAGCTGAAAATACCACATCTTTTTTAGGATGCTTGACAGGTCTGCAACAGCACCATGACCTTATTAGGTAAAAGTCAGTGTGCAAAGCGTGGCCACAGGAGGCATAAGAAGATGATGTTTAGGGCATGTCCATCACTTTGGTTCAATGAAATTAAAAACAATGTCACTCGAAGGTCTTCTGCATCAAAAGTGGTCAGATCGTCCATCTCTGTTAAGAAATTGATAACCCACGAAAAACTGAAAATCCAAATCTCTGGATTAAATGTCAGTGTACTCCACGCTCTATACTTGAATGACAGATATTCTCAAATCTCTCAGAGTGCTCGCTTACATATCAGGGTGAAATGAGTTGACTCTTCAAAGTGCTCTTTAGCCAACATTTACATTAAAAATTCATGAGCTCTTGGACGATGGTGGTATACATCAGAGATTCTGTGTAATTATGTCTGAGGAGGTCCAGTGATGAAGCCAAAGCACCCAATCACTTACATCAGCACTTGAATAACAAATCACTGCTCAATGACAGTTATAAAGGGTATAAATGCCTATGGACTCACTTGGTATTTTTTTACTAATCAGTGTATTGTTTTAGCATCCCAAAGTCTCTCCTCCCATGTAAAACGGTTCTAAGTAGGTTGGATGTCAAACCTTCGACAGATAAGCTGGACTTAGGGCTATAAAGGTTTTCACAATGTCACCTGGTCCAAAGACTGTGTCCAACATGTTTTATTTGGGTAGGATTATTGTCAGGAAGACAATCCTTGTATTTACATCTTTCTAGGATAAAAGAGGCTCCTTTAAGCAGAGCAGCAATGTCATGTGATTACTTCTAGTGTAACTGTTGAAAGAAAGATGATTGTAAAGGGACAAAGTATGGTACAAGGAGGACAGTCTGAAAAATGTTGGAAGCACACACCATTCTTGGGTTTCATCGAGCGAGCAGCTTAAAGCACAGAGAAATAATTAAGGATCTGATCCATGGTGACCTGCATTCGATGGTCCTCTTCAGACCATTTGGGGGCAGGGAGAGGGCACACTCCCACTAATACAGGTACACAGGGTGAGGAACTGAAAAATGACAATTCAGAAACCGGGGAAAATAACGCAAACCAGCACCATAAACAAGGGACAAATACATTCAACAGAAGAAGCTGAGAAGTCTGAAAAAATGATTTGTGACGATAAGACAAGGTTTGGGTTATATTTGGAAGACGCTTTATGACCAGTATTTGAAAAATGAAAGACAGACATTTTTGATCAGTTTATAATTTTACAACTAGAACTAAAAATGTGATTGATAGGCAATTATATACTATAGTTGTCTTTTTGGTTGCAGGTTGTAAGTGCGAATGCTGGTGCACTCTTAAATTCACAGTTGTGTTTAAAAAATGTTCTTTTATTTTATTAGATAAGGTTTTTTAAGTAGGTTTAAATATGAAATCAGTAAAGATTTAGTTTGTGCTTTTTTTAAATTGTAAAAAAGAAAAAGTATGAGGACAGATTTTTAGGCCATGAAACCTTTATTATTCACCAGAAATAAAGTCCAATATAGAAAGATTTACACAAAAAGAATTGCCATACCAAAGCAAGTTAAATATTAACAAAAATGTTCCCCTGAATTAGTAGTTTTTTTTCTCCTTTTTTAAACAATACTACTCCTTGTAAACATTAACAAATTAGTTCATCATAAACATAAATAAAGGAAAACATGAAAATGAGTCCATTGTCTTTTCCTCTGCCTGGCACTGCAGGGCTCTGCACTTCAGACAGCAGCAAGTCTGCCTGCTTAAGTTGAGCCTGTATGAAGGGACTTAGAGGAGGGGCCTTATTGATCTTCTTCTATGAGTGAAGTCCAGGCATTAGTTCCAGCAGGGTGAGTAGACAGCTGTCTGTGAGCCACTCTACTGGGCCTACATAGCAGGGCTGAGTGGAGCTGGGATATGCACTTTTGATTTTGATCTCTCCAACATCACTTCTATTGACCGACGCACTGTCCTGTGCTTTACTTGCTGAGAGAAGCACTTGCTGAGGCCTAGCTGGAAGCCCGGGCACAAGTCACCATTGCATTATCCCGGTTGCTGTTGACAAGCTTTGGATGATGAATCTTCCATGGTCTGCTGAGGCCTAGCCCTAATCACTGCTGTCATCTACCAGCAGCTGCTGTATCCACTGACCACAGCAATCACAAGTTGGGTTATCGTGGTACACAGGGCTGAGAATCCCAATGTTTGTTATCTAGGTGTATTTGGATGGACTAGGCCCTCCAAAGTTATACACAAAGGTCAGTTTTCTATCTGCGCTCAGTGCTTTCAAATTTCTTTTAAAGAACGGGAACTTTTTTATTTTGGAAGGATTTACTTTCCTTTAAATAACCAAATACAGACAGTGCCTGTTGGCTTTATTACCCTGAACCGAAAAAGAAAATCAACCAGCTGTCAAACTGTGAAGGCTTTATTATCACCTCTAAAGGTGTGTTTGGATTTGACACTTTAGAGAGTCGTACTGAAAGTGGAGTGTCCATTCTCGAGTTTAAACATTACTGTTAATAATGCTTGATTAGGAGTTTGGTCTTCTTGTTGCCCACAGAGTTTGTAAACATGTCCTTCTTTATGAGGAAAATTTTCAATAATTCGAGTAAGCACAACCGTCCTCACCTTAATCATTTAATGTTTTGGCTTACCACATGATCTTGAGGCACAGGCTTGCTTGCTCCTGTTCTCACTGAGACTAAGATGGAAACTCTTGCTACATCCTTTTTCATCCTGATGTCCTAGAAAATAGCACCTGTGCATGAATCCAAAAGGAAAGCACATTGATAAATTATTAAATCATTTATCACAAATAATGGTAATGTTTATACATAGATATACAGTTTTGAAAAATGTAAGGCCTGTTATGAACTCAAAGAACCAATGGCTCGTGCTGCCACCTTGTGGTACTAACACAGATTGCAAATACAAAAGGAGGCTGTGAAAAACGCTTCCTAATTCGCATGCAACCATGTTCTTTCAACAGCACTGACTACTAATGCATTCTTTAGAGTTATTATAATACAAAATCCACAGAGTCTTATCGGCCTATACAGACCAGTAAGTCTCTGCACGCCCACCATAACTGGCTGACATTGTTCTCCTTGCCCTTAGCACCTTCCGGCCCTCCTCGTAGTCATCCTGGTCCACACTGATCAGCAGGCGGACACCCTCCATACCTGCTGCCATCCTCAGGGAGTCAGTGATGAAGACTCCCTTCAGGGCCTCCAGCAGATTTCCACTCAGGTAGTCACCCCAGAAGGCCTCGAGGTTGTCCAGCTCTGTAAACTTGATGTCGCAGACGATAGAACCCAGGTCTCTGGCACGAAGCAGCGAGTTGGCTTGGCTGAACAACTCAAACTGCCGCTCCAGGGGCTGCTGTTTATCCGAGGACACACCGTCACGGAGGGCCGACTCATGCTCCAGGTACTCGGCCCGGACACGCAGGCGGATGTCTGACAGCAGAAGGGGGAGGGGGAAGCAATAGGAGGAGGTAAATGGGGGAGGTTGGAAGGGTGACATAATGGAAGGGTATAGCGTAGAGAGTGAAAAATGAGGGCAACATGAAGTGAAGAAAGGAATGGAAAGAGAGAAAAGACAGTGGCGAAGGGTTAGGAGAGAGGAGGAAAGGTTACAGAAAGTTAAAAAGAAAGAAAAAGAAAATGGAGAGGCCCACAAAGTAGACAGAAAGTAAGGGGTCATGAGGTCAAAGGAAAGGGAGGAGAAATGGAGACACAAAAAAAGTCATTAAAACACAGCTCATTCCGCTTATCTTCATAAGAGCATTACATTAAACAGGGATTTGGAAAAGGGGCTCAAGAGAACAGAGTTCCCAAAGGGAAATGTGATCCAGTAGGCTGAGTACTTATTGGTCTGTAAACTGGAGCTTGAAATACTTCAGGAACTCTCTCTTGATAAAAGAGCAAATACAAAGGTGCAATAAGCAGAGCAGAGTGTTAATTAAGTGGGGCACTGGTGCTGGACCAAGGACTTTCTCTTTTTTTCTGAACAAAAAAAACTGCTGCGACCCCTTCAGTGTGTTTAGGTCAAAATAAAGTAACTGCTTTTAGCATCCAGAGAGAAACTCAGTAAGGAGTGTAAAACAAGGAGTGTAGTTTCTGAGGCAATTCCACATCTTCAATAACTTATGCTGACTTAACTTTTTGACTTCAAGTAGAAAGAAGAAAGTGATGCTCCAAGATTTTCAGAATGACACCCAGCATGGTCTTCATTAGTCATTGATTTAAAGTTCATTTACAAATACATTCAAATTTGTCGGAATAATATTGTGGTGGCAGTAATGGAAGCAACATTTCGGTGATTAGCCATGGAGAGGGTTTTGTCACAGCCTAATATTTAAAAGCACCACATTCCTTTTGGTCAGCATGTTTTTAGGGTGAGAACAGATAGCTGCTGGTGTTCCACAATAACAGGATTGGCGGTCATGCAACAGCACAGCGAGAAAGATCAGAGGATACATACTGTACTGAGCATAAGCACTGCTGAGATCGTCCCCCATGTCATTACTCCAGAGCTTCAAGTAGGAACCAGCTGCTGATGACTTTTGCTGCAACAAAAATCCATCTCTCCCACTCAAACACCCCTTTAGTCGAGGTAAACAGTGTTCACTGTTAATAACATCAATTTAACTAGAAACAATCTACTCAGTCTATCATTACGGTGGGTAGAATCTTTTTTTCAGAGTCTGACAACCATGTTTCCATCTTTATATATCGAATCCAGATACCATCTTAATAAGGACACAAAAAACCAAGAAGGTACATTAGTTTTAAACAATTCAAGAGAAGTTTATATGTTTATTCGTGTTAATAGTAACTGCAATGGAAGCACATTGGTACCAAACAGAGCAAGATTCCATGTGACTCTGACCAAACGTTTCTCTGTGAAGACAGAGATTTAAGTCTTGCTAATAAGAGGTTAAGGCAGAGAGTCGCATCAATAAGTGGATTTGAATACTTAAAGATTTGATTCAACAAGTTAATGGTCCAATTTGAGGGTCATGTTTAACCCTCTTTGTATTCATAATTTGTTTGGGGCTATGGAGAGTGGCACCCAGCTCACGGGGATTAAAGTTTAGAAAATGTCAACATTAGAAATGCAAATGTTGAATTAGGCCATTGATTTTGCATGTCTTTAACATTTGTGCAAGAGCAGTTACCACACACAGTGTTTTTGTATTCAGACTTCATGAGGCTCTAATTAAATTACTCAAGAAACACAGGACTGGACCGAAGGGGACACTTAATCAATGAGGTCTTCAGAGATGTGTATGATATGTAAGAATGCAAATAAGATTCAGTCACAAACATGAGAACTTTCAATCTCAGCTTCAGCAGCTTCAGTTTCTTGGCACAAAATAAGATTGTTTTTTTTCCATAAGCATATTTTCACATGAAAATAAAACACATTTTACATGAATTAGACATTAGATTTTTTCTTACAATGACTCTCTCAACAAATCTCTCAGGTAAGTGAAAAAAAATTGAGATGTAGCTCTTTTTTCAGTTCAATCCATTAACAATACAAAAAAGATTTATACAATAAAAAGATTATTCCTGTCCTTAGAGGACAAAAAGTGCCAATACCAAGTATTCACTCCTGTTTTGGGAGTTTTATTGTCTTAGAACACTGATTAGCAGTGGATTGTTTGAAGAAAAGTCTGTCTGAGCAATAGACTCCCTAATTCATGACTTGATTATATTCAGTAATGGAGTGCCTAGTGGAGATGGTCACAAATAGGCCAAACAAAATCTAGAAGCTGACATGGGAGATGCTGTTCATTTGACTGTTTCCCAGATGCAGAGCGAGCCAGTCGGGGTCGCCTTGTGTCTGCCAAAAGGAAATTCTGAGAATGAATTTTGTCTTTTTACTTTGACATAAACCAACGACAGCTCACCAACAGAAATAAACTAACCTCAATACAAAGCACGGTGGTTGGCAGCACCATGCCACAGGGGTGCTTCTCTGCAGCAGAGCCTGTATTGCTTGAGAAGGTAGTGGGTAAATTGAATGTAGCAAAATACAGTAAAACCCTGGAGGAGAAAAGCTGCTGCAGCCTCCCAGAAAACTGTGACAGATTTATAGTTCAGGACAATAACTCACTGAAGCGCTCAGACAAAGTCTTTATCTGTGATCAGTGTCAAAAAGCATCCACTGTGATTCAATGTTGCAAAACAATAACACTTAAAAAATTTCAAAGGTCTGTGGTCAAAAACATTTTGTTGTAAAATGTCCTTGCAGGCATATCAACAAATCAGCTGTGACAGGATGTTTTTTAGTATTCCATTTTTGATATATTCACAAAATGTCAAATATGGCACCAATTTTAAAAGGGGGAAGCAGAGGGCTACATATCACCTAACACTTTGCTGTCTCACACAATGTTCAATATGGACTCAGCAAAATATGGAGTTAAAGCACTGTTAACAGTCGACCTTTTGGATCATTACACTGTGTGATGGCTGTGGCTATGATAAACACCTGCCCTTCATGCAATTACGGTATTTATGGATGGCCTCCATTTCTGCCTCCCCGTTTCATACTGAGAGGGATGGAGGTAGAGATAGGGGCACTGAGAAGGAGGCCATTTAAAACCAGAGGAACACAATGATAGTCATTTTGTTAGGGTTACAGAGCACTTCACGCTTCATCAGACACAGAGACATCCACTTAGACAGGACATTAGGAAGCACAGCTTTCATTTTCTCACTTTAAACACCAAGCCCGTTTGGCTTCCTCCATCCCACCCCTCCTCCCCCACAAAAAAAGTTTAAGTACCCATTTACGAGGAGTCACTTGGTACGAAGAGCTTCAACTCTTTATCGATCCGTTTTTCTGCTGAATGACTGACCGAGAGAGTGGAGAGTTAGGGGAGTATTGAGAGTCGCGCAGACAGAACTCTCTCTTTTCCTCATGGACAAAAATCACTCGCTCTACCATTTTGCGTAGTTTGAGCATTATTGTTCGTTCTCTCCCTCTCATTGTGTGAGGATACTGTTTTCCTGACACACAGGTTGGTCTGTTTAGAACTGCGAACACAGAAAGGAGAGAAAGAGAGAAAGAGACAAGCACAAGTGGGTTTGATATCGGTTGACTTGGTTGGTTTTTTTCAACATCAAGCAGGCATGGCACAGCACTCACTCTTTACTTCTAATGAGGTTTGAGTCAGGGCAACAGTTTGTGCTGATAATATCATCAGTTCAGACATAGCTTTAGTACTACAGTACCTATAGTAGGTTGTATATCAAAATGTCTAAGTGGGATGCTTGGGACTTCTCTTACCATGACCATTACCCTTACCTTCACCAGTCCATTATTTAAGCTCAAACTCTAATGTTAGTCCTGTATGTCCATTACACCAAGTAAGGGCCTTCACAAGCACCCCATTTAGATGGCAAAAAGACACCGCGAGTTTGAAGCTACAGATACCTTATGGGTATTTGTAACAGCAAGTGTCATTGCCAGACTGTAATTGCGACACTTCACTGAAAATGATCTGACAGATGAATCATGACAAAAAAAAGAGGTCTGCTTATATGCTTAGGGGCCAGCATTGGTCTGAACTGCCCTATCTATCTCTGCCCCCTCTTGACAAACACACACCCAGGTTTCACACGGGGCACAGAGATAAGATACAGCAGGAGCTTCCTTCAGCAGAGCACTGTTGGGTAATTTTCCTCAGAGCTGCTCGGGTTGAGGTTGTACTGGCTCTTTTTTAGCAGCTTTTTCCAGATTCTTTGGATGGACTACATGTCCAGTCCTTATAAAAGGATGAATGTCTTTGCCAAATCAACATTTTATCAACTTAAAACTCTAGAACTGGTTTGAATTAAAGTACCAGTTCAGTTCAAATTTAATGTAGATATTTGCAAGCGAATGTAATAAAGATACTGTGATGAGATTGAGTAGCCCCAAAATAGTTTCAACATGCACCAATAAGTGACACTTTCACAAACATGTCCAGCAAATCACTGTTTTGGCATTGAAGGTTACAGACAGATTTTAAATGTGGACCATATTCTGAATATAAAGCTCATTTTATTTCCCCCAAGAATATTCTTTCAGTTTCCTAATTTTTGTTCATGGAAAAAGGTTCTAAGGCCATCAATAATGATAATAATAATAAAAATAAATATCTCTTGCACTAGGGGTGGGAATCACTAGTGGCCCCTCAATACGATATTATCACGATACTTGGGCCACAATACAATATTATTGCGATTTTTAACATTTTGCAATACAGTGAGTATTGCGATACAATACTACGCAGTATCGGTTTTTCTCCCACCCCTATCTTGCACTGTTGTTTTCATAGTATTTTGTTATTCTCTCCTATAATATGACCTGCAAATCTAACTCTCTACTGTAGGTTGCAGAGGGTAAACTGGCTGGTTTGGTTTCTAAAAGTATGAGATAACAATGAGCCAATTCTCTATAACATCAAACAGTAAAAGAAGCTAAACTGCAGCAAAGCACATATTATTTAACCTCTGCTGTAGGGGCTTAAATGTTATCAGTTATTGACAAATTATAGTAATATTGCTGTCAAACAAAATTAACAGAAATGTTTGTCAGTATCAATATCTGTTCATTTGCGGTAAAAGCTTGGACACTTGTGCCAAGACAGTGAAGCAGTTGGCTATGTTTGTAAAAATGTGTCAAATTAATCAGGATCTTTATCCACTTAAAACATGTCGGAATATGAAATAGATTTAATAGGAATTTGTCTCCATAGGGAGATCAAATATACTAAGAGTTCTGTCAGAAATGGTTTGCTGGACCATCAGCTGGAAACTTTTTGGAATCACTTCAGTCTACTGCAGACTCAGTCTTGTGATTCTTACTCCAGCAACTCATTTCAGTATACAAAAATAAGGAAGGACTTTCAAACCAGAATATGTCTCATCTACAGTGCACAACACTCAAGAACATTTCAGGAAGGTCTTCAAAGAGCAAATTAGGGAACAGGGTACGGGGCGGCTACATTGTGATACACAAGCATCGAATATAGAGCAAAGTGGCTGCAACGACCCCTGTTGTGGCAGGAGGAGAGAGCCTCTTTTACCTTAGGCATCGGCCCAGACTTGTGAGAGAGCGCATGCCTGAGTTGATCACGCACACAGCAGTATGTATGGACAGAGCAGGGTGACACACTTTATTTGTTTTGTTCCTCAGTCTCCCCCTGTGTCTCCACGATCCTTTGTGTCTTAGGTTACTCGATCTGAGTCACAATCTTGAGTCAACCTGGTGGAATCAAACGTGGAGTCAAGACAGCAACATGTTCATTGTCACAGGCACATCACTCATCCTAAATAACTTGATAAGCTGTCTTTCTTGTTAGATCTTTTTGGTTCTTATATTGAATCAGGATCATCTGACACTTGTTGTAGTATGTATTTTTGACCAGAGATGGACATTCAAAAGAAAAGTGCGAGGAGGTCTGCATGGATGACTATGCAAACTTCACACAAAGGCAAACTGATGTTAGTGTTGTCCCAATTTTACTTTGCAGAGATGAGCAAGCCGCGATTGATTACAGCAAGGCAATACTACGAATGTTGAACAGATCATTGATTTTTAAGTGCAGCTTTTAGTGGAGTTAGATTGTTTTGAACTGCTCAGCAAGATACATGAGGTTCAACCATCGACTGTTGTGACAACCTTTGTATCAAGAATGACCACAAAGCAGAGTAAGGGCTGCATCGAATGTTGGCTTGACAGCGTCTTTCAGTGAAAAGTAACAAAGGAATAGGAGAAAACCTGCCAGTTTGCATTCTTATGTACAGCTGCAGCTGAACAAAGTCTAACGGGTTAGATGAAAGGTGAAATGAAAGGAGAAGAATGTAGAGAGAGAGAGCTACATTCAGAAATGGAGAGGGCAACAGGATTTCTCTGATGTTGCATGTTAAAGGAAAGGCGGATAAGGAGACACTGAATAATGAAGAGATAATAGTCAATCGAAAGGGGTAGGCAAGCAATTTTGAATGGCATTTAATATCTTGTGTCCCACAGCTGATTTGATTGCTGGAAAACAACTTTTCGCTAAAGTTGTCAATCAGACAAAGATGGAAAAATCAGAACAAGTGCAAAGACAGTAAAAGGTGCAGAGTCTCTGCTGATAGCAGACATAATGGTGTTATTATTTTTACCATCTCAGGCAAAGATCGTTTGGTATGATGCATTCACAGAAACCTTTGACTGATTTTTAGTTTGTTTTCTTAATTATTTAAAAATCTAAAATGTTCATTAAAATAGTTTAAAACCAGATTTACTTTATTTTAACTAAAGTTTGTTACCTTTCCTGATGTTGGTGAGTTTATGTTGAGGCATTTATCACAAATACTTCACAGTTAACTTAACAAATAATTGATATAGTCACCGGATAATTCCCTTATCTGCCCATACCACTACCATAGCTTGCAAATACGTCTTGCCATATTTATTTTATGCAGTTTTCACAGTATACAGTAGAAATAATAATTTGGAAAGCAAATTCCTTCTATTGTATTGGTTTGGCTGTTGTAATGGCAGCTAATACTTATACTATAATACACAGTTACAGTCTTGCTGGTTTAGGACTGTTTCCCCTCAATCTCCCTCTACCAATAAGGAAAGAAAAATCTAGTTTAGGACGTTTCTGTGAACATAAGTTTGGTCCACGTAATCTGGTGCTGTGGGTGGTTCACAGATTGAGTGGAAAGCTTCCAAAACAACTAGAGAACTAATCTGGGGCCTGTACTACGAAGCGAGTTCAACAAACCCTGGATATCTTTGACTTAACTGGTTTAATTAACTCTGACAAAGGCGATCACACTAAGTGGTCCAACAAAGCAGGCTATCAACCTGATAAGTCAACCCAAAGTTACAGTGAGCTGTGAGCGCGTTCACATGAACAGGGTGGTGTGAGCAACACAAACACCAACAAGTTTACCATCAGATCATCATATTTTTTAGACACAGAACAACTTATATAAAATATTGAATATTTAAACACACAATCCAGAATAAAATTAACCTAAATGCATACATAAATACTCAAATTAAATTTTGGAAGGGGTCAATCACTTCCCCATTATTGATTTGCAAAAGGCAAAAATAATGCCATTCTTTTCTTGAAACCTAATTGTAGCTTGGATTTATTCTTGCAGCATTTATAACAGTTTTACATGTATTATTTCAGCTGCAGCCCTGACAGGATCAATATGGAGACGATATACATAAACATGAAAACACGATTCAAGAAAGAACTATTTAGTACACTAAAGAATGATGTCAAGGAAGTACAAACAATAACTCAAAGTTAACCTTAAAGGTGTATCTATAACTGTAAATCCTGCTTCGTAGTATAGGCCCCTGAATTGTCTGGATAGTATCTAATATTTAAGGTCTAAAGTTTAGATGATTACATGGAGCATTTCCAACCTGAGTGGGGTAATATTGCATCTGTGCAATTTTGCTTCACAATGTTATGCTGAGCCTGAGTGCAAGGTCCTTATGCTTTTCAGAGGATCATATCTTTAAACAGAAACTTTCGAAAACAGCTCAGACTTCATTTGAAAACTCCATAATGAAAGTTGAGATTTCACATCAAGAAACATTGGAACGGAGACAAACAGAAAATGTGGTGATGCTGGATAAGATATCAATGAATTATTGTTGAAATATGCGTGGTATATGGCTGATGAAAAGATGTGATTATGTTTTGTGATAGGAAATGACCGGATGAAAGTAGGAAAGCGGGGGATGGAAAACTAAGAGGAAAGCCGAGGAAGAACGCAGGTGATTCACTTACCACAGGACATTTTGTGTGGTGGCGGTGGTGGTGGTGGCAGTGGCTGGCCCTGTCTGCGTGGTTTCTTCGGCTTGCGGCTCCAGCCATTTCCCCTCTTCTTCCTCCTCCTTCTGGCAGGTAACCCAGTCATAGGAGGGTAGACCCCTGACAGAACATAAGATGTTGTAATTAGTTTTTAGGTTAAGAAGGACACAAGTTGACTACGGACATAATCAATTGCAGTATTTTATCAATTCCTGTTTCTGTCTCATGCACTAGTAACTCCCCCGCCAGAAAACAATACACTTAATTCAATTACTGAGTGTTTTCTTGATATCACACAAGGAAGTAAACAATGTAAACTCTGAGCATAACAAAAGGACAGAATAAATGAAATGTCCATGTCAGTCCGAGTGTCTCTTCAAAAGAAAAACATGCTGTTAGTTAAAGCAGTACAATAATGTGCTGTGCATTTCTGAACTGCACTAACCGGTTCTTAATTGCTGTGTGAAAGATGGAAGAGGCATATCTGTTTGTCTGCAGCTGTGTTGCATTCCAGAAATACACGCCACATCTCTGTTCTCTCCTCCATACCTCAGTCCAACTCTCTCTGGAGATACTGAAAGCATTATGAGAAAGAGTAGTCATCATTAGGCTGAAACTATCGAAGAGGAAATGCAGTTATGACTGAGAGAGGAAATGACTAAAGCACTAAACACAATCTGAAAATCTCATAAAGATGAGCACCTTACCTGTTCTTCTTTTCTTGTGGGACACTAAAGGGAGCAGATCATGCCGAGTAAGGACTCTCAGTAGTTGCAGGAGTGGCTCCAGGTTGCCATCACTGAGGTATCCATACTTCTCCAGTTCTAACAAAAGCTCAAGGCCACTCTTGGGCTTAAACTGGGCAAATGTAGGACCCTGGGAGTTGTGAGGCTTTAACCTCCTCCAGGCCTTTAGTAATGCAGGACTTGGGGCCACACCCAAGACATCTGGAATGCCCTCACAGGGCTCGACTGTCCAGCCTACTGGGTCAAGTGGGTGTGAGACATGACATGTTTCATTCAGGAGGAATGACAAGACCTCAATATCAGTCTCTGTCAACTGAGAACCAACTATTTCAAAAACCTCATGGAGGGACAACATCCCGTAGTAGTTGAGGCATTCAGATTCATCCCAGTACAGTGTGTCGCTGAGTGGGTATCCTGGGTGATGCACTGTAGCCATTGTTCTGCCTACAGCCCCTCTCCACCTGTATTTACACTGTTCAGGATTAAAAAAACATGAATATTATATTCATTACAAATGTAGAAATGTAAAGCTAAAACCCTATAATTGTGTTTTTCTGATATACTGTAGATGTCCATGAGAGTTCAGTACAGGTTAAATGAAGGTCACATAAGTTTCAAAATGATCTCAAAACACAGAACAAATCTACACTAACCAGCCATAACATCATGAACCCCTGGTAAATCCAATACAATCCAAAACAACGGCTCTCCCACAACTCTCGTGATTATCCTAAATTTACAACTTTGTTTACATGATAAGATGATAACTATACTTAAATAAAAGACGTGGTGGGTGATGCAGGTGTACCAGTGTGTGTTATAAGGTTACTCTCATATTCTGCTCTCTCCATTAACAAGCATGGGAGGAGCAAAATATTCAGTACACACCCTTCAGTATTGTGAACTCTTGTATACCACAAACCCCCCACTAAACCTTCAAGTATTTATGTGTCCTGACCAACTGCTCACCTGTTCAACCAGGTCAACATAAACTGAAAATGTAAAAGTTTACTAAAAGAAGAATATATTGTATGCTTGTACTTTGTACCTCACTTTCCTTTAATTTCACTCATATGCAAGTTTTTGTCGAATACAATTCAAAACTCTCAGTTCATTTGTACAGGAGCTTGTTTGAAATTCACGTTTGGACGAGAACGTTGGCTACTTTGAAAGTTAGCAGTTAGCACAAACACACAGCAGCCTGTTTGGGCCGTTGCTAATGTTGTGATACTGGAGCGTTCAAAAACGCTAATATACTCCTCCTTGTTAGGAAGCCTTGTTTAGCTTATTTTGCAGTCATACCTTCTTTTAGTGTCAGCTCGTCGTTATCTTTAAAGTTGTAATGCAGACAAGGTCGGCTGTGGTCGTGCAATTCCGCTGTAGTCGTTCGGTAGTCGACCTGACAAACTGACGTTCCCTCTGAAATAACAACCGTGAAGCGTTACGTAACGACGTCTCTGTGGAAAAAACACACACAAGCATAAAACTTAGACAAACAAACGGCTGTTTTTTTAGCTGGTTTGTTCACACGTTAATCCAACATCAAACACTAATGCAACACGGCGAGTGTGACACTTACCATTTTTAATCTTAGTGCACGTTAAAGTCACTTAAACCTGAGCTAACAGGTATTGACGAATAATAGCTAAACATGTTATTAGCTGACATTCGCAATACATACAGATGGACCCTATGTGATATTAAAGCTAATTTAAACATGAATTGTTGCAAACACGTACAAAGGGTGAGTAAAACATCGAACTAACCTTCCAAGTCACGTTCGTGTTAGGGTAATATGGCAACTCTCCCTGAGCTGCCTTTACTGACAGGATCACAATAACATGAAGAAACCGACCAATCAGCTCACTGCAGCTGCTCGATGACGTCAGGTCACGTTTGACTTCCACCGACCCTGGGTCAGTTTTGGTCTACAAGGTACTTATAAGGTAGGCTTAACCCTAAACAGGCAGCCGATCCAGAGTCTGCCATTTAAATCGGTTGTCCCAGCTGTTTTCGTTAACAAACAATGTGAAAATATAGGGGAGCGTGGGGTAAGATGAGCCATTTTTCATATTTTGGATCAGTACATCAAGTCAGTCATAGTTTTGTCTCCAACTAGTGTATCTGCATATATTTCAAGATGTTGTGCATCCCTGCAAACCAACAGAATGAGTGTAAATATAACTGATAATGTAGCATGCCAAAAAAGTGGTCTCCTATGGTCAACTTACCCTGTGTATGGGTAAAAAAAAACATTTTAACATTAGAATGTCTTTAAATGATTCAGAACATTCACAGCTGTATTTTTGAAAAGAAAAAGTAACACATCTCAACAATCTGAACTGAATAGGACTGGTAGTAATCCAGACACCAACAAAAACAAAAAGAGAAAAAAGGAATCGTGGCCAAGGATTGTCACTGAAATATTGTTTAACAATAACAAGAAAAAAACCCGTGTGAGTAAATTAGGGACACATGATTGCACGTATTGGCCAACAAAATTATATGTTTCTAGTCGTCACATGGCAGCAGAGCATTTGAAATCAAAGCCAATTAAACATGTAGGATAGATTGATCATAAATAGAAGGATGCATATCAACGTAGAGCAGTAGAGCCATGTTTTGACTGGAATTGTCAAAAATGTGTTACTTTTGAAAAGGTGGAACATTGAGGTACACCTCAAACTTGGAAGGGTTTTATTCTCTAATCACGCCTACTTATTTTATATTTGTTATTCTATAATATTTCATTTTATTTTATTGTATTTTATTGTATACTTACCATCGTACCACCACTGTATTTATGGTCTTGATGGTCACAGCCTATATGGTTATTCCCCCTGCGGTCAGTAGGTGGCGGTGTTTTGTACCCAGACAGGAAGTCAGACAGATCCACATCACATCCGTAAACCACAACAGCAACAAAAGAAGTGAGGCAGTCCCGTCAAAGTTTAACCGTAAGTATACTTTAACCACAAATTTAATGAATTAAACATGCTTTTACTAGTTTTAACATTGACCCAACAGTGTATAATAAATAAATATGATGTAGGTCTGTGGGTGTAACCTTAGAGACATGAACGTTAGCAGAGAAGCTAGCTGGGATAAGCTTTTTATAACTATTAAAGTTACATAACAACATTATCATAACTATTTTACTTGACTGAAGTCGGTTTCTCTGTTTTTTCTGTGTTATTCTGTGAATATGCGTGAAAAATGAAAATAAGAGCAGTAAGAGTTTCTTGAAGATCCTGTCTGGTTGGTGATGTGGCAGCTTCCCCCGGACCTGTTATTGACTAACATTTTCCACCCCTGAGATCCCATTGTACCACTGTATACCACTGTATACCACTGTACGAATATGAACACACAGTATGACTGTGCCACACAGTTACTGAACACTCAGCCTATTAACCATCCTCTACAGACAGAACTGACGTTAACTAAGCTGCTTACACTTGCTTGGTGCTTTGTTTACAATATCTTTGTTCTTCACAAGACATAAAACATTTACAGTTTTTAAGTCATGACAGATAAGGGGAGACCGGGGCCAACTGCAACAGTTTTCACGGTTTCCTTCGGATCTCTTGTCATCTATTATATAACAATTACATGCAGACCAACAGAGCACATACAGGTAATATCTAGCAATTTGAAAAAAAGAGTAAGAAGCAAAATTCTACTTTTTTTTTTGTAAAAATATCTGATCAGCAACTTTTTATTAAAAAAATTCACATCATCTAGGGGCAAAGAAACTGTGAATTGTAATCTCTTGGAATTACAGAATGTTTAGAATTGTAAAACTGTACAGTTCTGCCCTTATCATAAGAGGTAACAAATAATGATTATGTTTCATTGATCCAAAGTGATGTATTAGTAGTGTTGGTATTATTTCTATGTGATGACAGTATAGATTTGATAAATCAGCATACAAACTTTGCCAAGCTGTCAAACTGTCAGTGTTGGTTAGATGAATGCCAACAATACGATTCACTGTGGCAACAGGTAAACAAGAACAACACACTATTTTAATACAGAGGGGCTGGAAAACCTGACACATACTAATGTGAGTCACGATATTTGACTCTAAAATTGCAGCAGGTGTAACAAGGTGTCATATGATCCAGAAGGCTATGACTGCTTTACTCTATCTTGAACATTGGACACACTGAGTTCAGTTCTTAAGATCGTCTCAGCTACTCCGCAAATACACCTCGATGTTCACAGAGGCTCAGTGTTGGCCGATAGATTTTATTTGCTGTTGATTATTGCATGTCTAGTAAAATATGAATCACACTCAGGACTAATTCTGAAGTAAACTCTGCAAAAGTCTTATTTAAAGGTCTTTATAGGAGTATATGTCCAAATGGGATTTCAAACTTAATCCAAGTCCTGCACATGAGTGAAGGTCTTCCATAACAAGCCCTAAGTCTGTGTCAGTCTCTCCTTCCTTCTCCTGTTGAGCCAGGAGGAGAGACTGACACAGACTCAGGGCTTGTTATGGAAAACCTGCCGGTTAGCTTCACAGCATGTCTTACTTACTTCCCTTCCGTATCCACGTTTGGGCGTCACATTGGGTGCGACCAATTCCTTTACAGGCTTGAAAACAGGTTTTTGATAATGGTGTGCCTTAATGTTTTGAGTTTGAAAGAACAACAGATCAAAAATAAAAATAGAAACGATTTTTGTGAGTCTGCTAAATTGTTATTTATGTGAACTGCTTTTTAATTGTGTTACAAAAAGTAAACCTCTTTCCCAAAAGTAAGGTGAGTTTGTCATGAAGTTTACAGCTGAACCTGATCCCTCCACCTTAATGAAGGATGTGGGTGTGACTTCAAACAGGATATGCTCAATATCTGAGGGAAAGAAGTGAGAGAAAGAGCTTAGACCACAGCCCTTTATGCGTGTTTCCCCCCTCTATTCCCCCACAGCCCCTGTCTTCATCCAGCTGTCCTACCTTAAGGAAAAACGCAAATAAATAGATATACAAGACAAAGTGTTTGCCTTAAAGTAATGTATTTTGCCAACTGAGAATTTTTCTGATTAGCTGATTCCGGTTATCTGGTGACTTTGGTAATGCTTGATTAAAATATTTGCAACATACCTCCCTAATTTAAAATAGAGTAGCTGGACACATAAAAATTTCTAAACAGCTAGAACAGTATTAATTTGTCCAATTTTTTCTTACTCTAGCTTTGTAGCAGACAGTCTGTCGATGCCATCTGGAGCTCCAGAGGAGGAGAACTGTGTTGTAGACATGGACAGCAAGGCTGGAGATCTGTTCAACGCTGAAGATGCTCATCCAACTGGAACAGGTGGAGCTGGAGTGTTGGCAAAGTATGTTAATACATTTTATTTTTGTAGTATGATATTTTTCACTTAATAGTAACAGTAATTCTGTTTACAAGAGGGCTTGTGCTCTCCCTTTTTAGCTACGATATCCTTTTTCCTACACTGATAAAACGAGCACTGTTAATGTTTTTATGACTCACTCTGTAATGCGCACAGCTCATATTATAAAGTCCATTAATCAATATGATCTGTAGAGTAGGGTTTACACACTAACAGAAGATTCTGTCTGCGCAGTTTCTTTGCATTGTTCATTTCTGAATTTCTTCAATCTTGTAAGTGTAATCCATATTAACTTACTTTCTTTATAATTTTTTTTCAAGGCTGGGGCTCCCCAAAGGCTTCTCCGCCAGTATGGCTAAAGAGTGGATCGACAAGCGCAGAGTGTCCATCAGACCCTGGGCCTCCTTTGTAGATCAGCGCAAGTTCTCCAAGCCCCGCAACTTTGGAGAGTTGTGTCAGAGGGTGGTGAAAAATGTGGAAACTTACAACAGCAACTACACATTCATCTTCATGGGTCTCATCCTGTACTGCATGTAAGGCCTAAGAGGAGAAATTCATCTTGTGCTGTGTCTAAGGAAATGCTAACTCTCCTGCTGTTTGGGTCTCACTTACATAATCTTCACCAAATTTACACAAAAGATCTTGTGTGTTTGTTCATTTAAAAAACAAACAGAATCTTAAATTGCTGTAATGATTGACTCCACATGTACCGCTGTCTCTTCTCTTTGCTTTAGTATCAGCTCTCCTATGTTACTGATCGCATTAGCCGTGTTTGTTGGTGCCTTTTACATCATTCACCTCAAGTCCCAGGAGTCTAAACTGGTCATTCTTGGTGAGTATGTCAGGTTTGCCCTGCAATTAATGAAACACCTGAAAAATAAAACTTTTAATTCACTGTATACAGTAAATCTGCATGACTACCAGACACACTGGAACTGTACCTCGAGCAATAAAAACTTGGATTGTTGTGTGTTAAGACAAGTCCAGCCTTCCCAAATTTGTTTTGAAACTAGAGACATTTGTTCAGAAATTTAGCGCTCCATTTTGTGAAATTCTAACCGATTTTTTGCTTTTTTAGCAACTTGTCACCTGCCATTTATTTTTCTTTATGAATTAAAACAGTTTTTTTTGCTTGTTTAACACTTAACATTTGAGATTTATTACTTTCATATTTTTAAAATTTAAAGAGTCACTTATTTAGCTACCCTTTTAACAACCTCTTGTGTTTCTCCTTTAGCATTCACAGGTGGAACTGACAAATTTTAAAATAAGAAAATATGTGATTGACACAGTATATAAAAATCCCTAAAAGCTTCATCTGAGCTGGAAAAAGAACATAAATGTTCCTAATCTGCTGTATCATTATCATGTGGAAACATTAAATCTGTAATTATTTGTCAACCAGGCAAAGAGCTGAATGTCCCTCACCAGATGAGCCTGGCTGGAGCTGTTTCTCTACCTGTCTTCTGGTTGGCTGGAGCTGGAGCTGCAGTCTTCTGGGTTCTGGGTAAGTTGTCTTTTCAGTCCATTATTATTCGGTGCATATTAGAGTATTTTGTTCCAGTGCTTGTCTGAACACACCAACCACCATTTAGGTATGCAAGCCCATTCTGCTGTTCTAGAGGTTGGAGATGATGAGAAATGATACGGATGTAATTCTAAAGAGACAGTCAGTTTGCACACTCTTTCTGTCCTCGTAGTTTTTCTCCTTACATTCCCTCTTTTCCTTTGTCTCGTCTCCTCTCAGGAGCAACGCTGTTTGTGATTGGCACTCACGCTGCGTTCCGTGAGCTGGAGGGATCTGACATGGAAGAGCTTCTCATGGAGCCGGTGTGAGGAAGAGGCTGAACTCTCTGCAGGTCCTGCTCAGCGATCAGTCACCACTTTGACCCTGTAATAATGTCAGCCGGGAGGGGTTGAAGAAAAAACTGCTCCTAGATCCGTTTCTTCTCTATCTGTGTATCCTGTATTTCTTGTAACTTAACTATACCAGTGAATCGAGTATGTACCTTGTCTTGCCTCTGAAGTAGTTTCTGTTACACACTATATAACCTTTTCAAATTCACTCAAACACTTATGTGTATGTAAATGCTCTAATTTATTGTTAATGGGTATTTAAGCACATGGTCATGCAGAAAAAAGCCTTTCTGTACATTTTTTCTACCTTTGATGCCTCTGGTTTGTGTCAAATAGCTCTCACTCTCTCGAACTGGAACATATCCTGTTTAGCTCATTAAGTGTACAGGACTGTCTGTGCTGTACAAAGTGCTGTTAGTTCTGCAGCTTCTTTGTCTGAATCACTCAGTTGTTTATTTCCTCTATAATCGCTTCAGTAAATATAACGCATGTTATTCTTAACTCTGGAAGTAAATGTCTTTTCCAAAGAAAAAGTGCCATTTAAAGCTTTATGGATAATTTATCTCTTCAAATGATTACGCACACATTGAATCAAATATTTTATTCACACGAATAAAAAAAATGTTATTCCAGAAAGGGTCATTAACACAGATAACCCTTGACAGAAAGGACATCTTTAAAGGTCAGTTTACTTTAATGGGATTTTGTATAGGGGATTATGCTGTACTGTGCTAGCTTTCTTTTTTGTATATTTATCAGCTCTACTCAGTGAAGCTTTGTAAATTCCTTTTTCTTTTGTTTACATCTGGATGTAAGTTGGATGATTTTGTATTTAAAATTTCATTTGGAAGTGCAATAAACCTCTGATGTAAAGCTCGCTCGTCTTTTTGATGTGCTTCCCTTCATTAAATTGCTTCTCACTAATTCAAGTCGTTTGTTCTCATCAGGTAAATCTAAAGCTGACTTTTGTTTGTGCATGATGAATTGTACTAAACTTTGCAGCTCTCCACGTTTATTTGGTGCATTTCTCATTATTCTGGCCTGGTGTAAATCCATGGTGGAATAGGACAGTTGCAGCCCTCGCGGCTCTTCTTCTGTATCTCCAGCACACCAAACACTGCAGCACTCACCAACCCCCTCTTGTTCCCCCAGTGTCCCCCCTGTTGTCCCCCTTCTTATGTGACCCCCATGACCTCTTGCTCTGTGACAGTACAGCGAGAGGACCCCATGCTCACGTTGCCATGGCGATGACCTTGGAGGGCCCCAGTCAGACACAAACTCGTCCACAGACACACTGCGGCAAAGGCGAGCGATCGATATTCTATTATACGGAGGGTGGTGAGGTGGGGGTGTGAGTGTGGGTGGTGGTGGTGGTTGGGGGGGGAGTCGCACTGCAGTGAGCTCACTGCAGAGACACAGGGGAAATTAGAGAGAGGGTGAGTGTGTGAGCGTGTGTGTTTGTCAATGTGAGAGTGACAGAAAGTGGGTGTGCTTGTGTGAGTGTGTGTACATATGAGTTAGAGACACTACATTTGTCATTGGATGTGGTGGAGTGTTAAAGTTTTCCTCACCTAAAGGGACGTGTCCTCATTTTATTGAAGTTACCTTTTGGGTTGCATAATCCCCATCGCTCACATTATGGAGCTGTATATTTAGTTATGTATTTGATTTGTGTACTTGGTGGGCAATAAGAGGCTCATTTAAAATAGATGACCCTTGTGGCACAGAGAGGTAGCACAATTACAGTGTGCTCCCTTGAGATTACAGACATACAGCCTCGCTTTACAGCAGGTAATATTACTTTTTGAAAATAATGTTTATTAATCAAAAAAAAATCTGCCTCCACTCAGTGAACATCTAGATCATGTTTGAAATCTAATTTCTTTTCTCCTAAAGGATGACTTTAGTGTAATTTGATATCTCTTTGAGACTCTCCTTGTGGCGATTCTCACTCACAAGTGTCAAACAGGGCTGACACACATGTTCAGAGCGGTTTGGTGCATTACCCTGGGCTGCTGCCAACCCTTCCTTTTAAGGCAGTTTAATATTATGCAGTTTGCAGGTTGAAGTTCTAATGAACTCAACACTAGGTGGCATCCCACACTCGTGGTTGCAATTGAAGTCTGCTGCATGCACACTGGGACTGGTCATGATTAGACCTAATTTATGTGCACATATGAGTGTGCACCCAGAGCTTGATCTCCACTAAGATTAGTTGATGCTTAAGTTCTTTAATTAAGAACATTTATCAGTGACTGGAAGCCCAATATTTTACATGTTTAGAGAAATAGTATGTTGATGTTTAAAATTTGTGTTTTAAAGTTATTCTCTGATAAACCTATTATGCAGTCTCAAAAATCTGCTGGTCTAGATATTTGTGTGACTAGATTAAAAGTAAAGGCATTTGGTTCCTTTTATTCAAGGATATGGATTGTACAAATTATCGATAATGTTCAAGAAAGCTCATTGAAGGAACAGATCACATAGAAAGCTATAGTGTTCTCTAAAACTAAGAGTGGATTGAGGTTTAAATAAAGACAAACAGCGATATAAAGACACACAGACAGGTCTAGGTTGTATTAAATGTTCTAGATGTTTTATTGGTGTTGGTTTCATTTATTTGACACACATGTTCTACTAGTGGTGTATTTTTTTTTCTCTTGAATTTCGACACTTGCAGCCATCTGAAACAGACCCAGCCGGAGACCGCTAGCCCTTCACTGGTCTCCAACACATACATGCACACAGGCTGAGGCTAGGCAGAGACCAGGACCTGGACTTATACCAGCACAGGCCCCTGATCCAGTTATAGAACCCCAGGCACGTGGACTCATCATCACCACTCACCACATCACAGCACACTGCACCACATCATACCGGCACACCTGCAGTGACAGGAACCTGAAAGCCTTAGTTGGTTTCTTGTGTCTTTAGTAAAAACACAACCCAAAACCCTGCTCTGCTATTACAGTTTCGGAGTAGCCTCCTGGAAAACCAGCAAAAATAACTGAAACCAAACGAAAACAAAAAGAGAGACACATTGTCTTGCATTTTTGCTATCTCACAAATATTGTCGATGTTCTTCATGAATGTCTCTCTCGAGCTGTTTTTCCAACATGTGTTTTTTATTGTTTCATTTAAATTCAATATAGAATTATATAGATTTCCTAGAGCACACAGAAAGATTGAGTTGTATTTACCATCTTTGGGGAAGGGGTCTGGGGGTGTACTGTAATAGTTATTAACAAGGACAATGGTTCACACAGTGCACACAAACAGAGACAAACGGGGCAGGAGGGCGAGGAGGGGAGGTGTGTGAGAGACGGAAAGACAGGGGGAAAGAGGGGACACAGGACGCCATGGGGTGTGCTTTGTCAGGCCTAAATGAGGGAAAAGCAGCTCTCACATTCCCCCCCTCACGTCTTAGAAATAAAAAAGACAAGTAAAATCATCGAAACCCCCCCTGTACCCCACATATTAAAAAACAACAACACTGTGGCCGTCGAGAACGTAAGAGAAGGAAAAATGGACGTAGCGAGAACGACAGGGAAATGACCACTCCACTGGTCCTCCACAGACAGGAGACGGAGGCGAGAGGTGGCAGTTGAAGTGTTGTCGGCGGTGGGATCTCACTGTGTGATCTTTATATCTGTGTGTGATTGGAGGACAAGCAAAGGGTTGGCGAAGAGGAAGAGAAGAGAGAGGAACGAAGGTATAGAGAAAGACAAGGGGGAGAGAGCAGGGGGGCAACGGGGATGGGAGAGGAGCTGGATGGCCCTTTTTTGCAGAGCATAGACACTCCCTTTGTATCCTTAGCTCATTCAAATCTACATACACAATATGCAGCTGCCGTTTGGTAGATATATTGGTTTATGTACACAGCAGTGAGAGAACACATGCAAAGAGTATCATAGGAGATGGGGGAAAGGGGGCGGGTCAATGTAGAAAGTTGTAAAGGTGCTTTTGCTGTTTTTAATCTTTGGGGCAGTTGTGATGAAAATTGCTTCAAAGCGTTTTTTGTCTTTAAGGGGGCGGGGCGTCTGGAGGTGTGTCTTGCCAGGGATGGAGTGACAGGGAGAGAAATAAGTGGAAGATGGAGGGGGATTGAGCGAAGATGCTCCGTCGATCAATAGTATGTCTCCTTCTCCACCCAACCTGGAGTGCAAATTAGAGAAAGAAAGAAGAACACAGAAAGGAAGCTCACTGTTAGTTCACCGAGGTCTGGTCCCACTGTGAGTTTGATACACAAAGCTGCAGCTGTCATAGTACTCATTAAGGGAAATAGATTGGCTTAATGGTCCTTTTTTCCTCTTTTTTTTTTGAAGAATACAAACCTCCAGGGTTCCTGCGGATGAGGAGTTTTCGGATTTCATCATAAACAAAGATGAGGAAACTGTATGGGAATGCACAGAACCACCAAGTGGGTCTGCAGAGAAGGACAAGATAAAGACAAGGATTAGAAACCATCACACTAACATGTTATATCATGTAATATGTAAAGTAATATTTGTGGCATTAGCGCTCACTTTAGAGGATACATCCTGAGTGCCACATCCATGCCTGGGCAGTAGGACAGGAAGGCAGCCAGGGCTGTCTCTTCAAACAGGCCGAAGATCAAGATCTTGTTCCTGAGTTGAGAAACACAAGAAAAATTGAAGTGGAGGAATAATGAGCAGAAATGGAAATTCATTAAATTACTGATAAAGGTTAAAGTAGCTGCCACATGTAGGTGTATTTGGACTCACTTCATGCCCTGCTGGAACACAGAGTTACGTCTGGTCTTGCAGATGATGACATCAGCCCACTGCACGACCACAATACTGACAAAGAAGGCTGTGTGGCACGTGAACTCCACAATCTTTCTCTGCTCATATGTCTGAGATTCAACAGATGAAACACAGACAGACAGTTAGACAGGAAAACAAAAATCCCAAACACACCTACCAGCTCACAAAATCTGTGCACGTACCCACTGCTGGCCATAGCTGTCTTCCAGGTCATTGACTGAGCGGTCATCCCAGTCCAGCCTGATGCCTACAAGTACACTGGGCAGGAAACCATTTTCAGCCAAGATGACAAAGTAGGAGAAAAAGCCTCCCAGAGCCTGGATCATACCTGAGGAAAATCATACAAACACAGAGATTTAGAAACAGATTTCTTTAGTTTATAAATCCACAAAACACAGCAAATCGGCTCAAATATAACTCCACCATTGTTGTTTGTCAACATTACAGAGAGGGGGATAGAGTTGATTTCAACTCAAAATGACTTTCAGGCAACCAAGATCAAACTTCAATCCAGAGCTAAAACAATTCACAGCCTGGATCAGAGGAAGACATTTTCATTTCACCTACCAATTTGTCCGTAGGCAATGCTGATAAGCCTCTCATTCACCAGCTTGTCCCTGAATGGGTTCCTGGGCTGACGCTTCATGATGTCACTCTCAGCTGCTTCATAGGCCAGGGAGATAGCTGGCACCTAAAGGGGGAGAGGAGGAAATGTGACATGTTGTATCTACAGGAGCCTTATTCAGTGTGTCGATGTAACGCTGTTTGACATGAGAAACCAGCGAGTGTTTGATCAGCTCTCACCATGTCAGTTCCCAGGTCGATACAGAGGATGGTGATGGTTCCCAGTGGCAGTGGGATATTGACCATGATGAACAACAGGAAGGGGGTGATCTCTGGGATATTGCTGGTCAGGGTGTAGGCAATGGATTTCTTCAGGTTATCAAAGATCAAACGGCCTGATGGGAGAGAAGACAGGTGAAACAGGGGGCACCGCACACCAAGAAGGACATACAAAAACTTTTTGTTCCTGCAGAAAAAAAAAGCTCTTTGTAAACCTGAAGCGCTCATCCACACCCCGCTCTCTCTCTCTCTACATATTTGTCCAGATTCTCTTCATATAAAACTCCTCTTTGTTTTTAATGTTCCTGTCTCCCACTTCGGTCCTCTGGGTCGTCTCACCTTCTTCCACTCCTGTCACAATAGAGGCAAAGTTGTCATCCAACAAGATCATGTCCGCAGCCTGTTTGGACACATCAGAGCCTGAGATCCCCATGGCAACACCAATGTCGGCCTTTTTCAGTGCGGGAGAGTCATTCACACCATCACCTGTCACAGCTACAATGGCACCCTGGGAGAAAAGAGGACGGAAGGGTGAGTTTATCGAGAATGAAGTCACACAGATGTATTTATCTACTCAACCGACATGATGTTAAAATATGAATACTCCTCATTTTTATAACAATAAGATCTTGAAATGAATCAGCAATTAATGTATATTGTACTTGTGTTTGTCTTCTTCTTCTTTTTGCATTTGGACGACAGTTATAATTACACGACCTCATCATTTTTAAAATCTACCTTTACGATGCCCTACCTTTATGATTTCAGAGGCTTATGAGAGGTCACATTTATCCTTCAGTTGATGAATTTACAACCATCCAGTTGTGTTGCATTTAGCCTTAAATGTTGAAAAATATCCACAGTCTTTTTCTTTTTTATTAATCCTGGATTTGTTGAATAATTAATCATTTTAGTGCCTCAAAATGCCACATGGTGAATCATGAATGATTGTATGTAAAGGTTTCAACACAAAGATTTAAAGAAATATATTTATACCGACATTTTAGATGGTATTTATATTACATCTTAAAAATTTAGAATTACATTGAAGCAATGTTTTATTTTAGGAGCACCTAAAGCAGCTTCTGGAGAACAAATGTGCATTCAAGATACTGCTGGACTTTGAATACTCTTTTAGTGGACAACTAGCGCCATCTGCTGATAGAAAAGTAAAATAGCACTCCTCAGTCCGGTCCCCTCAAAGAAATCTCCACTACAATGTATGAAGGAAACCTTTCTAGGATTACAGAGAGATTTCATTCAATCTGCCCACCAGTCGCTGGCAGCCCTCCACGATGATGAGCTTCTGCTGTGGGGAGGTCCTGGCAAACACGATCTCTGTGTGGTTCCTCAGGATGTCGTCCATCTGTTCCTGAGACAGATCTTTCAGGTCGGTACCATGGATCACACAGGCCTTGGCATCCCTGGACACAGATATCAAAATGCTCATGCATGTTTCATAATTTGGCGTGAACGTTTGTGTGTGACTGCAGCTTGATTTTCTGTTTGTTTTCAGGTGACCCTTCTTTACCTGGGGTTGACCTGGCTGACAGGTATGTTGAGACGAGCTGCGATGTCCTCCACTGTCTCATTGCCCTCTGAGATGATACCCACTCCCTTGGCAATGGCCTTTGCTGTGATTGGGTGATCTCCAGTGACCATGATGACCTAACAACGCAAACAAGGACATGACATTAAACAATGATACCCTACAGAGTACAAAACAAAGAAATCCTTTTCATAATGTGTTGGGGGGGAAACTCACCTTGATACCAGCTGATCGGCATTTGCCCACAGCATCAGGCACAGCAGCACGGGGAGGGTCGATCATGGACATAAGGCCAACAAAGCAAAGGTTGTCTGTTTGGAAGTTCACATCATCTGTGTCGAAGGCAAAGCCCTTGGGGTACTGATCCTCAGGCAGCAGCACGTGGCAGAAACCTGGAGGACACAGAGATATGTGGTTTAGTGATGGATTTATAACTCAAATCTTCTATCCCTGGACAAAACTCCCAGAACACAGGAGAGTAAATTTAATGAAACTATATTTTAATGCTGAATAAAAATCAAGCTGAAAATTACCTTGTGATTTTCCAGCTGAAGCAGCTAATGTGCTTTAAATGATCTATACTAACTGTCAAGTTAATGCCCCATGGAGCATCACTCCAAATGCAGTTTAAGAGATTAGATTTGTTTTAAAGATGCCTCTTATTTTTCCTCAAATGTTGAGCAAAGTATCTAGAAACTTATTGGCCTGAGAGCAGTTTTTTTTCTTGGTAGTTTAGAATTATTGTTTCACAGGAAAGCAGAGACATTTAGGATGCATAATTTAGACAACTAACCATATAATTAATGTTAAACAAATATCTATCCCAGTATGTAATATTACAGACGTTTTCAAATTACTTTTCCTGGAGCAAAATCCCTATTTTTCCAGTTTCATCTTCTTCTTACCCAGTACTCGCTCTCCCAGTCCTCCAAGCTCCATGTATGCGTTCTGGAAAGCTTCCTTCATCTCCTCATCCATAGGCTGCTCCTTGCCCTGCAGCAGGATAGTAGAGCAGCGGTCCAGGATCCTCTCAGGTGCTCCCTTCATCACCAGCAGGTAGCGGTTGTCATTAGGATCCTCTGTCTCGTGCACTGAGAGCTAGAAGAGGGAAAAATGATGAGGATACAGATTACAGGTTATGTGTAATTCATGAGTTTATTCTCATAAGCACATTTGTAACCAGAACTTTTCTTACCTGGTATTTGTTGGTGGAGTTAAAGGGGATTTCTGCCACCTTCTTGTTCTTGTCCCTCATCACCCTGACAGAGCCACAGGACAGTTCGATACACTTCAGCAGGGCAGACTCGGAGGCATCACCAGCCACATCTCGCTTCAGAATAGGCAGTGAGTCCTGTCCCGCTTTGAACTGGGCACGGTTACACAGAGCAGCAACACGGGCCAGAGAAAGCCAGGTCACTGAGCTCTTATCAAAAGAAGCACCTGCAGAGAGAACAGAAGTTGGTTTATTCTTAACTCATGTCATTTATTAAAAGCTTTTATTCCTTTCACTGTTTACATATTTCATCAACAGAGTCTGTACGCCCTCTGCTCACTCACCTGACTGGTCCTCTGTGGTGTCTGCCTCATGGATCTGGTTGTCAAACCACATGTGGGCCACAGTCATCCTGTTTTGGGTTAGGGTTCCTGTCTTGTCGGAGCAGATGGTAGAAGTGGAGCCCAGGGTTTCCACAGCCTCCAAGTTCTTTACCAGGCAGTTCTTCTTAGCCATACGCTTGGCAGTCAGGGTCAGACATACCTGCAGACAATTACATTTATTATGCTTTTTTTTGTTGTTGAGATGCAGCAATGACGCTCCAAAAGAGATTCTCTCTCTTGAGGATAAATAAAGCCGGTCAATGGTGCAATTAAATAAATCAGATTTTGATTTAAAGGGGCAATACAGTAAAATTAATACTTAATATAAGTCTTTTTAAGCAGTTAAACAAAGATAAAGAATAGAACTCTGTCTCAACATGAATAATGTGCATGCTAATTAAGGAGCAAGCAAGGTATCTGATTACATGTGTACTTACAGTGACAGTGGCCAGCAGTCCTTCAGGCACATTAGCTACAATGATACCAATCAGGAAGATGACGGCCTCCAGCCAGGAGTAACCCAGGATGATGGCCAGGATGAAGAAGGTGACACCCAGGAAGACAGCCACTCCTGTGATGATATGGATGAAGTGTTCGATCTCTTTGGCGATGGGGGTTTTGCCGGTCTCCAGGCCAGAGGTCAAAGTAGCAATGCGACCCATCACTGTGCGATCTCCAGTACAAATAACGATACCACGAGCGGTGCCTGAATTGGAGAAAGGTCAACGACACAAATCAATGCAACGAAATACTTAAAAACCAATCATGTTTATTTGAATTAATACTGCGAAATTAAACTTTTAACCAACAGCAAAGTTTGTCTAAGTTCAGTGCCTTTATACACAACAACAGACAAGGAAGTTAAAAATAGCATGTGCAACTATTGCCATGGCAACCATACCTTCCACACAGTTGGTAGAGAAGAAAGCAACGTTTCGGGTCTCCAGAGGGTTGTCATGGGTACAGTCAGGTGACCTGCTCTGAGGCTCTGATTCGCCTGTAAGAGAGGAATTATCGACCTAAACGGGAACAAAAGAAAAATGAACTTTCAGACGGATAAAACAAGAGAAAAGACTTTGAATGTGCGTGCATACAGAACGTATTTATGTGTGTGTACCTTGCAGCCATGAGCAGAAACAACCCTGATGTCAGCAGGGATCCTGTCTCCTCCTTTCACTTCAATCAGGTCTCCGGCTACGACTTCTTCGGCATTGATCTGTACCTTCTCACCCTCACGGATCACCAACGCTTGCTGCAGGGGAATATCAGCAATTGTTAGAACATGTCTAGCTGCGTTACATGTTCAGTGACAGCAAATACACACATTACCCACAACATGAAGTCACATTTTCCATCTTTAATTTCTAATGTTGTCCATTTGTTTCTAAAAAAAAAATCCACTTTCATGGCTTCATATTTTGAGGGGGGGGCTCAAGTTTCACAAGTTTCTTTACCTGAGGCACCATGTTCTTGAAGGACTCCATGATTTTGGAGCTCTTGGCCTCTTGAAAGTATGAGAAGCAACCGGTAATGATGACGACAGCTGTGAGCACGATACCAAGGTACAACTGCAGACATAGAGAGAGAGAGACAGAGTGTATATTAACACATGTGTGTGGGCTGTGGAAAGTGCAAGGTACAGTTTCTGTCTTGTTTATAGTGTTATTGGTGTCTGTGCATTATGGATCCAAGTGTTAACAAGGTAAATACGGCTCCAAAGTGAGTATGTGAGTGTATATCGTATGAGTGTGCATGCTTACATTGTCTCCTGCAGGATCATCTTCAGTGGCTGCCTGGATGGCGTAGGCCAGAAAGCAGAGGATGGCGCCAATCCACAGCAGGATGGAGAACCCACCAAACAGCTGGCGACAGAACTTAACCCACTCAGGGGTGGTGGGAGGAGGGGTGAGGGCATTAGGACCGTCCCTTAACAGAAATTCTGCAGCCTTGGCATTGGTCAGTCCCTGAGAGAAACACAAAGAAGAGGGAAAAGCATGGTAAACAAAAAAATCAAGGTAAATCAAAATACATACAGAGCCAACAGAAACAGACATTTGTTTGGAGTCCAGGCAGGGCTGAACTGTCAAAACCTGCTACTAATCTGAGAAGTACTCTTCTGCCATCTAGTGGCCAACTGGAAAAACAGCCCTAACCACAGCCGGAAAAAGAAAATGGTATCAGCAACTCACCTGGACGATGTCAGTCTGGTATTTCCTGCATACTTCCTCTACAGACATCTTATGTTCCGTCTGGAAAAAAGGAGATGAAGAAATAATCAGAACTCTACATGGATAGATTTGACTTCCAGCTGCCACATTTTGCATGCAAAGGAAAAAAAAAGAAAGGAAGTAAAGAACAAGAACCCTTGTCATTGACGACTACATGAGTCTAAATTATCTAAGAATTTAAAGACAAAAGAATTTAAGTCCATGCATGCAGTTCACCTGAGAGATACGAGTATCAGGCCAGCCAGGTGTCTTTTTCCTGCGCTGGTATGTGCGATCACGGTGATGTCCTTTTGATAACAAGTCACCACTCTTACCAGCAATAAAACAATTTTGTGGCCAGTAGGAGACAGACTTCTCTTCTCTCCAACAGAGTCAGTGTCAACCCACTTTATTCACTTTCAGCTCTAACAGGATGGTTCTAAGAGATCTAATTTGAAGCTACATCTATCTTTAAATGCATGGATGGTCATTTTTTTGGTTTCAAATGCATTCACTGCATCTGAAAGTGTCAAATCAATTAGCTTTACATTAAAGGTATCCAAAGTGAATTGGCCTCAAACATCCCATCCCAAAATTCATCTCCACACATTTGCGAAAATAAAAGAAGATTTTTACTTACAATGGGCACTTCCTTCTTCAGGTCATCCATGTCCTTGGTCGCTGCCCCCTTATTCTTCTTCTTGGGGGATCGGTCATCTTTGTCCTGTGTGGTGGCAACGCGGTAACTGTCTGACCGGCCATACTATAGACACACACACATGTTTTATACATGCCTTGGGACTAGATTAGTGGCCTGTGGGCCCATATGTGTTATTCTTACTGTTCTCTGGGCTTGCATATGTGTCATGAAATTACAAAAACTAATATACACCTCTGAAAAAAACTGAAGATTCATTAACTGTACAAAGAGGTGTCTTGTTTGGCATTTTTACAGTATCTAACAGAAATATTACCAGCTGCCTTCAGTGAATTACCATCGAGGCTCCTGTCTTTCACTGTACAGTAAATAATGTTGTAACCTTGTGAAGTGGCCTTGTGAGGTAGCCTGGCTCTCTCAGACACTAACAGCATCAAGTGGTCTCCGTTTATTCATGAAAAACCTATTCATACACCGAGTGGCATAAAAGTTTTCAACTATTTGAACGATGAACACATTGCCCTGGCCGCTCTGCTTTTGTACAAAAACAGCCCCGACATTAAAGTTCGCCCTTCTCATGTCCATTAACCCGACCAAAGGAGCAGACAAACAGAGTTTAGACCCATCAAAGGCTCCCTGATTAGATCTGAGTGTGTTTCACACTTTGATGACGAGGATAATTAACAAATTATCTGACAAGTACGTGCATGCACAGACACACCACACATCTGCCTGATTTTCTGTCCTGTACCACCTTTGCTGTAATTGCCCCTCAGAAATTGGCTTATGTCGTTAAACCAGATGTGAGTGGGCTATAAATAATCCTCAAAGCTGCACGTTCCTGTCCTGTGTCCAACTCTGGTCGTGCTCCTCAAAAGGAGTCACATAAATGTCCCTCATCAAAGGTCAGAGGTCACAAACAGAGGCAAGAATCCCTCCCAGGAGGTGTGAGGGGGCCCCTGAGGACAGAGCCAACACTGACTCAACTGAGTCATCAAGGAACTGCGCATTGTGGCGGATCAATACAGTTGAATAAACACTCATGACCCTAAGAGGTGGAGAGTCCGGGTGAAATTGAGGCCCTATCATTTATCTTTAATCAGACAGAGATGCCAATACTTATTAACTGATAATCAATGAAAAACAGGGTCAGAGGTTAAGAATTTATTGGTAGATCAAATAAAAGGGATGAGCTGTTTGGTACTTCAAGTGAAATAATCCAAAAACAACCAGTTGCTGTAAATCACTGATATAAAAACAGCACCCTCTAGTGGTAAATATCAGGTAACTTCATTCTGATGACATTCACATGTAAATGCAGCTGGATTCAGTTGCTGGTATCTGGTTTTTAATAAGAGATCCACACTCACACACAAACTGCCGTGCCCTTTGACACAAAGTATATTTATTTGACAAAGGTGAAATTTTAAATAAAGAAAAGTGAGGAAGTGTCTTACGTGACAAATGAGACCTATAGTGCTATAGCTGACAAAGTCACACATCTAAATCACACTAAAACGCACACTCACACACCTGCAGTGCGACAAATTGAGACCAAAGATCAGCTCGCCACTGCAATGACCACCTGAGCTGCTCAAACTCTTGCAAAGTCGACCCCCTGCTGAATTTGTATGTGGTAACAAAGACCTGTGTTTCTGGTTTGTCGTTATTGAAGGAAGAAAAAATGGCTTCACGAAACAACATGTGGAAGTAAGTCAACTCTCACTCACACAATCAAGTGTTGGGTTACGGGCGGCTCAACGACCACTTCTGAATTCAAAGCAAACAATGAAACCGTTCGCTAAAGCATGTCGGGCAGGGAGAGTGGCGGGTCGCTGTGAGGGAGGGACAGCAAATACACACACACACACACACACACACACAGAGCCTTCTGCAACAAAAGAGCAGGTGAGCAAATCTCTCACCGCAGCAAGACCAGGCAGGCCTGGTGAGGCAGGGGCTGCTTGAAGCAGGGACTGATGCAGTGGAAAAGTACCGCTGCTCATCATCTCCTTTGAGACTGACCCGGGATGTGTGTGATCGAGGAGAAGGGGGTGATTTATATTTTGATTTTGAAGGTTAAATGAGTAAACAGTAGCTCCATATCTCTTTGTACAGATTGAACATGCTGAATGAGATGTAAAGTTACACATTCGGCACTAATCAGGTGTCAAAGGGCGCCGCAATCTCACAGATGACAGACGTCCAGGTGTGTGAGCGAGCATTTGTTGCTTTAATGTTGTTGTTATGGCTAGTTTCTCCCACAGACAATGAAGAAAGCTGTTTTTCAGAGCATATGCTTGCTGACTGATTATAAAAAAATATGGACACACAAAAGTCTGGCTCATTCTCCTCTTATCACGCACACACAAACAAACACACACACACACATATGCCCAGACAATGAAAGCGGTTGGCAGGGCGATTGAGAGGAGTGCCAAACAAAGCGATAATAGGCTACGTGGTGAAAAGTAGAGTCACACAGAGATAGACTTTAAGGGGGCGGATGACAGACAGGACTGGGCACATGGAAAGAGAGACAGCAGTGGGAGGTGAGAAGCAGGGACAGATAAAGAGCGACAGAGGTAGGTGTAGAAAGGGACGGCGAGAGAGAGAGAGAGAGTGTGAGAGAGTGAGAGAGGGAGCTGTTGTCAGCCCCTCTCCAATGCTTCTAATTAGATATTGACCAGCGGTTTTTGTCTGCTGGCTCTGTGTCAGTGTTTGACCCACAGTGACCCCACTCTAATAGATTACACAACTACACACATGGCTTGTGTGTGCGTGGGTGTGTGTCACCTTGAGTATGTGTTGTCATGTGCTACTAGATTATGTTCTCACTTCTGGTTGTGCGTGTGTGTGACCCCAAATGTGTTTGTGGATATGAATGAGTAGTAATCAGCATGACTCAAAGAGAAAACAGAGGCTGCCGGTTTATCTTTGCCGTGTGTTTACAGTATGTCGAGTATGTTAAGTGCACGTCTGTTTTGGGCTTTTGGCGGGAGAGTGTTCGCTACTTAATCATTAATTCTCTCCTCCTCACTCCATGCACACCCCGCTGCAGATAACATGTCAGCAACGTGCCTGAGCAGTCTGCGAAAACAAGTTGTATCTTTTTAAACTTTGCACGTCTGCCTTTAAATCTGCTTTGATCGGGGTTCACATCTCCACTGGTGAAGCTATGTTTTCTCCTGGTCTCTTTTAAAGTCCGTCTGTCTTTTTTTCCTCCTATTTTGGTGTCTTAATCATTCAGCCTATATTGTCTAAATGTACCCTCAGAGTTTCTTTCATCAATATGCGCCTGCCCTGTGTCTGTCTGTGTGGGTGTCCAGCTGTCTCGCACAGCTCTGGGTAATGTAATGATCCCCCTCTGTTCTGAGGAAGGGAACAGAGACTTGTGGCTGGAATTACAGAAGCTCTCTCTCCCACAAGCACTCAGACAAACTGACTGATGGAGAGACTACTCTGACATCATCAGGAAATGGAAACATCGGACGCTCCTCTATGGATTACATAGTTCAATCAATCAGGTCCGGCTTATTAAAATCTCATTAACGTATCAATGATTCAGAGAAAAACTGCTTCATGTGTCTGCTTGTGTGTTTGATTCGGTCATTAATTACTTTGTAGGCCCTGCTACGGTTAACTGAAATGAACCTCGCTTTTTTTTTTGTCCTCCTGATGAGGGAGTGTGTTTGGAAGGCAAGTAACCATGGCGACCGGCACAGCCATTGGCATGACGACGGAGCACAGCAAGTGGCCCGATGCATCTGAGGATCCCCTGATGTGATCTGTGCGAGCAATAATTGATGCATGTGTAACTGGACACTGTATTCACTGCTGTATAACACAGACGAGCAACTGGCTCAAGGAATGAGTCTGTTTTTACGCGCTGTGTCTGTGTGTGTCTGTGCGAGCAGAGGTGAGTCACTGTGTTGGCTACAGTCTGCATGTGCAGCGGCTAAACGCACTGCGGCAGAGAGAGAGAGGCAGAGACCTATGATTGTGAAATCATATAAAAATGAATCAAATGAATCAACTTAATCAGGTACGGCCAGAGATTTGAGCTTTATAAAACCTTCCTGAAATATGAGTGGAAGTAAATTATATAGATTTTCACAAAAATAAATATTTGACATAATTACAGACAATATGGACTTCGACTGAGCAAATGTAATGATAATAATTCATAACATATTATGACGTGTTTGCTGTGGCACCTGAGAAAAGCATGTAGAGGAGAACGGTCGATGCAGACCCACGCAGTCTGGATAAACTACATGTTTTCTTCTTTTAATGTCACATAGGAGTTACCTAGCATGTGTATGAGCACAAATAGCCATATATGTTGTAGCTCAGGCTCTGTTAATGCAAGACCCATAAGAGGAAGTGGTTTGTAAGTGGAAAAAACAGCACCACAAACCAAAACCCCCTCTCCTGATTTGGTCTTTTAGCCACCACCACTGTATTCGTATGACAACATACGAGACGACACTTCCTCTTCGTAGAGAGCCGCTGGATAAAAGGATCCAATCGACTCACTCCTCTGCACTGACCATGTGAGAGAGCTGTATCATAGTCTCTAATGAGTGCTCTGTATCTTAAAGTGGACATTCACTCGTCAATTTATTTGATTTGTTTGAACTGTTTATGTAAAACAAATTTTCAATCCACTTTATCTTTTGAAAAAAAAAGACAAAAGCAACTCCTGTAAATAATTTTAATTAAAAAAAAGTTGTAAGAAAAGCTCTAAACAACAAAAGATTAAAATAAACCAGTTCTGCATCGTAAAATATAGAATTATTTTTAATTATTGAGTAATCCTAAAGTGTGTTACTATGCAATATGGTGTGTGTATTTGTTTCTTGCATGCACAAGAGTGTGTGTGACCTTGCAAGGTTATTGAGCCATCTGCTGTTTCTTGCAGCAGGATGGCAGGCCTCTAGGCCACAGGGGGTAGGATGGAGGACGGGGGGGGGGCTCTGACCGGGGACTGAGGGACATCGCTCTCAGGATTAGCTAGTCTGATTACTACAGTGGATTAGCCCACTGTAGCCTCTTCTCTTGGCCTCTCCGCTCCTCTATTACCACTGTTAGAAAATCAAACGCATTAATCAAAATTGCACAATCAACGTTTGGTCCTGCTGTTGCAAAATGGTTTGTTGAATATCTGAGTGAGTGAACAGATGAGCCTTCACACATGATGAGTTTTGATTGCTTTGTAGAAAAGACTGTAAAGATATTTGTTTTGGTTATCTGTGTCAGCTTTAGCGTGATATGGAGGCTCCTTATCTTTCTCTGTAACAAAGTGGACAGAGATCAAAAACAGCAGACTTTGGGTATCAATGTATGAAGAGGAGAAAACAGTTGATGGAGGCAATTAAGTGTGCCTCAAACTATCATGTGTCAGCTAAAATTAAACTCAACAGATACCCCCACACGTAACAGATTGATCTGTTGGAATAGTGTGCGTAAATAGATCATTGTACTGTAAAAAGATTGCGTCTGCTTAAGAGCACTAATCTCTAAACCACACATACACAAAGAGACAGAGAGAGATTAACTCTCTTTAGCTCTCAAATAATCTGTGCCGTGCTCTCGCTAAAAAATAAATACAAACGAACCAAAGCAAGAAACGAAGTCCAAACTGAAAGTCCCAATTTATATAGTAACCCCCCCATACACACACACACACATTAACTCTGCTCTGTACTGTCCATCTGTCCACCCTGTCATCTTCATCTGTTCACAACACTGAGACTTTAGTGTAATAGTGCATCATCTCTTATTTATAATGCACTGTCAACCCCTGTGAGCTCCACCAGCACCAGAGTTTGTGTAGCTGTCTCTGTTTGTGTGTGTGTGTGTGTGAGTGTGAGCACAGTCTGGTCCACATTAGCATTGTAAATCTTGGCTTCTTTGGCGCCTGCAGCCAACATGGCGTCTTGCCATGGCGTGAGAGAGGGCATCTCAGGACTCCTCAACTGGCATTGGTCACAGGGTCGGGCAGATGTGCAGAAGCAACACCCACATCCGTACACACAGCCAAGGACTACACACACCAACAATTAAATGTGGGTGACAGGTTTTCAAATCAGGGCTTGATGTGTTCAGTGAGGTGGAATTGAAGTGAAATCTTTAACTGTTCAATCTTCAGAAGTGTTATCACTGTAAATTCACTGGAAAAAAGCATGATGACTTTTCCACTTTCACTTTAAATGCAGCAGAGGCTTTGGGTTTTTTTCACCAGCCTTTGTCCACTGTGGCTGCCCATTGTCACACTCTGTCTTTTAGTGTAACTACACACACACACTCACACTTCACAACATACACACATCTCCAGGACAACACCCTGAATTAGTCATGTCGTTGTAGTCAGGCAACCTAACCTCTCCAAATGGTTCTCATTATGAGAGACCGACTCGTAAATGGTGCAAAACTGCACAGAATTCATCACCGTGTCGGCTGTGATCGTGATTTAAGGCCGTGTATGAAGGAGACAGCACTGACCTTTACATTTTATTAGCATTACACAAGCTGCCACTGAGCTCACTGCCCAGCCCCTGTCCTGCAGTCTCACACTAGCATGGAGGCTAACTCCAGAGACATCTGTACTCTGTCCTTCATCCATGTTCCTGCTGAGGACAGGGTCCTCATTACAGTGAAAACCTATTGATCAGAGATGCTGTCACTGCCTGAACGGAAACATCAGAGAATCATTTGAAATGGTCACCATATTGACCTTAAATGACCCCTGAAGGCCACAGGACCAACAGATCCCAGCAGGCTGTGCGATTCGAGCGATCATGTGGTTGATCTGTTCCTGTGAGGACAAGCTTCTCCATTGGTTCCTGCAGAGCGTGGGACAGATGAGTTGTGGTACAGTGCAGCCTATCAGCATCAGGCAGCAGGTGCAGTGGGGAGGGATGTGCAGCACTCTGCACCAAAGTGAGGGCTGGGCCTCTGCAGAGGCCCTGCACATTTTTAAACTCCTGAACTAGCTTCACAAAGACTGTCTCACTTCTTCTCAGGTGCTGCGCTCACTCATGAGTACCAAAATAAAAGCACACACTGTTCTTTAAGCCTCTGTCTCATTAGATAGTCTGACTGGTCCTCTCCTCAGTCATAGGACATTCAAAGCAGCTCAACCACACCCTCACCACCAGCCTGAATGACCTTCTGAAAAAGCCTCGGTGTTACCACTACACCTTCATCTCTCTTTAATCCCCCCATCTCTCCTGGGGCACTGGCCCACCTACGCCACACCTCACCCCCCCACCACACTCAACATTCAGTCAATATTCTACAAAGATCATCCACCCAACCAGACCCCTCCTCTCCCTATCCCATCTGCCTCCTCTTCCCTCGATAACCAATCCTACAAGGCCCAGCGGAGGAAACAGGAGCCATGGTAATGTGAGCCTCAGGTCATTATCCTGTAACAGGATATACAACCACGCAGCCCTCCCCCTCCACACACCTCATCATCTCTTCAAATCCCTCTCTCTCTTTCCTCTCTGCACACCTACAGTTCACTCACTGGCTGTCCTTCTCCTCTCTCTCTCTCTCTCTTTCCTCTCACACTGTTTGTCTTACTCTTTTGGCAGTGGCACCCTCTCCCTAACGGTGTCACGTGTCTGAAGGTGAAACCCAACAGTGGATCCATGTGTGCAGCCCTTCATCAGCATCTCCATTTACATTCCTCCTACAGTCTCATCAGCACCAGACAACAATGTGCAGCTGCTTCAATGCAGATAGAGGGACAATGAGCGAGCACTGAGGAGTGTGAGACATCTCAGACAGTTCTTCAGAAATGCCCAGCCAAATTAAGACTAACTATCCATGAGCCAGACTGCATGTGCCAGTTGTCTCTCTAGTGTTCTTGGCACTTGCACAAGCTTTTCTTTATAGCATCACTGCTGCCTCTTAACTCAGTTCTTTCTGCGTGGCTCTTGGTACCAGCCTATCACAGCTCTTTACAGGGAATTTCCACATCACAGGCCCCGCCCCCGGTTTGACGCAGGAAGCGCGTCGCTAGATGCCCCCTGCGGCCTTGGGAAAGGACAGCTGGCTGTGCCATCGCACTGTGCGCCAGTGCGAAATCCGTGGAAGAAAGAGAGGAGAAGAGAGAAAGAGGAGATAGAGAAAGAAAGGAGAGGATAACAAGGTACCGAGTAGACTGATCTACCATCACTCCATCCATCCCTTCCTCCCCTTATATGTCCTTCTTCCCTCTCAGGGTGACCTCAGCGCTTTCTGAATGAATGCTATAGGAAACACCCTTCACAGCTCACAGCAGGACGCGCATGTTCTCCTCTATAAAAATCCCTCGGGAGCTGTGGCATGTTCTGAAATGACACAACACTTCCACTCATCGTCTCACCCTCACACCAAAACTTCCTCACAGCACGAGAATATGCGTAAGCACTTTTTTTGCACTCCCATCTCTTTTGACGCAGTGCCCACTAAAAGCTGCAACGACGCGGACCGAAGTCGCTGCTTTTTTTTTCTCTCTCTTTCTCTTTCGTCCCTCTGAATCCCGCATCCTCATCCTCTCCTCCGACAGAGGATCGTCAGATGCTGCTGCGTATAGGCCACATCAGCTGGTGTGACACCGGCTCGTATACTGCCGCATGTTACCCTGTCTGCAGCGTCACGCCACCTCATAATTCAGATTAAATATTACAACTCTTTTGCGCAGGATGGTGATGGAGCAAAAAAAAAAAAAAAAAAAAAAATGCGCAATGGCTCGTACATCACATCCGCACCTGCCTTCTCTGACGCTAACGCTGCGCCAGCACATAAAAAAAACTCTCTCAAGTCAGTCTCTCAAACTTAAACACATCGCATCACGGTCTTAATTTGCCGCACGCATCGCTTCTTTTAATCCGCAGTGTGCGTAAATGTGTTCACTGTTAGCGATTATAGAGTCCCTGTTATGTCACAAATTAAAGGGGAAATAAGCTGGTGAGGCGCTTATTCCCGGTAACCGCATTATGACGCATGGGTCATCGAGGGTGCCGAGAATGAGACTCCTCCGCTGAAGGACGTATAGAGGGGCTCAGCATCCCGCACGGTGCACCGACAGATGCGGGGACAGACCGCAGAGAGGGAGAGGGAGAGAGAGGGAGCATTGCCGGCGGGGGTTTAAGGCACGAGAGGACAGCAGTGAGGGTGGAAGGGGGGGCAGCGAGGGCATGGAGGAGGTCACAGCTAACTGTGCTCATCCATCAGTGAGAAAGTCATAGAGGTGCAGAGCCTCAAAATAAAATTTAAACTCTTTTCCAGGGTAACGATGAGGTGAGAGGATAGGTTTCTATCACAGACGCCCTCCCCCCTCTCTCTCCTCTCTCCTCAGCACAGCTCTAGGTAAGAATAAACCGATTAGGCCTACCATGGCTGGCAAGGTTATAGTCAAAGTAAGGCCTGTCAGAGACCTGCAGTCCAAATGACACACTGACAACCTCTAAAAAAACACACACATCTTTATTCTAACGAGAGACCTGAGCATCACTTTCCACTCATCTCTCACTTGAGGGTTGTGGATTAAATTCGACAGAGTGAGTCAGAGCAGAAGGACACGAGTCACCGAGGCTCTCCTGGAGTCAGGACGAAGCTAAAGTCAAATCAAAGTGAGCCGTTTTCTCGAGCTGCATTAGACACAAGCTATGTGGCTACATCAATTTGTCGCAGAGCTAAAACACGGTTCCGCATTACAGTCAATGTCACTCACACAAGCGGGGGGGAAAAAATGACATCGTGACTCATTTTAAAAGCCCCTTCATCCTCACGAGAGACGCGTTTTTAAGGCTACCGCTGTTCACTTTTCAGGCCACTTCAGGTGGGCTACAACGCAGTTTGACAAAAGTTGAGAATCGTCAGTCTTACCCCCATGTTGGCGCAGTCACTCTTCTCCTCTCAGGTGATGCACGGCTTGAGAGGTGTCAGCCCCTCGCGTTGAAATATATCAAAATGCCTTTTGCCTTGAAGAATGAAAGAGAATATTGCTCAGTTTTCAAGGTTCTTAATTGGAAAAAAAAATGAGGAAAAAAATGCGTCAGGAAAGTTATCACTCCGTCTGACTGAGGAGTTTTCTTTTGAATTTGATAAACTGTCTGTCAAACCTTCAAAAAGATTCGGCTACAATCTCTCTTCCCCTCCGTGAGACGTCTTTTCAAATGAAATGTTGCGGTCTCAAGCGGAGCATCACGCGGGGATGCGCTTCCCTCCTTTGCTCTCTGATACTTGCGGTGAAAGACCGGCGATACTAACGAGCCGCACTGCTACCTTTTCACCACTCGGTCCCCTTCCGCGGCTCTGCCAAGCTGCCGCAGTACTCCGCTCCTCAAGCTGCACCACTCCGCCGATGGAACAAGCGCCGCCTCAAGCAAATGAGTGAACCGAGGCGACAGAAACACCCGCCCTACGCTTCATGAACCGACCAATCACAGCTCGGAGCGTCTCATCGGGGATGGGATCGCTGACCAATTAGATTTATCGGAGTCTTTTAACAGGCCAATAGCAAGCCTAGTCTGCCCCTCCTGTTTTACTGCAGATTTCCGAGGCTTGCAGCCAGCAGCATCGAGAGTCTCTAGGCTGAAATTTTATATAAATGGACGCACAAGGTTAGATTCTAGTTGTCGTGGTTGTGTTTGTTCATCTTGTAATGTATCTATGTAACGTACCAAAGTGGATTTGTGTGCATTATTGCATGTAATAAGCACCCTTGGATGTCTCATCATCGGTCGTGTTGGTCCTGTCATGAGCATGTTGTGAACCTCCTTATGTCACTCAGGCCTGGGCGAAGCAGGCAGGAAACAGCCACACTGAGTCAGAGTGTGAGAGTGAGGATGTGTGTGAAATTCAGATAAAAGAATATACATAGAGGTGAAATTGGATAGTTGAACAGCACAGCTATCAATGTATCTCAACAATCATCTGCAGACCTGCAACCTGCCTGCTAGAGCATCAGCAGATCATTTATTATGACAATGCAGAGTCAGCTGTTTGAGCTCAAGTGGAGGTAGGCACTCTGTGGCAAAAGTCACACACCAACATGGGTGTTCCTCAGGAAAGAAACAAACCTGTCTTGTTCCAGCACTATAATTTGGGGTCTTTGTAGCAATAGCTCAACCTGACATTTATGAGCGCAGTTGTAAAACAATATGTATCGACTGTGGGATCAACAGCTGCAACACGTATCCAAACACCGAGACAGGAATGAACCGGTCAAACAAATCAGACTGCATTCTCTAAACACTGGACAGTTGAAGAGAGTCAAAATCATGCAAAAAAGTGAGATAGGGAGTTAATCCAAGGACAGTAGGCAAAGAGTAAATGGGAAGACATACAGATAGAGGATTAGAGATGCAGATAGAGGATATATTCAAAGAAAGTAACAGGCAGAGGACATGCAGGAGTGAGAGGACTCTGGCCCATATGCAGCAGTAAGCTGCCATTGCAGGCCTTTTGGTCACGTTTTTCCCTCTGTGCCTCTGTTCACTGAAGGGACAGTGCAGCAGGGAGAGCAAGCAGACACACTCGCACACACACTCGCACACACACACAGACACACACACAAATGCATGCAAAGCGGTGCCTTATTTGCAAGGGAAAGCTGGTGCCCCTGCAGCAGATTGTTGCCATGCCTCGGTGCCTTCCTTGCTGTGGGCCCAGACAATGACCACGCAACACCGTAAGACCCCTGAACATCAGAGCAGGCTGAGCTCAGGGGTTGAGACACAAGTTTCCTCAGACACACAGCTGTGGACACTGTTTTTGTTCGGGGTGTCGTGACCTTCTTGAATGACCAGATGACTGGGGTAAAACTTGAAGTACAGATTCTAATAAATAGATTAATAAATGTTGACACTTGAAGTTTCAGCAACAACAAAATTATCATAAAAAAAAATCAAAATAGTCAGCTGAACCATTTGCACAAAGACAGCTTGAGTTCCAAACTTTTTTAACAGGGATTTTCAAACATTAAGGCTCATAACTTCAACTCAGTCTGTAGATTTCCAGGTTAAGAATAAAGTTTTACTTCCTTCACCCTCTTCCTGTGTAAGGGTCTGCATCGACCCGTTTTTGATTTTAAATACTTTTAAGAACCACTTAAATAAGTTTTTTTGCATAAAGACTATTTGACTTTGTCAGGAACCTCTATTTCATCAAAATAAAAAATAAAAAAATTAAATTGACTAAATTTTAAAATGCTCTTATTAACATTATGGCACTTGTCATGTTGGGGTCGCTGTTGACCCGGTTAGATCAAATTCTAATAATCGGAGCAAAAACTGAAATCATAAGTGCACCGTCAGGCACCACACTGACAGTCAGATCCTCCTCCAATCATGTGAGATTTAGGAAATTCAAATTTTGTTTTTCCCTGCACAAAAACAGCCTCAGGCATGTCCAGACATGAGAGATCAGTTCAGTATAGATGTCTGTGTGAGGGGTATACTGACAAAGAAAGGCCTAGAGGACCACAACAAAAAATATTATTAGCAATATTTTCATGGATAATGAAGCCTAACAAGGTAACAGAGAGATGAGAACCGAAGTGGATGACATGGGTCAAAACCAACCCTTAACATAGTGGGCGCGTAGTAAAAGCTAACACAGGAGGAAGGTTAATGACAAATTGCATGATGGCTAGTAGATAGGGAGAGAAAAGTTGGTGAATATTGACTGAACAGCAGGCTGCTGTATGTAAACTCAGATTAAAGCTGGTGGTCAACACAGAAACACAAAATAAATCAAACATCCACTCAGTTAAGAGTAGTAAGGCTAATACAATTTGGGGCTTTCAAGCTGTCTATGTTTGACTTAGTAATCAGCACTTAGACAAATTCACAAGAGTTACATTTAATTTCCTTAAGCCTAATATTTGTTATAGGGACAAATATTTGCCATAGTTTCCCTCTGGTTCTTTCAGTGCAGTAAGATTTAAATAGCCTTCACAAAATAGCTGCTTCACAGAGCTGATGAGACGTGTCGATGATAAAGTAAAAGTACAGCAAGGATTCATAGATGCAATCAGATCCTCAAGCCCACAGGGTGACTTTGTCACTGTGGTGCTGCTAATAAAGTTATTTTCAATCTCATTTCAACCAAAATGGCTGCCAGTAGTATCCTCTCTTAACCTCTGCCATACCTTCATGTCTTTCACTCCTTCCTTTCCCCCCATCACAATACACCTCCCCACCTTGCAGTACAAGAACGGAGGGGAGAGAAATATCCCCCAATTCCTGGTCTCCACAGCAACAGCAGTCAGATGACCTTGTCTCCGACTTGTTCTGCTGAGTCAGAAATGGAGGGATGGGTGAGGGGGATGTGATGAGGAGAGAACAGGAGGGAGAGAAAGAGAGAAGGACGGCACAGAAAGAAAGGTGGTACTTATTGTTATTCTAATAGATTCAAGCTGGTATAATTGCTCATTGAGTCAGTGCTGTGTCATACCCATTTACATAAGGCTGATTGTTTCTGTTAAAGAGCAGCCGTCCACATAGAGCTCAGCATAGAAGGACAGGGTCCTGAATCAATGGTGTGTATAGTCGGTGAATTTACAAAGTATGACTTAAAGATGGAGTGTATGATTCAGAGCTGCAGATAAACATTATGCTCCACGGGGCTCCAGTGTCACTGACCATATGTGGTTACTAAGGAAATGTGTGAAACATGTGTCAGCAGGACTAAAACAGTGTGAGTGTGCGAGGTGCTTGTTGTTGCATCCACTGTGTGTATACTATATATACACTATAAAGACAAAGTATGTGGACAACCATACTTTACATTCATAAATGACTGATGAAAAGCCTCTGGTAAGGCTTTTCAAAAGGTATTGGACTGTGGTTGCAGGGATATAGTCCAATCCAGACAGAAAACACACTTGCATTTAAGCATTGTGATGTGCTTGACTTGCAGACACCACTTTAGTTCATCTCAAAGGTTTCTGATGGGGTCATGGTTCCATGTGGGAAAGTCAGGTTTTTCCACACCAAATTCCAAAGAAACCATTGCTTCATGGACCATGCTTTGTGCACATATTGCTGTTACGCAATGCTTGGATAATTTCATGCTCATAACTGTCTGTACAGGAGTATGTAAAGAGGCCATATTATGCATAGACAGTCAAAATTAAGCTTAGAGTGGGCGGGGGGTTGTATTTGTGGGCTTGCATGCTCGTGAAAGTGTGTGTGTGAAGGTGATCCTGGCTAATCCGGTTTTATAAATGTCTGACATAATCTGTGCTCCACTCGCAGTGTCCAGAGCAGAAAGAGGAAAGGAGACGAGACAGAGAGAAGATGGGAGGGGGGTAGAGAGTGTGGGGGGAAAAGAGACAGAAGCTAAAAAACGAAGAGGGCTGAGATCAGAGGGGACAGATGATGCGAAGGCAGATGGGGGGAAAAGATGATAAAACTACGGCGTGAGAAGGAAGAGAGCTTAAAAAAGAAATAAGACAATAAATGAAAGAGCTGAGGAAAGAAGGAGCCAGTTGGGCCACAGAAAATTCCTCTGGGATTAAGTGACAAAAGAGTGAGACAATCAATGAAGTTTCATTTATCATGCAATGACAGATGTTTGGAAAGGGCAGGAGAGACTAAAGGTTGGGGGAGTCAATAATCAGGAATTTGCTAAGGATAGCAATAAAAGCATAAAAAGAATCTATAACTGTGGTGGATTGGGGTGAATCTATGAACTGTTGGCACTACAGAATAGGATATGACAGAAAGATATTACAGCCTAGGGGAAGAGCACGAGTAACATATGAAGTTGCTTTGATTCATTCAAACACTATATTACAGAAAAGAAAGGAAAGTTGACAGTGTGTCATCCAGATTTTTTTTGACCACATATATTGTAGCTTCCTCCTAAATAGTCTTCTGATGCTGCACTGAATCTGATTTTAAGGCTTAAAACAACATCAGGGTTCATGTCTTTGTTTTACAGGGTGCAGAGAAATGAACAGCCTTATTGTCGCTTTCTTTGAGGTTTTTACCCCAAATTTTACATTTGGACAATACACAATAAATGACCACTATCAAGAATCAGCAGCAGGAGATTTCTAGTCAGAAGACATTATTTAAGCATGCAGAGGATGAGATAAGCAAAGATTGCTTTGTCCACTGGGGGCGCCAAAATGAGGACTAACCCAGAATTCCTCACAAGAGCTTTAAAGTCCCACTTCGATTGTTTTTTTGTTTTTTTTTTACTACTTAAAGTGTTATCTGTTGTCTTTAAATCGTGATTATGAAGTTTTAGCCGAAATTGCGTTACCTGTGTCATTTTTAAGGGCTTTTCTTCTGCAGAGCTCCAGTAGCTCATAAGCAATTCCCCCCATGAGTCGTGGGCGGAGTCAGCGCTGCTCTGCACACTCCTCTTAATGCTAGCTTGTAGCCTAACATTGCCGGTGTATTAAAAGTAGCAGGTAACATAGGAGCTATTCAGCTCTCGGACACAAATGTCTTTAGGGACACGATGAAAGTTAAAATCATAATTAGCTTTCTTGCGAGCATTACAATCCGCTAACGCACACGCTTGTTCTGTGATTGTCCTGTCTATTTCTCCAAGTGTGACATGCATAGCAGGGCTCTGGGGGTGGAGCTTGGATTTGCTACGTAGGAAATCTAACTGTATCTGAACCCGCTGTTTGGGTCTGCCAGAGATTCACGGCGATTTGAATGCAGAAATACTAAGAAATGCAATTTTGCACTTATTTTTCTCATGATATGCCATATGAACATGTAAAAAACAAGAAAAACATGATTTTGTGCGTAGTGGGTCTTTAAATAATCAATCCCACGGTATGCAGAATCCACATCTATACAGTTAGAATCCCCTGGTCTTGGGCAGAAAGCAGTTAGGCCTGATGTGATTCTTATTTATCGGGCACAGTAGAATCCCAAAAAACAACATTAGCAGTGTGCAATACAAATGAATGTCCAATGACCAACTAATGTCGAACCAACATGAACATCCTGCTAGCTTAAGTATCAAAGGTACAACTACCAATTCATGTAGTATAGTGAGTTTACAACAAGGTAAATTTGCTGATAAATTACAGATTGAGTGGGTTTGTTAAGTTGGCTAGCTTGCCATATAAGGCTGCCTCTAGCTAACTCAAGCACTATGATAGATTGTGTTGTTTACAGTCAATAATTCATAAGATAATTAACACCATAAATCTACAGTGGACAGGTGACATAAGGCTCGTTTACTACGTGCAGTCGAGTGTGAGTTTGTCATTGCCAAGGATGTTTTCTTTCACGTATTTAGTGTTGTTTCCGATACTTCCGACATTAAAGTCTAGCGAAATGTAAATCCTGAATGAAGAAGTAGAAAATTTAATGTTTGAGAGCTTACGCTTCACTGTCTCTGTGGGTTAGTGTGGGGATAATAAAAGTCTTTAATCTGCATGGAGCCTTTTTATAGCAGGTATTTGACAATGTCAAAGAAAACCAGAGCACACTGGTTTCTAATGACATTAAAGACAGGTCTATGCCAGTAGAGTGTGCCAGTATTCCATGCCAGCCAGCACAAAACAAGGGCTCCAGACCTTAGAGAGCTAGTGTAGCCTTTAATCACTCTATTAATCACACCTCTGCTTTTTTCTGCTTTCATAAGGCAAAGTTCAAAAAATGAAGAAAAAAAATGGCTGCTTTGAATAAAGGAGAAAGGAAAATACTGGAGCTGTAGAGTTGGAAAAAGGTTCAATTTTCTTTGAATTCGCGTATCTTTGTATTTTTAAATTCACACAACAAAATGCACACGAGTAAAAAAAGGTAAACACTCTTAACACTTATTTATGAAATATTTAACTCGATCGCACAAATAACCTCAACTCCTCACGATAGCAAATTATTCTCTGACACTCCTCTCTCATTTCATCTGAACAGCTGCTTCTGAAGCATCTCCTCTTCCTCTGCTGTCCTCCCTGACCCCTCCCCCTCCCACCCGCCTTCTTCCTCTCCTCCCCCTCCTCCTCCTCTGGTAGCTGTCCTTTCAGCACCACCGCCACTGCAGCAAAACCCTGCTCCAGTCTACCTTTTTTCCAGCATGTTTTCCCTGTGTTTTTTTTTCACTCCACCTACATCTCTGCTACATAATACCACTTACATGACAGTCTGAGTAATCTCTACAAACACTGAACCACCAGGAACACCACATTTCTCATGTTAAACTGCAGCTTGTCAGCCTGCTTTTAAAGGGTTTGATTGTTCGAATCAAAACTGCTGTTGAGCAGTTTTATTGTCATGCACCAAAAGAACATTAGCTGCTTTTTTCTTATTCTCATGTCACTGATTCCAGTAAATCATCTTTTTTTACCCTCTACACAGGATAATAACTGAAAGACACATCAGAGAAACTAAATAGCATTTAATGAAGTCTCTCGGTAGGCAAAGCCATTAGGAGGCAAATATCCATCCATTTGTTTTCCATTTTATGTAACAGCTTTTCAGTGAGTATTTCTTCTCAGTGCGCACTTACAGAACACTTAAACCTCCATTAAGCCTTCTAATATGCTAATAATGCAATAATCTGTCATTAAATCGTCAAATGGTTCCTGTATCCCTCTTGCTCTGAGTTAGACAAATTCGTAGGATTGTGTTTTGACAGCAGACACAAAAAATAAAAGTCAGCTTTCTGTATAATAACACTAAGTGTTGTCAATCTCCCCTGACTTTGAAACCTGTTATTCAGTTAATGTCTTCATTTTCTAACCGAAAAATTCTGTATTTTCATCCTGCCTCAACAGCAGCTCGAACCCTTTTGTCAGTCAGTTTTTTATTATTAAGTTTGTGCTCATCAATCTTCTTTATTTGTTAAGTTGGATCTGGTAATTTTCAACTTTAAAATATTTGCTGCTCAAATTGCAACTCTACCTCAACTCTACCTGCTTGCTGCCGATGTTTTCAAGTATATTTCCAGAATTAGACTCAGTTATTTCAAACACTTTAAATGGATTGAATTAAAGTTTCATTGACTCACTTCTTGGTATTTCTCAAATTTGTCTTACTTTTCATCTGTCTTATTTATGCTGTTTTTGTAATCTGCATTTTGTTCTCTCATTTCTTGTCCCCTCCGTCTTGTCAACTACCCAGTTAAATAAAGTTTATATAAAAACATTCATGCTTTGCAATCAGGTTGTTCCTCTGATGTTGTTTTCTTTTACTGAAGTCTCTCAAGTAAAAAGATGAGCGTCTGAAAATTCAGCTATCACTGCCTTTCAAGCATCTTTTCTCCATCCAAGTTTCTTTTCCATCAGAGTTTTTTTTCACACTCTTTACATTGCAGTTCAGTCATTTAGGCTGATAAGATCCAAGCTCAGGTAGAGGTAGGTATATGAATTCACTCCAATGTGCGCTAATTTCAATAATAAAGGAGTCACACCCTGTGATATCAACATGTTAACAGGACAGTGAGAAAGGCATCAATCGTATAAGTTTAAGATGTGTACCCACTGAAAGTGGTGCAGCATGTGTGAAAATCTGTCCCATTTATTTAATAATGCAACCATCCTCTTAACTGCGCAAAGCATGCTGGGAAACCTGTCTTAGAAACGAATATGGTGGTGCAAAACATAGACATTATATAAGTAGACGCCTTATTACATGCTGGAGCGTAATCCAGCGTCGCCGCCATGTTGGATGAGTCTCTCCACTCCAGGCTCGCTCAAGAGCCAAACAGGGTTAATGGAGAATGAGCAACTATGTTCATTTTTTTGCACTCTATGGTTGAAAAAAACTGATGCAGTATTGAAACCAGATCACATAGGATTACATTTCACGAATAGGATTGAAAGATAAATTGTTTTATTTGTAATGTGTGACATTATCCTGTGTTATGGCTACAAACCTGCCATTGTAACAAACCAAACAGTCTGAAAATCGGGCAGAGATTCGGAGAGTTATTATTAATATGGTTGGGCATTCCTACCTACCTTAATGCACTGGAGGCGCATGGGGGACCCATCCAAGATGGCGGCTGCGCTGATACGAGAGCTCCAATTGGTAGCATCAGGCTTTGAGGCATCTACGTATATTATGTCTATGGTGCTAAACTGCTTTTCTCCCTCAAAAGTGAAAAAACAGACCCCAGAAGATGTTGGTTTAATTGAAAAGACTCCTAAATTCAAGGCAACAAGTGACCAGCAGAGGTGGTCAATAAGTCTATGTGAGCTCTGGGTCTGCACTGTTACATGTCTGCTTCTTTTACACCAAGTTTGTGGTTAAAACATGTAAATAACTACATTACATGATCTGTTTGGCAAGGTGATCTTATAAGTAGGGTTGGGTATCATTTGATTTTGAACGATTCCGATTCCTCGTTTTGATTCCGGTACCTAACAATTCTTTATTCCGATTCTTTTAAAAGGCAGGATATTAAAAAAATGCATTGTTTATATGAGGGTGCTGACCGGAGTTCTTTTTGGATGACATTTCTGAACTTCTCCATGAATTTTTAAATTATATTCACTTTTTAAGAAATTTACTATGAATTCTTCACAGGATTTTGTTGTCAGGTCATTTGTCTATGAAAATGCACAAAGGCTAACGTTAGTTGGATATATTTAAGTTGACCCACCGTACACAGTACAATTAGTTTGTTGCTTCAAAGTTAGCAGAAGACAGAAGTAGTTTATTGTTTCACTTATCTGATTCTGGCTGGTTAGAAGGCCGGTAAGACGAGCACTCGGGTATTTCCCCTCCATGAATCCTGAGGTGTTTAATCCTGTTGGCCGTTCACCCTCCTTTACATGATATTACGTGTTGCTAATGTTGCACTGAGATCAGAGTTCATTCTTCGTGCTAAAGTTAGCCAAACTATTGACCGCAGCCGCTGTGGGTTGCACTGCACTTTCTCTCTCTGAGTGGCTTCGTCCTTGTTAGTGTTTGGCGGCTTCTTCTTCATTGGTGTTTAGCGGCGTCTTCCTCGTTGGTGTTCGGCGGCTACTTCTTCCGGTCGGCTGACTCCAGCACATAGATATATATATATATAAACGCTAGATTGCTTACGCACGCTGTTAGCCAATGGAGATCGACGTCCGCGCATAGCGGCCATTTTGCTACGGGACGCTCTTCTACTCATCAACATTACAGTCTACGGTGTATGTAGCTGTTAAATAACCATAGATTGTTTAAATTTAAACCGATTTTCAAACGGTTTGGTTTTTAACAAACCTCAGAGTTTTAGTGATGTTCTGACATACTTAAAAATAATTTTAACCATGGATTTTCATAAATAAACAATAAGCAGATAGGTAGAGCAATAGCTGTACACACACAAGGCAGTTATATTAAATCATTTATATACAAAACATTAAATCATTCCATGTCGGTTATATTAGTAATACTTCTATTATAGGGATAACTATAATAACGTAGCAATAACATATATAAATATTTATATTCAATATAAATTTCTGCCTCATGTTGCCATTTTAGATGTTTTTAACAAACCAAACAGCTTGGAAATCATGTGCAACTTCATTTATGTTGAAACGAAAGAGCATTTCCGCCTCTCCAACTAATTTAAAATCAACAAATGGGTCAACTTTGTAATACGTACTTGGTCTCACTCACAGCAAGTCTGTTGGACAAGCTGATAAACACAAGCACATCCACAAAGGCTGTCACTTAGACGAAAAATATAGGCTGTCATACAAGCAATTAAAATCTCGATTGTGGTCTCAGTCTTGACAACTCACGCAAAGCGACTCAAAAGTTAGCCCTGTGTGCAAATAGCCGTGGAACAACTGTGCTGCACGATTAAGTCTTTTTTTTCTGAAAGAAAAGCTGCCATTTCAATATGTGGAAATTGTAAAAGCGGGGTTGCCTCTTTTGCGTCTCAGCAAACATCAACCCCCGCCCCCGCGGTTTCAGGCATTAAAAATGTGAAATACAAACTGATACTTTGTTCCTAATCATCCTGTTTGCTTTTGGATATCATAAAGAGATATCAGAGTGAATTCCAGTCTATTACATAAATGTGAAAAAAAAAACAACAACAACATATAGGCACTTTAAAAAAGGGTCACCTCTTGAATAAAGGGGGTCTCTGTGATAAAGGAAAATGCCTTTGGAGAGCTTTGGTTAATCAGCAGATTAACAGATGAGCCTTTCACCTGACATGGAGCCTGAAAACATATTAAATGCTCCTCTCCATTTTCAAGGAATCGCACAGATTTATTCTTATGCTGTGATTCACCAACCATCCTTAATTCCCCTTCCTGTGTAAGACAGCACATTATGCTAAATTTGTCCACTCTTGCGGCCATTTTGCTGACTGCCTGTATCTGCTTTGAAGCTGTTTGCTTTGTGTTTTTCAGGTCTGCTGAGCTTGTGGAGTGTCACGCTCACTTATCTTTAAGGAAAAGGTTTGCTAGGTTCAGACAGTGCTGGCTGTCTGTTATCATGGGTCAAGTGTTTTTATTTTATTTTTCATAGCTTGCGTGCGCTGGCATATTTGCAGGCGAGCATCTTTTTTCATCCTGATAAGTGACCTGTCTTGTGGAGTACAGCAAGACACCCTAACCTGATTTAAGAGACAAGATAGTGTACGTGATTGTGTGCATGACAGATAATTTGTCAGGATCTTGTGTTAGCTGAGTGTGGCTTTGTATTACTTGCTGCATGCACATGTGAGCTGCTGTATGTGTGTATGTCTGTGTGTGTGTGTGTGTGTGTGTGGTCGGTACAGTAAGCAGCCTAGAGAGCGGTGAAAACAGTGAAGCAGGGCTTGAGTGGAGCCATGTGCTCAGTGGGGGCACTGGCCCTTTAATACGTATCAGCCAATCAGGCGGGGGATGCTGGGAGCAGGCCGTCCTTGGGAACGACCTTGCAGGGGGGCCAAGGGATGGAGAGGGAGGAAGGAAAAGAAGGGGCAGATAAAGGAGAGGAAGAGAGGAGCTAGTAGAGAGTGTGCAGGGAGAATGGAGGATCTCAGATGAAATGAAATAGAGTGAGAAAAAATTTACAGCAAAAAAAGAAAAAACGTGTATAATATTTAGCTTAATTTAATACTCCAAGAAACAGACAGGACACAACAAATAGGAAGGTAGTAAGATGCAGACAGATAATAGTCAGATGAATGAGAGTTAGTTGAGTACATTAAGAGGATTAAAAGTTCGACTGGTAGTTCTGCCTCACATCTCTCTCTCTCTTTCTCTCTCTATCTCTCTCCCTCTCTTACAGACATGCAGACGTCATGCTGTCCAGATTAAATTGACAGCGTGCCACGCTTCTACTCTTGCATAAGAATTTCTCTGAAAGGGATGAAAGTGAGGAATAAGAATAGGACTCTGATTTAAATTTGTGGTTGAAGTTAAGGGAAAGAAGATAAAGGAGTCTATCTACGATTGCTCAAGACTCCTTTTTTTCCTGCCAGGAAACTGGAACGCTGCTTAAAAAAAAGAATATAAAACCTCAGATATTATTAGTTGCTTTATTTCAGAGACTTAAATGATATCGCTTCTATGTCTGTACAGTCTGTACTGAGTCAAAGTCAGGAGGTAAGCTTAGCATAACATTAGGACCACAGAGAGGAAGAAGCAGCAAGTCTGACTCAGCCAAAAGGTAAAAAAAAAAAAAGAACCTGCCTTAAGGAACTCCAAAATTTACTTACAAAAACAAGATTCCTCATTTGTAAAGTCTAGACTAGCACAGAAGGCAAAAGGAACAGTCTGACCCCTTTACATCTGGCTAAATGCATGATGGTTAGATACATTTTTGAGGACTCTGCTGCGCACACTTAACATCCTACATACTTCAAATTTGGGGTGTCCCAATATGATATTGATATTGGATATCGGTCCGATATCAGCAAAAAAATCAAATATCGGATTGTATTGGCCTGCTTCTAAAATCCCAATATCAGCACTCTGATACAGTCCATCCCAGGCTCTGCTCTAGCACCTCTATCTAGCAGCACCCATATCCAACATGTAGAGCCCACCTGATCACAACAACACTGTGTACTAAGGTACTAACAAGGTAGCAAGGAGTAGGAGTGATGTCGGCTGTGTGGCAGTATTTTTCATAAAAGTCTGAAAAAGACGTTGCAGCTGAGTGAAAAACTTGTTATGAACAGGTTTGTGCTAATATCGGATCAATATTGAAGGCTACAATATCGGTAAAAAAAAAAAAGGTTGTATCAGGACACCCCTACTTCAAATTGAGAATACTTGCAAACATGCTTTAGTTTATAGATTGCACACCTCTTCCTTTAAAAAAATATAAATTATGTTTTTTTCTACAGAGAAAAGAAAATGGATCCCCGTCTTTTTTGGCAGCCTGACACTAAAAAAAATAAAAGAAACTATATTTGCTTTGGAGTAAACCAAGCTATCTGTTTCCTGCTTTTCCCCATTGATATGTCGAGCTATGCATTTATTTCCTCGCTGTAGCAGTTTTATGATGCGTGTTATGAGTTGCATAGAATTTATTTTATCATTTGCCATCAAAACAGATAATGTAGTTTAAATTTTGTCTAATTATTCTTTTAAGAGGAGTAGAAGGCGATATTTAACCCTTGAGTGGAAATACACGATGTTCTCCCTGTTTTTTTTTTAACATGTTAGACACACATGGACTGACATATTCACACATGCACTAACAGGCTCCTATGGACCTATAGATGGATGTAAGATGAATGGGCTGTGCTTGGACCAAAGTCCTGAGCAGTTTGACGGTTCAGTGCTTTGCTCAAGGCCATCGAGGCTTTACCCACTTGATAAACTGCTGCCTCTCCAGCTGTCACTCCTGGCTGCTGTACCTTTGTCTTTCTGGGATTTAAAACAGTGACGCTCCTCCGGTTTCCAAACTGCAGTCCTCAACCATTTTCAGATGCTACTTTTCAAACTAGAGTAGACGTTTTTTTGTGAAGTTGATTACAACCTAGTTAATCAAGTAACCTTGTGATGCATTCACTCGTTCTGAGTAAGGTCTCCTCTTTATGTGGTGTCAGCAGCAGCAGCAGCAGGCGCAGCAGTGCTGTGGCCCCACCAGATGTGTTGCGGTGTGTGGCCCAATTCTGTTCCAGATGACAGATGACAGTGTTTGCAGGTGTGTGTCTATGTTTGTGTAAGTATGTAAGAAATAAAAATTTAAACCATGGTGCATCTTAATATGTTAGTGCCTGTTTGAGTCAGCATATTTGAGCATGCACGACGTACGCCATGTGTGTTCTTGCTGTGGGATAAGTGTGTGTGTGGGTGTGTGTGTGTAAAACTGTGAACCTGCTGCTGTGAAAATGAGTCAATGTAATGCAGTAATGGCCAAAGCTGTGCTGGCAAGGTAACCTCAGTTATGTTGTCATTATGACTGCATCCTGACGCTACAGACATGGGACCCCACCCGAATAAAAAGCAAAAGCAAACACACCCACGCACACACACATATATTTGAAGGAATAATGAAACAAAATACGGCAGTTCATTTGTCTTGAGTATGTATGTCGTTTGTGCGTCTGAGTGCGCCTGTTTCTGCGACTTCCTTGCCCTCGGCTTGTCCACTGCGTGCGTAGTTTCACTTTAATCCAGAGCTCCGTTCTGACAGAAAGAGGCTGCTGTGTGCTCGTTACATGGACAACTCTCACAGACGCTGTTCCCTCTGTGGGAGTGTGGAGTGTGTGTATAAGTGTGTGTGGGTAATTGGCTCTCCAGTGGACACTGCTTTGTCCCCTCTGTGAGCACTTACTTGTTCAATCAGTTACAATCTGTAGCCCAAATGTTAGCCGATGGTCACGAGCCAAGAGCCACGATGCCTAAGACTCATACTGTACATATGACATCAAGCGTGACTTTAGCACTCCTTATTCAACGACTAAAGAAGGATTAGTACTCGTCGTATTCGCATGGTAGCCATTTTCCTCTGATAAAATACTCAAGGTGGAGAGCTTGGATGTTGGCATACTGTGCTGCTGGGATTCTGGTTGAATAATGTATGCATGCACAGGTGTGGTATATCTGACATTTCACTTGCTAAAGACACTGCTTGTGTAAACCTGGAGGATTAGTGGGCCGTGTATCGAGGTTTTAAAGCCAACATATTTGATTAATCTATAAGCCAGGGATGCATGATATTGGATTTCTGCCATACAGACATTTTCAAGCTCATGTCATACTGATGCAAGCACATCTTTAGCCTGTGGAAGCTCACATCTTCAACCACACTGAAAGGCTGGTAATCAATTTAATTTTCTCTCAAGCTACTTTTTCATTGATTGCTTTCGTAGCTTTGTCAAATGACAGGATTCACTAGTACAAACACCATTTCCTTTTAACTTCTTAGAAAATCCAGGTTTTGCATAGGATGTTAGCTCTTGAGATTTGTTATTTAATTATAAGTGTTAACACTTTAATGCCTGAAACCACAAATTAAGGCTAGAAAATTTGAATTTTTTTGTTTATTTCACTTCCTACTGAAAACCAAAAAAATCAAAATATCCTTAAAATTTAACAAATATATTTATTTATCTCGTTTGATACATTAGATGTTTTTGGAAACTAATAAACTACAAGAGGACATTTTTATTATTTATCAGACTGTATTCAGGTGTTTTTTTTTAGTAATTTGCTGATCATATTGATTTGATAGAAATATATAAAAGTATATATCAAATATGATACAAAAGGCATTAAAGGGTTAAAGGAGTTACAAACTTTTGCTCTAGTGTGCCTGTGGTTTCTGGTGCTTCTGCAGCCAGCCTCATGTGGGCTCTCAGGGAACTGCAGCCTTAGGTGTTTCCACATAGGCTTAATTTCTAAAGACTGGAGGTTGCTGCTTGGCTCGAACAAGCATTGCAGCTACAAATGCAGTAAAAAGGTGCCTGATGAAGTAGTGAAATAGTAAAGTAAGCTAGCTTATATGAGCTTTCTCCCCTTCCTCTCTTCTTACCAAAATGATTAACGTTTATTTCAGTTCTTACAGCTTAAAGCAAGTGAGAAAACAGACACAGTGAATTGAACAGTGAGAAACGTAAAATACTATTTTATTTACGCTAGATTTAAATATGTATGAGTGTGTTTATTTATGTGCTGTGTATGCCTTGGTCAACAACCCCTGTTATTCAGTCATGAGTTTGTGTCAAATTTATTTAAAAAGGGGCCTTTAATAAATACCACCACTCTAGAAATCTTCTGCGCACCCCTGCCTCTGTGTAAATATGAACTTCTGAATGGTAAGGAGCTGTCAGGTCAACCTTTGTCAAATGACCCTGAAGACTGCAGAAGGCTGTCCTGGCAGCAACCAGCCTTCCCCCCTCCCATCCCCCTCCTTTCATCTCACTCCTCATCACATTACTCATCTGTCACGCATGCTGCACACACATCAAGGCGGGATGCTCACGGTACAGGGGCATCTACATGTATGCGTGCAATTTATGAAACATCCAATGACACCAGCAAAATTATATTCAGGGGTCATAGTCAGGAGGTAAATGAGGGCAAGAGAAGAGGTAAAAAAGGATTTTCTATGCGGTTCACATCAAACCATACAACCTTCCTCTATCATCTCAAGACTATTAACAACATCCCATCCTGATGCAGAGATAATGGTCGGTGCATCTGCTCTGAGCTAGACTGATGCTTTGCGGTACAGCTAAGGGTTTTTGCCTGCAGCCTACTGCATGGGTACAAATGAGAAATGGGTTACACTCCAATTTCATTTAGCTAACTTCATTGGGATTGCATTTGTCTGTCCAGGCAAGCATTCGTTTCCTTGCAAATTAGTTCAATGTACTAACATGTGACTGTCTCTCTTCTATTATCCATGTATGCAATTTCAAGGAGCCCTTCATCAGATGCCCTATCAGGACTTTGCACTCCCCTGATTATACTGAGTATTAGCATAAATTAGACTGTGAGCACTACAGTATCCCAGCCTTTGAAATGAGCTTTTACACATCTATAAATAGTCTTGGTTTCTTAAAAAAAATAGCTTGAGATTTTTTTTTTGTGGAAAGAAACCAGGTTATTTGATGTTTTTCATGCTAACGTCAGGTTTATTTGAAATTTCTTTTATATTTATTGCCTCTTTGCTCTATGATTGCTACGATTTTTACGATTATTATCATTGGGTTAATTGCTAAAAGCCCAAGGTACGCCAACTGTGCGGACATGCTTCAACTACAGGTGCTAATAAAGGAATCTAGCTTAAGTTGCAATTTTCACCTCTCTCTCTCTCTCTCTCCTGTGTGTCACCCATCCCTGTGTCCTCTACAGACTCCAATTTGTTCTCTCCGTCCTCACCCCTTTCCCACACTCAGCCCTCTCTTTCCTCCTCCCTTTTTTTCCCTTGCGAACAAACTCAGTGCTGAGTCTAATTTTAGCCGTAGCACGTCAGTTAAACTCAACTTTTTTTGCCCCAGATATGTAAGGTCTAAATATGCATTTACACGCAGAACATCTTGCGTGCGTATGTGTGTAGCTCGTGCGAACAGTTGAGTTACGTGATGAGGAGTGAGATGAAAGGGGGGATGGGAGGCAGCGAGTCTCCAGGGTCGTTTGACTGGGGTGACCCTAACGGCTGATTGGCTAATTCCCTGTCCTCTGAGCCATCCCATGATGCTTAGAGGAAGGATTGCTCTCAAGGTTACGGATGCCAACACATGTAGCTAGCTGTACCACTGCACACACACGCACTCAAATACACATATAGACAAGCAGGCAGAGCCTTATCCTTGGCAAAGCCTTGGGGATTGTCACATTTCCATTTAAACTGCTGCCATCATGTTATAGCAGTAAATCTGAGGTCATTCACATCCTGCAAAGAGCAAGGTGAGAGACGGACAGAAGACTCTGAGACTGCAGCATGAACGGTTGCTCTGGGAAGCTAACATGCAAAGAAAAGGCATTTACTTTGACTCACATATTTGCCCAACACAATTTAATTCATATACTCACTTGAATTGATTTATTGAAGAAAAAGTGCACCTTTAAACATAAAGGAAGTACATTGATATACTCTGATATTTTTATACTTTTCTATCATACAACAAAAGTAGGTTTTGATGTTGTCGCAAAAATGTCGCAGTTTGGATTAAAACGTTTGTGTCAGGTCACTCTCAGCGAATCTTTAGCCATATTTATGTTGCCCTTCAGGAGCCAAAAGTAGCTTCATATCTCTGTAATTAGCACATGACAACTGTGGACAGCATGAGTCATCTCAGTGATAATTTACTTAAAGCTCCTGTTAGGAGTTCTTGATTGGGTATGAAAACAGAAAAAAACTTGTGCTTTTTTGTGGCCTTCAAAACCAAATGAGACCAAATGAGCAACAAGATTTACAATTTCATTTTAATTTAAAGCTCCTGTGAGGAATTTTTGTCTATGTTGAACTTGGGACCCTCTTAGGTCAAAGTGTCAACCCCAAGACAATACTACTAATAAACTTATACGAAGTCGTTTTCTTGTGAAAGAGATGTTACTTGACAGAAAATCTTCTCCTGTTGTCTTTATAGTAGAATTTATCACACTCTGTGGATTTTGGCAAAATATTGAAAAAAGTAACAAAGGCTGTTTTTTTTTTTCAGTGCACCTACCCCCTTACAGCACTTACAGGCATTAAAAATTATGATATAGAAACGGTCAGTCTTGCTGTTGATGGTCTCATTTGCTCTTGTACACCAGAGACATGCAGCGCTCGCTTACGTCAGGCTGTTTCATAACAAATCAAAAACTCCTCATAGGAGCTTTAATTTTTAATGTCTGTGAAAAATGGGACAGGAAGGGAGCCGGGAAAGACATTTTGATGAAAGAAATTGTAAAAGAAAGAAAGATATGACTTACACATAAAAGAACAAAATCAGCACAGATGTAAGAGACACTACTTCGCCCACAGGGGGAGCCAAGATTGACATATGTAGAGAGTTGAGGAGTTATTTGACAATAGAATAGACTGACATTTAATCTGGTGCATTTTTAATGGTATACAAGAGCACACAAGATTTTTAAGGACAAGACTGACCCATTTTATTTTGTATATTTGAATGCCTGAAACTCGTACAGGAGGGTAGGTGTCAGCTAAACAGCTGAAAATTCAACCATGTTTTTTTTTTTTTTTAATTTCTATGTGGCTAATACCAATGAATGATAAACCTAAATGTCAAATATTAGAATTATAAGATTGTATGTAAGTCAAAAGTCATTACGAACACGTGTCAGACAAGATCAGTAAAGACCGCCAAAACTAACACAAACCAAAAGTTCCTACAAGCAGCTTTAAGATGAGTTTGCTGATGACAGCTGTTAGAAACAACTCAAAAGCTTTTAGCGAAAAAAAAGAAGTAGTACCAGAGTTCAGAGGTTATTTTTAAAAAAGTAATAGATTGGACATTGATCCATACAGCATGTCAATAGTGAGTGACTACAGATCATTACAGCAGCCAGATTACCCTAAATGCAGCACTGCTTGTAAGCTGTGTCCAGCTGTTTGAGAATTCTAATGTATTAGCCACATTATTCAGCCTGAAGACTCTTGCAGCAGCAGCAGAGGTCAATGAGGATTAATTTTTGCCATATTACAAACTGATGACCTGCATACTGGACCAATGTTAAGAGGTTAAACTAAATGCAGGCAGCTTTAAAACTGAGGAGCACGTCTTTAATTAGGACAGACATCTTTGTGCCCCTGTGACATTTGCTAACTCTGCATGAAAATTTCATTGATAGATTTAAACCTTGGCTCTCTGTTTCCCTGAGAATTATGGGAGCTCTGCGGGTGTGGCTGCTGGCTTGATCAAATTGAAACGAACATCTGGACATACCCTGGCAGGATAACAGGCAGATAACACACATGAACACATGCACACACACACAGGCACACACAACTCATTTGTTTGAGTAGCTTTAACCCACAAATAAGTCATGATTCATTAGATTATGCTATGTTAGCACATTCTAAAATTGCATGCAACTAAATCAAAGCTTGTTTACTCAGACTGAATGATCAGTCGGGCGATTCATCACTCTGTTAAAAAAAGAGGTTGTTATTCAAGTGTTTCCCTGGCAGCCATCTGTATGTACTGCTACGTCTGTGTCAGATTGTGTGTTTGTTTATGAGACAGCAAGGTTGCACGTGTGCCCAGAAATGTGATGTTTGGGATTGAATGAAGTGAGGGATGATGAAGGGGAGGGAGTCTGGATGAGTACCCGAGAGGCACTCAGTCGTTCAAATGTTGTGTCATCACTGGAGACTGAAACATCTGGTACTATGCAAAGCTGTGCTGGCCTTGACTGACTGGTTTTACTCATTTATTCACTCAGAAAACATAGAATCAAACAGAGACAGACAGAGAGAGAAAAAAAACTGGCTGAGTGGGAAGTCTGTCTCTCTAAGTGTCAGGAAATTGTAGGTAGTTGCCTTGGCCATTTCATTCTAATAAACAGCTCTGAATTATTCATCAGAAAGTGGTGTGTAAATGTCAATTTCGGCCTGATTGGAGGAGCTTTTACAGTCTTTTAGCCAGAGGATGGTTTACAGAGACCATTTGCTCAGCCTTAGCGCATACCTGCTCAGGGCTTAAGAAACCAGTCATATGGGGTCAGGACACTTTGTTGATTTTTGGGCTTTACATGTTTGTGCCTACAGACCACAAAATCTGACTTATATCATTTGAAACAAAAAATACAAACCCGAATTATTCAGTGACAACACTGCCTGGTGGTGAAAACATCTAACTTGGCAGGATTTGAGGTGTTTTGTTCTTTTTCAAACTAACCACCATTACCAAGTGTCATTTGGGTTTCTGTCATGTCCTGTGCGAGCCGCAATTGTTCTGACATTGCTGAGAGATTGCCATACATGATTGCTTGTTTGACAGTTTAAATCGTACAATGTCCTACCAGTGACAGCTTGCTTTATCTTACAGTTCTTAAAGGCTTCTACAGAAAATCAGAACAATTAAGTTATTATATCTGTCAAAATCTGACTTATTTTCCCCTATATGACTGACGAACAAGTTACCAAGAAAGTGGCTTTTAACGATAGACAGAGAAAAGGAGAAACCTCATAAAGGATGAACATTTCCTGACATGTATATTTACAGCCAAGAAAAACAAATAAGTGTTTTTGGTGAATAATTCAGATCAAGGAGTAGCTTAAAATATAAAGTTGGATATGTGCAAAAATGTATTGCCCTTTGTGCTGAAGATGAGCCCTGTCCCAATTTCTCCCATAGAAATACTGAGAATGAATAATCAAACACTAAATGGATAAGTATTTCTGGAGGGACGACCGTTATAACCTCTGTGAGAGATCCGTGGACTTCGATAATTTATGCCAAGGAACATTGAGTCTGTTCTAACCGCAAATGTTAGTCCAGTTTCTGAAATACATCATCAGCTGGATTCCCTGTTGTTGTTGTTCCCTGTTTGATTTAATTTGTTTCCAAAATGGACAACCAGTTCAGGGACAGCGAGTTAAAGCAGCGGATCTCCAGAGAGGAAACAATGAACATTCATGATGTACTTAAAGGCAAAGCACATTGCAAATGAGTGACATACAGTATGTAAGGGATAATGTGGAGTTAGCCTGTGGTTATGTGCAAAATAATCTGTGACAGTGTGAACAAAACTCCTTAGTGTAATGTCAAGAATTTTCTTTGGTGTATTAGCAAGCTACCTACAGACTGAATAAAAAAATACTATATTGTTGATTTATTTAAAGGAGTTCTCTCACTTTTAAGAAATGGGCTAAAATCAAAATTGATTCATTTTTATGATATACAAAAGCCAATAAGACCACCAGCAACAAGACTGACTGTTTTGATATTGTAACTTTTAATACCTGATGTGAGGGGTTAGGTGGAGGTCTGACCGCCTTAGAAACAGCCCTGTCATCACTATTTTCACAAACATATTAACAAGAAATGACACATTTGACTTTTTCAGAGTCAGCAGAGGGAATTATTTAGTAAAAAGATACTGTTTAAGCATGTAGATGGTAAAGACTGCTTTGTCCACAGGGGGCGCCAAACTAGACACAAGCCAAAAGTTCCTTACAGGAGCTTTAAAAATTATTCATTTTTACAGTTTATTTTTCACTCAACCAGCCCGTAACACTACCAAACCATATATTATTTTGTGGTTCGAGATTGCTTTGTGTCTGTTATCTTCAATCTGGTCATCATCTCTTTTACTCATTGGACTGTTTGACCGCTGACCACCCCCCATATGGAAAACAGCTGCGAAGCACCTGGACCTGCATTCATTATGAACAGGCAGGAAACATGTTTAGAGAGCGGAACACGACATGCAAAAATGTCACCCAGCTGGAAACAGAGCAGATGTTGCAGCTTTGTGATATACATTTTGGCTATTCAGCTACTGAAGCACACCTGGATGACAGACATTTATATCTGCGTTTTTATTATTATATAAAATTAGAGAAATCGGAGGAGTTTTCAGAATCTGGTAACATAAAAAAAGACTGAAATTTGCATGTCAACTCAGTCGTTGAGATAAGCTTTAGAGATCTGTTGATAAACCTAAAAAATTTCATCCTAGATGTGATCTTATGGTCAAAAATGCAACTTTAAGCTTTGTATGAGTACACGATTCATTCACTATCTACATATCCACACAATATACCCTAATGCCTCTACCAAAGACGCTTAATATACTGTTACATACATCTTTATTTGAACCCATCTATCAACCAGGACAATATTTGTCTTTTGACAGTCATCATCCCCCTGAGTAATGCTGTCCTAATGCTCAGTTTTATGAATAAGTATGAATGTACGTCACTTTTTATTGCATTCCTCTGATCATCCTTATATAAGCATAAATATCCTCCAAGTGAATGAAAATCCTGAGCATTAGTTTTACGACCCTCATCATTTTTCATCTCATGCTGCAGATTGAAGCATATTTCTCTTCTGCTGTATTATACTCGTGTGTTATGGAGCTATACTTCATGATGAATTAAGGTCAAATAACTCCATCTCCTCTCTGCCTCTTTATCTCATCCTGTCCAGGTGGAGCACCTGCTTAACAACGCAACAAAAACCTCCACATCTGTGGGCTCCAACCCTCTGCCTGTATCTGCAGTGCAGGCCTGGCTTTGTTTGAGGAGGAGAACGCACAGCGGATCCAGAGGACTGGAGCTGAGACACGGCACAGCATGATCATAATAAGAGGACTTTCATGTTGCTGGGCATGTTGGAGACGAGGGTAATAATGTACCAGCAAGTAAGAATAAAAAGAGAAAATTAAAAAAAGAGGAATGTGAGGAGAGTCAGAGCGCCGTTATGAGAAAGTTCTGTCCACACAGAATATCACAGATCATCAGAGGAGTGAGTCAAAGAACGTGTAATATCTCAGCCGCTTCACACTTTCTTTCTGCCATGCCATCCTCACACACACACACACACACACACACACACACGCGCACACTTACATTTCAACACAGGAAGTATGTTTCGCCCTCTACTAAATAATGACAGAGCAAGTTACGATCATGTTTAACTGAATTTGTGGGTAACCATGTGAGCTCATGGTGATTTGAGCCCACCAAGGAGGACAATTAAAGGCCATGCTTGACATTCCATCTCCCTGAATGAGAATATGTTGAGACACTCAGAGGGAGTCACTCAGCAGGTACAGAAGAATGATGCAACCTGAGCTGATGGCATTAAAAATTAACCACCATTTTAAACCAACTTGCAGCTCCACTGCCGCAGGGACAGCAGCTGCAAATGTCACAAACACAAACACACATGGATGCTCCTGGGCCGAACACTCGCTGTTCACCCAAAACACACAATCCTGCTCTTTGCTTGTCTTTGACTCACTGTTTACAACATTAACTTAATTATCACCCTTGATAACACCCAGTGTGTAGTGGCCTGTAGATCCAATTCTGGTAACACTTTACAATAACAATAATTTATAAATAGGAAATAGATAGTTTATTAATGTTTAATCATCATTTAAAACAGCATATAGACCAATTATAAATGGCAAATAGATAGTTTATAAATGTAAGGTAATATAATTTTCATTAATTATTACTGGACTATTGATTAAAGGTTTATATAGGGTTTAAATATTGGTTGTAAACATCTAGATTAAAATGTGTGTCAGTAGCACTTTGTAAATGATGAATATTTGTTTTTAAAACATCTATAAATATTACTTAGATGGTTATTGTAAAGTTGCAGCTGGCGTTTGTAATACTTTGTAAATGATGAATAAGTGCTTTATAAACCACCTATAAACACTACTTAGATGGTTGTTGTAAATATAGGGTTAGAGATAGGGTTAGGTTTTTAAAATTGTAAAATGTACAATTTATTGATGGTCTATATGCTATTTATTGATGATGATTCAACATTAATAAACTATCTGCTTACCATTTACAAATGGTCTATTTACCACTTATAAGCTATGGTTATTGTAAAGTGTTACCCCAATTCTTTATCTTTACTGACAAAATCTCACACTCAGTTTGTCTAAACTTTTTTCAACAGCTTGACTTGGTCCAGTATGACCAGTTTATGGTAGCTAGTCATGCTAGCGAACAGTATTCGTTACTGATTTTATCCTCAATCTGATAACTGAGTCAGTCCACCGACAGCATGACTCAGCTTTACTTGGACTAATATTACACATTTTTTTTAACCTGGAAACCAGACAAATCTGCAAGCTCATGTTTTATTTGGAGATGTGTCTGCTGCTCCCCTCCCTCTCAGACAGATCTGTCTCTGTGATATGGAGCAGGTTTAAGCTCCTCTGGGGCATTTTTGTAAACAACAAAGATGGCTGCCACTGATATGGAACAGTCAGAATCCCCTGTTGTGTTGGTATTAAAAAAATGGCAGTTCCTGTCATGTACAAATGGTTTCCGATGGCCAAAATAGTTTTAAAATTCGAGTTATGTGGGACAAGAAGCCTTAGACTATGAATTAGGATTAGGAAATATTAGCTACTGATATGCCAGTAAACGTTTATTTACCCTGGTTTGTTGTCCCTTCTGGGGAAATGTCTGTCTGTGCCTGTTGATAATATGAAAGGTTTGAACCTTATCACATATGAGGAGTCTCCTTGTGATGCTAGGGTGGCTTGCTTGCTAGCTGGACATTAATATTGGAATCTGAAAGTCTCAGTATCATTTAAAAGTGCCCTAAAGGGACATTTTGGCATAAAATTGATTTAGGGTCAAACACACTGTAACACCAAGTTAGACACCCATTCGAGCGATGAATGTTGCCGACTACTTGCTTCCCTAGTTATACCAACTTTAGTAACGACCGCAGGATAGCAATACACAGCGGTCTGAGGAGCCACACATAAACCTCAACCAAAACACCACTCTATAGCCACAAATAATGCTCAGAACAGCACCTAACTTCATCAACAGAACATATAGGGTCTCAGCCACAGCACTAGCCACCAAACATCTTTTTACCTTTGCCTAATTTCTTTAGCAAAGAGACTAAACACTACTAACCTGCTCTCTTCCAGCAGCCGCTTGTTTACAGACTACAGCGGGGTGACGCAGCTCAAGGAAGAACATTTATGATCATTACTTTATCATTTCCTTGAAGTTAAAATCATCATATTAATCGTTTTGCACTGCAGACTGCCTTACTGTCCTGAAGTCCCGCCACAAACAAGAGGCTGCTGGAAGAGAGTAGGTGAGTTGTGTTTAGTCTCTCTGCTAAGAAATCAGGCGAAGTTAAAAGGTGTTTGGTGCAAATTTAAAAATGTGTAGTTTAATTTTTCTGTTGTAGGTCACCAAAAAAATACAGTAATCTTAGTCAGAATATAGTCGGGTTTTCACATTTACTAGGCTGTTTTTTTTATTCCAAATATGGGCGAGACACATGTTACAGTGAGATATTTTGGTCTCTTGTTGCTACACTGAGTCTCTGACCTTTATTTGGCCTTGTAAGCCTCTTTTGAACCTTTGTGTTCATAAATTTTTAAAGACAAACTTTTCTCAAGCTTTTCTTGCTTGCCAAGTTTTCCCACATTCTTCTTTTGCCATTTTGGCCTCTCATTGCCACATCTCAAGGACCCAATGTCTAAGTTTTCAAAGAACATTTGGAAACATGTTACAAACAAATTTGAACCAATCCGAGTTGAGCCAGGCCTCCCCCAGCTGTCCACTGGCCTTGTCTGCCCTCCACCTTCATCTCCTCTTTAATCCCCAAAGCCTCTCTCCCTCTTTCTCTCTCTCTCCCTCTCTCTCTCGTCCGTTTCACAACCCAGGCCCCTTATCTTCTTCACTCGCTCTTTCAGTTTCTCGCTCTTTCCACCCCTCCGCACTCTCTCATGCCTTCCTCTTTTGCGAGGGCGTCTCGACAGTGTCACTCACCATGGTGCCCGTGTTCGTGCCGCCCTCGTCCTCTTGCTCCCCTCTTGCACACTGTGTCCTTCTGGCCTGGTGTTCACAGAATAAGCCCCGTTGAGACATGATGGAGGACAGCATGGAATAAGAAAAGAGAGAGACGGAAGGATGGAAGGAAATGGAGGTGAGAACAGGTGAGGGATTTTGATAGAAAAACATTTCTACAATCGTGGAAATTATAATCTTCTTAGAAAACTGTTTTGATTCAAGTGTCAGCACATGAACTGTGTTAACACAAGCTGTCTCCATGAGGGTTCAGCCATGTGTCCATCTCATGCTGTGATAGGCTGTAGAAAATTCAGATGTAAATAAGCTTTGAACCACATTTATTCCCCTGGAGGAGAATGAGATCCAAATTTGTCATATTGCTTCTTAATCTTCACTCTAGACTTTAATCTGTGTCCCCTTTCTTAAAATAGACAGTCATGGTCACCACAGGCCCATTTTAACCCCGTCAGGCTGAAACGGGCCTGTTTCTATAAACGTGTGTAGGTCTGTGTGTACTCACCAACCAAGCTAACAGCATGCAGCCAAACATGCTCATCATTGTCATACACATGATGAGACGGGGCGGTCCATCGGGTCAGGTTTCTGGTGGCTCAGGACGCACTCAGGATCAATGTGGACGTGTCTTCCTCCATGTTTCTTTTGTGTGCCTTTACAATGCCCACAATGCCACACTATTGTTCTCCTGACAGTTAAGGTCACCTGCTGTAATCCCTTTCTCACCTACTTTACCCGGAGATAAATCAGTCGTTTCCTCCACCCACCCCCCATCATCTTGTCTGTCCACCATGATTCTCTGAATCCTTCCTCTCCTGCCACTATTTTTAACCAGCTTAGCAGCATTGGAGGCATGAGAGGTTTATTCTCTGCCTTCTCTTCACTCTTTACCTGACGGCCGATTCACAAAGTCTGTTAATCCCATAATACCGCCACTGAACAGATCACTGCTGGTGCTAGTTTACAGAAACAAAACACTTGAAGGCGTGAGACAAATCTCCCTTCAGGAATCTGTTCTTTCCCCTCGTATCCCACTTTATTTGGGCCAAGACAAGTCATGAAACTACCCTTACTGAATCCTAATGTCTCCTCTGTATCTTTACACCCGAGTACTCCACTGACACACCCATCTTACCCCCTTTAATCAATATACATAGAACCATTAGAGAGAGTTACAACTCCAGATTGATTCCCAGATCATATTTATCGATCCAGACGTTTATATAGTAGGCACCTTAATGTACATCACAAAGTCAGTAAAGGGATCTTGGCTAAAATTAGAAAGAATATAAATCAATGAATGTCTGTGTCCACTGCAGCCATCTTTAACTGTATGTGTAACAGAGAAAGCGTTTGTGTCTCTGCAGTGGTAACATCCAAAATGGCCTTCAAGTTAAGATCACAATGAACCCATTAGACATTTTCCACTACTGAGAATTCCCAGAGAATCTGTGTGATCAGAATACAAGCAGAAGACAGACTGCAGAGTCATGGTGGGCTGCTACTCAGGCCTCTCCCTCATCTGCAGTAGCAGGTCCATTCAGGACACTGCCGTGCAACACGAACACATTAAATGTCAAAACCGTGGAGAAAAAGTGTTTTAAAACATGTGAGTCAGTGTTGCAGCGAGGTGATGCATACATAATCCTCATTTTCCGCACCTCTCAAGGCTGCACATTTTGGCCTCTTTGCTGCAGTCTCAGTGCTGGAAATGAATCATGCTGATCTAAAAAAAGACCCTCTTCTTGTGCCAGTAGACTTTTCGTGGACTGTGAGTACGGGATTGGAGGAAATGCAGCTTAAGATAGAAAGAGATGAGTCAGACTAGGGAAGAGGAGGCAGAGAAAAAGCGCCTGCCGCTGTATCAGGAGAGCTGAAGCATCATGCGGTGTCAGGCTATAAAACGTGAGGCCCTCCCCTGGACATATGCGAGTACTGCAGCTGCAGTCAAAGCACTATCTAACAGCATTTCTCCTCCTTACACTGAATAAATCTTATTGATTGGTGCATCTATATGGTGAGAATACTAACTTTGATTTGAGGCATAAAATTTTCCCAGGTTCTCTGTTTTATTGAGTGTTAGATGTCAGTATTTGTGTGAGTCATGCCTGTAAATCTCTGGTGTGCTAAACCCCCCTGTGTTTTTAGTCCATACTGCTACCATATGGAGAAAAGGTGGAAATACAACCAAAGACAAATAGCTGCAAAAGTATAGTCAGTGGATCAGATCAACCAGCACACAATATAAATGTTTATTGAATCAACAGTTCACAAGATAATTTTAAAAACACAATCCATGAAGAATAGAAGAGATAAAAAAATAATAATCAGTAAAAAAGTAAAACGAGATCACATTTCTTCTAAGTATATTAGATTAAATGAGATGGTTGGCACTAACACACGGAGTTAACTTTGGGTTGTTTTGAAGTAGACAAGAGATCCAACCAGCTTCACCCTTTACCCCAATGATGGACAGACAAATCAGTATACTAGCAGGCTCCATGTCAACCCCTTTTGAAGGTCTAGAGACAACTATTTAATCCCCCGCTAGGGAGATGAATTGAAACAGATTTCATGGACGTAATCCAGATTTATCCTAATCCATCGGAGCATGTCAGAAGCGCAACATGAATAATGGTAAAAAAATAAAATAAAAATAGGCACACACACAAGTTTGCAGTTTTGTAAAGTAACAGATAACTCCCAACAATACAAGAAGAACTGTCTTATTATGGCTTTAATGCTGGATGGATAATTGCAAGTTAAGATAAAAACCTAAGCTTAAAACTACCGTCTGACAAACGTTTGATCATTCTTCATCTACTCCTTTCACCTGAGTTGTGCTCTATGCTGAATTTTTCTCAAAAGGCAAAAGCAATAAAAATAGAAAAAAAACCTACATCAAACACAAACATTAACATAAATAAAGGATTTCTCCTGCAGTTAACCCCCCTGACTGCAGTTTTACACCCTGATGTCGTCACGGTCTGTGAGTCTTGTCTTGGCGCTGCCTGATTAACTGCTGCTAATAGCTTCTCCACAGGGCGCCTGTTTTACACCGACTGCCTGCCTGCCAGCCGGGTATAGAAACCAATAGCAGCTATAAGATAAGACTTGACAGAGGTAACATGCTGCATCATATTGTGCTTCTGCTAACCAAACATGTCAGAAACCATAATGTGTGTTACAGCTTCACATTCAATAATGCAAGACAGAAACATCTGCTTCCTTTCTGTAACAGTGTACGAAACAATATGTTCATTTCCATTGTAGCATCAGACTGCAACCATATGGTATTTGAAACCACATCAATTTCATCTGTGCCACAGTTCAAGAATGATGATTGCATTCTGTTCCTGCAGCTGTAACTATACAGTGCATTAGCATCAACTGTGTCCTGCAGGCTCAAGCTGATAAGGGATTAAAGATTTAATATAAAAAGCAACACACATAAAACCTGATCACTACCAATAACCCGATCACAGATAAATATTCGATAAAAAGGCAGAACAGATCTGGGTCTTTGCAGCACAGACTTGAAATTCAGAGCTAGGCATTGAATGTTCACATTAGGTCCTCACACTTCCTCGCAGCTTGAGCTATTTCTATCTCATTTGAGCCTGCAGAAATGTTCACTCACCCAGCCACACATGCACACATATTTACACACAAGCAAGCACTTCTCCTCCTCCTCCTTCTCCTCCTCCTCCTTCTCTGTGACTTCTCACACAAACATGGCGGGCGACACAAAGCTGTCCCCACGGTTGACATTGGGGCCCTGGTGATAGTCCTGGGGGTCGCTGTCTGTGCGCATGTAAGGAGGCGGGACCTCGTTGTCTCTGGGATCATCCCAGCCAGAGGGGGCAGCAGAGTAATAATGCTCCCTGATGTCTGCACCATAATCATCATCATCCTCGTGGTAAGCATCCAGGTCCTGACAGAGACAAGATGAGAGCAGATTTCAATCTGAGTCCATCTGTAAAGAAACAGTGTGTATCTATCTGTGCAAACATGGAAAACAGGATCCTCTAAAAACAATCTTTTTGTACAGTCTCTAAATCACAGTGTATTTTTACTTCCACTGCTTTTTATCAGCTGAAATGATTCAGCAACTTCTGTCTATGATGTCAGTTAAAGCTCCTGCAGTTTCAGATGATTTAACTTTAACAGTAATAATTAAAAAAATACATAACCCACCAAAATGCACCACAAAATGCCACAGAAAATCATTCCAGCCTGTGAATATTTAATCAGTCAATGCCTCCCTTTGAGGTTCAGGCACCAATAAGTTGATGTAATACTCAGCTTTAAGACAGCCTTTATAATGTTAATTTCAACAATACTGCTATTAAATGTAATTTATATTTTTCTATACAGCCCTGACACTTTTTAAACACCAAACTGATCCCATTTATATTCATTTTATTATCATTATCTTTACATCTCTCATATTAGATACTCACTGCTTTATTTTTACTTTTCTTGTCCTGAGATAAGTTGTCTTCTATATTGTACTATATACATATTTGTCATACTATATTTCTGACAGTTTGTTTCATACTTATTTACAAAATTATGTCTTACAATTTTCTGTGTTTGACATCTTCATGCCTACATTCTGCGATTGCAACGCTTGAATTCCCCTCAGGTATAGTGATAAAGTATTTCTGATTTTAGAAAACTACCTACTCTGGTTTAATGAGTGATGAATAGATAAATATTAATAACCTTCACAATACTGTGAAAAACAGATCCGCTCCGAGTGAATCTTTTATCATGTTTATTTGTGTTTTGCAGCAGCCTTGCAGTTCTGGACTGAATTACCCAAATCTTTATCAAACTCCAGCGGGCAGTGTCGGTGATTAGTTTGTTTTGACTTTTCTGACTGGCCTCCAACAAATGGATTGGTAATTAAACGGCTATTCACTACTCTGCAAAACAATGGGACTGCAACTCATTCCCAGTCTTTCTAATTTCCCTCTGGCTGATGGGATATTGACATGGTAAAATACAGAAAAACAGAAACGTCTTGAATTATACAAGAACTTACAAAATGACCACTGCTGAAACAAGTTCGCAGTTCGCATCAACCATATGTGTTAAAGAAACACTGCATATTATGCTATTATTATGATCATTTTAAATCAGTTTTGTGCGACTTGTATTTGTATGTCCCTCAACAGTAAGTTTTTTGCCGATACAGAAGGCAGAACATGAAAGAGCAGACATGCTGTTGGATCCTGCAGGGCCATAGAAGTGAATTTTGTAACAGGGAACAATATTTTTTAAAACAAAATGCAATACTTTAACAGATGGTGATCTTAAAGCAGAGTTACACACCACCCTGATACTGGTAAGACTGCTGAAAATGTTGGGTAAATAAAGCACAGTGAACCGGGAGACAGTGTGACTCACACTGCTGTACTCCGTGTGCTGTGTGGGTTTTTTAAGTCATAAAAAAACACAAGATAAATAATGTACATCTTAGTTGCACAATTGTGGGTCTGCATTTTTAACCAACAGTTCCTTACTGTGACTGGCTCTGGACTCTGGGTAGAGTAGTATTGATCGTTCAGAGGTCTGTCTTCGGCCACAGGAGCAGGGGCTGTGTTCAGCTGCTGAGCACACATATACACACATACAGACATCAGTCAGCAGCAAATATCAGTCGATTTTAAACCAATCTGTTTGCTTTTCTATGTGAGCAGAAATGTGGTTCATAACTCTGTCCTCCTGATGCTGACTCACCCTGCTAGCAGAGCTGTTGGTCTTCTTAGGGGGAGGAGGTTTGTATTTAGGTGGACCGCTGAAACAAACACACAGCTCTCCGGTGAGTCACAGAAATAGGAGACATATGGCACAGCACTTTTCTCCAGAGGAACAATGTGGAGAAAATAACTGAAAAAGACACTCACTCTTTGCTTTCTTTGCGTTTGCGGTACATGGCGATGGCTGTTCCAATGATGGCCAACAGTAAGATGACTCCAATGAGAGCTCCGATGATGCTGCCTGTAGCTGCTCCTTTCTCTGGAAGACGAGTGCCTAAAAAAACAAACAAACAATGAAGGATGATAAATAATAACTTCATGTTTCAGAGATAGCTTCATACCTTTTTTATCCACAAACGTCATGCCCAGTTAAATTGCAGCGAGTTTCACAGGTGGTTTGAAATGCTAAAATATCATCAATCAGTATTTTGAAAAAGAACCACACTACAAGAAATTCATTCTTATATTACAATACTTTTTTTTTAGGTAGTGGTGGTGGTGTTGTATATTTATTCAAAATGACTGATTCAGAGTAGACAGGAAATGCTGCGAATGGAAATGAGGAATGACTGGAAATCAATCTCAAGTCGAGTGCGACGTGAACTGCAGCCTAACCAACAACCCGATCAATTTGAAGTTTAAATAAGAAAAACAATACTGCCCTCACGTCTGTCAAATAAACGTGAGGCTACCTTAAATAAGCAGGACAGGGGAGCCAGCTTTGTTCTGTACACCCAAAATAAAGACATTTTTCTTTTCTTCTTCTACACTCCCACATACATAAGAATTTTTTGGTTCACCTTATCTTTAAATATTCAGAAAAGAAGAAAAAGTAATGTACTTTAACAGGGTCAGTCCTAGACATTTATTGAAAGGGATCAGCAATATCCTGAAATCTTTTAAGTGTCTTTGCATGGAATTTTAATAGTGACCAACCATTCAAGATTTGAGCAGAGGACTTCCTTTTTCTAGCCCTTCACTGAATTTCCCTGAGGGGATAAATAAAGGTTTTCTTATTCTTATTCTTACTTACAGTCCAACTTACAACTAAAAAGAGGATGGAGGTTAAAAATGGTGAAAGAGCAGATTGTTAGTGGCCCTTGCATGTTCGTTGAGATCAATAAAATTTATCTTGGTAAGATGATTGCTGGCAGGTTTTGGGATTGCGTTATTGCACATTCAAGGGACCTTTTTGAATGTTTACAGCCAAACACGCCTTGAAATGCCCGAAATGAAAATGTTTCACCCCACTTCCAACTTCATACTTTTTTCAATACAGACTCTAATTTCTTTATTCACGGAGAATCTGTCAATTAAAGATAACAGAACCACCAATTCAGAACAAATACAGATACAGCAGAGGTGTTCATCCTTATCAAGTCTTGGGCTTTTGGGACGCCAGCTTGGGATCAGAATTTTGAATCACAGAAAAAAAAAACAAGTTAATGGACATAATAAAAGTGGTAAAAAAATAAAAAACTCCAGAAAAAGATAAACGTTCCCCCTCATTGTAAGACCCTGATCAAGGGTGGCCTAATAAAAAGTGAGAGTGTGTGTGTGTGTGTGTGCGTGTGTGTGTGTGTGTGTGTGTCTTAACACCTGTGAGGTACAGAAAGGGTCTTGATTAGAGCGTTGAGTCACATGGGTGATTAAGACGAACCAAAGGAATCATGCAGAGGATCCACTAATGAACCATGACCACACCGAACATGAACTGACACACACACACACACACACACACACACACACACACACACACACACACACACACATATGCATAACACACGCACCCACACACACTATGTGTTTGCTGAAGGTGCAGCCCGGCTCATTATCCCCCTGTATTCCCAGGGGATTATGCTAATGAGGGGGCGGTAAAGGGCAGAGAGGATCTGAAGCTCATTTGATGAGAACAAACTCCTGTTGCAGTAATTGGACGGGTCATGATTGAATGTTGTTAGTCCCCTAATTACAATTCTCCTCTAACAATAGACTTCTTTGAATTTCTCCCAAAATAATTTCCATTCTTTTTCTCACATATAAAAGTGTCCTAATGATCATCTCTTTCCATTACCTATTACAACCCAGTACATCGTCTCTCGGTGATGACCCAACATGTTCCCTGCTGTACAATAGCTGTGGTTTTCTCCTCTCTTTTGTGCTGTTTTATTGAACTGAGTATTACAAAAAGCCTGCGTGTTCCCGTCTGCCACCACAATGGGCTTTACAAACATTCATTTTAGGTCATGTTATCATAATTTGGGCTTTTTGCTAAGCTTGATTGAAGACACCGAAAAGTAAAAACCTGGGAATGGTTTAATCAAATACTAGAAATAGAAAAAATAAAGTTAATAATAAGAAGCTTTAAGAAGCGCAGTGTGCACCTTAATCTGCACAGTCACAACAATAATCACTCAGCTTCTAGCTCTTTAATGATGAAAAGAGAGTTCCCTAGATATAATAAACAGAAAATCCTCTTTTGATGGGGTGAACTGAGTTAATTATGTTGTTTGGATGTATTCTGTGGGGTACAAACAAGTTTTACATTGTTTTTTCCCCCAGCACAAAACTGAATTCTGCTTCTATCTGGGGACAAGAACCAACATGTGGTGCCCTCATTGCATCTAAAGTAGTTTTCTGTGTCTAAAGGGACACTAGCTACAAAAAGCACTCATACATGGAGTAAAATTTGAGTTGAATTTGTGGTTTATCCCATGAACAGCTCAGTATTTCACAATCAGCAAAAAAAGCAGCTTTAATAACCAATATAATGTAAATAAACAGATCACAAACACAAGTCAACCCACTACATGGGTTTAATTTAGACTGTTTTCTTCACTTTTTTAATATATTAAAAATATTCTGAGAAATAAGAATGAATATGTAATAGTGCTGATAATGTTTGCTCCACAGCAAAATGGGGTTTCACTTCTGTGTCAAATTTGGCGCCCCCTGTGGACAAAGCTGTCTTTGCTTATCTTATCCCCTACATGCTTAAGAAGTGTCTTTTCACCAATAATTTCATCCTACAGACTTTTTTAAAGATAAATCTCACAGTAATGCATTAATGGGGAATATTTTATGTGGAAATTTTCTTCAGCTAATCGTCTGACCCCCTTGCATCAGTTTTAGGCAATAAAAATGACAATTTATAAATTTCTAATCTTCTACCTGATGCTCTTATTCACTTCTGGTGATCATAAAAAGGCATCAATATGACTCTTAGTCAGCTTTATAAACGTAAAAACATCTCCTCGCAGTAGCTTTAAAGGCACTGGGAGGTGTTTTCATGTCGTGTTTATTTTGGTGACCTCTTGTGGACAAAACTGGTTGTGTTTTCAGGGATGAAGCAAATTACTAAAAAACAAATTTTTTTGTAAGTACCACTTCTACTTTATTCAAGGCAAATATTTTGGGATGCAGAATGATAAAATAATGTACTGACCTGCAGTCCGCTGTAATGTAACAATGACAAAAACTTTGCAAACTGAGTTATTAATGTTAGCTAACTTACAAAAAGTGCACTTATTTAATGTTACTAATCACAGCTTTAGTGTCATGATGTGTGCTTTTGAGTCTGGACAACGTGGATAAGCACACAGTTTAACTCTTTTGTCCTCAGACAGCAGTGACACATTCACACACTAGCATTAACATTCAATCGTGTCTTAAGCTGGTCCTCCTTTTTTTATTAATATTGTATTTTATGACCAATTTATAATCCTTAGTGAGGAAAAATCCAATAAATGTGGGCTTTGTTTAAAATTTATCGTTTAAATCCAATCTCCAAAGAATCAAAATTTTAATCATCAGTAGTTTTGTTTTAATATCACTAAAAGTAGATATATACCGTCAGGGTTTGGATGGTTTCTAACACTCCTGTTATAAAGATATGAGGACAAGTAGTTATTATGCTGGAGGGGAGACCGAGGCTGAGCTGCAGGAAATGAAAACTAATTATTCATTCAACAATCTTAAAAGTGTCTAACGGGGAGCTTGTAAAACATACTTTTGTTTCAGCTCACCCATAAAATGCTGTCTTTTATATTTATGACTCTGTGTGATAAAAAGACCCCAAAAAAAAGGGTAACTTCAAATGAACGCTGCTGAATAATTAGTCAGATATTTTACAAGGACTAGCCATGGAGGACTTTGGAGGATATTTAACTTTTGCATTCGGAGTTGAGTCACGCCGGTTTTGCAGACGGAGCGTTTTGCCTGAAGGAATTGAAAGGGTATTAAGGGAATTATTTGTGAAGCTGAAACGCACACACAAAAACATAAAAGACCTGGGCATCTTCACAAAAACTCAAGCAACTGAAACGGACTGGATGTGAAATAAAAGCTGGCACTCAGGCTCTGTTACACTTCCAACTGTTGCTACTGAAATTTGGCATCAGACAGATCACATCTAAATCTGAAAATTTTACTTCTATGTCGTGTCGACTGTCTGCCACATGGGGGTGCTGTGTCTCTTTAAAAGCTGCACTACATGAGCAGCTGTAGGACACATTCATTCACACTCACACTGATACCTGCCTTGTTGTTCATGTGCTTTTGGTGCAAATACTTCCTCATTCCAATGCTGGGTCTGTTTCTCCTCACACCACCATCCCTTGTTTTGGCTCATGGGATGTTTTTAAACTCCTCAAAGCCCCCCATCCCCATCCCCCCACGCTTTCTTTTACCTTTTCTTATCTTACGGTGTCATTATCCAACTGGAGTGATTCTCACTCAGCAGGTTTCAGGTAGAAAGCAGCTCTCTCCGCTCTGATAACCTCTGATAGAGAGGAAGAGAGAGCTGCAGAGAAAAAAGAGAGGCCAATTTCAAGGATTGAGGTAGGGTGCGTTTGTATGAATGACTTGACTCGAGAGCGTGCCCTCTGTGTTGGCCCTGGACGGCGGCCATGTCTTGCGCTAATGAAATATCCCAGACAGACAGAGAGAGAGAGAGAGAGAGAGTGGGGGAAAGACAGCATGTGTACTATAAGTCTGCTGGGCCTGCTTAAATCTCTGCGGCGATTTGCTAAGGACATAAAACAAGACGTGCACTCACCAGCAGATATAGTATTACATAAATCCTACACACTAATACAAACAAAAACACACTCTGGTGGGTTCAAGTACGATGTTGTATTAAGAAGCAGATGGCATCCTGTGCTCTAACCTCATCACACACAGACTGACACATCTACGCAAATATGTTAGTCTGCAGTGCAACCTTTGTCCTGCAGCCTATCTCCTCATGCATCTAAGAAAACATGTCTATTTACATAATTAAGCGTTGATATTCACATTAAATGAGTACACAAATGGACTAACAGCTAAAAATAATCCAGCGGGGCCTAAAGGCAGAGAGGAGTTGTGCATCTCTTTCTTGACAGTGCGCTGATTTATTTATCTTTCTGCAGAGTGAAGAGGTGGTCAAACTCAGTTAAAGGTCAGCTCGAAATCCGTCAGCAGATCAATGCAGGGACCATCTAGTTCCATACGCATCCCTCTCCTCCCTATATGGAAGCCCTCCATTGCTCAACCCTGCCCGTCCAGTCAGTCAACCATAGACCAGCGCTCTCCCATGAGGCCTGGAGAAGGCGGAGGGAGCAGAGGAAGAGGAGATGAGGCTGGATGGTTTGCTGAAACTGTCTTGAAATTACCGCAGAACCATTTCAGCGAGGTTGAAAATACCACCAGACTCTCTGGAGCTTTGGGATGCATGGCAGAGTACAGGCCAGTGGCAAGACTTGTATTTTTTGTGTGTAAGTTTTACCTTTTATTGCTTCATTTTCTGTCAAATTTTAAAGGAGTAAAAACATCCGGCAGACAGATCAGCTCTCTTTTTTAAAAACTTCATGTGACTCATTGACAGGAAAGAGATGAAACGAGGAGGGTGCTCAGTGAAAGAGGATTCGCTGAGAGATGAGTCAAGTCGTGGAGTCAAACAGTGGAGTTTGCGGGAGAGAATGACATTGAGGGAGAGAGGGAGAGAGAGGAGGAGGCAGGAATCAAAAGAAGGGAAGAAAAAGAGGGTGAGGCAGCAGGAAGAGCCCGGCGAGATGAAGGCTGTGATTAAGATGCTGGCTTGTGAGGGATTTCCCAGCTGCTGCTGCAGCCTGAAACTGGCTGATCACACACTGAGGGGGATGAAGGAGAGAGTGCCGAGACAAAGATCTTCCATCCCTCTTTTTTCCACTCAATACCTTGTTCTCTTTCCCTGTGTGTTTACGCCACTCCCTGAAGGGATTAAGGTTAACATGCTTGCCTATCCTCAGCTTCCCTGCGCACAGCCCTGGCTTTCGCTGCATTTATCTCTGCCTCCTCCCCTCTTCTTTTTCTTCCATCCATCCACCCATCCATCTTTTTTCACTTCCATCATCCCTCTTTCCTGTCATCCCCGCTCCATCGCCAGTGTAATTTGGTATTTGCTTGTTTGGCCCGGTAATACGACAACACAAATCTGCAGCGTCTCCCTCCGCATCTCTTATCTGCTGTGCCTAACGAGAGGAGATAAGCCTGTTTTTATTACCCTCCCTGACCTCTTCCACAAATCTCAAAACACACACACACATAACATGTGAACCCACACAGACACACACACACCTGCAAAAGTTTTGAGGCACCCTGAATAGCTTCTAACCAGCCTTGAAAACAGAGACAATCATCTGCAGTAGGTCCAGTGGAGAAGAGGCTGAGATGTACATGTGGCTGGTCTTGGCTTAAGAGATTAGCAGGCCGCTGGTCACTAGGAACACAATCCTGCTGCAGCCACTGATCAAATTCATTCCTAATGGGTTAGCCTGACTCTCTTAAAAAGGGACAGTTGACCAAAAATATCCAAAGCCAAAGGCGTCCTGTTGGCTCAGCGGGCGGCAGCCTCGGCCATGTGGTGCTGACGTGAGGATTGACCCGCTTGTGAATTTCGCTGCGTGTCATCTTCTGCCCCTTTTTCCCCTCTCTCTCTCTCTTTCAAGTCACTCTAGAGTATGCTTTTCAGCAAGAAAGTAAGAAGTGTCGTCTTAATTATATACACCCACTGTGTTTGATCACCCCAACACCATTAATGTCTTTGAAGGAGAAAACATATTTTTGATTTAATATTCCCTTTTTAGTATTGGTGAGTTTGTCTTTGTTGTTTTTCGAGCCGTCACTGGAAGTTTTCGGAGGAGGTTTTGCTCTTAATGCAAAGTTTCGAGACAAACCGGTTACGGCTGAAATTCGAGCCTTTTCAACTCAGCAGGGACACAGGATACAGAAACTGCCCCAGTACAGGAAAAACACACAAGGCCAGCAGAGTTGCAGCAGAGTGCCTGGAGATGAGATTAGGACCGAATGAATTGATGGCCTCTGAAAGAGATTAAGATAAAACACAGGACATGTAATCTCATTGCTCACTAAGAGAAAAGAAAAAAAAAAGCCAAGCCTTAGGTTCGGAGGTTAAACATACACCATATCCATCCATCTATTGACTCTTTTAGTCAGGTTGATGCATGTACACCTGCCGAACTCTGTGGTATCGAGGTAACCCAATAATCAACGTGAAGATAACTAGACCGAATGAAGTGAGCGGGAGAAAACGGGGGAGGAGGGGGGAGCAAAGGAAGGGGGGAAAAGTGAGAAAAAACAAAAGGTAGCGAAAATAGAACAAAGTTAAGCTGGTGGCTTTACTTAGAAACTACATACATGAGCTGCAGGCCTAAAAACACTCTTACACACACTCTTAAATTATTCACAATCAATGCAAGTGCCACGGTGTTGAGCGCTGCAGCTACCTCTAACATTAATTTTAAGGCAGATGGAGACATTCCACACCCACTCCCACTGTCCCGTCTCCATCACTGTCATCTTCTATTCACCGCGCTCATGAGAACATTACATCTCCTTTCTACACAAAACAAATCAGCCCCCATTGATCGAGCTTGTTCAGACAACAAGACCAGCTGAGCGGCTCAGAGAGGACACACACTCTCTGCATGTGTCTGAAGGGAGTGCTGACTTGTGTGTGTGTTTGTGTGTGTGTGTTTGTGCGTGACGTTTTTATTCTTTGAAGTTAAGGCAGATCAGTGGCACTGGTCATTTCTAATCTACTGTGATTCCAGAGCTCAACCTCGTGCATTTCAACCTTCTGAGGATTAAATCCGTGTCACTGACACTGTTGTCTGGGTGTGCACACTGTGAGCGAGGGTGCTGGATGTGTGTGTGTGCGTTGTGACATTTTAAAAAGCCGTGTGGTGGTTAATGTGAAAACTCTGCATGGTGTGCACATGTGTGTGTGTGTGCATGTGTGTGTGTGAGACGCTGCTCCTCTCCCTCTCTGGGGAGACAGTGTGTTCCCTGCCACAGTGCATCAAAGCACACTCAGTTGCCTTGGGAGAAGGCAGGAACTCTTTCTCTCTCCACCCTCCCTCCCTCCCTCTTCTCCATGCCTCCATCATCTCCTCCCCTCTCCTCCATCTCTCCCTCTCTCGTCCCTCTCCTCTCTGACAAGGTCGCTGATGCCTCTTGCTGTCTCCCTTGTCAATATTTACAGTCCACTTTACACTGGCACTGAGGTGGCCGGCTGCAGCCAGCAGAGAAAGCGGGGTTGCATTAGCCAAATGTGGCTGTCCACTCAGGACATGAATGATCTGTTGTACTACAAGCTGCACTCTGGTTCTGCCTCTGTCTCTCTCTCACACACACACAGAGAGGACAGGAGGAAACAGGTAGAAACATAGAGCAGGTACTCAGCAGAGAGTAACAGGTGCTCAACAAGCAAAAAAGCAGGTTATCATGCCATCTACAGCTCCACATTCAGTCCAAAATCTATGTTAGCACTTGAAATTATAATAGACTGAACTAATTACGACACTTGACACTCTTGTCTCAAAACTTACGTGACAGCATGAAAAGGCGGCATCTATATTTAAACTAAATAGATAAATCATAGAATAGAAGAAAAAAACTAAAAGCGGCTTTGGTTTGAAGAGAAACTCTGTTGAAAGTGCCAGAGGAGAAGAAATTATTAACGCGATAATGTGTTTTCAATATTTATGGAGTGGCCTTTTATTATGATACACGTAATGTTCACTAAATCCCAACACAACTGTACTCCACTGAAGAGCTGCGATGTCCTGTTTTTATCATAAATACATGCAAAAATATGCATTCATAATTAAATCAACCAATCTCGTTCATTTTTAATCACAACTGTCTGCGAATTGTGATTTGTATTTCAGTTCGAGCAGGAAAACACAAAATCATCACAGAATCAAAAGGTTATTCCCCTGAAAGTGAAGACAAATTTAGAGTTGAGGAGTTAAACCATCTGAACAAACCATCTGAAAGAGAAATCTCCTTGAGAGTTGGATTAGATAGTAAATACTTTTTAATACGCTCATATTCACTGGTTATCTGCATGAAGCCAAAACAGAGAAGAACTTGGCTTAGTTTAACTTTGCATAAAGCTGTCCTGGACATGTTTGACAACACTGATGTTAGCCTCAGAGTTTCAGCTTCCAGGACGTGTTTTTCTTTGAGACTCAACATACTTGTTGAAACACAAAAAAGTGAGATTACACTGCTTTATTTAACCCCTAAACTACATTCAAACAGGCCCTAACCATAGACTGTATATAGAATGGACACTGTCTGCCTCCTTGCTGGGTGAAGCCACCCTGAGAACAGCACACTCTGGTGATGGGCTGCAGTATAGGTCATAAATCTCACCTCCTCCAGCAAAGCTTATGGAGCTGTGGACAAACTTTAGAAATTTATTACACAGAACATAAATTTTTCTCCGTCCTGCTTGTGATGTTGACATGTAGTTATTGTAAGACTGGTTTGTGCCCAAGTCCTCTTTTTTTCTGTACAGCTCAGTTTTTAAAAGTTATTAGAGGGCTCAGGTTTTCTATGATTGACATTTGATACAGCCTACGGGCGTGCGAAGATTGCATAGCTCACCTAGCGATACGCTGTTCCAGCCGGGCGTCATCGCAGCGACTCTTGGCGACTCTCCCACCGAATGTGTACAATGCTACTGAGTAATGTTGGTTTCAGGAAGTCCGGCAGTAGGAGGAACCAAGTTGTCCTTAGTATATACAGTCTATGGCCCTAACTCTAACCACTATATCCAGACATGTGAGAACTTGTCTGAAGTGACTAAAAGAGTCTGCAGACTTTAGATACACAGTTTCAGACTGGTAAAAGTTTTATTGTGTTTGAGAAAATGCAACAAAGACAAACAAAAATGATATCATTGCTTCATCTAACTGTCTAAACTAGTCATATCTGGGCCAGATTTCCTCAGAGAGGCTGCAGACTCACTGACACAGCATGAGACCAGTGAAATCTTGATTCTGATTAAAGCCATATCTTCAGTCTTTGACAGAATACAAACACAGTGAACAGATTGGAAAATGAAAGTTATTTTTGAAGATGAACAATATCACGGTGATCTGATTTGGCAGATTCGCAATAATCTAGTTTAAATTTGACAAATCTAAGTACTGTTGTTCCAGATTAGGTTTTAATTCAGTGTGGTCTAAAGGTTTTAAAAGCTGTAATGTGAGTGTCTCTTTTGTGTTTTTATAGAAAGGTTTGAAAAGACTCTTAAAGGTAATGTATTCCAGATCTGACAAGCCTCGGTGTAGTGAATCAGATGCTAACTTCAGCATTATCCCTGTCTAAACAATGCTGCAAGCTGTATGATCTACTTAAAAAGCTGTCATTTTCATGCATGTGTGTTTTGTATAGATTAAACAAACCATATAAATAACTTGTTTACTTCTGAGCTTCAGACAGATTCTACAAGTTTCTAAAGAGCCTCTCTCTCTCTCTCTCTCTCTCTCTCTCCACCGCTCCACAATACGCCAAGATAATCACATCCTGTAGCTTCATACTGCACGCTGACTTAAAAAGCGGTTTGATCTTCTTACCTAAGGACTATTCCTGTAAGAGTAAGAAAGTGAGGGATTCAAAAGGACCTTTCAAACAGCAGCAGGTGTCCCACATTTTAAACAAGTGTAACACACACATATATACACGCCTAGAGGAAAACAGGTTTGTCTGTAAGCTAAAGTAATCAGGTTATTACTGTCGACTTAGATCACGTTTACAGATCATAATGAGGGAAGAAGCAGCTGCAATGGAAGCTGACTGTAGAAGGTAAGCTACCCACCAGGGTAAATACAGTAAATTACACTAAATGTTGCAATCTGGTAATATCCAGCTACCTATTTTACTTCCTTATGCCTCTGGGCTTCCCATCCATCTTCTTGCCCTGTTTTTCCCCCTCTCCTCTCTTCACTCCACCCTCACCCGCTCTCTCCCCTCCTCCACCAGTGTCACCATGGCCTTCAGGCCAGCCAGTCAGGAGCAGCTGGTGTGTTTACCTGCCCTCCTAACCACCGCTAACCTCTGGCAAGAAAGGACTCTCACCTCATTACCCACCACATTCAACCTGAAACTCTGCTATCCTCTTAGATTTCTCCCCTGCAGCCAGGATGCTTCACTGTAACAGCCTCTATATACTGCTGCACTGCAATCTATTCGGCAGCCTGCTGTGCAGAAACCTTACATATAATGAAGGAAAAAAACAATGTGTAGGACTTGGCAATCTTCCCTCTTTCTCTTAAGCACGGAGAGTCTGTTTCGCTCGTTTCTCTCAGCTCCAGTCGACTTACATGAGAGGGCTCTTCATGTCACCCTCTTAAAAAGTTCCTCACACTTTCTGCCAGAAAACGAACCACGCAGCAAGGAAGAGACAGAGCAGGCGAAGGAAGGAGGAGAGTGTAGAACATATAGGAAAAACAGGGAACTGAGAGAATCGAAGATTTGAGCTGGAGGGAAGAGAGAAAGATGTGTAGGAGGGAAGGAAATCAAGGAAGAAGAGCTTGTAACAGGAAAAGTTGAAGTCTAATGACGTGTCAAATTAATGGCCCTCACTCAGAATCTGCTGCGATCTTTTGTTGGAAAATGATTCATTCTCAGGCGTTGTTTACAGTGTTTGTACCTGCTTTATTGTTGACCACAGAGTAGGCAGCATTAAAGAGCCTCACACTGTGTCCTCAGAGTGCCGTAGCAGTAATAGGCCCCGTCTTCTCCTCAAACTGCCTCTCATCAGCCACTGATTAATGACACACAGTGCTGTAATGTTCCCGCACGCTCTCCACATTCATTCACTTTCCTCTTCATCCTTCGTCCCCGGAGAAAAACCACAACAATGCTGGCTGTCGAGACACCAAAAAACGGCGCTCTTGCCCAACTTGAATTCAAATGCTCATTAAAAAAGACGTTTCCACTACCGCCGTTTGGGTTTTCATTGCTACTGGGAGCGAGTGGTGAGAAACAATAGAAAACAAAAAGAGATGGGAAAGTGGTGAAGAAAGCATTTAGAGATCAATTTATCTGAATTAGAATAAAGAATGGCTTCATTAGTGCTTAAATGCAGTTGATTGGCTGCTTGGCTCAGAGTGCTGGTGATTTATGCATCTGTGAAGAAGATGTAACCTGTGTCCTCCTCGAAGCACAAGCCGTTCACACTGACTAATACACACATTCGGTACACCTCAAATCCAGGCCTCTGGCTGTAAATCTGAAGGAACACGACTGTTGTTTTTCTTTATTTTTTTTATGTTCTTCCTTTGATTTCTACAACTGCTGTGCATGTGTCACAATTCTCAGAGGTGATCATTGTTTTCTGCTGTACAGCTCTGTCAACAGCACAAAAGAACCACCAATGCCGCCGCCGCCGCTGCTGCTCCAACTCTGACTCAGTGGCCGAAATCTTCAAAGTGGAAATACAAACATAGAAATGTGGAAAGAGGAGTGCACAAAAGGCAGACACACACTTAGAAGAACAACACACGCGCACCAACATCATGCAACACGCTGAAATGCTCTCGGTTGCATGCACACATTTGCAAAAAAAACTCGCATTGTGGACATGCTTTAACCCTCACGTCATGGATGAAAGATATCAAACTGCGGCACATACATCAACTGACACCATCAAAGACTGTTGCATCAATAATGAATGCGCTCTCCACTAGGTATTAGATGCACTGATCTCATTGTTTTAACCAAAAGTGACTGTAAGTGAAGGTGTAGTGATTGAAAATGCTCTTTTATGCACCTTTCATCTGAATAGTCAAACATTATCAAAGACTTGTGCATCACATTTTCTCCCTGTTTAAAACCCTCCTGTCTTCCCCTCCGGGCAGGGGGGCGTCTGTTTATCAGAGACTGTTTGTGTTTCGGTGTGTTTCTCCGCAGCAGTATTTATGTTTAGCGTTGGAGGGTGTGTTGGGTAATCAATAGTGTTTCAGTGAAGGACACTTGGGAGCAGATTGGAACCCAAATCCAAGCCAGCATGAAAGACAACATGACAGAAACACTTGCTGCTCGACCTGAAGGAGCTCAGTGTGACATCCACCCTGACTGTTTGTGGTGAACGCGCCCACGCACGCACACGCACGCACGCACGCTGCACACACCCCTTCAAACAGACCCAGTTTGACACGCTTGTGAACCTGTACGAGTATCTTCAAAAACGGTTAAAAACATTTACACACTGCTACATCAAAGCAGGCAGACTAATGAGTTATTGACCGATGAGCGCGCGCACACAACATAACTCACATTGTGAGGCATAAAAGACGTGACCGGCGTCCTTGTCGCAGCTAAACAGAATGTGCAGTAATGAGAGTGTGTGTACGTGTGCACACCTGCCTGTCTGATTGTATATGTGTGTGTGTGTGTTTGTGCGTGTGCATGGCTCACAGTGTGTACACAAGTCATTATTAGAGGTTTAGTGTGTGCTCACCAGTCAGTCAGGCTCCAGTCAGAGGAGTCAGCTTAAGGGCTCATAGCAGCTCCCTGAGGAGACACTAAATACCATCAGCCGTTTAAATCCATCCATGACCATTTTAAATATGCAGCACACACTCACTCCATTTTTAATAAGGGCTCTGAGCAAGACAGAGGGAGAAAAAAAAGGACAGAGAGGAGACAGAGACAGACCAAGAGAGAGAGAGAAAGAGAGAGAAAAAAGGGAAAGAGGGGGCAGAATGAAGTGGAAGCAGAAGAAGGAATATGAGGAGAAAGAAGGGGGGAGCAGCGTCTGTTGCATTGATTTCTTGGCAGTTTGGCACCGGCCCTGATTCGCCTGGAAAAGCCACAGATGTGTCAGAGCCGGTTAGGCACGCCAGAAGAGAGGGAACATGCATGCACACCCAGCTCAAGTCACATGCATGCACATGAGCAGACAAACATGCACACACATGAAAGTGCTCCTGAAAAGAGAGAATGCACAGCATGCTCTCGAAGTATCCGCGAGAGAGAGCGAAGATTACAAAAGCACCTGTGTGGAAGCCAGGGATGATGCAAGAGGTTTTGATGCCTTCCTGGGGAAAACCAGTCATTTTCTCTCAGAGGGCCGTCAGAAATAGACACTATTACACACACCTAGATGGGCAGTAAATTTCTCCTTAATCCCAGGCTTAGCTTAGCTCAAAAACCTGTCTGTTCTGCTCAGTTTTCAAAGCACACCTGACTGTGTGCGGGTTCGTGCGCGGCCCGGTAGAGCACCGGGGAAGAGTTGGATGTACATTTTGATGCAAGGGCGGGTGAGACATTAGGATCAAAGTCGAGGGCTGGAGAGAATCAAATAATCGTAGCTGTGAATCCACGAGCAACCGCCAGACAGACTACCTGATTAGATAGGCATTTGTGGTTTATATCCAGCACGAAAAGCAGAGGGGAATATTGATGAAAAGGCCTGAGGCACAACAGCACCTAGGTCCAGTTACAGCTCGAAAAGTTAAACACTAAAGTCAAGTATATAAGGGTTTGATTTCCATTACACTCCCATGTGTCTCTATAGAAGCTTGCATTAAATAGTCATGAAATATATGGTTGCAAAAAGTCCTTTATGGCTGAAGTTTGAGCTGCAGTTGCCCATTTAAGAAAAAATTGCGTTGACTTTTTATTGCTTGTTTTGTCCGATCAAAAGTCAAAATCAAAGAAAGTTTGTTGTTCCAGTAAGAGGTAGAAAGAGAGACTTTTAAAAATGGAAATATTGGGAGTATGCAGCTCAAAGATGGAGTCTGAAGCTTTTGGTTTGTAATTCTAATCATAAGGAAAATATTCTCAGATTTGTTTTCTGCACACGTTGCCATTACTCTGCCTACTGAACTCAAACAAAGACGGCAGGTGGAAGCAGCACTTGTGTGCCAAACATTTACCACCAAGTGAGTGAATCCTATATGTCAAGAGAGCTCACTCAGCAGGAGTGATGTCACCCCGGCATAATGCAACAGTGGTTTGCCTAATACGATCTCATGCTTTCAGCAAACACACACTGGGGCAGCTCGGTCTCTGTTGCTCCAGGTGACAGGTGTGTCACAGCGGCAGCGTGGCAGGAACCGTGGCGATCCCTTCCGACAGACTGAATGACCGGTTAGTCAGCTCTCTGCTTGACTCACTGACCAAGAGGAAGTGCTCACTCACCGCCGCTTTGTGTAAGCGTGGGTCCGATCTCAGGGAAGAAAGAGGGTGAATGTGTCACTCTGAGTTCAAACACAGACACGGGAGGAGATGCTCAGACACACAGACACAGATAAGATGCAGATTAGACATGCTTTGTTTATTACCCTCTGTGTCACAGACCCAACCGGTCCTGCTGCCACCGTTCATCTGGCTGTCAGTGAAGACACAATAGGACAGTCACACTTTCTTTGACGCGCCACTCTGGAATGTTAATCACCACAGAAACCCATTATCTTCACATCCTCTTGCTCCCTCCCTCCATTTGTCTTCTTCCCTTTTTTAAAAAAAAAGCTGACAAACCGGCTGCTCGTTACTAGAAAGTACCATTGTTTCATTGAGCGCACATGTAGAGGGAGACGGAGACATGAGGCGGAGGAGATAAGAGAGGAGACTGTGGAGAGAGTGAGTGAGAGAGAGAGGGAGAGGGAGGCCTGCCTCACTGCTGACATAAATTGGGCATCATAAAAAGTGTCGTCCCAGAATTAATCTGCAAAGAATGAATAAAGTGAAGTACCATAGGGAGAGAGGTGCGTGGAGGAGTGTGAAAAGGATTGTTCTTGAATTCATAATGAAGACACAAGTGGAAATAAATTCATGACTTTGGAGTTTTCATGAAGCTCGATGATGTAAGTTCATGAGAAAGCATTTGGACCTTTACTTTAAAAGCCATCGCACTGTAAGTGTATGTGCTCTCGTTGAGATGTTGTGGGTTTGTGTGTCTGTGGCTCAGCTGTTGACTTCCTCCTTGCCTCTCTCTCGGCTGCAGCGCCTACAGGAAGTGCCACATACATCATGAATTTTATGCATAAGGCTGAATGTCAACACCGATGCATAATTTTTGCGGTAAAATGCTAAATGTCACCAAACACCAGGCTCTGTTTGCACTGACTGCGGGGCTTTGCGTCACCGCAGGACGCGCTCAAAGTCAGAAGTCGCCAGGCCAGCCGTCACAGCAGAACGCAAAGGCTAGGAGTGTACTGTACATAGATGTGGCAGCAGTGGCGAAGGAGGCGACAAGTGAGATTGGGGGACAAGGAGGGTAATGAAAGCAGATTTGAAGGAGCAGGGAGTGAAAAGGCCTTTTTTTCACACTACATTTTTCCTCTGCACGGATGCATCTACAGAAGAAAAAAAGAAACACCATTAAAAAAAAGTAATTTAATTCCCCGGTTTAATCCTCAAGTTGCTTAAATGTTGTTTATAATCTTGCAGCTTTTAAGTAAAGCTGAATATGATGTAATTATTTATCATGAAATAAGATGTACTTGGCATCTATGGAGACGCTCAGCTCTCCACTTCGACATGAAACGAAGTTCTGATGTTTGGCTGCACAGCATGAGTGGCCCCGCCTCTGGGGCAGCAGGGTTAAGGAAATTAAAGGGGTTGATAAATGAAAATTTTATGTAGATTAAGTGTGATATCGAGTGAAAAACGCCTGCAGGTTGTTGCCGATGTTCTCTGGACCTCTGGGGAGCTGCTGCTAAATCTATCTTGCGGCACCAGCTGTTATTTGACGTGTACAGTGACGTAGTCGGGCAAAGCTGTTTGAATTCATTTGTAGCTTCACTTCTATTGTTGACGATGGCATTGTAAAAAATTGGGAAGGAGGTCGTTAGAGCAAGGTACAAGACTGACTGATGTTCAGGAGAGTCCATTTCAGCCCAACTTTTCCATTATCACTGATTGGACTTTAGGCTGACAAATGGCAGAAATATCCTTCAGGTTACAGCCGCTTGGTTCATTCCTGTTTTTTTCCAACCAGAGAGATTAAAAGCATTCCGACTATTCTTGGTACTCTGTTCACCTCAGGACAGTTTCTTATCCATTAACTGTATTAAACATATGTGTGTAGTTTAAGTGATGTTGCCCTTTGGTTTTTGAAACAGAGTTTTAAGCCTTGACAACAGTTGCCATGTTGGACATGAACCCCTATACCCCTCTGTACAGCATGTGGATAGTACAATAATGCTGCGTTCCAGTTGTACTTGGAAGTCGGGATTTACGAGCTCAGAGTCGGAAAATTCATCTGGAACGCCCCCCTGAAGTCGGATTTCCAACTCGGAAAGTCAAACAATCCTCACCAACCTCAACTTGACGACAACGTCATAATCCAAGATGGCAGTGCAGTGCATCAACAGTAAAGAGTAACCGTAAAGCTCTCGTAATTTATTATTTTTTAGCACTTCTGTTTTGTTTTTGTGAAATTAAATGAGTGCTATATGTTGTGAACTGTGAGCACAGTGCTATGGTGTTTGTAAGAGTAAAATACTGTGTTGTGAGTTGTTTACAACTGGTACCTCTAACAACAACTAACAACCGCTGACAACGGCTAACAACAACTGATAACCGTGAACAACAACTGATAACCGTAAACAACAGCTAACCATGGGTAACTGCAGGCGTCCATCTTGGTTTTCAGACTTGTTAACTGGAACGCCATCAACTCGGGTGTAACGCAGCGTCAGCTACTTTGAACAAAATCATGTTGACACCATGTAAACGTTTATTTTTTACTCTGATGATGGGAATTTTGTAATGGGTGTGTATGTGGCTCTTGGGGCTTTTGAAGCCTGCCTCAAGTGGATACTTGGGGAACTGCAGTTTTTAACACTTCCACATTGGCTTAATTTCTTGAGACGAGAAGTTGCCGCTAAAACTCACTGCGCAAATGGGGCAGCTGTGGTAGAGTAAGGATGGGAGAAAAAAATCTATACTGCATAGTATCGCGATACTTTATCTGGTGATATATCATATCGTGTCATTTACCAAGTATTGATTTTTCAAATTAATTGCTAATATGAAGTCAAATCTATGATAATGGAAAAATTAAATCAGCTGTTTGTCCAGTGATGTTGGCAGAGGTTACATTATAGAGCAGGAGAAAGTTAGTGCAACAAATATATAATAGGTGTACAAGATACAGCATGCTTCAGGAAAATGAAAATTGAGTCAATAAGACAAACATAAAACACAAATTAGCTAAACAGTTGAAAAAATTGTATAAATTGAGATATATTGTATCGCAATACTCACTGTATTTCAAAATGTTAAAAATTGCATTAATATCGTATCGTGGCCTAAGTATCATGATAATATCGAATCGTATCGTGAGGCCACTAGTGATTCCCACCCTTATGTTAAAGCAGGTTGTCTCTCAGTCTAAACGTTGAGGGTTTCAAGACATTGAAACCTGATCTACCCTCAGCAGCTGTGCCGGCAGTATGCTAATAGGATTAGTAAAAACTGATTGATCTTTTACATGACAGCCTCTGCTATGGTAGAGTGAATGGGTAAATGTGTAAAAGCACTCTGAGTGATCAGAAGACTAGAAAGTACAATTTAAACAGAGCTTAGTTACAATACTACAAATTAGTCGTGTAGGGCTAAACAAAGTTAGGCATCAATGCTTCGTATTCCCTGTTTGCAAGGAAACTACTAATTGCTACAGCAGCTGTTTGTTGCTCTTGCCAGGCTTGTTAAAGTGAATGAGTGTACGAGGAAGAAATAAATACTAAGTTTATGCACGGGGCCACAGTTTTGCAGAGGTAGCTGCTCACTGTGCATGCAAGCAGAAAAATCTCTGTAGCTCTCTAATACTTTGGCATTTTTGGGTCCATGGAGCATGAGTCCCTCATCAGGCAAGCTATTCAAGACTGTCCTAGAAACCCAACTCCTCCTTCTTAGAGCCCAGATAAATAAAATTCAAAACTTACTGCAGGGCTGGAGACCACAGGGAGTAAGTGACAAAAGTTTTCTTTTGTAATTGGGGTTAGGTGACCCTTTGACATTTATAATATGTCTTTCACCGTCCTTATCACCACTTTATGCTCTTAGCAGCTAGAGGGAAGAGAAAACACGCAGACACAGGGGATGTGAGGACAAGAGGAAGAGAAGTGGAATAAGTTATGCAGAAATATGACTGAAACTCTGAGGCAGGAGACCACCAGCTGAGCTCATATCTATGTGGAGAGCAGGCATCAAGAATTTTCAACAAAATACTCAGAAAAAGTCTCAGATAATAACTGGCAGGAACAGTTACATAAAGAAGTTATATTTCTCTTGCATTTAAAGCGCTAAGTTTGTGTTCATGACCTTTAAGGTTGAAGGGCTGAGTAATGAGGAGCAGGGCGAGGAGCCAGGCCTGCCTAAGAGGCTGCTGAATGAACGACAGGGATGGAGAGATTGGGTGAGAGGAAGAGATGGTGAGCAAAAGAGAGAGAGGGAGAGAGAGAGTAAGAAACAGAAAAATGTGAAAGCACTGTCATCTCATTTCTCCTCCCCTCCGGCTCCCCCAGCTGTTGTTCTCGCTTCCTCTACCAATCGCTTCTTATTGTCACTCATCCCTCCAATCACCCCAAACCACGTGTGCAACCCTTCCCTCTCCCTCTCCCTCCCCCTTCATGCACCCTTCCTTTACTTGCTCGCTCCCTTCCTCTCTTCCTCATCTTCTTCTTTGCCTCTATTTCTCCATCCACACAAATGACTCAGTGAAACAGGTCAAGTGTTACAAAATTCCCCCTGCAGCTCAACCTGCCTAATACAAGGCCTGGCTCATTGCACCAAGACAAGTAATACGCTGCCTACTCACTGAGAGAGGGACTCACACACACACTCACACACACACGGACTTACACACTCATTCACACAGGGTCACCGCCAACACACCATGAATATAAGTCCACAAAATGCCAACAATATTAGCATATTCATCTATTTGAGCAGGCACGCCAACTCACACCATGCACTCTGTTTTAAGAGTCATCTGACTTATTCATATTTACTGAAATCTTTGTCTTGTTTTACTCCCTCATTACAGGCAAGATGTCAAGAAAATTCAGAGCTTGTCACGCACATAAGAGATACAAAAGAAAATGCTCATGTTTAGATCCAAAGAAAATATCACTAAAAGTTCTATTAATAATGCTGGAACAATAAATCCATTTAAGGAGAGTTAATCAGAGATTATTTTGATGGCTGATTAATTACAAAAACGCACAACCTTCAGGATTAAGAGTCTTATTATTTAGAAAACTGAATGTCTTCAACAGAAATGAAGACATCTAAGAAGTTTGTTTGTGTGTGTGTGTGTCCTATAGCTCGCATAAGCAATCAGAAAATTAATCTGCAGATTAATCACTAATGCAGATAATCTTCACTTCTATCCGTAAATAAAATGACGACAGCTAATACCTGCACTACAGTGGGTATAAGAATTGAGAAGAAGCCGCATTTGAAACCCAAAGTGCCCTGGCCTCTCTCTACCTCTCCCACCTCTCCACACTAATGAATAGCAATTGGGGGACAGAGCAGCCTGGAGCACTCGAGTAAAAGTCGTATTAAGAAGAGGACAACAGAGTAAAGGGCCTTAAACAGGATAAATGACCGGGAAAAACTCAAGTCAACACACACACTTGCCCTTTAACACAACCATGAAAAACCTGGTGCTGGACAGTACAGGATGCAAGTGTGTTTGCTCTGCAGGCACCGTGTTGTGATATTGAAACGTAACAGCTCCATATATCAGAGTGCTGGGGACCTATATGGAGGATAAACGACCTGCAAGCAGCACCTGGACAGTGTGTGTAATACGCAGATAAATAACAGGCAACCAGCAGGCATGTGATGACACGCTGACTCCTGGAGAGATCTCATTAACCTCCCTGACAATAAACAGAACAGAAATATGAAGATTGGATCTTGGCACACATGTTTTCAAAAGTGCTTTTTTTTTTGTCTGAATCCCACAGGAACCAGAGTCATTTGGGAGGGTAATGACTTGGGAAAACTGAAATGTACCAGAACGTGAATTAATCACAATGTGGGCTCGCATTCACGCACACTGTTAGCGTTCGGTACTATCTGTATTCTGCTGTTTATTCCCCCGTTGTTAGGGCACAACAAAAGGAGTTCCAGCTATTACGCACGATGAACACAGTGTAATTCCAAACTGATGTTTCCGCTCGCTGCTCCTGTTGAAGGCGGACCGTTAAAATAGGAGGTCTGAGGCCAGCGTGAGCCAGCTATTACTGTCAAGGTGGCGGAGATCACATCGTGTTCGCGTTAGTGAGAGCTGTAATCGACTTGTTTTGGTAAACATTTCACGTAGAGCTCCTGTGATGCCAAAAGCCATATTTGAATAACATTTAATTTCCTCCTCTAAGATAAGACCTTTTGTACATTCAAGACTATTTCATTACACCGCTGCCCCAGCTGACAGTTAAACGGACAGGAGATGATGGTGCAGTTCAGCTGTGCTTCGCATTGCAATGCCGGGCTTTTCTTCTGAACGCTAACTCACTCCCTTCGCTCACATTTTACACTGTAGTGCACTTCAACTGTGAGTCAGGGCTGTTACCCATGATGCCTCGGCTGTGTGTGACAGTCGATGGAGTAGAAATCTATGAGAGAGAAGGGGTTAACAAGGACCCAAAAGTTCTTACAGGAGGCTCTCAGCAGGTGCTACGCAGCGGTCAGAGATCACAGCAGTGGTTCTTCACAACACACACACACACACACACACACACATTTGGAGGATAATGTCTGAGATCTATGGCTATCAAAGACTTCTCAGCTCGGAGCAGTCTGATGTTTTGCATGCAGATTTCTGTTTCTTGGAGCATAATTAATGGGTTAAATCAATAATGCATTTCCCGTTTCAAATGATGCCTCTGGGTTCAATAACAAGTGATTGGAGATGTGTTAGAAATGAGAAAAGGAGAAGGCGGAGTGATAACAGAGGATTTTACACCCCAGGACCAGTTAGGCAGCATTAGAATTAGCCATACACACACCGTTCCCCAAACCGATTCACAATGCTCAAACATCGAGTCCGCAGCAGACGATGAGAAGATAGCGGCCGCAGAAAAGAGTGCCGGGAAAAAAGAAGTGATTACAGGAAAAGAGATGAGGGGATAAGATGACAGACACATGAATGGGGAGGCTGTCTGAGGATAGAAAAGGGGGAGCTGACAAATGCACATGAGCAAACAAAGACGCACAATTCTAAAGTGAGTCCCTGACAGTTTTCTCCTCACTGTGGTCACTTTTATTTGAAGTCAAACAGAGCAAGGACTTGAACCCTGAAGGGGAACCGGCTGGTGGAGATAAGATCAGTGTGGAGCGCTGATGGAGGTGCACAGTTCAGTCTGGTCCATCACCTCTTTATATAGTATGTACAAGCACAAACAGTAGACTTCTAAATAAATCAAGAACTATGTGAAGTTTTCTCCCATCAACTACTTTTAATTGAATTCTTGATGAGATTTCAACATTTCTTTTCCTTCAAATGTAAAGAATTAACAGTGTGAGGCTGCCGGGGTTGCAAATGTGATGTGTTTTCTTTTCTTGCAACACTCAGAGAATTTTTTTTTTTTTTGTCTATAGGTCCTCGGTCTACAAGTACTGCATATGAAGACAAATGACTTGAAAGAAACACACAGTGGTAACTGAGTCTGGAGGGACTAGACTGGACCAAATCTCACTCTGACATCTCTCTATCAGTTCATGTTTGCCAGACGCGATTTGTGCATATGTGTGTTTATGTTTCAGCCCATGAACATCGTCCATGAACATTATCAGAGTTCAAGAACTGAATTTACCCCTCAAGTTAAATATACACATATTTCTTTTTTCTTTTTTTTCTACCATATTTGTCTATATAACTTAACATCTATAAATTACACATTAAATACACACACTTCACACTAAATATAAGGTTTTATAAGTGCAGAATTAAGGATATGTAATATTGACAATGACAACAATATTAACAATGACAATAACAATTTTGTTGTATTTATTCCTTATAGTTAGGGCTGACAGAAAAAAATGGTTTTGTCGTGATTATATGCTTGATTTCATTATCGAGTATTGATTAATCACATTTTTGATTGCACATTTAAAATTCTATTATTTTGAGTTAAGTCCATATTGAGAGCATTTCTCATAATGTCTTGGTTAAAGGTGTCAACTGTCGTCTGCTTTATGATCTTGACTTTTAGATTAAATATTTAAATAAATGCTGCACTGATACACCACCCCCATTACTTAGAAGTAGCAGACAGACATTACTTAAAGGTAGGAGACAGCTCCAAAGTGCTTATTCTTGGAAATAAAGGATGCTTTTTAATCTTTAAAAGCAAAAGGGTTCAATGTGCAATCAACGTTGATATGGTTCGCAAATATTTTGAGCTATTATCAATAACTCACCAACATCCAGTAATTCCTGGTTAATGCAAGAGCTTTAGCACTTTAAAGGAGTTACAGTGTGGTCGCTGTCTGGTCCTGTAATTGTGAATTTATTGTTCCTGAGAAAAATACAACAGTACGGCATATGACTGATCAAAAAATGCCAACCCCGTCCAAGTCATCCACAATGCAGTCACCTGTCATCTAGCAAACTCTATAGTCATCCACTAGTCTGTTGCTGTCGACTCAAAACACTTGACTTCTGTCTGATTAGCGATACTTTTTCACTAAGCTTGTAGCTCAAACTTTAAGTAATTTCATTTTTCATTCAGTCCAATTGTATTTGACACAAAGTGCGTATTTCTTTTGACTTGTCAACTAAGCTGTCTTGGATTTTCAAAGGGAAATACGCCATTCAAATCTTAGTAGATGTGTTAAAATTTATGATGGTGGCAGCAGGAAGCAGGAAAACAGTGCAGCGACTTCACGACAGTGTGCAAGTGTTGACGAATACCACAAGATAATAGCACCCTGATTATACACGTGCTATACTGTAATACATGAATGTATTATCAGACGATTCCTATCATAAATGAAGTTAAATTACAGGTAGAAGTACAATGAGGAAGTTTTCTTCAAGTTGTCCGTTAACCAGTGGAGATCATCGCTTTGATTAATAATTGACTTCTATGTACTGATTAGTATTATTCACAGTGCAGCAATTTTAGCTGTTTTGTCCTACATACCCACACAATGATAATGAAAATGCAAACTAGTTTCATTGGAAAAGTTTGGGTCATGGTTCTTCGCTGTGAATCATCAAATCTGACGCAATTGGAAGACATCTTATGGAGGAACAACAAAATGAGCAGTGAAAACATTAGTTGTTCAACAGCACTTACAAAACATTTGCAAGAACTCCCACTTGGAGGAAAACATACATTTGCATGCAGGGTCTGTACTGTCAGGCAGGCGAACATCTGCACAGCCGTTACATGCACAGATGAACATGAACACAATCATCCACAATTTACTACGGACTCGGCAGTCCCCAGAAGACTCTCCCGAGTCCCTAAGACCAAATATTTGCAGACTTATTTCGTCTTTATCTCCATATTCATCTCCCATTCTGTATGTTTCTGTCTGAGGTTATGCAGACGTGCGTGTGCTGGTGCGTGCATGTACTTTATAAGAGCTGCCTGCTGAGACGGTGAATTAAACAGCAAGTGCATTTGATCTGCAAAGCACTCCAGGGCAAATACACGAAATGAGACTCACACAAATACACACACACACACACGCACATGTACACACACACAGAGGCTTGCATACAGCATCAAAATCATTTCCGTCATAGAATCTATTCTTAGGAGCGGCAACAAACCATTCTTTCCCTGATATAAATCTCTTTTATTCATACCCACCAAAGTCACGCACACACACACATGCACGTACACACACACTCATAGACATGCGCTCTCTTAAAGCTACCCTCCCTGGCGGTCATAATGCATTCATGCAATGTTCTTTGTTTTTCTATTTCCTACAACAGGATTTGTTCCAGGTAAGTCTCAGCATGAAGACCTTTGAGGGCTTATTTAACCGCCAAACAAACATGCACGCACGCACGCTGCAGCCTTCATCCGGTGATGGTGGGGCTTTGTGCAGGTGTGTCGAGGTCAGAGGCTGTCTGAGGACGTCAAAGCTTCTTTCCCAATCTGCCTCTCTCCGTCTGCCTCGCATACACACACCCACACAATCCGATCTGCGAGAAGCTAAATCAACACAGCTGCAACAACTCGGCCCTCTTCGTCCTCTGCCCTCTGCTCAGTCGTCTCCACTCTATCTCTAATCAGGTTTCCTTGCTCTGTTCTACTTTTTGCCCTTTTGCTCTCACTGTCCTTCTCTCCTCCCCTTTACTTCTTTTCATCTCCCTTTTTTATTTCATCTTGCATCAGTCGCTGGTAAATTTATACACCTAGAAGCTCTGTGTCTGCCAGTAGGAGAGGCTTCAGGTCTCACCCCTTGACTTTTCTCACACCATCATGCACTGTTTGCTCTTCTTCCATGCTGACTTTTCCCTCTATCCTTCTCTGCCCTCTTAGCAGTTGGCCGGCAGTGCACTACAACCACCCAGTTACCTCTCGCCGTGTCAGCACAGTCAGAAAGAGAAACCACCCAGGGGTCTCCGGGGGAAACAGGAGCATCTACTTCCCACTGTCTGTCCGTCTGCCTGGGTGGGTTTCACACAGGTGTGTGCGTGTGTTTGTGCACAGCGGACACACATCTTAACAAAAACCCAATGACCAGAAGCGAAAAGATCAGATGATATCGCTTACCGCTTGAGGAAGAGGAATGATACAATTTCCAATTTCCTGGGATTATTTACAAATGAAACGCCCTCTGCACGCTGCTTTCACCTTGCTTGACATGATACTGATACTTGGCTCCAAGAAATACATTTTCCAGTCTGGTACTTCTAAAGCCTCGCCACTTGTTCAGGAGGATTTTCATTACTTTTACAAGAGGGCTTCCCCCCTTCAGGCATTTTGAGGAAATTGATGTCAATCAACCCAGTTCATCATTCTTTAACTCTAATTTTTAAGTACATATTGAGACATGGAGAGACCTGGAATTTTTATCAGCCCTTCATTAACATTTTAGGTAATGAGGTAATTTCTTATTCTGGAGTAAACAGAGTAATTGTTGCCTGGAGCTATTGCTTTCACAGCGGCCATCAAAAATCTGTAAAAGAAACCAAACTAAGGAGACAGTGAGTTAGATAAAATAAGACATAATGTCCTGTTCTAAAAAACACAATGGTTATTTATCTTGTGCTACTGAAAATCCCCTTCACCTAATTTTACTTTCACAAACAACCACAGTCAGAAATTAGATTGCTCTGTAACATATTGATTCTCAAATTGTCAACAAACCTCAATCTGTCACAAACTGGCTCAGACAGTGTGAAATTAAGAACTCCACGCCACAGATTTCTCTAAAATAATGATTTAAATTTCATTTCAATAAAACAAAAGAGTGAAACAATCAGCGGTAATGCTTAAGACAGCAGAAACCGGTAAGAGGAACATTGAAATAATGCCTTCTCTTTAGTTTTGTAGTTACTTTTTGCAATAACTGTTGCGCTCAATTGGATGATTCACACCTTTCATTAGAGCACATGGATGTGGTGAGAGAGATTCTTCACACTCATGGTCATGATGACAGGATGTTTTCCTCAAACTTTGATGTTTTTAGCTTGTGCTTCATTTAGTTTTGAAGGAACTGAATCAAAAACAAGTTCACATACCGAATACGGCCTTTTTTTAAAGGTTATCTTTTGCCTTTTTTGTCTGTTTTTCATCAGTCACCCTTGAGAGAGAAGGAATTTGACAAGACATGCAAAAATAAAGATCCTATGAGGAGTTGAAATACTGGTTTCTGCCTGAACTATCCAAACATTTAGAAATATGTGTGAGCCTGCTTTTAAAAGGGCATCTGGGTATTGTGTCAAATTTAGGCTTTTTAACTTTCTTTATCTGAAACTCATGAGACTTAGCTCCAATTAATAAACATTAGCATGTTAACATACCGTCAACAAGGATAACACAGAGCTGCCAAGCATCACGCTTTGAGTGTGACAGTCATACAATTTGACCTATTCTCACACCACACACCACACGCCACACTTGACATTTCTCACGCTTATATTTCCCCATTCGATACTTCCACGGAAGGGACCATGCAATGTACACCAATAAGAAGCAATGTAAGGCAGGTCTTGGCGTCTCTGTCTATTTTTCACACGCAACAGTGCTGACATTTAAAACCCACTTTCTAATTTTTAACTTCTGGTGAATTAAGACTAGCATTAGGAGGCCACAGTGCAGAGAGAGCAGCTGGCATGGAGGTGAGGACATCAGTCTTAAGGTACATTGACATTAAAAAAGGTCAATTTTTTTGGACAGCCGAACACATCATAACGCTCAAGTCTCATTCTTGTCATTTTCTGAAACTTGGCAGCCCTGCTAACATAATCCTAAACTTGGCAACTATAAACATGCAGGCAGCAAAACTGAAAGTATGCAAACCGGTCTGCTCACATAGGAAAAGAAAGCAAAAGTGCAAAGTTAAGACAAGTCTGAAAAAGTCCTCTTCACCCCTAGACACCAGCAGACGCTTGTTATCTCCCCCTGTGATCCACTGTCGGGTCTGTGCTGCAGCTGTCTCCATGGCTAGCTTGTCTCTGGGGATTTTCTCCTCTAGTCTAGTCTTCAGATACTGAAAAACATACTTAGGCTGAGGTCAAGTGACTTGAGGACTCTTAACTATACGAAAAGCTCAAACTCAAATCAATACGCTGGAGTACAGAAGCAAAATAACGAGAGACCTGTCACTGTCAGTTAAAAGATAAAGTGTTTGATACAAATATTCCAATAATTGCAAGACACACAGCTGGAGATCTGATGCTTCACCACAGGCAGGCACAGAAAAAATAAGCTAGCAGCTTTAAAGCAAATAAGAAATATGCAAGAGCTTACTTTCATAATTGAGGTCAGAGGTAGACACTTGCTTTAATCCCTGCGAAGGTTCAGGTCACCGCATCCATCACTCACACATCCACACAACAGTCCTAGTCATTCATCACTCACTCTGGGATTTATTAGTCAGGTCTGGAGCCAGAGGGTAAGAGGTTAAATGAAGAGTATTGTGTTTGCAGTTATCAGCAGAGAAGAGCCCAAAGTGGGTCTGTGTGTTAATCCCCTCCAGTGCACACAAACACACACACAAACACACACCATCAGATGTTTATTAATCAACAGTGTCTGTCGCTGCCAGAGAGAGAAGTTAAATATACTTCATACAGCCGTGCTCATTTGTGAAACAGTTAACGCACACTTGGCACATGGTTGCACTTACACAAAGACACGCACACAGTAAACAATCTGATTATCATCTTGTATGTAAACTCCTTAACACACAAAACCCTGTGGACATCTAATCGGCCTGTAACCCAGCAAAGCGCCCAGCGGGTGTCTACACACATACTTCTTTAGCATGCTGTTTGACCATACAGCACACTGACATGCTCATTCTCTGCCTAATACACGCCTACGCACACATGCACACACACACAACTTAATATAAACAGAGCCGCAACCAGCTAGCTGGACAGCCTGAGGGCTCTGCACCGTGTCTCATCACTGTACGCTAATGTCCAACACAGTGGTGGTGCTCGGCATAGCTGCTGTCACTTTGGCTTCAGATCCAGGTTATTTGCCTGGAGCTCAAACAGGCCAGGTTCTGAGTTACAGGGTCATCGCTTTCACATGAGGCGCTCACTTTTGTCTGTGGCAAACACAGTGTCGAAAGAACTGCACGAGCTGTTATTACGAGCTGCAGCTTAAAAGCCTGTCTGCTGTGTTCAAGTCTTTCACATGCAACGGGAAAACCAAAGGAGTCAGAGTGTGTCTTTCTGCGTGTGCACCTCTCTCTGCGCGTGTCTGTGTGTGTGTGTAAGCGCTCTATCTCACCAGCCTCGAATCCAAAGCAATTAGAGGAGCCAGATGGTGGGCTGGACTCACAGTAAATAGCTGTGCATTGACAGAAGAAGTCTGCAACAAAAATGAACTGTGACAAGAAGCCAGGATGACACACAGATACATGATGGCATCAAAGCAGCAGGCAAACACCGATGACTTGCTGCCATAATTGCCATAAACCAACTGTCCCCATGAAGAGGATGTTAACAGCAGAACTGAACTCTATCTTTTGGTGGGAGCACACAGGGGCTGCCTGCATGTAAACCAAATAAGGCAGGTGTACATGCATGCATGAGCACACAAACACACAAACCTGAACTCACACGGACAGCCCTCTGCACGCCCGTCTGTTAAAATTTGACCCAACCAGTTTGCTTTAGTCAGAGTTCAAACAATGCAGCCTTTGAGAGGAGCTCCATTCACCCAGTTTCAGCTTGGCCTGCACATTCCCCAACTGAAAACACAAACTGCTTCTCTCCAGGAAAACCACTGAAGCTACGGCACCGCATTCCTCAAATCCATCCCGTTTTATGTGTGTGTGTATATGCACCGTGTGAGCCTGAGAGGTACAGAGGCTCAGCTCAATATAATGATAATATATATGTCTCCTTAAATAAAAGGGAGCATGTGAGCTGTGCGTCATCCATCTTCATTAGCCGCATACTCCGATGAAAGCCTAATAGAAAAATGTGCCCTTTAAACAAGAGTACAGAAGTCTACAGCATACCTGTTACCAAGGCAGCGAGTTCAAATCAGCCAACTAGGACACACATATACAAATCAGAGAGACCAGAGGGAGGCAGGGTTTGATTTAGGGACAGTTATGATCCACAAAATTGGTTCTCCGATTCCCGTCCTCAGTTTGCTGTGAGCTTGTTATCTCAGGTCTGTTGACGCACACAAAGATTTATCAAAACTGAAATGAGACAAATGGCTAGATCAGGAAATGAGAGTAGGGGGACTCAGGAGAGGGCTGGTGCGTCTGGAATGTGTCAAAGATGGCTGACAAGAGACAGATAGGCCACTTCATATCCTGATCAATTAATCTATAAATCTAATCAGTAAGAATCAATGACTTGCACTTCTTTCAATCTGCTTCCTGAGTCATCTGAGCTCACCTTATGTGTTAAGGAGACAGAAGGAAGAGGGGGGGAGACACAAGACACCACGCTCAGCAACACGGGCACATTTTAAAAATCAAGAAATCTTTAATAGCAACAAAATACGAAAAAAAAAATATAGAAAGACACGACAAAATTGTGACAAGGTTGAATTCAATTTCATTTTTTCAAAGACCAAAATAAATCAAAATTAAAAAATACAAAAAAAGAAAAGACAATTTTTACACAGAGCAGTCGATAATAATAATAATAAAAAGCACATTTTTTGGACTGTTTTGTTGTGTGTACAGTTCATTTGTACAGAAGAAGCACATTTTGCCAGTTTTGGCAGCAATCACAGCGCAGCAGTCAAGAATAAAGCACTCCGAAAACATAAATTATAAAGCACTGCAAAATAACAGAGAAGAAGAGGAACTGTAATAGGAGAAAATAAATCCTTCATGCTTGCTGTCACTGAAAATACACAAACGTGACACCATAAATTAGTAATTCTTTTCTCTGCTACATATTTATATATTTATACTATGTACACAGGAAGGACTTCTTTTTTTTCTTTTTATGCAAGTGAGATGAGAGATGTTAAGGCTTTAATTAGTCATCAGATGTTTGGAGCCAAAGAAACAGCAACAGTATGTGGCTTTCTGGTAAAGAAAGAGTTTCTTTTTTTTTTTTTTTTTTACCATCTAACCTTGTGCTAGACCCAGACCTGGATCATGGATTTCTCTGAAAGCAATTTGTCTGACAGGGCTGTACTTGGTGGGTGGCAATGCTGTGTGTGTCTGCAGAGGTGGTCATGGTGGCGGGGGTGGCTGGAGTGAAAAAAAAAAAAAATCGAAAACAAAATTCAAAAGGGGAGTGGGAAGTTCGGACTCTCTAAAAGCAGAGGGACAGCTCTGGATGTGGATGGAGGTCAGTAAAGGAGCACTTTTATGAAAGCTGCATTTCCCGTGCAGAAAACAAACACAGAACAGACAAACAGGTTCCTAAAAAGCCTGTTTTCTCTGACATGAGGTGAAAGGTGGGTGTCACTGATTGTGCACTGTGTCTCAGTTCTACAACTCGCTCATGGATTCAGGAAGGATTCAGACAAGAAAGCAAGTGGAGCGGTGGGACACATCACTCTGTGAATCTTCCCACAGTAAGAGGACTGTGTACAAGTCCTGACGGAGCCACTGAGCAAGAAGAGGAAAATACGGCGTGTGTTTGTGCAGCTACGCGAGCGCATTCGCGTGGGCTCGTGTCAGGAGATGGCGGACTCGTCAGGTATGAGGTGTCTTCTGCACAGTTTGGCTGTGGGAGTGAGCATAATGAGAGTGACTGAGGGGTGTTTGTGCGTGGGTGAATGTTTCTCTGCATTCTGCGTATATATGTGTACGGTGTGTGTGAGTCAGTGTGCTGTCCCCATGCACAATAATATCTTCACTTTACGAGTTTTCCATGGAGACACAAGGTGGCTGACCCCATGGCAGTGAGAGATGTCCCAGAGTCCCCCAAGCATCACCAAAACACACACTGACGCTCACTATACACACACACACATATACACGCAGCTGAGTCAAGCACAACACAAGCACTGCCTGTGTGTTTACAGTCTACCTGATAAATTATGGGTACTGTGGGTATTTTTGCACTGTGCAGGATGTCTGTCAGCGAGACGGAGAAGCCAATTGTGCAAAAAAATGTGTGTGCTTATTATGTGGAAATGCAGGCGGTATGAAATTTAACAACCTAAAAGGAACTAGCATTTCTATATAAATTTGCCTCCTTTACAAATGGACTCTTAGGCTTGAAGTAAATTCAGATCCGCTAGATCAGTATTTTTGAGTGAGACCACCGCCGAACTAGAGAGGTTTTCATTGGATTAAAAGTTACATTCTGAAGACCTCTGAGACATCTGAACCTCCCGACCCAGAACTCCTTCCTCTCCACATCCACAACACTGGCAACACTGGCTCCATCGATCTGATATTTACATTTTCATAAATATCCACATTTTCACAAGAAAAATAAAGATGCTTACATATATAGTACACAGATACCTCACACCAAAATGTACATACAACAGTTTTTGTCCCTTATGTTGCCTTTTTTAGCCCGAGACTACGTTACACTCAGATTTCTCTTTGTAGCGGTGACACACACAAGTGCAAAAATAAGTAATACATTTTTATTGAGAGTGGTTGTGGCAAATCAGCCGTGCTCGGTAAATTTATTGTACCCCAGGTTTAGAAGCTGTGGTTATGTATAAGCTAAGGCCATTAGATGATAATCCTATTGAACACACTGGCTTACGGTATGCTAGACGGTGCTCAAACAGGGAAGCTGTCTTTGTTAAGCGTCATCTGCTCCCCCTGTCCCTCCCCGGTCCCCTCTCTGAGGGTTTACAGCATCACAATAGCAAACAAGGATCTTCTCAGCCTTAAGCTGTAAAGAAGAGATTTTTACATCCAAAGTTCAAGGTTACAAGCAGCTAGGATAATAAATGCAGGCAGGCGCGCTCATTTCTTGCCCTTGGCAATGGGTCACTCTGCCTTTCACCTCAGGACCTACAGCGATCTGCAACCCAAGATCTTAGCTGGGCCTTACAAAAGGTCAGTACAGTCATCGAAAAAACCGCCCTCACCAGATTCCCAGTGGGTCAAAGGGGAGTTGATTAGAAGGCCAGAAAACCCATGATTAGAGAAGCTTCAGTGGAGCTTCTCTCAGAGATTGTCCATCACAGTCATCCAGTGGTTACATAGACACAGTGATGCATGTTAAACGTACACACTTAGTCTTGAAGACAGCTGTGTACAGTAGCTAGGAGGAACATTTGCCTGAACAGGCCTCCGGCGGCTTGTTAGAGGGATAAACTAACAGTCAGGAGACAATCTGCCCGGAGCTGTATTATGAAGGGCCGTTTCTTAGTCAATATCACTCCAAGAGCTGAACCGTTATTACTGGACCTTTATATCTCCTGATCAATTCGCCGCATTAAGCAACATCCGATAATGGAAAGATATATAAGATGATGTAATAGAAAATCTATCTAAGCTAACGCGGTCGCACTTTGGAGGTGGGGTTCTGTTTAGTCTCGCCATTTACTAAAGTAAAAGAGGAGACAGGGCACCCATGCAGTGAAGTGAACACGGCCACTCCAGGTGGATTAGTCAGTCCTACATGTCACAGCAGGCCGCGCCGGAATAGAGTAAGTGGGGCGCTTGACACATCAGGAGCAGTAAAATACTCCCCCTGCTCTCCGCGGCCATGACCTCGACACCGCCCTGGATAAATCATAAACTCCCCATAAACATCAGGAGAGAGGGATGAGAAGAGAGAGAGAAAGGGGCGAGGGAGAGATAGAGGTGGTGACGGGAGGGTGGGGTTGGGGGGAACCACCACGTCATAAGCGATAAGTGGTGGCAATCTGTTGGTCCCGGCTAAAGCGAGCAACTTCACGGCTCATTACCAATCAAGCTCCTCCTGTCAGGAGCGCTCTGAGGAGATGCGTTTGAGGAGGAGAAGAAAAGAAGAGACATGCTCCTCTCTTGCTATCCTGCCTCCTGCATCCCTCTCTCCATCCCTTGACCCTGTCAGATCGGCTCCACCTCATTCCCTTGTCTCTTGTCTACCGTCTCTTTCCTCCAGGCACAGAGCGAAAGTTTGTATGTGAATACCTTGTTATGAAGTTGGTTCGAACTCGTTGCAAACTCGCATTGATAGATTCAGCCGAACTCGGGTTAGCAGCGCATAATTTTTCTCTACATATACTGCCTCTGATAGTATAGATATGTTTTTTTCTTCTTTAAGTTTAAGAGACACATATGCATTTGTCTTTTTTCTAAATCTCACGATGGTTACCGTCTATACCTCTCAGTGCTTTCCTCAAAACCCATCACCTGCTACCAACCCAGCCAGCAGCTGTCACAGCACAACGCAGCACCAGAACAAAAAGGTTTCTCACAGGAGGACTGAGACAAGCAGGCAACATGTAGCTGGCTTGACAAGTCTTTCCACTTCGACTGTTTTGGTGAAGATAAGAGTGAATCTGCGATTGAGTTTGCCTCTTCTATAGTCAAGCTTGTATCATGAATCCATTACTTCACTCCCACACTACACAGTTTGTCTCTTTTGTCTGTCAAGAGTCCTTGTCAAGGTCCCGGTGATAGCGATAACATGAGCAGAAACAGTGGGAGACGGGCTTTTTTCTTTTCTCCGTTTGATTTCCAGTTCTTGAAGACAAATTACAGCAATGCTCCGCTCAGAATATCCTACCACACCTCCCTGTTCATTCTGTCCATCCTGGGGGCTTGACTGTGATTAATAATGGGCTATATTCAAATCAATTTTCAAAAATAAAAGTGGTAATATTCTCTCTTTTTCTATCAAACAGGGATAAGACCCTGAAGCCACAAAATCCACCGGAGGAATCTGCTCATTCTACTTTCTTCCTCCTCTCTTTCCTCTTCTCCTCCTTCTCCTCTATACATAAACAGCAGTCCGAGAGATGACCGAGCCGTCCCGCTGGGACTCCATGTCATCATCCAGGTATTCTCCCATTATATCTTCCTGGTCATGTGGAGGGCGGAGCTGAAGGATAGGGGCCCCGCCTGAGAAGTGGTCATACCTCTCGTCCTCCTCCAGCTCATCAAACTTCCTCCTCTCTGCGTCATCTAATTCATTACTCAGCAGGATGTCTTGGGCGGTTGGTGTAGTTGCAACAACTTCGGGCCGGCCCCCTATGGTGAGTGGCTGGTGGTGGTTGTTTTTCTCCGCGAGGCCTTGGTGGGAGGAGTTCTCATCATAGACGTAGATGGGGCCATTGTTGTTGCCGCCTCCGACGCCGCCACTCCCCGTGCCGCCGCTCGTACCATTCTTGCTGGCCTTCTTTCCACCACCGAATATGCGCGTCTTCATGTCGCTGCCCCCGTTGGCGCGGTAGCCTTGCTGTTGCCTGCGGCTACGGGTGACGAGCACGGCGATGAGAGCGGCGACCAAAAGGAGAGCCAGCAGGGAGCCAATCACAGCTCCTGCCACCACGCCGGCATTGGATGGATTCACTGAGGGCTCTGCAGGAGGGGGAAAGAGAGGCAGAAAAAAAGGAAGACAGGGATATGGTTGAGAAAGGGAAAAAAGAGAACAGTGTGAAACATGGTGAGAGGCCGAGAGGGAAATAGACAGAAGAAGAAGAAGGAGGAGAGAGAAGAAAGGGAAAGAAAGAGGGTCAGAGACAGAAGGTTGGAGGAGGAGGATGTCAGTGGTGCTGGACTGAACTGTATTTAGTCAAGTGTGTATGAGTGCTGAAGTGTCAGTACAGCCAAGTGTAAGTCCATGTGTCCAAGTGTGTGTTTGTGTATGTGTGCTGAGCCTCTACATTGACATTTCCTGCTCTCCCTCAGAGCTGCTCCTGTCCCCATTCCCACAGCCACGTCACACCAACGTCCCCGCCACGGTTCCCCCTGTGTTGCCCTTCATTTGCCAGGGTCCGTCCAAGTCTCACCACACTTCTCAAGGCAAGGCAGGCAAGACAAGGAAGGGTGGGTGGGGGGTGAGACTGTCGTGCAAGCAACATGCGCACATTTCCAGAAGGAGGAAGGGGGGGGGTTACAGGGCAGAACAGGTGGAGGCCATGCAGAGGAGAAGGAGGAGGCTGATGATGGATGGAGGAGAGCGGGGCAGAAATTAGATGAAGAAGAGGAGGAGGAGTGAGTGAGTGACAAAGTGACATAGCGGGATGACAACTCTCCCTGGAAGCCATGAGTGTGGAGCAGGAGAAATCGGATTGGCACCCCTCTCTCCACTTGTGTAAAACCACAGGCGCTGGTCTGCGTGTCCATTTTCACTCCAGCACTACCACTTTAGTCATAACTGCCATGTTACATACACACGCACATGAGGAGAAGCCATTTTGAGCTTATCTTGAATCAAACTGCGGTTTTCCTCGATGCAGAGCAGCCAGGGAAAGAATGAGTAAAACTAGGGCTTTGCTATCAAAAACAGAGGGGTTTTTTTTGTTTGTGTAACACAATCCCAGTGAGACACAGTGGTGTCTAAATCAGAGCGGTGAAGATGTCCCTCATGACTTGTCGACCATACAGTGCTCTCTTTCTGAACTCACACTCCCTGCTACTTCAACATCCCTCTGCAGTATTATTAGTGCAATATATTTCAGGTAGGAGGTATTTTGAAAGTAAAAGATTCAGTTGCTTTTGCAGAGAAGGAAAGCACAGGTGAAGATTAGGGCTTGATATTGTTAGGTATGTTATTGCCAAGGTAAATCAAAGCAGATCAAGGTTTCAGTGCCACTACAGCCAATGCCAAGACAAATACTGAAAAGGTTTTGTAGGTAGCCTCTGAGGATCTTCTCTGAACAAAATGGAGCTGTACATCAAAACAAATGAATCAGGAAATATACGATCAAAACCCCGGGACTTCATGTACTTTTATGAATCTGATAATACACAGCATCATATCTTTAATCTAGTCCGTCATAATAAGCGATCTAAAACTGAACTCAAAAACTGTGCCCACTCAGAAGTTGCAAAATAGATGTTACTAGTTTATCAGTCCTGTGCTGCGGTAGAAACATGGAGATGTAAGATAGCAGCCGACATGGAGGAGGACTCAATCCTATGAAGGTTTAAAAAGCTCATTCCAAGTCAGCAAAAAACAAATAGATTTGTATATTTGGATGATCGTACACTAACATACTGAAGCACTATATTCAATTTCCACCAGTTATATTCTGCTTACATTCACACCAATAGTTAACAGTGAAAACACAGAATAAAGTCACCTCTGGTTAGAAGTCAAGATTTCTCTTCTCTATATTCAGGAAATTTATGACTTGTGTTGTACACTGCTGTTTTAGAGGGCTACAAAAGAGCAGGCTTTTTAGGATTCAGGATTCAATTTCATGATAATTATAAACTGTAGAAAACACAGAACAACAGCTTCTACTGAAAACCCAGGACTGATCTGACATAGCATGTCTGAAAGGCTTTGAGCTGATGTTAGCTTTTCTTCAGTTAGCGCTCTGAGCCAGGCCGTTCCACAGGGAAAGTTATCTTAGCGCCTTTTTACTGCATTAGTAAAAACTTGGTTGTGCGAAAATAATGATGAAATGTACATTTTTATTGTTGCCCAGGATTTACAGGGGTACCCTGAGTGTATGGAGAGATACTTAAGCCAAGATAGCTGAATCCATATCAAGAAGAAAAGGATGGTATTAAAACGTCCCTTCCTAGAATCGAACCAAATGCCAGATGTATGCTTTTAGAAGTATTGAGGTTTGAGACAAGGCTTTGTTAAGGGACTAAAAGCGAGTAAAGCCTTTAAGAGAGCCATCAAAGTGAAACTGCTTTACACGAGCTTTTTTTGAGGCCAAGAGTTCAGGGCTCTAAGTGCTTCCTGGGGTTATGATAACTCTCCACAGACTCTGTGACCAATTCCCCACGAGGGCATCATCTATATCTCAGTGAGCAGGGATTATAGCTCTAACACTGAGGAGTTAGGGGTCAGCCCCACCCACGCTGTTAGCTTTCACTCTACTGCCAAACTCTTAAATGCTCTCCAAATGACACTACTTATTCTGCAAGGAGATAAATATACAATCACAAATCATCATCATCATCGTTTATTTAAGCCTCAGAAATCCTTGAGGTGTGGAGATGCAACGAAAATACACCAAGTATTACTCAGTGAAAACAATTACACACTGTGATTAAGTGATCTGGTATAATTGACTTGAATTGTCCACAAGGGAAAGGGTGTGTGTGGATTTTCCAAGTTCAGAGGCAGGACCTGAAGCGTCAGCTGGTTAGTGGAATAAGTCTAAAAGGTCCAGTTGGTAGAGACTTTATTCATGAAGAGAGAAAAAGAAAATCATACAAGTGCTTATCATGCCTCTGTTCAAGAGAAGACCAACAAAGAATACACTGTTGAGAGTCAAAGGGATCACCAATTATAAATCTAAGAGCAGACAGACTGAGCCCGGGGATTTGAGGGTGGAGGCTGCGGATGTCTAAAGATAACATCACCATGATTGAGAACTGGAATTAAGACTGCATTTTCCGAGAAGTACGAGTTAAGTTGGATCTGTTTGTATAGAATAATCACAGTTTTTGCCAAAGTTTGCAAATCATGGATTTTAAATGTAAATGATTCATAAAACCAAATCCCCATATATTTATAAGCTGGGACTCTTTCAATATAACTACCACCACGCGGTGTGGATAGTTGCAGACTGCTAAAATCAATATCTCTTGCCCCAGAGAAAAGCATAAATTTACTTTTGCTGCATTGAGTTTCAGTTTAAGAGGAATAAATTCATACTGTAAGACCTCGAAACAAAACAGGAACTTTTAAGCAGAGAGCTGTAAAGAGTCAGCAGAGCTATACTGCATGTTGACCTCTTTACAAAAGATGAGCTGGTCAGTGTCATATGGTCCTCCATAAACTGTTTTAGAGCTGTTTATGGAGCTAAGATAAACAGACTTTTGAGCGTGTGTGTGTGTGTGTGTGTGTGTGTGTGTGTGTGTGTGTGTGTGTGTGTGTGTGTGTGTGTGTGTGTGTGTGTGTGTGTGTGTGTGTGTGTGTGTGTGTGTGTGTGTGTGTGTGTGGAGGGGGGATGGTAGGGCAGGAAATCACTGCTTGATTGTAAATTGCTCCATCTTTTAAAAGGTTTTCATTTAGGTGGAAAATATGTTTTTTCTATGAATACACATAGCTTTTGACTTCTATCTAATGCACCTTTTTGTTGTGTTTGGATCAGTCTGAATAGTTGGGGACCCTTGAGGCTTTAAATAGCTCATACAATCACTGAAGAAGAGAGGCACTGTAGCAAAAACATCTTATGGAATAAAAGGGAATAAAGTGTCCCTGCTTTCTTCAGATATTTAGCACAGAGGCTACACAATAAAACCAAAAAAGACATAGTGAGCCAATGAATTTTTTATTTCCGTCCCTGTTTGAAAGTGATCAAGAACCCTTAACTAAGCTGAACATCCTTTCTGTCGCTCTGGCTTTCCTTTCCACTCCCTGCACTTCCAGCAGCCGCTGCTGAGGATTAACCGACAGACACTGCTGTAGAAATCCCTTTCCTAAAATTTGAGAGTATCGAATCAGGCCGATTCTTATTGTCGTTCCCATTTGAAATCCCGACAGAATCCGGCCCCTCTTGTTAAGTGTACAGAGAGACGACAGAATTACTCTTTGAACGTCGATTCTTGTCGGGGTAGAAAATGGTAGTCTGCTGCTGTCTACACCTGTGCTCAGCTTTTCTCTCCCTCTTTATCTCAGCCTCTCCTCTTCTACACCAACCTCTCCTCTATCTCAGCTTCCACTTCACCAGCTGCCTCCTGCGTACACTCTTTCAGTCCCCTCTAAATCCACTTTCCCTGCCATCTCCCCAATTCAGGGTTGTATTTCCGTCACGATTTTTTCCCCTTGTCTGCTTTCCTCCTCTGTCCTTCACTGGCAAAATTTTTCCTGTAGAAAAAAATTATAATTATGAGATGTGATTTTCTCTTACATTTCAATTTCTCCCAGCAGCCTTCCTGAAACACAGTGTTTTTCTTCCCTCCTACTCTCTTCTGAGTAGTGCTAAACATTCCAGTTCACACACATGAGAGTGAGAGCTAGCCCTCAGTGTCCACTTGTAACGGGAACACAAGAAATGCATTATCACCTCAGGCATGGTGGAGCTCCGGCACCAGCGACGCGCCAACAATCTCTGCGCAAACTGGGGCTGGATGCTGCCACAATTTGCCGTCACATCAAAGGGAATTACACAAAGATTTAAATGCAAATTCTCTGAAAATTCGACTCATCCAATTATTTTTAATGCGCCACTCAAGTCAGTTTTCTAAGTGTCTCTCTCAAAGTTTCTGCTGGTAATTCCTTTCATGGGTGATGATTCATGTTTTATTCCGTCCTTCTGGACACAACACTTGAAAGATTCAAGAGATAGATGTAAAGGAGCAACCCCAGTCTCCCAGTGCGGGCCCACTGCACTGCCCCGAAACAGAGCACAAGAGAAATCTTTTTAAGTGGGTGAGGAGAGGACATCTTCTAAACACATGCTGTTGGATGAGCCAGCAGAAAAACTGCAATATGCATGCTGTGTGGATAACAAGGGGGGAAAAGGGGAAAAACAAACATGCAAAACTACAGTAACTGCAGCCCCCGAGCACCAAGCCTTCCTGTCCTCAACACACACACATGCACGCGCACGCACACACACAGCATACTGCAGAAGCCAAAACACAGTATGCTTCTTATGAAGTCACGTCCAGCATGACCGTACACTCCAAGTGACCGCAAGTAATGAGGGAGATGGAGTGGAAGTAACATTGACTGCAGCCTCCCAAAAATCATGCATGGTCACACACACACTTACACACTCGCACACACACGCGCACACACACAGCATCATGGTCATCAGTGGCCCGCTGATGCCGGGCTGGGCTGAACCTAGAGCATAGCTGAGCAGTACCCTCTGTCAGCATGTTAACTTATTGAACAGAGCTGTGTGTGAATGAGTGTGTGCGCGTGTGCATGGCCTCGTGCGTGCGGGTGTGTGCTAATGAGGGGTGGGCAGGGGGCCAGTTGCAGGCTGGAGGGAGTCTTGGCTCCATCAGACCTGTTCTCTAGCTGTTTTTCGCATGGCCGGAGACACACAGTTACAGACAAAGACAGACACACACACACACGTCCAAACTCGATTCAAGAAAATGGCCAGAGTCTGTGCCCTTGAACTGTCTCCTCAGAGGGAAAAAAAGGGGACCATATGCACCAAATTGAGAGGAAAGCTCTTTTTTGTCAAACTTAGTAGGGGAGCTCATTAAAGGACATTTAACTTTTGGAGGTGCAGCTGGGCCATCCTTGTAAAGGAACAATTTAGGGGTTGAAAGAAGACTAAAGATGGAGGAAAAAGTGGGTTAGCCGCACAAGAAACCCCCGTGAGAGGAGTCTAGAATGAAGAGAGGGATGGATGGAAGGATGGAGACTACTAAGCTGTGATTAAAGAACAGCTACTGGTATTTAAGAGTTAAGCTTTTGAGAGAGAGACAGAGCTAAATAACATATGAAGAGGAGAGAGAGAGAGAGAAAGGGAGAAAGCTGAGGGCAGGCGGTCCCTCCTCTGAGCAGGGGAGATCAGCTGCAGACTTCTGGAGGCTGAAAGACAACCTGGGAGAGATAAGGAGGATGAGGAGAGAGCGTATGCTAACTGAGAGGATGAGAGATGCAATGAAAAGAGCAAACGGCAGCAAAAGCGATAGTGAGGGAGAGATAAATCGAAAGAAAAGAGGAAGAGGAGAGCAGGGTAGGATAGGTTTTTTGCGTGTGTGACTAAGCAGCAGGATCGAAGATGAGAAGAGGAGAGGCAAGGAGAGGAGAGGACATCCATCCCTCCTGCTGCCTCAGGGAGCGCAGGACAGGAGTGAGGGCAGAGGACGCTCAGACAGTCACACTAGACTGGATCCATGAGTGTGTGTTTTTGTGTGTCATGCAGCTGTGGGGTAGAGAGGAGTCGGGGACCTGCAATGTAGCAGGTGCTGGTCATTTCACACCTGTCGGCCTCTCTTAGGCCTGTTTGTCTACACAGATTCACATTAGTCTCTACAGGTCTGCATTGCACCCCCACCTGGTCTTTCTCTCGCTCCATTTTGACAACCATCAACTCTTTCATTTCACTTTCAAACAATACTGACTCAACCTCTGTTCTTCGCAGTCTCTCTGCCTTCTCCAGTCTCCACTCTGACACATGCTGGTTTCCTCAGTCACCTCTTAACTACCAGCAGATTTAGCTCCCGTCTTATCCTCCTCCTCTCCTGCTTCTTCTGCTCGTGTCAAAGACGGGGAGTGGGAAGGAGGGAGGAGATGGCAAGACAAGATGGAGGAGTTAGATGACAGGGCTAGGAAACTGTGGGAAGTTGAACACAAACAAACAGACCAGAGAAACCAGTGAGAAAGAGAAACACAGAGGAGTGTGGTAGAAAAGAGGAGAAAGTGAGATGAAGACTGAGCGAGAAAGAGGAATGGATGGTGGAAGTGAGGAGAGGAGCAGCCAGGAGCTGAAGCAGCAAAGGGTGACTGATCCGCTCTGAGAGGCTTGGAGACAGACAGACACACACGCCATGCTGAGAGATAGTGGAGGCCAATAGAAAAGGAGATAGGATGCACTGGCACAAGATTCCCATGGGAGTTTTAAATGCCGTCAGCATCCGCTCTCTGCCTCCATCCCTCATGCCTTCGCCGTCTCCCTTCTTCTCTTGAAGCGTGAGGATCGCATGCTGGCACTGATTTATACCCATGCATGTTCCTCAGCTTTTTAAGTCTTAGCGGCGGCCTCCACCTTCCCCGGATCTTTGTACCTTCCTTGCTTCTGTCTTGTAAAACACAGCAGGAGACCAGTGACATCCTTTTTGCTGAGGAAGTCACAGTAGAGTAACACCACTCTGCAGCAGCACAGAACGGCCCCAGAGGAGCAGTGACGCATGCTACGGCACCATAAGGAGCCAAGGGACTTAAGGACGGATTGAAGGGGGGTAGGAGAGAAAGGGAAAGAAAAAGGACAAATTGAGGAAAGAGTGAGCATATGGACAAAAAGGAGGAAACTGAGGACATGGAGTGGCTGGGTTGCTCTTAAAATGTCGCCACCAGAGAAATGCACTTTGTCCCCCCCATTATGGTTGAGGTTTACCCCCATGTCAGCAGGAAATAACTTCCGGTTAAGTGCAGGCGTGCAACAGCAGAGTGATGGGGATGTATTTTGCATGAGGTGAAATGCAGGAGTGAAGCCTTTTGAGAGGGGCCAGCTAAAACTAAGGAGAAACATCAGGGAATAAAAGCATGGCTGTTTCTGCACCGTCCTGGAGGGTTTAACTCAAAAGACCAGGGGTGGTTCAACAAGCTCGACTAAACCTGAATACATGCATATGAATAAATACGAACCAGCGAAAAACACACACACACAGAAACAGTCTGGTTTGAGTTCAAGCAGTAAAACACTTCAATCAACCCAAAAGTGTGAGTCAATATATCACTTTGAGTAATCAGTCTTCTTTGAAAGATAACTACTTCAATAAATACTGCTCATTTGCTTCCCTTGAGTGTCCTCTGGCATCACCAATGGTCAAGGGTACTGCTGAGATGCTACTCAGTTGCTTTTGTGTTCTTGCAACTGCTCCCTCGTTCAAGAAAATAACAAAAACAGAAGTACTTTCACTTATACTGTATATATATCCAACACTTATACCGTAAACTACCTCAAAAAACCTTGTGAAAATTGCCGCATAAACGCGGTGTGATGTAGGAGGCAGCTGTGCAGACCTTGGTTGCCACTAAGGCATAGAAACTTTGATAATGTGGCATAATTGAGTGCATACAAAGGGAAACAGAAAAAAGTGAAACGCATTCTCAATAGGCAGCAGTGAAGGACGGAAATGAAAAGGTGAAGGAGAAAGCCCAAAAGCACACACAATGCAGCAGATATACACTCACTCTCTACTCGCACACCCCTACACAGAGCAGCTGAACCCACTAACCCTATACTACACACCAAAGACAGTACTCAGCACAGAGATTGTGTGTGTGCATGTGTGTGTATGTGTGTGTGTGTTGTGTTCCAGTGACATGTGAAACAGTACAAGGTGGATCCCTGGGGAAAACATGGGAGTACAGTACACCAGGAAAATGTGTAGTGCATGTGATGAAAGTGCACTTGGTTCCAGTTCATCAGTTCAGAGGATATAAATGTTTTTATATAGAAGCCAGGGGAAGGTTTAGATGATGAACGGGACCCAAGCGAGCCACAAATGTGTTTTTCATTTCACTTCTGAAATGTTTGCTGCCTTCGCTGACACGTTTAGTGTGTACAATTTGTCAGTGTTTTAGACCATTTGTGACTTGTGCAAATTATAATTCGTCTTGGTTTTAACCTACTTAGAGGAGCAGATGGGTGGATTTGTGATGGCAGAAACAATTCTAATGCCAATTCATCAAATGACGGAGAAGAGAGGTGTGGAGAAACAACACTTCTGTTTCTGCTCCCTGAGGGAAAACACCACATTTGTTGTACTCTGAGCAGGTTAAGGTTTCTTTGGGTCAGATAACTTTAAAAACCGACCAAACCACTCGTGAAACTGCTGATAATGTCGGTGTGCGTGTCGGGTAATTAACTTACCTCTAACCATGGCTGTGATCTGGTCCCTGCCAGTGCCGATGCGGTTCTTGACCTCACACACAAACGTAGTGTTGACGGCGTCGTCCACTTTCAGCACCTTCAGCTCATTTCCGTTGATTTGCACTGTGTCCGGCATCTCGCCCGACATACTGCAGGGGACACAAACGTATTTTCATGAGAAAGGAGAAAATAAAGGAGGCCAAAAGGGAAAGGAAAAAAAATGAGAGGACTGTAGTTTGTTTGACTCGCTGCACAATGAGAGCACTGGGCCACATCCTCATTCACCGAAATGTGCTATATTGTGCAATACCATCGCATTCAGCTAATCTTGATCGGCGGTGCAAAACTAATCAGTTTCCCTCTTCCTCAAAAGGCAATCTATTATCACACAGCAGAGGAAAACGCAATGGGGATGGCAGGAAAATCAAAACTACTGGATCCAGGCCTAAAGTCTCATCTGTCCCTTTTCCCAAGTCATTCCTTCAGATATTTTCAAACGCAGTCACAGTTATTTTAATAGCTGATAAAACAGAAATAGAGAGAGAGAGAGAGAGAGAGAGAGAGAGAAAGTCATATTGTGTTTCTCATTATGCGGGGGTTAAATCTCGAGTCACGGAGTCCATTATGAGAAATCATACGCCTATCTCCATAATCAGCGCATGGGGCAGTTGTGGCAATAATAAAAACGCTGATTACAGCTCTGTGGACCTGGGAATGAAGGGCGAGGGAGAGAGTAATATAAAGAGACACCGGAGAGGAGAGACACGAGGTGTTGAGAGAGAAGTTGGATATGCTGATACTCACGTCTTCCACATGACAGAGAGAGGGACGGGGTTTCCATTCGCTTGGCAGGTTAGCAGCACATTTGTACGACCCACGTACCAGTTATTATCATAACCCACGATTGTTACTTGAGGGGCGTCTGTGAGGATGATAGATGGAAGGAGGGAAAAAAAGCAGAGACTTCTATTAGCCAAAGCAAACATATCATATTAGAGCGTGAACAGCAAGGGGATTCACAGCTAATATGTGTGTTAAATTGTGTATGTGTGTGTGTGGTCACTTACACTGAACAGCCAGCTTCAACGGGTAACTCTCTGCTTTGACCTGCGTTCTGTGCGTCACCACACAGCTGATGTCCTTCCCGTTGTCTGCCGCTGTGGGAACCATGCGGTACTCGCTGTTCACTGTCACGGTGTTGTCAGCGCCCGGCTTAGACACTGTCGTCCCATTACCATTGGCTGTGGTCACCCATGAGATCTGTGCAGCGGGGCGGCCATCCACGGACTCGCATTTTGCCACAGTGACGGTCTTAGTCCCTGCTACAACTGTTACGATGGTGGCCATGTTCCGGGGCTTAGCTGATGGAGGGATGGATGAGGGGAGGAGGAAGAGACACAGAGGGGGAGAAAGAAGATTAAATTATGTTCAAAAACAGAAACAAGAGCATGACAGCTGAGGGGAAGGATAATGTGCGCTGTTATTGATAAACAATTTGTGTCACCAGCTGGGCAAAAAGAAATCCAAAAACCTCCTTCTACCAGCAACCGTCGGCCCCTCCCCTTTCTTTTTTCCTCATGAGAGCCAAACATTGATAAACTATTAACCAAAGCACCATTGCAAACACACCCAAACCCTAAATCTTCCCTTCCTCCTCCTCAACCTTCTCTTTAATCTATTCCCTCGCTATCCAAATTACTCACCATTGATAAACCATTTCCTCTACTTGTTGTGCATTTCAATACACAAATTCTAAATCACTACATGAGCTCTGCGAACCACCACCCCCTCGACTTGATAACGCTCCTCATAACTCCTCAATGCCTCTCTCTGATACGAGTGTGGGATCAGAGGAAAACAGGCAGGACAGGAGCTGACAGCAGGCATGACAAGCAGCCAGATCAATAGAGAGCCTGAGGGGAGGCAGGGAGGCGTGATGCGTTGGGGGGAGAGTGAAGAGAGCAGAGCGGAGGCACTGGTGCTGGGCCAAGGTTAGACCAATGGTTCCATTGCATTAACAAGAACACAATTGATCTGACAATACCACTTATAATAGCAATTAAGTCGAGCTGGACATGCTTTTAACCTGCATGCTACCTTTGGGGGAGGGAGAGAGCTGGAGAGATCAGATACAAGGAGGTGGGTGGAGAGTACTTTGCATTTTTACATATATATTGAACTGCTTCCTACATTACACAACATTTAAAGTGCATACACGCACACTAGATGGAGGGATGTGTGACAAATTAAAGCAAAAACCAACCGCGAAAAGCTGAAATGCACTACGGCAGTTTCAACAACTCTGCTGGAACACAAAAATGAGACGACTGACTGAAACAAAAAGCTTTAGCTACTACTTCCATTCACGGTATGACAGATGGGTAAAAACTACAGATTTTTCAGGACAGAGCGTAGAGCGTAGACTCGGGTTTGATTCCTCTGTGTCTGAGATAAAAAAAATCCAATTTGGGCTTTGAAGTGGTTCTGTTCCTGTTGTAATAAAGCAGAACATTTTTTTACAACGAAAATTTTAACAGTGTAGTACATCCAAGGGAGGGAGAAACCGGTGCTAGGTTCAAGCCCAAGAGCACAAGTTGGTGGATAGCATTTCAAACAGCCTATGTGTTACACTTGACAGAAAAGGCATAAAACAACAAAATAGGTTCACAGTATTCATGACTTCAGAGCTCCTGCGAGCCTCAGTTTTGTTGGGAGAGGGAGACTCGGGTGCACCAGACTTTTGCGAGATCTGACCACACATTGAAGGCCAAGGTGAAATAATTCATGCGCAAATTGAGAAATTAAGATGAGGACATCAAACCATTGTTTTTGTCACTGCCTGATTTCTGACTCATCTGAATTTTCTCTTTTTACAAGATGTCAAAAAGCTATTGAAAGTGCCCATAAAAAATCCAAAGTTCCCAAAGAGAAGCTTCTTTGGTCAAAACAACATTTTAAAAACCCTGGTCCTTGAATGTCTGAATGAAGTAAACAGAAAGTCCTCACTTTAAAGAAGATGACACTGGCACAGGTTTGACATTTTTCTTGGAGAAAAACACCCGATGATGAATGGTCTTGTAAATTTTGCCATTCCTTTTTTATGAAAGATGATTAACTTCTTAACTAATTCATTTCTTGTTGATTTGTTATCTGGACGTGTACCACACACTCGCCCGTTTCATCCTTGAAATCTTTGTTGTGTGTGAAATTCAATATCCTCCATATATCAGATTTTCAAACAATATTACTTGCAGTTTAGGGTTTCGATTCTTAAAAATAAGAACAATCCCACCGAGCAGTCTAAGCACGCACTGTAGTTCTTGTCACAGCAGACACTGGTTGGACCCTTTTCTGAATATCTCCCCCAACTCTCTAATCCCCCCATTTCATGTCCCTCTTCAACTGTCCTATCTAATAAAAGCTAAAATGCCCCAAAACACAACATAAAAAATAAAAGAGTCAATATGAACCCAAGAGTTTGAATTCATTCTTTGTAAGTTTCAAACCTTTACCAACTTGACTAAAAAAAAAAAAAAGACGGTGACCCACTTTTGAACCCAATAGAAGCATCTGAATCAATTTTTTTTTACCCATTCCCTTTTTTATCTAATCATTATTTTCTCAGATCGTTTTATTGACCTACCAAGCATGACCAGGTATGTGATGCCTTGCTCGTTGCCTATGGGGTAGGTAGCATATTCGCAGATGTACTTCCCCTCATCGGTCATCTGTACATCAGTGATCTGAATGGAGGGACTGGCCAGGACTGGTGGGGTGGGTTTGAAGCTGACTCGTCCCCTCACTGGCGAATCCGGGTAGTTGGGATCAAAGTTGGGGTGAAACACGGCGATGTTGATCCTCTCTCCATCCCTGGGCTCATAAATCCAGGTGACCTGTGAGAGGGGGGGAGGGGAAGGACTCGGGGTCAGTTTGTTAGGGCGCGTGAGCTGAATGAGGAAAAACAACAAAGCTCGTTTATCACACTCCTGATAAGCGACACTGAAGAGCTTTTTAAGACATCTGCATTTCGCTGTAAACTCCACGGGGCAGCGTACCCAGCATCCCAATCAAAGAAGTGGAGCAGGTATGAATATGGATGTGAGTTTTTCAGGAGCAGTAGTCTCCCTCTCTCTCTCTATCTCAGTGAAAACAAGCAGAGTTGTGCACTTCCCACTTCATTGAGATGCGACTAAGGAGAGCGCCCATTACCATATTCAATCCCCTTAAGCAAAATGAAGCTTAGTATTGTTTGTTTGGAGTAATAAAACATTAAGCCTAAATGTGATAAAAACCTATTACTTGCCTAAGGATTATTCTGTGAGCTATGATTTGTTAGGTTCCGGTTTAATGTGGTCGGTAAACAAGACACATTAACCTGTTTTATCGTTTTATGTTTGTTTTTAAATTGCAACGATGGCTCTTCTCTACCTTTGTTACAAGCTCCACAATCATGTTAACATATAATTAAGAAAGATTTTATTAAGCAAGAAAGTGGCTACATGTTTAGTCAAATATTACATTGTGTTGTCACTTAATGTCCAGTGATTGTTCTCTTCAATTGTGAAGGAAAATTGGAGCACCGAGCAATTTCTGCAAACTGTTCTGTGCCAAGTCAGCACAATAGGCGGCAATTTCAGGATGAAACAGACATTTTTATTACTGTTTCATACCACAAACCCAGTTTAGAGCTGATATGAGTGTGCTGGAATGAAGACGTAATCGAATCTTAACAGAGAAGAGAAAAGCAATTGTGTCATGAGTGTGTGTGTTTGTGTGTTTTTCTGACCATTGTGAGCTGAATCCCTGTAGGATCTGTGAAGGCACAGCGCAGGTTGACTGTCTGGCCAGGATATGACAACACCTCCGGTTCCACCTTCACCCGCTGACCTGACGCTCCTGGGGAAAAAAACAGGGAAAAGCAGAAATTAATTTCACTTGTTTCCTTCCTTCCTGGACAGGGAGAGGAGGCAGGAAAGAGGGAGCAGAGGATTCATGTTGGTACAAAGCCTCCTGATGATAAATGAGGACAGTGAGGAAGCGTCTGCTGCAACAGAGGACAGGCATTAGTGAACCCAGGCAAGTAGGCCGAGAGTCTGGTATCACTCTATGACTGTGTGTATGCGGACGGAGAAGCTCAATTTAAAAAAGCACAAAAAAAAGAGGATGTGTGCTGGGGAAAAAAAGGACGAGAAAAGGCAGTTCTCTTTTCTTCATAGGTCATAAATCATCCGGATGCTTTTCTATAGCCTGCCATTTGCTGTGCCGACACATTCCTGTGTTACAGCAAAGAGTCCAAATAAATATGCTTTTCTTGGTGTGTTGTGTCAGTGGGCGTGAAAGAAACAGTAAGAACGAGGGAGCTTTAGAACGACAATCTGTCCATGTAAAAAAAGTATGTGTGTGTGTGTGTGTATATGTGTGTGTAATCCAGGTTTCTGTGAAAATGTAATTACTTGTATGAGTAAGCGCGCATTAGTGTATGTCAGCGAGATGGCACCTGTTTTAAGTAAGACTGGATTACCTGCGGATACACAATTTCAAATGTCTGCAGCAGGGGCTAGATGCACAAATGCGAGTGCGAGTTTGTGTGTGTGTGTTCCCTATGTGTTTACCAGTAAGATACACACACATACAAGAAGCATAGATGGAACTAAAATTTCCCCTACAGACAAACAATTACTTGCAGAAGTTGTTCCACCGGTTTGTGCTGAGCGAAAGCTGTTGTGTTGAAACTAATACGATCTGGAGGGCTAATGGAAAAGAAAAAACATGGCACACATAAGCGAGGAGATAAGAGGAAAGGGCAGTGCTGTCCTTCTCCTTTGACGAGCAATAAACCTCATGTCTTCTTCCCTCTGGGGGGATGTGAGTTATCAATACACAGAAACAGAAGAAGAGGGAGGACAGAGCAAAAAGACGGAGTGAAAAAGTGGAGGAAAACAAGCCTTTCCTAGAATAACACTGGCTCTCCCAGGACCGGCCCAATTTGCAACCACAAAACAACCCCCTTGTAGCCACAGAGGAACCTGTGGACAACCGCCGAGCAGCCCGTGGGAGCAGCAGAGAGCTGCACTGGGCTGGAGAGAGGTATTGATGCTATTTTTCCCTCCATTTAATTACACTTTATTGCTATGAATATGAGGGTGAGCATATTTCCAAACTGTCAAGTGATAACTAGGTTAAAAGGAAGAGAAAAAAAAGATATGTGAAAAAGGGTTACTGCTTGTTTTTACACACTGTGTTGTTATGTGAGTATGCGTATCTGTGTGTGCATGATCACTTCATATACTGGTGAGGATTTGCTGCTTTTTTTATATCCAACTGAAGGTCCTCATGTCAAAAGGAAGGGTAATAGATTTCGCTGCAGCAGTCATACTTTGGGCATTTTTCCTGGGTTTTCTCTTTGTCTACTGTACATGTCAGCTCCTATCAACCAATCCTCCTCCTGCTGCCACTGAACTTAAAAACTAGTCTACTCTACGCTCCTTCAGTTCGCATTTCAGCGAGGATTGTTGGAACCCTCCTACACCTCGGTCACTACTACGCCTTATCATCAGTGTCTGGGTCTAGTTCTTCAGGTGTATCACATTCAGCCTCCATCCTTCACTGCCACCTCAGAAGTCTAGGCTTTCTGTCCTCACATTCAACACTCCTTTCTAAGTCTATTAATCACTGTGGAAAATACCGACCTGAGGGATCTTTGGTGTTTTTCCTGATAAGTCAAACATTTGCTTTGGTTAGCAGATGGAGTGTGACGCCAGGCCAACAGCTCCGCCAGCCAAATCCCTTCTGTGCACGCCTTCACTCCACCGAGAAGGGCTTGAATATCACAACCACAATATTATCCCAATACCTATGAAAAACTATGAATTTTAAAACAACTCGGCAAGTAAAACTGAGACAAGGCAAGACAAGGGAGTAGTCCATACACTTCACTGATAAACACAATTAACATACATATTATCATCCTTTTATCATACTTTAGAGACGACAGTGCCTCATAATCATTATATGGCATGCTTTTATTTTGGTATTTCTCTGTCTAACAACATGAGTCACTGTATTTCTCACAAAACTATGTTCTTATTTAGAAGTATATAATTTCTGGCAAACTGTAAGCTCTGAAACTGCGAGAAAACAATTTAATTGAACATTTATACTTCCAAATTGTTCTTTAATTAGTAACCTAGAGAGGCAAAGCTCCAACATTGCATTTGGATTTCAGTTTTGGATTTCTTAGAGAGCTACTTTAAGCTTGATGACAGTCTGTCTGCTGCTTCATCTGCGTCTCTCCTTTGCTATATTATGTGCGGTAACGGGTGTAAAGGACTTCAGCTATGAGCTCACGGTATTACCAATGTACATATATTGCAATATACCAATACTATTGTCAATCCTGGTATACTGCAACAACCCTAGCTTCAACTCTTACACTTTGAGGAGATGGAGGTATGTCATCCATATTAGGGCTGGGCGATATGGCCTCAAATCAATATCACGATATATTGAGCAGTTTATCTCGATAACGATAAATGGACGATAACTACTCCACAAGGTGCTCACCCCCTCCCACATAAACTTCGTCTACTTCAGCCGCCGCTCCAGGCGCTACAACTTTTGAACTGTCCTCCATCTCCTCACTGGTCTTTCCCTCTTTGTTACAGACTGAATGGGGTGGAGTCAAGTCTCCGATGTAGGACAGCATCTTAAAGGGACATGAGACCACAGCCTACCTACACACATCCAAAACCAACTTTTATTTTTTTGACACCAAATATATTGACATTGGCAAAATGATTTTGGCTATGTCATAAATTTCAGTATCGGCAAATTTTCCTTTTTCCCTTTTCCCAGCCCTAATCTATATGCACTCAATGGGAAACGCACACATCCTACATATATGTTCTTATGATGGCTTTACTGCTCAGTTTCTGGCCTGTGATCCTCACATGTGTAAAGCATTAACATTAATAAAGCTACAACCATTTTTCAGTCTACCTGAACTATGACAAATTAGCTTTGGGAATGGAAGAATACAGCAGAGCAGAATGAGGGGTTACAGAGACCCTTGATTACTCATCTTGATTGTGGTTTTATGTACCAAGTCTGCTTAACATGTCAGGGGTCATAACACAATGTGAGACTGAAGGAAACCAATTTGCCTCAAATATCCCCTGTGTGCAAAGAAAACACCCACACATGCACAAATTGCCTGGGACTTGGTGTTCACAGACATACACAGTGTGGGGGCAGAGCAGAGCCGGACCTGTTGTCTGTCATTCTGAGGCAATAAAAGGAAAGCCAGCACAGGTCAAACCCTGCCAGAGCCGAGCTGAGAGATGGACTGGCCTTATGAGACTTCATACAGGCCCGGGGGAAGGAATATTACACTCAAGACATACAAAGACTTGCACGCCCTCATCCTCCCCGATAGTCCCCAAACCCCTGGCCCTGAACACTCGGAGTCTCAGTGTCATTAGAACAGCAGACATAGGGAAGAAGAAGTGAGTGTGTGCATGGATGTACACAGACTCGCAGAAATGCTGAGGTAAGGCGACATTTGGAGCAGTAATTGTCAGTATAAATATTTAGGGAGCCCAGACCATATTAAACAGAAGAGCGGGAGATGGTAGGAAGAGGGAGACAGGGACTTAGGGAATTAGAGAATAAAAGACAGTTCAAGGGTAAGTCTGAAAAGAATGGAGGAGCGACAGAGACACAGAGAGAGAGGGAGAAAAGGAGGATAGGAGGGGAGGAGAGAGACAACAGAAGCCCTGTGTCATTGCTGCTCTACTTTACAGTAGCACTGCTGCCTGCAGGTGACAAAAACGAAACGCCGGCACACGAACAAACAAATGTATCAACAAGCAAACTGCCCTCTTCAACATCCTAAGCACTGTCACCTATCATTACATCTTTAACACCCACTGTCAAACAAACACACACACATTATGCTGATGGCGCAGCGACAGCACTGCCATATTAACGCAGAACTCTCTGATCTCCCGCCTGGTCACGCTGACATTTCCATATTTCCCACCATTCATCTGTGAAGAGGAAAAATGAATCAGGAAGGAAGGTGGGGAGAAGAACTGTGCTGGGAGGATGGAGGGATGAAAAGGATGAGAGGAGAGAGACAGCCAGGGAATGCCAAAGTGATGGAGGATGTGAGCAGAGGAGGCGGAGAGGTGGGAAGGGGGGGGCGCACAGAAAGTGGGGATGAAAGTGTGCGAGGAAGACGCAGTGCCAGGAATAGAGAAATGAAAGAAGGAGAGAAAAGTGGTGAGAAAAGAGGAGAAAGAGGGAGGAGGAGGCGGATCTTGAAGAGGGGGAACGGTGTGTGAGCTATAAACAAGGTTAATAGGAGACATCTGAGGGACAAAAGAGAGAGACATTAGAGGCGAGGAATAAAAGAGAAAGTAGGTGAGAAAGACAATCAAAAGGAGAAGTGATGGTAGAGACTAAAAATGGAGAGGTGGCGGGGGTGGTACAGGTGGAGAGAAACAGAGCGAGGAGAGGCAGATGAAGGGAACAGGGCGGGGAGGTGTGGAGCAAGTGAGAGGCGGGATAGACTTCACACCTGACCTTGTGAGAAACACTTTATCTGTGAATAGAGGAAGAGAGGAGGGAAAACAGCGAAACAGTGAATGAGCCAAAGGAGGCAAAAAAAAGAGAAAAAAACTCCAAATCCTTAATTTCTCTGCAGGCCATTCAAGCCAGCTGTGGCTTATAAAAGGAACATACGCTTATCGGCCTGAATCCAGGCTGCCTTACTGTGACGTCTAATGGCATTCATGTCCTCTGCCTGATCCCCCGCTATAGTGGAGTAAAAGCACGGCGACAGGGGGACGTGGAGCGCAGGCCGTCACCTAAAATATCTAATGGCCTTCAGAGCTCACTGACTCTCTGCCATTTCATCAAGCTAGTGGCTATGCACTGTCAGGTGAGTTAAAATGAAGCTTCCCCATTCTCCATGTTCTTGAAGATTGCTTCCTCACACACCTCGCGCACGTCTGTGTGTGTGTGTGATAGACAGACTGTGGGTGTGTTTAGTTCGGCCTTTTCAGCAGAGTGCTGTCTCAATAAGCATTCAAGGCTTTCATTATTCTTCCACCTCTGTGTGAATTTCTCCATTTCCATTATTCTCTTGTTGTTGTTGTTATTGTTGTGCCAACCCTCGTCCCTCCTTGAAGAATAATAGCTTTGATGCAAGCAGTATGGAGTGCAGTGTGGAGCGTCACTCCTCTGTCCTGATGGAGTCTGACTCTGCCTACTCTCTCTCTTTCTTTCTTTCTCTCTGACTTATCTTCCCCCGACAAAATCTTTTTTTTACCCTCAAAATGAGAAATTAGGATGACTCCCAGCCCACCTTTTAAACTCAATGGCTGGACATGCTGAGTGTAGGACCCCGGGGTGGCTCTGATGATGTAATGAAATGAGTGTTTCTGATGACTGTTGGACCCTTTTTAGTCAGACTTCACAATAGGAGGAATGTTTCGCAGTGGTATTTCTGCAGTCTTGGAGACTTAATGATTGCTTGCCTTGGACCAAAATAAATCGCCAGCATTTGCAAACAGCTACAGCCCACGTTGGGTCAAAGCGAAAAGCCTGTGAATTATGTTTGAGCTGGTGCAGGATAAATACATGTCCATTTAAAGGTGAGGGTTTTGATCTTGTATGAATAAGGAGGGCTTTCATCCTTCGGCCAACAAACTCTTGGTGCAAGATGCCATGAAATTCCTCACTCATAATAAATGAGCGTGGAGTGTTCTTGTTTTTGTCACTTTGTAAAACAGAAAACCGGGAGATACTTTGGTTTAAAAGCATCCTTCAACCTCCCCTTAAAAAAAGAACCTGACTGGAGAAAAACTGTAAAGGATGCTCCATCAGATCCTGTTACTTCTTCACTGTTTGAGCATCGAGCTTTTATTCCTGTGTCTGCGTGTTTGTGTTTTGGCCTTGGATACAAGTGGTTTCTAAATGAAAGTTGTGCCAAATACCAGCTTTGTGAGACTCCCGGTGTGCAATTTTGTTTTTTTGTAGACACTGGCACTGAAAAGCAGATTCAATTCCACAATTATTACAGGGGGTTGTACTTCTGCATGGTGTAGCTTAGTGTTAGGACAGTGACACATATTCCTGTTGTTTTGGCTCGCTATACACCCGCAAATGGTCTTGAAATGAAACAATTACGGAGATAAAGGCTCTGACTTTCAGCTCTGAAGGCTGTTTGAGAGTGTTTGCTTCAGAACTGTTAGCCTTCTGTGTGGGAGTCGAAGCCTTTTTTTTTTCCAGATAAGCATCCAATTTTTGAGCAGTGCAAGTTAGACTATTTCATCAGTAACTTCATGAAGAGCAACAGCTTGTCGCCACCATGAGTCCTCGGAGAAACTTCAATATGCTTCTTTTTCCTGACATTAGAAAACCTTGCTTTCATTTCGTTGACTGGTGCACCTGCGATTTAAGGGCTGATATCTTATCTTATCTGTGTGAGCTGATTTGTGCAGCTTTCTAAACTCATAAAGGCAGGCGAATGGAGTGATATAAAAGCTGACACACACACACTATCAGACAGTCTTGTTTAATTTGCTTGTGTACCTGCACTCATTACTGTGACTCCTGTCTGTGTGATGACGCCATTGTAGAGTCCGAACCAAAACAGTGACACTGCCCAGGCTCCGTGTCATGTCCACCCTGCTGCTGGTGTGCACTAATAGCTGCTATCAGCTGGAATCTGGAACAGCACCAGCCTGGACCTGCTGTCTACTGCGGCTGCTATCCGACACTGTAGCTGCGCCCAATCCTCTGACCTTCACACACGCGCGAACGCAGGCACACAAACCTGGATACACTGCACATACACACACACCCATATATACAGGCGTTTAGACGTGCATACTTTGGTATGCAGGGAGTGGAGTGGGAATGCAGCTTAGCTTTGACAGGCGAGGCAGTTTGACAAGCCAAGAATAAAACTAGGAAATGAAGACTTGAGATGTGTCTCGTCTTCTCATTGACCTTTCTGTTTGGCTTTCTATAAGGGGCCGATCGATATCACATGGGAAAAGCTACATTTAGAAGTAGCTACTACTCATTATGGACCTCTCAGATGGCATCATGTTATAATCCATTCATGCTGGAGGCTTTACTAGTGGGGGATTTCTGCTCAAAAGCACTTTTGTTTGATAAAAACATGCCCCTCAAAGGCTATCATATGAGATCTGCCCTCAAAAATGAACACAGATGTCAATGAAGTTGAAATTTGACAAAGAAGAAATGCTTTAAAGGGTAAGGTGTTACAGTGAGGTTGCACGTCGGAGACACAGGAGGTAAAAAAGCAACTCTTGTGATGCAACAGGCGCAGAATGGAGAAAAAAAAGTGCAAAAAGAAGAGAGTGCTACATTTCACTTTGTTCAGAGTGACATGATGAAACACTTGATAACTGACTCTGAACACAGACTTGTGCAGAGAGAGAAGAGGAGAATCAGACACAGGCAAAGATGAGGAAGGGAAGCAGAAACGCATGAAATGTAACAGAAGGGGAGCGAAGGAGAAAGAGGGGTTTGGAGGGAGGGACACGGGGAGACATGAGCAGGCTTCAAAGTGCCAAGGAGACATGAACAGCTGGAGGAGAAATCTGTACAGGGAGGTGTGTGTGTGTGTTTGATGAGCTGGTGTGTGTGTTTATGTACACATGCATCTGTATACTGATGCATATTCCTATTTAGTTGCCTGTTTATAACAAACATGCCCTAGGACTGCAGAGAATATCATTTGCAAAAATAAGCATTTGCCAATTCAATTAAGTGTATCTTCTTAATGAAAAAGGACCCAGCAGGGAAGATTTAAAACCCTCAACAAAATACCAGTTTCAGACTCTTGAAAATGTGTACTCTTCAGCTGGAAAATACACAAACTATGTGCACCCTAAACTGGACTGTAACCTTGAGAATAAGCCCATACAGTATGTATGAGGTTGACACAAAAAACTGGCAAAGAAGAGGGCTTCGCGATTGGATCTCTTCGCCATTTAACAGCCCGGGCGCTGACATGGAATTACACACATAATAGCTCCTGCACACTTTTCTCTATAGACCTGTCTCTTTCCCTCAGCCCTTATCTCCCATTCTCAGTTATGTACACACCACAAACAGACTATTTCAAGTCGAGCAAGTTCTGGCGGTCAAACATGTCCAAAAAAATGAACCCTGTCAGTTTGATCGAATTTTCCAACACTAGAATTGATCCATCAAACTAGTGGTCTCTTGTTTTTACACCATGGGATCGTACTTCTTTGAAAAACAGCCTACACTTTGTTTAATCATTTAACGTCTGCCAAGCAAGGGGAAAGCAAGCGGAGGAGATAAAAAATGATTTGCAAAGTAGTCAAAAACGTGTGTGCGTGTGTGTGTCTGTGTGTGTGTGTGTATGTGTGTGTGTGTGTGTGTGGTCGAGGTGAGACAAAACACATTTTCACACATACAACTGCTAGGTAAACCGTAACCACAGTCAGAAACACACACCATCACACACACACACACACACACAGGGTGCAGAGGCACTCTTCTCCATCGGGTGAATAATTCATCCCCTCCTCCTCCACCTCCTCCTCCTCCTCTCATCTCTTCATTATTGATAAACACCAACATCTACACTGTACCTGACCCAGGAGAGAGGGGGAAAGGGGAGTGGATGAGGAAAGGAGAGAGAGATGGTCGAAGAATAAAGCAGCACTGTGGGGCATAAAGGAATAAAGTGACTGTGAAAGTAGACGTAGAAAACACACAAAAACGAAAATTGCCAGGGCGGGTTTTACGGCGCTGCATGTTTTCATCTGTTGCTGGGCCTATTTAGGGTCAGTAAAGCCTCGCTTGTAACCCGCAGTTTACTGTGGGCCGAAAAGGACACAACTCTTCAGAGCCAAACAAATAACTGCTTGCGTCTATACTGCCTCTCCACTGCCATCGCTTCAACCCACTGAATAAGTGACTGAATAACTTACTTGCTGGATGGCTGACAGACACCCAGCTCCCCTGCGGCTCCTGGCTCTGCTTTGTCTGCCCGGGCCCTGCACATCATTCTACCTCCACCACCCTCGCCTTCACTCGGCATCGCTCACTTTCTTCTTCCCCTTCTCTCCCTCCCTCTGCGAAATAGGCCTGTCCTGTCTTTTCATTTTGGAATAAATCCTTTTCATCCCTCTGGCTCATTCTTCTCTTCCTTGACTAGTTTCTCTTTTTTTGAGACTCTGCTGGTTCTTTTTTGTCTGACTTCTTCATTCTGGCCCAGTGTGCCATCGCTCCTCATGGTAATTGTACTGGGCATGTTATTTTAGCCCTGCATGGAATTTGGGGGTTTTTAACTGCAGGGTGACCAATGTGACAGATCTGCAGTCAGTGTGCAAGGATAAAATTTAAATCAGTGGCTTTGGGAAAATATTTTTTTGGACAAGTCTTGGCTCAGTCGCTGGGAAACATCTTGATCCATTCTCTTTTATGCAAACTGTGATCCTGTGTGTCTTTATCGACTCGAGCAGGAAGCTTACCTTGCAGTGCATGTGTCGCTCTCTCACGACTTTGACTGCCATGAATTAACGGATCAGGCATGTGCAGAGCTGGAGGAAAGTGTCGGATACCTCCAAGAGTGACTACGTGTGTCTCTTTTTATCTTCATCCATCACTAAGAGAAAGTGTATGTGTGTATACATCCATCCCTCAGTGTGTCAGTTGTTAACATAATGTGATTATGCGTCCTATTTTCACCTCTCCAACAACACTCAAATGTGAGAGTCTACCGAGGTGTCAGAAAGGATATTTTAAGCTGGGTGTGATCGCTTTTCCCCCCCGAATAAAAAAAAAAAGATAGCTGCCTGTTTAAGTGAGAGGAATTCCATGGCAACCCCGCCCCCGGACCCAAACACAGCTGTGTTTCCAGGTTTTTTCCATCGGCACCGTTCACCTTTACTTCACCTTGGCAGGGGAGGGGGGACTACATCTCCCAGCTGCTCTTCCCACAGAGCCAGGAGCCGTCACTCAGCCTGCTTCTGACGAGCCTATTGGTCAAGAAAGCTGTCAAAAACAAGACTGGCTCCGTGCTGAGGGGGTGAGCGACCAATCCAATTTATACTGCACATTAAAGGATTAAAATGCGGGAGACTGTTATTAGCACAGTCAATCTGTCGGGAGGATCACACACACAGCATGTTACCAAATCAATGACAACCATATGGAAGACAGAAGGTCAGGCACAACAAGCAAACAAACAAGGAGGTGCGTCCTAATATTATGATAAACGGATGACTGTGTCCATCACAACAGCCAGCCACAACCAGCTGGATTGAATTACTGGAGTCTGTGTAGGAGAGCAGAAAAGAAGTCTGCAGGGAAGGATTGGAGTGGACAGGCGAGTTATGATCCAAAATTTGACACCCACCACTGTGAGAGAAAAAAAAAGTCAAGTGTCTGCTCTTGCAAGTGCTGCCAACACAAGAGCAAAAGTTGTGATTTATTATGATTATTCGTCATGGGCCTGCACTGCAGTTCTTTTGCATAAATGTCAATGCAAACAGCTGATCAGTCCACCGGGATAAAAATCAAATAAATGCTTTTAGAATAGAGCTTTTTCTTGTCAGTGAGGTCGGAATATGGAGACCATTTATAAACACTACGCAGGTAGGTTGTGGGGAAACCAGAACAAAGAGATTAAGAGTGTTTAACAAAAGATAAGTGAAGCAATTAAAGCGCAGAAAGAAACCAGGCTTTGTGTATCGGAGCGGCTTCATTGTTTGAGCCGCAGTTTCTTTCCCGCAGGTCTGCAGTGAGCCGTGAGGGCGGAGGTGAACGACTCATTGTCTCCATGCCTAAATAGGAGCCAGGTAAGATGAAACTTCAACACACACTCCCAATCAGTTCTCCAAAAGAAGAGGAGACGAAAGGTGACGCCGGGGGGGAGGGAGGGATGAAACCAGGGTAAAAAAGAAGGCGGGAAAAAGGGGGCTTTGACTGTAGTTTCTGTGAAGGAACAATGAAGCAGAAGTGGAATAAACTGCTGAGGAACAAATGCGGAGGTTGTGCAGAGTTGTTTTCTTGCCCCCTCACCGCCACATCCCTTTGTACTGAATGTTAAGATCAACTTTGATTATTCTCTGAAGGACAGTCACTATGACAACTTGCCTTGGGAACATGCTGTATTGTTTTGATGTTGATGGATGAATGAACAAGTAATAGACAAGCAGACGCAACGCTCAAGGAGACAGATGAAAGAGAGAGAGAGAGAAAAACATATGAACTCCTCTTTCCTCTCAAGCTGACCTGTTCAAATTATTAAAGGGGTACAATTAAAACCTGAGGCGGCTGATCATACTGCCACAGTCGAGGGCGAGACTTATGGATCTACACGGCACAACAACTTCAATTACCCAAAATCAACAAAAGGTGACAAAAAGGACAAAAACTTAAAAAATCAGACAAGAAGACTCTGTTAAAAACTATACAGGAAAGGTATGAAACTAGAGCAATTTACCAAGAAGAGATAAAGGATTTTTAATTTAGCCTTCCTCAATTATTTTCCTTGCAATTTGTTTGACAAAAGGAATCCAATTCTCTGTGTTTCAATATAATAAACTTCAAAAAGCTGCGAACAACACTGACTCCCTTTTCATTTACGTACCCTGCTGGTGTATTATTATACATGCAAACAAAGGCAAGGCAAGAAGACTCAATAGAGGGTCGTTAAAAGCGGCTGAGAATGAGCTCACGTAGTTTAGAAGTTATTTTTTATGAGTGTTCAACCTTAAGTTAGTACCGCAGTTGTCATTGGGAAATCGGCCCAATGTTAATCACAGAGAAATAAGCTGTCTATAAGGCATTAGATTCAATCTGATCCATGAAACAATGAGTTTCATTGTAACCACACTTAATGACTCGATTTACAAGATGGAGTTTAACAGAAGACGCCTGCCTTCAGTATCTTCTCAAGATGCTATTTCTGGGGACGAACAGCTGCTCCTCTTCAACACCTTTACCGCCTGAGAGGTAAACAGCAGTGGATCCCCTTAACACCAGTCTCAGACTCGGCTCTAGCTTGTAGGGGCTCGGCAGTCACAATGTCACTGCAATTGATCTGATTGTTTGAAGACCAAAGTCGCTTTCCTGGGATCATACGGAGAAACAGACAACACGCCAACGCACACACTTGACATCACAAAAGCTGCTGAAGACATCCCCTATCAGGTCGTCATTACACCGGGTTGGAGCCTCCTTTGTTTACCGTCTCCCCCCTGAAGGCGCGGTGACAAATAAAAGGATTGGAAAGTGAGGAACAGATAGAAGAGGGTACGAACAGACAGAGATGGCCCCGCCATGCTCCGGTGACCAGCTTCAAGGACAGACGGGCCTCTTCAATATCACAGCCTCCGTGTAATTAGACAGTGCTCTGTCACGCACCAAAGAATCGCTCTTATTTGTGTCCTATTAAATGCAGTGTGGATTTCCCCTACTGCGCTTTGCCATTGAGACCTAATGCAGAAGGGGAGCAAAGGGGGGGATTTGTACAAATTTAATTACATTCATAATTCGCTCATCTTTAGCTGTAATCACCCGGGGTTAAGTTAAGTAAATCCACTTCTCAGCTAGCCACCCACGCCCTGTATTACCACAGTAAGCACAGTGTAACAGCTGGGTTTTCAGGGGAATTTCATTGACAGGCTCAAACTCTCAGAGTCAAAGTAAACAGAGCTCTTGGTATGCAGCAGTAAAATATTAACTACTTTCTACTGAAGTGCTAGGTGCTTTAGTAGGAGCTCTGTGTGTGTTGTCTGCCGGTGTTTGATACCGTGTCTCTGAGGCCACCTGCAGTGGCTCCAAAAGGAAGAGGGAAGAAATCTGCTGCTGTGTACATGGCTTGTGCGTCTTCTTTTTGTGGGTCTCCCTGTGTGTGTTGGGTGCACCTCACAGCCAAATCGCGACGCAGGCAGGCAGGCAGCCTTTTTGACGGAGGGGGGAAGAGGAGAGAAGCACATCAAACACAAGCCAACTAATCACAGACGCTGGCTAATTAGCGCACTCCTCAAAGGGGAACCAGGAGTGAGTGATGATTCCCCCTTATGAATTTCCTGATGACGCCGTGCCCCGCGCCACCATGAATCCTCGCTGCTTACAGAGAGGAGGGAGAGAGCGCGGAGGGCAAAGTGCATGGAGCGCCACCACTGATCTGGCCTTGTTGTAATCTTATCATCGAAGAGCACCGGGGCAAAGTGGCGCTCGATATTTCTTATCAGTGTTTCGGTCATGTGCACAGAGCTCCCATAAACACCATTACTGTCACAATCTCACTGACACACATACACACGCACACAAAAGGACAAAGTTTTATCTCCACATCCGCAAATTAGACTCCATGTAACGTTTCCCATTAGGGGATTTCTGGAGCGATTAAATCCCAAGCGCAGTGATATTCCAGCCTCCAGAGCCGAGCGCAGGTTTGATATTCCTGTGTGAGAGGTTCTGAGTGCTGATTAGTGAGCAGATCTGCCACGCTGATCCCAGATTTCCACGAGATCAGAGGCCGTGCTTTGAGCGCGGCGGCGGCTTCGGCAGCAGCCAATTACAGATGTGACACGCACGCTTATGCACACAACTCACACGCGCCCTGCCACACACGCAAACACACGCCTGTCCAGAAACACATTTCTCCCAGGCTGAAGTCATCAAAGTGACGTGTTCCCCCCTTCCTCCACCCCCCTCCTGCCTCTTCTCATCTCAGACAAGAGGGCACCTGTCAGAGGATGCTCAGTTCAACAGCCAGCTAATCCTCACAGAGGCAGAGACAGAGGGAAAACAAATGAACACAGAAAAGCCAATAAAGATTCTAATAAGTCCAACAGAAGCAGGCCACTGGTGGGAGTTAGCCTAAATAAAAACCCACTTCATCATTCTGCAAGTGTCCAAGTCCCGTTTTGTCTCCATACATCTAAACATCAAGCTAAACATAGATTTTCTAATTCTAGCTCTGGGCCCAGCTTTGAACAACAGAGTGTCTTTTTGTTTATCTGCAGTTACAAAAACACATTCACGTCTCCCTCATATCTGCAGATTTATGTTGGAACAATACCCTCCCTCTGCCCTTTACAATGCCGCCATCAACGGCCTGCATTCCTCTCCTATGATTGCGACGCGACAGTTGGCATTCACACGCAGATTCCCAACTTATTGTTATGACCGAAATCCTAATATCGCCCGAACGTTAACAGCTGCATCGGGGAGGACGAGGAGGGAAGCGAATTGGTGCGGCTCATCCGAGAAGACAAGGGAATGAAATACCGAATTAAATTTGCCAATTTAGAGTCAAACAGCAGGGAACAATGAGACATGTAGATAAATAAGAACATAAGAGACATTGCAAGGGGGAGGCAGAGGGAGATATGAAGTGGGGGATGAAGTGCAGAGGAGGAGGGGGGGTGGATGCTGCTGCAGAGCAGAGCAACAGCTGCTGAGCATCACATCTGCTCCAAGTGGAGTCATCAGCAAACAGACAGACTGGAACCGACCCACTGAGGCAAGCCCCAGGGAGAGAGAGGGATGGACAGAGCAGGAAGAGAGGAACTGAGAGGGAGGAGGGTAGAGGCGAGGCAATGAAGGGATGAGAAGAGGAGAAGGATACAATTAAAGAGATGGAGGGTGGAGGAAGATGAAAAGGATCTGGCAGTGCAGGGAAGCAGAGAGAGAGCTTCTGCAACCTGTTACACGCTCCACAAATGGAGTTAGAGGGAGGGGCCGCTCAGTGGATGTGATTTTTTTTTAGGGGGAGAAGGAAAACTTGATTCACTTGTTTCCGTCTTTTTCGCTCTTTTGACCCGCCCTCTTCTCACCCCTTCCCTGACATCCTTCCTCAATCTCTCCCTCTCTCTCCCCTTTTCTCTCTGACAGAACAAGAGAAGCCTGTGAGAGTAAAGATGAAAGGCCTCGGAGGGAGGTGTGTGTGTGTATGTGTTAAGGGTGTGTGTGTGTGCGAGAGATGAATGAATGAACCCTCTTATCCCTTATCCCCCACTGGAGCTGTCCTGCCTAAACACAATGGCAAAACATACATTCAACACAACAGGAGCGGCGCAGGGGTCATGCGCATGTTTTACACAGGCTCTTGTTTATTCTTGTTGCAGAAGAAAATGAGGAACATCAAACATGGCTCTAACAAGGCTTCCTCAGCATGAATATCATCTTATGTCCTGTAGTGTACACCTCCACCCTGTTGAGAAGCACCCCGAGGAGAGGTAGGGACCCTGAGAAGTACACACTGTTCATTCATGATAGCAGCGGCTGGCAGCGAGGGCAACCCCGCAGCAGAGTAAGCGATGTCATTTGGCAGCAAATGAAGGGAAAAGAGCAAAGCAGAGCAAGCTAGCGTCTCACAGCTAGCTCTAACATTAAGTTAGCCTGGGCGCGGTACAAAGCTCAGTTTGTGTCCGTGTCTCTGCATGGTGGAATAAACATAGCTTCTGCAGCACAGTTTCCTTTAGCTCGCCGTCCCCTTCCCTTTAATCTGCCCCCCTCCCTCCCCTCTTCTGTTGTCTCCCCGCCGCCTGAAAGAACAATCTACCAACGCAGCATGCCCTTCCAAAATATTTACTCACTCAGTATTGGCTGAATACAAAGGCCATTCTCTAACTCCCTCTGATGTCTACCACTCAAATAAACCCCTGCAACCACATGCACTTGCTGACCGCACCTGCTCTGGATCACACTTCTCCTCCTCCTTCTCTCTCTCTCTCTCCCTCTTTTCTCGCTCACACTTGTTTCTGGGGTTCGTCTCCTCCCAAACCTTCCATCTGGTTCCTGCCTTTGACTGATCTTAAAGTTGGTGAAGTATAAAAACAAGGAAACTAGCAACAGTAGTCACCTCACCTAGCCTGCGGCAGACAGTGTGTATCTGCTGCTCACATCCTCACACACAGTCCTCTGATTCAATCCCCCTGACACTGTCTTAACACCTTTTTCCTGTGCAGCTTGTGCCCTTCTTTCCTCTTCTCCTCTCTCCTATCTCAATCTGTCACCTTACATTCTCCCCTCGGCCTTCCTTAATCTTTAGTTTTTTCCACTTTCTGCAAACCAATTTTCAAAGCAGCTTTTCTAAACTAATCCACACATTTTCTGTTTTTAGCAAGCAAACTCCAAATATAAGTTCATTAACAATCGTGTGCTGAAATCAGCTGCAGCATCGCAACAACGCGCCGGTTTTTCCTGGCTCAACATTCATTAGCATATGTTTGAAAACCAACTCTAAATGGAATGATCAGAGTTGTTGATGAACTACAAACAAAGCCCCAGAATTATTTCTATGATGTGGCTTCGTGTCAGGCTTGTTTTTAATGTGTTGCACTTATGATTTTTTAACTAGGCGGACCAAAATAGATGCAAATGAATGGAGACTTTGAAAAAAAGCCCGGGCGCCCAGAGTAATGACACGTCCCCAGGGTGCCTACTGTTTTCGGGTGATTGTTCAAGAACTCCTGTGGGGGAAGCGAATGCTAATAAGTAATAATGTTCCATCAAAATGAAACGCAGCTTTGAGTCTTTTGTCTTGGAGCTCTACATTGCTTTCCAGCTTTCCCATCATCCTCCCTGATAGGGGATGTGGTTCCCTGGGCTGCACCTGTGTCTCATTACCGCGGCTGATGGTTCAGTAACAGACTTCTCTCTCCTGCATTGTGATCTCACTCTTTTCCCCCCTTTAGCTACTGCCAACATACATTTACCTCCAAACACACGGCCCACCCTCCCCTCCTCTCCTGGCTTATCCCGCTACATGCCATTCATATGATCTCTGCAGATTTAGTTCTCTCCGATCCTCCTGTTATAGACTCAAGTGAGGTTTGGGATTTGGTCTAATGATTTTGTGCTACACTGGCTCATGCCCTCTATTTATCAAAAAGGCCTTTGGGCAACCTTCACCTGGACACATCTTCATTTTTAACACCGCTGCCATTCTCTCTACTGAATACCCTTTGGTGTCTTTATTAGTCATCTACCAGCATAAATCAGGTCTTAAAAGATGAATATTTCAAATCAAAATCTGGTTGTCTTGCATTTCAAAACAGATTTTTAGGTCCATAATAACTTTGTAAAGCATTTATCAGTGTTTGGTTTGGGATTAAACAGACTTTGATTTATGACTAAGACAGCTTCATACTGCGGTTTCCAAAAAACATAGTGTTTGCTGTTAGTTGCCACCCATCTAGCAAGTACCCTTGTTAACTGTCTCTATTTAGCTGCAAGTCTGCTGTAATTTGCTCACTCCAAAGTAGTGCCATACTGGCTTTTGTGAAACAGTTACCTGCTGACATCAGTCTGATTTGTGGCTCTTGTATGCTTCGTACTTTGGTGCTAATTTCATTCTGTTTGACATAAAGTGCACACCACATTAACTTGTAAATGTGTCGCCTGAGAGTTTTTGAACAGGAAATGTACCATATGAAAGCACAGTGGTGGTTCCTTGTGGTAGCAGTTGGAAACAGGAAGATGCTACAACTGCTTAACTGCGGGGTGCTTGAGGGGAAAACACAGCAAGCGAGTGAAGAAAAATAATGTGTCCAGTTTGAACCTTAACCCCTCCACGACTAATGCATTAACACTGATGAGCAAATGTTATAATGAAAACAAACATTTTCTTTATGATTTCGACGATTCCAGCTCAGTTTATAAATGCCATATGGAGAATAATACTATACTGATACTAATATAAATAGTTGATGAGACTAATAATCATCATTTGGAATGATGTGCATGACAGTAAAACATCAAAAACTGTCAAAATGTAGATATCTGGAGTTATTGTAATTATATTCTAAAGCATTGACTTGGTATCAGTCAAGGCCTATAATTAGTCTAAATGCAGGCCATTCTTTACTGTGTATAAGACTTAACAGTAAGTGAGAGGCTAGAGTTGAGAAATGTGTGTCATTTTTGCTAGGGAATCAACAAATCATTTCAGCTCCACATATTTCTTATTTACATTGTGTTTACTGGTATGGCAAAAGGCATTACACAGCTTAGTGCATGGCTGGCCTTGTAGAAAATAAAACAGACAAAGGCAAAGATGTTTGATGTGTGAGTGTTTACTGGTTCAAGTTGTGATAACCATGCATGAAAAATGCAGAGGCAAAGTCAGATGGCACTTAAGTTCCCTTCATTCTGCAGTGTATTATCTCTGTTGGAAAACTGCTGCAATATTTCGAGCTCGTTTTTCTGAAACAACTCAGATAACACACTCTCTGTGCTGGCCTGTGCTGGATGTTATGATCTATGAAACAGACAGCAGCTGCACTAATTTCAACTTCACTTCCTCACTGGTGCTATTAAGTCGTGTTCAGTAAAATAGTATCAGTGTTAAGCAAACATATTACACTCTTAGATTATAATAGCATGTCTAATATTGCCATTTTTCATGCCATATCGTTACTTTCCTTAATTTTCGTTAATTATCCTTTAAGTGATTTATAAGAGTATGAAAACATCTCTGAAATAAGATTTAAACCAATGTTGAAAACAGGCGGTAGATCTTACAACAATGTGCATTGAGCTGGAATTTAACTGTCATATTCAAATCTTCACAGGTTTAGGATTATCACTGAATTATTCATACCATCTGTAATCAGACTGGCCTAACCATGATATCATAGCCTTTATCTGATTATTTTAAGGCCAATTAACCCCGGTGTCAGCACCAAATGACCGCGAGAAAAAGCTCAAGTGCATTCATTATTCTTGACAAATGAATGCAATATTGGATGGAGATTATGCCAGTTGAAAACCTACTACTGGAGGGGGAAAAAGAAAAAGACGGGTCGAACATTAGCCCTGATGGCTTTGGAGATAACTCGCTCCAGGATTGTGATGGCTTCCCTGGATGAGCAGAGGGGAGTGAGTGGCTATAAGCATTAGAAGATCACGGACAGGCTCACTCCTACGCTGTGCATATTAATTCTTCTAATGCAGCTAAGCTCAGCTTGTCACACGTTGACACCGCATAATTATGTCATCTAAGAGGGACGAGCTTTTTAAAGGGCAGGCGTGCAGTGCAGCAGAGTGCCTCCGTCGATGGAGGTTGCATGTTCTAAAATGTCAATATACGTCTTGAGAATAGTTTATTTGAGCTCATTAGGAGCTTTGAGGGCACATTATGACAATAATTTTAGATCCAGGAGAGTGAGCTATTGGAGGTGAATATCTCAATAAAGCTTGAAAGTCCTCTTCAGAAGGACCTTTAGGCAATAGCGAAGCAGCCAATTCTTTAAGTAGCATCCTGACTGACAGGAGCGTCCATCAAACACCCAGATCCCCTCACCCGTGGCCTCTCCCCATCCATCAATCCCCCAAGACAGGTCCCCCTCCACTATGTAAATACACAACTAAAGAGAGGAGTCAGAGAGGTAAAGAGCGAGCGTGGGATAAGGGAAAGAAATCCAAATAGGGCACGAAAACCTGAGCCAAGCAGGCCGAGTCAGAGTCAAGTTCAGAGAGGGTAAGAGGAAGAGCGAAGGGAGAGAGCTGAAAAATGATGGAGGGGGGGTATAGGCAGGAAGAGAACTCACAATGGACCGAGGTGATGATGGGGGAGACAGAGGAAGAGAGAGTCATCTGGAAGGAATGAGGAGGGGGGGGTAGACTGGACGAGAGGAAAGGAACTGACTGGCACAGGGATGACAGCAACATGAGTGGACACATGGAAAGAGGGGTCATGTAAAAGAATGCAGAGGAGGAGGTGGAGGAGGAGGATGGAGCAGGAAAACATCTATGGAGGACATCAATAATCTATGCTAGATAAAGGAATTCTGTGTCCAAAGTAAAGAACAAAATGGAGAGAGCGAGGCGGCGGAGCAAGAAAAGAAAAAGAAAAAAAGAGGAGACAGAGAGATAAACAAATGAACAAGGAAAGTTGGTAGGTGGAGCCTAAGGGACTTCTATTTAAAACCAGAACAATTGAGAAAGCTTGTGTTAGTTTACACAAGCAGAGGAACCGCATCCTCTTCCTCACCTCACTCCCCCCTCCATCCACCCGAGGCTGTGTCTATTTAAATGTGTGCTTAAACGACAAGTGCTAGCGCTCTAATCACGGCTGGCATCAGAGCCCATTCCCTCCCTTTTTCACCCTCTCTACCTTCCCCCCCCAAGCATGCATCCTTCCACTGTCGTTCAAACGCACACTCCACACACACACCACACACTCACACTTGTGCGTGTGCCCCCCGTGACTGTGCCGTGCCAGAGAGAAATTCATGAATCACTGGTGCAAGAATCACCCGCAAGCTTGTTGCAAAAAGAGAAAAGAAAGGAAAAAAGGACAGAGGTAAGCAGCTAAAGTGTTTCCTTTAAAAACTCGCTTTTAGAAAAAGCTTGGAGACGACTTCAGGAAATGGCTTCCAGCAACCTGAGGGAGCAAGCAAACACCCAGAGGGGCCTCTGTGACAAGTACTAGTCAGCAGAGAAGATACCGTCTCTCCTGCTCTCCTCTCTCATCCTCTCCCTGCCGGCTCTTCCTAAAGAGGCCAAGATGGAAAGCTAGAGGAGCAAGCAGCCAAGTAACGAGCGAGCGTATGATACATGCGAGGGAAAAACAAGCGCATCGCAAACCAACTGGCAAATATCGGACTTTCTGCACAAACACGCCCCCTGAGAAATATATATAAAAGCCGAGAAAACCTGTTACCGAAAAAAGGCATCACAATAGACCATCCACGCAACAAAAAGAAGCCCCTCTATAAGCCTCTGTTTGAAAAGAAACTAGCAATCATCTCCTGTTACACAGAGCCACTTTCCCTCCAGGGCCACCACTCAAAGGCAGCTCTGTCCATTGATACAGGTGTGGTGCACAGGGAGGGAAAAGAGTGGGGAGGGAGGACAATGGATGGCCTTTTTACTGGTCTCCCTCTGCTCACCTGGATTATGGGGGACAGTCTGAGGGGAGCGAGGGAGGGGGAGGAAAGAGGGTCTCCGAGCTCGGGCTGAGAACAATAGTGTCTCTGTGTTCAGTTAACACCAAGTGCATCATTCTGTCGAGCAGCAGCCAGCTGACTGCTGGGACAGAAAAACAACATCTCAAGGTCGCTGCTGGTGAATGCTGAATTCTTCTTCTGCTGATCTTAATTATACAGTTTAAGAATCCATTATGAGAGCTCTAATCAAACCTTCAGACCTAATTAAGATGCAACCTCTGTGTGAAAATAAGGGAACACAGACACAGATTGAGAAATTAAAAGGAATCGATATGATTAAAATGCCCTAAAAATTAATGCAATCGTAGTGTACCCAAAATAGGACCAAAAAACATCCAACTTTGCCTTTCCTCATTTTTACAGTGAATCAGTTGTGGCTTTCTAAAACTTGCTTTAAAGACCGCCTTTGAGTCGTGATAGCTAGCTTGCAGGCTAACACTGCCGGTGTAGCAGAAGTGGCAGGTAACTGGAGCTATTCAGCTAACAGACACTAATATCTGTAGGGACACGATGAAAGCTAACATCATAATTAGCTTTCTTGCGAGCATCTACTAACGCACACGCTTGTTACATGATCGTCATCTACTTTTCCGAGCTTGGATTTGCTACGAAGGAAATCTTATGTAATCTGAACCTGTCGTTTGCATCTGTGAGAGGTTCACAGCAACTTGAATGCAGAAATACTCAGAAATGCAATATCGCACTTTCTTTTCTCATGATATGTCCCGTAGAATCTGAAAAATGCCATATAAAAATGTAAACAACAAGAAAAACATGACTTTCATCGGAGTGGGTCTTTAATTCATTTAAGTAGCTCACCATTACAACATTCCTGACAGTACAAGGCTGAAAACTGACTACGCTGATATTTATTTAAGGGATTCAGCTACATCTTTTTTTTATATTACTGATTACTCTGCCAATTATTTTAATGAAGGGCTCTATCTGGGCAGAAGGTTCTGGGAAAAACTCATCTCGAAAGCTAAGGTCCTTTGATGACTAAGGACGGATCATTTTACATTCGATGCCAGCAACAAGATGCAGAAAAGTTCAGACAAGGATCAAAAAAGCTTGCAAAGTTGTTGGCTTACACTTAATCTTTAGGTCAATAAACTTTGGTCAATGTATATACTGCTATAACGCCATAATCCCCTACAACCTGGATGTAAACAAGCGTATATGACAGATGGCATCTTGAAGCTTTGTGTGGTTTGGCAGCATATTGATCTAGAAAATTGAGATATAGTTTCAAGTATGCTGTGTCTTGTTAAATTGGCATAAAAACATTCAGCTTGCATAACCAGCACAGGCATGTGGACAAAATCCCACAAGGAGAACTGAAGGTGGGTGGTGCTAACTCTGCTACGAGCCAATCAGCAAACCAGTTTCAAATCTATTATCAGAAGACTCTGTGATCCTTTATTTAGATGTCTCTAAATTGGCGCAATTTGCTTCTTAGCTTTACACTGGATGGATTATATTAAGTGATAAGTAGGCGCTTTTTAATGATTATTGAATCTTTAAAATACTGTAAGGTTCTTTGAGGCTGTCTTACAGAGAAAGGGGAGTTTAAGTTCAATGTGTTACGTTTTTTTTCTACAAATAATCCCACCCCAGACAGAAGTGATGTTAATTCAAGCCTGTGTGCACATTTTTTCGGGGAGTCTCTTGTTGACATAAGAGCTGCTGAATTTCCGGGCATGTGTGCACATTACTGTACCTCTACAAAGATAATCCAACTAACTGAGCATGAAAAAAGACAGTTCTCTGTCTCAGTATTAACTTGTTCATTTAGAATTAACTCCAAAAATGAGTCCACCCCTCCTTTCAGCGTCAGTGTGAGATTCTGGTTGAATGAGTCAAGCTTTATTACTGGCCTAGTAACTCCCTGTGGGGGAGATGAGTGTGTGACAGCATGTAGCAGCAGGGGAGTGGACATTGTCAGCCTGATCCCAGCACTGCACGACAGGTTAGTTCTGCTGAAATGAAATAAAATCCTGCATCTGTTTCCATTTCTCCTGTCTTAGCTCGCTCGCTTGCTTGACTTTGTTCTGTCACTTCCTCTTTCTTGTCCTCTGCACAGTAATCAAGTGATTCAACCGTCAAATCAACCCAGACATCCACGAGAATCTAGAGCATTTGTCCGAGACGTATGTAAGGTTTGCGCTCTGCTCGTGCGTGCGTTTGTGTTTGCGTGGATGCTTAAGGGAGGTGGTGGTGATGAGTGTCGTTTGGGAAGAGGGAGGGCGCGGAGGGTGAGACAATCAGGGGGAGGGGGTGAACACTGTAAAAGTGTCACAGCAACTTAACCTTCAAAAATGCCCACCAGGGTGGAGTGGGAGGAGGTGTTCTTGGCCATTAGAAGGAGAAGGAGGGAGAGAAGGAAGCATGTGTGAAAGATAGAGAGAGAGAGAGAGAGAGAGAAATGATTGATGTGCAAAAGAAAAAAAGAAGAAGACCTTGTTAAGGGAGGTAAGGTGGTGCAGATGCTTGCAGTACTAAGTGTATGCATGGAAGGTTGCTGTTAAGGAGGTAGGAAAGACGAAGCGAATGAGGAGGAGGAGGAGGAGGAAAGTGGCATGAGCAGTTTGGACAGACTTAAAGAGAAACTCTGACATAGGTAGAAGAGACAGCTAGGGAATTGGACAGTGGGACAGAGGGAGAGGAAAGAAAGCTAGAAAAGAGAGGAGAGAGAGAGATAGAGATTAAGAGGGAAAGAGAGAGTAAGAGGATAGAGGAAAGCAACAGACATTCCAATTACAGAAGCAGAGACGAGGGATTGATGACTAAGAACGGAGGGAATTAGAACAAAGAGCGGGACGAGAGGAGGGAAAGAAGATACAGTAAGACACAGCAGTTTACTGAGCAGATGGATCAATTATGCAGACCGAATTACGGAGAAGAAGGAAGTTAGGGCATTAGAAGAGAACGTAAACAGGGGAAGACAGAGAGGGCAGGGAAAGAAGAATGAATCAAGATGGAGGAGTGGAACAAGTGTCCGATTAGGAAGGCAGCCAGTCACTCCGATGGTTGCAGAAAACAAATCGAGACCCTGTTCTCCTTAAAGCGCCACACCAAACAAACCCTGGCACACCCTGTTGACAAAACACAGGCCTGATAAGTGAACAAACCTGCTGCCTCCGTATGACCTTAATGTGCTGTTCGCTTCAGGGGAGGATTTAAATGCTCCTGCCATTTGGAGGCTCGGGGGACCTATGACGGCTGTGCTGCTTGCTTATCAGCGAAGCATGGCGACACATTTTTAAACCAACAAGTGAAACAATGGCTGAGACTCGTATCAGAGCGGTAGGATCGCCGCAGCGCTGCCTGTGTTGTGAAACAAAAGAACACTCACCGCTTTACTATCATGAGGAATAAACCTGTTGTGCGTTATCTTTCGGTTTCCCTCTATCTTCTATTTCTGAGATGATATCTGTGGAAGAACACTAGATTTTTACCGTGTTTAATTTCACTTTGTTCCTGAGATCGCTGAGCAAGAACATTGGGAGCAATCAGTTTACAGAAGGTTTTTTGGGGGGATCCTGACTCCATATCCAGCTCCTGCAGCCCTGAAAAGACCCCGCCGCAGAAAATTCAATTTCCTTATGTAGCCCGCCTGTACATTGCCTCAGATAAGTGCGAATTTGACACGACCTTGTCAAAGTCAGATGTGATGAAGATGCAGCACCTCCGGCTGTGAGGAGCAGAGGTGCACAGATAGGTAACAAATTGTCAAAATAGCTATAATATTGCTGGTTACACATGCGGGCAAAAGAGAGTCAACGTGTAAATGGAAAGGAAACAAGAGGCAAAGAGCAAAACCTAGTGCTACGTTTTTACGAACTGGGGGGCAGAGAGGGTGCAGCGAGGGATTAGACTTGGAGGAGGAGGAGGCGGGGAGAGAGAGATGTTTCATAGTGCTGTCACACTGACGGAGCCGGCTCTAAATGTTTTCAATATCACATAAGGGCACTGCATCATCCACCATTCAATACAGGATCGATAACGCAAACCACCTTCCACCTCACAAACTACATTTAGAGACATTAAGGTGACTGCTAATGAGCCGCCCTGTGCATGTGTGTGCCGGGGAGTGTGTGCGTCCATTCCATGCATGTGGGGACACACTGAGGAGGACACAGTCAAGGGCCTTAGTGCTGCGTTGCACAGAGATGTGCTGAGTGCACCGTGGGGAAGATTTCAGAAATAAAAGATTGTGACAAAGACAGAGGAAAGAGAAGAGAGATGACAGGCAGCAAATACAGGTCAGGTAACAATAATAAAAAGAGAAAGGTTAGTGCACAATGGAAGGCTTCATAGTAATTAGATATGAGTCTCATGCTTTAGAGGAAGGAGAAAGAGAAGAGGGATGGGGCTAAATTACAAATGAGCTGATAATTCTTGGCCCCCCGAGTTCACTCCCTCACAGAGTTTTTTGATATCCTCCTTCATAACCGCTGCCAAGATGCTGCGCTGTGGAATTTGAAAATGTCGACATCCTCAACCCCCACTCAGCACTCTGCTCCTCCTCCACTGCTCCTCCTCTGTGATTTCAACAACAGAGCAGGGTCACAGAGACACCCATCTCCCAAGTCTAGTTAATTAACAGGATTTTATTTTAAAGACTTTGGCTGCCTTTCAATGGATCTTCAGTTGGAATTATCGCTTGTTCTGCACATAGGCGCAGTTGGAATGGCTTTGACCTGCATCCCCCTGAATTCCATCTGGAGTGTGTTAGATGGAGGGAAATGCAGATTTGGCAGAAGGTATCTTGACTAATGGTGTGGAAATGAGTGTGTGTGACTAAAAAACAAAGTAAGCCACATGCCTTGTAGCATTTTTACACAAGATAAGCTGCTGGCGTGCTGCTATTGCAAATAGTGGTGTCTTAAAACTCTCCATTATGTTGAAACACGTGGGTGGTTCGAGTACATTATGGAGTGGTCTCTTGCAGTGAACTCATAGCAGTGTTTGAGTTAATGCTCTCAGATTTAAAGCAGAGATACCAGTTTTAAAAAAAATAAGGACGCCTCTCTGCCAAAAGCAACAAAACGAGCACAGATTTGTTTTTGGAAACCCTTCAGCTGCACCTTTTTTCATGAGAATCATATCTGGCATCCCTTCTGAGAACCAAGATTTCGGCTCATTTTCTTTTGAATCACAGGGGTCTGACTCCAGCAGTCTGGCAACCCTGGGAGCCAAACACAAACACCCCTGTGGAAGGCTCCTAATGTGACCCCAACACAGACAGGATGCAATCTAACCAACAAAGTCAGTCAGGCAGAAGCTGAGAGGGGGACTTCCCACATGATGCCTCATTGTTTTGGCTATAATGTTGCTGGCCACTTTTGTAAAAGACGAGTTAGGGGAAGAGAGTCTTTGTAAGTAGGCATTTTAATGAAGAGAAGAAAAGGGAAGGATGCTGACGTCTGCAAGATCAGACAGTTTCATGTGAGGATGATGCATCACTTCATAGGAATCAAAAGTTCAACTAAATCTTGTGGTGTGAGGATGCTTTCCTTTTGCTGATTTGTCATCTGACTTAAAAAGGACAACTCCCGACCTTATTCATTATCCAATAATGCAGCCTTTAAAGCAACAAGATGCACTGACTTGTGTCCTCAGACATATCTCAGCTGAATTCGCTTGGTCCTGTCTGATGGTATTTGTTAAGTCAACAATAAACCTGATGGATCCTTTGACGTCACGCTTATTGATAAAAAAAAAAACAACAGAACTGCAGTGAAACCCACATCAGCATTTAAATAAATGGAAAACTTTGTTGGATGTTGGGGATAAACAGAATTTTAATTTTCGTAGGTCAAAAATAATTAAAGGTTTGGAAAAATTAAAAATCTCTAATTTATTGTTTGATAAAAGCTGCTTCATCCAAAAGGCACCCACTTAATATTGCCACTTAACTGAAACACAATTTTGAAGTGGTACACCTAGTGACATAACAAAGCTGCCTAAATCATTCGGCTCACTGGTAAAATGCCAAATATTTTCTTCGGTCGTTTAACAATCCAGTTTTCTAAAATTAATGGGACCACTCCAGCCTCACAGTGTCCATGCAAACACACTTACTCACTTGGTATTACTCTCACATCTCCATTAAGCTGTAAATTCAAGCTCACTTTTATGTCTGAATCAACGGACTCTTAATGGTGATTATAAGGGGGAGGAGGAGGTTATTGATGGGTCATTTGAACAGGAAGACTGCTCAGTAAGTGTGTGTGTGAGTGAGTGAGTGTGTGTGTGTGTGTGTGTGCGCATGAGGGTGTTCAAACCAGCGGCGACACCACAACTAGAATGAGACTTTCTAACACACATATAGACACGCACACCTGACCTTTTCAAAATCCTTCTGACATTTACAGGGCCGGTGCGAAGGGGCGAGGACAGCTCATTTACATAATGACAGGACCTAACTGCGACAGCCATTAACACAAAACCAAACCAAGACCGGAGCACTGCGCTCCACTGAGACTAATGAGATACTAAGGACTTACTTCTTCTTCTTTTATTAAGGGAAAAAAAATAATCTCCAGCCATGATGATCCATCAAATACATCCCTCTTAATAGACAGAGTGTAATGCTTGTTCTCAGTTGTAGTGATTAATGTTTGCAGTCTTGGCAGGACTGAACTGTTCACACAGAACTTCTCCATCGAGAGGGGTAAAGTTGGAGCTAATAGTTGGACTTATTGCACAACTAGCACTGCCAAAAGACACATAACTTCATCAGGGTTAAGAGACAGCTTCACTTTGTGTGTGTTTGTGGGAGGGCAGGGTGAAAATGCTGTAAATTTTCATGAGGTATTACAACTAAAGCCGTAAAGATTACGAGATATGAAAAACACCATCTCTCGGAAATGCTAATGCCTTGGTGGCGCACTATTGTAAGGTCATAGTGTTTATTTTCCTGTCTTGTCTGTATGTTGTTCCTGTCATAAACAGCATGGCCTTCAGTCCAAAGAGACTAAAATGAGGGAAGAAAAGAGAGGGTACAAACAAGTACGGTCCTCACTCAGACAAAAGCACCAGACGTAAAAGAAAAGCGGATAGCTGAAAATAAAAATAAGACCAGAACAAGGCCCCTGTATGTACTGAGTGGGGAAGGGAGGGGTTGAGGGTTAGGTCAGGATGGCGGGAGAGGGGAAGGTTTCAAGTGGCGGGTGGGAAAGAGGGAAGGTGGGGGCACTGCCTGTCTTAATCAGGCGCTGCCCCTTCAGGTTTTCCAGCCAGTCCTGAACCTCGGCTACAACTCCACACATCGCAGCAGGCTGCTGCAAAAAAAAAAGCCACCTGTTTCCTCGAAACCCTCCAAGAGACATCGGGGCAGCTTTTGCATCTGAATGAGCTTTGCTGGAGGCTTTCAGGTACACTAAGACAAACATTGGATTGTTTGTGAGCAGAGAAGGAAGCGGCCTCCTCCCCCGGCCCTGACCCTGCATGCACAACAGTTTCTCAGGCAGCCAGCCAGCCAGCCACCCCCTGCACGCACGTAGCTTACTCAGCCAGAAAGACAATGCTGCCATAGCCTCATACTACACCCCCCGCCAACCAAAACTCCCCCCCACATAAGCCCACCCCTCAACCAATAAAAACATCTCCATGGTAATGGGCCAAGCCTTTCTGACCCACATCCATGGTCCCTTCACAACCTTGACTTGGGGGGTGGGGGTTGTATTATGGTGTAATTTCAGAGCTTAAACTGGGACCCCCACCTGTCAGCTTCGATTAAGTTTCATATACATGAGCAACTAAAGCAGCCTACCTTAATTAAAAACCCATCAAACTCCATGTTGTATTTAGAGACTACAGCTTAGCCACATTATACTGAAAACTTCACATAGAATTTGATCTCTTCTCCCACTCTCAGGCGCAGGATGGAAGGTGGAGGTATAAATGGTGCTGTCACCACTTGAGAGGAAATAGGGAACCAAAAATGCAAAGTAGACAAGTGGAAAGTTTTAGCTCTGCAGAGGCAGAATTAAAGAAGCAAAGTTTAGCTATTCCCCCAAAGAAGGTCAGAGGTTCACTTTGAAAAATGACTTAAATGAAAGGAAACTAAGAGCCGTGTTTTCTCTTGTTCTGGTTAAGCCTTGTGTATTTTCTCACTCATAAATACGTAAAACCTTTTGTTTTTCTTTCCCCCACTTTTCTCCTTCCCTTAAGAGCAGTTCATGTTGTGTAAAATGTAATCAGACAAAAAAGGGTCCAGTGCATGAATAAGTCAAAACCAGAGCTTGCTCGTGAGTTGTGATTAAAACGACACCACAATCAACAGCGTTACTGTACTCTACTAGAAACATACACTGTATTTGCCCCTGCATGTTAGATGGATTCTAGTCCTACATTCTTGCCCTAATTACAGCACAAAACAAATAGCTGGCCTTGCACAGAGGCAGAGAAAATGTTGAACTGGTTTCATGTCACACACATTCATATGCTAATAGGTTAACCGCATGCCAGGAATGTTTTCTCTCTCTTATTTGGAAAACCTACTCGCTGTGGCAGTGGTACCTGTAGGCCAAGTAAGTTGAAGTGGACTGGAAAACGCCTGAATAATTAACCTGGAGAGGCTGCCAAAGAGGCCATGGCTGCCTTTCTTCTTGTTTAAAGTAACAGAAACTAATCTACAGTGGAGTGGGAATTGGCCTGAGAAGAAAAATTGCAAGAAGTTACACTCAAAAACTCAGCTAGAATTGGTTAAACGATTTTTTCGCAAGGCCAAATGATTAAGTTTCAGTAACCCCCCACTGTTACACACACTGTGTACATTAGGAGCTCTTTTCAGACCCATTTTCCTCTACTGAACTGTAACTAATAGAGGGTGAAGTGCGGACAGAGAGAAGAAAAGGAGAAGAGAGACGGTGAGATGGAGAAAAGAGTGGCTTCAGGGAAAAGGGGACCAAGGACAGAATGAAACAGTGACTCAGTTTAGAGAGGGGTAGAGGACACTACAGAGGCACTACCTGAGACAAACACCTTGCTCTACTGAGCCACACCTTAGAAAACATGGCGTTGAGTCACCGACCGAAACTCGGGGTTGAGAGTGACACAAACTGCTCATGATAAAGCCACGCAAACAACGACATGAATCACAGTGGTGTTACTTTAAACCGATTAAGTTCGGGAAACAACTTCTGGGAAATGTTTCGGATTGAAGCTGCAAACCTCGAAGAGAAAATCACCTGCCTGCTGTCACCGCCCTGACAGGTGGTAGTCAGGTTTAAATTTATCTCCTCTTCAATTATTAAAGCTCTTAGGGGGAAAACATGAACCCAGGTGGCTCTCCCTCATAAGTTTTTATAAAGAAAAGGTTGATTCTTACCGTATTGAACAAGTATCGACAGCACCAAGCAGAGAAGTCCGGTCATTTTTGAGCAGTCATGCCAATTTCGGGCGTCATGTCTCGCCATTGTTGATTACGGTCCTCTCTGTTGAAGCACGCGCTCTCTCCTGAATGCACGTTCAAAATGAGACCTGGGGTCAGTTTCTGTGTGATAAAAATCTCTCGTTCAGCGCAAATGAAAAACTTGTCAGGTTTGAGGACAGACCAAGAGGTCCGACAGAGATTCTCTTTGGTGTCCCTAATCAGTGCGCCCTAGAGACGGGAGTCTGCTCAAATAATGAAAAAGAAAAATCCGCGTGGATTAGTCCTGGCTGCGCACAGGTGAATATTTCCCCCAGCTGGAGCTGCGTGGACGTAATGAAGTGCTGCCGCTCGCGCTGCTCCAACTAGTTCATCTGAGTATGAGTGAGCGCGCGACTGTCCGACTGAAAGGGACTGACTGGATGATGTCATCAGACGGAAGCGTCACAGCCCAGTTTACCCCCCAAGAAACCCAACTGGGACCAGCGACGACTGGGGAGGAGGGAGACAACTTGTTGAATTGTTGAATTCACCAAAATCACGACTACTATAGGAGGGGAAATCACTTAATGCGCGCGCTTGGTGAGGAAGTGTGCGCTCGGACGGTGGAGAGGAAAAACGCGAAAGATGCAAAAACACGAAATATCTTCACTTTGATATTTCTAAACTGAGAGGTTTTACTTTTAGATATCGACGAGTGTGTTATCAGCTGAAAACGTTTTAATGTCGGTAAAGTGGTTCAAGCTTCAAAATAATGAGGTTTCAACACAGTTCATCCAAGTTAGACTGTTTTAATACCGAGGTACAGCAAAACAGATGATTCTTCCGCCCTCTGCTGTTTACTTCTGCACCCGCAGCTGAGATTAGTTCATACAACTCCAGCACAGCAGATGCCAAAATCAATAAACATTCATTAATGAACGGCAAATTACAAATCCAGTGGCAGTCAGCAATATCAAATCAAGAGGAAACAGCTTGTTGTGTATCTATTTGCAGACTCCAGCAGCATCTCTGTTGATGAGTTCTTTTTTTCCCTTTTTTCTACAAAATAACTTCCAATTCATTTTTGCCCTATTTTTCTTCTGAAGCGGGGTGCACACCAGCATAGCAGAGGCATTATCTGGTTTAGGTCTAATCCCTATGCCCAAGTGTTTTACAGCCAATGTAATTACATCTTCATAAATCCCACAGTTATGCTCGGTTCCTCCAGTTCCTCGCTCCCATTGGGTATCCCCCATCGTATTGTGTTCCTCAGCTTCAAATTGTGACAGTCCTGATAATAATCAGAGGTCAAACAATGCTCGAGCATGAAGAAACAACAAACAGAATATGCTCTTCTTTTGGAGATTCGTGTCTTCAAAGAGACGGGATTTCTTCTTCTCCCATCCAATTGCCCATTTTAAATCCAGGCTGTGAAAGCATCTGCCATGCAAACAAAGCAGTTGTGGGTTTGAAATGCCAGTGGTACTTTGCATTGCCATATTCTAATTTGCAGCTGTCTTTTTGCCCTGTGAGGCTGCAGCACAGTCAGGAGAAAAACGAGCGCGAGGAACATCCACACACAACCGCTGCCACCACTAAATCGTAGCATGCATTCATAGCCGAATAAGGAGCTTTAAAGAAAGTGGCCACCAAATGGAGGATTTCATTCCTTCTCCTTCCTCACACTCATCCATTTTTCATACCCGTACCAAATCGACCTTCACACCTTCCACTTCCCTGCTACCTCCCACTTTACTTATACAGTACCTCGGCTCATTTTTTTCTGTACCTCACACCCCTAACATCTTGCCTTGGTTTATCCATCCTCTCTTGCCACCTTAGTCCTCCCCCCTTCACACCCTCATTCTCTCCCTCTTCCTCCCCATGTCATTTGATTTCCTTTTGTCCACTCGTCCTTCACTTTTTGCTACTATTCAGCCCGTCCTCCATCCCATCCTCATGCTCTCTGGGGGTCTGTGGCAGTGATAATGAAGCGCGTAGTTAACAGATATTAGCTCATTGGCAGTGGATTCATTAGACAGAGCCAAGGCTTATGGTGATTATTTACCCGTAGAGGAGGGGCCACAGGATCAGCCCCACGCTCTGTGTCAGCAGCCACAGGCTTCTTTTTGAAGTCACTCTGCAACACTCTCACACACACTTCTCCTCTCTTTCTGTCTGAGAGCACCTCTCCCTCTGCATTTCTCCCTCTTTCTGCCTTTTCTCTCTCTCTCTCTATCCCTGTCATTAGACACCCACAATACATATCTGCTTTCTCTCCGTCTCTCTCATTCTATCTTTCTCTCTCTATCTCTTTTCAACGCCCCCATTCACCCACTGGTAATTATGGAAAAATCTGTAATAGTGCTCAGAGGAGCTGATAATACCTTTAGCTTAATTAAAGACATTTATGGGATGTAAAGACATGTAGCCCAGGGGTTGCTGTGCACCCGCACTAACCCAAACTCTTTATTCCTCCCTTTTTGATCTCCACCAATCCCTCACTTTATTCTAGTCTTATCATTTTTTCTGTTTCACACACACACATACACATTGTGATACACAAGAGTGCATGCTCACTCCCTTTGTCAAACTCAGTGTTGGGTCAGAAGTTGTGTAACTAATTGCCCAGAAGTTTTGTCGTAAATGTTTCTACATTAAGTCTTGTGTGGGTTTATGTTAATACTGGAATATGTGGTTTATCAGCCTCAAACACGCCACATACACACAGACACACACACGTATGTAATAATGACAGTGCCTTCCTGTTGATAATCCCAGCGCTCTCTGCACCACATCCTGTTGGGCTGAAAGATGAGCAGCAAACTTGTTAAGATGTCAGTCAGGGACAGCAGTAATACAGCAGGAAAGGGAAAAATACTTGGATGTTGTGCAGCGTACTTAGAAAGGTCACAGTGTTGGAGAGACAGCTGGTGCAGAGCAAGTGCTTTTCTTTCTCTTTGAATGTATGATGGAGTCTGCTTTTCTCACACTTATTCTTCTGCATTCATTTGCAGTATTTTCTTCTCAGTTTGGCATCCCAGGTATGAAATACTTATGTGATTCTTTTTTTCTTTGCTTTAACATTTTGGCGTCATCTGAAATCAAACTTGCCTTTTAGCTTTAAGAGGTCCTTCTCTGGTTAAGTTTAAATTTTTAAGGTAATCCAAATAAAAAGTTCACAATTTCTTAAAAGCACATGATACTTTCGTAGTCTGTTTTACACAACTTTTACATGGTTATGTTTGAAAGTTAGATTGTCAAGCACAAAATGATCGCTTTGTTCTTCCAATATTAACTTTTGGGGCTCCACAAAGAAACAGAAAAATGGTAACTGGGTACTTAAAAAAGGGATGAAAGATAGTGGTTCGATTTTACTGAACCCTCTACTGAATTCACGTTGGCTACGAGAATTTAGTCGCAGTCATGTTGCTCAGAAAGAAGGTAATAATTTTACTTGTTGGGGCATTATAGATAAAAGTTACACATAGATAACTGTCTCAGTGCACAATCAGGCATGCGAGTCATGTTATGAGAACAACTGAAAGTCTAAACTTAATAAGGACAGGATGTAAAACAAAGATATAAGCCAGACATCGGTAATGCGGTCAAAAACTTAAGAAACTCTGCTCTAAGTGATCCATCTGTTATGAGGCTGATCTTTCTGTTCTCTATCCCCCAGACTGGGATGACGTTGTGGTGGTCAAAGAGAATATGCCCACAATTTTGGTCTGCACTCATAAAACAGTAACCAGGACCATAGCCATTAATTGGTCGGTGAAGCCAGCTGGTGCGAAAGATTGGAAACTGGTTCTGTCAGCCAACGAGCAGACACAGTTCTCTGGAGGTGCCTTGAAGGACTCCATGCGATTGACTGACCCTAACTTTAAAGACAGCGGGAATGTCTCTCTGTTCATTCTTCCTAAAATGGAGGACAGCGGCTACTACAGATGCTTGATAAAGCCACACGGGTGGAAGCGGAAGGAGAGGATTATCCTTTTGGCTATCCTTGCAGGTACAGAAATCAACAGGTCATCTGTGAGATCCTCAGACACACTTCAGTGCCTCACAGGAATGTCCTCACTTCAAACTCCTCTGCTGTATACTTCTCTCAGTTTGCAGGGCGCTGATGTAGTTTAGATCAATATTTCATACTAAAATATTTATATGCTTTAGTCAGTTGTTTTTGACTCCTAAGATGTGTATGTTCACTTTGATGTTTTATTTTTTTTGTTTGTACATTCTTTTAGAAATCTTTCAAAGCACCTCTTGAAATAGTTTCTTTTCAAGTGTCACGTTGCTTATGACTGTAAGAGTTACTAGGTTGATTGCTTAATTGATGAGAAGCTCGAGTGAATTACTTTTGCTCCGACCGCTCTTTATCATTTTTCTTGGAGTGGTGAAATGTTTCTCAGGCCATTTACTCAAGTTGTGCACTCCAATATCATTTCAATGCCCTTGTGCTTTGGCTGAGTATTTATGCATTTTTGCCATCATCACAAGATTTAATGGCTCAAGTTACTTCAACATTTATCCTGCATCCAAATGGCGTCCAATATCAGCTTATAAACAGATTTAGAGAATGTAAAGATTGCATTAAAAGTGATAAGCTGATAAACATGATCTGCAAATATTTCGGATTAACCATTTGAGGTCTTTTTTGTTTGTTTTATACCCCAGTAAACTGAAATCTTTTGAAGTTTTGTTGAGTTCAACAAAGAAAAATAACTGAGCTCAACAAAATAAGCAGCATTTCCTGTGTGCTTTATTTATCAAAACACAAATGTGTAACTACCCATTCACACTGTTAAGTGTAAATAAGCACCACTTGAACTACATGCTGCTAAAATGAGGTTTGCATGGTATTTCATCACTTAAAACAAAACCATAATTAATATTTGAACGTGACAGTCTGACTTGGGCGTGACACAGGATTTTTCACACCGGCTTCACAGAGGTACTTTATTTTTCAGGAGAACATTTTCAAATACTGTGATTTCATTACACTAATATGATTTTTCATTGTCTCTTCTGTTCTTGTCTTCTCATATCTCCAGTCACTGTTGAGCCTGCCATGCCCATCCCTCAGCAGGGCACCCTGCGGCTGAAAGCCAGCGTCAACCCTGACTTTGCCATCACCCAGATCACCTGGGTGGCACCTGGAGGCCTTCCCATGAAGAGCGAGAGCTCAAACAAAGGCACCATGACCAAAGTGCCAATGGTGCAGAGTAGTGACAAGGGGGGTTATGTGTGTATGGTGCACCCGCTTGGCAACAGTAGCAGCCCCCTTCTCCCCTTCAAAGTGGATGTGACTGTCGGTGAGTCTGATTTGGGAGAAAAAAGCAGAGGCGCTTGAAGATCGAAAGCAACTGTTGTCTCTTTTGTTGATGGTATGAGTGGGCATCAGTGCCAAAAACTCCAGCAGCTACATTATTTATTGAAGCATCCTGTAGCTACAGTTCTTCAAAGTGTCTACTTTTATAGACCCGTTTCAAAAGTCGACTAGATCTGTACTCAGATTCATCCTGTTCTTGTGTGAATATTATAGATGCTGAATGTATTATTCATTATATTGCTTTCTGCATTTTCTACCCTCTTTCTTTGCGTCCCCTCTCTTCACAGCTGACGAAGTGGTCTCATTCAACAGTATAACATACGGTGAGTGACTTCATAACACAAGCGGTGTAAAAGTCCTGTGTCAGCAGCTTTCTAATCAGGCAGAGCACAATGAAGAAAAAATTCTCAGCATATGAGAACCTAATCTCTATTGTTGTAGGAATTTCCCCATATCTCCATTTCCCTATCCTGTTACTATTCTGTTTACAGTCTTCACCCCACTCTTCATTCACCCTCTTTTCATCAATCTGCATATACTCCTAGTTGTGTTTTTGCTCAGGCTGTTCTTTCTTCATGCCTACCTTTACTCCATCTTTCTACCTTTTACTATCAGCCTGAACCAGTGCATAATTCTTATTTCTCTAACCTCTCATCTTCCCACATTGCTTCCAGCCCCTTTGATCTCCACTGCCGCTCAGGCCAGGAAACCTTTCCCCCTGACCTGTCCTGTTGTCCGGGGAGATTTCGTCATGCTGTACTGGCAAGCTCCAGACACCAAAGGAAATCCTATGAAGCTGGTGTACCAGTACGACCGCTGGAGGGGCTTCACCGTGTTGACTGAGAAGAGCGACAGACTCCAGCTTGCAGGCCCGCCCTACAATGCAGAGGCAGGAAGCTTCTCCTTTCTACTCACACCAGAGTTGCATGATGGTGGCCTCTACAGCTGCGACGTGTACCTTGATGACACCCCCACCAGCCAGAGGACCCGGCTCAGTGTACTCGCAGGTACAGGTTCAGGGTCAGCAGAGTGAAAATGTCGAGAAGGACACGGGTTAAGAGTAATCAAATAAAGGACTGTCACTGAATTTTATTCACACAAGATAAAAATCTCCATGTTTTGAAACTTTTGATGAAGAACTCTGTAGTATCTCATAGTTTCATAGTCCCAGAAGAGTAAACTGATCCCATTCTGGAGTTGGTGAATTGGGGCCCACACAGAGCTGGATGTTAGTCCTTAGCTTGTCTTAGTTTTTGTCTTTTTTAAGATTAATCTTTAAACTGGTTGACAGATATCACTTTTTCAATCACTGAAGCCAATACCAATAATGGCATGATGAGTTGGACCATTGACGATATCACATTGTTGCAAGTTTTTTCTGGGTTTGAAAAAATGCAACAATTCAACATTACTGATATACAGGGTAAAAAACACTAAACTTGAGAGTACATTTTATTATATAAGAAGAGGATATTTGGCTCAGTAAGACATTGTGATGTTTGGATTTATGTCTGACTATCAGAAATTAATAAAAGACAAACATACAAGGCAACTATTGAGATTTAATTAAAAGAAAAAGTACATTTTATGTTGAAATCCATTTTTACGCACAGCAAAGTCAAATATAGGTGGTTATCTTAGCTAGCCTATTTTAGATGGGTTCCTAATAGGTTGATGATTTATAGATTCCAATTAATGGCCGATAAAAATGTCAGAAGCAGTATAAAGCTTCATAGTGTCAAGCATCATAACACATTTTAAATAAACCACTAGCCAGCATTTGTTATAGATTGAATTTGCTATCAACACAGTTGGGAAAAATGCGTTTTCCTTTAAAAAAACAAAAAGAACTGTGATATCGGCCTTGTAAGAAACGCAGTATCATGTTGATTATGTCAACATGCCAATAGTTATCCCAATTAATCAGGTGACTGATTAATCATTCTATCTTCATCTTCCCCCCATTAAAATTGGACTTCAGAAGAAATGTTTTGAGCGCCCTTAATCCAAAACCAGTGGAAACAACTAGACTTGCTCTCACCACAGTCCAAAATAGCCATAAGCTTCCATTTAACACAGTATTCATATTGTGTTTGAATGTACACAATGAGGCATCAAATAACAAAAAAGTCTTGGTTAGGCTGGTATTTACCAGAGTTCACTTACTCATCCAACACTCCTATGCAGCATCTTCACTGGTTGCCTGGCAACTTCACTAAAAAAACTTAGACTGGGATTCTCTGTACTCCTCTGTTGATTACCAAGCTGTGCTTGCAGCATAAAATTCCCTCAAAACCACAACATGTTTTTTCTACATGTCTGTTATGGATTAAACATATCACACACTAAGTATTGCTCTATGAGGTTCACACCTGATAGCACAACACTGGGCACAGTCAAGTCAGTTCTAAGTTTCTCCTGTTTCCAGACTTTCCACTAGACTTGTCAAGAGTCTTTTGGCCAGAAATATGTGAGAGGTGTCGATCATTTAATGCTAGGTAGGTATATTCTATGATTCATAAATAGCTAAATCAGCCACAGAGGGTGCAATGGTTACTGGACTCACCTCACTATTGCCAAAGGACCATTTTCTTGGAGGTATTAGCCCTGCTGGTGTATTAGATATGAGTAATAGTGAATTAAGATCAGCTTTCAGTGCATTGTTCTCCCACTGTGAAATAAGTACCGAGAGTTTCCTGCAGCAGTTGGTAAAATGTCACATTATGAAATGAATACATTTACAATATTGCTCATTAAATCAAACATTTGCTAGATCCTTAAATCTGAAGGAAAAATGAGCCGAACACCTGTTGATCTGTCATGAACATGCTTTGGGGAGGTTTCAACCTTTGCAGAGACACACAGAGTATATAGCGCAAACACACACACACACACTCATACACACACACAAAAAAAACTTGACAAACACAAATATACAATACCCTGTCATGGCGGCCTTGGGATGCTTTACTAATCACAGCCCCTCTGGTATCTATCACAGCTGCCCAGACGTGACCAGCCAATCTGTCACTGTCACTGTCACCCCTCTTCACACATCTGCATCCCTCACGCTCATGCATACACACACACATATCCGCCTGCACACCAATCATGTGATGCATATATTTTTACCCCACCTCATTATGGGTATCATTATGTATGATTATACCTGCTGCCCTCCCACAAAGACTGTAGGTGGCCCACACTGATCACTCTAATCAAGGCTGAAAAGTGTGTGTGTTTTTACGTGTGTGCAAGGGGGGATCTGTGGAGCTTGATTACACCCAGATGGATTCCCATTTCAGTTTGATGAGACACTAAGCATCAGTCACAGTCAACCAATACATTAGCAGCAAATCACTTTAATGAATATATATTATTTTGACCCTTCACTGGATTGTTCTTTGTTTTTCATACCAACCCCCCTTTACCCCATTACTCTTTATCTGCCCTTGGCCTTTTCTGTATTCACACACTACCCTTTAATTCACTTTCTCCTCCTTTTGAGCTCCTTCCTCTTCACTACTGTTGTCCTTATTTCTGTGTACTTACATTTGTTTTTTCCCTCCTTATACTCACACCCACCTCTCCCCCCTTCTCCTTCTCACAGTTAAAGCCAAATATTACCCGAAAAGGCTTGAGCTGGGATGCCAGTACTCAGAGCGATCCCATGTCCGCAGTGCCAAATGGAAACACCAGAATGAGAGTCAGCGGCTGCATTTTTCAAGCAAGAGCCCTGGGAGAATCCACACCTTCCTGCCCTTACCCATTACATCTGACACAGCGGGAAACTACTCCTGCACCCTACAGCTGGGAAATGGGCAGACAGTCTCAGCAAGGCATGAAGTCAAAGCACCCCAAGTCGGAGTGGAAGATGGTAAAGTACCCCAAAGACTGGTCTCTGATATGATTTTTTTTTCTCACAAAAAGAATACCATATCAATTGCACAGGAGTCCTAGTGGACTTCCTGTCAACTTACTGGAGATAATGAACCGTGAATGTGGATGATTCTCAGATGTGTGCTCCATGAAGCGTTACTCTGTGCATTCAAGCCAACCTCAGGTCAGTTATTCTGCCTGGAAGCCAGTGGTTTACAGAGGGAAACCTCCTGACAGATGCCTTGTGTTCTTCTTTCTTAATGTAGTTAAAGAGGTCACAGGTCCAGACTCGAGTGCTCCACAAAGTTATGATTTACAGATAAGATCCTATGGAGTGTTATGGACATCTCCCTTCTAAGAGGACGCACACACACCTAAATACGCGCCAAACATTTCCCTCCCCGCCAGCGTCGCTAATTACCCACCAAACAACCAAACAGCGCTACTTTTCCTTCTCCCTTCTCTGCTGGATAGTGTTACTAACTTTGAGCCCTACCGGCTAATTTAAACATACATTCACACAGATAGTCATCTCTCCACTTACTTGCCGGGTGTCCATTCACGCCATCATGCCGGATCAGGTTTCCAAATGAGGAAACAGAGCGCATGATTCCCGTATGTAAAATAGGTGGGTACGGAGGGCCAAAGTGGTCACATGATCCGAGAAAAGATTTATTCCCCTGTTGTTTGCCACGAATGCCTAAAAATTAACTTTCCATTGATTTGTGTAAAAACTAAGTTAAAATGGTAAAAACATACAGAAAAAGGTCTAAAGGTTAAAAATGGTTAAAATGGTTTAAATGTGAGTTCTTCTTCTAAACTTACTTAATAAATAACGCCCACTGGGAGGGGCTAAGGGGGTTTAAAAGAAGGCTGCCTGGGCCTTTCTTTGAGTCTGGAGTTTGTTGCATGAAATTTAACTGCCAAACTGACTTTTGTAGTGCTGCTGTGTTTCAATTTTTTGTTTTTTTGTTTTTTCTTGAGTGAGAATCCAGAGTTATAGTGGAACTCCTGCCTTGTTGGTATTTTCTTTTTTGCCTTGTATATTTTGTAAACGGTAGTTGACCCTTTTTTTGGCACTTTTGTAAATATTTTTGCACTGCACCTTGGAGGGCCAGCTGTGCCAAACAATAAATTCACCATCCCCCTGATATTTTTTTCACAACTCAACTACTGGTCATGGCCATACTTTAGAAGAAAAAAAAAAAACACCACTTCTGATACTCTGCTCAGACTCTTCCCCCTATAAATAATGAAACGTAGAAGCTATGGTTTTCTCATCACCTTCACCCAGCTGATATGCGAATATAAGACGTGACCTTAGGATATATCTCCTCACAAAAACTAAATTATTCAAGCTTATTGTATTGGTGGCTGTGGGGGATCACAGGAGGATGTGACAGTTGAATGCATCCCTTAGCAGAGATGAGTTCCCTCCCCACATCCCCGATACATCACTCGGGCTGAAGAGCCCTGAGCTCATCATAATGAATGCTGATGGTATGACTGTAAGAGTAATGGACATGGGGGAAAGAGTGAGAGTGTGATAGAGACAAGGAGGGGAAAAGAGGCTGGCAAAAGATTTCGATTGATTGGAGAGGCTGGATTAGAATAAATGGTGAGGGTGCTAAGTGTTGCATTTGTCTGGCGTCTCATCAAGAGTTTGGACCGAGCAGAGAGGGGTGTTCAAATGTTGGGAGCATACATTTACTCTGTGGTAGGTTGCACAAACAGCAAAGGTGAAAGAAAAACAACATTTTAATGGATGCTCTGCCGGTAAGAAGTGTCGATACAGGGGTTATCAGTAGCTGTTTTATATGGGAGCAATTCTTTTGTTTAGTAAAAGTAGTCAAGCAATACAGAAAGTTACAAATATTTATGGTTTTAAAAGTCTCGTTCTGTTGGTGCTAGTTATGAAACTCAAGAAATACCATCTAATAGAATTTCTTTCAGATGTGGCACAGTTCAGAGAATCCAAAATTGAAGCAATCATTGTGTTCTGCTACACATAAAATACTTCAAATGTCAGGGATGTTCCGCAATCATTTGCTATCCTGAGTTGGCCCATCATTTGCAAAGCATTCAAGCACCTCTTTGGTTTGCTTCTCTATCCTCTCCTACAGTCCCACCGATACAAGACTCCCCCTACCTCATTTGAGCTGAAATAGGCATGGTAGCATAGAAGTGCCAATAGTAGAGCAAAGAAAAAGATGAAAGAAAGAAAGGGAGACAGAAAGAAAGACGAAGAAATGTGCAAGTGGGAAACTGGGAACATTTATGCCTCACTTCACTGCACTCAATTAGCATAAATTGTGCATTAAAGCTGGCATGGAGAACAGTGCAGGTCAGTCTCGGGGTCAGCTCTCGCCACAATATTCCATTAGCAAACTCTACACATACTCACCAATCAATTACACCTCACACAGCACTCAATGATTGATCATTTTTAAGCCGGCTAACTGCTGTGACACAGGGGCTAAGGTGAAGCTTCAGGGCTTGTCCTTTTGAAAACAACATTTGTGCAAATTTGATTAGTTTTCCTTACTTTGGCAAGCTCCTTACTCTCTGGATAACCTTGAATGCAGCTGAAAAACACCTTACCAACAGTTCAGTACTTATGATGGCTCCAGAAAAAAAGGGTAATTTGGGGTAATTCTATTCTAATTTTTCATTAATTAGGCTTCCCTTGTTATCGAAAGATCTCACACAGATCTGATTGTTTTTCACCCCATGAACATCAAGCATTCAGAGACTTCTTCCATGTTCAGGTACACTCAATTAAAACAGTCTCTGGAGAAACAAGTAACCTCCCTCCTAGCTTCTCTCTCTCTCTCTCTCTCTGTCGCCCCATGGCTGTTTTAGCAAGGCTGATGTCATCGTCATTATGCAAACAAACCTGACAAGTTTGATCACCAGCGTGAGCTCTTCCCACAAAATTTAACTGGTGCTGCAGTGAGCCAATGGTTTGCTTATGTAATGTTTGTGATAATTATGCCTACGCTTTTTATCCACCAGTTTTTACTGCTGCACTGACAGGGTTCGGCTGAAAGACTAATATTTACATTGTTTGTCAGTTTGCCTAGAGGCGGTTTGTTGCTAAGATCAGATGTCGAGGGAGTGTTCATGGACCAGCCTTTCCTGAGTTTACCTCCTGTAGATTCAAAGACCAATAATGAGAAAGGTAACTGATAGTATTTGCAAAGAGCTGGATCAAATTACTCTGTATGGACAAGGCATAGGCTGAAGTTTTTGTGCAATAAGCTCACTGGATGTGGTCTCTTTTATTTCAGCATGTTTCTTATTCTTGTCCACGTTTAAACTTGACAGCGTTTACTGTCCAGGCTGAGGGTCTGTCAAATCGATGTCTGTCGAGATGGTGTACAGACTATTCATTCTTTCTGACAGAGCCTGGATTTCCTCGCCTTCTTCCCCTGCACCCATTGTCTGTGACTGACAGCAGCATGATGCAAATGCATGTAACGTGTTGAGGAAGTCATAACTGAAACTTGTCTTTAAATCCAGAGTTTAAAGTGCTCACGTACAGAAAACACGCTGCCCTTTTTCGACTCGTACGGAGGGGGAAAGTGGAGAAACGAACAACAGCAACTTCTTCTTGTTCAGTCTCACACACACACCAAAAGCTCAGCAAGTTTGACATGATCACTGTTCTTGGAAATATCCACCCTTTCTTCTCTCTCACTTTTCTTTTTCTTCCTTTTGTAGAGAGTGGCAGCGTGACCACCCCCTCCCTGCTCCCTACTCTCTCTGCTTTATTACTCCTGGTGCCCCTGGTTGCTGCGGCTGTCGGTGTGTTGCTATGGAGACAGAAACACATTTCTGATCGCAGTGAGTCTTCCGGCGCTTTTCTTTTTTGACAGCTTTCCCCGTTCTGTCCATCTTCAGCCCCCCCTGTCTGGTGCCACTGAGTGATGTGGGCCGTGACATCCTCTGGGGTCATAGTAATGAATCTGCCCCCACCTCCTCGCTCCTCCATGTGTGTTTTCAGTGCGTGTTTGTCTGTGTAGTAACTATCTCTTTGAACTCAGGTATCGAGCAGTCTCTGTCTTTCTACTCTGGTGAAGTAGAGAACATTTACGAGAATCCTGAGGATATCAGACAGGTGATGAATTGAGCTATTTTCAATTTCAAAATATCCCCATTTGCCCTTATCTCCCCCTCTAGTATTTAGCACCACTTCTCTCCCCTTTCCATTTTTTCCTCGCCCTCTCCTCTCTTTTCCTGTCTTGTCTCTGTAGTACACTTTCACCTCTGTTCTGTTTTCCTTCTAATTTTCACAATCCCTCTCTCTCTCTCTCTCTGTCACTTGTTGTTCATTAAACCTGTTTTCTCCTGCTCTTCTCCCCTCCCAACAGGCCCCTCCCCAGGGCTCAGTCTACATGGTGAGTTATTGTATCAGCCCTGCATACAAACAAACACATAAACACACACACACACACCAGCGTTTTTGTGAGGAGTTGTGATGCACATGTCCACCAATGCATACAGACACTCACTCTCTGTATTGCCCCCTCCTGAAGCTGTCAGGAGATATGTCTTCCCTCACATTCAGGCTCTTCATTCCCAGTCTGTCAGCCCTCTCTCAGATAAACCCTGTGTCTATCAACTGTCACCTTTACATTAGCGGTATTAACAAATCAATCTCATTACACAGGGTACAGAGGGACATAAATCTGGCCTCAGTAGCATGGATTTTTTCTCTCTTTATCATCCTCGTCACTGTCCCACTCTCTCCCTGCCTCCCTTCCCCCTTTTCTTCTTTGTGCCAGGATTTGAAGCCAAGAGAAGAGGATGATGTCTATAAGGAACTGGAGCGGTAAGAGACAAGACTTGCATCACCTGTGTGTGCTTTTGTATGTTGAATCTGTATTTATGTGTGTGTGAGTGCGTGTTTACACTGTCACTCATCTGCCCCTCACATTCCCCCCGCACACACACCAATCACACCGGCCTGAACATCACTGTGACACAGTGGCATAATATCACGCCAGCTGCTGACAGGCAGCGCTCCATCGCCCCGTGTGTTGTTGTTGTTGCGTGGGCTGTCTTGTGTTTGTGTTTAAGGAAAAAATCAAATAGACTTGGGGACGGAAGATTTTTTTTTGTGCGACTTTGTCTTTGTGCTCTGTTTTCAGATGCGAACCGTGTCAAGGCTGATCACCTACCCACATCTCATCCTCATCTGGCTGTCATAATCGCCCAGTTCCTCGCTGCAACAGAGGGTCTTTTTAAACTGAAGTAACAACTGCATGTCAGAGTTGAGATGTGACAAAAAAATTGAGTGCTTCAGGGAAATGCAGCTCAGTTGTTTGCAACATTTAATTCCTGCTGTTGCTCTTTAAAAGTGCTTTATCACTGATGTGCTCCATTGTCCTCTCTTGGAGTTGCAAAGGGGAGAAGAGGATTTTCATGGAGGAATTCAAACCATGTTCCCTAGTTCACATTGTTACTTTAATTTTTCATATTTCACTATATTTAGTTTGTTATATATTCCTTAACATTTGTATTGAATCAGCAATTGTTACTTCTATGGATATCTGTATTTAAATAAACACCTTTCTGAATAAAAATCGTTTGTTATGTTGATTGTTTCCATTTGATTAACCCTAAAATACTAACGCTAAAATTAGTAACACCAACACTATCGCCGGGTGATTTTTACCCAAAATAATATACCCAAGAAAAAGTGCTTGTCATCAAAATATCAAAATAGGACAATACACAAACCATGATGCACCACTGAGCGCCACAGGAAGTCTTTCCTGCTGGTGGTCATCAAACTTTTTAACTCCTCCCTCAGAGACTCTGACACCCTCAGTCAGTAGTCTTTACCTGGACTCTGCCCACTCTTTTACATGCATGCAATTATACTATTTGTGTTGTTTATAGTGTAAATACTTGTATATTATCCCTATGTTTTCACTTATTTTTACTTATTTATCTATTATTTATCTCCTATTTGACTGTATTTGCACTGGATCTGTGACAAACGCAATTTCCCCCTGGGGATTATTTAAGTATTTCTGATTCTGATACATGACAAATTAAAGTAGTTTTATTAAATTTTTAACTGTGAAATGTCCAAAGGGAGGAAAAAAGTGCCATGAGGGGACCATATAAAAATGCAGCAAAATAACTGAAATTAGGCATTCATGAACAAAAAAAATCTTGAAAATATATATAAATATATACATACATGTATAGAAACTCTAAACGTAGTTTCTTTTCCACCCATTCCTGGGGCATGTGAGTCTTCTCTGGTGAAGACTGAGGGTCCTTGGCACAATAACAGCTGCAGGACAGAGAACCAAAATATGGCAGATTTGGAGTGAGTAAAAATGACCAGCTGACTAAAATAGTTCTCATCACCGTATTAATTCCCTTGAAAATGACTACTTTGTGATAGTTATTCATAAACACTGCGCTAAATAAAGATAACATGCCATTTCCAGGACCACATTTACTGACCTTATTCATCTACATGCAGCTATCAAATCAACCCAAACCTACTTTACCGTCTATCACCTGAACATGTGTCTGCAGGAAAAAGCAGGTTCTGGATCAGAGAAACAAACATTCCTTCAAACATGTCGAAGATGTCAGGCAAACAAATATTCTTTCAAAGATGTCAAAGGCAATGCTGAAGTTACCTAGGGACCGATGATACTCAGACAAACACAACATAATGAAAATCACGTAAACATGTTTGGTCGGGTGAAAATCACCCGGCGATAGTGATCTCGGGTTAAACTTATACTGCTCTTAGCGGCTTCGCCTTTAAGATTTTTGGCCAGTGCGCGCTTCCGTAGCCGTCTTAGTGGAAGAATGGCCGGCTGGATGTGGCTCCGCTGTATTTTAGGGCCTCATTTACAACGAATTCATCGTTCACCGGATTCATCCCGATCTGAAGGAAGGGCAGGAAGAAGGGTAGGGATATTCGTGATGTTTTGCACATGTCTGTGTTCAGCCGACTACGAAAAAAGAAGAGTATTTCTCCTGTTAGCATCGATGTAGCTACGGCAGAGTCCCCGGAAGTGTCAGCTGTTTGTTATTGAACCCTTGCTGTCACTGCTGAGATGTAAATGAATGAAATGTCAGGAGTATACCTCTACCTTTATCTCCTTTATTTTCTTTCCAATTTCTTTCTTCCTCAAAGTTACAGCCAGTGTAGCTTTAGCTTCACAAACTGTCCTCCTCAATGACATGAACCTGGTTTGGCTAATGCTAGATTATGACACTTTACCAAAATAGAAATTAAAGATAATTGTTAAAATAAAACAAGTTCATGTAATAACATGAATGGCATTTCTGATCACTGTGTTTGTTCTGTTTATCGTCCACTTTCTCCCGAAACTAGAACAACCTTTTGTGCTAATCGAAAGCAAATATTCGTTAGAAACATGAGAGTCAGACTTCAGCTAAAGTTGCTTTTACTTTCAACAGGGATGGACCTACCAACCCAGGAGTCTGGAGAGGCACACCGACAGCATCATCGGTTGGGTCAGTATGTTTGTATAACTCATCTTAGTGTATATGGAGGTCATTTATTCATTCATTTATCCAGCAGCAGCAGTCCTGTCAAGTAAAGTTTGTCTTTCCTTCCTCCAGGCTTCAGCTCTTTGGTCTCTCTCCTACTACAGCTCTCCTCTTCTGCTCTGCTATCTGTACAGAAAAGGTAGGTTTTCTTAAACATTATTGGTTGTAGACTTTAGGAGAGGATTTACAAAAATCTCTTTAAGCTATTCAAGATATTTGTCAAGTATGAGCCACTTTAAAATCCTACCACCCTTTGTAAAGGACTCTACCAATAAACTTAAACTATCTCACTTTTAGTTTACTTCAAATTTGTCTTGTTCTCCTTTTTGAGTTTATTTTTCTCTCTTTTTCAGTGACTGAGAATTTTGTGGTTTTAGAGTAATTATAGGACATCATGAAACTTTTGATGGCATCACCTTGAGCATTTGGACACTGTGATGGACACGGCTCAACATTTGACATTCGAGTTCACTGGGGCACAGTTATCTGTAGACCAATAGAAAATGAATAGAAAACTTTTTAGTTGTAGCTTTTTTTTGGCATCTTTAGTGATCTTCCCCATCTCTGGAACTCACTCCCATCTGACATCCTGAAAATTGACTCTCTCCCTCTCTTCAAATCCAGACTTAAAACCCACCTGTTCAGATTAGCACACACTGTAAAATTTCCCTTGTCATGTTTTTGTTTGTTTTATTCATACATACACATATATACTTGTTTTTCTTTTTGTTTTGTTTTCTCTATTGCTTTTATCCTGCTGTTTTTACTTCATAAAGTGTCCTTGAGTGTCCAGAAAGGCGCTTATAAATAAAAAGTATTATTATTTCTATCTTTAGCCTTTTTGGCAACCAAAGGGGGGGACTCACTTGGTTACTCAGTGATGAACTCTCTTAATAAGAGCTGATATTCCATCATATAGTTCTGCGTAATGAGATACGTTACTCAGCAGCTCTTGAGTTAACTGTCTATCAAGACTTCTCTTCAGATCCTCAAAGTTAAAGTCATGTAAGAGCATAAAGGCGTGCTTCTCGTTATTCTTAAAGTGCAAACAGAGTAATTTGTGGTGTAATGTAATATGATTGTTATTTTACCAGTGATAATTGTCAATTGAGATATGTCTCTGAAATTTTAAGTTAAGACCTGGAATACATTATCAGATATCAGATCATGCTTTGACAATGCAAATGATGTCAGTAGTGGTATAATATAAAATAATCTGATGAAATCATGTGCTCAAAGTGATATCAGTTTACACTTTAGACAAATTAGCACACCAAGTTATAACTCAGTGTTTAGATACACCGAATGTCAGCTGAATGAAATAATATTATCATGTTTTGATCCTGTAGTTTGATAGTTTGATGAATGAAAACATCATGATTTTGTCCATTAAAGGTCTTTTGTGAGGGTAAACAATTGAATGAGTAATGGTAGATAGCTTAAACAATGAAATATGTAGTGTAAAATCAGATGAGATACCTGGGGTTTGAGGTTCCCAACACAGGGAAGAGAAATAAAGAAGGAAAAAATGTCCATAATCAGGGCCTGAGGGAAATAGCCCCTTAAAGCGTAGGAAATTGGTGTTCATGCTACAAAAGGCAAATAGAGGATGACACGCCTTTGAGTACGGGTGTTAATCTGCATTGGCAATAGCAGAAGGTGCTTGTAGGAAATCCCAGTCACTGGACTGACTGCAGACTGGTCATAGTCTCATATCATTCAGGGTTTTTTCAGTCCTGAGAACAGAGCAATGAGCAGACACAGAAAACATATTGTCTCCCAGACTGCTTGAATTGCAGTGCTCTTAAATGTTATAATGGATGTTTTTAGTCACTGGAGTGGAAAAGAAACACATCCTGACTCTGTAGAGATCTTCTTCATTCTTGACATGTTTCATTGGAAGCCTCCCCTCAGAAGAACGTGCAGTGACATAATGTCAAATATGTGTCTTTTTGGATGACATCTCTGCTTCCATTAGGGGAGAAAAATCGCCAATGGGGGGATGATCTTGAGAATTGCTGTTCTCCTACAGGCAGGATTAATATAAAGTTAATCAAGTGAAACATTCAGCAAGACTGTGCATCAATAGAAATTAATTGCTTGAGGTTGTTTGCTCCTCCTTAGTGTATAATTATGCCTCTGATATTGATTTATGCATATGGTTGTAGGGTAGTTGTCAAACTGTGAGTTCTTGTATTGGTGTGCGTTAATGAGGCTTAAGTCTGGCAGAGAAAAAAGAGAGGGTATTATGTTGATGGCTGTGTCACAGTTTCTCTCTGTGTAACTACTTCTTTGTGTATTCTTAGGTTACATCTGCAGCTCTAAGCTGGTTCCTGTGAGTCAGTATGTTGGGACTGTGCTGGTGTGTCTTCTGGGAGTCGCTTGTCTTAGAGGTAAGGCTACAGACCGAACACAAATTCAATGTATTCATCTTAAGATATCACTACATACGCTGAATATTCTGCGTGCTGGTAAAATTTTATTATCACTGAGGCAGTAACACAAAGTCCAAACCCACAGAGCATACTAAACACACCCTTGAGGCTATGCAGCTAATTTTAATGGTGCCCAAGGTGCACTTCACCCGTGTGTCGCTCTCTATTTTCTTATCCTCTGCCCTCCATACTTCTCCCTTTTTTTCATCAGGGTGGGGTAGGTGGAAGAGCTCTGAGTACCTTCAGTTCATCACCATTCTTGAAGAAACCAAGAAGAATCACACACCAGCAAACAAAGTGAGTTCATGGCTTATTTATACAGGAATAAAATGCAACGATTTTCTGTTTGATAAACAACTCCATTAAACCTCACCCAAAAGAACATTTCCCATTCCCCTTTGCTTTTCATGTAGAAAAAAGTGAGGTGCTACGACTTTGACTTCTCGCACTGGCCTTCAGATTTCAGCTGGACAGAAGTCAGCAATCCGTAAGTGATTTCTTTTATATTTTATAGCTATTTGAAATGGCCTTGTGTGCACTGCAATTCTATTCCCATCAGGGCCGGTTCATTATAAATACAGGCATTCAAAGCACTGTCAAGTTCACTGGATAAATGCATCCATTAAATGTCAAAAAGCATTTTGGCTCATCATTATTCACTGTAAGTCTTTGACTTTGTGTGCTGCAGGAAACTTTCCAAGGCTGGTGTTTCTCTGCTGAAGCCAGAGCCCAGATTAAGAGGAGCAGCAGACAGTGTCCTGAACTCAGTGCGCACTCTACCATGTCACGTCATCAGGTTGATGCAGTTTATGCTACATTATCCACAAAATAAAGCCTGGGCATGACTGCAGAATGACACTGCACATTTGTTACCAGTATAAACAAAAGGGAATACATATATTATGCTTATTCTTCATTTGCATTACATTTTATCACAAAAAAGTCATTTTTCTCAGAATAATCAAAACATTTGTCTGGTGTTTGTTTTCTTTCCTGCAGCTTTCTCATTGCCCATTCATTTGGGAGGAGGATGCTGTACCCTGGCTCTGTAGGCTTATTGCAGAAAGCCATGAGGCCTATGCTCCAGCAGGGCCAGGCTAGGTTAATAGAAGAGGTATAAAATCTACACATTCACATTCTGACTGTCTAAACTGACTTAAATAAATACCAGTCACCACAATGGGACTTTCTCTCTCTGTTTTGTCACAGTTTGACGGTCAGAGAAACAAGCTGGTGGCCTGCGATGGAAATGAGATTGACACAATGTTTGTAGATCGAAGAGGAGATGGGGGGCAGACTGGCCAAACTTTGGTAAATTACTGCAGTGATTTGCTTTTTGTTTTGTGCTATCTGCTTGGTTGAAGGGACCAACAAAGTCCCTTTGGTCACGCTGAGGTTGCTTCTTGAATTGTATTATTCTTGCCCCAGGTCATCTGCTGTGAGGGAAACGCAGGCTTCTATGAGGTCGGCTGCATGAACACTCCACTGGAGGGTAAGACATGCTCTACTCTAACTGAGTGCAGAAACTGACATTTAAAAGTGGTATTTTCACTTTTAAATTTGTATTAGCTCAATTGCTTGTTTCGATGGAAATAGCATAATTTTGTGTTTCTGTGAACTATAGGTGGATACTCTGTGCTGGGCTGGAACCACCCTGGCTTTGGTGGCAGTACAGTAAGTAAAACACTCAGATTTTGGACTTTATTTAAACCGTATCAGTCAATAGTGTATGCCTGAGTGTCACGTAGTCCTATAAAACACCACAGAGGAAAACAACGGCATGTGGAAAGTCTGGTTTTAGTTGTTTAGGATTGCGCAAGAGGGAGACTCCCATGTTCAACATTATCAGTGGAGTGGAATAAAACTTGTACATCTCTCAGATCTTTCGAAGTGCGTGGTGTTTTACGTGGGTAGAGTGCAACTGTCATGTTTAATAATGCATGACGATTGCTTTTTTTACTTGTGTCATTCTGCCAGGGAGTGCCATTCCCCCAGAATGAGGCCAATGCCATGGATGTTGTGATTCAATTTGCAATGCACAAGCTCGGGTTTCAGCTCAAAGACATAGTCATTTATGCCTGGTCCATAGGAGGATTCACAGGTACACAAACAAACATGACAGTGCATCAGGGGCTTTTTTAATTGTTGTTTTTTCTTCTGCGGTTTTGCATGTTTCTCATCACTCTGAATTTCTCCTCTTAGCCAGCTGGGCAGCGATGTCATACCCAGAGATCCAGTCAGTAGTATTGGATGCGTCCTTTGATGACCTCTTACCCCTGGCCCTTAAGGTCATGCCTGACAGCTGGAGTAAGTCCAAAGGGATTAAAGATAATGAATTCTGGATCTGATGCAGCATGCCTTTTTTTTTAAATAACTGCGCATCTTTGTTTTCTCTCAGGACCATTGGTGCAGCACACAGTGAGGCAGTACATGAACCTCAACAACGCTGACCAGCTTCTCAAGTGAGTGGGACAGTCTAATTTTAGGAACATCAAAGTCAAAGTCCACTTCATCGAACATTATGCAACATATTGGAGAGTAATCATGAATCTTAAGTAGCTCACATTGATGCGACTGATGATAAATGCCGCTTCCTCTCCTTCAGATATCAGGGACCAGTCCTGCTGATCAGGAGAACAAGAGATGAGATCATCACCACAGCGTGAGTTTGAACTGAGACTAAAAAAAAAGTCTGACCAACTTCATGCGAACATGCATGTAAGCAGGAAAAGTGTTGGTTCAGATCGAACATGTGAACAACAATAGCTTGGTTAGAATATGATGGGGGATCAGTGTTTCTTCTTTTTGCACATGTGAAGAAAAAAACAGAATAACTCCTGCTTCTTTAAGAGGAGGATCAAATTCAAACACCAACGATCAAATAGAAATGCAAACTACCAAAAAAAAAATTTTACTGCAGTTATTCCAAAGAGTTAATGCTCCAATTGGTGGAGTTGCACTAAAGGGAAAAAGGTACTGAGTACATGAAAAGGCTATTAAGGACACTGGCAGCCTCTAAATGAACCGATAACCTTGGTTGCATCGATCAAAACAGATACTTGACTCAGTTGACGTTCAGTACTTCAGTTAAGGGCTTACTTTGAAGTTTAACTGAAATGTTTGTTGCCTGAAGTCAAAACTACTATATTACAGGAGTATGTTTCATAGATAGCAATAGCTGCTGAGGTAATTTAGCAAGATATCATGTAGGGCTGTCCCGATACAATATTGATATCTGTCCGATATCAGCCAAAAAACAAATATTGGATTATATCGGCCTGCATCTAAAATCTCAGATATCAGCACAAGCAGTCCATTCCAGTCCATTCCAGACTCCACTCCAGCACCTCTAGCTAGCAGCACTCGTATCCAGCATGCAGAGCCCACGTGATCACAACAACAATGTGTACTAAAGTACAAAGTAGCAAGGAGTAAGAATGATGTTGACTGTGTAGCAGTATTTTTCGTTAAAGTCCGAAAAAGATGTTGCAGCTGAGTGCAAAACTTGTCATGCCAAGTTTTTGCCAATATCGGATCAATATTGTTATTGGCCGATGCTGAAGGCTACACACATCGGTATCGTATCGGAAGTAAAAAAAGTTGTATCGGGACACCCCTACTATCATGCAAACCTATTCACTCATACAGCATTTTGTTATTGATTAAGTGATGATAAATAAAGCTAAGGATAACCTGTTAGCTGTAAAAAGAACATAATACCAAGACAACCTGCATGGATTTGATCACGGCTGTGAAGTTTGCCAATTTACCAGTGACATCAGCAAAGGGGATCTAGTTGAACATGCTGACCAAAACCATAAAACTGTATTTTTCCATGTAATATACATAGCATTTAATAAGCATGCGTGGTCTTATATGTTGATACTTTTTGTTTTTTTGTAAGGGTCTCTGTGATGTTTTTGAACACTGGTTGTTTAATGGCATCAGCTGATTCTGCTGCTTGTCTGCACTGGAGGTGTCATAAGGAGACATGGGTGCTTAAGGGCCATGGTGACATTTAGAGTTCTTCAGAAATCAGTCTACAGGCTGTTAGAGGCAAACAAGAGGGACAGGGAAGGTCTCATTTCCAGAGTTTAGTTAGTTTACGGATTGACATTACAGAGTAATTTATGCAACCTGCTCCTGTTGCTTTTAATTCAGTACATTGCGTTAATGTTTTGCATTTGTTTAAATCAATTTCACTGGCTTGAAATTTACATGTTTTTATTGTCTTGGAGGCTGTGAGTGTTACATTATTGCTCCTATTACCGTTTTAAATCAGTCAAGAGGATGCAAAGGAAATAAAATGCCATTTGCTCTAACATAATACTTTAACCAACACACCACAAAACTACCAAGCATTTAATCACTGCTTGATGATAGCACAGTAATTGTCAGTATGGTAAGTAAAATGCAGTGCTGCTACAGGCTGTGGTATGAAAAAGCAACCACTTTCTCAGCCAGTTGGTCACAAGGCCACTTACACTATATGATGTAAGATTGTACACTGTGTTACAGAGGACCAGAGGACGTCATGTCCAACAGAGGCAACGACCTCCTGCTCAAATTGCTACAATTCAGGTCAGCCTCATAATTTTCAACCATTTAATCTGAGTATTTTTACTGCTGCATGCACCCCCTCATATCTGGAGAGTGATGCAGACTTTCTGTAACTTTTGATGTCATTTTCATATCAAGGTACCCAAAAATAATGACAGATGAAGGGATTAGAGCTGTCAGACAATGGCTGGGATCTTCTAATCCATTAGAAGAAGGTAAGGCGCTTCATGTGAAAAACTGTAAACTCAATCAGAATCAAACTTACTGTGATAAATGAGTTAGAATGTCTGAGTCATAGCGAAAGGTGCAAAAGTAGTAGACAAGTGTCAGGCCAGTTACGTGACGACTGACATGGGATTTTAAAACATTTTCAAGACAAGGGCAAAGCAGGAGAGATGTTAAACAAGCGTCAAACAGTCATGAATTACAGCACCACAGAGAGCAATATCTGAAGATGACATGGTCGTCTCCCTGAAAACAGATTAAAGGTACGCTTGTTACCAGAGCTGATATTCATTCGACAGGCTGCAGCTTATTTTAATTATTGTAGCATTTCAATATCAATACTTCTGTGCCTCATTTACATGATACTGCCTTTTATTTCGCTCAAGTCTGGCAATATAAAGAGACAGAAAATGTGTCATCATCATTATCTAAGTGTGTTTTATTTATTGTGTCTGTCTTATTCATTTAAAGCGAAGTTGTTGACTTAATAGAAAAAAGGTTTGGTCTACGAAAAGTCTTCGTTAAACTTAGTCTTGAAAACAAGGGCTCATCTCCACTCAGTTTGGTAGTTTGTTTTAGCACAGACTAATCCTGTAGAGGATCCAGCTTGTTACAATGGGACAGGAATTGAAAATATCGTGAGGCATTTTGGGGGTCTTGATCTCAGTTGGGAGGCCAGAGATCTTACAAAGGATAACTCTTTATAAACTTTGGGCACCTTATTCACAACCAAGAACTAAAAACCTTCAGTGTGTACTTCATATTTACTGTATCACTGCTATATTTTTATCATTAAATAGGTAAATTAATAATTTTTTTGTTAATGAATATTCTCAGATATGGTTAATGCAGAGTTCTGGCTGCACTCTTTACCTCTCTCTCCCTCTGGATCACATGCTGGTAGACTACAAAAAATAATGTGTGATCGCACAATAACGGCTCACTTCATCACACATTCAAACCTCCAATTATCACAAAGAAACTTCTCGTTTCCCTTGTATTTAAAACCTCTACAAGATCACGAATGCCTTGTGCACAGGGAATGAGTGGTTGACTTGAAGAGAGAGAGAGCTGAACATGAGCAGAGCAGAGCAAGTGTTTAGTCGGGAAGGTGGCAGTCTGGTGATAGGTCTACATTTATATTGAAGGCTACATTCAAGACGTACAAGCCAGAGCCCTTGGGAACCAGCACCCTTTACGACCTCCGTGTATCACCTATGCTTTGAGCTCGCCCTGGCTGTGTCTAACAACTGACTCTCTCTACAGCATCTGTCTACAGTGGCTATGAGGTGGACGATGACTGGTGTGTATCTGTGCTGCAGTCGTATCAGGCAGAGAGGGATGTTGTGTTCCCGTGGAGTGTTGGTAAGACCTGGCTCCTTTCACATTTACAAGGCAAATAGACTGCACACACACAGAGAGACACGGTCTAACCCTCTCCTCTTGTTACCAGGTGAGGACATGACTCCAGAGGGAAGGCGGCAACTGGCTCTTTTCTTGGTAAGCGAATCATCTTTTGTTATGCCCACGCGTAGCCTTGGTGTTCTGTTGTGTCTCCGGTCTGGTTCAAAGGGCAGCTACATCTTGTTTGGATTCTCTGCTTTAGTCGGCTCACCAGTCAGCTTTCCTTTTTCTGCATGAGCCCAATTTTCCGATTTAAGATTGGCTTACCTTCCCCCTCTTCTCTCACACTCCAAAAAAACACATCACAGCTATTCACAGACATCATTACCACTGAGGAACACTTTTCTGGTCGCCATAGTAACCAGCTCACCTGTGCTCTCAGGTTGACTGGTGTAATATATTTTACTGCGCTCAGCTTATTGAAGTCATTTAACATCAAACAAGAGGAGTGCCATCAATTACAGCTAATGCTATGCATTTCCTCCCTTGGTAATGCCTTCTGAATTAGGCTTTATTCTCCTCCCGTGTAAACCCCTTAAGAGATGGGAGAGATTTGTGTGGCACCGAGCCAGGCGGACCCAGGCTAATATAATCAAGTTGTGCACTTTCTGTTCATTGCCCTCCCACACCTCTCATTCTCCATTCCTCCTCCATCTCCGCTCTCTTTTCTCTCTCCAAGGCACGGAAGTACATGCGAAACTTTGAAACAACACACTGCACTCCTCTCCCCGCCTCCGAGTTTCACCCACCCTGGAGACTGTAAAGAAACAGAGGGATGGATGAGAGGAAATGAAGAGCGCAGATTCAGGTGGCCTGTGGTCAGAGTGTGTTCCTGGCATGGTGTGTGAATGTATAACTGTGATTTTGTTCCAGATTTTTTCCTCCCCTATAAAATTTGTAAAGTTTTAGTGTTGCTGTTGGGGCATCTGGACAGATCTCATCTACAAACGCCTCCTTCCAAAATCTTGTAATATATGGTCCATCGTTTTTTTTTTCTTTTTCTTTGAGGTTAGTGTTGAGTCAAACTTTTAGTGTTCGTCTTTTAAAAAAAAGAGGATGCATTTTATGTGGATGCATAAGCCAACTCTCACTCCTTCCATTGTTCCCTCTTTGGCTGTATTTGTAAAGAAGCATTGCACATTGACAAGCATTGTTAGAATTTAATAAAATAATCCTAACAGCATCCAGTTCGGGGAATTTTAATCTTTGAAAATGCAGCCAAAGTGCAACAGCTTTTCAGGTTTCTGTTTTCTATGAGCACTGTCCTTCTGAACAAAGCTGTGTCTGAAATGATGCTCTTACATGTTCTATTATATAAGCTGAATAAAATGTTTGACATAAGAGAATGAATTCATTACTTTGTACCATTGCTTTACAAATTGCAGTGATTATCAGGCTGTCTTAGTACAATACATGAGTAAAAGACATTTCTTTGTCACAGGAGCTTTATTCAATTCCCTTCATACAACAATCAGCTTGGAAAGTGAATATGAAAACGAATACACTGACATGAAAAAGTGAAGATACACGGTGATTTATATTCTGCTTCGACAAACATTACATCATTTTCCTGAAGTTTTCCATGGCCTCTTTCACTTTCTCAAGTTCTGTTTGGCTCTGCCGTAGCTGTGGAGAAAAGAAGGCAGTTATTCAAAAACGAAAGGAAAAAAAAAAACACTTCTTACACTCTCAGAAACCCTGTGAGTCAATTTCTTTTTCACACCTTCTCTGCATCCTGCTCCTGCACCTTTACTGGCACTTTCTCCTTGTAGTCACTCTTTGCCATCTTCTCTTTGAGTTTCTCCATCTGTTTCTCCAAGTCACCTCTTTTTGTCGTCAACTTTGCCATTTCCTTCTCGACATCAATGAGACCCTGGGGGGGTTTCAAGGGGAAATGAACAGGGACAGCGGTTGTAAATTTGGCTTTTGTAATCTAAGAACACAGGAAACAAGTGAACCAATCGAACACATTGAAAATACTGTGAGCAACTTTGAGAAACCATCATCCCAGGGATCAGGTTTTTAAGTTTTAAGACCTTGGTGTTTAAGCTTCAGGTCTGCTGTGTAGGGATGGAGAAAAAGAACAAAAAGTGAACAGTCTCCCTGTCCTCACCTTGAGCATAAGGTTGACAGTACATCTGTCAGAGGCGATAGCTACAGCACAGCCCTCTGGGACAGGCTGGTTTGCTGTCAGAGGGATGACAGCCTGAGAATAAGACAAGGTCTGAATCTGCAGACTGTACTTCTGCACCAGGGACGCAGTTGCCGAGTCAATACACTGGAGATAGCCTGGGAGAGAAAAGGGGGGCAAAGAGAAGTGGAGGAATCAGAGAAGAAAAGTTCTTGACAAGATACATGAAAGGCAGCCTGTGGTTAAAACTGAGTGCTTATACAAGACACTAAGAACTGTCACACATGAATGTACTATCCTCCTGCTGAGCCAGTGTCAGTGTTTTTAAGTGTATTGTAACCTGAAATGATCTTACTATACACCTGAAACCTATTTAGTAGATTCATGTGTATCTCGCTACTTTGAAGTATGATATCAGTTAGGAAAGGAAATGTGACCCCCAATTTCCACCACATTCAGAACAGCTCAGATCTGGAAAGGCTGCGATTTTCGCTGTCCACCAATTCCCACTGGATCCATTTGTGAGGCAAATTTCAAGGCAGATTACGGACAGCGGAGATGGCAAGAACTCATTAGAACAGGCGGATTCACATGCAATTGCGCGATAACGAATCGTCTCATTAGAGACAGCCACATAACCATATAAGCAGTATATTGTGTATACAGCATTTCCTCATCCATGGTGTCAGCAGGGTGAAATGCTGTCTATAAACCCTTTCACTTGTTTGTCCCCGCCTGTTTGCATGGTGTGAAATATGATCCACTTGAAACACATAGCGTTAAGTTTTGAAAAGAAGCCGCACGTTTTATTTTGTGTCTGTGCCTGACTTCCTTTACAGCACGGACTAATCTGTGCTGAATTTATCTGGCATGCTCCGGTGTCCAGGAAAAATAGAACTCTTTCGATCAGCTGCAGAACGGAAAGAAGGCGGTGGAAATTGACACATTAATGGTTACGATCAGCTGCAATCAGCGGCCTTTTACATCGTAGCTGTTCCGGATGCGGTGGAAATTGGGGGTGAGGCTACCAGTGAATTTTATATTTAAATGGAATTGATCATGATGAGTCATCTTACAGTCGGCTCTTGTCTTGGTTAGGTTGTAGTCTGCCCTCAGGGACCGGATTGTCTTCACCACAGTCATTACAAAGTCCATGTCGCGGTCGACCTCCGCACTGTTCCAGCAGAACTGCAAAAAAACAGAAAAAGAAACTGGCTCAATTAGAAAAAGAGATCATAACCCCTCGAAAAATAAACTTTTATTACCTCCTGATTAAATTATAGAAGTTTAACTGGACAGGAATGTACAAAGTCAGACGTTCTGGCCCTGCACATCAATGAGTTTCTTCACAACCCTCAGCCTTTGACTCAGCTCACCTCCTCAGTTTGAGGGTATGATGTGACACTGATGCTGGGGGGATCACTCTGAGGTCGCCGTCTTGGTAACCTTTGGTAGAGCTCTTCACTGACGAAGGGCATCATGGGAGACAGAAGGCGCAGACCAACTTCTAAACAAGTGTAAAGAGTTTGTCTGCACACCAGGGCCTGTCTCTGGCTGCTGCTGTCTTCGTCAGCTTTACTGAAGACTGGTTTCACACTTTCCTGGGGGACGAGAAGAAGAGCGAGAGGTAAAAGCAGGAAGGTTCTGAGCTGGCCAGGGGTGCGAATACATTACATTTTTTACATGCAAAGGTGAGTGAGCCGGAGCTGCTTTAAGGTCTTACCAGATACACATCACACAGCTCGTACAGCCAGAAGTTGTAGATGGCGGTCGTGATTGCGGGGAAGTCGTAAGCCTTGAAGCCGGCATCACAGAGAGCGACAGCTGCGCACAGTCTAGACAGGATCCACCTGTCTGATACGCTCTCCTCACCACACAACTGAGAGAAAGAGGAACGTTCAGATTCAGTGAACACAACTCCCATGTACTTCCTGAATGTCAATGTGTACAATCGTATGAATACAAAGCAGGGAAAAACATGAGGGAACTACACCCAACAGGCAAACACGGTAAACAACCCACTCCCAAAAAATCTGATCTGCTTAATACTACTTGGTCGAAATGTTAAAGTCTGTCTGGATGAATTTGAGTGAGGAGGGAGAAGTTCATGTTTCTGTTCTGCGTCCTTCATCTTCTCCTCTGGTCTCACCTGGGCTTTCTCTGATGGTACAAAGTGATCTCCCAGGGTCTTCATGGCAAACTTCACTGCGTTCCACAGTTTGTTGCAGAAGTGACGGTAACCCAGAATGCGGTTGACATCCAGGTTTATATCCCTGCCTGGGAGACGAACACAGAGTCAGTACAAAAGAGTCAATATTTTGAAAATAGTCGGATTCTGGGAGAACTGGCCGCGTAGTGACGGGCCTTTTCTCCAATGTTTTCAGTCTTTTTGTGAAGCCAAGGTTGACATCCAAGTAGTCAAAGGAAAAAAAGAAACAAAGTAAGAAAAACTGAAAAGACAAACAAGTTCACCTTGGCTTGTGTAGGCACACAAAGCGAACCGGAGAGCATCTGTGCCACACTCTGGGATGCCATTTGGATAGTCTGACTTTTGGCCCTGCTTCGCCTTCTCCACCTCCACTGGATCCAAGTTGCTGTCCATCAACTGGGCATGAAGACCCTGGAGGGTAGGAGGAAGGAGAATAAGTACCAATATGACAATGTGTTTTATCATTTCTTTTTTATCTTTAGGTTGATTAATCCCTAGTTTGTCGCTCAGTTAATTTGATGTTTTTATTGAGCAGGCATGAAAGGACCACGTACGGAGGACTGAGCGGTTCACCACAAGTCCTTCAGTGCCCTCTAGAGGACAGGTTCTGCTCTGCCCGATGAGCAGTTTCTCCCCGGAAGGAAAAGAGATTGATGGCCTCAATAAAAGCTTGTTGAAAGCAGAAAAAGGTGCTTAATAACGCTTACATAACAGCAGTGGCCTCTGGGGAGCAAGAGGGTGCGGTGACGATGTGAAAGACAATCCAAATGGGAGAGAGGACAGATTTTATGAGTGTGTATTTGAACATTCATCAAAGCGTGATTGGATGTTACCTCCAGAGAGATCCCTGTGATGACGTCCAGAGGATCAATGACGTTGCCCAGAGATTTGCTCATCTTTCTTCCGTGTGCGTCCCTCACCACAGCATGCAGATAAACCTGAAAAAGGATCAGCCTCATTTAATCCTGTTTTCATGTTGCATTTTTTGGATATTTTGAAAGAAATTTCATGGCCTGCAACATAAAAACACAGAATCTTTACTAAGGGGTGAGGGGGGTTTGATATGGAATGTATTTTTGTTTCTATTTGTGGTATTTTTTCAGTCCAAGTAGTGCTGATCACCAACGTTTCAACAGATGACTTCCTGGTTCTCATCAGCAGTAATCTGATAAAATATCTGCATGCATGTGTAGCTGAACCATTCAAAACTTTGATTTGACCTCTCAGGTTTTTAACTGTCTAACTGAAGATGACACAGCAGACCGAGGAGGACAGCGTGGCCAGAAGCTGTTTATTACCACCACTGGCTGCACCAGAAATACTGAGAAGTGAACCATCATTTATCCCCTTTAAAAACCTGCAGATGGGTTCTTTGGCAGCTTTGCCTCCTCTCTCACCTCTTTGAAAGGGAGCTTGCCGGTCAGTTTGAGACCCATCATCACCATTCGAGCAACCCAGAAGAACAAGATGTCATGGCCCGTTTCAAGCAAAGTGCCGGGGTAGAACACATTTAGGTCCTGGTTCTGAAGGAAAACAGAAAGAGAACAAGAGAGTCACATTTTTAGGCAGTATAAACTAGGGCTGCCGAATGATAAATTTTTTTAATGGCTATTAATCACAGAATCTTCAGAGTTAACTGCGATTAATCGTGGTTTGAATTGCATGTTTAAAGCTTTGTTATTTTGCATTTCAAGACAGCTTTTTCTTACCAGAGTCTTAACTGGGAATCAAATCAACACAAAGAAAGAATATGCTTTTTGACCTTTTGTATTCTTTCAAAAAAGTGCCATGTAGACCAACTTAATACAATGTCTACGTTAAATACATATAAACCTGTTAGGTATCAATAAAAGTAAATATGTTGTCTGAATTTAGGTGGAAAAAAAATCTAATCTATGATCTATCTTTCATACATTATTTGCAGCATTAGGGCAGACTTCCTTCTGCAGAATACCTCCTAACTAGCAACTGCAAGAGAGTGCCATTTGTGTCTGTAGAGAGGCGGTTGACCTCAGTCTGTTACCTCATTAGGCCATCCGAAGATGGAGAAGGGGAAAATGCCAGACGAGAACCACGTGTCCAAAACATCCTCATCTGAAATAAACGAGCAAAGTTACCAATTTGCATGTATATGAAGCAGAATAAGAGGGCAGTTCAAATCTGTGTTGTAGCAAACATGGAGGTAATTTGATAAGTTTGGACCCGTCGTGTTTCTCAGACCTTTACGTTAAAAGCTGTTGGACCTTACCTTGTCTGAGGCTAATTTTGTCAGCAGACACGTTGAAGCGTTTTGCCGCCTTCTCTCTGGCCTCTTCCTCCGATCTGCCGCTCACCCAGTAATGACCGTCCATGTCCTGGAGGAAAAAAACAACAAAAAGAAAACAGGGTGAATAAATAACAGAAATGGACAAAGAAAGGTAGAATAATAAATAGATTTGATCTATCGTGTGAAAGCCTCCGGACCTTGAGTATCGTAAAAGTAATCATCCTACCTCTCCTGGTTTCACAGAGGCATCGCTGACAGTGACGAAGTAAGCAGGAATGCGGTGACCCCACCACAGCTGCCGGGAGATACACCAGTCCCTGAGAGAGGGGGAGATGGATGAAACCTCAACACTTGCACTTGATTTTTCAAAATAATCTATCTCTGGAGATGAAACTGCCCCTGGAGTCGGTCTGTTAGTTAAATCTAATGTTTGTTGATCTGAGAAATAAACCTGAAAAATACATAACCTTGTGTTGATATCATCTTAATGCACACTTGTTATTTTGAAGGACTAATAGCCTCACAATGAAGAACTTTTGGTTTGTCAGTTTTAGTGACAGTGGAAAAAAACAGTTCCTTTTCTTTCTGCTAATTTTGCTCGGTACATTTTTTCAATAATCTCATCCTGCTTTCTTTGAACAGTCGTATGCATCACTCATCGAGAATCTTTGCTGCAGAAATTGAAAAAAGGCTGTTTTGGCAGCATGCAATTACTCATTTCGACTGACACCCACCTCATGGCAGCAGTTCTAGGTATTAAAAATAACTATAGAAATAATCAATCTTTTTCCCTGACAGTGTTATCTGCTTTGTAGGTCATATACAAGCATCATTGTAAATTCCAGTCTGTTTTATAACAAACTTAAAAAATACTTCACCGCAGAAACTTTGGAAACAAACATATATCAGCGTTATGGCACATCAGTACACAATACAAAGTCTAACTGTCTACACACAACACGCAGCTTTGATGATTTCAGCATCCAACAGAATCTGATGGCAATAAATGAAATGCACTTCTACACACGACTGGGTATATGAACTTCTGAGGACTCGATAATGGGGACTGGACTTTGACTCAACCTAAGTTTTTTTTGGATTTGACTAGACTCAAACATGGACCACTTCGACTCAACTCAGACTTAAAGTTCTAATTAAAACACTGATAAAAATCAAGAAAAAAATCACCTGCTAATATATCAAAATCATCTCTTGCTGCAGCCCTACAACTGTAAGGATCTTTAAAAGGAAGATCAAAATATTCCCTCTATATCAGTGTCTAAAGTTTAAACTACATCTTTTGTAGGGGAAAATACAGACAATACACACTGCAAAAACAGGCCATTAAGTCTGTTTTTGCAAATCTATTGTCTATATTTTCCCCTACACTCTAAGATAGTTATGATACCCAGACTAACAGGCCCGAGCTTGGTCACTGTTGGAGGATGTGTAGTAATATATCTACAGGACATTTCCACATTTTTTGGGAGTGTCCTGCACTTTCACCATTTTGGGAATATGCGATACAAGAAATCACTTCAATCCTAGGTCCAGATATAGAGCGCTCTTTCAGTCTTATTTACTTGGGGAATTTACCAAAAACCATGAGGAAATAAGACAGGTACTTGATATAGATTCTACTGGTTGGTTGGAAAAAAGCAATAACCAGAAAATGGCTCAGCAAGGACCCGCCATCTATTTCGGAATGGACAGAGATCATAGGGGAGATTTATATTATGGAGCGTTTGACATTTTCCCTGAGATACGCCAGTGCTAAGTTTAAGAGGTATTGGGAACCCTGGAAATCTTACACAAATTTAATTAACTGAAAGTGCTTGTCTTATCCTGTACAGATGTCACATTCTTTAATTTGTGTTGGATCTGATGTATAAATAAATGTGTCCCCACAGCCCAGCTTTGGATTTACATTTTGGAAACGAACATTTTTGTGAGTTATTGCATTTTAAGCCTGTAACGACCCTGTCTGCTGCCTTCTTTGATACTTTCCTTTCGCTGCTTGTTTAATGTAAAAACATCTAATCATAAAAATAAAGTATAAAAAAAAAGATATTTATGATAACACCATACACAACTATAATAAGTGGCCACAACTACTTAGTCTACTCAATGTAAACAAACAAGTATGATTATTAAAATTACATGTCTAGAAGAGAAACACGACTACCTGATGTTGTCCATCCAGTTGAACCACGTTTTGAGGTGGTGGTCAGGGATGATTTTCAGCCGTCCCTCTCTGACAGAATCTGCAGCCTGCTTGCCCATTTCTGTGCAGTTCACATACCACTGAGGCTTCAGCAGCGGCTCCACGATGTCCTTGGAACGACTGATAGGTACGAAGTAAGGATTAAAGGTAAACCCTGAAGAGAATGAAAAGATCTCGAACACAAATAACCCTTGTCAGACTTTACCTGCAGACTGGGACCACCATAGGGTTATCCTTGATCTCTTTAAACTGGCCTCTGTCCTTGAGCGCCTGCAGCACTGCCTTCCTGGCCTCAAAGCGCTTCATGCCCTGAAGGGATGGACAGAATAGTTAAAACTGAAAAATGACGGAATAAAACTGCAACAACAAGAAAACTTTGAGGACGCTTGACTTTTGATGTCAGAGTGGAAATGCATTCACTGCAGGGGAAGGAATTATAATGAGACACTATACCAGGAATGGAGGAGGCACGTTAATGAGCAGGCCATTCTCATCCAAGATGTTGATGAAGGCCAGATTGTGTCTCACTCCAACCTCATAGTCATTATGGTCATGAGCCGGGGTGATTTTGACAGCACCTGAGCAGAAAATGTTGCAGAAGGAGAGGAGAGGCAGAGGGAAGAAAAAAGGACGACAGCTGTAATAGGGAAAGTGCCCTGGCTTAACGACTTGTTATGATTCCTCATTCTCAGCACGCTGCACATTCACAGACAGATTGTCCCTCCTTGTAACTATGTCTACCTGTTCCAAAGTTCACGTCCACAAAGTCATCGAACACAATGGGCATCTTGCGGTCACAGAAGGGATGTAGCACTGTTTTCCCCTTCAGATGCTGATATCTGGGGTCAGCAGGGTGAACAGCTACAGCAGTGTCTCCCAGCATAGTCTCAATACGAGTTGTTGCCACAATCACCTCCTCGTCTACGGAACAGCAAGAAGAACAGTGTTATTAAATCCGAACATGGTGTTTGGATCTGAAGTATTTTGCCTTCTTTGAGCTCACACACCTGAACCGTCTACTTTGTAGGCGAAAGACACCAACACTCCAAACTCTACTTTCTCTTTGTAACCAGGAACAGGCAGCAGAGTCCTGCCAGTCAGCTCCCTCTTATCCACCTGCAAACAAACAACATGACTAAGTTGAGAGATCCCGGCATAGCTGCTGCTTACAAAGCAGTTTAGATCCAACACCATGTAAACAGATTAAGCCTGGGGGTGTATGATAGAAGTTTAAATCATTATTTATAAATGCAGTAGCTGCACACATACAGAAATGATGTTTTTGCCTATTTTTGCATTTTATTGGCAAAGGGAAGATCAGGCTGACAGATAAAGAAGCTCAGATTTCACTGTAAATCGCCCTGAAGTCTATATTTGATTTGATTTATTTACTTAGCACAAGTTAAGAAAAACAGTGCAAGGAGGGAATGCCTGGAGGGCTTGTACGAAGTTCCACTCCCATTATCTATGAACTACATGAAACTCAAGATAAACAATAAGAAGTAAAACAGAAAAATTCAAGATAAACAATAAAATCTACAGTGCAACATAGAGAAACTTTAAAACATAAACAACAAAGAAAGGAAGATGGATGCATAGTTAACATCAGGGGAAATAAATAATAAAGGTTATGACATACAGTGTTTTTTTCAGTAACTTTCTAAAGGATGTGAAAGATGATAATGACCTCAGACACACATCTAAACCATTGCAGAGTTTTGGACCCCTAAATGTGATATTCAATTGATGCTCAGATGTTGGACAGAAGGGTTTTTATCACTCTGTAACTACTTTCAGAGTCACTGATCCTAAATGCTTGCCTCTATGTCAGAGATGGCGGAGTTGAGTGTGCAGGACCAGTTGACCAGCCTCTTGCTTCTGTAGATCACCCCCTCCTCATGCATGCGGATAAAGGCCTCTTGCACTGCATAGGAAAGTTTCTGGACACACAGAGTAACAGGGAGAGATGTGATAACGAGCAGATTGTCTTATATTCAATATCGACTAGTTCAGGGGTTTTGGTAAAACTCACAGGATCCATCGTGAAGCAGGCTCTGTCCCAGTCTAGAGAGGAGCCAAGCTTCTTCAGCTGGTGGTAGATGCGGTCTCCCTTCCTTTAAAGGCAAAGAGACAAATTTATTGCAGGGGCTTTTTTTTCCCAGTGTTTATCCTAGCTCAAATCTCTCACGTCTCCTTTATAGAGTCTGTCACTTACTCGTTCTTCCATTTCCAGACCTCCTGGATGAAGTTTTCCCTGCCCAGATCATGACGACTCATACCCTTCTCTCTCATCAGCTTCTTCTCCACCACTACCTGGGTGGCAATACCAGCGTGGTCACAGCCCGGGTTCCACAAGGTGGTCTCTCCTCGCATCCTGTGCCTGAATAGACGGGGGGCAGCACATGCCAATTTAAACACAGGGCTTCCTCATCTCAACAAGGATGGAAAGAGTAGTGATACAGTGGTCCTGTGGTCTTTACCATCTGGTCAAACTGTCCTGGATGGCATTGGTGAGAGCATGACCCAGGTGAAGAGATCCAGTCACATTAGGAGGTGGGATACACATCATGAAGATGCCTTGAGGGTTTTTCTCACTGATACTCTTCCTCTGCACACAAAACGTATAACTATTAAAAACTGGAACGTCCAAGAAGAACTTTGACTTCTTGTTTGTTTGTGTGACTGTCGCCCTTACCCCATACTCTGGCTTGAAGTATCCTTGCTTCTCCCACCATGAGTACCAGGCAGCCTCGACATACTGGGGGCTATAGGAGTCAGGAAGTGGACAGTTGACATCTGAGAAGAGAAAAGAAACAGGATTGGCTAAAGGTAAAAACACTCAAACAAAATGACTTATACCCACACACACAGATTTAGCACCTTTTTTCTCCCCAGGAGCGGTGGAAATAGTGTATGTGGTCACTCCTAACTCCTTCTTTTCAGGTTTGGCCTTTTTCTATAAAACAAAAACAGAAAAACAACTGTGACTTGATACCTAGTGGTCGTGCTATGAAAGTGAAGTCTTGATATTTGCCACAATTCTGTTTTCTAAAGTTAGGCAAATATCTTAAAAGAATATAAAGTTGAAGAAGTAAAGTCTCCATACCTCTGCTGTAGGCTGAGTCTTTTTCTTGGCCTCCATTTCCTTCTTTTGCTGAAACTTTTCCAGCTTCTCTCTCTTCTTTGCCTCCTTCTTCAGCTGGGCTTCTGTCTTTGGTGGACCTAAGAGAGATGTACAGAAGATAAGTGAAGGGTTCCCTGAAACAGAATAAATATATATTAACTGTTGACTATTCCTTTCTCACCATTAGTTATTGCACTATCAGTTTCATTTGCAGGACTGGTCTTGGCAGCTTTAGCTTTTGCAACAGGTGCAGCAGCTTTTGTTTTGGGTGTAACCGGCACCATCTTTTCGCAGAGAGTGATCTTCCCAAACACCTTCAAGAACCTGGGCTGATTTATGCAGGTTGTGAACCATCTGGTGACATTGGTCAAGACCTTCCTGTCTGTCGGCTCCAACACCTAAAGAAATACAAATAGAAAATACTTTCAAAGTTATCGAGAACTTCTCAGATATACATATATCTAACAATCTACAACAAGGCAGAAAAACCTGTAACACAACAAAGTACTTCACATCATACATACATATTTATAAGGTAGAAGCACAGCTGCAGCTACAGCCATATCAGCCAAAGTCATGATCTGTCCCACCAAGTAGGTTCTTGGTTCCAGCGCTTTGTCGAGAACCTTAAGGACACGCATCAGCTCTGCACGTGAACTCTGCTGGAGCTGAGAAAATAAATCTTTTTTAAAAATGACTTCAAAAGACAATATCACACATATCTAAGTGTACAGAAACTCCACTTACCTTCTTATCCAGTCCCATCATCCCCATCAGAGGGAAGACCACTGCACAGGACACCGGGGTGAGCTCATTGTCAGCAAAGCTAAGCCACTGCCACACCTGGCTCTGCTGCTTTGTGCTTAATCCAGTCCTCTTCCCCTGTGAGGCCAGGTACCAGGACACAGCAGTGGCCCCAGTCAAGACAGCGTCAGCTTCACCCAGCACCAGAGCCGGTCTGGAGTGAGTATTCAGGGATTCTGGAGGGTCCTCTGTGATGATGTTCAGGTTGGAGAATGGATAAAACTCTGCAGCCACCAGAGCCAGGAGGCTCCTGAAGTCATCAGGGTGAGGGGACACGTAGAGAGTGGCCATCTCTGCAGAGACACACAAAGATGTTGTTGTTTTGATCAGTGCATATTTGCTTTCTGATCACAGTTCATAGTTTTGCAGAACAGGTCTGTCTGTCAGACGAACAAAGACACTCTGTAGCTGGCTGACAACAGTGGAGTGGGTGTGTTTGCGAACCATACTGCTTTGGATCCAAACAGACTTTCATGAAGACTTTAAGAAGGGTGCGTAGTTTGCAAACAAATTGCATTGAAATTAATTTAGAAAACATCTCTATGTAAGTTTTACTACCTTTTATAAGAGTCAGCTGAGCTCTCTATGTCTCTACCGACAAAGCTGATCTGTGCCACCTGTCAAAGCCTTAACAAAAGTCACGCCAAGAAGGCTAGTTAGCCCTAGCGAGACAAACTACAACTACAACCCGGTTTTAAAGTGCATGCCAGCCCTACACGTGTTCACATAAATGACCTTTCTTTGAATGTCCTTTTTAAAACTAGAGTTTAAGAGCCTGGGATATGTTACTGAAAAATATTCACGACAAGTTGCCCATACCGTTGAATGAAACTGAGAGACGTCAGCTTAGATTAGCATGCACAGCAAAGCCACATGAGTCCTCTCCGCTCCACCACCGTCTGATGCAACTGGAGCCAACAACGGGTTCCGGGTTTGATTCGCCGCATCCGGTACAAAACGGAAGTCGCTAATTTTTTTTAAAATGTAATTTTCAGATCGATTTTTTTTAGAAACATAAAATAAACTATTCAAATAAAGTAGTAAATATGAAAATTATCCCACAATAGTCTAGTGAATCCATTTAGTAAGCTTACATACATCCACACGTCCCTACTTGAATGAATGAATGAATGAATGAATGAACGAACGAACGAATGAATTAATTGTTTTATCGGGGTCAGTGCCCACATTTGTTGCATGGCACCCAAGACGTCCAACATTTTTTATTAACATACATAGATTATATTCTGTGCCTGAAAACATTTATGGTTGACTAATGGCATAAACGAATGATGGGATTGGTTTAGTTTCTGATATCTTCATTCCTATATCATTTCTTTTTGTGGGTGCAGTTAGTCAAGTCAAGTCAAGTCAAGTTTATTTGTATAGCACATTTCAGCAGCAGGGCAATTCAAGGTGCTTTACATGAAACAAGCAGGCAAAACATTCAACACAATTTAAAAAGTAAAAACAGCGTAAAAGACATTTAACAGATTAAAAGTTACATTCAAAGCTAAAATAAGATTGGAGATAAAAGAAAACAAAGGTTAGATTGGAGAGATAGAAAAAAAAAAAGATCAAGACAGGCAGACGATGAAGATGTTGATTAAAGGCCTCAGGTTTGATTTAATGATAGGCCACAGCAAACATATGCGTTTTCAGCTGTGATTTAAAAGAGCTGAGAGTTTCAGCAGACCTACAGTTTTCAGGGAGTTTGTTCCAGATATGAGGAGCATAAAAACTAAAAGCTGCTTCTCCACGTTTAGTTCTGACTCTGGGGACAGAGAGCAGACCTGCTCCTGATGATCTGAGCGGTCTGGATGGTTCGTAACGTATCAGCATATCAGAAATGTATTTTGGTCCTGATCCATTCAGTGCTTTATAAACCAGCAATAGTATCTTAAAATCAATTCTTTGACAGACGGGAAGCCAGTGTAAAGATCTGAGAACTGGGGTGATATGATCTACTTTCTTGGTCTTAGTGAGGACTCGAGCAGCAGCATTCTGAATCAGTTGGAGCTGTCTGATGGATTTTTTGGGGAGACCTGTGAAGACACTGTTACAGTAGTCAAGTCTGCTGAAGATAAATGCATGGACAAGCTTTTCCAAATCCTGCTGGGTCATCAGTCCTTTGACCCTTGATATATTCTTCAGGTGATAGTAGGCTGACTTTGTAATTGTCTTTATGTGGCTGTTAAGATTCAGGTCTGAGTCCATGACAACACCAAGGTTTCTGGCTTGGTTTGTGCTTTTTAACATTATCGATTGAAGCTGAGCACAGACTTTTAATCGCTCGTCTTCTGCTCCAAATACAATTACTTCAGTTTTATCTTTGTTTAGTTGAAGAAAATTCTGACACATCCAATCGTTGATTTGTTCAATACACTGACTCAGTGTTTGTATTGGATTGTAGTCACCTGGCGACATGGTTATGTAAATCTGTGTGTCGTCTGCATAATTATGGTAAGATATTTTGTTGTTTGCTATGATTTGAGTTAGAGGGAGCATGTAAATGTTGAACAGGAGTGGCCCCAGAATGGAGCCTTGGGGAACCCCACATGTCATTTTTGTTCGCTCTGATGTGTAATTACCTAGAGACACAAAGTAGTCTCTATCCTTTAAGTAGGATGCAAACCAGTTTAGTACTGTTCCAGAAAGTCCCACCCAGTTTTCCAGTCGATCGAGTAGGATGCTGTGGTCAACCGTGTCGAAAGCGGCACTGAGATCGAGCAATACTAGGACTGAAATTTTGCCATTGTCTGAGTTTAAGTGGATGTCGTTAAAGACTTTGATAAGAGCAGTCTCAGTGCTGTGATGCGGTCGAAACCCTGACTGGAAAACGTCAAAACAATTGTTTAGGACTAAGAAGTTGTGAAGCTGTTGGAAGGCTGCTTTTTCAATGATTTTGCTTAAAAACGGGAGGTTCGATATAGGCCTATAATTGTTCATTACTGAGTTGTCTAGGTTGCTTTTTTTTTAGGAGAGGCTTTATGACAGCAGTTTTCAGGGCCTGTGGAAAGACACCTGACAGAAGTGACATGTTGACAATCTGTAGAAGATCTGAGGCCATGCAATTAGAAACTGTTTTAAAGAAACCTGTTGGCAGAATATCAAGGCAGCAGGTGGAGGAGTTCAGATTTAGTATGATGTCCTCCAGGGTTTTAATGTTGATCGGGTTGAATTGTGTCATGCTACTGGGGTTAGTACATATGGACAACACATATCCTGTACCGGATATTGAGCTACTGACTGTTTGTCTAATTTTCTGGATTTTGTTATTGAAGAAGGAGGCAAATTCATTACAAGCCTTAGCAGACAGAAATTCAGAGGCTACTGATACTGGAGGGTTTGTTAGCCTGTCGACTGTGGTAAATAGGGCGCGTGCATTATTTTTGTTTTTGGTGATGATGTCTGAGAAGAAGGATCGTCTAGCATTTCTTAGTTCTAGGTTAAAGATACGAAGTCTCTCTTTATAGATCTGATAGTGAACCTGAAGGCTTGTCTTTCGCCATCTGCGTTCGGCTTTCCGACACTCTCTTTTTTCAGCTCTGACCAGCGCGGCATTCCTCCATGGAGATCTTTTCTTGCCAGAGACTATTTTCACCTTGGTGGGCGCAATGGCATCCATCACATTTGTGATTCTAGAGCAAAGGTCTTCTACAAGCTCATTGACCGAGAGCCGTGAGAGAGCTGGGAGAGGAGTCAAAGCCTGATTAAATATTTCACTGGTGTTGTCAGTGATAAGCCGCTTGGTGATTACCTCTGTCTGAGCAGTGGTGAATAACATAGAGATAGTACTCTCAAAAAACACACAGGAGTGATCAGAAATAGCAACATCAGTAACCATGATTTTGGGTATGTTCAGGCCCTTGGAAATAATTAGGTCTAGAGTGTGACCTCTATTGTGTGTGGGCTCTGTTACATGTTGGGTCAAACCATAGTTATCAAGGAGACAGCACAATTCTTTGGTGCCTCTGTCCTGGGGGTTGTCAACGTGAATGTTAAAATCACCAACAATCACTACACAGTCAAAGTCAATACAGATTATAGACAGCAATTCAGTAAAGTCATCAAAGAAATTCACACAGTATTTAGGAGGTCTGTAGATGTTAAGGAATATTGCTCTAGTAGCAGAGTTCAACTGGAAGGCCACATATTCAAAGGAAGGAAAATTCCCGTAGTACATCTGTTTACATTGCATTGAGTCCTTGAATAGAATAGCTACTCCACCTCCTTTTCTATGCTTCCTCGTTTCACTCATAAAGCTGAAGTTAGGGGGGGCTGACTCAATAAGTACAGTTGCACTGTTATCTTGTCCTAACCAGGTTTCAGTTAAAAACATTAAGTTGAGATTGTGCTTGATGATAAGATCGTTGATTAAGAATGATTTTCCAGCTAAAGATCTGACATTTAAAAGAGCTGAGTGTAGTGTGCTAGAGAAATTTTCTGTACTGGTTTTCATGATGGGCTGACGGGGGATGGAGACTAAGTTTGATAAATTCTTAGTTAGATGCCTTCTGTTTTTAGGCAGATTAGAATGTCTATTACTTATTATGACTGGGATTGGTGGCGTTATCTCATCGGGCCGCAGGCTGTCCTGGGAAGAGATATAACTATAGTTATCCTTGCCTGGACCCAAAACATATCAGCAAGAGCTCATTGAGAACGATGTGTTCCTCACTGTTAGTCCTGTGCTCTTATCACGCTGAGGGAGAGGATGCTGCAGTACTCCTTGTCGTGGGGGAAGAGGAGGGGCACGTTGCTTTTTGGGGGATTTGGGGCGATTTGGGGGGTTTGGAGGGGGGAGGATGGTCCTGTGGGTGGAGTGGTGGAGAGGCGTGCCGCTAAATCTCACTCCAGCATTCTCCAGTTCTCCAGTTAGAGCATAACTTAAAGGGATATTCCGGCATAAAATAATTTAGGGTCAAACACACCATAACACTGAGTTAGACACCCCGTCAAGTGATAAATGTTGCTGACCGCTTTGTTCTCTAGTTATACCAAATTTAGTAACGACCACACAATGGCAATACACAGCGGTCTCAGGAGCCACATACAAACCTCAACCAATACGTTACTTTATAGCCACAAATAATGCTCAGAACAGCACCTAACTTCATTAACAGTACATATAGGGTCCCAGCCACAGCACTAACATCACACACCAAATATCTTTTTAGCTTTGCCTGATTGCTTTAGCAAAGAGAATAAACACAACTTACCTACTCTCTTCCAGCAGCTGTTTGTTTGTAGGGAGACCTTGGGCCAGTCCATTACGGACTGCAGTGGGGTGACGCAGCTCAAGGAAGAACATTTATGATCTTTACTTTATCATTTCCTTGGAGTAATAATCATCATGTTAATCATTGCAGAAGTGGTAGCTCTTCTGCCTTAGTGTCTCGGTCTGATCCTTACATATAATCTTTATCATACTTTTGTCAGTCTTTGTATAAGTGACCAATGATGGAAAAAGTACTTGTGTTTTAATGTTGTTTTGATGGGTGAACCACTTTGCACACAAAGTATGACAACAAAAACAGCAAAATAAGCCAAACATCTTTTTAATTCAAACAAACGTGTAAGCAAACATTTATCAACATTCATCATTCAAGAATCAAATGTAAAGGTTACATCCAAAAGCCTTGTGCACAGTGTTTGTAAAATCACAGTTGCATCACAAATCCCAGCTCAAATACAGGGGATTATTGGGAAGCCAGCAACAGTGAATGAAGACCTGCAGTTTAAGAAATAAGAATTTCATTGAATCCTTCTACAACAGATAAGGCATATCACATGACACCACACTGAAAAAACGTTTGCCCTTTCTCTACCCTTTTTTTATGTGCTGAAGAATTACACCGTCCAACCTTATAGGAAACCTTTGGAAAGTTTGTTAACAATGGTGCCAAGAAGGGTTTGAACTTTCCTCCGCTTCCTACTCAGACTCTCCTCCAAAAGCTCCTTTCATTGCACCAATAAACATACCCAACATCCCCTTGAGTATTCTCCATCCCACCCAGAGCACCCTACCCATCCCATTCCCACTGCTCTGTGCCAGTTTACCAACCCCACCACCTAAAGCTTGGGCCTGACCCCCCATCTCTGACACTACTGTTCCTACATACCCCTCACTGTGCTCCCACAGCCGCCCTCCAAAAAACTTTGTCACCCACCACGTTTTATCCAGCACACCACCAAATACCCCCACAGTGTCCCCAGCCAGAGTCCCCATGCCGGTGACCCCCGTGTGGCAGTGAATGTACAGGGCGTCAAGCATGGAAGAGGTGCAGTAGTAGGCACTGCAGAAGAAGCCTTCCCCGATTCCAAGCACCATGTCTCCAGCTGAGCCAAACCAGGATAAGATGTCAGAGGTCAAGAGGTGAAAGACAGAGAAGGTGTCTCCAGGAAGGGTTGACAGAACTCCAAGGTCTTCCTGAAGAACGTACAGCACCTGAGTGAAGAAAGGACAAAACATTACTTCTTCAGTGGGATATATAAATACAGATAATGATATGACATGACAGTAAGTAATCAGCTAATGTCCTTCTGGGCTGCTTCATTCCATAGAGAGGAGATTTAAGGAATGACTCATACAAACTCACAAACATGACCCTCAATGTTGGGCCTCTGTTAATAACATTAAAAAGAGCACGTGGCACATCTACTCCTCTATGTAAAAGACAGACAACATTTGTTGTGATTTGGTATAGTATAAAAAAGATTAATTTGAAAAGTTTATCTTTGTTTTATTTCACTATTTGCTTAAAGCCTACTGTATGTACTTAGAGTCTGATCATCAGAGGCAGGTTTTTGTTCCACCTAATGACTCCTTACTCTCCTCTGCTGTTGTATTAAAGAAAAGCAAAAAAAGAAATAAATAATAAAGATATAGACCAATAACTTAAAAAGTAGACTCCAATGAAGGAGCAATCAATTAGCAGTAAAAAATCTCTGCTGTTGTTGTTACTGCTAATTGTCGATGTCTGTGTTAAAGGTGCGGTCAGGAACTTTCAGTTTGTGTCAACTTTGTCGCCCCCTGTGGACAAAGCAGTTTTTGCTTATATTGTCCTCTACTCACTTAGGTACAAAAAGAAAAAAACTCATCCTGATGCATTCTGACAGTCAAATGTATCATATGATGTGAATAATTATTGTGGAAATTTTAAAAACAGGGCCGTTCCTTCATGTGCACAACTGTCACTTCACACCAGTTTCAGGCATTACAAATGACAGCATTAAAATTGTCATTCTTGTCCCTCATGGTCTTATTTGCTTTGAGATATCACAATAAGGCATCAATATGAGTTCTAGTCACAAGCATAAAAAAACCCTTTATAAGAGCTTTAATTCCCCTCAATCATAATGTAATCACCCTCCTTAGTCTGCACCAGAACTACTACATGGTTTTGCAGATAATTGTACTTTTGTGAACCCAAAATGCTAGTCTTATGTTGTGTCTAAACTGCCACTAGTTGGGGCTACAACTCCAGTTAATGGTTACTGTCACAGTCCCTTAATGCTCCACTTCCTGAATGTAAACAAGCACTGATAACAGCCGGTATCTTTTGGCACAGAGTGGTGAAGCTTTGATTTGATCTAGAAAATGAAGATAAAGTTGTATTTAGTCTATGTCAACTTAGACTGACGTATAACCACTGAAGAAATCAGAGCAGGCAAGTGGACTTTAACCTGCAAGAAAGACTGAAGGCTTGTGGTGCTAGCTCTGCTAACATTAGCCACAGTCAGAAAATCACTTTATTTGCCCACAGATGTGCTGTAGTTTTTTTAAGCAACTTGCGCATGTGCTCAACAGTTTTTTTTGACTATTTTCGCACTTAAACCAGTAGGTTACTCTGACTTTAAATATCTGTTCATATAACTTAGAAATACGTGGAACATCTCTCTGACTCATCTGTGATAATTGTGTTTGGGCTATCTTTTTTAAACTTGTTTCTTTTTATTTCATCTTATTTAGTGTGAAACTTTTAATCAAATATTTAGCAGAGTTCTAGTAATCACAAATAAATTATTTAATTAATGATTAAATATGAAATGCCTCATTTGGTATGAGTCTTAAAAAAGTTTGATACTAATTTCCTGGAGTAACTCTTATTAAAACAAGACTATGACCACATGGTTGAGTCGTTTGCATCACCTGTCCAGGTATCTGTGAAATGGTGGAGAACACGGGCCGCAGTGGAGCTTTCATGATGGATAAAGTGGTAGAAAGGATGTAGAGCACAGTGCTGCTGGAATTTGTGTCAGTCTCTTGTTCATCAACTGTTTCATCAATAGCTGGGGACTCAGAAGACTCAGAGGACTCAGAAGACTTGGCTCTGACACTTCTTGAGTGTGTGTCGGCTTCCTGCTTTTCATCCCTGCTCTCAGAAGCCGCCGTCTCAGGTGAAGTTTCCTGTTTGACATCAGCAGAATCATCTTCCTCCTCTTGCTGACCAACAACTGCAGTCACATGATCCTCAGCAGTCTGTGTGTCTCTGCTTTCCTCCACATATTCATTTAATACTTGGCTTGCTGTTTCTGAGCTAACCTCCTCTTCTTCAGCACTCTGGGCCTCTCTGATTTCCTGGACGTCTACATTTGAGAACCAGCTTGTTTTATCTGAACTGACCTCCTTTTCTTCAGCACTCTGGGCTTCTCTGCTTTCCTGGACGTCTTCATTTAAGACCTGGCTTGTTGTATCCGAATTAACCTCCTCTTCTTCTGCAGTCTGTGCCTCTCTGATTTCCTGCACATCCTCATTTAAGACCTGGCTTGTTGTATCTGAATTAATCTCCTCTTCTTCAGCTGTCTGTGCCTCTCCGCTTTCATCAGCGCCCTTGTTTGTGTCGTACCCATTTGTATCCGAAGCAACCTCCCCTTCTTCAGTAGTTTGAACAACAGTGTTTGACTCTAAATCTTCAGCCCCCGTGTTTTCATCAGTAAGATCAGCATTCACTTCAACTATGTTTTCAGTGACTGATGCACTGAAAAGCCCTGCTATGAGTCCAAGGATCCCTCCGTCTGATCCTTTACAGCCCTCTGAGAACAGCTCTTCCACTCCGAGGGTCTCCTCCAGCTCCTTCACACTCACTTGCCTCTCTCCTTCCTCTGTCTCTTTGATTAACCCCACACTGAAGCCACTCTTCCCCTCTGGGACTGAGCAGCATACTGCAGACCACAGCGGCAGTGTCTGACACTCCTCTTCTCCGTCCTTAGTGGCCCTGAGACTTCCTGCCCCGGTCAGGATGTAGAGCTCTCCGCCTACAGCACTGCACTTTGGAATGAAGCTTGACTGGACCAGTGTTGTGACTGTTAAATCCCAGTGCTGAAGTGGGGAGTCTGTGAGTGAGGCAGCATCAGATGGATCCACGCCTCCTTTAAGTAGAGCTGGAGCTACAGCCTTGGTGTTTTCATCTTCTTCCTGAATTCAAAGTGTGAAACTGTGTTAGAATCCATGCATATGATTGCTAAATTTACCCCACTTTAACACAGCTTATACACATCAACACCAGTTTGTGAATGCTTTTCTCTTTTGTTACTAATTGTTGCTGCTGTTTGCCCTTTAAAACACAATCGTGAGAGAAGTTTACGGATTTTGTGTGGAACTTCAAGTTTGTGCAGCTTTTCTCAGGAAAAACACACCTCTAATTTCTAAAAGTAGAGTTTTTAACAAATAATCTCACCCTGCATAAAACATGGTTGTGGTCTCAGTAACGTCACCTGCTTATATCTGAGAAGCAGGTCCGAAGCCAGTCAAAGTTTGGTGCTGTTTTAGAAATAATTTTTAATTTAAGGACAAGGAGCTGAGGCAGCTAGTATGCCTCCTAGCAAATGGTTACATGCAAATCTGTGCATTACTCTTTGTATGAGCATGTCAGAACAGATGAGTTTTTAAAGATCAGTAACACTTTATATAAGCCCACTTATTATAATGCATCATAAGCACATTTATTAACCCTTATAGAAGAATTCATGAGCCTTTATTTCAACCCTTATGAGTTATAATAATAATAAGCGTTCATAACAGCTTACAGCAATCTTAATGGAGTATTTTAAGCAGTGAGCATAATGCCTTGTAAAAGTATGGTTTATCAGGATTGTTATACAGCCTTGTATGTGCATTTATAATGTTTTTATGATGCATTACAAAAGGAGGGTTCATCTAAGTGTTATCAAAACTCCATCCCTGCACAGCATGTACCTATGAAGATATTAGCCATTCAGACCAAAACCCCTTTTTTGAATCAGTCTGTTAACATTGATGTTGCAGTAAAACTTCAAACCAAACTGGATATAAGTGTCAGTGTGCCTCCATGAACGTTTGCTGCCAGCCTCGAGTGGACACCTGAGGAACTGCAGTTTTTGGCGCTTCTGTATTGACTGGATATGACAATAATAATAAATCATTTATCTTAACTTAGAGGTCTAGTTTACTTTTTTCAGTGTGTTCAGTAAACCACAAAAACTTCTCACAGGCGCTTTATGTAAGTTGTTAAGTCTACAATCACAGATCTAAGAGCTTTATGTCTGTTAAAGTGAGTGCCAAATCCAAAAGTGCTTCTCAGGATTACGACCCCACTAAAGAGCTTTGAGTTGGTTATGAAAGAGACTGAAATGAAAGGAAATGCCTCTTAATGAGGTATGAAAGAAAACAAGACCATTCGCATGAAGATTCGCTTTTTTTACACAGGAATTTCTAATGCCTGAAACTTCTGGCAGGGACAGGTTGGACAAAGTCACTGACAGCAAACCACAGAAACAACCTTTTGTTTGAATGAGCATGGCAGAAATTCTCCATCTGTGACACATTTGACTGTTTTGAGACAGGGGAACAGATTTTTGTGAGGACAGTACAGATCAAAGTTTGCATTTTGTTCACAGAAGGTGGCTAATTTAACATAAAAGCTCCTCACAGGATCATAAAGTCCCACAGACCTACAGTCAAAAAGAGCCCTTGTGTTTGATGCACTTTTAATTACAAAGATGAAGGTAAAGTAAGTTTAATTACTCATTTACAGTGACAATTTAAAATGACATATAAATGGTCGAACCAAGATGCTGTAGATCTCGGGAGATTTTTTCAATGATTAATGGTTTTAAAGAAAATTGAGTTTTTATTTACATAAGTCTGTTCATGTTTTGTTTTTGTTCTTTGACTTTTTTAAATCAGAAAAAAATCTGTGCCTCCTCAGACCTCTAATGAATGATGCTTTTATCTGACAGACTCTGGCACTGCAGTAAGGAACAAGAAGTACTTGAGCATGGTAGGTGATTAATTAGACTTGATCGCTGTCCCCTACTGAGTAACTGCCTGCATGCTGGAACATCAAGCTGTGCTTCATTTCTAAAGTTATCATCTCTCAAAAACAGGTAGTACTTCTTTAAAAAGCATGAAAACTGCGTCCTTACCACAAGCTCTCCCTCCTCCTCTCCCTCTCTCTCTGCCTCTCCGGAGCTGAGATGGAAGGCAGAGTAGACAGCTGTGTCACAGGTCGGTTTGGACAGAGTGGCAAACGTCTGTCCCCCGGGCAGTCTGTGGCAGAGTGGGCTCAGCAGCGGCCCTGCAGAGGCTCCCCGAGGAGGTGTCTGTCTGTAGAAGCAGTGGCTGCAGAGGCTGAAGTCTGCCTCAGAGTTGTGCTCAGCTGCAAGAGACAGGACTGGGCCTAGCACTGCCAGCAGCCACACAGCCGCAGCTGCTGCTGCACTAACAGAGGCAGGACACAGCATGGTGGTGGTGAGCTCAGCAAATCCCCCTCTCTCTCCCACACACACACTGAGCGAGGGGGAGAGGCTTATAAATTATCCAGGGGTTTCCGTGAATAGATGGAAAAGATAAGGTGGCCAGGACTGGCTGCTGATAGCTCCTTGTTTTCTTCACCCGCTCCTTGCTCTCTCCTCCTGCTGGTCTCCAACCATGTCTGTCTCCTAATGTCAGCTGTACTCTGAGAGAGTGAATCTGTGCTGCAGGCACAATCTTGCTTACTCCTTCATTTCCCTTTGCCTGACAACCTCACCCCCTCTGTCAGATCCACCCTCTGACTCTCCCTGTAGCTGTACCTCCACTCCACCCCTCCCTCTTACACTCTCTATGGTTACACCTTTAACTCCTATTGCTGATAGGTACACAAGGCAAGCCCACACCCATTAAAGCAGTCATTTACCTGAAAGTCTGCATTCCCAAACTATGTTCCTTGTGAAGGGTTTGCCTTTTGATTGACACACTCCTGTTGTCCATTATTCTCTGAGAAGCACATTCTTGAAACCGCTGACTCAGCACCAAGTCAAGCAGTTAAAATACTACCATATCAAGTAGAACTTCACACTTAAAAGTCCCTCTACAAGTGAGCCACTGAGCTCTAAATTTAACCCTGTCAGTTCTTGAAATCCTCATTAAGCCTAATCCCGCTGGTGTCCAAGTCATGGGTCATGGTCTCACCCAGAGTGCAGCAACTCTTGAAATCTCAAATCCCAGACAGAACACACCCCCTCTCAGATCGTAGCCTGTTTTGCTTAATATTAGAAACATGCCTGTTGAGACACGACCCTGGGACTAACAGCTCTGTCTAAGCCCTTTTGCAGCATCAACAGAAATTATCATGTAATCTCACAACCTAGTTCTGTGTTTGTGTAAGAGTGAAAAGAAAAATATCAGGCTCTCTTTCTGACATCGTCTAGAGGAGGTGGAATCCAGCCAGGCTGCCTTCACATTGCCTGAGAGTTATGGTTAACATGAGCCAAATGCACCCCTGGGCTTCTGTCAAGAGTTGTATCAGGATTCCTCTGCAGAGAGGTCAAGCAAGCAGCAAAAGCCACATTCAATAATAAACATGAAGGAAGTTTACATAAGCTGTCCTTTTTCATAGCTTCAGTTTAGTTCATGTACTCAGCAAACATGACCTGCATTAAAACAGATTTATGCAGCATACCTCAGTGACTGATTCCAGCTCTGGAATGAGAGTGTTAGGGTGTGATGTTTTGGGTGGGGCATTAAGTGTCACTATAAGTTTTGTCGAACTTTCTCACCATTTAATTCATCCGAAAAAGTACAATAAGAAATATATATTTTAAAATAAAGCAGCTCTCAACTGGTTTAATAAGCTTGTTTGTGTGTATTGTCAGCAGAATATCTGAATGAAACCTGACACACAAGAGATGAATTCACATTTGTCTTTAGTAATCTGAAATGAAAACATGTTCACGTCATTCTCTGACACACACAGTTCGATGAGTGCAAAACATTATACTGCCATGAACATAAAGTCGCTTTGAAACATGAAAATATTTTTAAAAAAATGAGAAGCAGATTTCAAATAGCCAGTCAGTAAATCATATTAAAAAAAAGCTTTGATGGACTAGAAATTATTGTAAAAATCTGTTGTCATAGTCAGTCTGTAACATAATGTTTTAAAACCCCATTTATCCAAAACAAAGTCTTGACAGTGATCCTGCTGATATGCAATTGTCCACAAGGGGGGGCTTGTCCTCTCTTTCAAAAATGTGAAATAGGTGACTGCACACACACACACACACACACACACACACAGAAATGTCCATTTACTCTCTCACATACTAATGTACAATCTCTCAACCCCTCTGCTTATAAATACATCTCCACACACAGTCAGGCTCACTCATTGGGGATATCAATGACCAGTTCGGCCTCGTCTCCCTCCCCTCTGTCCTCATCCCCTCTATCACTGTCTCCATCGCTCTCTCCCTCCTCCTCAGCTGCATCTCCGCTGAGCATCTGCCTGGGCACCCAGCTGAAGGGGCTGCTGGCTGTTGTGGGAGCTGCAGTGGATGATGGGTAGTTGGATGACATCGGGGCAACAACCTGAGAGGGATTTGGAATCATGAAACAGAATGCCAAGAATGATCAATCATGAAGATTTGTACGGGGGAAAGGGTGTATGAAAGGATGCATGCTTCAAAGATGAAAATCAGGGTAAGGCATGCAGGATAAAGAAATACTGATCAGAGGGAAGCAAAGTAACAAACTTAAAGATGGTAACATTACTACTGCATCAAAACGCTGCCATGACAAGTTCTCGATGATCAAAAAAGACTATAAGACACAGTTTAAAAATAAAAAAACATTTGTCAATAACCTAAGTTTTACCAATAAAGAGATTCTTCACTCCGAGAAGAACATAAAAAGGTATAATTGCCTTTTTTCAATAGACTTCAAAACATATGCTGATTTACTTTTGCCACTAATGTTTACAAGGATCTCTTTATCAAGGATGCGAAAAGTAAGCAGGATATCTATGTCTTATTTTTCTAAACTTCTTTTCCCTCTCTCACCTTCCCAGTGGTCTCTTTCTTGTTTTTAGGTGTCTTTGTTTTTCTCTCTTTCTTCACTCGTTCAGCCGGAGGAGCCAAATATTCTGGTGGGAAGGGCATCTGCCCAACACACACAGGCCCCAAATTGCCAAATAAACCACACACACATAGACACAGGCATGGGCAATTTGCAGGACAGACACACATACACACAAAAAAAAAATCACAAAACATGAGCAATGCAAGGACAGTGAAGCCATTATATGCACCAATGAAAAAAACAAAAACAAAGAAAGAGATAAAACAGATGAATAAAATGAAAAAACATTAAAATCATATAAATAATGCTGAATAAAAACAGGGATTATGTTTGCTGGTGAGGATGACTGTGGCACCAATGTTACTGCTCCTAACACACTAAGATTACAGACAAGGAGATGAATGCTTACAGTGTTCAGGTAAGGTCCAGACCCTGAGGACTGTAGAGGGTTTACACCAGAACGGGACAGTAAAGACAGATGAGGGGACGATGAGGGAAGAGATGCTCCAGGACTACTCCTTCGCCTGAAAAAATAACATTCAGTTTAGTTAAGAAGAGTTCAGCTGGCGAGTTACAATACAATGTTTTAAGCACACAGATTCATGTAGTTCAATAAACCTCAACAAGCAGGCTTTTTAAAATAATTCATCAAATCTGCACTTTTACAGTGCTTTCCCCACTTTTCTGTATCTTCAAGTAGAAACAGGCTTTTAAAAATCTAGGATGCCTGGACAGTCATGGTTGGCAAAAATAAAATATCAACAAATTTCTGAAAAACAAATAAAATAACAGGCAACAAACAGAAGGACTTAACTGATGATAAGTTTGTGCTTTCGTTACTTTCAAGGTTTTCAATTATACATGCGTTTGCAATATCTGATAGTTGTTAAAGCCTTCAACGACTGCAATCACAAAAAGTAAACAGGTATTTTTAATGTTACACTATCAATCAATCAAACTTTATTTATAAAGCGCTTTTCCTACAGAAATGTGACTCAAAGTGCTTTACAGTCAAGTTAAAAACAAAAACAAAAAACTATCCCAGATGCCCTCTTAACCCCCACCCACACACACGCCAACACACCAGCACATTCACACACTAAGAGAATGGACATGAGGCTGAGTGCAGATGAACCAGTTGAGAAGGCACCATCAGAGGAGCCGTCAGCACCAGGAGCAGAGAGCCGCCCGCAGCCACAGGACACCGACACAGGGCCAGTGGAGGGATGTGTCAGACAGCAACCTCCACCAGGAACCCCGTGGCCGGCCCCTGCAACCACAAGCGACCACTGCTCCCGGTGCCGAGGGCTCCCTCAGAGGAAACACTGGGCGTGATAAAAGGATATAAACAAGTAAAAACTAAAATATGAATAAAACACAGACATAAAAATAAACCTAGGCTAACTAGTATAAATGAAGATAAAACAAATAAATATCAATTAAAAGCTAAGCTAAAAAGGTGGGTCTTGAGCCTAAATTCTTAACTTACTTTTTTGCAAATTCTCGTTCTCTTTCCCTCTCCCTGGGCCCTTCTCCTTCACTGTTTTCAGAAGATACTGTTGCATCTGAATCTGGAACGAAGGGCAAATAAATAACACTAAACTTACAGCACAGTTATGAGTTCATTTTTAAATTGATTTTTTTTGGATGGCTGATAAGTACCTGAGGAGTCTTCATCTACCCTCTCATACTGTAGCAATCTGTCCAAGAGGAAGCTGGAAAGAAAAATAAAGAAAATTAAGTTTTCACTTACTTAATGCTGTCAAACATTGACACTGTTTCTATGAACACATGATGTAATCTCACCTTTTGTCTCTGGAGACTTTGAGAAGTTTTCTCTGTGCCCTCCTCAGCTCCTCCTGAAAACACTCCTGCTCCTGAAAGGATGAAAACAAACCCCAATTCAGCGTAAATAAGGAGAATTTTTATATCTTCTTAATTCATTTAAACAAATGCTTACAAATCTTTCTTCACATTTGAGGCAGTCGTACTCACATAAACGAGAAATTTTAATTTTCGCTTCAGGTTTTTATATTTCCGCTTGTAGTCAACCTCGACGTCCGCTTGGCCGTTCATTTCTAAAAAAATAAATAGTGTAAAATTAGTAAGCAATGAGAGCAAAAACAACAGTATGAGTTATATACTAGGAGTAGTTTAAACTGCAGGAACGAAAACCTGACTGGTGTCCGCATTGTGTGTGCTAGGCTAGCAGAGCTGGATGATAAGTTAGCTTACACACCTAACATGTCAAAGATAAAAAGCTGCACTCTCAACAGACCTGTGAAAACACACACACGCTACGGTTTATTTATAAAATAGGCTGTGGTCGTTCTTCATACCTCTGGCTTGAATCTGCCTGTGCGACATGCCGTTGTTTACTTGCGTGACGTCGCTTTCATGCGCCGCGATGGGCGGGGCCTTCTCTTCTTCTTCGGCTGGTGTTTTGATTGCGGTTTTCAACCTTGCTGCTGTCACCCCGCGCTTCAAGCAGGAGACAACAACCGTTTAAAATAATGATATAGAAAACACTCCTGACTTTGGCCCATGACTACTGACATTCCTCCATTTAAGGACTCTTTTCTTATTATACGAACTCTGATATTAAATGTTGTTGACAAATACTATAGGGGAGAGTGGGGTAAGTTCAGCCAAAAGGTAAGTTGAGCCACCTCCTGTTGCTTGGAAATGGTAAAAGAAATTGATCATGTGAGCAAATATGAAGGAGATGGGCATCAATTCATGGAGTCTGTGAAGGTTAGAAGCACATGGGTGAAGGGGTTAGACATTTATTTAAAAAAAAAAAAACATTTTTCACTCTTGAAAGTGAATTTAGTCTGTCTAAAGTTTAACTAGAATTGTGTTCAGACCAAAAAAGATCATTTTAAATTTGTTTTATGCATCAATTGAGCTACGACATGAGGTCAGAAACCTAGCATAAAAGTCCAACATTTTAGCTTAGAGGACTAATAAAGTCACAATAGTAGTTCTGGGGTAAGTTGAGCCAGAAGTTTAACTGAGAAAGTAAAGAAGTCTGATGAGAGGATCAGAGTTTCAGTTCAGATTGTTGAAATGTGTTACTTTTTCTTTTCTAAAATACAGCTGTGAATGTTCTGAATCACTTAAAGACATTCTCATGTTGAAATGACTTTTTACAAAACAGCTTTTTAGCAGTTATATGCAATAATAATAAAAATAATTATTGTACCAATTGAATAGCGTATAATAGATAAAAATACACATGAATGTGAAGAACTGACTGTTATTTAGGGAGAGAGAAGGTGAGGGAATGGTGGGGGGTCAGCAGGGATACGACTTAACTTACCCTGCTTCTATGGTCAACTTACCCCATACACGGGGTAAGTTGACCATAGGTTACCACTTTTTTTTGGCATGCTATATTATCAAGACAGTTGTATTTATACATATTCTGTTGGTTTGCAGGGATGAACAACATCTTGAAATATATGCAGATTCACTAGTTAGAGACAAAACTATGATTGTCTTGATGTAGTGATCCAAAATATGAAAAATGGCTCATCTTACCCCACGCTCCCCTAGCCTAAATACAAACCTTGCTGAAAGAGTCTGCAACCTACATGTGACATTTTGGAAAAAAAGATAATGTGATAGATGGCATCATTGGGCTTTTTTTTATATGAAACAGAATCTAATCTAACAAAAAAATATATAATAAACTCCTCTGTATCTGGAATAAGTAGTGTTTGCTTTGGATCAACACCTTTTGTTTCCTGGATTAAAAATAAAGCCACAATTATTGAATGATCTAGAGAGTTTAAACAATTAATTACCACTTGCACAGAAATTAATATTGCGTTCTTTGATTAAAAACTCCCCGCACAATCTCGCTGTGGTTTCTCGCTGCGGTCATGTGTCCACTGCCCCACCTCTGGAATAACTGCTGTTGTGCCAAGCTTGATATTAATAACTCTGAAGCCCTCTGCATATCTTTTATCAGCCCACCCAGCTTTGGCTCTTTGTCCTCTGTTTTGTTCCCAGCACTGGTGCAGCACTATGTTAGTAGGGTGTTGTTCCTAATGTCCTCTGAGGTTAGCCCAATAGCTGCTCATTAACAGCTTCTTAATAATATGTAGTGACATCTGTGACACCAGAATGGGCCGAGGTGAGGGTGGAGGATGAATTAAGAATTTGACACCACTGGTTTAGAACTTGCGTTTGTATCTTGTCAAGGATAATAAACAGAGCTTTTGAGATTTGCTGTAGCTCATATTGTTATCACAAGCACTCCTAATAACTGAATGAATAAAGATAAAACAATACGATGAAAACAAATCCAAGCATCATTTTCCTTTTTTCCCTTAAAGATGATCTTAATCCTTGAATTAAAATGTGACAGCCCACACAGATACATGGCTATCTTAGTCCTCATTCAGGAACTGCTGGGCACGCTCTTTTTCTATTTGTATTTTATCATCCCCTCCACCTGCCGCAGACTGTATTGCACCCAGTATGCAGCTCAACCTCAGTTTGGTCACTTGCCAGAACCAAGCACAATGAATTATAAATGAGGAACACTTGCAGCGATGAGTAATGCTGCTTCAGTGCACATACCCTTGGTAAGGGACTGGGGGGGTAGACGAGAGGCAGAGATATTAAAAGTTTACGTAATATGACAGTCCAGGGAAGGTTAAAAAAAGAAAAGAAATGTGTAGCTGTGCAGATATGGGAAAAGAGCAGAACTGCTGATTGTACTTCTGGGAACAGTAACCCTTCTCTCTGACAATAAGACCCAGTAGGATTGTGAAACAGTGTCTCATATTTTCTGCGCTATCACACACTGAAACGTCCATTTTCTCCCTTTCAGACGAAACAACTGCAGATCTGACACACAATGCCCCGACTGACTAAAAGACTGGCTTCCTCTCTACAAATTCTTCTTTGTTTCCAGAGACACTGGCAGACAGAAATAGACTCCTGGGTGTCTGCTGCCATAAATCGCTGCTGTCTGCCAACCAGCCAGCCCGAGAGCCCTCCTGGCACCCACCTCCCCTCCATTCCCCCTTCCTCTCATCTCCCTCTAATGGATCCATATATTCTCACGTCAAGCTGTGGATACTGATCTGTGCTTGTCAATACGCTTTCTCTTGTTAATTTTCTGCTTGGATGTATGTCCTTCTTGCTCTATTTGTTTGACTGAGAATGCTGTCAAACAAATGTTTCTCTCTGTCCCTATCTCTGTCTTCCCCTTTCCCCTTCTTTGTGTTGTGGTCATGTCCTCCCTTTTGTCCCTCCCTCTCACTCCCTCCATCACTTTTTCAGCACTTTCTGAGGAGACTTTTTGATTTCTGTTGTGTCTAATCTTGCAGAAGTGGAATGTACCAAAACCACATCAAAGACACCAACAACAACTGCAATAAAACTCTCCTCTCTGAATACAAGGTAAGCTCCGTCTTATATACTCTCCACCTGCTGCTTTATTCATAAAGGTATATCTCTATAGATTTAAAATCCAGATTATACAGAAAAAGATCTGGTGTTGCAGGAGATTAAATCAAGTCTATGTCTATTTTTCCTCAGATTCTGTGTCTCCTGTGTGTGTGTTACAGGAAAAGCTTATCCAATCTATTAAAAGAATCAAGCATGAGGTAGATGAGTGCAGAGAAGCGGAGAGAGAGACGTACATAGAGTCTCTGGAAGTAGAGGTATTGTTGCTGCATTATTAATCCTTGTCTTTTTCTGAAATTTATTCCTTTCATTCACCACAACCTCAGGATTCAAAACATTTCTGCTAAAGCTAGTTATCGTCTGTATTGTTGAATTCACAAAGTAAATTTTCCGTCACTGATATTTGTCCATCTTTACACTAGAACAGTTTTGATGCCCTGGAACGAGAAATCAGAGCTGAGTTTCAGAACCTCCACCGTTTCCTGGATGAGGAGGAGAGCAGGGACCTGGAGCGACTGAACAGAGAGAAACAAAAACAACTAAAACAGCTGAAGGAGAGAGAGAAGAAGATAGTGGCACAAGGAAGAGACCTGGATAATGCGATCACGGTGCTGAATGGGAAATTAGCGGAGGAGGACAGCCCCAAACTGCTAAAAGTAAGGGAGAATTTTCTCTCAGGAAAAACATTACTGAAGTTGAGTATTCTGTTGTTAAGCAAAGCTAGGGTGTTGATAGGGATGTTACACATTTAGAAGGTGAGGTAATTTGAGAGTGGAAATAAAAGAGGAGTGGGAAAAGTATTTGGACGCCTTCCATCAACGATCTGGAAACTTCTTCGCACAACAGCAAAGCCATGCCAGAGTTTATGTGGGGTCAATAGAGTTCTCTAAAAGTTACTGATCTTACCTGTGAAGCTTCAAAATAAACAACTTGAAATGACCCTTTAATTTGAACTCATTACACCCAACAATAGGAATAAAATGACTCTGCAGCTCCACATCAGAAGGATCCAAACCCAGAGCCGCAGTGCAAACCCTGTACACACAACTCCTTCCCTCCTCGTCTTTGGCACTTATTTGATCAATTAGAGACATTGATTGGCTGAACAGTTGACTCCCCTTGTTTTGCTGGTCTAAATCAATTTCTCATTTAAAAAGTGAAAGGACAAAAGCAGCCAGGCATTAGTCAGCAAATAGGAATGGGCAGCATGAGACGGTCGGACTCACATGACTGCTTGTACAAACATTTTAAGAGCTGTGCTGTACTGTTCAAAACAATTCCAGCCATCTCTTGTAAATCTTTTCTCTCATTGCAGGAAATTCAAGATCTTGTAAAGAGGCAAGATTTCTTTCAGTTTCTTTCCACCCTCCACAGTTTTCTTCACATCTTATTAGTCTTGTGTGTTGACGCACTTTGAAAGTCTCACATCAATCTGTTTGCATAATTCTCACTTCAGTCTAACAGAAGACTCACTCGCTCCCGTTCATTATTCTGTCTGTCCCTCTTTCCATTTCGTCCAAGCAGGTCTCAGGTCAGCTTCACTCCCCCAGCAGAGGTGGACACTGAGGTGCGCTCTGGTCAGTTTGTGGGGCCGATACAGTACAGGATATGGAAGCACATGAAGAGCTGCCTTTACCCGAGTAAGATCATACATTTCCCATCTTCGATAACACCCCATGCAAAGAATAAAAACTAACCTTACTTCAACTCTGATTGTCTACAGACATTACTTCAGCGACCTTTGACCCTGACACGGCCCACCCAAATCTGTCCCTGTCACAGTCCTGCAACTCAGTCTGGTTTGACGAGGATAAAGACACTAAGGACTGTGATGACAACCCTCGGCGGTTCCACTATTATTACTGCGTACTGGGCCATCAGGGCTTCACCACAGGCCGACACTACTGGGAGGTGGAAGTGGCTCACAAGACGGCATGGAGGTTGGGTGTGGCGAGAGAGGACGTAGAAAGAGGGGAGATGGATGCTACGGGGACCACCAGTGGCCTGTGGACCCTGGCCTTAAAGGGCGGATCTGTCTTCGCCTGCACAGACCCAAAACCTACAAAGGTCCCTGTGTCTGTGCGACTGGTCCGCATCGGTGTGTTTTTAGACTGTGAGAAGGAGGAAGTGTCTTTCTATAATGCTGTTACCATGGCGCCAATCTACACCTTCACTATGGAGACTGTCATGGTTCCTCTGTTCCCTTTCTATAACCCCTGCGACGCAGATGATGGGAAGAATGTGGCAGCACTGAAGATCTTCAACCCGTCACTATAATCAGGGATTGTTTTTAAGCAAAAAAAAAGGAAATTGTTGAGTTGTTAAAAAATAAAAAGTTATTCAGCTCTTCAGAAAAGAAAAGTTTCACTTTATTCTTCCACAAAATAGTAGATGACATAAGACATCAGACAAACGAATTTCCCTTTTGGAGTTCAATAAAGCTCTTATATTGTGTTGTATTTGAAAGAGAATAACTGACAATTACTTAAATAGTGAAATCAAACATTGGTCTCAGGTACTTTTCAAGCAAATGTGCATTTTCTTTTGTGCCACTGGAAATAAACAGAGTCCTTCAGATTTTGGAGTAAAGTTTTTTTTTTTCAGTGAAAACAATCCCACTTGAATACCTAACCTAAAATTTGCGGTTCATTTTTCACTGTTTTCTCAGATTTTATATTCATAGTGGCACATGGCCAATTTGTAGGATGCTGTTGACCACTTTTTTAAACTTGGCGCTGCTGTTAAAGGTCCTGTGAGGAACTTCGAGGTTGTGTTGATTTTAGCATCCCGTAAACAAAGCAGCGCCTCTTATTCTTAGTTAATATTATCCTGTAACTTCGACACCTGTGTTATCTGAATAAAAAGAATATCTCCCAGCTTTCTTTCATCACTCAAATCTTTCACTCACTGTGAATATTATATGTAAAACATACTTTTTCAGTGCCTGACACTCACCCTGTGGCATCATTCGGACTGAACGCATTCTTAGTTTACAAAATAACAAAAGTTGAGAGTTGTTGCTGATGGTCATGCTTGCTTTTGGAGGTTATAAAGAGACATAAACATTCAAGCGTAACACAGCAGTGGTTCCAAACACAATTCTTTCTCCGTTTACTGAGATAACTTGGAAGCTTTGCAGTTAGTAAAAGCTTTATATAAATACTGATCTCATTTTGTTGTATTTATAGGTGATTTTAGGGAAACAAAGAACCAGGAAGGTTATTATCTGCAGCCAGCTGGGAGCTTCAGGGTCCAGCAGGTGTCAACAACATTATGCAGTTACCTTTAGCCTGTTTAAAAATATCTCTGTTGTGCCTGCTCTGCGACAATGTGCCCTGGCGAATTTATGGCATCTCAAAATGAAGCAGTTGAATTAGTGGCACGCAGATCCCGAGGGGCGAGAAAGTGGCGCGTGACACCCTGAATGAATGACGGCTGACATTGAGTGAGAGGCTTGGCTGAGATCAAACAGGCAGCCCAGATACAAAAAGAAGAAAAGACAAGGACAACAGGACAGCAAATGTCATAATAGCTTGTTTATTCTTAGTATTCCTTTAGACATGTAATAAAGAAACAAACTTTTTTTCTGTACAAAACATCAGTGTGAAGTTGTGCAAAAAGGGAGTAGAGAGAGAACAGGTGGGACATCACACCACACCAAGGCCAGGACAGGAGACGTAAACAGAGAGACCAGGGCAGAGACTTCTCACATAGTGCAAGAAGTGCCAGTGCTAAGTAAGGTAGTGGTTTCTGTGAGTGGGTTTTCAGAGGTGGAAGTAAAATTAGAAACCCTCTGGCACAAGTTGGATGTCATAACTTTAATCCCCACTAGACTGCACCGTCCTTGAGATGCTGGTAAACCAACAGTCACACTGTCTGCCTCCTTCTCATCCATTTTTCCTCTGAATGGCCTGGAATTACAATCACTTACAATATACAGTAGTGGTGGTGCATGGAAATGCTGTTTTAGCAGTCCCGCAACATAAGCCTGAGGGTTACCCACACAGAGCTCCCCATTCATCTGCTGCTTTCAAGAATTCACTCACGTACTCCAAACTGTGCAACGATGATCAATGAAATGGAAAACACCCTCACCTACACACAGAGCAAACTCAGCTCTCCTCAGAGTTGCATCGCTTTCATAGAATACGTTACATATCTCCAACACATAAGCATTTCATAGGCCTGTCAGTGGTTTAACTAGGATTGGTCGTGTGCAAACAAGTTTTTTTTACATCACTGAATACTGTAAATATCAAGTAAAAGGTGCCAAAAGGAGTGCCGGATACTGACAGAGTACAGGCCAACTATCCAAAAACAGGGTTTAGGCACTGAACAGATAGACAAAAATCACTCCAAAATCTCAAAGTTACAATATCTTATACAATATGTTGTGGCTTTAAACACATTCACACTCATGACATGAACACAGCACTTGTTTGCTTTACATTGCAGGACGAGTTAAGCAGGCACATGAATACCTTACTCACAACAGACAGAGTAGCACATGTAAAGAATAGTTGTTTTTGTCTATGCATAGACGCAGCTCACACCTACACGCATAAATCACAGTCTTGGATCATTCACGCTCATTTCTACATGCACAGTGACACAGAAACTTTAAACGCACAATGATGGCAACAGTTCGACATCACTCCTCCGCTCATACAAACACACACAGAGCTTTAGGGTGATCAAAGCTTGTTTTTCAGGACATGTCATGAGCATGCTTTAAGTGACATAGGTTAACATTTTAATACAACATGTAAATACTGTGAGAGAAGCCTTATGCTGTGAGTATCATCAGGTTTGAATGGCAATAACAGCAGAAAATTGATCTAACAAGATCTAATCTGGATGGATTTTTACAATATTTGGTTTTAAAGTAGTTCAAGATGTTAGTGAGTATTAGTGTTTATAGCATATAATATATGTCTGTATATATACTGAATGTAATATACTTTGCATTTAAGGTTGGTGAGAAATTTAGTTTTTTTTACTTTGTTTTTACGGTATAATATAACCACCATTCTGTACACTAAAAACATTCAGCCTTCAAAGGGTTAAACTGGCGTATACATGCAATATTTACAAGGCTGAAATATGAGTGTGTGTCTGATTTGTGTGTCTCTGTGTTTGGATTGTATGAGCAATGACAGGTTTTTAGTATTGTCAAAACAGACTCATAGGTCCAGACAACAAATGAGGCGTACTGTTTTTATTTTACATTTGAAAGTCTTCAAAAAGGTGTAACACATTTGACTGATACTGTTTTCTTCTCAACAGTGAGGCCACATGATTTGAGTTCATTTTTTGGTTGGTTTTAGTTTATTTATATCAATTGATCATATTACATTTGACATCTAAACCTACCTATTCATATGGCTTTGAAAAAGCTGACATATCACCTGATTTGAACCTACATGTAAGAAAATCTAATCGTAAAGAGAGATACCAACACAGGCCAGTTGGTTGCAGATGGATCTACTAACATTTTTCTAACATTTCACTGATTGTTTGACTGAATTTTTCATGGCTGCAATTTGTGCTTCTCTCAATAAACCCAAATGCTTTTTGTTGACTTCAGTGCACCACAGTGGACTATCATTGGTTTTCCTGCCAGTCAGTCAGAGTATGAGGTAGAGACATGCAATTTTAACACTAAATTTTATCTGCACACCTCCTCTGCACCAAATAAGATCCAATTCAGATTCACTATCAAACAATTTCGAACCCACTTGGCATTGATCAAGGCCTCGCAAAAGGGTTTTGGGGCAACTGACAAGACTGTTCATGCTTTTTACAAATTTCAGGGGGTGGTGCTGTCTTTCTTTGATTGGTCGTCCCACTTTAGAGGCCAGATTTATGCTTATATGGCAATCTTATACATAGAACTACTATTCGAGTTTGGCCACCTCAGTCAAAAAACTCTGCACCCAGAATCCAATATTTCAGAGAAAACGAGCAGCTTAGATATGAAATGAATAAATTGGGATTTCAGGATTCCTTGGAGAATGGGGGACAGAAACTATGGGTACGATCAAATGGACAAAAACAACGAGCGTCTTGTAACTACTTAAGCTCTTCAGATACTTTTCTTTCAGTATATGACCCGTTTAAAAGCATAACACACGGGGGCACAATGGTGGTCCCATTAAGTGCCTCTAGTTGCAGCTGGCATCAGCTCTCCCTACTTCTCAAACTGTAGGAGTAATGGGATTTTTATGGAGCCAAAGGGAGTCCAGATGAACGACTGTAAAGTGGTGATCTCACTGGTGTGATCAGTCTGCAAAACATGTTTTTAATCATCTGAAATATCCACGGGGAGTCTGAATCTACAACTCTCAGAGTATAAATAGAGGAGTCAGAGTTTAAAGGATATCTCCTTGTTTGGTTATAAACAAGCAGAAAACTTTTTTTTCCACTATATGGACAAGTGTGGAAGTTTCTGAAACTAGAGGACAGCTGGACAACATCGCCTTTTGCACTAATGTGGTTCGTTAAGACTGAATTTAATTTACAGATTCTATATTTTCATGCAGATGACATGACTTTGGGCCTTCTGGTTTTTATCTGTAGTCTGAATACAGTTGTCCACTTGCGTTTCAGCAGATGTGACTGTATGCAGAATAACAGTCTGTGTGAGGAGTACTAACCACAATGCAATCCAAGATCTCATCAACCAAAATTTTATGGTAATTTAGCTATATCAGTCTTCACTTGGACAGTGTCTCCAATTTCCAACTCCACTAAAACCGCTGAAGTTTTGATATGGACAATAAACAATGATCCCCACAGACAAGGAAGTCATGGGTAGAAGTCTTTTATCACTTACCTTTGGCTACACTGGGGGCCTCAAATAGTTGGCCATCATTTCCAGACGACATATAGTCATCAAACAAAGGCCAATGGATTTCAAAATTGTTATAATCAAGTAAGAAAATCTACTTTTCTAGAAATTAGGTACCTGTTGAACTGCTGTAAACCTTTCTGGCCATTTATCATTTTACAAAAGACCTTATGTGGAGTTAGTATTTTAACTGTAAACTCTGCAAAAGGTTTCATTTGCAGTCTGATAGTTTCACACTGAAGTTACCAAAAGTTGAGGCTGCGAGGTGCTTTCAACTAAAATGTTTAACAATCAATGAGCCGCATTTGTTGTGTGAAGTGTTTCAGTATCATAAAGTCAAAAAAGTTTGGTGTTAGTATAAACAAGTGTGATATTGGTAATATTGTGTTCAGGCATTAGACATGTTAAACCAAGGTCCTCACCCCTGCTTCAGTGGTTTCCTCATTATTTGGTTGGGGTGTTCGATTGTCTACAGTGGTGGGAGATGAAGAAAATTTGTGGGGCTTCCCTTTGATAGTTGCAGGGGCTGCTCTCAGGTGGTGGTGGTGGTGGTAGTTGTATCATCAGCCATGGTGCCGTCTTTGCCGGCCTCCAGCGCAGCACCGCTAGATTTCAGCTCCACCTCGGGGGTTTTAGGAGGAGCTGCTTTCGGAGCTGAGCTGCTGATAATTTCAGCATGATCCGGGCTGGATTTGGAGTCCGGGCCGGGCTCAGGCGTACCATTGGTAATTGGTTCTGCTGTGGGTGGTTTGGGAAGCTCGGGTGATGGTGTTGGGGCACACTTAGTTTCAGGAACAGGCGTTGTGGCTTTAGGAGTGGCTGGTTTAGGCTCTGGGCTTGGAGTTGGAGCGGGTTTTGGATCAGCTGGACTCAAACCAGCCTTGGGCTCTGGGCTTGGTGTTGGTGTTGGTGTAGGTTTCTTCTCAGCTGGACTCAGACTGGCTTTGGGTTCAGGACTTGGGGTTGGGCTGGATTTAACATCTGCTGCTTTGGGCAAGTCCAATTTTGTTTCCACAGGAGGATCGGGGGTTTTCTTGGTCTCAGGGGCGGGGGAAGTTTTAGTTTCAGCTACTGGACTGGACTTAATTTCCAAGGCTGGTGGAGCACTTGGCTCGGGTTCAGCAGCAGGTGGTGGGCTTGATTTGGTTTCAGGGGCAGCAGAGATGGTTACAGCCACAGATTCAGACATTGGATCAGGGGCATCAGTGTCAGTGTCCAGTGGAAGGGCGGTATTAAAGCCAACGCCAGAGTCGCTTGTCTCTAGGTTACCGATCCCGACCTCCTTAGAAGAAACCTCCAGACCCTATAATCAAGCAGACAACAAAGAACCGTAAGCAGCTTTGAACAACCAGACAGTTCAGCAGGATTTTCAGAGGACTAAAAAAGGGTCAGGAAAGATAGAACAGACATACAAGGTAATATAAAGGTGCATAAGGAGAGGATTAACAGAGTAAAATATAGTACAACAAAAATCGAATATAACAGGAGAAATAAAGTCACAGCCCAGCAACAGTGCAGGGATAAAAGGTCCCAAATTTAGTTCAACAAAAGGCAGTGGCAAACAGAAGTTTAAGCCTTGATTTAAAGAACTGAGAGTTGGAGCAGATCTCAGGTTTTCTGGGAAAGCTGAATTCTGCCTCTTCATGTTTTTGTTTTGGGTAGTAAGAAAAGAGACAGGAAGGGTCTTCCCAGAAGACCTGAGAGATCTGGATGGTGGTTCATAATATAACAGCAGGACAGAGCCGTATGTCAGTCCTAAACCGCATTCAGGGCTTGATCAATCAAATCAATTCTTTGTCACAAGGGAGCCACTGCAAAGACCTGAGACCTGGACTGATGTGATCCACTTTCTTGTTCTTAGTGAGGAGTCTAGCAGTAGCGTTCAGAATAAGCTGCAGCTGTCTGAACGCAGAAAACAGTGTAAAAATGGAGACATTATTAAAACCTCTCAAAGATTGGTTCGAAGAGGGAGGTGCTTCATGTTTTCTTACTTTAATGTCCACTTCAGTGCTCTGAGATTTCTCTGTGTTGTCTGCCTGGGAATGCTTGGACTCCTCACTGAGTTTGGTGATGTTTTTTACCACCTGTGAAGACACAGAGGGAGACGAAACAAATGCCTCAAAGGAGAGCAGGACACACATCATTGTTACAATCATAAATATAATGCTGCGTTCGAGTTACCTTGGAAATCAGAAGTCTGAGCTGGGAATGATGTCACACCTGAGTTACCAGCGTTTCAGTTACCAAGTCGGAAGAAAGCAAAATCGGAGGCTACATCTATGAAAGTTATTTTAGCGCTTGCCTTGTCTGAATATAAGCAACGACAAGGCAAATGCTAAAATAACGTTCGTAGATGTAGCCATCTTGTTTCTGCCTCCGATTTTGCTTTCTTCCAACCTGGTAACTGAAACGCTGGTAACTCAAGTGTGACGTCATTCCCAGCTCGCACTTCTGACTTCTGAGGTAACTCGAACGCAGTATAACCATGTGAGTTGTGTTGTTGTCTCTCTCACCTGTCTGAAGGCCTCCCCCTCATCCTCTTTGCCAGCATTCTGGGCGATCTTCTCCAGCGCTGCAGCTCTCTTCGCCCTTTTCTTCACTTTGATCAGGCAGGAAAGAAGACACACCAGCAGAAGGAAAACCAGCAGGCCTAACAGGGCGATGATGGCCACATACAGAGACTCCAGCTTGTAGGCTGCATGAAGGCATTGTAGGAAAAAAAAAGGCGAGAAAAGGACAGGAGTGGGAGAGTAAATAATTCAACTGACCTTTCATTGACGTGTTCAAATTCCAGAGCGTGAATACAGCCGACAAAAGAAAGGGATTATTCTTTTGCTTTTGGCTACAAAAACTTAATTTTTTGCATTGTTATGATGTGACATCATCCTTTATTAGGTGGGGCATTAAAACTGTAATTTAATATGTCTTCAACCTTCCTCATACTTACGCTCTACGATCAGGTCGATCTGGGACACCACAAATTCCAGCACATCTTTAATCTCAAACAGGCCCTCATCTACACGGGTGACCTGGTCTAGATAAACCAGCGAGCCCTCCATGGAGAGACGATCCTGCAAATTCAGCTCCTCTTTGGCCTGGAGTGAAGACACACTTTTAAATCAATAGCTGTAATTCAAGAGAAAAACATGTCGACAGCACCTATGACTGGTCTAATAGAGGAAAGGATATAAGCACAACACAAACCATGAAGGTTTTAAATGTTTAAGCTCACTGAACCACACGCTGAAGCGACGGTGGCTCATAATGGTTTCAATGTCCAGTGTCAGCATTAGTAAGCTATTAACATCCTCAAGCCATTAGCAGTAACACTTAAGAAAGCTGTAAAACTGTTACACACATCACAGGTAGCGGTCTTGGAAAAGAGAGGAGAAAACCGACCGAGCGAGACCGAATGACGAGGAAGAGGAAGGGCAGTAGGAAGGAGGGATGTAATGACGCAGGATTTAAAGAGAATTTCTTCAAAGAATGTCAAATAAAAAGTAAACAAGAGTTTTTTGGTACATTGCAACAGACTGTGTTAAACTATAAGGCTATATTTGTGCAGATAGGAACTAGAGAATTAACAAAGCGCTCGAAATATGTGAAACTAGATGATAGTTGAGCATTACAGCATTCCTTAGTAACCTTTTTTAACTCTGCTATATTAGACAGAAAAAAGATTTTATATGTGGGTGAAAAAAAAAGAGATTTACACTTGTGAATTCTCCTTTCTCCAGCAGCAGACGGGGTGTGGGGTCTCTATTGGGGGTGTAGTAGAGCTGGACCAGAGAGCTGTTGGGGATCAGGTTGATCTTTAGTTTTGTCCCATATGGCAGAGTCAAGAAGCTAATGTGCCCTGAGACATAGACAGAGAGAAGACAAGGGACAAGACAGGACACATCATAAATACACCCCCACTCTGTGTAAGGCTCATGGATCCTCTAAAGTGCATTAGTCTGCTAGAGCCCATTAACGTTCAGGTCTTTAAAAAGCCATTATGACAGACAAGAGGAGCGTTACAACCAAAGAGGAAACAACAACAACAACATCCTGATGAAAGGTTCAGGTCGTTAAGAAAAGGTCAAGCGTTAGAGGGAGGGAGGGGGAAACGCGTGATCTGTGCTCTCACCTCTGACTTTGAGACACACTTTCTTCTGGATGTCACCTATGGCATCCCTGACCGTGTAGCTCCCTTGGTCTGCACCTGTGACAGTACTGAGGGTGACATGGCGCTCACTGACGCTGATTCGACCCTGGTAGCCGTCTCTGGACAACCCCGTGCTGGTTAGCAGTATCAGAGCAGGTCTGCATGAGAGAAAGCCAGAGATTATGTACCTTACTTAACCTTTTCATGGTGAAACTGAGGCACGCTGTCACAGTACATATGCATCATAGCAGGAAAATGTCATTCCAAAGTGTTGTGGTGAAAAGATCAGTATTATTTTGTGGACTCTACCTGGATGTCTGGTTTGCCTCCACAGAAAGGGGCCTGTACTCCAGCGTGATGGGTTGAATTACCTCTTTTATTGGAATATTTAAGTTGTCTCCATAGAAGATGATCTGCTCGTGGGTGCAATCTAGGAGTTAAAACAGGGTTGTAAACAGTTAATTCCAGTGTTGTATAAAGTACTTAACAAATATACTTGAGTTGAAGTAAAGATACCTTACCAGAAATGACTCAAGTCAAAGTAAAAGGGTAACACTTTACAAGAACCATAACTTAGAAATGGTGAATAGACCATTTATAAATGGTGAGCAGATAGTCTATTAATGTTTAATCATCATTTACAAATAGCATATAGAGCATTAATACATTTAAATTTTACAATTTTAAAAACCTAACCCTAACTTAACAATAACCATCTAAGTAATGTTTATAGGTGGTTTATAGTCCACTTATTAATCATTTACAAAGTACTACAAACATCTGTTGCAACTTTACAATAACCATCTAATGTTTATAGGTGGTTTAAAAAACAAATATTAACCATTTACGAAGTGCTACTGACACACATTTTAATCTAGATGTTTTACAACCAATATTTGAACCCTATATAAACCTTAATGAAAATGATTAATCATAATTTTATTGTTATTAATGGTAAAGTAACTATTAACTTACATTAATAAACTATCTTTTTGCCATTTATAATTGGTCTATATGCTGTTTTTAAATGATGATTAAACATCATTAAACTGTCTATTTACCATTTATATATTATAGTTATTGTAAAGTGTTACCAGTAAAAGTCTCCCATGAGAATTCTACTCAAGTCGAAGTCTTAAAGTTTATCACATTCTCTCCGCTTAAGTATCAAAAGTACTCAAGTAAATGTACTCCAAGTAAAAGTAGAAAGTCAAAGTCAAAGTACAAATAAATATAGACTTAATTTTCAAGTCACTTATGCCCAAATAAGCACACATTTCAGGTGGGCGCAAGCAACAGCTTAGAAAAATAAATGGACACACACACACACACACACACACACACACACATACAAACCAACAATCAGGAGAAACAATAGTGCATCCTCCTATAGTCAAAGAACTTCGGACGCCAATTTGGCACGATGAGAACCATCAAAACAGCCACTGGACATTTAAGTGGGTGCAAGCAACTGCACAGCCTACAAGCGGCTGTGGACATGCCCGGGCTTGAGTGACTGATTGACGATGATCAAGCACAACGCAAATCAACATAAGGTAGAAGGGAAAATGTTTTTTTCCCCTACCTGCTGTCATAGTAACAAAGTAAAAATAGTAGTCATGAAGATGCGTCCGTGAAATGCAGTGGAGTTAAAAGTATACTTTTATTTTTAGAAATGTAGACAAGTAAGAGTAACAGGCACACAAAAAAACTCCAGTAAAGTACAGATACTTCAAAATTTTACTTCAGTACTGAGCTTAAGTATTGCTACTTACTATAAATATGGTTTTTATTCTGTTGGAAAGAGGAAACCACAAGGTGATTTCTGCAGATGGGATATTGCACGGTATTTGAGTAAGAAGGAGAGGATGTATTTGCTTGGGGTGATATAAAAAAATAGAAATTAGAGTGCAAAAAGGACAGATGGGGTGAAGGGGTGAGTGAGGAAGGGTTAGGAGGCAGAAATGGCGTGACAGATGTGGGGAAAAGGGAGCCAAATTGCAGAGAGAAGAGCAGTGATCCAAGAATATCAGAGGAGCTGAAATGAAAGGGTAAGGACAAATGAAACAGGGGGAAAAGACAGTAAAGACAAGATAAAGACAGGAAAACAGCAGGGAGGGAGGAAGAAGAGAGGAGTGGATTGGTGGTTAAAAAGCTGCATAATTACTGCCTGGCACTCAAACACACACACACACACACACACACGCACGCACACACAGACACACACACTTCACAGCACGCTACTCCCTCCATATGGTGCTTCTTTCAAATATTGCTACTCCACAGTGGTCTGTATCCATGCTGGGTTTGAGCCCACTCCTTCCTCTGTGTGTGACCTCCACGCACGTCTGTGTGTGTTTGTGTTTGTGTGTCTAATCTCTTCAGAATTACTCGACAGAGGCCAGAGTCTGTGCTGCTGAACCTTGTAGCGCTCAAGAGGACAAAAAGGATGTGTAACACGGAGGTTGATTCTGCTGCTGACTGAATGATTAAAGCGGGAGAAATGACAGCTCTTACACAGCTCTGACGCTGACTCCAGATCAGATTTAAGAGGCTTATTTCTCAGGGGAGGGGATTGTAAGGCTGATGGCAGTCAGAAGAGGATGAAATGTTCAGATCCTCTTCTCTTATGGAAGTAACAAAACCACCAATAAAACAACTGATTACCTGAAAAAAAATGTAGGCACTTAAAGTCCCACTCCAATTTTTGTAACTATTTAAGAGTGTTATCAGTGATTATGAAGTTTTTAGCCAAAATCGAGTTACCTGTGTCATTTTCAAGGGTTTTTCTTCTACAGAGCTCCAGTAGCTCATTAGCGATTCACCTCTGAGTCGTGGGCGGAGACAGCGCTGCTCTGCACACTTCTCCTCGAGTTAGTTTGCAGCCTAACATAGCTGGTGTAGTAGAGGAGGCACGTAACATAGGAGCTATTCAGCTCTCAGACACTAATGTCTTTAGGGACACGATGAAAGTTAATATCATAATTAGCTTTCTTACAAGCAATTCAGTCCGCTAATGAACACGCTTGCTCCGTGATCGCCCTCTCTAAATCTCTGAGTATGGCCTGCATAGCAGGGCTCCAGGGGCGGAGCTTGGCTTAGTTATGTAAAAAATCTCACTGTGTCTGATCCTGCCGTTTGGGTCTGCCAGAGATTCACAGTGATTTAAATGTAGAAATACTCAGAAATGTAATTTCGCACTTCTTTAAATCATGATATATTCTCTAGTATCAGAAAAATGCCATATGAACATGTAGACAACAAGAAAAACATGATTCTCATCGGAGTGGGTCTTTAAAGTTTTAGTTCATCAGTGAAAATAATCATTTATTGTTAAAATGTACCAAATATTAAAAATTGAAGCGCTCAATGCAGGAACGTGGCTGCTCTTGGTATCATATTTCACTGACAGAAACCCAACTGGGACCTTTTTTTCTTACTCTTTCTCTTAAGGTGTCAAGATGTCACTCGGCATCACTTCATCATCACCATCCCTTATGTTTCAGTCACTCGTGTATCATCCTCACCTCTGACAGTAAGCTTGATGCGTTTGACGTTCTCTGGATCTTCTAGATTCTTTATGGTGTACACACCCTCGTCCGCCTCACCCACGGCGTCTATAATGAGGTGGCTGAGTTTGACGTTGACTTTGGCGCGACTGTTGACCACGATGTCACCGCGCATCAAGTCCACTTCAGGCGCCCGGGTTCTGTCTTTGAACGTCACCTCCATTGAGTGTGAGGGCAGCATGATGTGGAAATCCTCCCCGTGGAAAAGAATCAGTTCCTCCGCATCAACTGGATTAGAGGATGGAAAAATGGAGGGGAGAGCATCGAAAAACACAAGAGAGGGTAAGAAAAGTTCAAAAATTTATAATTGATGAGTGATGGATTCAGAATTTTATATTACTCACTGGTAGACTGAATCTTACCATTTACAGGGGCGGACAGAGCTGCAAACAAGACAAGGAGAATAAATTATAAACATATATTTTTATCAGTGTAAATGTATGAACAACCTGTTTTTCTTTCCCGACCAGCAGGGGCGGGTCCAGATCTTTTTGAATGGGGGGGGGGGGGGGGCAACATGCACACTGACTAATACAGGGGTGGAATTAAGTATGAGCACAAACACATACACAGGGTTCCTACACAGTTGGAATTTTCATACTTTTCCTTGCCCTACGTTTTAGAATTATTTTTGGAAATACCTACTTTTCTACTTTTAGAAAACAGTATTTTAGAACTGTGGTAATAGTCTGGAAACACAAATATTTTTCCATACTATATTTTTCATTTTCTATACTTTTTAAGACCTGGAAACTGATCAAATTTATTTCCATACTTGTGTAGGAACCCTGCACACATAAATAATCATATGTATTTACACCTTCTGGATCCATTAATCAAATATACTTAAGCTAGTAACAAGAAAGTATAATACCTGTTGCAAGCAGAAAGCTTGATATGATCACCCTGACTGCCGCCATCCTGGCTGATTCCTCTGAAAAAGGAAACATAAAAAACTACATATGAGGTCAGTTCATTTTAATGGCGTTCAATTTTGTACCCATACAGTAGATGACTCGTAAAATTCATCCGTTTTGATCAGGAAAGGGTTAAAAGGGGACAAACGGGTGAGAGATGTTGCTTCACCCGGCTGCTAAGTCACTCTTGTGTATGACATCTTCTCGCAATGATATCACCCTGAAGCAGCCCTCAGGGCACACGAGGTGAAGCTGACTCATTTTCAAGAAATAAACTGTGGTTTGGGATTCACAAGATTTATTTTGCTTATTTGAACCTCGAAAGAAAAGCTGGTCATTTATTCTTTTGGCCTTTGCCTTTACTGGAAAGAACAGCTAAACAGAGAGAGAGGATGAAATGCACAGAACGGTCACAGGCCAGAATCGAGCCACTGACCTGAGCAACGAGGACTTTGTCTCAGTCTATGAGGCGCCGGTCAGACTGGGCCAAACCGATGTCTCTAAAGCAAACTTTCCATTTAAAGGAACGGATTTCCATTAGAATAACATGATTAGATTAAGAACACTGTGACTGATGGCATTATTTTCTTCAGTGGCTGGAAACACAATAACATCATTTGGTACATTGCACCAAAGTGCCAGCAGTAAAAATACAACTAAAAGTGACACATCATATCAACATTCTCCTTGATACACTGATAGCTCAGGGATAAATCCAGATTCAAGGACATAAATCTTCCTCTCTGTCACAAAATAAAAAACTGTTGCTTAAAAAAAGTCAAGGCTCAGATGAGATTCGATAACAAAACACTAAAAAACAGAAGGGGAATGAGGAAAAATACATATTCCACATGACTCTATTTAGACTTCTTAAGTAAATCCTGATTAATAGTGACACTGAGGTAGGGCTGGGCGATATGGGAAAAAGTTTATCACGATATATTTTTTTCATATCAGTCGATATCGATATATATTAGGATATAAAAAATCACTTGTCAATCTAAAATGTTCCCTGTAACTCTGTTTTTTCTCACTGACAGTGCTGTCGGCTTCACGTGTTAAAGTGCTATGGTTGCGTGTAGCTGCAGCCTGCTACTACACAGTTGTTTGCTACTTGGTTCTAATTCAGCACGATTGGTTCAACGTGAAGTGGACCTGGAGCATTGGCTATTCGTATCGTCTACCAAAACATGGCAGACCATATTGATCATATTGATATCGGTATCATTTTATTGCCTAGCCCTACACTGAGGAGATATTGATAATGTAAACAGCTCTCCTCTGCACTGAGGCTTCAGAAGCTTCACATCGAGGGTTAAGAGCAGAAGAAACTTTCCTGTGGTTCTGTTACCAAGTCCAGGAGAGGGGCAGGAGGAAACACCTGCAGAGCACACAGTCAGCAGCTAAGTGGCACGCTGTCAAGGTTATCTATACGCCACAAAAAACAGTATGTGCTTCATTATTCATTCCCTGTATGCTTCATTATTCATTAAAAAGACAGTGGGCTCCAGCCTTGTATACACAAGACCTGTATCGTCTTTTTTCTTATCCTGTAGATGTTCTTTAAGGTGCATTAAACTAATCACACTAAACATCTAAAAACCTCCCAAGCAGATCTGCAGACAATCTTGCACTGCCAGCAAATTGAATTTATGTGTCACTGACTGGAGATTTTATTGGGCCTGAGAGTTTAAAAAGAAAATGAGTGATTAACCTTCTCATGAGAATATCAGTGACAGCATCATTTTGACCCCATAGAAAAGTTTACAGCAGCTTAAAATCAGAGCCACATGAGGATTTATGAGTCAGGGACTAGATTGTGTTGTTTTCAGATGATACCAAGAAGCATTGTCTTAAGAGTCTCCTCCCTTTTTAAATGTATGTGCATGTTTATCACACCCACACCAAGCGGCTTTACATCACCATCAAGAATTACCTATTGATTATGTGCCTGAATTGAAACAGAATAATTCATGGACCTGCAGGTAATTGATTCAAATTGTGGGAACCTGAGCGAGTACTTGCTTGAATGCCGGGCTGTGTTATCTTCCACAGGACCTCATGGTGTTTTCATGGAAGAATCATGAGTGATCACAACACTGAGGGGATTATGATTATGTGGAACTGTCTCCTGCTGCTCTAAGGCATTTGAGGAAACACGTCATAGAGGGGGTTTGTGCAAAAAAAAAAAAAGAAAAGAGAAAAAGGAAAATGCTGCTTCCATTTATAAAGCCCAGGAGGGTTTGGGGAAGGAGCACCTGCAGTGCACTTTGCATCACACACAGTCACATTTTCAGCAGCTTGTACACATGCAAAAGAATGAAAGTGTCTCAATATAAAACAGGAATCTTTATCAAATATGCCATTACTGCTGGAAATGATAAAGCATAAAGCTGTCATTGCTGCACAGAGGCCTGTGTCTGCCACCTGTCTGACTTAAAATACGAAAATTATTCAACATTTTCTTCTCACACAACCTTCTGCACATCTGTGTAGAGAGTCAGGAAGAGAGGCTAAAAGCCCTCTGGTTTTCTTGCAATAGAAAGAAAATATTGAGCAAAGCTGCGTCACACAGACCAGCGTCTCTCAGCCAACAATCATTTATTGTCCTTGGCTCCGCTCATCCATATCCCTCCTATTACACCATTATTTTATGACTGTAGTGTCCATTTTTGATTTAGGACTCTTTAAAGTTTGTTCTCATGGCTTTTACACCTAGAGCCTTTTACTCTAATCATAATATACAACTAAAAATACTTGCTATGTGTTGAGCCCTGCAGCCATTGTTGTGGAAAACATTAATGGTATGCAGCAAAACAATTCACAGGAGACAGGATAAAATTTGAAGAGCAGCCAGGGCCTCTTTATCGTACAGATGTAGAAATCAGTACAGTCTGGACAAAACCAGAGGAGAGGAGCCACAGGCTTTCCTCTCACTCACTTTTATTCTACTGGGTGTGTATCTGAATACCATAATTGTGTGTTACTTGTGTGTACTACATACTGTAAGTGTGCCTCAACTTTGTGACTGTAATGTATGTGTGTGTGTGCATGCATTTTCCGTCATGGTATGTGACCTCGTCCAAGAACACAGAGTTCACTGTTGTGAAATTCATCCTTCGTTTGGACTGAACTTTTCTGGAAGTCATTTAGTAACAACTTCCAGTAACTCTGTTGGCAGACTGAGATAAGTTCAAATTCCTGCCTTGCTTGCGCAACCTCCCAGTTGTGAAGCCACATAAGCAAGGCCAAAACACAATGAATCTACAGTGCTTTACATGTAATGCATGGTGACATTCTCCTTCACCATCAGCATTTAATTAATTCAGCAGTCACTTTCCAATGTCGGTTTAATTGGCTCTGAAGAAAAAGAAAAGTGGTCCGTGTCCATCTGTTTGTCTCAGCGGTCGGCCTCATGGAGTCACCACAGCCAATCTGGTGTTTCTGCAAGATCTGTGATCAATCTATTCCTCTTTTTTGATGCATTTGTGGCCAAAGCTGCAGGAGTATCCTCCCTGAGCACTAACATGCAAGCAGATGAGAACACATGCAATAAGCTTTAACCTTTTAGATAGAGAACTTCCTCTAGGCTGTGAGGCATGCAGACCTAAAAATTTGCCATCTGCTGTCCTTCCTTGACTCTTTCGCTTCACGCAGTGTTTATTTCTCTGCAGTTGGGTTTTTTACTCTCCTTCCTCCCTCTTTTTTATTGTTTTCTCGCTTCTGTCAGCATTCTCACATCTCAAAGTGTTACTTTCTTCCACTTTGACAACCCCATGGAAGTTCTCCCTTGCTCTTCATCCCTAACTCCTCTCTGTTTGACAGGTCAGCGTCATCTCTCACTTTCTGTCCAACACATTTCATCCTCTGAGCATGACTCCTCTCGACCCTGAATCCTCCGCTCCCTATCTCAAGGCATCACTCTCATTTCCCCACTTTTCCATGCATTACTCTGTCTCTCTTCTCTATCACATCTCTTTTATCCTCTCCTCCTCCTTATCTTACATAATCCAAGGCCATGCATCCCACTCTGAAATCAAAGCCTGCTCCTGTGTGGCTCCTAACTCCAAACTCCCTTCTTACTGGACGAACAGGCCAGCCTTTGTCCATGAGCTTTAAAGGGGCGGAAAAGCCTTCAATGACTGCAGATGTGGGGGACCTTTACAAAGCAACCTGTGTCTTCACCCTTCATCATTTCTCTTTCATTTTCACTTTACTCTGCCCCGGTGATGTGGAGAAAGGACTCTGCATGAGGGTGAAGCCTCTCCGAAGATAAGATGCATAAACACGTATTCACAATTGCACATGCACACATGCACGTGCAGGACTCGCTCCTCACAGCGCTAGACATTTATAAAACATGAGGCAGCAAAAAGAAGAAAAAAAAGGTTGCAGCAGAAAGGATGCACATGGGAAAATGGCTGAATGTTTATTTGAGGTGCACCACTCTTAAACAAATACAGGGTTTCCTTTTGCTGATCTAAGGGGCTTGCAAAACTCAAAAACTTCGATATCTACATTGGCAACCTCTGCACCTTTATATCGAATTGCAAAGGGAGATGGTGCAAGAAAAAAACACCTCATACAGCCTGAGGACCTTGTCAAAATCCAAATATGCAACTTCTAGAGTTTATGTCTGATATAAAGCCCGCAGCACCTGACAACCCATTTCCCTCCAAAGCTGGCTGCAGTGGACTAAAGGATGAGACAGGTTTCCACCATATTGCATGCACCTGTCAGATCCATTACAATCAGTGGACAGGAGAGAGGAGCAGGGAGAGGAATAGTGAAGATATGTGAAGCATTGACAAAAACAGAAAGCCAGCGAGAGGGATGTAGAATAATTGCGTTAGAGATGTGTTACTCTATCTCTATTGCCCTTGTGTCCCTGCAGGCCCTGATGCAGCTCTGGCCAGACTGCAAGCAGCAAACTGCAGGAGGAGGCAATACAGTCAGAGAGCCTCCAGGCTAGAGCATCCTCCAGGATAATGGATGCTATTAAGCTTTTAAGTGTGCACAACATTTCGCTTATTACTTCCTTATCTAAAACAAGGGTGGCTTAGGGTGACTGAGATAAGGCTATCATTTTTAAAAACATGATCATGATGTCAGAAGTACAAATAATAGCTTCACTTTCATTATTTCTCAATTAAAGTGGACTTCTGGGCCACTTAGTTTAATCTTTTTTTTTAAAGCACCTAAAATTATGATGGATTACATATAGAATAGAGACTATAACATTCCTGAACACCTGCATGCCAGCAGGAGGCAGAGAAAATCATATAGGATATCTACTCAATGAGAGCAAAAGCAGCTCTATCCCGGGACCATCCTCGCTGTAAATAACATCAACATATTTCACACCTTAACTCGCTGACAGCATAATGTACATGTAGTGATAAACTCGCAGTTTAAAGTCTGTTCAGCCACCTATCTCCGGGCTGGGATAGCCGAGAACAGCAACAACCAAAAAACTGCAGAATTTAACCCGTCATACTCCAGTCACATGAAACACATACGTCCGCACATGCATGATGGGGGGAAAAAATCGGAAATCATCGGCTCATTTTACCTGTAATTATCCGGCTGGAGTCTGAAGAGATGTCAGGATGCCTTCAGAGGTGAAAACCAGTGTGGATGCTGCCGGTTCCCTCCCTTGTCGTCTCCCTCTCTTTCAACCTCGCCCCCCTCAAGAGCAGCACTTCACGACTCGGGCTCAACATTTGGAAGATGTTCAGAATATGTCGGGCTCTGCTGCCCGCGCTCGGATACACTCGACTCATGTCGGGAAACACCGGCCGGCCCCCGATCGGCTCTGAAAAGACACCTATCTGCGGTCACCTGACATGAGGAGGGGGTTATTAGATTAGATGATTGCTGCTGATTCAGCGCTTTGCTTGGCGTTTATATCATTAAAGACCGGATACTTAATGGAGAGAGGATCACAATGTTGGAAATTGACGCAGTACGATTAAAAAAAATCCACAAAATACGTAGGTTATGGTTAAAAAAAATCACATCTCTCTACATAATGGCAGAAAAACATCACCGAATAGATTATTTTCAGCATTTTTAACGTGCAAATTAGAAAACACATGAGCTGGAGGATACACATGGACTCCATATGACCCCAACTCTTCACAAAGACACAGTAAGTTACACATCATAGAAAAGATTTAATGTTTTCATAGGTAATACAGACTAAATTGGTGTTAACATATCAGATATTTAACAGTTTCTGAAACAAAGCTCATAAGTCTGTGGTTAAAACACCAATGATGCAGCGGAGTTGAACTTTACATTCATACAGAGGGAAATCATCTCTGATCTTCTGTTCTAACATTTACAGACACATTTGGTGAATGTATTGGCAAGGACAAAGAAGACGTTTATGTGGAGCGGCATCAGCATTCAGGTGCCTACATCATGTCTCATCACTGGAGGTAAAAGGATTGAATGGAGCCCTAATGGAGTAGGGGGAGGTGGTTAATGGAGACAGAGGGAGAAGCCGATCTGGGTTCATGATTACCTTCGTATTAAAGGCATTAAATTCGTCATACTAGGGTAATAGCACTTTCTGATTTTATCCACCGGCCACTGTTGATGCTCTTCAAAACAGACCCCAGCAGATTCTCCATTTCTCTCCCCAAACATGACTTAATGACTCCCACTTTGCAGCTGGTAACCTGCCAAACTGGTTGATAGAGTTGGAGCACTCAGCACACATAGAGAGCAGCAGCAATTTTCGCAGTGTTAATTTGTACTCATGTTATTGTGGTACAAAAGGACGGATGGAGTGCCAGGGTGGATGAGAGGGGCAAAGCGACAAGGATGATTAATGGGTGATCATTCCTCCCGGCACAGGAGCAAAACTGCTTTCAGCTTCTGCGGTATTAAAAATTTAATTTTCTCAGGAGAAGATGCAAAAGTTAGAAAGAGAGAATGAATTGAGAAGTGTTTAGAAACATAAAAATTAGACACATTTTTCTGCTTGTCAAGTGCCTTAAAGTCTTTTCATTCATTGCCCTCCTGCAAAAACAGGAAATTAGTTTTAACAGATAGCCTACAGAGTAAAATCAATAATCCTTACTAAGTAAACAACCACATGAGTGAATAATCATTCTTTCCCACAAGTGACAAATACATTTTCTGAGTTTTAAACAGACAAACTGCTGACAAGTGTTTCTACCAGTCTCCAATTACAGCAGCAGACTTCCCACATGTAGATGGTGTCACATTTTGAAGACTTTTGCAGTACAACCTGCCGCTGCTAAGTCTTCTTTCTCCCTCTTCCTCCTGCAGTTTTCAGACTAGCAGCAGGAGCAGAGAGTGAGTGAGTCTGAAGGTCAAGTTTCTGCTGAAGGATCCCTGTAAGAATAAACTCAGCAGTGACGACCGGAAGGGACGCTGAAAAAGCTGGGCCGCACAGAGACAAGTCCTCCTCGCAGGAAATCACCACAGTCTGAGGCTGGAAGGAAATAAATATACAATTACACAGATAATATACAGTTAATGAGTTCATCTGATGTATTTTTAGACCTGATGACGCATGTTTTAAATGGTACCTTGTGAGATGAAGGCATCTTGGGAAGAAAAGTGGCTCCACTACATGAGATTATGTCTTTCATATGAACTGGCTCCGGTTTCACAGATTTTGTTACATAGATCTCATATCCCTGACAGACAGAAAAGAGATGCAGAGTATGTAAACAAGTGTGATTTCTTTCTATTTTTATTCAGTCTCTGCGAGCATGCCTCAGAAAATCAATGCAGGTCTCTTGGGAGTGGGATTTGGTATTTCAGGGGTATACGGTTCCCCAACAGTGGCGTGTGTCAGCAAAATGTGTGGTATCAAGCCATCCCTCAGAAGCTTTAAAGACACAGAGCATAGCAGGAGAATGTATCAGGAGTGGAAACAAAGCTCCCTACCTTGCTATGCTTAGTGCCTATAAAACATAATGAGTGCATAAACATTGATGTCAAATTACTTCCCAATAGTCACAGTGTAACGATGAACAATCAACACTGAGCTCTTGTAAAAGATGTGGGCATAATCAACCAAAAAGAGGCCGAGCTTAAAGGAATGAAGTGTCCTGTCTGTCAAAAGAGGAGGATGATCCTAAAACGATCATTTCTGCATGCCCGCCATGACTCACTCACTATTCCTCAACATTATCCCCCACCCTGGTGCCATCTGCCAAGGGATACACCGCAATAACACTCTTCTCATCTTTCACCGAGAGGAAGAATACAAGCACAGGAATAAATGTTATGACTGACTTATGATGAGTACCTGTAAGAGAGGCTGACTACTGGCGGTCCTCAGAGACTCCTGCAGACAGAAATTGAACTTCTTCTCCTGCTCCGGGTCCTTCACAACAAAAGAATCAGGAGACAGGAAGCTTCCAGCCTTACCACTCTGAAATGGAGACAGAAGACAACAAGAACAGCTGGTTTGAGTTTGAGTACGTCTGTTTGTGGCTGTGTTTTTTTTGTGAATACACATCCAAATTCAAATGAGAACAGCTGCAGGAATAACTGATGATCTAACTAACCTTTTCAAGCCAGTGTGTGTTGACAATAGGAACTCCTTTGGCCACGGCACACAGGAATTTCACAGTCCTGCGCACCTTATCAGTCACCAGACAGTTCATGTCTGCAACACCTTTAGCCATACCGCCTCCTAAACGAGCCAACACTCTCTCTCCAGCTTCATCCACAACGCCTGTGAACAGCACCTGACAGAGCCACAAGAATTCATCTTTTGTATTTGTTTGTTTGGTTGTTGTCAGAGTTGAAATATTCCTTTAAGGCATTATTTTCCCGACACAGTTGGTCATGTTTTGACAAAAAAAATATACACCTTGTAGATCTGGTTGGAAGCTCGAGATCGAGCACCAGGTGCAGGGGAGGCGGAGGTGGTGCGAGGGGTCTTTGCAGCAGGTGAGGAGTCTGTCGAAGACTGACGCTTCCGGCGTGCAGTGCTGGTTGGAGTCTGGGGCTGTGAAAGGATGAGAAAAGACAACTGAAGAAACAAAGACATATAAAAATGACAGAAAACATGGAAAAAGTGCCCATTGACAATGCAGAGCAGGAAGTGACTGAGTGATGACTACAACACATATTTTATTAGTGGAGTGATAGTGATGCAGAGCAGCCCAGACCACTCTTGGTGCTGAGAGAACAGAGGCCTAGACAGTCCCCGATGTTGATCTTAGTGCATTAAAATGCTTTGAAAGGCTGAGTCATGCAGAGAAATGCTCCAGAGCTTTTGGCCGAAACAAAGCCTCTTACATCCAAGGACAGAGGAAACTGGACACCAATTACGCACAAATCAGCTCTCTGTTTAGTGTGATTTATGTTTCAGCCCAAAAGTATTTTTGTGAATTTTTCATATTTCTAATTCAGGCCTAGAAGTGAAGCAAACTGTTACCTCTGAAGCCTCCACAGGTGTGTCTTGGTCAACAGATGATTCACTTTCTTCCTGCTCTCCCTTCTTCTTCTTCTGGACGGCTGATCGCCGACCTCCAACTTTCCTCACAATGGGCTCCTCCTTTATTTTCTCTATCTTCTCTGATTCAGTGGGGGAATCTTTCTTTGCTTGAGCGGTGGATGCTCTACCTCTTCTTTTGATTTGGACTGGAGTCTCATCTTTAGCTCCACTATTTGTCTCCTCTTCTTCTGACTTTTTCGGCTGGGCTTTGTCCTTCCCTTTGGGAATTTTGGAGCTACTGCAGGGCTCCTCTGTTTTTGCCTGCAGTTCTCTTTTTTGTCCTTTTCTTTGGCTCTGATCTGCATCACTAGCTGCAGGAGCTACTTGTGCCTCTACCGGCTCATTTTTCACTGTTTTCTGGCCCCTGACATTCCTTTGAGGCACTGGTGTTTCCTCTCCTTTGGCACTCTTCTGGTTTGAAGGGCCTTCCTCATCTGCAGCTGCAGATTCAGACACACTTGTACTGGCTTGCTGTCGCCCCCTTGTGGTACCCACCGGCAGAGAGTTAACCTTCTCATTATTATCTTCATCAGGGGTCTCATTCAAGGACTCCTCTGCTCTTCTGCTCTTCCTGCCTCTGGCTACGGGTTTAGGAGCTGAACTTTGATCGCTTTGACTAAAATTAGGAGGGATGGGGTCTGCCTCTGACTTTTTTCCTCTTCCTCTTTGCCTACCTCCTCTTCCTCTCTGAGAAACTGGGCTGCAGCTAGAAATCTCAGCGAGGGAGTTTGTGGAGCTAGACCTGGAAAGAGCTCCCTGAGGAGGAATATGACCACCCTCCTGTTGTGTCGGCCCTTCAGCCATCGTTCTCCTCCTATTGCTACTCCTGGGAGTGGCTGCTGGAGGAGGCTCATTACTCCTCTTAGCTCCTCTTCCACGACCTCTCCCCCTGACCTCCTGGGTGTTAACACTGGAAGCTGATCTTTCTGAGCTGACAGAGTTGGAGGAGTTGGAGCGAGATCTGGTCCTCCTTGCAGGGACATCATCATCATCAATGTGTGGTATGTTTGAGTTGGGGGTTGCGGATGGGACAGCGATTGTTCTTCTGGCTGCTCTTCCACTTCTTGCAGGTGCTTCAGTCTTGTTGTCCTTTTTGATCTTTTCTTCTTGCTCTTTCGTTTGTTTTTCTTTGGCCTCTTTTTCCTGTTTTTTCTTTTCTTGTCTCTCTTGCTCTTCTTTTGCTTGTCTCTCTCTCTCTTCCTTTTCCCTCTTTGCTGTCTCCAGTCGTTCCTTTTCCTCCTGTTCCTTTCTTTCTTTATCCAGTTTATCTTTCTCCTCTCTCTCTAATCTCTCCCTTTCCAGTATTTCTGCCTTTTCCCGCTCTAATCTTTCTTTCTCTATCTTCTTAGTTGCTTCCCTTGCCAACTGTTCTTCTTTCTCCTTTTGAGCCTTATCAGCTCTTTCCTTTTCTTCCTGTCTTTTTCTCTCCTTCTCCTCTCTTTCTGCTTTTTCACAATCTAATCTCTCTTTTTCTTCCTTTTCCTTTCTTTCTTTCTTCATTCTCTCTTCCTCTGCTCTCTCCAGTTCCAGCCTTAACCTTTCTGCATTTTCAGCTTGCAGTCTCTCCTGTTCCTCTTTCTCTTGTTTTTCCATTTTTAGCTTTTCTTGTTCTTTTTTGGTTCTTTTCATCTCACGTACGTCTTCTTTCATCTTATTATCTGACTGTTGCTTGGTGGATTTATTCCCTCGAGTTTTCTTTTCTTGCTCGACATCCTCCTCTTCCTCAGTCTCATCAGGTCTTGGTTTTCCTCTTCTTCCTCCGGTTGATGGCAGTGCTCTATTCTTCCCTCTCGTTTGTCTGGTTGGAGGTTCAGAAGACTCCTCCTGCTTTTCCTCCAATCTTCTTGACCCTCTTCTACTTCTAATATTTGCGCCATCTGTTCCAGCCTCAGATTGTCTCCCCTTTCCTCTCCCAGACTGCGTTCGAGGATTTGTTTTCATGGGCTGAGTTTCAACAGCAGAGGCCTCAGGATTTGCGATGGGTTGAGTCTCCTCCTCTTGACTCTCCAAAGGTTTTGAGTTTCTTTTTCGCCGACTTGGAAATGAGTCCTCTTCATCGCTTTCTCCCTTTTCACCTGTAACCATTGGCTGAGTTTCAACGGCAGAGACCTCAGAGTTTGTGAGCGTTTGTGACTCTTCATCTTGAATGTGGAGCCTTTTTGCTTTTCTTTTTCGTGGACCTGGAACTGAATCGTCTTCATCACTCTCTGGGTCTCCAGCTGTTTCCATGGGTTGAGTTTCAAATGCAGAGACCTCAGAGTTTGTGCGTGTTTGTGACTCTTCATCCTGAATGTGGAGCCTCTTTGCTTTTCTTTTCCGTGGGCCTGGAACTGAATCCTCCTCCTCATCATCATCATTTTCCTCATTATCACTTGTGCACATGGGCTGAGTTTCAGCTACAGACAGAGCTTTACTGAAAGGCACCTCCTGAGGATTAGCTGCTTCCTCATGTTCTCCTCCACCATTTGTTTCATTCTGTGACCTGGTATTAACTTCGACAGTAGAAACATGGTCTCCTTCAACGAAAACCTCCTCTTCATCAAAAGAAGTCACTGGTTGGGTTTCAGCCATGGCAAGAGTAGAAGAGGTGGGAAAGTCTAGAGGCTGAGTCTCAGCAGAGGCAGAGGCAGTGCTTTTCCTGTCATCTGATTCATCCTCCGAATCACAGCAGGGCTCTGAAATATATGCCTGTGTTGCCTCCAGGGCCAAATCTACCCGACCCTCTTTTTTAGAAGCAGCAGAACCTCTGACGTCCTCCTTATCCTCTTCATACAGCTGTGTAGCCTCTAGATTTGAATCACACTCTACAGAGTCGGTATCAAAGTTGGTTGCATATGCTTGGGTTTCTTCCACAGTCACGCCTCCTTCCACAGAGACAAAAGCTTGGGTGCTCTCCATGGCCAGAGCCCGGACTGGTCCCTGCTGGTGGCTGCTGTCTGACAGCCCCAGTTGGAAAGACCCCTCTCTAGCGGACAGTTCGCCTTTTTCACCACCGGTGGAATCAAGTCCAAAAGCTTGGGTGGCCTCCTCTGCAGGGTTGCTTTGGCCTTCTCTAGTCTGCAGAACAAAGGACTGTGTCTCTGCTACAATGAAATCCTCATCCTCATTGCTATCCGACTCATGGGACAGGGTTTTTGGTTTTAAAGATGCCGTACCTGGGAGACATAAAAACAGTGCAGAAATGTATTTGCTGTGTCAGAACAATAATCCTCTCTTAACTAAACCCACCACATCACAAATAGAAACAAAAGTGTGTTCCACATGACGGTGACAAAAAGTAGATTACTCACTTCTACATGGACCTGAAGAGGGACTCAAGAAAGCCTGAGTCTCCATTTCTTCAACTTGTCTTTCTGAAATAAACCAAAAATGAAAAAAAAAACACAATTACAATGATTACATCCTTGGTTTGGTTTAGAAATATACAAGTATATTTAAAATGAAAGCTACAGTATTTAAACCAGCCAGTTGATAAAATCAAGTATCTTTTGATGATTCAGTCATTTACAGTGGAGTTGGTCTCATTATTACTTAAATTATCAAGGGTGAAAGTTTATCTCAGCAATTATCTTTAACTTTAACCACCCTACAGAGATAACAGACCTCAAAGCAACAGCTCTAGGTTTAAATTTCCACCTTGCCTCACTCTCTTTTCCCTGTTATTGTCTCTAAATCAGGCAGCTTTGGCTTAAAAAATATTGAGGTTGCTTGTATCGCATAATTTGGGCATGGCTGGTAAAGTATACTTTCTTTTATCAGGAGCTCATGTTGGGACTGACTGATTGCTTACCTAGACTGCTTACAGGAGTCGAGCAGCTGTGTAGAGGTGGAGCCAGCAAAGCAGGTGTATTTTCTCTGCACAGACTCGGGGTCTGGCCCTCACCTACTTCTCTCAATCCCCCCTTTTCATCTTCCACATCTGTGTCACAGTCCATGTCAAAGTCAAAGTCAAAGTCACTGCCCTTGGCAGGGGGCGCTCTGGATTCATCTTTATCTGTGTCTGCATCAGTAACTGGCTGAGGGGTTTCTGACTTGGCACTAGGAACTGACAACGATGCTATGACAACAGGTATGACCAGAGGAGACTCTTCTTCCACATCTGTGTCACTGTCTGACAGAATGCCCATATCAGCTTCTTTGTCTGCGGTGGTGCAGGGTTTTGTGACAGCAGACACCGCTGAGGGTTCACTGACAGCAGGCGTAGGGGTAGCTGCATCTTGTGAACCGTGGGGAGCAGCAGAAGCAGATTCAGGCACGCTTGGCTTGATATCTGATGTCATGGAAACATTGTCTCTTTTGGAGCCTGTGGTACTTGTTCCACATTCCTTCTCTTCTTCATCATCAACATCTGTGTCACTGTCAAGGTGGAAGTCTTTTGGCTGGGTTGACAGGACAGAGTCAGCTGTGTGTGGGCTGTGAAATGACACGGGTTTTGCTTTCGTAGCAGGATCTGACACAGCATCATCATCATCAACATCAGTGTCACTGTCCATAGTGATGCCCTCTGGCTGAACAACTGATACAGCATGTGGAGGTTTGGTGTCAGCAGATGGAGGAACACATTTGGGAAGTTTGTCTGAGGTACCATCATCCTCATCTACATCTGTATCACTGTCCATATGAAAGTGGACTGTGTCTACCAGCTGATCAGCTTTCTGGTTTGTTTTTAAGGCCATGGGACTCACAGATGTCACGCCCTCCTCCTCCCCCTCCATGTCTGTGTCACTGTCCATGTTAAGTGCAGGAATAGCATGCGTGATGGCTGCTGGTACCGATACAGGCAGCTCATCCTCTCTTTTCAGACTGACATTATTGTCAAGTTTCACTGGCACATCTTTTCCACTGTCCTCTGACGTTTTCCCTGCAGGTGCTGCTCTTTCTTCTTCTCTTTCTCCCTCATCTTCACTGTCATCCAAAAACTCCAGGGCTTTTTTTTCCTTTAGCTGCTGTCGCTCCACATCCATGTCTATCTCCTCCTTGCTGAAGCTGACATGTTTGTTAGACCTATTTTTAGTGAAGGATGATGGTGTGATAGGACTTTCATCCTCACTGCAAAACAAGCATTATAATTTGTAAGCGGGTAATATTTTGTTAAAGCACATTCTTGGTCATGCCTTATTTTATGAATGTTTCTATTTTAAAATCTGACGTTACAAACTCACCTTTCAGAAATTGTCTTATTGAAAGAGCTTAGGAATGTTGAACAGGAGGGACTGGATTTAGATGAGTCTGTATTGGACACTGTGAAAGAATAAAGAATTAACTTGTAAAATATCAGATACAGAATTAGGGCTGTATCTCTCTGGGTATTTACATAATTTACATACCTAAAGCCTTGTGCCTTTCTCCATCGGAATCAGAGTCAGATTCGGGGACAAGGCTTGCCTGTAGCTGAACTGGAGTTTGCTCAACAGACAGGCAACTGTGTCTCAGTGGTGTATTTCTCTTGTCCTCAGGTGATGACACCCGTGCCTTTTGCTCTGTGACAGTCTCTGCATTCACCCCATTCTGTTTCCTCTCAGAAGCCCTTGTGTCCCCTACATCTGCTATGCAGCTCACAAACTTACATGGGATGTCTGCCACCACCAAACTGTCCTGTTCACTGAGGGCATATCGAACATTTGGACTCAGCTTTAGGCGGCCCTTCCGGGTCCCGTTCATACTTCCTAGGTCCCAAACCAAAGCCTCTATCTCCACCTCATTGTCACAACCTTTTCTCTTGAAGGCAGAGATGCTGATGGTAGCATGCTGTTTGGATACTGAGGGTGCTTGCAAGGGCAGAGTGCAGGTGTTGTCGTCACGTCCCAACACGTTATCTCCCAAAAATAGAGGTAACTCTAGAAGAGAGAATCATAAAAGAAATAAGAAGAAAAGACTTTTAGTGTTGTGTCGTTTGCGAACGATTCGTCCACAAGAACCGAGTCTTTAAAGTGAACGTACTAAACTGAATCACTTCCACGAGTGATTCTTTCATTTCTCACTTCAATTGAGCTGAAGTGAGAAATAGCATTGCCAGTTGAGCAACCTGCGAACGAGGGACCCCATGCACCAATCATGCATTGAACTACACTCGCTTGAGTCATTTTTGTCAAACAAAACTACTTTTTTTTTTTTTACTGCTAAATTACCACAACAATAGCTTGCATACAATAGGACATAGCATGTAACAAGTAGTGCATTAAACTTGCAGCATCCTATCATTGCAGCGGTTTGGGAAGGAACGGTGCATGTTCAGTGTGAATTCTTCTAAATGTTCAGTGAACGAATCACTCACTGAGCCCAATTAACAGAGCAGACCTGATAAATAGCATACCATAGGACAGTACACTTAAAACATCATGACTTACAAACAAGTTTATTTTTACAAACCTGTTTGCCAAAGCAATACAGTCAAACACTCGTGTCTCCCAGTCCCAGAGGCTATGAATTGAACTGAGTCCTGAAATGTTCAGCTGTGTATCAGTTCAGGAGGTCAGAGTCACAGGCTTCTCCCGCCAAGCGCTACATGATTCAGTGATTTGGTGAATGAATCTTATGAAAGAATCTTTTTAGTGAACTGATTTTAGTGATTCAGTTCATCTTAAAGAACTGCTGTGCCCGTCACTAAAGACTTGTACATGCATGTTTGATACATTTGCATAAATCAAACAACTCTAGATGAATTCAGGCATGTAATAACTGCAAACAACTCACCTGTCTCGGAGATGTGCTGGTTTTTTAAGATGCACAGTTTAGCCATTGGTTGCCCTCTTTCATTGCCATTCTCCTCTTCACTTTCTTCATCATCTGACTCCAAGAATGAGTCACTAATCATCTGAGTAGCATCCATCCTTCACTTTGGATAAGAAAGGACAACTTTAGCACTGAAACACACAGAAATGACTGTAAAGGCTGTTTTTTTAACGTCTTACATCTGCAAGAATAGCAATAACTGCCTTTGTCGTTATAGCAACTCTTAGTGTGTTGTCTTTGTAGTAATTATGCATTCTTGTAACAATATAACTCCAAAAGCAGTGCAAAGCTCGTACAAGGTTTACTGAACGCGTCACAGCAACCTTACTTCCGGTCAGAATAAAAACAAAATTGATAACCAAACTGAAAATAAATGTCACCGTTTGTGTAAAAAACACATCTGTACTTTGACTATAAAATGCATTACTGCTAATTATGTGTTCACAGTTTTTCTTCGGACACGGTATGCTATATTTTGGATAAATTCCTCCCTTGAAAACTTTGGAGGAAGTTTAGCGACGATAAGACCAGCTTGACCGTTCAACCAACTGCGTATCAATTTAATTCAACTGAGCTCGTCTGTATTAAATCTAAATCCATATTTCACATATGCACTTATTCAGAATCAGACTGCATCTTTACACCCACCTCCACACGCTTCGCCTTGTCCAGAGAAAATAAATACAAATGTACATCCTGCACAAGCAATGATAACGCCCCTACGAGGCGACTAAGGGCCAAGTGGTTGGGCAGAAGACCCGTCACTCAATCTGAAATCTGTTCTCATTGGATACTGAAACCGCCCAGTGGAGTAGAGTGTATGTGATTGGGTGAAAATTCCCAACGCGTCACCGTTCATATATTTATTTTCGCGCTGAATGACAACATCTTAAAGAGACAGTGCGGACATAGTGGATTAGGTAACGGAAAAGGCCTTTGTCTGAACTTGCCCGGTTTTCGTTGTAAAATGTACACTTGCACCTCAATCACTAAAAGTTTCAGTATAGATATTAGTTAGACAGAATGGGGTCTATGCAGGCTGCACAAACAATGTCTCACCATAAAGTTGTAAGTTGCAAATGTCTTTTTTGTACAATTTTTGTTGCTTTTTAAAATCATCCCAATTTTTTTTTCCCTCAAGTAGTGCACACACCTCCTCCTTTTTTCTTGACATATGGGACACAAAGCAATGCAGGTGCACTGACTTCTTGATGTAGGCCTATATTTTCTCTAATGTGATATTTTGTTACGTAAAACTCACCCTAACCTGAAGTAAAGGCCTTTAAAATTGTTACTAAGGGCCTTTCATGGACAGGATGCTCATCTCTGGTCTTTGAAATAAGGATTTAAAAGACCATGCTAATTCACTTTTGTTGTCGAACTCTTGTCATACTATTTTACTGCACACCAGCCACAATGAGAAGCTGTTTATGCTTGAGGACAGGTCAAGTCAAATACACCTTTGGCAATGCCATGGCCTCATTGAGGATAGCTATTTTATTTCTTTATGACCTTATAATACATTCATACAGCTATTTAATGAAATGTTATGGTGAATATCTTAACACCACCATAGTGCCATCGCCATTATATGTTCTCTGATCAAGTTGGTAGATGTGTCATGGTAATGAGAAATACTCATTTTGGCTCTCTAATGTGTTGATGAATTTTACTTTAATTACTGGTGACCATAATTTCATCCACTGCAAATCTCCACTCTAAATTTATGGAACTGCATTACACATTAAACTCACTTATCCATGCCTAACACAAGTAAATGACACAGCTATTTTTCATGGCTGCAGGAAAAAGCACATGAATGTTTTAGTACGCTCCGCTAGAGAAACTGCTGACCTCAACATTCATCTGTTGCTGGAAGTCCTCCAGGATATCCAAGCCTTCTTTTCCACACTGCCTACAAGTGTTATTATGGGGTAAATGTCATAGTTATGGTTAATGTTATAAGATCAAAAAAGGATTACATGAAAAAACTGATTCCAGACAACAATGACTTTTGTTTGACAACTTTATTCGCAGTGAATCACAAGCGATATCTAACATTTTCTAGTTTGATTCTAGTAATGCTCCGGACACTAGGTTTGCTTCTTAGTTACTGTTGTGGTTTTTTCCCTTGTTTATTTCTTGTTGTGGTTTGAATGAATTGACCTTCACATCTTATCTTCAAGCATCCTCTTCAGCCTCCTCTTCAAATTCACCCTCCTCTTCAGCGGTGGCATCCTGGTACTGCTGGTACTCAGACACCAGGTCATTCATGTTGCTCTCTGCCTCAGTGAACTCCATCTCATCCATACCTTCACCTGTGTACCAATGAAGGAAAGCCTTGCGACGGAACATGGCGGTGAACTGCTCAGAGATGCGTTTGAACAGCTCCTGGATGGCTGTACTGTTACCAATGAAAGTGACAGCCATCTTGAGGCCACGGGGTGGAATGTCACAGACGGCGGTCTTGACGTTGTTGGGGATCCATTCAACGAAGTAGCTGCTATTCTTGTTCTGCACATTAAGCATCTGCTCATCGACCTCCTTCATGGACATGCGGCCACGGAACACAGCGGCAACTGTCAGATAGCGGCCGTGACGTGGGTCACAGGCGGCCATCATGTTCTTGGCATCGAACACCTGCTGGGTGAGCTCAGGGACTGTGAGGGCGCGGTACTGCTGGCTGCCTCTGCTGGTCAGGGGTGCGAAGCCGGGCATGAAGAAGTGCAGACGGGGGAAAGGCACCATGTTGACAGCCAGTTTGCGGAGATCGGCATTTAGCTGACCAGGGAAGCGCAGGCAGGTGGTGACGCCGCTCATGGTGGCAGACACCAGGTGGTTAAGGTCTCCGTAGGTGGGTGTGGTCAGTTTCAAGGTGCGGAAGCAGATGTCGTAAAGGGCTTCGTTGTCAATGCAGTAGGTTTCATCTGTGTTCTCTACAAGCTGGTGAACTGACAGGGTGGCGTTGTAAGGCTCCACCACTGTGTCTGACACCTGAGGACAGAAAACACACACTCTTTCCTCAGTCTCATGACTCAAAGAGAGAAAACCCAAGGCACAAGGAGCTGAGATTAAAACCCCAAATACTCATGCTCTATCACAAGATTGCTTTACCTTGGGGGAAGGCACCACACTGAAAGTGTTCATGATGCGGTCAGGGTACTCCTCACGGATCTTGCTGATGAGCAGGGTTCCCATACCAGATCCAGTTCCACCACCAAGAGAATGGGTGAGCTGGAAGCCCTGCAGGCAGTCACAGCTCTCTGACTCTTTGCGTACCACATCGAGGACTGAGTCCACCAGCTCAGCTCCCTCTGTGTAGTGACCCTTTGCCCAGTTGTTTCCAGCACCACTCTGACCTGAGAAGAAAAAACATTGACGAAAAGTTGAGAGACTATCCAGTTTTTTTTCACAGAGGGTTGAAGTTATGGTGGGATCATGACATTTTTCTACCCACCAAACACAAAGTTGTCGGGTCTGAAGATCTGTCCAAAGGGGCCAGACCTCACGGAGTCCATGGTGCCGGGCTCCAAGTCCACAAGAATGGCACGAGGAACATATTTACCTCCTTCACAAGAAAACCAAAGGCAAGAAGAAGAGAGAAAGAGGGAGAAAAGTAGGGAAAATATACCAGCTTAATAGGGCAGGAAACCACAGTCTAGAATGTTGTATACTTAAGGCTGCATAAGGAAACATTAGAAGGTGATAATATGACTAAAATACACTCTAAGATGTATTGGCAAAGCTGAATTCAAGTATTATTTTCCATAAGTACAAATCAGTAGCTTGAAAAGCTGCTAACCTGTGGCCTCATTGTAGTAGACACTGATCCTGTCCAGCTGCAGGTCACTGTCTCCATGGTAAGTCCCTGTGGGATCAATACCATGCTCATCGCTGATCACTTCCCAGAACTGCAGGAACAAAATGGAAGGTTTCACATGACCGTTTCTTGCAAAGAAAGTACACATCCCTGCATTAGTAATGTGGTTTAAGGGACTGGGAGATTTAAATGAGGAAAACAGCTGTGAGTTTGCATTTTTTGGTAGCTGCTGCAAATGACAGGATTTTTCCCCTTTCACTAAGCCATATCATTTCATACAATGCAGCTGTTAATATTTCCACAGTCATCAACTGCTGACTAAGCAGAATGCAGTTCTTTTAGATATAAAGTGCAAAAGGAGAGCGAACAAAGGAGCTTCACATAAACCCACGGGCAAAGCTGAGAATAAACTCCATTTGCAGGCTGTCACACCACAGTAAAGACGCTGATTGTCTCCAAATCTGCATTCATGTCTTCTTCACTCTTTAAAGCCCGCACTCACAGTAATGTGTATGTATTAAATCCCACAAGGGGGTGCGACTGTTGCACCCACAGGCACCACTTTGCATTAACATATTTTTTTGATATCATCCAACTCCGGCTTTTTATTTTTTTTGATGATTTTCTGCTAACAGCAGCATGAGGAGGATTTAGAGTAATCTGGATAAGCAGGCTGTATTGCAGCTCAGTACTTAAGAGATTGGGAGTCAGTTTTGGTCTTAGTATCATGACATTTAAATAAGAGCACATACTACAAAAATGACCAAGTGACCTTAATATGACGGAGATCGACAGCAGGATAAAGAGAAGAACAAAGGCTGGAAAAACAAAACGGCAAATAAATGAAAAAAAAAACAAAAACGGAGAGCTGCTTGACAGTGACACAATAGATGGCTATCTGTACAGACCCAAAATCATCCCAGTGAAAGAATGAGGACAATAAGCTGGAAAGCAATGCCACACCCTGACCCCATTCACCACAATGTAGCCCTTCAGCAAGTCTGTCAATCATATCCACTGGACATCTAAGTCAATGAGTCCTCAGGGATTGGAGAGGAGTAGGGATGTGCACTGTTTCACCACCAGTGTTTGTTTTAACACAATACTGGGTCAACTAAAAAATACAAATTGTTCTCAACACTTGAATGGATAATGGATTCATAATTTTACTTTAAAATATATGTCTATTCTTTTCTAAGGTGAATTTTGCTTTCAAAATAATCACTAACAGTTTAAATAAATTTACTGAAATCATATACGATTGTTATTTGTTGTGTTAATATCCTATAGCAACTCTCGAGAGACAACGGCAGCAATTGCATATTAAGTCAATTGAGAATCCAGTGACTTCACCCACTGCTGTGCATCAGCTGTTTCCTCCATTCCTCCCCCACCCAACTCCTAATTTGGTTAGGAGAGGAAAGACATTGATTACGAGAAGACAGACCCCCTTTTCTGGGACATTTAAATCTCTGTCTGCAGAACATCACTATAATACTGACGTACTCTGTAATACATGCACCATTGATGATGAAGTAGTCTATGAACTGTATCTGAATACCAGACTAAGATTCCTGGGTGCGTTCAAGAGGTCAGACTTAAACATATGCTGTCTGTAGCAAATGATGTGCTGTAAAACATGCTGTGAAACAAAAGGAGTTAATCAGACAGCAGGGATAATAATGGCCCTAGAAGGCATCTGCAGAGGTAGACTGCAATTGTTGCTGTAAGGTTGGGTGGGTGATGATGTATTGTACTTGTGAGGCAGACTGCAGGACCCTTTTAAGTGCAATTTGGTTTCAAATGAATGAACAATAAGCAGAATTAGAAAAATATATACATAGGAAAATTAGATTTGGAAAAAAATGATATTTCTCTTACAAAATGCACCATTTTAAAGGAAAAATTAGCTTTTTCGAGGATCATCAATGCCACACCCTTTCCACAGCTTCCCTGCTTTTTCACCAGCTTAACCAGCAGTCTGCATCACAGCCTGCAGATACGAAATCTAATCAATAAAGGATATTGATCATTGGCCGTTCAGATGAAGAGGAGGGTGGGGTAGGGGGATTGCTAGGCCTCCCATCCCAGCTTCCCCACTCATTGTCTGAAATACCAGCCATATCTGCCTTTGCGAGACAAAGAAACCAGAGGAGTGCTCAGTACAATGACAGGGGGGCTCTGACAAATGAAAAATAGACTGTATTTTTTTTCTTTTTCTTTTTTTTTGGTCTTAGTAGGTTAGCTGAATTCTCATATCTGAGACACGCCCGGTGTTGTGTGAACAAAACCAGTCGAGACACAAGACCCCCGTTATTTCAGTGAGAGGCACGGTCCACTAATCCACACCCACCCACCAGTTACCGCAATGCACACTGTGGAGAGTGGAAAAATGAGCCCTAACAGACGTTTTATATATATGGGATACATTTTCTGATTCACAATATATTAAAAAAGCATACTGCATGGTCTAATTGATGTAATAAGTGTGCTTTTAATTTATTCCAAAGAGAAACAAAGGGAGTCTATTGTCTCGGAGTCATATTAAAAAAGAGAGAGTTAGGAAAATACGTCTGATGACTTATTTCTGCACACAGAGTCTGTGGCGTTTTCAACAATAAGAGAAAACATTTTTACAATTAATCAAATAAATTCTTCAACTAGGATATTTTCCTACCTTAGCACCGATCTGGTTACCGCACTGGCCGGCCTGAATGTGCACGATTTCTCTCATAGTGGATGCTGAAGTTTCACAAAGACGAGAAGAAGCGTTTCACTCTACAGGCACGGGGACCAGACCGCAGACTTGCGAGGAAGAGCTGGACAATGCATTTATAATGTTGGAGCGTTTCCAGAGGGAGGAGGCTGGGGCAGGGGAGGGGGGCGGGGCCAGACCCAGACCCCAGCTGCTGCGTGCGGGGATTGGCTGCGACGGCTGACCCGGAGCCGGGAGGAGGAGGGGCGATGACTGCTGCAGATCAGGGAGTGGGATTGAGATAGGGAGACAGGGTAGGTTCTACCAGCTGCTGTCCAGAAAAAAAATTACAAGATGTGTTACAGTGATTTTTGTTTCCCATGTTTGCTGCCAGCAACAAAACAGCTGGTAAATATTTCTCTGCTTGGACAGAATCACTCCCCACAGAGCAAACTCAAATTTCGGTTTTAAGAGGAGAAGAGATAAGCTTAATTAGTTTGACACCTCTTTGGCTCCAGACACAATATTAGGAAATCTATGGGGTTATGACTTCAATACAGTGCAATACAACTAGCCATGCAGTGATCGGTGTTAATAGTGTATTACTAATTGTACTTTAATAGAGATCAACAGAGGAAATATCTTAAGAGTGTTTCACCACAAGGCAGTCATAATAAAATATAATCTTTATTGTCGTTGCTCAGAAATTCCTGTCATTGTTTTATGTCATAGGCTGGCATGTTAATCTTGGATCTGTTTCATTTCATCCAGTTTTTTACTTTTCTCTTTCGAGACCTATGTAATGTGTGCATATAAAGTTCTAACTGAAAGCAGGTTTCAATCTGTTTTTAAACTGTGTTTTTATTGTTCTGTGAAAGAGTGAGAAATGTGAGATACCAAGTCAAATATTTGACTGCTGATTGTGTTTAACAGTTGCCATAGAAATTAAGGTGGTCTCCTGACACTTCAAGGACTTTTACCTTTTATGGCAAAGAGTACAACGCCATTGTTATCCTTTGGAACAGCAAGTCAGGCCTCGGCCTACAGCCTTACATTTTGTGTATTTGTAAATTGCCTTAGATTTCTGTGATGTGTCCAACGAAGTAAATCAACCAGAAAATATAGCCTGGTTGCTTGTTACATCTATTAATTAAACTCTAAGAAGTCACTCCTTCGTTGCAGGCCTTCCACCTACAATGCTGGAACAGCAGAAGTTGAGTTATGTCTTGAGCTCCATCTCTCTTTTCAGTGAAGTTAAACTAAGTGAGCCAGAAGCAAACTAGTGATCTGACAAAGGAGACATTTGTTATGTTACAATTCCTCCTGCAGAGGCGGAGCAAGCTTTGGTGGAGCTACATTAATCACTAACTTAAAGATCTAACATGGAGAAAGGAATACATTTGTTGCTGGACCCCAATGATAAAGAGCATGATGGTTTACATCTGGTGAGAGTGAATTGATGATCAAACCAAACCCCTGATCCAGCTCCCATCAGACAGTGTGGAAAAACAGGAGTCATTGATTATCTGGTCTTGACCTGGAGTCAAGACCAGATATGCATGTCTATGATAATCAGATTATAGTTGAACCTAAAGCTTATAGAGAAGTCTACCGCTGGGGGATTCATGATTTAACACAATGAGAAAAGTTAACTGTCGCATGGGTTAAAATTATTGTTTTTAAAGCAGATTCATTGGTTATTTTGGGGGCATCATTTGCACCCTTTACTTCTTTTATTGTAAATCGTGTCCCTGGTTTATCGGTGCAGATAGATAAAACGCAGTAGTACAGTAGGTGAACGTTTACATAGATCTAAAGGGAAGAGTGGGGTAAGATGAGCCATTTTTCATATTTCGCATCACTACATCAAGTTAATCATAATTTTGTCTCTAACTAGTGTATCTGAATATATTTCAAGATATTGTGTATCCCTGCAAACCAACAAAAAGAGTGTAAATATAACTGTCTTGATGATATAGCATGCCAAAAGAGTGGTCTCCTATGGTCAATTCTTTTTATTATTATTGCATATAACTGCTAAAAAGCTGTTTTGTAAAGAGACATTTTAACATGAGAATGTCTTTAAGGGATTCAGAACATTCACAGCTGTATTTTAGAAAAGAAAAAGTAAAATGTTTCAACAATCTGAAGTGAAACTCTGATCCTCTCATCATACTGCTTTACTTTCTCACTGAGCAATAGACGGCTATTAGACATCCAGGTTTTTTTTAGCCCTTATTTCAACCGTCTAGATTCTGTATATTTTTAGACGGAAATTCGAGTTGCACTTTAACCCATTATTCGATAACTATTTCAAAAAGCAATTGTGAGTTGCATTACTGATCTCCAAGTACTTAACAAAAATAATTATGATAGCAGTTGAGCAATATACAGTTTAGTATAGATATAGCCTAGATTTAGACTTGGTCTAAACTTGGTCTAAATTCAGACATCTAAAAACATAATTTTTAGACCTGTGGTAGCTTGATTTTAGACCAGTTGTCTAGGCTACATTTAGACGTCTATTAGACCCCTTTTAGACCAAAAAATGCTCAGTGGGTTTTCAGTTGAGCCACTGAGTCAACTTACCCCTGGCCAAATGGATCAACTTACCCCAGAACTACTATTATGACTTTATTAGTCCTCCAAGCTAAAATGGTGGACTTTTATGGTAGATTTTTGACCTCATGTTGTGGCTCATAGATACCACAATTGATGTATAAAACAAATTTAAAATGATTTTTTTTTGGTCTGAACACAATTCTAATAAAACTTCTGACATACTACATTTACTTTCAAGAGTGAAAAATGTTTTTTGGAAATAAATGTCTAACCCCTTCACCCATGTGTTTCTAACCTTCACAGACTCCATGAATTGATGCCCATCTCCTAGATGTTTGGTCACATGATCAATTTCTTTTACCATTTCCAAGCAACAGGGGGTGGCTCAACTTACCCCACTCTCCCCTATCACCTCAGAAGACTTGATATGTCACATTAGACTCGGAGTGCAGGAGCTGTAGTCCACCAGTAGGGGGCAGCAGACATGGGTTCTTATCAAAGTGACGATAGGCGTGGTCTCGGCTCACTTCCCTTTACAAACAGACATTTTTGTCATACCAGTTGACGGGAAACGACGCACAGCTAAACCGTAGCAACGGTATTTTTTTTCGTAGAATCAATCTGACAGAACTGCCTCACCAATCCGCCGCATATTGGTAAGTAAAACTGGACGAACAGATGAGGTTATCGATCCGCTTTGGCTAGTATCTGCAGTATAAACACGGGTCTGTTTTCCGCAGGCGCAGTGACGTTCCCAACCCAGATCCGTTTTCTCTGCTACTACCGTTAGCATTAGTACAGGGACATTTACGGACAGTTACTGCGTGTAACACGTTAACTATCATATGTGTGGAGTAAATTTGTGGACTTAAAGTCGTCTTTGCTCGCTTTACTGTTATTTCACATCTATTTGAAGGAAGGTAAGCGTGTGGCTGGTTTGACCGTCATGAGTGTTCTGTAATGGGGAGGAGTGGTCTGACTGAGGCTTAATGAAGGGGTCTGCTTTGAATGATGGACATTGACATGTGTCGCTGTTACACTATAAACGGGTTGGATTAAAATAACAAGAACTCAGAATTATGATACTTAAAATGGAATATATCTATATATACATGTAATCTTTTATACATCTTAATCGCCCATCCGCCCACTGGATGGTGGATTTGGTCCCGCCTTACGGAAACGTTTATCTCTTTTGTGATAGTACGCTTTGTTTTCATTGTTTATTTTAAGTCATCAACTAAAGCTTATTATTTTCAAGCAGAAATTAAACATTTGAGTCAATTTAGTCATTTCACAATTAATTAAATTTCCTTATAGTCTGAATCAACTGCAGAGATGTTAGAAATTGTTGTGAACTCATTTGGTAAGAAGTACCAACAATAACAATGAATTTCATGTTTTGTTTTTTTTTCATCTAAAATTAGGAATCAAGATGTTTTACACATGTGGACCCAATGAAGCCATGGTGGTGTCTGGTAAGGTTTCTCTTCATGTCTGAATGTAGGAATAGATGCTTAGAAAATATATGCAATGGAAAAATCCACCCAACAAGTTCACTATACCGTATAATGTGTCATAATATTGTGTCATTATAAAGCAATAAAAGTGGAAGTGATTAGTTTACAGTTGACCCCTAGACCTGTGTCCCATGAGTGATTCAATCATCACATGCTTTGTGATAAGATATTGTGCAACTCTTCTCGTCAATTGGATAAATAATGGAATACCCCAGATTGCTTTAATACCAAGGCTCAGGCTTTAATACCTTTCCTACATTGCTGTGACATGAGTATTGCAAGTGAACTATGTTTTTAACCATTAACTATGGTTACTTTGTGTTGTAGAGTGCTAATCTTATGTTTGTGTTTTCTTTTTTTCACCTCTCTTTCCCACCAGGCTTTGGCCGTTCACCTCCTCTGATGATTGCTGGAGGAAGAGTGTTTGTCTTCCCATGTATTCAGCAGCTCCAGAGGTGACCACATGTTCTGCTTTTTTGTTTTGTATTTCTGCTTAAAGTGGATTGAAGATTCTTGTCTTAATGCATTTATAAATAGGCAAGTTTCAGAGTCATGGGCTATTGATATCTTTTATCCATGCTCTATTCTTGCCATTGTAGCATGAAGGAGTGTCTGATAATTAACCTAACTGTCTCTGTGCTATAACTTCATTTTTGCTTTCTGTTATTTCATCCTTTTGTTTTCCACCATTTTTCTCAGAATCACGCTGAACACCCTGACACTAAACGTGAAGAGTGACAAAGTGTACACCCGACACGGTGTCCCAATCTCTGTCACTGGCATTGCACAGGTATACCTCAAGAAGCACATTACTGGGATATTTCAGACTTCAAATACTTAGTTAGCTAAATAGCAGGGAGGCTGAAGTTCACAAAGGCTCTTTGGTTTCTGTAAGACTGACACACAGGCAAAGGGTTTATGGTACAAGAGTAACACAACCAGATTATTTACCATGAGTACAAACAGGATAGGGCCAGTCAGATACCTCTCAAGTATATAGTAAGTCAGTGGTTTTCTGTAAAGGCAGTTACATGTATTAGACCATCATTTTTGGGTAACTGTATCAGCTGATTAAACGTTACATTTCAAGTCAGACAATACTTAATTTTATCCAAACATTTCATTATAGTTAGAGTCCGATATGTAACCATGATCAAAAAAAGAAGAAGAAAGTAATAAAACCCCGAAATGTAATAATTTGTCAATAATGTAACAAAAGTTGAGCCTGAAATGTAATAAAAAAAAATTTTAAAAAGCAAGTTGATAAATTTTGGGCAAAATCTTATTACATTTTGGGTTCAGCATCTTGTTACATAATTGACCTGTTATTACATTTCTGGTTTTATTACATTTTTAAAATTAGATTTCAGGTTTTATTACATACCGAGCTCTCACATGCCCTTTTCCTTTCTTTTCTTCTTCTAGGTGAAGATCCAGGGCCAGAACAAGGAGATGTTGGCCACCGCCTGTCAAATGTTTATGGGTAAATCTGAGCCCGAGATCGCTCAGATTGCTCTTGAAACACTGGAGGGACATCAGAGAGCCATCATTGCCCATTTGACTGTGGAGGTTTGTAAAATTACACTGCTAAATGTATTAGCATGATATTTCCTGCTTTCATGAATAGATTGTACAGAGGCCTTCGCTAACTCAACCACTAAGTAAAGCGTGGGTGCAGTAACTGTGATAAATGTGGCTGTGTGTGTGTGTGCAGGAGATCTACCAGGACCGTAAGAAATTCTCTGAGCAGGTCTTCAAGGTGGCCTCCTCTGACCTGGTCAACATGGGGATCGGTGTTGTCAGCTACACGCTTAAAGACGTTCATGATGATCAGGTACTTTTCTTCTGCTCAGAATCCTTTTCACCACACCAGCAGCAGGAATCTGAATGCCGTGATGTTTTTATTTAAAAGCTTTTAGTCTGGTATGATTGCCTGACTTCCTCAGATATAGTAGATAGAGCACTTAAGAAATTAGTATTGACCAACTATGTCTCACTCAACAGACCCCAACTGCTTCCACACCACATTAGTGATGAATCAGACCTGAGTGCTCCGCTAGTTACCACAGCATCTCTTGTTTTTACAGCCTAATGCATTGTCTTCTTTTTATCTGCTCAAGCTGTGTCATTATTGTGAAGTAGCTGAGTGGAAGTTTTGGATAATGACACAAAATGAGTGCAATTCAAACCGGCTCTTGTACTTCATTTAGTCCGGATAAAAGGGGGGTAAAGAAACTAAAATTTACACCCAGAGTCTTGAAGTTCTGTTATCTGGAAAGCCAACAGTAATGCACTGGACGGCTTATTTCTGTCACCTCTACATAATACCACTATAACTATTATTACACTATTACTGTTTCTCTCTTGCAGGATTACCTTCACTCTCTGGGTAAAGCCAGAACAGCTCAGGTGCAGAGAGATGCCAGGATTGGAGAGGCTCAGTACAAACGAGATGCTGTTATGAGGGTAAGATACTTTCTATGTCCTTTTTGCTCAAACTTTTTAACAATATGGGCAATTTAATAACATGAAAAAAAAAGTTAATTTTGAAAGAATATAATAAATATAATTTTCTAATAGTTGGTCCTTCTCTTTTGTTTACGAAGGAAGCCAACGCAATGCAGGAAAAGGTTTCAGCTCAGTACAAGAACGAGATTGAGATGGCCAAAGCCCAGAGAGACTATGAGCTGAAGAAGGCGGCCTATGATGTGGAGGTCAACACCAAGAAGGCCGAGTCAGAAATGGCTTATCAGCTGCAGGTACAGTCACCTGTCTCATTGGCTGCATCCATTCTCCCTGATAACTGCTTTTAAGAAGCTGTTCATGCTGAGACTGAGGCAAAACTGACTGTCTGCCTCAATCACCAGGTTGCCAAGACCAAGCAGCGCATTGAGGATGAGAAGATGCAGGTTCAGGTGGTAGAGAGGTCCCAGCAGATCATGCTGCAGGAGCAGGAGATTGTCCGCAAGGAGAAGGAACTGGAGGCCAAGATCAAGAAGCCAGCAGAGGCAGAGAAATACCGTCTGGAGAGGCTTGCTGAGGCCCAGCGGTGAGTAATGAGGTTGTCTTCAATTGTTCTGATTAGAATTAAAAAAGTCTAATCAACTCAAAATTAGGAAAGATTATAAAAACCAATGAAATAATCTCTCCTTCCTCTGGCAGCCTGCAGCTGATCATGGAGGCTGAGGCTGAAGCTGAGTCCATCAGAGTAAGTCCTGCTGCACGCTCCCTTTGTTTCTGAAACAGTTCCTCCCTGACTGTTAACCATATTACATCAACCAAACCTTATTACAGTGGGGACTCACAGTCACATACATCACTGTTATGCACATGTGTCTGTTTCTGCAGATGAAGGGCGAGGCTGAGGCTTTTGCTCTGGAGGCTAGGGGCCGTGCTGAGGCAGAGCAGATGGCTAAGAAGGCAGAAGCCTTCAAGCAGTACCAAGATGGAGCCATGGTGGACATGCTGCTGGAGAAACTGCCACTGGTAAGTCCAACTCTACTGGATGAATGACTTGATGAAGAGTAAATTGAGAACCGTTTTATATTTGATTGAGTTTGTTTTCCTTTCTGAAAATCTTGTTTTTTAATCATACTAACTCCTCTGTTGTGACCTCTCTTGTCCTGTAGATGGCAGAGGAGATCAGCAAGCCACTCTCAGCAGCCCAGAAGGTCACCATGGTGTCCAGTGGTGGCTCAGAGGTTGGTGCTTCCAAACTTGCTGGAGAGGTGCTGGATATCATGACCAAGCTGCCCACCACTGTGCAGAAACTCACTGGAATCGACATCTCCCAGGTACGCGTGAATGTGATTTAGATAGTATGTTTGTGAGGCAGGTGGCGCTTCTTTCCTCATGTTTTTCTCTTTGACTTTTCAGGCCACAGGAAAGGGACATTAAAAGACCAGAACAGAAGGAGTCATCAAAACTACATCAATATTCAGACCAGGAGCTCCAGGTCTCCTCCTTGTGCCTATAACCACTGTAATATCTCAGCAACATCACAGTCCTGTTCGATTGTTCGTGTGCATGCATGTCTATCTTTGTGGGTCTCTTTTTTTATGGCTCCTGTTCCATACATGTACTGTATACCAGAGTTTTGTTTCCGTTGAATGTGATTATCACTTGCCTAGTCTGCATTGTTGTTTTATCTGCGGCAGGAACGGCTATCACATATACAGCCATGACACTAGTTTTTATGCCGAGACAGAAATCGTCGCCCATTCTAGCTTGCGATTGTTCAGTGATAGATATTTTTATCTTTCAGCAATCCGATCAGTTTGATTCCCCTGCATGGGATTAGGTCAAAAAGAAGCTGGTATTTTGTCTTTTTAAAAAAATTTAATGTAGAAAATGTTGAGCATTTGAAAGTTTTTTGTGCCTTTCAATTCATTAAACGGTGCTGAGCCTTTGTATCGCAGCATCATCATCCTCTAGCTTTGTGTGTGGACATATCCTTGCTATGATTTTACTTGCATAGTATTTACTACTAAAAGTGCTCCACATGTCTTCATGAAGTAACCGCTAATGTTACTGCACTCTTAGTTTGATCAGTTGCACTGCCAGTGGGAGAAGATTCTTTGTGTTTCAAAATGAAGGGGAAGCAAGTTGTTGATGGGAACAAGGTGTTGTGGTTTCCTGTCGAAAGAAATGAAAGTGTTGAGTGGAAAAAAGCAAACTTGACTTTTGGCTCTGCTTCTTTGTCTTCTGAGGTTTTGGTCTCTATATTGTGAAACTGTCGCTAACCAACAACCAACTAACGAACCACGTGACTAACCAGCCTGCTGCTTTATGCTCTTTCTGCCTGAGTTTAAACTGACAAACAGGAGATATTGTTCAAGTATTTTTGTTGTTGTTTTTATCCTGTGTGATTTTCTCATTCTAACCTGTTGCTGAGTATCATAGGTTCTGGCTGATTTAAGCACTTGCAATAACTTGCTTCTTTTTTTTAATTATTATTTTATCATTTCTGTACCTCTGATCAGGAGCTGATTCTTGTCTTCTGTCACTCTCTTACACGATGAAACACTTTTCCAGCTGCTAAGCCTTATGCATTTTGTCATCGCCAAGTGCCTGGTAAAAGCTCCTATACTATAAAATCCTGTTGACCTCTATAAGTCTGTTAAACTTCTGTCCGGGTATATCTTCCTCATATGCAACTGTTTGCAAGCCATTTGCCGTCACTCAAGACGGCTGTTGATGAAAGCCAAATTGGTCTCTACTCCTTTTATAAGCTCCTTTTACTAATCTTTCACTTTTTCTTAAAAGTGCTGTCTTGCATGCCTATCTTTGAGTCGGCAAAGCAGTTTTTACATAGTTTGAAAGTTGTATACTAGTGTCAAATATTCCAGATTTATCTTAGGTGAAATGATCTGTAGTCAATAAAATATGAAGAAAATACTCAAGCCTTTTGTCGTCTGTTTTTTTTCTATGTACAATTCCAGCAACATGTCTTATAGGGGTGGGAATCACTAGCGGCCCCACGATACAATATTATCACGATACTTGGGCCACGATATTATTGCGATTTTTAACATTCTACAATACAGTGAGTACAATATATTGTGATTTATACAATTTTTCAAATGTTTTTGTTTGTCTTACTTATGCTGTATTTTATTTTCATGTAGCACATCTTGCAAACCTTATATATATATACTGTATGTTTGTTGTACTAACTTCTGCTCTATGATTTCACCTCTGCCAACGCCACTAGACAAACAGTTGATTTTATTTTTTCCATAATCATAGATTTTACTTTATATTAACAATTGGTTTTAAAAAATCCATACTTGGTAAATGAGACGATACAGTTTATCGCCAGACAAAATATCGTGATACTATGCTGTATCGAGTTTTTCTCCCACCCCTAATGTCTAATAAATTGAATTATTTTTGATGTCCAAAATGTTGAGAGTGAAATTAATAGGGGTGGGAGAAAATATCGTGATACAGGATAGAATTGCGGTATTTTGTCTGGTGATATATCGTATTGTCTCATTTACCAAATATCAAGTTTTTCAAATGAACTGCTAATATGAAGTCAAATCTATGATAATGGAAAAATAAAATCAACAGTTTGTCCAGTGAGGTTGGCAGAGGTGACATCATAGAGCAGGAGAAAGTTAGTACAACAAATATATATAAGGTTTGCAAGATGTGCTACATGAAAATAAAATACTGCGTAAATAAGACAAACATAAAGGAAAGACGAATGCTAAATTAGCTAAACAGTTGAAAACATTGAATAAACTGCAATATATGGGATTGCAAAATGTTAAAAATCGCATTAATATCATATCGTGGTCCAAGTATCGTGATAATATCGTATCGTGGGGCCATTGGTGATTCCCACCCCTAGAAATGAACTCAGTCAGTTTTGGGGCACGTCTTTATGTATTTGAAAAGGTTAACTTTATTAAAACATCTACAAAAATAGACAATGAATTACAATGGCATCAAGGTAGCAAGCGTTCTACAGAGATACAGAAGACCCCAAATGTAACAAAGAGTTTTCCATATATTAGTGAAGGAAATTACACTTCTGTCCCTAAAATATGTACATACTATTATGATCAAGTTCAGAGACATGGAGGACAAAACCAGACACTAAGGAGTATCTGAAAACATACAGTATGTTTATATAAAAATACGGGTTTAGTTGAACTACAGTGTATCAAAATGACTCAAATGGCATAACCATTCACAATCAGTAAACGTATTACTTGATGATCATCTCAGGACTGATTTACAGTGCTATACAATCAGTAAGGTAGATGATTGATTCTACCACAGTCAGCTTAATGTACTTACATGGGATAATACAAAGATTTATGGCATTCACACTCAAAGACCCAGCTATACAACAACTGTTAGTCTCTGAGGTACAGTGATGCATTTGGAGAAGAGAATTCTGATTGTTGGATGAGTAGATGTCTCAAACACACTGATAGTTTCGGGACAAGTTTTCATACATTTAATACGAGATGAACTGAAGGTGCCAATCCATTTAAAACAAAAAAACAAGAATATTTTACATCTAATGGTTTTGGCAAAGCCTCATAAGAGAGGATTGAAAAAGGCAGAAAGACTGTCCTGAATTTCATCTCTCTGGGCAAATATATGAAATTTCTGTGGGCATGAAGCATTTGAATCCAGGAATCTTATCAGGCCCCCTTCAGTAATGAGTGTCATTGCAGCCAGAGATATGCATGTAAGATTTAAAGTGCAGCTGGTCGTGGAATTTTACTTCTATCCTCAGAGTCTGGATCACAGTCAGACCAGGATTGCCAAAAAACACCTGTGCAGGCTTGTCTGCAGATGCATCCTCTTCTCTTGGCTGGCGTTATTTGTCACTTCTCAGGAGAGATGCTCCAGTTTTTTAGTCACATCTCAGTGGCAGCGGTAGACTTCTTTTCTGTGCCGTTGTCGTCAGGTGTTGAAAGTCCATTCGGCACAAGGGGGCACAGTTTTTTTTTTATTGGTCTGGTCAGGGTCAGGGTCATTCACATTAATCCACCACACTTGGGAATCAGAGGTGTGGATATGGGTCAGGAGTAATGCCTGAAAGTTGAAGTCCTCACAAAGACCTTGAGTAGTTCTATCGAGAATCGAACAGGCGGAGGGGTCTGAACTCTAGAGGACTCTTACTCAATGACGCTGATTCAAATGTGTACAGCAGGATATTCATTCTCTAAGTACTAAGATGATCACTGGCATGAACCCCATTGTGTGAACTAAAGGTGTTCATTTGACAGAAGTTCTGTGTTACATAGCACATGTGCACCTTCACCTGTAACCCTGTATACAGCCTCTGCGATAATGAAAATACAAAAGTAATTAAACTTAATGACAGCTCATTTCCTAGCTTGCTATGGTCATTGGAGATTTCCCTGCTATTTAACCTCTACAGCTTTCTGTGTCACCAGTCGCACAAACACTCCTTGCATGTTAATTATCTGAACCAGAGAAAGTTCCTATGCAGACTGCACCCACCACCAACCATCATGAATTCTAGCTTGAATTGTTGCCTATCAAAAGCTTACTTTTGGTTTTAGGGTTGGGGTCTGATGTGGAAATAAACCGAACCAGCGGTGTCTCAGCCCCATCCACCCCAAAAGTACAAATATAAAAGCGAGCGACCCACTCTCCCTTCTCTTCTGTCTCTGCTTTCTCTGCAGCCCCTCCACCACACCCTCCCTCTGTAGGATGCATAAACGAACCAGCCATTTTCCCCTCTATAGCGTTTCCTCTCTCCTTACACCATGTTCATGGCGTCCTCAGTGAGGAAAGAGTGGATGTCGGCGAAGGATGGGCGGAGCTTGCAGTCTCTGTTCCAGCAGCTCAACATGAGCTCATAGAGACCCTGAGGACACACAGCTGGCTTACTCAGATACACCTGCAAACCAGAGGAAGACAGAGAAACGGTTATGAGGGATTTTAATGTCATCTTGTTTTCTTCTTGCTACATGAGCGACTTGGTGGATGTAAAAGAATAAAACACATTTCTTGACTTGGTTCCCCTGCATGTGTCTCATCTTGTACCTGTCTGCCCTGGTCTCTGAAGAACTCCCCTGCGTTGTCGATAACTTGTTCATCTGTGAGATTGGAGTACGGCTGCTCCTGACAAACACTCAGCATCTCCCACAGAGTGACTCCAAATGCCCACACATCACTCGCTGTGGTAAACTTCCCCTGGGTGACACAAAACACAAAAACACTTTTCAGTTCCCCACTCTACTTCAGTATGAAATTAATATGAGCTTCTTTATGACAGAATGTTGGTAGGGGCTCTTTTTTGGTTAACATTTCACATTGTCCTTCTGCATCTTTTTTCATTTTATGTCCAGAGTAAGATGATATTGGATCAAGAACAAAGAAAAGAAATGAATATGGTTACATACATATGCTAAAATATATACATAAAGTGCAGGAAAAAGGGGTGATGGAGAAAAAGAAGAAGACAATGACAGTAAATGCATCATAACTCTTCATATCCATATAAATAAAACTTAAACATTGTTCTACAGACAAAATTTGGCCGATATGTAAACATCATACATATACACAAACAAGTAAAACAAAGATTTCTTGGTATAAACTTTAAAAAGTATTTTGCTTCATCATGAAGTCATATTGTCAGAAAAAAATGACCAAAATACAGATGCTTTTTTAATTCTGGGCAGGTACTTCTGTGATAAATCTGTGTATTAATCTGATTCCAGGTTTTGTAAACAGAAGTGAAGGCGCATCATTTCATGTCTTATGGAAACTTTTCAGTTATCTCTACCGATGTCTTAATTGTAGAGACCTGATAAGACACTTTGACACAGCTAATCTTTATTTGTTCATTTTCAAAGGAACAGAAGGACAGTATTTGGTATGCTGGAATTTTCCACGACGCAGAAACTCTTGGATTAAAAAGTTAAAAATACACACACATATACAAGTTTGATTCTGGTGGGTGTTTGGAAACCAACCCTTACACAGGATAAAATAAAATCACAAACATAATATCTGTCTTCTCACCATAAGTATACACTCCCAGGCCATCCAGCGTATCGGCAGCACAGCTCTGCCCTGGATCCTGTAGTAATCTCCAGCATACAGGTTCCTGCTCATGCCAAAGTCGGCTATCTTGATGTGGCGCTCTCCACCTGGATCCTCCCCGCTCTCACCTCTATCACCCCCGACTAAACAGTTCCGGGTGGCTAAGTCCCGGTGCACAAAGTTCAGGGAGGAGAGGAACTTCATACCTGATGCAATCTGGCTGGCCATGGAGATGAGGGCTGGATAACTGAGGGAGAAAATTAAGAAATAGCAGCAGTAGTAAATGAATCAGAATTGTTTGAGTTTGTTTATTTAGATCTGTTTTTATTGTTGTTTTTTTTCCTTTACCTGATAGTCGGAGTGTTGTGTGAAGGTCCAGTCTTGTCCAGAAGCACTCTGTGAGACAGATACTGATTGAGGTCTCCACACTCCATGTACTCCGTGACCATGCAGAGAGGGTCACTGCTCACACACACTCCCAGCAGACGGATGATATTCGGGTCCTTCAGTCGGGACAGGATCTTAACCTCTTTCAGGAAATCGTTCCTGTCAGGGCATGAAGGAAGAATAAAGAGCAGATAAAACAAATTAAGTATAAAAAGATAAGGGACCTGGATTTCCATCTAAATGTAAAAATAGATCACTTTTTTTAGTTTCCTTTTTGGCATTACATCAAGTGAGAAGGATGCTGGTGCTTGTAAACAACATCAGGGTCTGACGCTCACCTAATTGATTAGCTTGTTTTTAGTCAATATGTTTATGCTGCCCTGTCCATCTATAAACGCCTATATAGACCTATGGATAGACATTCTCAGCACTGAAGTTCAACTTGATTTCACCTGCTCTGGGAAAAAAGGCGAAGAGCTAAAGTAAACAAGGTGATGAAATTATTCAAACATCTAGAGAAATGCAGAGCTCTGACTTTTCTGGGGGTGCAGAATCTGGATTTAAATCTCTGCTGTGCTGCTGTAAATAGGTTAACCATGACAGGTAAGTCATTGCAAATGCATTAGCTGTGAGGGAAGTTCAAACTGGGTGCTCTGGATTTGTTGCTGAGTCACCGTGGGACAAAAATCCCCTGAAAGTAACATGTAGCACTAAAATCATGAATGTATTTAAAACTGTGGATTTTCTATTATTGTTATAAGTGAACATTTTAACATTTTAGATAAAATGATTTAAATTATTTTAAGTGCTGGTTTGGCCTACTGGTAGGCCAAACCAGCACCCCATTCATAAAAACACAGGTCCAAAGTTTAAAAAAATTTTTTTTAAACTCTTCATCTTTGTTTTGATTTCTGTTACATTCAATAATATTTCTGAGCCCTGTGTCCTGCTCCAGAAAGTCAGTGACCAGAAGGAGTGCTGCAGCTCGATGAGCACACGAGAGATAAGCTGTAACACTGAAAAGAAAAACTGTGAACCACTCAGAAGCCGAGCCCGGCTGTGTATGAAATTACAGACCTGGCATTCTTCGAAGCATCAGGGCGCAGTATCTTCACTGCCACCAGCAGAGGGCGACCTTTTCTTACGTTGAAGGGGAACTCCAGGTTGGGAAGGTCCTGAGGGCTCTCGATTTCACACAGGTGCACCTTTACGGCAAAGAAATACCATTACGGTGAAATTATACTTCCCGTCGCCCACACACAGAAACACATCGATTTAGAGGAATCATTCATCACCTCTCCGAACTGTCCCTCCCCCAGTTTCTCCTTAAAGATGAGACACTGACGCGGCAGCTCTGGAAGGGGGGTGGCGTCGGCCCCAGGGCTGGAGGAAGCCAAGGCGGGCACTGCGTAGGTGTTGTTCCCACTGACACCCTGCAGGCTCACAATGTCTGCTTCAGCATAGTGAGGAACGCTCGGGGGCAGTGGGGGAGACACAGGGGGAGACAGGGAAGGGTAAGGAGGGGAGCCGGGGTAGGGTGGAGGTTCTTCTTGAGTTGGGGGAAAACCTTTCTCCATGTCCAAGTCCAAACCACAGGCTGCAGGGAGGAGGGGGAGGAGACAGAGAGGGTGGATGAAATGAAGAGATAACTCTTTCTGATAACACAGAGTCTTTGTTGAGCTTTCAGACAGTCTGCGGGTGAATAAATCAAATGATATCACATGTTTAGGAAAGTAATCAGACGGCATGTTTTAAAGGGATAGTTTGAATATTGGGGATTTTCTTTGATCATTCAATCAAATCCTGAACTACACGAATAAAGAACCTTACAAGACTCTGTACGGAAACGAATACTGATTGAGTTTGATGAAATAAAAAGAAAATCCTAAACAACATAAAGGGCAAAACAATTAAAGTTGATAGGATAGGGCAAAGAGACAAATCATAAGAATGAATATTAAGAAAGGCTTTAAATTCTCAACGGGTTTAAGGTCCTGATTTATACACAGTCATTTATCATCCACTGCTTTGATTTACATGCTGGGGACAAGTGAAAGACCTTGGTCAGACTTATTATGCTGGAAATTTGCCCTGCAGTCCTCAGAAAAATGCACATTTTTTTCCTGCTCAGTTCTTGGTCCTTTTTTAGATTGTGTGGCAGGTTATCACAGTTCAGAAAACACAAAACCAAACTGTTTCTCTCCGAATGTGTGAAACTGCGTTCACCTAATCTATTTGCTTTTGAACTAAATTAGAATCTATTGCTGTAGTTGCAGATAGAAAACCTCTCAAAGGTTTGATTGATTCAACGAAAATTTAACGACTTCATATTCAATACTATCAGCTTTCATGTGGGTCTGACAGCCCGCATTAGTCAAAAACCTGTTGGTAGTGGGGCTTTGGAATACAAAGTGTATTACTTTTGTGTGGATCATAATAAAGATGATAAGAAACTTTCTGTCCCACTTCAGTGCACACAGCCACAGCGCATCATTTGAATACTGAATCCAAATTATTCTATTCAGGTTAATGTTGTTTGGGAAAAAAAATTTATCAAACATCCACAACAGGGAGGAAAAGAGCAAGTCTGCAGACATGCTCGCAGCTCTTTAACTACTTTAATGTATTCTTTTAGCCAGCTTATAGTTGCCAGCTGGTACCAAAGTTAAAGTGTGGCCAAAGGTGCAGGAAATGTCATGAGGCTTGAGGGTATCTGGTCATAATCCAAAGTGTCTGACAAATTAAAATTTTGGCTTAGTGGTGGTGCTGGAGGAAATTCCTAAAGGTCACCAAAGTTATTAAAGTTTTAAGAGAGAGGGATGGTAATATGTAAATTAAAGCTACAAATCAGAAAGTCTCTGAGTGGTTTCATTTTAGAGTCCTAAACTTATACATCATAGCTGAGGAAAAGACCAAATCACTTCAGTAGGGGAACATCCACCGGTCAGGAGTATCATTTCAGTTCACTATGAATAATAACAAGGCCCGCCTCTTGGTTCTACAATATAGACAACACACAGGTGCCTTAAACCTGTATTTGAATGACCAGCAGGGTGTCTTATAGACAGACAGGGTCATCATGGAAGGTATAGACTGGTAGAGAGGCACTGCTATGAGTGAAACCATGCTGCAAGTAGGACTAAATAAAATCATGTGTGAGTTTGTCAGTCCCTGATTTTGTTCAAATCTTGCGCAATTCTCCAAAATACCAAACCATCCCTTCAAACAAAAGCATGTTGAGTAGTGACTGACTAACAGAGTGAGTAGGAGGACGAGAGAGGTAAGAAACATGCAGAACAGAGTAGACACGTCTCTGCTCTTTTGATTACCAGACGCTATTAAGACAGATATATAGTTAGTTAGGGAGGTAGGGTCCCCCGTCTAACATATTTGGCCCAGTATGAGTCTCTTACCCTGGGGCACATTGAGGCTCTTTTCCTGAGCCTGAGAGGTGCTGGGGACTACCAGGGATCTTGCGCCTTTTCTGTGATCTGACAGGAGCAGGTCATATGCTGGATTGTTTTTTAACAGCAAGGCTGGCACACAAACGTACACACAAACACACACACAGTGGGAGGCGGGGTACACGCAGGAGTCATGGTATGGATGAAACAGAGGTTGCACAGACACAAAGTACACAAAGAAAAAAAACAAAAACATATCACAACCATTAGCATGTTAGCATATCCATTATAATACATGGAAGGAAGGGGGTTGCACTGACACATGAAGAACAAAAGAGCATAGCAAGAACAAGCAGAGTGAACACAACCAAACATAACATAAAACCAGTAGATGAAATAATGTTTCTGTAACACATGTTATTTCAAACTCACAGGCGCCTTGTAAAAACAGCATGCAGACCTCCCGTTGTGCAATGCAAGTGAAGGAATGCCTTTACTTTCTTTACTCCCCTTTCTCTCTTCCCTCTTTTCTCTTTCTTCTCTTTTCTTAGAACAATAGCTCTTTTGTGCCCCCTCTGTGCCGTGCATCTTTTGGGACGCGGCCCTTCCTCGCGGGGTATTTGTTTGATTTATTTCTGTTTGGTGTAGTGAAATACGTCGTAATACCAGTGTTTGCTTGATATGCATGCCACATTTTTTCTCTTGCCGCTGCTTATTGGTACTATCAACAAATGAGGGTTGCGAAAGCATGAACGAAAACATGAAGCAATCAATACAGACCACATATGTTCTTAGAAAATGAAATTCTGTACATATGGAAAGTTTCATTGTCTTACATTCGCCACTGTCTCCACGCCAGTTGTATGTGGCTAGCTAGAAATCAATCTCTGCCAACATGTATTTAGCATGTGGTGTGTTTTACAGCACAAAAGCAAACTGTCATCATCTTGGTCACGCTATGAATTTATGTGTTTTTTAATTTTTATTGAATGGTTCATTGATAGTGACGCCCTCCATTGTTTTGTGCTCATAAATGAGGGGGTTTAAATTACCTGTGCTGTCTCTGTGATCCCGTGGCCGCAGCAGAGCGCTCGGCTCCTGGTACTCGCCTTCTCCCTCTCTCTCGTGGTCGCGGTCGTCTGGGAATGTGTGGATTCGCTGATATCGGCTCGAGTAGCTGTGTGTGTTGTTGATGACCACGTTGTCAGAGGGGACGGAGAGGTGAACCCGAAGCTCGTCGCTGGAAAGGCTTCCCTGGGCCTGAGAGGGCGGATGGTGATGCAGCTGAATTTAGGCGGCATAAACTCAGTTGAAAGTTTATTTGACACCGTTTAGGTTGATACTGAGGTCCTGCTTTCACAAGGTTAGGAATGTAGCAGCTATGGAGTGATATTGATTAGGCTTTCTTATAGTGAATCTGATGCATTTATATGATTGATGGTAGGGAAGTTGAATATTCAGACTTGCATTTTTCAGTGTAACGCAAAACAGAGTACCTCTCAAAGCCATTTAAAAATATTTTCAGCATGCTTCATCAAGGTAGGATGTATTGCAGGGCTGTTGAATTAGTCTGCCTTCATGTTAATGAGGTATACCTCACAAACCGGCATGTGAGAGTAAAGTCATCCGTCATTTAGATTCCTTAAGCAGATGGCAATCAATCAGTGGAAATGCCCCCTAATCTTTGAATGATTCGAGGTAAATGTAAAAAGATTCCCATATAACATCCAGATGGAGGTCCAGAGGAACACTGCCAAAAAACTGGCTGGAGTTATCTCAGCCGGCTATCACTCATTTTAACTCGGTTAAAGGGACACTTCGTCCCAATTCATCTTTTTCTCACTTAGTGTTATTTATTCTGAGGAAAGTAATGAACCCTCCGAACAGTAAGAAGAATAGGAGCCCAGAGTAATAGGGACATTGTCCGGAAAAGTAATTAGTTGAGTTTTTTTAAATTAATTATTATTAGTCTGGAGTGTGTGTGTGTGTGTAGAGGGGGCAGTAAACTCAGAGATGGATGTTTGGCTCATAGAGCTAAGACCGCTTTGCCTTAAGTGGTGGATAAGAGAATATGTTTGTACACTAAACGTTGACTGCTTAAATGTTAATGTACAACACACACCCCTATGATCTCAATCTTGACTTACTTTGCCAAGTATCTTTTTCCAGTATTGTCTCCACAGAATGACAGCTATCACAGCCAGCAGCAGGAGAATGATGCCCACCAGGCAGCCAATCAGAATTGCTGTATTGCTGCTGTCGTCCTTGGCCACAGGAAGCCCTGCCCTCGGAGTCTTTGCTGCCAGTTCTGGATCTAATGCAGAAGGAAAACCAGAAGGAAAGGTTTGTTGTATGTATTAGGATTTAAGAGTCAAGAAAGAGTTGCTGTTTATCACACAGTGGCAGAAAATTATCTTTGCTCAGGGGCTCAAACAACATAAAAACCATTCATACCCATCAGACTCTCATTGAAGCATCCCAAAAGTTCTATAAACATGCGTACGGTGCACATTAAAAAGTAACTAGCCTTGTTTAAATGGACTTGGTGGTGGGAAAAAACATGTTTTCTTTGTGTCCAAAGGTGTTATAAAACAGCTGCCTGAGGGGAGCAGCTGAAGCGGGTAGTGAAGGAGATTTGAAGGGTCCTCTGATGCAGACTGCACTCCTGTTTGCTGCACGGCTGTAAAGCCCTGGGGTTGAATTTAAATGGAGCTGATGATTTTAGCAGCATGTGAAGATTTTTGTTGCCTTTCTTCAGTGAGGTAGCAGCACCAGGACACAATGTTAAAAGTGAGGGAGGACTAATTTGATTGTCCTGTCTGACAGCATTCATAAAAATAATTATTTGTGTGAAACCTGCTGTTGTTTGTCGATACACATCTATGTGAGTGGATTACTTTGTGTGTGTGCGAGAGAGAGACCACAGGCTGGCATGATGTAATGCACTGTTCAGCCAGCCAGTTTTGGCTCTCTCAGCGCAGTCACGGACTCACTGTGGGGTCACACACATCAGCACGGTTTTCATCAGGCTTACTTAACATCTGATGGAGATTGCCTGTCTGAGCATGTATCCAGTATGTCCACTCATACCACAGAGCTTGTCACTGCTTTGAGAGCACGATGTGAACGCTTGTATCTTCCCGACTGTCTTGCAGTGAACTGTTAATCTGAATAACACTGTTATTTTTACTCCCTTGAAGGTGAAATGCAGCCTGTTATTTGACTGAAGGATAAAATTATGGGAGGCTTCTCTAGAATAGTTCGGTGTAAATTTTGGTCATAAACAAATTCTTCGGACGCTTTTACAGAGATGGTTAGGAACAAATAGCTCCGCTAAAAGGATCAAAAACACAAACAAACCGCACATACAAGATGCTTAGATGTACGGTTGCACACAAACACACATTTGCAAGTCAAAGATATACACACATTATGGTTATAACAGAAAACAACCCCCTTCCTCTCTTTCTTTTTTCTCTCTCTCAGTTCAACACCATGCGGGTAATAAATAAACCCAAACAAAGCCGTCCAACCGCAGCCAGTAACAAGGACAAAGCAGCAAACACGCCACAGTAAACCATTTCCAGCTTTTTAAAAGGCCTGTTATTGTTCGACTGTGAAGAGCAGAAACCCAGAAAAAAACATGCAGCTTGTAAGACCGCAGGAAGTGAGCTGTTATTCTACATATTTAGTATATAAGGCACTATATCTCAGTCAGTGTTTTTCTTACAGCTGTATTTCTTAGAACCCAGGGGACAGAGCCCAGCGCCAAAGCCTGCCCCTGTAATCCCTTCACCATTATACTTCATACACAGCAGTGGGACAGTTTTAAGATGCTGGACCAGGGCCAAAGTGGATGCTATAAGCTCCTGCCCCTGGGTTTATGCTCCCAATCTTTTGTTTTTGCTCTCTCACCTGACAGAGTCCAGTTACCAGTGGTGTCCGTCATGAAGGAGGTGGTTGGGATGGGGGGTTCTGGAGAAGCGAGGGATGGACAAAGGAGGAATGTGTGAGATGAGAAGAGGTGGAGAAGACTCAGAAGAAGAAGGTGGTGAGGGAAGGAAATCATGGATAACAGGATTACGACTCATTTTTTTCCCATCTGAATGAAATCCCTTTGAGGATAGCACCGAGAACTGAGGAATCATTTGTTAGAAACCCTTGACCTTCATTTGTAGACCTAGACCTCTTCTGCTCTTTATATACGATTAAATCTATGAGATTAACATTCAACATCAACTTTGGGTTCTGTAAATGCTGGTGCAACACCCAAAGGATTTCAGAGCTCGTGATAAAGAGGGATGCTAGTCAGACATGGGCCTCCTTTGGCACCGCCTGCCTTTGGCTCTGCTTTAGACACACGGCTTAGACACACTGCCGACATGCTCACACTCATCACGACTGGGGGGGAAAGACGGGCGCAGAGACGAGAGGTGATGAGGGAGAGATCAGGAGAATTAAGAGAGCAGGAGGGAAAGTACATGAAGCAGTATGGTGGGTGATGACAGTGGAAAAACTAAGGAAGGAGATTTAACGGGAGGAAAGAGAGTAAACGCTAGAAGACCGGCTGCTAACAACAAGAGGTGTATGAAGGATGAAGAGGACTCACCAGAGGGGCCAACAGTGGTGTTGGAGGAGCTTCTGCCCGATGTAGGAGGGGAGGAGGTGTTGTTGAGAGGAGGGGAAGAAGGGGAAGCGGTGGTAGGAATCTTGGGAAGATTAGGAGGAAATGAATCTGTCTCTGTGGCATCCTCATCGAACGGCTCTGGATCAGGAGAGGAAGAGACAGTTTCATGAAAATGAATCATGTTTTATATGTTTGGGGGCTCCATATGGCAACACACACCGTCTGGTTGTCCTCCTCGGCTGTTGGGAAACAGAGGTTGTGGTTACAGCTCGATGTGTTTCCAGAGCAACAGTATTCATCTCAGGAGATTGTGTTAATTATGTTGTTTTTGACTGGGACCGGATCCATTTCTTATTGACTAATATGAATGTCTGAGCAATGATAAATGGTTACTGTTAAGAGGCCAGCCAACCTCTGCTCTCTAGTTTGAGACTTGCAGAATAAGCAGATCTTTTATAAATATAACGCTTGTTAACTGGGTCGAATGCAGAGTTGGTACTTGTGAGGAAAAAAAAGAAAACAACAACCATACTATGTTACCTGAGCACTAAATACAAGTCAAACTTCTCTTATCTGAACGTTAGGCTGCAAGATGAAGCAGTCTGGGTGGCGCAGACTCCAGTTCACAGCCACTGACAGAACCTTCAAGCAGGCTGGTGCTCTGAAGTCTGAGCCTGGCAGGAATCCTGAAACCGCAAATGCCAGACCACTCAGCGAGAGACATTTCAGCCACCTGAGTCTAATGAGATTATTGAGCACTTCTCTGATTCTTGTCACGCTATACCTGATAGGGTATTTGAGTTGAGGGGACAGTTTAATTAGTCAAAGCTATCTCAATTGGAGATGAGCAGACGAGTCCCCAATCTGATTTTAAAACAGAAGGGAGATATCAGAGCCCCCCCCCTGTCTATCTCCTATGTGTGTTGGATATCAGTTTTAAATGAATAAAAGTGAAGACAAGGGGAGAGACTGAGGGGAAACTCGCTTTTCTGATCCTGATCAATTTTTTAAATGATTAGGAGAGTATAAAGAAAAACTGTTGCGACATCGACATTCATAGTAAGTCTGCCTACTTATAAAATGCTTCGTTCAACCTTTTGGCAGCTTTCCCTTTTAAATATTTTCTCTCCAAACTGTTTTTTGAAGACAACAGCATTATTTTTCTGCTGAATCCCTGCCAGCGATGGCAAATGGTCCTTGACTGTAAAAAATGCTGATACCTTAAGCCAATTAAAAGCACACAGCAAGGACAAAAAGTTAATTCTGATTCTGTCATAGTCTGGAAACAAAATAAACTCATTAGATTTCACTTTCTTCATTTTTTTATGGGCATTTAAAGAATGCTGATTAGACTTGAACCCGCACCACACACGACACACAGCAGGTATCCTTTTTTCTCACTGCTGCTGTGTTAATTCGGCTATTGTTTGGACAAATCCAAATCCTCCTGGACGGGGGCCAGACATAGCTGCTTAGATATGTGTGGCTAAAGCAATAATCCACAATGGAAGCAAAAAAAAAACAAACAAACATGCATAACTTTGACAAAGGTTCCTACCAGAGAGGAATGATATCTCGCTGATGAGCAGCCATCGATCAGCGAAGAAGAATTTACAGCGGAGGATCTGAGCTAGCTGGGCGCCAAGAGGGAGGGAGATGGGTCGTGACGAAGGGTCTTTCAGGTCCTCGAGTGGCACAGGCAGAGTGAGGGCAGGAGAGGACCAGGGCTTGAGGATGCTGGGCTTAAAAAGACATTCGACCTTGCTGAAGACTCGCACGCCTTGGGTGTGGCGGTTGTTACTGTGAACCTAGAGAAAGTAAAAAAAAAATGTGTAAGGGTGAAGACAGGAGCAGGAACCGATTTAAGAGAACAGATTAAGGGAGATTGAACAAGGCTTTAACTACCTACACCACCAAATTAACTCGACTCATGTGCAAAAATCTTAAAAAACTCTGCAAAAGTAGGGGCTTTCATCATTTATTATTCATGGAGCGGCTGGAGGTTCAATTAACACACAAAATTAATGAGACACTCTCTTCCTGTTCAGCACATAATTGCTTTGGCACAAATTAAAGCAGTGAAGAATTACAAGAGTGCAAAATTAGAACAAAGGAGGGAAAAGTAAGGGCGGAGGAAAGAAACGTGGAGGATAAAAACTGCTGCAAGAGAGCAGGGGGATATGTATCCTCTGTGACTTTACAAGCAAGCAAAGGCTGAAGAGAAGGAAATCTATAAAAGCCAACCTAATATATGAGGCATCATTGTTGCTAGAGGGAGGAAGAGGGACTGAAGGAGAGGAGAGAGGGATGGGAAGGAAGATGGAGGGCTTTTAAATGAGAGAGTAAGGGGTCAAATCTATAGATGTGAGGGATAGAAAATTAGGGAGGAGAGGATAGAAGCGAAAGGGTGGTGCCAGAGCTGCTCTGACAGGTTAGCCATTAACCTCACACTTACTGCGAGGCCAGCCGCTCTAATTCAATCCACATGTTAATAAAACACACACACACACACACACACACACATAGGAGGTGCAGAGGGAACAGCTGCACCAGATGCTGAGTTGGCGTGTAACTGATTCTACATGGAAGAGGACAATTGGGAGGAAAGACTGTGTTCTGTATGCTTGGGGAAGTGGTGTGAGTCTGATAGGTCAACAGTGCTGAGGTAATTTACTACTCCTACAGGGAACACAGCTCCAGTGACCTGCACAAAGCTTAATTTGAGAGAATAACACAACATTCATCATTATGTTGTGCTTGTTTTATCATAAATCTAACATTATTAGGTCCCTGTGACTCTTTTGTTTGTTTCGCTGTCTCAGGTGTGAGCTGATTTAATAAAGTTTTATTACCTGAACTCCCAAATCTTTACAAAGTTTAATTAGATACACTTTGATAGATTGTGTAGGAAATGCAGGTCATGACTGACAAAAGGTCAAAGGGCACATTTCCCCTTGGGGAGTGATTAGGTGTAGGTTAAGGAACTACAGAGTAAAGCTAAGCCAGAATCAGGTTCAGGTTCCCACTCATTATTTGTTTGACCTGTGTGTCTGACATATCCGCTCTGCCAGGCTAACATAAGTGCATATGTCAGCTGAGGTTAGTGTGGCAAAACCTCTTGGGAAAAGACAGGAAACACTGGATACGTTGAGGAAAAACACTTGGAATCCCGCTGGGAAAGGTTCTAAAGGTAACTGAGAATCACCAGAATAATAAAGAACATGGGAGGTGGGGAAACCACAGCCGGGAAGTTTGGATCGCAGTCAAAACCAAGATCTCAAGATTACTTGTCACTTTATAACACAGACTGGGGGGATTTGTGCTGTTAAATGCGCACATGTATAGGGTGAATCCCACCCAAACCGACATTCCACTCTGCATCCATGGAGACAACATGGTTATAACTCAAAATGACTCGCTTCATATTATCAACCCCTCTTGTTGCTCCACAAACTAACCCCAAAAGCCACACAGACGCACAAACAGACTGTGATGAAACCCAGTGGCACCCGAAAAAGGCAAGCTCAGACGCACTGTCCCACGATAAACAATAGCACAATAAAACTAATTAAATGGCTGCCAAGCTATTCCGGTCAAAATGCTGCTTTCGGGCGAGGAGACAGGCTGACAATGTTCCCTAAAAAAGGAAAGAACATGTTACCTCTGTCTGATTGTTAGGATCCTCAGGGCTTCAGTTTCAAGTTTTTGCTATTCGCATCGCTGTTTCTAGTTTGTAAATTGGGTCAATTGAAGTGTCGATTGTGTACGATGGAGCCCAGTGAATGACGTCACCAGCAGCTTCAGCGACTGGCCACCATCCAGCTGTCCCAAATCCTGTCTCTCCTGCATCGTCCAATCATCAGCGGCCCACTTCCCTCAAAGTCATCTTTAAAAGGCTGACTCATCTCAACCATCAGGGTGCTGTGATTGAATGAGCCTGTGTTGTCTGTCTTTTGCGATACGACACTAAACTTCTTGTGATCTGATTTGTGCAAAAATTCATTATTAAGAATCTGAAAAGGCCCTTCAAATGTTTTATAGAGCATCAAGCTTAGTTTGTATTCATTTTTTGGTTTTCACAATGTGTGACAGTAATTTCCTTCAATGTTTTTCACAGAAATTATACCGCCTACAACAGCTGTATTTATGGTTGTTTCAGTAAGATTAGGTTAAGCAGTTTTGGTTTATTTCTTTCATTTCTTTTATCGCGCAGTAAGTCACTGCATAAACGAGGTAAGAAGCGGATCTATTTTGTTTAATGAGTCGGCACCACCCGCAGCCCTTTGTGTTTTCTGCCTCCACTGACTTCTCGCTGTTTTTTTTTTATCAGACCAAAGCTTAAAAACCCTGTTCTTTCAATTTGTGGGATTTTATGCATTAATGGCTCGTTTGTCTGAGATCACCAGCGTTTATGTTGCTTCTCATTTTCCCTCGACTCACACATATATTAGAATGTGACTTGATGTTTCTTTTAAGAGGTTGTACATCATCACACGTGACCAAAACGACCACCATAGTGTCTGTTTTCACATTATCACAATGACATCTGCATTGTCTTGTTCAAACTAGATAATTCAGAATTATTTCTTAGTTTTTATCCAAAGATTGTTCTTTGTTAAGCTGCTTTCCTCATTGTTGAAAAATGAAGACAGTATACGAACTAAATCAAAGCTTTTTTTACTTCTTTAGATGCAGATTTACGGGTCGAAGTGTTCAAAAATACAATCAGATAACCTCCTGTAAGGCATGGCGAGGTAATTCATAGTGTGTTTCGTCTTTTCTCTTTTGATTATTCTTTTTAAGTCTCTACAGGAAACTTCACTGTTATGTACAGACAAGAAAAAATGAAAGACAGGGGCATGACTTTGAAGAAAGTCCTTTGCCTGAACCAAATCAGAGACAATGCATTAATAATGGAATAATACTCTGTCATGAAAAGCTCTCACTGGAATAACAATGTCCTCCATAACCATCTGACACGCTGACAAAGTAAAGACAGTTCACCGCCATAATATCCCATATGAGATGAGACATAAGACTGAATATGTAAAAGCTGACATCCAAGAGATTCTTCTTACTCTCTGGCTTGCACTGCCTCATAATTCACATCAGAGCATATTTTGGAAAGATGGTCTCCCTACAAAGACCAGGAACTGCAGCTTTTAGCCTCGATGACAGCTCTGATTTACAGGCTGTCTCATGCTGTCTGAGATTCCTGTGGGATAACAATGCCCCGCTTAACCCTCTCTCATTCTTCAACAACAGTATAACTTTCACTCCATACCTGCATTTTATGGAAGAGACGCGGTTTCTCAAAGTGGAACTCGATATCCACGCTGCCTTGCCCGAGGGCTTCCCGGCTCCAGCCGAGGTAGTCGTACCCGGGCCACACCCTCAGCTCTTTAGTTTGTATGAAGTCATCTCCCCCCAGGACGCCGTCACAGAGCTGACCCATGCCTCCAAACTGCATGCTGCGCACAAACACACACAGCAGCATATTTACATGTGGCAGAAATAACGCTGGACACTGTGGGCTGCCTGTCACTTTCTATTTATGAATATATTCTTGTTGTGGCATGCAGGGATGCATAAATACGCATATATACATAGATACACAGGGAAACATGCCGGCCTACATATTCTCACACACAAAAAAACTGGCAGAGGTTCTTCTCTCTCTCCTCTCTTTCACATTCAAACACACACCTCAACAGAAACAAAGCAACACAACAAGGCCACCAAATGAGTCCCCTCAAGCCCAGCCCCTCTCTGTTTTTCTCCGATGTGCATCTACCATAAAATGTCTGGTTTACATCAAAGGTGTTAGCTCAGCTGCTAACATAACATTTCAGCCCCATTAACCGTACAGCACATGTGTGTGGACCTCAACATTCAGAGTTTCCCCCCTCCTTTTATTCTTGTCAAAACATTATGGGCAGGAAACACGGTTGAAATCCCAGAGCATCTTAAAAAAATAATATCATTCCCTTTCGATTAGGTAGATAGAAATGTAAACTTTAAACAAAGGGCTTGGCTTAGACCCCACTTCAGTGCTTACAGATGTGTCGAACATTGCAGAGAAGTTTTTGGTATTCCGCTGACTGAGTCCCTCCACACTGCTGACCGCAACACTTATAAATCTTTATTTTGATTATATTTGAGAAAACAGTGATGAATTTTAGAGCTAAGGGTGTGTGAGAACTGATAAATCAAAGGTTTATATGTAGATGAGATTCAAACTCATGCATAGAAATGAAAAAGTAAAAAGAAAACTAAAGCAGCTGCTTGTCTTACCCCTGCTCAGTGCTTCCATCGTACGTGGAATCGTTCAGATAGACAGGTATGCCAGACAGGTACATGGTGTGACCCACTGGAGCCGTGTAAGCTTTCAGCCCATCTGAGAAACAATTAAATGAGGACATAATCAGTATAAGTCATGGTTGTTGATATGATATATAATCATTGCTTCAGAATGGCTGCAGATGTTTTTTTAGGTGAAAAAACTAATGAAGGGGTCTGCTGCTCAGCCCCACTGAACCCCAGCCACCATTAACCGGTGAAACTCAAGTCCCTCTGTTCCAATATACAGCTAATCAGCCTCACAGAGGTGACGTCAGCAACAGACTGCAGCCCACCGCTCTCCTACCCATAATAACACTTCACATAGGATTTTCAGTATATGTTCAGATTGCTGTGTTTGCATTCAGATGAGTGTCTGCGTATGTGATTATGCACTCGGATGTGAATGTGTAGGACAGACGAACACTGTGCAGCTGCCATATCTGATGAAATAAGAGGATGAAAGTATGTGAAGCCTGGTGTTCTGAAGACTCTGTATAATCTCTCGCTGGTGGGTGAACTGAGCTGCACTTCATCAGAAACTACACATATTTTAGAAAGATGCTCTCACTGAAAACACAAACCGGGAACTGGAGCTTCTAGTCCTTGTGACAGCTCTGATTTACAGGCAGCGTGATGCTGTCTGAGGGAGGTGGATGGGGAAAAGAGAGGAGGTGAGCCTGTCATAAATACTCAGCTAGTAAGCCTTGTGCTCCGGAAAACATTGAGACCAACACATTTCATCTCTAGTGTGGCTTCTTTTATTTGAGCTAACCCCACTCAGGCAGTAAATTTGATGCGAGATGCCTTGAACTAATGCATGGGGATGTATTGCAAAAAACATGCACTCGTAATCACTGCCATCTAGCAAATCCCCCATTGTCCTCCTGATGCCAAAGGAGTAAATCTAGGATGAAGTGAAATGACACCTTCACTGTATGATGAAGGGTTTTATTTATCAAAGTCTGAGGGGCATGTCTTGGAATAAACTGACCATATGAATACCTAAGTAATGAGCGAAACAGGAACATTTTGTATCTCTGAAGTCTGAGTAAGTCTCCCTCCTCCACACACTTACCATTCCACACACAACCGTAGAGCTCCACCCGAAGGCAAACGCTCATAACTCGGTCAGCCAGGGGGTAGAAGCGCACCATGCGGGCCACAATAGGGGGGCCCAGGTCTTTTAACACAATATCATATGTGTTCTCGTTCCCTGACACCACCTGGGGGAAGAAAAGAACAAATTTGAAGTCAGACAGAATACTGCTCTTCTCCCCTGTTACCTGCAGGGTTGAATGGATTTTGCCTAAAGGCGCAGAGTTTTTTTATTCGGCATGCTATTTCAAATTCTGTTAATCCAACGAGAGTTCAAAAAATAAAAAATCACATCAACAGAAAGCTGAAAAGAAAAACTGATTTCGGAGTCACAGTTGTTGGCGAGGGCATCCGTCACCTCGAGACTTAGAGTTTCTTCTTAAAAAGAGAAAAATCAGTGTGACTCCTCTTAAATCGCTGGTAGTTGGAGGTCTAATTAGCCATGCCATTATGTAGGACAGTGATAAAATACAGTGCTCTGAGTCTGCACTAACAGAAATGTTGGACATATACCAAACATAATAAGAAAGCCCCTAAGTAAGCCATTCATTGCATAGTGTTGAAAACTCAGACATTAGAGGCTGTTTTTGCCTCAACAGAAAAGTTTCCAGATTAAATTAAGATGGCACTTTGCAAACTCTGCCACTTTCTAATGAATGATAAATAAATTAAAACCCAGATGAAAAATTCAGCAATCTGTGTTTTCACCAACACCCATATTAAAAAATCTGCAGAGTGTTAACCTGATATTAGTAACGCTGAGTCAACTCCACCTGTATATTCTGTAGAGAGAACCTGACAGGTGATTTAATGACATTAACACTGACAGACTGCTTCGGTTCAAGCGTTTATTTATTTATTTTTTAACGCTGCTTACTTCCTGGCTCCAACGATCCTTCCAGGTCATCCATTTTACTCCATCCCTTGAATATCGGAGCCGATAATTGCGAGCAAACTCCTGACCGTGACCGTCAGCATGACGACCCTGGGTACCTACCAGAGCCAAGAAGTGAAGTTTATGCAGATCTACCTACAAGAGACAGGGAAACATTAACAGACACTTGTAACTTAGGCATACAGGTTTATGCTAAACGTAGATGACAAGGTGCCAGTCGAAATTTTGGGAAAAAGCCTTTTCACTATGTTACAGAAAATAACGTGTATATCAGTCTGATACAGTCCATTTAGAAACAACGAACAGAAGAAATTTGTTTGACCTGGAAAAACTACATTAGCTTTTTTAGTTTTGGGGTTTATAAATGTACAAATACTGTGTGGCTTATACAAATAAATAAATAAAGAAACCACAAAAGAGTCTTTTAAAAACATGTGGGTGCACTTTATCACTGATGGACAGTCACGCTGCTGTGTAGCCCATCTGCCTGGGCTTGAGTGCATTCAAGTGGTTATAATGGCATACTAATCATACAGTTTTTTATCAAGTAGTCCGCACATTTTATCTGCTTTTATCGGTAAAATAACACCTAAAATGTAATGGCGCTTTTAACACTTTTATACAGTATAATTAAGAACAGTGAAAAACAGAGTAACATAATGAGTGTCTGACCTGAAGGTATTCTGTTCCACCGGGGAAAACTGGTCCCGCAGGACACCATGCTCCATCGCCCTCTCCTGTGCTCAACCTGAGAAAAACAGTCATAATGAAAAATCAAACTATCTACAAAATCTGAAAACTCATTGAATCCCAGTCCAACACCCCAGGATCCAAATGCAATGTTGCAAGACTGACTACTTCAAAACTCTCAGAACTGCACAGCTACTGCTTAGAATTCAATATGAACACGACAACCTCCTCTATTTTTACACAGACTGGATTTCAGAGCAGCCAAATGTTCACTTACAAATAGGATATTTCTGTTTAAATAAGAAAAAAAAAAAAGGACAGAAACTTGACTTAGGTGAAAGAACACAGCAGGCAATACAATGAAAAAGAGACTGAGACAGATGGTAAATAAAAAGAACACACAAGAGGCGGAAAGAGATGAAAGGAGCATGAAAGGAGTGAAAATTTCTTCGCTCTTCCTCATTCTTTAAACCTCACACCAAGTTCTGCTATATAACATCAGGACCACTCTTTAGTTACACCACCTGAGGCCGTCTATGACCACACACATGCACCGCTGCAAAGATTTTCCCTCAGTGTGACCTTCCACAATCCAGCTAGGGAAGAAAAATCCAAACTACCACCACATACAGGCCACATGAAGACCGTGAACTTGGCTGTGTGTTTTGTCAATTTGCATCAGCTCTTATAGGAAGCTGTAGGAAGAAACGCCAGGCCACAACCACACTCTGACCACTGTGGGATTTTCTCCCAAAATAAAACCTGCTGCAGCTTAAACCACTAAAACACTGTATCAACTTGGTCACAGTGGCGCTAGTGCTTCAGCCATCCCACTATTCCCTCAGCGGGTGAGGTCATAACGCCGGGAGACCGCAAACTGATATCAACACATTAGTCTTCAACAGAGTGCTCTGTGATGGAGGAGATGGAGGCAAAAGGGGACAGAGCAGAAGAAAAAAAGGAATGAGCCTGGTAGAGTTCAGTCTAACATGCATGAGCCAACAGAAGTAATACTTAACCCACCTTTCTGCCAAGTACCTGAATTTTTCCTTCTTTTTCTTCTGCTCTAATTGTCTGCCAACACTTCATTTGTCTACTCTCATTCTTCACCTCTATCTTTTCTCCTCTTGCTCACACGGATTTACAAATGTTTCACCGTCACAAAGCAATCAGGGCTGTGAAAAAAGCTCTGCTTCCCTCCATCCATCCTTTCACTAACACCTTCTCCCAAATCTTGTTTCCAAATTAATTTCTCCAGCTTTCAGCGCACCGTCACAATGATCCACCCTTCACTTGTTTTTTTTATTTATGTCCGCTGCTCTCTCTGTTTTCTCTCTTTCTCTCGCTGTGGTTCCCTGATGTCTCTTTACAAAAGAGCCAGGGCTAATAATCATTTCCACATGGTTAGACACTCTGCCAAGAGACCCAGCCCTGCGCACCACCGGAGGCAAATGGATACACACATTTATGCACGCATATACACACACGCAAACACACACACGCACTCCTGCAAATGCTCTTATGACATGGCTGTAGCACGCTGCATGCATGGTTTGTCTGACCATGCTGACAGACAGACAGATAGACAAGGTGGTAATATGATTATAGAGTGGGTTTTACATAGACACACGATCATCCACCATCATAATCTAATAGACGGCCAACAAATTACTTTAGTGTGGTGCCAAGAAACTAAAAAAAAAAGCAGACAGGCGGATCAGCCCACAGTGACATGCGAATGTATTCTGTTGTTTTATGTTGTTCCAGCAAAACTGCAGCTACTACTCGGAAAAAAAACTCTGAAGTTGAGATGAAAGTATGATAGTTGTTATAAATATGACTCTTACTGAGCTGAGACTAAGCCTCTTAAATCAAATACATCCTTATCAAGTGGGAAACAACTTCTTAAAAGTCAGAGCTGCTATCCAAAATGAAAATTATGTTTCCATAGAAACGGATCCAATGTTAAATAGACATAAATGCAGTTTTTCTTGATTGAGTCACTCTTAAGACCAAAAGCATACTTTTACGTCAACCTATTTTTTTACAAGCCATCAAGGTAAATTTTGTTTAATGGTACATACGTCTACAACTATGCCTTCAGGCTTCGACTGTTTTTCTAATGTATTTAAAATTAAGTACAACAGCTTTTAAACTCATTACAGTTGTGTAATCCATCACAGTGAACGAGTCTCATCGAGTATTTGTCAACGACGACTTGTGCATGTAATGGTATAGTGGCACTGTTAGATCGCAAAACTGATTTGAAAATGCTGTGCCGACACTTTTTTTACATTCATAACTGTGCAGCATACTTCTGAAATCTGGTCAGCAAAAATGTGAGCCAAACTGCTGTGTCCTTAGAATGAAAAATATCATCTACAGCAGGGCAAAAAAAGAACAAAAACTACATTTTTTACCACTGAAAGTTGTTGGTTTCAGCTGGCCTCCCATATTAACTTTTCATTTTACTGTAGTGGTGTCATCATTCACTCATATAGGTGACACCACCGCAACAGCATGATCTCTGAGACACCCCTTAAAGGGATATTCAGGCGTATAATTAATTTAGGCACAAACACACCGTAACACTGAGTAAGACACCCCCGCGAGTGATGAATGTTGCAGATGGCTTGCTTCTCTAGTTATAACAACTTTAGCAATGACCACACGATAGCAATACACAGCGGTCTGAGGAGCCATGAACAAACCTCAACCAAAACACCACTCTATAGCCAAAAATAATGCTCAGAACAGCACCTAACTTCATCAACAGTACATATAGGGTCCTATCCACAGCACTAGCCACCAAACATCTTTTTAACTTTGACCTAATTTCTTTTGCAAAGAGACTAAACACAACTCACCTACTCTCTTCAAGCAGCTGCTTGTTTGTAGAGAGACCTCGACCAGTCCAACACGGACTGCTGGGGGGGGATGCAGCTCAAGGAAGAACATTTATGATCATTTCTTCATGGAAATGCAATCAGACCGAGATGCTAAGGCAGAAGAACTACTGCGTCTGCAGTGCAAAATGATTAATATGGTGATTATTACTTCAAGGAAATGATAAAGAAATGATCATAAATGTTCTTCCTTGAGCTGTGTCACCCCGCTGCAGTCCGTAATGGACTGGCCTGAGGTCTTGCTACAAACAAATGGCTGCTGGAAGAGAGTAGGTGAGATGTGTTTAGTCTCTTTGCTGAAGAAATTAGGCAAAGTTAAAACTATGTTTGGTGGTTAGTACTGTAGCTGGGACCCTATATGTACTGAAGTTAGGTGCTGTTCTGAGCATTATTTGTGGCTATAGAGTGGCGTTTTGGTTGAGGTTTGTGTATGGCTCCTCAGGCCGCTGTGTATTGCTATCGTGCGGTTGTTATTAAAGTTGGTATAACTAGAGAAGCAAGCGGTCGGCAACATTCATCTCTCGACGGGGTGTCTAACTCGGTGTTACAGTGTGTTTGACCTTACATTAATTTTATGCCAGAATGTCCCTTTAAGCAAAATTACAGCTTACTAGAAAAGCTTCTTGATTATTGTGTTCGGAGTTGTGTCATTATCAGCTTTAAGTCTGCATTCACACAAACACACACACACACACATTTCCTACCTTCCATGTTTGGCCTCAGTGGAGTCAGACCAGGCGCTGGAGGCTGTGATGTCAGAGTCTGGGATGGTGCCATCCTCCATTCCCAGGGCGTAACGACACTGAGCTTCAGAGGAAAGTTGGAGGAAAAGAGAGAGACACATGAGCGAAATTCTCATCCGCTTGCAGCACATGTCCAGAGGAAACCTAATATTTCCATTAGAGTTTAAGCAGCCAACATTGGTCATGGAGAATAATGTTGTTATGTCATCTCTGGGAAAACTTCCGGACTTCACGCTGCATAACGCTCACAGACTCTAAAGGGAGGGAAAGGGAATACCAAACTGCACAATAAATTCTTCTTTTTGGCCCTTATTTAATGCAGAACCTCTGTGTGTGGGCTCCATACCAATATAAAATGTAATGGCTGTGTTTTGCATCACTTGTTCCTGCAGTCCCCTTTGTCCTGTCAAAAGAGACCTCGTAAAAGATAGTCATTAAAATTCATCTGCCACCCTGTGAAATGCTGTGACCTGTCTTTTGTTCAACTACACTTTTCCTTAAGCTTTTTTTCTCCCTTGTCTTTCCTGCTCACTGTCCATCCCACACAAAGCAAACTCCTCGGGGCTCCAGTGATACAGTACAGTCCGTGTTCCTGTTACCACTGCTTGGGGAATTACAGGATGAGAACAAAAGAGGAAAAAGCACAGAGGTTGAATGAGAGAGCACAGTCAGGTCTCAGATATCTGCTCTGAATCTGCTCCAACGGCAGAATTATCAAACGATCCAGATAGAGTGGTCCCAGGCAGGGATTATCCAATGACCCAGCTATCTGCTCTGCAGCCAGTCAAGGAGAGATGTGAAGGTGGAAGCATGGGGGGAGGCTGAGGGAGGGTGTGGGTAGCGATAAAGTGGAAAGGGGTACTGACAGTGATATGGAGGGGAGGCTGAGGGTGACAGAAAAAGGCGGGGGAGCAGTAGGCGTCTGACTTAGTTTCTGTCATTGAGTCAGCGAACAGGAATGTTGGGCTGCATGACAGACCCTAAAAACCCTGAGGGGTGCAGTAGACAGACAGACACACACTCACACACACATACACACAGTTCATACACACACCCTGGGGACAGACAGGTGCCCATTTCATTACATCATCATCATCACACATCAGCAGTCAACACCCCACCATCTGCAATCTTCTCATTTCTGTCCCCAGCCCCCTCGGAGTCCTCTGCTTTCACCTTCTCTTCCAGCGTTCACAACAATGCGTTAGACGAAGCGCTGATACCTCAGAGCTTAACTCAGTTCTACAGGAAAAGATGGTGTGGGTGGATTTTTATCAGTCTCTCTCCAAGATACATGCAGATCATTTTAAGCACTGCTGGTCGATCAATAAACAAGATGTTCAGCCCCTCATAGCAAGAAGGTCCTGGTGGTTTGCAGAATTATTTCATTTTCACTACCTGTGTGGGCTTTTTTCCTTAATCTAAAGATCCTCACAGAGTTCAAAAACAGGTCAATTAATCAGCAGCTCTAACTTGTCGTAGGTGGGAGTGTAAACGGATGTCTGTCTTGCTGACTGACAGGTGACTCATCTAATAGAGGTCTAACGATCTATCATTCTCAATTAACACACAGTGGGAACCTCAATATATACAGATATTTTATGGTTTCTAAAGATTCCTGCGTCACTGTTTCAACTCTGATCTAGTTATGTATCAAACGAGCCAGTTACAGCTCGTGTCATTTTCAAATACAAAGATATATTGGAGCAGACTCTTCAATTGTATCCCCTAGATGTCAAGTCATGAGGAAAATTGTTATTTACACTTGTTTAGCCTCCTGCACAATGTCAACTAAGATCAGCAACAGCTTCCTGTGATCCTTCAGTATGCAACAAATTATAATGTTTTTCCGCATTAAACATGAACAGTTTAATTTAGACCATGTCAAAAATCATAAAAAGAAGTACATAAAATACATCTTATATTCCTTGTATTGTCTGACCGGCATTCAAAAACTTTGATAATGTTAAAAAGTCTCATAAAATAAAGGAAAGCATTATAAATTGAAAAGCTATTAGCAGAAAAACTGTGGACCCAGTTCTGTTTTCACGACCCGCAAGCACCAGCATGCCACCTAACCCACAGAAATGGGGCTAACAGGTATTATGTTTACTGCGGTCTCTACATGTTAGCATAAGCATACAAACATTTGGTGATTAGTCCAGAGAAGAAAGATCTCTCGCAACCCATACATCAGATGTTTGGCATACAGAAAATGTAATCAACACGTGATTAAAACAATCATCAATTCTTGCAGCCTTGTCTCATTCTCAGTCTTGCTGCAGCACAGAGTGGGCTGACCACACTGCAAACAGTCTCCTCTGGTTACACCTGGTTGGCTCTCGCTCACTAATCCCTCACGCCCTCCCCCTCCTGACATTTTGACTGACACTTTCATGAGCTGCCTGTGCATTAGCGGTCCTGATGAGCGGAGGGAGGGGGACGCCCAGCTATCTCATTCTCCTATTACACACGACTGGCTGGCAGACAGAGACAGGACACTGGATAGCCTGTTGATAGCAGACGTAGAATGAGCCTTACTGATCTGAGAATGTGAGGAGAATGTCGGAGCAGCAGGACGGACGCTTGCAGAGCTTGAGGACACAGGGGTGGGAGGGATAAGGACAGGGAAACAGGCGCAAAATGCAATTATACCAGAGTTTGTGGGAATTAAATAACCACCTTGAAACGTTCCCCCCTGACTTGTCAAAATGAAACCGCTCTTTAGGAGGTGCTTACACAGTTTAAGTTACCGTAAAGTCACAAGAGTTGTTCAAATCTTCTTTATATAAATGTCTCAAACTCATCCTCACCTTTGAGTCAGCTGGTTTTGAATACACCAATCAATCATATCATTATGACCACCCACCTAAAACTGCGTTGGCCCTCTATTCATCACGACCTGATGAGACATGGACTGCATTAGACCTCTGAAAGCGTGATGCAGTATCTGTCATCAAGAGGTTAGTATCAAGTCCTTTGGAACCTGAAGTTTTTAGGAGGGGAGGGGGATTCAGAGACTAAGTCAACACCTCAGTAAGGCTGTCACCATGCCACCTTTGTCTAGTGTTCCTTGGTTCAGATGTGATCGACTCATGCTCTTAGGTGCTTGAGGTGATGGTCAGGGGTCAACATGTGCACTGTGACCAGTCTGTGACTACACAGCTTTGAGTTCTGTCACCTTTCGATCAGAACCAGCGGTCCCTTCAGCAGTTGGAGATCTGGTAGATGTTAGGTTGGACCTCAAAAGCCTTGGCTCCTCATATCTATGAACTGGACATGACCACTCATGACCTCATCACCTGTTCACCATATGGACCACTTTTCTGACCACTGCAGACCTGGAACAACCTGCAGAGTTGGAGATGCTCCGACCGGATGTCAAGCCCTATTCAGAGTTTCTCACATACTTAACTTTGTCAATTTCCCCTGTTTCCAACACAACAACTTCAGGACTACATGCTCACCTGTTGCTAAACATATCCCACCCACTGACAGTTGCACAGAAATCATCAATGTCATTCACCTTACCTCTCAGTGGTCTAATATGCGAGACTAATGACTCACTTGAGGGGGTGAATTTACATGTCCTCAGCCTTATCAACACACTGGTTATGTTCATCTGACTTCATGATAAGGTTCATTAACTGGAAGTTATGACATTATAAGTTTCTGGTATCTGACAAATAGTGTTCATTCCTCCCATCTAGGGTCATCACCACCAGGAATGAAATATAACAGTGAAAAACTGCAGGGAAACATGTCCATTACAGCTTTAAATACTGTGTTTGACTCCCCAAATATATGTGAGGGTGTGCCATTAAAACAGGTATGATAATGATAAGAGAAACTACTTTTTTTCTGACAGAAAAATTCAATGACCAAATAACAGTTTGACCCTTTCCTTAGAGTAACTATAGTTACAAGAAGCTCAGTTTGTCCACTCTCCGCCTACAACAAACCGACCACACAAAACGTGCTGCGGGTAAATTACTGAATTCACAATGCTTGTGATTAAATAACAAAGATGATATTGATGAAAACTGTGCTGCATTCTTTCTGCTACGTGGCTGGGGAAAATAGTAGCAGAGTATTGATCTGTGTATTATTATATCCTAATTTCAGAAACAGCTGTTTTCTGGGGTTATTTTTTTCTGGCAATTTGACAAGATTTCAAATAGGTCTCAAAATTGTGGTTTATTAAATTCACTTGATAGCTCAGGAGATAAACATAGACAGCTTTATCCTAAAATTTTAGACAGACATATCTTTAATTAAATAATGAGTATTTCCCTTGGTACTGTATTTAATTATATATATGTGTGTTTTTACTTTCACTTTATGAGTCAATTTGCACCACAGTTTCTTACATCTCAACAGTTTCCTTGATTAAAGTAAATAAAACCACAGCTGTCTGCCTCTTTTTCTTTCACAGATAATATCAGTAGGTAGTTTGATGACAGACTGACCTCTAAACAGAAACTGTCTCTGGTTTTCTTTGAGAAATCAGGACAACTTTGCATTCAGACGCTTGCCTGTATATACTAAATCCTTGCTAATGCAATTCTAGCTTGTAAGGGAGGGTTTCAAGCTGTTGCCCACAGGCAGCCAGCAAGCTGTAAAAAAGTTGTTGTCAGATGTTCACCATTAAATGTGTTTTTGTTTGAGCAGTCCTAAAACTGTTCAATGATCGCAGTTGTGAAGTAGCTAAAAATCAATGACTGACAAACTAGATTAATATAGGCTACAAGCATTTGGCACCACAGGAAAATGGCAGCATGCAAATATGGTAAATCTCTTTCCTTAGTGTTTATTGCTCTGTCATGAAGTATGGCAACTTCAAGTCAGCTGATAGCTTTATGTTGACACAAAGGATTTGTTGCATTCTTATCTAGTGATAATGTCTACAGTCAATGATGAACTGCAATTGTAATTAATGGGGACGAAATTGAAGGACAGTTATCTTTCATTAACTTTGATATAATCTTTTGCGAGCATTTACATAAAGAAACCTACCCGGGTTAAAGTGCCACTCATGGTCCTCTGAAGACGACGCCAGAGTCACCAGGACTGTGAGCACAGTGGCAGGAAACAGCCGCAAGGTCAGCAAGGCCATGACAGCAGCAACACACCTGGTTACCTGTCCGGGGACACGCTGGCGACCACAGGCATACCTGTCCCAGAAAAAGAAAAAAGAAAAGATGTGTATTTAGATGCAGCCATTTTAAGATTCAGGTCTGCGTTGTTGGAACCAACAATCTCATTGTCATGCCGACATTTACATTTCACTTGCAGGTGAACAGCTCCAGCCTGAGCTCACACACTAAATATCTTCTTCATTGATTACCAAACTGAATCAAATCCTCTTAGTAAGAAGCACGTAGCATATCTCGCAGTCATTTGTTTCTCAATGTTTTGCGTGCCGGGGATCAGCAATGGGCCAAACCCCAGAGGGACAAGCACAAAGCCTTACAACAAAGGCCACTTTCACACACTAATTTGTTTTTCTCTCTCTGGCAGCAGAATGCAGGGACACAATAATACTTTGCTGCCTTTAGAAATGGTACACACAGCTTGGTAATTGAGGATGGTATAATTAGCTGGCCCCATTTAGTCCCACAGATTTTTATTTCTCCTGTATTAGGTATGACAAAATTCATCTAAATTACTGATTTCAGTTCTACCTTCTCTGAACAGAACGTACTTCATTTGAAACACCAGGATTTTTGGTATTTAGTAAACAACTGAAGATGGAAAATGGTAGAAATAAAAGCTAATGAGTGAGAGTCAACAGAAGGACGGATGTCGGAGTATTTTGATTTAATGAAGACACAAAAATGCATGAGTTCTGTTTGGTAATCATATGAATTGATGCTACGGATAATCACGGACATTTTGGATGTAAGTGACACTGAAAGTCTGTGAAATTTTAGAATTCTCCAAAACATCCTGCACTTAGTCGGCTTCTTATTAGGTACTTTAAAATGAATGCACTCCTACATCAAAGTCCTTCACCGAGGTTACATTTTCCTGTTTTTAATTAAAATGATATAGGGAGCAGTTCATTCTGCAATGTAGTGATTTGGAGGATGTAATTTGTTGTGACACTCTGTTGTAACAAAAGAAAACTATGAACCAATTTAATCTGATATTACAAGAAAGTATAGCCCCCGGGATGACCATAAAGTTGAATCAACGCCAACTAAACTTATAAATTATAACCCTGTTGGAGGCGGACTTTAATGCAGAAATGGTAAATTGCTCTGCATCTTATCAAGGTAGGTGTGCAAAATCGTAAGTACTTCAAAAGAAAAGAAGAACCTGTTGCTTTTTTCCTGCCAACACCGACATGATTTCACCAAACAACTGTGAATCAATCTGAAAAAAGTATGATGTTTCATGTGTCTTTCCTCTGAGCGTATTTACTGTAACTTCTGAATGTGTGAAAGGAAGACTTCCAGTGGTGAAGCAGAAGGGAGGAAAGTAAGCTCATGATAAGTGGAAGTCTGAACTGGGAGTGACAGCTGGGGGAGTCGCAGAGGCCAGACTGGGTTCCCTGTAGACCCTCTGTGTTTCGGCTTCTTCTCCGACCAGACTTGGGCAGGCCAACAGCTGACACACAGCTGTAGTGACAGAGGGTTGGGGGGGTGAATGCTTAGAAACAAAGTCAATGGTGGAGTCGAGTTTGCTCAGGCACAACAGGGCGGAGACGTTGGAACAAGAGCAGCGATGACATGGGTACACGGTGTGTGTGGATTTGGGAGAGGGAAGGCGTTGTAGGGAGGGTGACTTATGGCCTTGTGATGTGTGTGTGTGTGTGTGTGTGCGCTTATGTGAGAGGCGACTTTGTGGGCATAAAGGAGATCTCAGGGAACGCCAGCCTGTGCAGCTGTCCTAAATGGGAGACACAAAGCACCTGATACTCGATGCATGTGTTACAAGTGGTAAAAGAAATGAAAGAGAGAAAGGGGCTGGCTTTTTTTCCGGCCGAAAAACACCCAAGTTGTCTGAATGACTAAGTATAAGAGTGAGTACGCCAGATGACAGAATGCTGAAATATGGAGCTTAGTGGACTAAGCTGCGTGTGCAAAAAACAGGAGCTGGAAACTGATGACTTGGGCCAGCAATCTAAAGCAATCACCATCACAACCAACGTCAACAAACAGGATCTGACATAGTTTCATCACAGTTTTGTCAATAAATGAGAAACAGGAGAACATATTGCTTTCTAAAGCACCGCAGAGAAACAAAGGCATTAGAAACAAGAGGAGAAACCACTGCTGACAAATGCTTTGGCGTAGGGGAACAAAAGTGTTCACAGCTATCCTGGCACATTGTTGTTGGAGAACTTAAGTGCTGCTGAACAGCTGTGGTTAGTGCTTGGGGAAAGAAGGAGAAGAGCCCGCTGTGTCCTGGAGGAGGAAGCTCAGTGTGGAGCCCCAATCTAAACCCGCACTTTTGTCTCGGCTAATCCATAAGCAGGACTAATGAATACTTATGAGCAGCTGCTGCTTCTGTCCTGCACAACAAATACACAAGTGAAAAACGAGAGGCAGAGTGGAGAGCAGACAGACAGACAGACCGAACTTTTTTTAAAGTGAGGAACCATTGCGTCATTAAAGAGAGTTTGCCAGGGTCTCTATAATTAGATTGCCTCTGTTAAAAAAGCTGGCAGCATTACCTTGGCATTGGTTAGCGCTTTTTTCTGGAGAGCCCCTCGTGTTAGAACCTGATGTTTGAAATCATTATTCTTTCCAGGTGTATAATGAGGCCAGTCCGAGTGTCAGGAGTGACCTGAAGAATTATTCAGCTGGTTCTGCAGCTTTCAGAGCATTAACTGCGAATGATGTATGCTTTACATCACTGCTGAGGTTTTCCAAAGAACATTATAACTTCAGTTTTTGGCTTTATTGAGATTTCCAACAACCCTGAGAGTTATTACTTCACTTCACTCACTGTCATATAAGAATTAACTTACAGACCAGAAACCCCAGAGGCGTAATCAATCAGAGTCAATGTTTGGTCCATACTTTTTGTCACAGTTATGTAACCATCATCTAAGGCTCAAGAGAGCCGTCAACAGCCAGATCTCAACAGCTTAAAACCAACCCATTTACCACATGCGTTCAATCATGATTTATTATTATTCCATTTTGATTTCAGTGCAATAATAAATCAATTGAGGGGGCATGATTCTTAGGAGCCTGACATACTTATGCTGCTCGAGAACTGCTTATATAGCTCTCACTGGAATTATAAAAACATAGAAATAGCTAAAAGATGGCAGCTTAGGCCTGTCAGTCTTCAAATCAATTAAATATCTAGACAGCCTCTCAGTTAATGACTATTTTGAAGGCATCTTTACGTAATGGTTAATTTAGTTGGGCAATAAGCATTAAGCAATAAGCGATTGAAACAGATTTTGACAGTTTTCAAATCATTAAAATTCAATATTGCAAGTTGTGTATTTCTAAAAAAACAAACCTGGAGCAACATGCCTGAACTGACTAACTTTAAAGCCGGTACCATGGTGGTCTGAGAAGGCATTAGTGTCCATGGCACAGGTAGTTACACATCTGGGAAGGCAATGATGCTGAATGACTGGATGAGGGCTTTGGAGACGCATATGCTGCCACCCAGACATTGGCATTTTTCAGGAAAGACTTTGCATATTTTAGCTAGACAGTGCAAAGCCATATTCAGCACATATTACAACAGCAGCATGGCTTTATAGTAGGAGAGTCTGGATACTGAACTGACCTGCCTACAATCTCAACTTGAAGCCACCAGAAAACTGACACATCATGAGAAGGAAGAAAAATGACTGAGGGGACCCTGAACGGTTGAACAGCTGACATTATATCAAGCAAGAGTGGGACAGTATTTCACTTCCAAAAGTCCAGGAACTAGTTTTATGGTTCCCAAACATGTACAGAGTGTTGTTAAAAGAAGAGGTGATTCACATCCACTGTCCCACTATTTTATTAAACATGAAACTAAAGCATCAAATCGAAAATGCAGATATTTTTCATCAAAATTATGCACTTTCAATGATTTACAAACCACTTCACTCAGTTTCATTAACATTTTACAAAGCAGCCCACCTTATTTGAAATTGGGGCTGTGCATCCACTGTCCCCGAGTGAATGAAATGAACTGTCTTGGGTAATTCTTTCATGTAAGGTTTTATTGAAGAAGTCACCAAAATACGTCAGTATCTACTGAAAAACTTAACACAAGATCCCTCTCAACGATTCATGTTCTAAAAATTATGTGTCCTGTAGTTTCAGCAACTTTCCTGATAAAAGGACCTGAACTTTGTGTTTCTGAGTGTAAAATCTCTATAACTAGTTGAACAGACAAAACATCTGTCTTAACTATTTATATCCAGTGCCGCATGCAGAATTGTGTTAGTAACTCCAGCTTTGGTATAAAGGTCATCTTTGGTTTTATCTGAAACTTGTGAGTTAATGATGAAGCCTTGAGTGGTGTTCAGGCGAAGACACTTGAGCGAACCTTGAGACAAACAAACTGGTGGCCAAACTGAGTCTATCCCAATTATCTTCACTACAATTACAGTTGATTTTCTTCAGCCCAAAAGAAGACAGTAAACTTGGTTGGATTGACCAATTCTGTAGGATACTTTGACTCATATATAAATGTATAACAATAAATCTTATTTCAGACTATAACAAGTCAAACTCTCTTTTAGCGGACTATCAATGTGTGGAGAACTATTTTTGACACCGTCTGAGTTCTTGTTTAAGATGAACCCAACATTTTGGGTTAAAATTAAGAATTTTTTTTTTTTTTGTATTATGCTAAAATGGTCCACACTGCTATTAAAGTAATGATTAAAGTCGACTGGCTAAAACTTTGATGTTACGCTTCATACCTATAAATTTTTCTTGAACATACACAGTCCTCAGCATGTGAAGTCTTAAATCACAGCCAGATAGACAAACACATTGCCTCAGTTAGACATGACTAATAGCCTCTGGGAGACAGAGAGCAGTGAGCTCTTTGTTTTGGATTTCCGTCCGTCCGTGCATGAGGAAGCCGGTGAGGTCGTACGCACCACTGCCCTCTGGGTCCAGGGGAGAAGGAAGCACAAATTAATCTTGAATCTTTACAACACTTTGAAGGTTGGGACTGCGCCAGCCACCAAAACAAGGTCATTTGATGCTTTCCTGAAAGCTTGTTTCTGTGAGACTTGAGGATGGTATGAATCAACCCCTGCTCCCTGCGGGGCCACTGTTGTCTTGTTTTTACTGAATTTCGATCCAAGGGCAAGGATGAGCTGTTTGGCAGCGCAAAACTGTCTGTGGGGTTGTTTTTTCACCTTGAAAGAATTTCCTTCAACCGTCTTTGGTTTATTATTGAAATATTTTACTTGCTGTTATGTGTCCTTTACTTTAAGGAGCGGAAAAACATAATCACACCCTTTTAGTCAGTGAGGGCGGCAGGAGAAAAATGGACACATTTGCTCGTAAAAGCAAAAGAACGGCCAGTCAACTTTTAATTCTTACAATCCATCATGAGGCTTTGGAAAAGTCTGCTGTTATTTCCTACTCTTGGTCAAAGTGTTCGTCAGACACTGGTCATCAAATTGTGCTTTAGTGTGTCATCTCTGAAAGGAAGTGCCAGTCAGGGCTGAGGAATCTGATTTTACCGAGGTTTGCTACAGGTTGAGGATGCAGGAGGGAAGAATGGATGAGTCACTTAAACAGGGTAATAGGAGTTGAAGGATATGCAGTCAAGTCAGAAAAAAACAAATGAAACAGCAACAACACGAGAGGGAGAAAGTGCAGCATGTGACTGAAGGAGGTGAATCATGAAACTCTGAAGAAAGCACGGAAAGGGGATTATAAAACAAAAGAAAATCAGATTTCCAGGAAAACTGAAGTTGCACTAAGCATCACATTACTCAGTAAGACATCTCAGCCAGTGAACAAAAAACACCCAATTCAACAGAAAATGTCCTGGCAGCAGGGACTCGGCGGGGCAGTATCATAAAGCAGAGCTTTGCAACCACACAGCTCAGAACAAAGTCATTCATAAGCTTACACTGGTGTTAGTTTAGAGCACAGAAACCCTTGAACTGAAGCTGGGGGGCAGTGTGAAAAAATTGACGTCATAAAGTCGCGTTATTAGCATGTGGCTACACAGAGCTGAGATCAATCATCAACTACCGAGTGAAACTTCAAGCTTTTCTATTATAGCTGCGTGGTTTCTGCTTAGAAGGAGGTCTGCTTTGCCCCTCAGTGGGGACCAGTTGAAACACTGCTCATATCTGCATGGCTGACAGAGACAAATGGTGATTGATTGCCATAGGTTGGTCTGCCAAATGAATAATGCCCCCATCAACAGGAGCCACACAAACAGACTTGAAAATGTGGGACAAAGCACTAGTCCATAGTGATAGTCAGGAACACAGTTTTTCTCTGGTTTACTATCATTATTTCCTTCTAACTGTTGCTAGTGAGGAAACGCCGTAGCAGAAATTTCTGTAGAGAAGCAGTTCAAACAAAGCTAATATGTAAACAAAACAGAAAATCCTTTAAAACAAATACACTTTGGCTTCAAAGCACAAAGTACTGCTACACACAGTACAATTTAGGAGGCTTAAGAGTCTGATGGAGGGTCCACTCATCCATAATACCTCCTAGAGTGGTGCAGTAATGGTAATGGTCTTACTGTTACTGTTCAGCAAATCCTGTTAAAGCTAGACCAATAAATCAGACAGATGAGTAAACCCAATGAAGATTTGTAATTATGTATCAAACATAAGGATCTTGAGATGTTTTAAGTTGGCCTTAAAGAAAAAAGAACAAACAACATCATAAGGTATATCTAGGACTGTGCGATAAAATGATCACAATGTCAAAAATGTATTTCCTTCAATATCAATATGAAACATTTAGGTAGACTATACAAATAGCCAATGAAAAGGGGAGTTGCTCTGGGTCAGCACCGCGCTGAACCAATCGTGCTGAATTAAAACCAAGTAGCAAACAACTGCATAGTAGCAGGTTGCAGCTACACGCAACTGTAGCACTTTAACACGTGAAGCTGAAAGCACTGTCGGTGAGAAAGAAAGAAAATGAGTGCTACCTCAGACAGAAATGCAGATGAATGCTCAACAGATGACGACATCGTTGACAACACTGGCACGAAAACGTCGGTGGTGTGGAGGTATTTTGGTTTTTTTAGGTCAGATATGAAGTAGAGTAATGTGCACTGCAAGTTATGTTGAGTACATGTTCGAGTACAGGTTGGGGAATACCTTAAATCTTTTTCACCACCGGAAGCAGCGCCACGCGGCAGAGCATGCAAAATGCAAAAGCTTACAAACCCCGAGCGGAGCAAGGAGCCCATGGCGCCTGTGCAGCAGAAAGAGCCGACCATTCAGTCCGTTTTCTCTAGCGCAACGCCTTACAACAAAACGCAGAAAGAGACACAAAGACCTCACAGATGCAGTAGCTTATTGTGTTGCAAAAGACATGCTACCAATAAGCACTGTTAAATTTCATTTAAGAGTAACAGAGAACATAAGATTGACAGGGTTTTTGTTTAATATTGTAATATATATCGATATTGACTGATATGAAAAAAACATATTGTGATAAACTTTTTCCTATATCGCCCAGCCCTAGGTTATATTAGTATGTACTTGTTTTACCTTTAAATGCGGATATTAGTATGAGACTAATAAAAGAGTCTCTATTCAAGTGGTGGTTTGTGTGCTTTATTGTTTCTACAGGTCTAATGTTCTGGGTCGAACACACAAAAATAAATGCTTAATGGATTTGGGGTTTGCTTTTTGACTTGGTTGATATGTCTCATTAGTGTTCTGGAGTAGCCCACGGTTTACACAGAAGCTGTTAGTGTTGTGAGAACAATCCCTCTGGATTGTTTGGTAAAATTCACTCTAATTATAAGCTTTGAAATGTTGAGGGAAAAAAAAGAGATATCAATCATAACCCAATTAAGTGAGCTACAAAACAAAAACTGTTGCTGAGGTAAATCCAGACTTCATCTTTGGCTTGTTTACACCGTGTTTGTGAAATGCACCTACAGACGAACAGAGTAACTACTTTTTCTTAATAATTGCAGTAACAAGCCGCAGAACAAACACAATCAGCAAAGCTAATCCGCAGCCCCATTTGTGCACCAACAAAACGCAAAATTAAATCAAAGAATGAAGTTTGACACAGAACAGTAGGTTCACACACCAACACTGAATGACTCCTTCCATGCAAAAGTTTGTTTGCACCTCAGGCACTCAACAGCATCTACACTGAGTCGTCTGTTCATTAAGTGGATCGTGTGAACCGGAGTGCGGTCCTCCCTCCAGTGCATGCAAAGGAAAAACAGTCAGTCTGAATATCTTACAAGCTCTTCTGGGAAGGTGGTGTTGACTGACAGAAACTGGAGCAGTTTTGGTTCTCAGAGCTCAAGGATTCAAACATGTTGGTACATGTCGTTAGACTTTTTTCTCAGCTCTGTTATGCTGCACCTGGATGGAAGGAGTGCCGTTTAACAGACTGAAAGTGATTTAATGTGACTTTTCCATAAACTTGAGATGAACCTCAGTCAACCTCTGAATGAAAATGAACTTTAACCGCTACAGCAGGCGAAGATTAGTCAAGAGTTCGAACCCAGTTGAAGAGTGGGTGTAAAAATCAGTGAGAATCTAGCAGATATGTGGAGACATTAGCATATTTGGCAGCAAGGCACAGGTCGATCTCTGGGTCTGCTTTGGCATTCAAGCTGCTTTGGGGCTGCAGTGTTGATGGTAAAGCCACAGCCCAGTTCCCTGAATTCAATTTGCACAGTGTCTCTGTCACCTGTCAGAGGGGAAGTGAGAAGTAGAGGAGAGGAATGGGTGAAAGCAGAAAGGGAGGGCATGTGACAGCACAGTGCTACTCTCACAATGAACAGAGAGAAAATGGTTGGGGACAGAGAGACAGAGACAGACAGAGAGACAGACGGTCAGACAGACAGAAGTATGCTGTGGTGGAGAAAAACTCCCCCCAGTAATCAAACGGGAAGATTCCAGTGCCAGAACGAGAGTGGGACAAAAGCAACTCTTTGCCTGCAGGAGTGTGACAATTATTCATCCAGTGAGCAGCCAGCTATTGAGACAGAGAGGTTGGGAACAGGAGAGGAGAGGAGGGAGAGGGATGGAGGGAGGGTGGGAAACTTGAGGGTGGCCTGGAGAGAAACAGAACCACAGAGATCAGGTCAAACAGGAATGACTTCAGTGAGACTCAGCATTTTGAGTCAAAGTGAGAAAACAGTCTAGTCTAGCCCTGCCCTTTTACAGATGCCTTCTTGTTTTCTCTTCTTATTTGTAATGAACGACAGCTGCGGGGTGAGAAAAGAGAGTTTTTTTTCAGCTATTCAATATTTTACAATTACTTTCCTCAAACACACACACAGACACACACACACATATACTGTAGAGGAAACTCAGATCCAAATATTGCATCTGAGCTCTGCCAAAGCTCTATCTAGGGACACACAAACACAGACCTGCACACAAACACTCACACACAATTCAACTCTGTTGAAAGCCTCAGGCAAAGGCTGATACCTCAATCACACTTGCAGTCCTCCTGCCCCCTCCCTCTCAGCAGAAAAAAAGACGCCTAAAAAGAGCTAAATTACACACCACACAACACTTTCCTGATCATAATGTGCTCCTCCAAAGACCTAGGAGGAGACAGGCAGGGCCACCCCACTCGGTAAAGATGCTGCTACAGCTCATACTCATCACTCAGAGAAAAAAGACATATTAAAAAGGCTCACCTTTGATGTTGAGGATAAATTTCTTTCATGTTCAGACAAGGTTTCAAACACACTCTTCCAGGAGTCTATACTAATTATTGGCTGTATACTAAACCACGTGAGGGGCGGTGTGTTCTAGCACCAGAAAATCACCACCAACCACTTTGTGGGGATTTAAAAAGAGGTGAAATGAAACCCGAAAGAAAGGGGAACAGAATACAGACTGGTTTACAGAGTTTGAGAGTTTCTGTTTTTCATAAGCTTCATAAACTCCTTTATTTCAGTCTCAAGTATCAGCTCGAAGAATTCAGCATCCGCAGCAGTCACTCATTAGATCTTCCATTCAACACATAATATATTATTCAAGAGTTGAGGAGTATTATGGCAGGGAAAAAAAGTTGTAAAAGCATTCTGCAGAAGCAGCTTAAACAGTCTGATTTAAGTAGAGTCGCTGGGGGCGAAGTTTGTTGAAGACTAAAAGTTTAAACTTTAAGGGTGTTCGGTTAGGAGCAATCGAAAATCAGACGTCTGTATTCTGCTCCTCATCTCGTCTCCAAGCTGACCGCTGAAGGCTACCAAGGGCTTAGCTGTAACAAGATATAATGCGCTAACATCTTGAACTGAGTGCTTTGTGGGCAATGTAGAGGCAAGATTCAATGCAAGGAGCGTTCTGAATAAAAAAGATGTCATGAGAGCGATGCTATCTGTACTTAATTATTTCTGAATCATAAAATATGTAATCCAGGAGAGAATTCTACATGAGGGAGGCATAACTTGCCGACTTTTACATTTCTTTACTTTTACTCTGCAATGCACTTTCCCTCATCCCGAGTGGCATCTGCCAAATAGGCCACTGTTCATTTTGGGACACATAGAGGCATATTTCTGCAGATTCCTGAGCTAACATGAGGCACAATTGTCTGAATTCTTTGTCTGAGATACCTTGATAAGCAGCCGTGACAAATGCTTTGAAGAAAAATCTGCAACCAAAACATGACCCCTGTTTACATCCGAGCAACAACAGTGTTATCTAACCGGGGCACTCTTAATGGGTAGAGCAAACAGACAAATGAAGAGGCTCGCAGGGGTGATAGTAGAGGGAAAGGCTGGGGTGAGATGGATGAGCAAGGAAAGGAGGGGAGAGGTGGATAAATGAAACATCCAGCTGCTTCAAAGGGAACAGAGAGGAAAGATGAAGAGGGAGAATGTGAGTTTCATGATGGATGTAGAGAGAGAGGGAGACAGATTGCCAGGATGATCAATTAAGCGATCAAAGGTGTGTAGGATGGATGGGATGGTCGAGCTGGGAGGGGGCGGTTGAAGGCGTGCTGGAGGCACAGGGAGGGGTAATCCAAAAGGAAGAACAACTTTAGATATGGGGATTCATACAGAAAAAGTAAAAAAAAAAGGGATTTACGAACTCGCCGACAACCAGAGCTCATGATCACACTTTGAAGTGTCAACACCTATTACACGATAAATTAGTTCCTCTGGCGGTCTCTTCCTCTACATTTGACCACACAAACAGTAAATGCAATTGAAAAGCCAAGCTGTCTAGACTTGAAAGGAAATTGGTTTAGGAAAACAGGGTGGACAGTGAAGTCCTCTCTTCAATTGGTTTCATTTCCCATCAGAGAGGCACTGGAGAGATGGGAGGTAACTGTGCCATGTCTTTGGACTTCAATGAACTCCTTACACAGACCCTGAGGTTCCTACTCAATCTGCTGGAAGCCAATTACAAGCATACACTCCAGTCATGAGATAAGTCATGTAAGACCATTTTTACGGGTTACAGAACACCGTCATCGCCCTTGTGCTTTTTCATGTGGCTAACTGCATTAGCCAAAACGCCATAAAGATCAGGCAACTGTGCAAAATGTGCGAGCCAGTTATTGTGTGAGGCCTGCCTTTGTATCGTGAATTAGTCCCCACCTGTTTGCATAAAAAGTCTTTTCAGAATGTTTAACAACCAGAAACACAATGACAAAGTCACAAAGCCACCAAAACAATGACCCACATCGAGGACAACAAAGTGAGGTCAATGATCAACCAGACAAGACACACCAGACAAGACACACTGAGATTGTGCGTGTGTGTGTGTGTGTGTGTGTGTGTGTGTGTGTGTGTGTGTGTGTGTGTGTGTGTGTGTGTGTGTGTGTGTGTGTGTGGGAGCTGTTCACACATGCATGCATCTATGTGTTTTCAATCCCCCTCGGAGATGTTAGAAACGTAAAAAATATCTTTTCATTTTCTCTTCTCACTTATGAAAATAAATCTCTAAGACTTTGTTCCAAATCTCTACAGACTAGACTACGAAAACAAACAGCCGCTTCACAAACTGTGTCAAACAAATTACTCTGCTCCGTGCAAACTTCTCCACAAATCAGATTATGCAATTATTGTCATTTTCTCCAGTGCTTGCCACCACAAAAAAAATAATCAATACTAAAACAACTCCCCAACGAGGTGCCTACACATTTATACTCACATAACAGGTTTCCCTCAACTGCTAAGTATATTCTGTTCCCTTTGCTGGACTGCGCAGCTCTGCAGGGCCAACAGCTCTCCTGGGACACTGTGGGAGATCCAGCAGCCAGATGCCCATCAGACAGGATCCAGCAGACCTGTGCATGCAGAGAGACTGTGTGCCCACTCGCAGGGCTCCTCCTCACTTTATCCCCTGCCTTTGCTACACAGGCGGAGAGGGAGGGTTTGGGAGAGAGAAAATTGCCTTTTATTGCCTCTCTATCTATTGGCAAATAGCATAGCCTCCCCCTACTTCACATCCACACCTCCAAGTCCTCCTCCTCCTCCTTCTCCTCCTCCCAGCAGTCTAACATCGCTACAACTCCCCTGGACAGCCAACTCACTCCTCGGACCACAGGACTACTACACACATGTAATATTTTCATGATGTGGTGGACAAGGTGACTGCCCGCAGCACTGCACACCTACTGTTTACTCCCTGGAACCACAAAGGCATGCACACACAAACCCACACTTGCAAGGAAGGAGCTGGCAACAGAACGGCATGAAGTCATGCCCACTTTTTCACTTTTGTGCTTGCTCTGTCTGCGGAAATAAACAGAGGCAAAGAGCTAAATTATACAGTATCTGAGCATAAATTTTGATTGATTTCAAAACCATCCTGTGCACAGAGAAGTGAAAAACCTACTATCACATCGTGTGATGGATTCACTCTCACCAGCCCTGTATTTTGGCCGAGAAAACACTAAATATAGATATCAGATGAAGCCCAAACTCTCTGCCAGCTTTTCCCCAGAGTATGAAAATGTTTTCTGTATCAACAAAGCTTCTCCTTTTCCAGCGCCAGACAATTTCAGATTTGGACTTTATGACTGATCAGCTACCCTGAGGAGGAACTACCTCCTGTACAGCCAGAGGTGAATGAAACCAGAGCTGTTGGTCTAATGAGGAGGTCAGGGGGTCAATAGTCTGTGAGATGACCACCACCTGGATGTGTGTAGGTGATGTTAAACATTACACAATTTACTGACCCATTCATCAAGGTTGCTGCTGCTGCTGAGGTTTGAAAGCACAGCAGGGCAGCCGAGGGGTGCTTTTGTTTAACCTCAGTGTCTGTGAAAGATGTGCGATGTTAAGCAAGTGAAGAATGAGTCAAACAGACCGCGAAGAAAGAAATGGCTTCTGACAGCACAGGCGCACACATTTTACAAGTTAGGAGTCTGTGAGAATAAGAGTGAATACACAACTGAAACAATAACGGGTAAGATAGAAGAAATACCAAACCCTGTTGTAGATAAACTGAGAGCATACGGTGGCCGAGAACCACCACTGCTGCAAATAAACAAGAATGCAAAAGTTAACGACCCAAAAAAAAGTGGCGATGGGGAAAAAAAAGTTACTTACTGCGAAAATAAAAGGATGCAAAAAAAAAGAAAGAAACCAAAGCCTGCTGCAAATAAAAAGAGAAATGGTGCAGATAAAAAAAAAAGCCACAACGGAAGTTCACGACGCAAAAAAGTGCCAATGGGGAAAAAAAGTCACTTACTGCGAAAATAAAAGGATGCAAAAAATAAGTAAATAAAGCCACAACGGAAGTGAGCTGCTGGGGACCAATAATGATGATGCACCGGTGTTTTACGATCTACGCACAGAAGACGACGGCGAGAAGACGAGTAAAGACGTCTATATGAAGTTGAACTGGAGGATGCCGGTGTAGCGTTAGCCTCAGTAACCTTTTTTTTTTCCCATCGCCATTTTTTTGCGTCGCTAACTTTCGTTGTGGCTTTTTTCTATCCTCACCATTTCTTTTTTTATTTGCATTTGTATTGGTAACTTCCATTGTGACTTTTTTTTTTTTGCACTCTTTTTTTATTTTTATTTGCAGCATTGGCTGTTCTCGGCCACCGTAGATAAACAATAAGAAATAGTTTTGGCACAAAGCAGGACACTTATAGATGTCTGCTGTGTGACCAAAGACTCACAGTACTTTAAAAAACGTTACCTCACAGTTTGTATTGAGTCAATAGACCATGATGCACCCTGTCAGAGTATTTTAGATACGCAGTGGAGGGGGGGAGCCACAATGTAAGCGTGCAGGGACCCGGAGAGCGATGATACACCTCCAGTGAGCCTCCCAAACAGCCTGTGGCCAGCGTCCAGAACAGCCGTGCCCGCTTCACTAACACGCCGAGACTTTCGGACGCCAAGCCACAGAGGCAAACACACAGACATACACCCAGACAGACAGACAGACAGTCAGACAGCTGGAAATATCCGCTGCAATATTATTATAGTCGCTTCTTCAGGAGTGAAGTGCGCGCGAGGACTAGGGGGGGGAAACGCGCGAGACATTTAAAGGAGTTTGTTCGTACTTACCTAAAAGACACGAAGAAGTGAGCTTTGACAGCGGTCCAAACTTTTAGAAAAAGTCCTTATGAAGAGAAGTGAAGCAGCGTTCAGCCTTTAACACCACACGTCCACTGAATAATAATCCAAACGGTGCTGTGGAGCGGTTGTTTCGCTCAGCAGACGACCCCTGTCAAGACTCAGAAAATAACTAATTATCCGACACGGCTGAACGCACCGGCTGATGTGAGACCCTCGACCCTCTTCGGTCAAACAGTTAAGGACTTCTCGTCGTCAAATGAAATGTATAAAAACACAGAGCGTACACGGTCTCCTCGCTTCGGCACTTCTCTCTCTCTCTCTCTGTCTGAATCTATGCAGTACCAACAAACCCCAGTCCAGGCTCCACAGTCAGGCCAGCAGGCGCCACCAGGTGCTCATTTACATAACTGCACCGGCTGTGTCCAATCACAGCGCAGAGCAAGGTGTCTGATTGAATATTCCAGCAGGCGTGTTATCCAATCAGAGCCCTCTGTGGGCGGGACCCCTGACCTTACTCCCCTGTACAGAGAAATCAAATGTAGAGCCTTTGGGGAAAATGTGAAGTTTCTTTGTTCCAGCAAGGCCAAGATATGAAGAATAAGAAATTTGATACACCAACTCAGAGCAGTTTCACCCTCTTCACCTTGTGTGTGTTGGAAAATGTTTCTCTGTGACTTTTTAATGACATAAACTTGTGAAACCTTTGTATAAATCTGCTTGTCCTCTCAGCATCTGGCCTGGAACTTTTAATGTAGACCCTCAACACACGTCCTTGCTATTTACCTCTAAAGGAAACTTTATTACAGAGTATTGGTGGTGTAACTGTATACCATTACTGCCCCTGGGCTGTAATGACTCAGATTGAAGGGTGCGCAGTAAAAAACAGTGAAGGAGCTGGAACCAGCAAAGTAGTTGATATGAGGCCCTCAGGCGAGGCAAGAATGAGATGGGAATTCATGTTTTTAAAAGAGCAACGTGTGTGTGTTTATGCTGGATTTCATAAAACTTCATCCAGTCAGCTGAAACATTAAAAGACTGGGCAGCAGTTACAGTATGTGTTGGTACTTGCCTGTTAGAGGGAGAGGAGGGAAACCTTAGCAGGCGCTCGATCAGCAGCCAGGGACAATAAGGTCATTTAACACTGTGAGCTCCACCTTAAATAAACAGGGAAGAGGAATGCTGATATACTTTTTAGAGCCTAATGTTCACTTTTGTGTGTGTGTGAGTGTGTATGCTCTCACTTGGACCCAGAACGTCATATAAAGAGGCAGATTTATCACATATTTGGACTGAATCACAGCCAGCAAATTTGTCCAGGCCATGCTGTAGTAAAAAATAAAAAGACAGAAAGTTTGCTGACACAAGAGGAACGATTAGAAGTGGAGTTAACCTCTGTTTATGCTCTATTCAGGTGACCCTCACTACCTCACCTCATCCTCACCGCCTCACCCTCTCTCCTTTATTTCCCCTTTCCCTTCATTCTCTCTTAATGTTTCTTTGTGTTTAGAAAGACTCAAGCTGGACTTTCTTCTGGATTGGCCTCATTTCTTTCTGCATATCATTAACATTCTCTCACCACTTTTCAATTCAGAGCCTAACCAAACCCAAACACTCCCCCCCTCTCGCTCACTCTCTCTCGCTCTCTTTTGTGTTTAATGGCTGAGCTCCCCTCTTGCAGTCAGACCTGTGGCCTGGGTTTAAAAAAAAATCCAGTGTGCAGAATTTTTCTCCTGCTTTGCTGCAATATGATCATGGTTTATTCATGTTTTCTCTGTGTGGAGTCTGTTTCATGCAGACATTGGTTTTCTTCATTGACGATTGTTTTTCAATTTTGCCTGGGAAAATTGAGGAAATAGAGATCATTTTAAACTGATGTTAAAGGGATTACGTCGAGCTCACCATGGTTATTTGAGATTTATTTCTCCAGCATTTACTGACAAAATGTTAACTGATTCCCAGAAATTATCCTGCTGATGAGCACAGTAATTCTCAGCTCTTATTCTCTCACTCTCTAGAGGCTTTTTCTTCTCTTCTCAGCCGCTTCTGTTGTGCACATCGTCCAACCGGCTCTGCTTTGTTCGTTGTCGGGGCAACTGCAAATCCCCTGGCAGAAATAATGACCTTTTTCTGTATTATTTCCTTTCTACCCCACGCCTCCTCTCTCCCGTTCCCTTTGTGGCTCACTTTCGCTTTACCCTGATCTTTTTTCATATATTTTTTTCATCTCAAATATGCTCAGTGCCTCTGTAGAGTTTTGGGTTTTTGTTACTAAATCTGCCCCCTCTCTTCTCCCTCCTCCCTCACTACTTATTCTCACTCTGAGTGAAAACCAGCGAGGCATAAAAAGCAGGTCTGATCCTGTGAGGAATTCACTCAGAGACAGAGACTTACACAGAAAAAGAGAAGTTCAAGTTGTGTCGAATTTACTGTATGAGTCAGCAAGGACAAGAAAGCACTCGGTGTGATAGTCAAAGAGCAGTGAAGAAAGTTGTCCAGGAACATAAACACCCCGTCAAGAAGAGGATAGGGTTCAGCAGAGGGAAGTGTGCTTCAGAGTTAAAAAAAAAAATCCTTATTTTTTTGAAAAGGTTATTGCATTCAGCAGAAAATTAACATTTTAATCCAAAGCTCCTATTCACGGGGGATGACAGATGATCTATTGTTGTGTCACTTTGGAGATGCAGCTTAAATTCATCACCACAGTGACATCCTTTTGGTTAGAATAAAAAAGATATTACACACAAACATTTCGAATTAAAAATGGAAGTGTTCAATTCAAAGGCATGGGACATCACACATACACTCACACACACACACTCTTGGGCAGCCTGTCCACCTCCTGTCATGGTCTGACAGCTGTGCAAGCCTGCAGGATTCAGACAACACAGATCAGTTGCAGAATGTGAAGCTTGCAGTATGTTGGGAACTGGCGTAAAACCACATACCAAAGATACCAGCCTAAGAAACATCCCCACCACTGTCTTTTTCACTGGGAATCTCCAAAACCAACAAACATCTACAGTTTATTATGATTGTCAACAAAACTCCTACCCCAAAGACTCTCTTGCTCCAAAGTATCTCCTTTCTCCACATGTTTATGCCATTTCAGTCCAGGATTAGTACAAACAAACATGTATGTTTGTGTGAAAGTGTATAAATATGTGTCGATATGCCCCCCAAATTCCCCCACCACCATGTCTGTTTACTGTCTCTGCTCTGTCAGTATCAGTGTCACTATCTCAGGGCAGGTTGTGTTTGACTGGCCCCAGGAGAGGATCTGGGAGTTGGTCGAGGTGTCAGAGGTGTCAGAGGTCACAGGGTCAGCGTCTGTCCCGAGGGGGAGGTTCCTGGGTGGAACCTCAAGATGAGCCCCATCGCCCTGGAGCTGCTCTCTTTTTAGTCATTCAGTGAAGGAAACATTCGAGTCAGCTCCTCTCGCTTTTCCACAGGCTTTTCTGTCGTCTCTGTCTGTCCCTGTTGTTGTCCTATTTTAGGACGCAGGATTTTTGATGTAGTCTCCCTCGACAAGGTTTGAGTCCACAAAAGCAGTAGAAGCTCTGTGGGATATTCCATATTTACAAGTTGGCTGTTTCGTTCTGACTCTCAAATGCTGTTTGTTAGAGTTAATGGTTTTTATCAAGCTGTATCACAAAGATTATAGAGGAGTCTGATGAATAATAATTATATTCCATGAAAAGCTTAATTGTTGGGCAACTAAAAGGATATTAGACAGTAAAAATCTGGGAGGTTTCAGCCATACTTCAAAGAAAAAAAACATTAAAAAATCATCTGTGTCTTTATTCTGGGCCTACATCCTTTGAAGAACTAATTTTGAGAATAATTGCATCAAAGTGGCCCAACAAATCTCCTCCGTTTCAAAGCGTCCTTTAAATAAGGCCAACAAATGCATCTTTTTATCTCAGACCAGAAAGCTTTCATCAGGCATCACTCATTGCCCAACCTATTCTGACATTCTCGAACGCCAATTTGAAAGAGATGGCGGACTCTCACCAACCGAGGACTACGCTGTGAAGTGTAAGTATGAAGTTTCAACTTAACAGCCATGCACTGTTGGAAAACAGATTCAAATCTTAAATCTGTCTTAAAAATAATAGATTATGAGAGTTAGATAGACAGCTACCTATAGGCGCAGTGCTTCAGGCTAAGGACAGTAATCACATATTAGATTTAGACATTCTGATTTAAGCTTGGCCAAAAGCTTGCAGAAGATGCCTCTGTACACCTCCAGCTTGGAGCTGACAGAAATGTCAAATCAGTTTTGCTGACATTTAGTCTTAGAAAGAAAAATGGAGATAAAAAAACTGACAGTATGATGGGGCAGAGGGAAAAGAATGAGGCGATAACCAAGTTAATATGAGGCATTGTAAAGATGAAAAATGTCTTTACACACCCTCAATGTGATCTTTCTAACTTTTAGCTTAAAAGAAGGCACTCCTAACTCATGAGTGAGACCAAAAAATGATAGTTACTGCTGGAGTAAAAGATGTTCATCAGGGGTAGGAGGAGATGAATATGTATGTATGTTATATCCTTTTGGAGAGGGATTTGATGGTGTTGGTTGTTTGCACTTGGAGAATGTTCAGAGTGTCTACAAACTTGTAGGGAGACATCATCTGGCAAATATTGTATGTCTGTGCACTGTTTTTGTCTGTCTAATTAACAGTTGTTGCAATGTTTCAGTCTAGACATAAGCAGTGCACTTTAACAGTATTTCTCAGCGAGCAGATGAAGGTGTTTGTGAAGGGGTACTTCAGAAGTTTGAAGACTTAGCAAAGGAGACTCATTGCGATAAAGGTACTGTCTAATGTTTGCATTTGAGTTGTTAGAGTGTTTGTAAGAGAAAATTCAATTATTTTCAAGGCATTTTTTCACTTCTAACATCTTTAAATACAGAGAGCAAAGTACTTTTACACTGAACAAAGGATTTTTGACACTATGCATGGACAAAAAAGGAACAAAAAACAAATCCAGTCCTGCTTGTTTCATCCTTGTGTTCGCACAACTGGATCTGTGTGTATGTATGTGTGTGTGTGTGAGGCGTGATAAGCTCAGTGTTGTCAGGGGAATGTGGGGCAAGATAGGGTGAGGCAGAGAGGAGGGGAGTTGGAATTGTCGGGTGTATGTGTGTGACCCCTCAGGAGTCCCTAGAGACCCTCTCAGCTGTAGCGGCGCACTTGTGCCTCATTTTCCTGATGGAGGAGGGAAGGAGGGAGAGGGTAGTGTGCAGACCTTTTTTGGGTGTCAGGTTTCTCTCTCTCTCCCCTCTTAGAAATCCCCTGCTATTCATCTGTACACACACATGCACACACACACATCTGACAGTGTTGAGGACTACAGCTTCTGCTATGGCATTTGAGAGGCTCCCTACAACTGTCGCCCTCTGTTCAAACTGTCACTCCAGCCCCTTTAGGATCCGACTTCCCTTTTCCTTACCCCCACTCCCCCCTCCTCTCACCTGTTGAAGCCAGCCGTCGAATGAAAGGCCTCCCTTTCTTCTCCAATCTCTCCACGTTTCTAACAATAGAGCTTTGGGAATGGTTCACTTTAACCACCATCGGATGTGCTGTGATCTTCTTTGTTTGGCCCGTCACCCTCCTGTCTTTACCAATTACATGTTTAGCCTCTCCACACCCTTGCTGTTTAACTCAAACAATAGTTTAGCTTGGCTGATGGGAGCCTTGAACAGCCTTGTCATGTTTTCACTGTCTGTGTGTGCCAGTGTCTCTAAAGACGTATAATTATAGCTATCCTTTAATTATTTTAATCAATATTTAAATTGGCCAAAGCTCAAGGGAAAAACAAACTCAGCTAATATAGAGAAGTAATTTTGAACATGCCTGCGGACTTTATTGCCATGGTAACCCAAGTCTGATCCACTACCCAGTCTCCACTCCTGCATCTCTACCCCCCTTTTCTCCCAAAAGAAACTTTCAGACAGACTGTTGCTGACTTCTTGCAGCGAGAGTGAATGTGGTAGTAGATCAGAAGGTGCTGAGGACGAAAACATGGGTGGGTGGGTGAAGATGGTGTGTGTGTTGGGGGCTGGGGGGTGACTCAGAAGGGTGCAAATGAGTGCCATGGCAATGCAGTGAGAGGTGGTGCTAAAAATACCTATTGGCACATGGGCTCTAACTCACAAACAGACAAACACACACACATATGCACACATACAGAGGCCAGTGAGCAAAGAGGTCTCATTCATGCACCAACAGGCAGACACACACACACTCACTCACTCACACACACACACAAACAGCATAGAAATGCACATATTCACACAAAACACACACACACTTGTTCATCATGTCAGTGCAGCAATTATAAAGCACAATGGTACAGCTTTTATACTCCAAGTGAAGTATTAAATATCTCCCTGAGTGTGTGTTGGCAGTGCTTTGTGTTTCACTGAGCTCCATGGGCCTTTTCTCACTCAGCACAAGTGCCCTGAGCAAACAAACCCAGCTGCCATATTGTGACCCTCTGCAGGAGGAAGATGGGAAAGCTGCTCTGTACACATTGTGTTGAATACTCGCCGTGGTAAATATTGTTTCTCAGTTTGTCTCATGGTGACGTAATGCTATAACAGTTCACAGAGCGTGGATCAAGTGAAGGAAAGGGAAGCAAATAGACTAGATACTGTTTCAGTCATATGCAGTCTGTGGAGGACTCAATACAGAATACGGCTTTGAGGGTTCGTTTGCTGCAGCGATGTAACAATTTATCAAACAAATAGTTTTATAGATTTATCTTGTTGTACTGTGTGCCCTTTTGGTCTGATAATGAAAGAACTGAGCAAAGCATTGTTCTTCAAAAGTCTTCAGGCGATTTTTTACCCACAAAAATTTGGTTGCAAGTTAAAATTTTAAAAGACCTCTGGAAATAATTCTGTATATCATAGTAAACTGCACAACACTATAAGACAGTTACAGTGTAAAAGAAACAGTTTATTATTCTAGCAGCTTTAAAAACATATTCGAGAGCCAAGAAGGTCTTAAGATAAATTTAAGGGATTTGACAGACAGAAGTGATCTTTTTTTGTGAAAATAGTTGGAAAATTTGGTTGTTTAACAGTTTTTAGAAACAGAAGGAAGAAGGAGGTTTACAGTGAAAATCTCTCTTTTGGTGGGACTGTCAATGTGATTATTATACAAAGAGTCACAACCAAATTTGGGGGGGTCTGCTTGCTCAATTTTTGAAGCATTTATTTTGTTAGATAATCATTTTTTGAAAATTTTACCTTTGACAACAAGCAGTCAAGAAAAAATATGTGCATTATCTTGAAAAACAGGGCATAAAATGAAAACTCTCAGCCTTAGTTTAAAGATCTCAAAAATATAAATTTTTAAAGGAACACAGTCAACAAAAGCCTTCAATAGAATTTTAGATCTGAAAGAAAACTTCTAAAAGTATTTTCAAAGTTTTAGAAATGCTTTTTATTTTTTACTTTGCCTGGACCAGCAACATCACCACCAACACGATGACAGGAGCAACAACTGGCCAAGCTGTAGATCAGTGTGTGTGTGTGTGTGTGTGTGGTCTCTGTTTATCAGTGAAAAGTGTTTGACTTATAAAAGAGATTTCTGGCTCAGATTCAACTACATTAAAGGAAATTGCTGGGAAACTCATTTTCCACCAAATCAACCCACTCAGACGTCAAACTGTATAGACACTCCATTCAGAGCACGCGACAAGTAAACAAACAGGATCATAACAAGCTGTTTAAGACATGATTAACAGCCGGAAGATGCTTTGGATCAGGACCATTTCTCTAAGTGTTCATTAAAGATTTTGAACGCTGCAAGGACAGAAAAAGCCATTAAGCAGATCTCTGGGGCACCCCTAGTCGCTCAGTGAATGAGCATCTAAGTCTGTTAAAAACGCTTTATAAGGACAACCTTGAAGATTATAAAAACATTCATTGAGTGTGTTTGGAACTAGAAAAGTGAACAACGTCTCTGTGATTCATGTTTTGACAGGAATAAACCCTCATTGGCACAGAAAGTACCTTTAATCATTCACTTACTGATGCACAATTTGCAGGTTGAACTTGACTTGAGGGCTTGTTTTCTACTCAACTCACTTTCACATGAAAATGCTGTACTTTTTACCCAAGTACATGTGTTGAAAGCATATGAAGATTGAGATTTTTGTACACAACATCCTGTACATACACCGAGCGATAAATAATATAAAAAATGCTTTCTTAAGGGATGGTATTATGCTTTCCTCATATTCTGAGAACATATGGTGAGATTTAATGTTAAGATGTTAAATGTCAGTACTGCACATTAGCAAAGTTTTTGACATAGTTAAAGTGTGCTGAAGTAAATTCTGAATGGGATTACAGGGTGCTCTGAGTGGCTACAGACCAATATGAGAATTGCTTAAACCAAGACATCACCAGAGAGTGAATATATTTAAAAAAGCAAATTTGTCATTTTATAAAAGGAAACACAACTTTGTTGGATGGTAACAGTAAAGGAGGCTTCTAGAATGTTGGATTGGGGTATGCTGGGCAGAGGGGGGCTTAAAGGGACAGTGGCTTAAACTAAGTGTCTCAAACAGAAGCTAAAATGAAGGTTTTCAAAGACAGCAGCCCAAAATATATTGATCTGTAAATCATGTCAAGTTGCTGAGAGGGACAAGATAAAGCCAGAAAAAATCAGTGTAATACCCCCTCTTTAAATATTAACATAAGATCAGGCCTCTTGTCATGTTAATCATCTCTCTGAGTTGTTAGTACTTCAAACAGAAAGGGCTGTTTTAACACTGAGCTTCACTGATGGCAAATCCAACAGCCACAAAAAGCAAAGATCAAATGAACAAAAAAAAAAAATTATCAAGGCATTTTATTTTTTTGATCAAATAATCATCTCATGACCTCTCAAGTTAATTTGACGAGTCTTTTGAAGGATCTAGCCTCGGGGTTTGGAACCATCGGACTAAACTGAACATAAAAAGCAGCTCTACATGATGTGATGAGTCAATATACAAATCACACAGGGCAGTTTATTGGAGAAATGAGTGCTATTATATAGCCAAAGTAACAGCAGATTTATTTACATTCATAATTTAACACAATAAAGGATTAAGGACCTCTGCTTGTAATGGGTATTTTAGATGGTTTTACAGGTAAAATACTGCGTCGAAATATTTCAGTCTCTGTTTCTTATGATAAGTTGTGACCCATCTGTCTAGAGGTCATAAAAATGAACATAGTTGTTATATCATGTATCACGTACTGCATATAACTACTGTTAAAGCTACAAATGAGGAGTTTGTACGTAATCATTTCAGTGCACCTGACTATTATCTGCAGCAAACACTCATACTAATGCTGGCTTTGATAGCCCTCTAGTGACCACAGAGGTGTACCTGCCAGCTCAGATATATCACTGTAATTTACTATAATGAGATGTTCTACAGTTCGGTTGTTTCTCCAAAGCCAACAGGGACATACGCTTTTTTTAGTCTTTAAATTAAACACAACTGTGGTTATTGTTGTTCTCGCTCCTGGAAAGCTTTTACACTTTCCCTTCCAAATTCCCTCTCTATTAAATCACCTGTATGAGTATACATATGTGCATGTGTGTGTGTGTGTGTGTGTGTGTGTGTGTGTGTGTGTGTGTGTGTGTGTGTGTGTGTGTGTGTGTGTGTGTGTGTGTGTGTGAAGCACCTGTGGGGTCATATAAAACCAGACTAATGATTATTTTCTGCTACAGCGTTCATATGAAAGCAGTTAATCGCTCCCTAGTCTCACTGGGGAGATTAGTCAGGTCATCCAGGGGGTGAAAATGGGCAAATCAGAGAGGGGGAAAAGGGAGCAAGAGTCCACTAAAAACTTGTTGCATCATGAGAAAGCTCTCCAAAAAGAAATAAAAGAATAAAAATAAACAAATAAAAGATCAAATTCGAACCACATGAGCATCCGAAAGGCGTGACCAGTGCAGGCAGCAGAGATATTCAACAGCAGAATTTAATCAACAGTTTTGAAATGTATGGTGTCATGCTCCAGTAAATCTGTGGCCTTTGCCTGGTTTTAATTACTGCCATCCAGGTCTGAAGGCCACAACATAGTCTGAGCTCTAGCTGGGGAAATTAAACAGCTTATGGCTCTGGCTGCAAATCGGAAACAATTCCAGATGATTTCATCTCTTCGCCCCCTCTGAGTTTATCTAGTCAGCAAATAGCATCTCTGAGTACTACTCAAGTTGGCACTGAGTCCAAATATTACAACAAGGGGATTTCCACCCACTTCTATCCCGTAAACAATGATTATGGTAGTCCTCAGTGGTGATCATCATAATGCCGTCTCCGAATGGTGCCCGATGGGTCACGATAAACATAACAAGATAATTGCAGCAGTCTGACAAGAGGCCTGGAAAGACGTCAGGGGTGTGAAATATTTGACAAACACTGTCAGTATAGACGTCTCATAAACGCAAAGACATACAGCACTCAGATGAGACATAAATCTAAAGGATGTGCTTTAGATTTCTAACACATGACCATGGAAACGGTTTTATTAGAAGCTTTGAGGGGTGATAACTGATTCCATATGCCTCAGAGTTAATAAAAGCAGTGGTGAAGCAGACAATTCGTGGAGTTATGTATAATAGTCTTCCTCCCATGCATGACCTGTTTTATTAAATGTAGTCATGTAAGAAACAAAGTGGAATAAAAATGAGAAATGAGAAAGCTTTGTAAACAAACACCATTATGATAAAAGCAGACTCCAGGCATGAGCCACACTAGCACTATAGAAGCAGGAAGGTTTTAATATTCGACTCAGCTTCATTCATTTTTCATATACTATACACAAGCTTATATTTAATACTATAATGCAGTATAGAACCATAGAGCTAATTAGATCTTAGACCGCACTAATAGTTCATTTTACATTTGTTTTACATACATATAAAGAAGCCAAGAGAGCTTGAGTGTGCTAATACACTTAATCCTGCTTTGATAACTGTTTGGTTTGTCATATTTACTTAATTTTAGGCTGTCAATTAAAAACTTTGAGGTTTTCAAACTTTACCTCATGCTGCAAGTTCATCAAGTTTTAATGACGCAGCTGGAAGTGAGAATCATGAATCTCATAGCACTAATTTTCAGTTTTTGGTTGACGGTGCTCAATCAAAGCTGTCCATTAAAATCACAAATCTCCTCCAATACTTGGTCTAAACAAAGAAAAGTTCATAAATCGGCTTATCAAAGTGTGCAGTTGTACAGTGTGTATGTTTTTTTCCTCTGCTTTATCAGAATGTCAATGAAAATCATTCAGAAAATTAACACTCATAGATAACAAGAAGGTTTTAGGGACTATTTTCTTTATTGCAGAGAGCCATCCAATCATCCTTAGGCAGACAAGGAATGAAACGAGGAATGCAGCAAATAGCCTGATAACACCTCAAGCCTTCACACCACACTCTCCAGAGAAGTTTCCATGAATCCACATCAACACAACAGAAAATTTGTTGTTGTTTTTTAACAGCATGGTATTGTCGAAGAAGTGCTTTAAACTGATCTACAGGTAGAAATGACAGCATGTGGCCGCAGTGTGATGTATTACACAGTAACACAGCACTGTGCTGTCGAGCTCCCTCTTTGAATAAATGAATGAGGTATGACAACAGCACATCGAAAATACAGCACTCAGTTTTGACACAGGCCAAAGAGAGAGTAGGAAAAGGAGAGAAGAGGAGAGAGAGAATAAGAGAGCAAAAAACAAAGTCAGATCTTCATATCTGAACTACCTTTGACAGTTAATATCTGACAGTATTATGCTGTAATTTGTAGTCTATAAACCTGGCAGCAGAGGGTAGATGAAGGGTAATGATATCTATAATGATAGACAGATGGAAGTTATGGCGGTCAGTCTCTCTTTCAGTGTATTTAAAGGAATAGTTCAACATTTTCAACGCTCTTTCTCATTTGTAACAGATGAACAGATAGATTTTTGCTGCAAGTACGTCTTTGCTGTTAAGATGGAACTGTAAGCAACAGCAAGTTAACTTAGCTGAGGACAAAGACTTGAAAAAGACCACACTCATCAAAAAAGACTCAAAATGTGTAGAATGACATATGGCAGATGTTGGTTCACCCACAGGGTGGTGACCCAGACTGTTTTTTGGCCATGGAGTTAACTTCCCGGAGTCTTGATGTCACTATATGGTACATTTGAATAGAAATCCAGATTGAAAATACAAATCCTGTTTATTCTGTTTTGATTGTTCAAAAAACTAACAAATACGGTTAAAAGAGAAGAAATCTAAAGAGATCCTGGTAGGTTTGTTGCCTGTTGGTTGTTTTCTAATGTTTCTAGTCTTTGTGCTTTGTGAAACTAAGCTTCTCCTCTTCTCAGATACAAAGTCCCTTGACAGCTAATTTTCCCAAAGTGCGGTACTATTCCTTTCACTGAGTTTAAAAGTTTCTGTTGGATCAAACCTGTTCACTTTTCTTGTCTTAGCAAATAAACCTGCTGAATGAGTGTAGCCCACATCCTGCACTTAATACTGTACATCTCAATGAAGATTGAAGGATTATTTCTCTGAGTAGTTAAAACACTACAGGTTAAAGTCCTGAAACAGCCTTGTCCAGTAATACAGAATTCCACAACCCACTCCCACACCCATCCAAAATATTTTTATGAAACTTTCTGCTGACTATTTAGAACCACTCTAACTAAATATTTATCTCTCACACACAGTTTGATCAAAATCAAAACAAAGTTCTGATAAATAAACCTCTGACAGAGCTGTAAAACTGTGCATGAAAATATTGGTTTTATGCAATTCTTTTTTATGATGTGTTATCTCCCATTTCCCACCCCACACCCTTTGACCAAAGTTTTGACAAACTCTGGTCCATAAAGAAGATTTAAATTCACGGTCTTAAATCTCCAGCTGCTCTAAGAGCCCTGTGGTGGCGGCTCCGGTCAATGACATCATTATGACAGCGCTTCTGATTTGTTTGTCGTCGCTCCCTGAACTTTGGCATCTCAGCTGTGAAGTCACTTTTTTGATAGATAGATTGAAAACCACTCAGATGATTATTCCAGTTTAAAGGAAAATTCTTTGTTCGTTTCTTGTTTGAGATTCACATGCAAAGAAAAAGAGAGTTTAAATAAAGATCAAACCAAATCTACTCCTAAGAGAAACACGAAAGAATAAGCTTCATGGATGAACAAGCAGAGCAGAGGCACAGCATGGAATACATAAATATGCTCTGTGTATTATAGGAAGAAGGGTTCAAGATGAAGTAATTAGATCATGTCAGTGTACAGAGGAGATATTGACATGAGAAGTGGAGATGCAGGAAAATGAAAGGGAATGCAGATTTGGGGAAGAAGGAATGAAAAATGCACCGGGGGTACGTGGGAAAAACTCAGGGTGGAGGAACAACCTTATCCTCGGCCTCCATTATCACTCGCATTCATTTTCTCGGAGGACATTATACATGTTGACAGTGAAGCCAGAAGGTTTATCGTCTTTCCCTCTTGAATGTCCAAACCCCTCATCTTCGTCGTCTCCATCCTCGTCATCATCAGCATCCCGGTCTCTCTCTTCCTCAGGCTCTGTGCTTGACTCCCCGTCATCATCGTCGTCCCTCTCTCCGGCTCCTTCTTCCTCTGTCGTTCTCCCTTGGAGGGCCGTTATTTCTGGCAAGTCTGGGTGATTCTCCCAATGCTCTGTGGACCATGACAATCCAAGAAAGAAACTGATTCTACTTGCCTGCTGTCTGACCTTGGCAGATGCACTTTAAACTGGCATAATGTAAGGCTGCATGATATTGGAAAAAACTAACATTGCAATTTTTTTCAACCCTGTGATATATATTGCGATATTAAAAATCAGGAATTTTCACCAGCAGCACAGATCTTACCTCTTTTTGTGAATGTTAGTAGAATGGCTTCTGTCTGTCTCAGAGATATTTTTAGCTTTTATTGTGCTGGGGTGTTATTGTGGCAACAGATGAAAGGCACTGCCGACACTTGTTTTGGTCGACATCATCCTTCTTGTAACCGAAATAATTCCAGATAACTGACCTTGCTTTTCTTTTTGGCAACAAGTCTTCATTTTCAATCGTTTTCTCTCGTTTGTTCCTCATTTTGCGTTTGCTGTTGTTGTTACCAGTGTTGTGCCAAGAAACACATGCCCGCCGAGAATTGCACGCACCGCTTATAGTAGAGTGGTCCATGGAAATGTACAATTTAAAAACCCATACATTTCTTATTTGTTGGGCTAAACAGTGATGAGTAATGTTCAGAAAGTAATTCTCGGCGGGCTTACGTTTCTCGGCAAGACAACGGCAGCGCCAGCAACTCACTCCATGTGCAGGACATGATCAGGGGCGTGGTTTCCTTTGATTGACGGCTGGTAGGGTAGTGTATCTTAGTCAGCTACCCTTTAAATTAGATGAGTTGATTTGCCTCATACATCGCAGGCTCTGCAATGTGACTATCGCGCACACGTACATCGCGATGGCGATGCTCAAACGATATATCATGCAGCTCTAGTATAATGAATTGTATAGGAGCAAGTTTTACCTCTCAGGCAGCTGTAGCCAGGTGGTCTTAGGCAAAGACATAATCTGCCATCAATGGCCAACCGCAGGAGGCTGTTAGCTGCACGGTATACGTCGTGGCGAGCTGCTTTTGCCGTCTTGTAGCCTCGCCTCTCCGCCCATGCTAAAGAATTCAAATGGGTGCAGGGAGAAAGGAAGTATTTATGCATTAGTGACACAGAAAGAGACTGTTGTATTGGTTATAATCATTGTAGGAAAAGTCTAAAAGTATACAAGATGATGATCTTAAAGAAAACAAATGACAGACCAAACAGATCAAATATTACCTGATACTGAAAAAAAACATCAACAACTTCATCCCATCCATTAATAATCACACTATCTCGTGGCTCTAGGCTGTACGCATACCAGTGAAGTTAAAACTTTTGTAAACAAAGGTTGTTTGGAGGTTGCTCGGTTGCACCTAACTCTTCAAAGTTATGAATTAAACAGTCAGCGTCTCTGTGTGTTGGCTTACCCTCACACACATCCCATGCAGTCCAGCTGAGCCCCTCAGATCCCTCGTTTCCTTGGTGGGGTTTGTTTTCAAGTAAACTAGGATGCTTGAGCTTCAGCACGGACAGAAAAGGGGTTCTTTCACAAAGATAACCAACTGAGCTGTAGGGCTCCTGCAGCTGAGACACCGGGTAGATGCCTGCCAGAATCTAGAGAAAATAAAACAAAGGCAAAGATAAAAGACTAGAGCGGGGAAGAAGAAAAAAACGAATCAATATTTGAAATCAAAATAAAGTGTAAGATCAGTTTTGAAAACAAGATAGTGTCCAAAGTTTGCAGGGTTCAGCCTGAGCGTGAAACTTCTTTGAAATTCCAAGTCTTTTGAAGATAACAAGAAAGATGATTGAAAAATCAATAATTCACTTTCCCAAAACTATTCGAGTGCACTGTTCAACCCGATTTTATTTCTATTGAGCCCAAGCAGGAAAGAAGAATCCAAGTCAAATCTGCTATCAGGCACTGCAAAGTGAGCTTGTACCTGTAACTGTTTATCGACACGGGAGGGGAAAACCAGTCCAGGGCAGTCACAGAGTTTCACTGTTGGGGTGAGGTAGTAAGTCTGGAAGTATTTGGTGTGGCCTGGGGTTCGAGACACGCTGACCACCTTCCTTCCCACCAGACTATTTATCACAGATGACTTGCCAACATTTGGAAAGCCTGCAAGAAAATCAAGGGTTAACGATCAGTGTTTAGCATTCTAGACTAAGTTCCAAATCCAGTCCTGATGTCAGCCATTCCTGCAGTCGGGTTCAGTGTTTTTTATTATTCTATATCATTGACATTCAATAGTTTTTAAATAGAACTAAAACACTGATAATTTTTCATAGAGATGAGTTGTAACATTTTTTTGTTTCCTAGACCAGATTACAGTGAAACCATATGGACTTCCCAGTTAAACTTGTCCAAAAAATCCAAAAAGTATCTGGTGAAAATCTTGAAAAGCTGTCACCGAACATCATTAAAGGCATCAATTTCTTTCAACAGACTCATAATTTTACCTATGCAGCCCAGTGTGAGAACCCCGTCTTTGTACAGCTCTCGTGATGGGCTGCCCATGTCCATGGCGCTGTCACTTTGATGCTCTACCAGCACTGACTCTGCTCCTTCATCTGGACGCTCACCATCATGTCGCTCAGCAACAGCGTCTCTCTGAATTTTCTTCTCCCAGCTCGATAGATCAACTTTGAAAATAAGAGGTCATAGTTATAGAATCAGTGCAGAAGTACATCAGGGATTAAGTGTGCACAGTGGGCAAACGCATGTATTTTCTGGAGTAAATACTCACCTCTCCCTGCTGTGATCTCCTGACAGGCCTTTAGAATATCTAGAAGACCTCCAGCGTGATTCCAGTCAGCCTTCCTTCTCATCCTCTTCTTCTGGAGTACTGCAAGCCAGAGGACAGATAAACTCATGAATCCACAGAGAAGTTTTTTTTTGTTATGTATCTCTCAGTCCCTCCCTGTTCAACCAGCCTCTCCACCCTTCTACCCTTCCCCTACTCCTCCTGTCCTCACCTGTGCTGTAGGGCTGCCCAGGGTGGGAGGTAAAACAGACTATTTGCAGGTGGGGGAACTGGGAGGTCATGTAGTGTTTCCAGGCAATCACCAGTGGAGGAGGACACAGGTCGGCTTTGTTCATCACCAGGACCACCTGCTTCTGAAGATCTCCTGTGATGTAGTGGTACAGGGCAGGAGGGAACTGCAGCACCTGGGTGGTTTACATGAAAATAGTCATTCTGAAAAATTCAAGATAAAAACTACTGTATCATAGACTTATTAATAGAAACAATGCCAGCAGTGCAGCTATTGGCTCTTTACTAATACAAGAAAATCTTCACAAGGTGAGTCAAATTCAAAGATTGTATATTGTAGCTTACTGGATTGAAAGTAGAACTGATTAAATAAGGAATATTTTAATGTAAATCATAAAAGGATTAAACTAGAAATCATAAGGGTTGGATTATACTAATGGTGACTCACTGTCTCCATCTTGTGGTCTAATTTGTCCTTGAGGCTTTGCTCATAAGATCACTTACCGGGTGCCTGATGTCCACAATAAGGAGGATGACATCTGACATTTCCAGCACTCTCCACAGCTGCCTCCATGTCTAAGAGAGAAAAAAGAGGGGCAGTGATGCAGTTCTGTTAACAAAGCAAAGCAAAGCCCCTATGAATGCACTGCTTCATTATATTCTCCGCTGGAAGTGTTAAAAGGTAGCAGAGTTAATCAAAAAACAAATGTGTTTGGGAAAGCAATGATTTTCTTCAGGACTTTTGTGTTTAACCTGAACACTCCTAATACAAACTAGAAAAAACACTCGGAGAGCGCAGACCTCCGCCCAGCAGCTCATGTCCCCCCTTATATTGTGATTCACACCAAAACTTTTACTGTTACGTGTCTTTTATTAACTTTTATTTGTGTTTAAACTGGTATGTTCACTGTTCATAATGTTCCTAAAACAACAAAGCTCATATTAGATACATAAATGTATGATCTATTCATTTTTGTGTGTTCTGGATCACAGAATCCGGAATTTTGTCTGGATCAGGATCAACCTTTGACACCTCATAAAACTCATTGAGATCCTTTTGTGTAATTTTTTACTAAAGACTCTGGACATTTTTATAGAGTTAAATGCAAAAAATCCAAAATTTGCCCTATCTCACAATGATAAAGAATCGTTTAAAAAATTCCTGGATCCAGAAGGCGATCCGGATCACCACCAAAATGTAAGGGAATCCTCCTGGGGCTGAGACGCACCTCTGGTGAAAATTTCAGGTAACTCCGTCTGTTACTTTCTCCGTAAAGTTGTTCACAGACAAACAAACAAACAAACCAACGCTACCAAATACATACCCTCCTCTGCGGAGGTAACAACAGTCCAACCTGTTTAGAGAAGCAGCTTTTCATACCTGCAACTTTTCTGACACTCTGATCCTCGACTGCACTCAAAAAGACATCATCTCCTGAATTCTAAGAGTCACTTATCACTCCAACAGCTGCCTGAGAACTGCCTCTTAAGATCAGCCCACGCTTTGAAATGAAATTATCTTCAGGTTTTTTAATTTGACAAAATAAAAAAAAGTGTTATCACTTTCACAGCTTCAGCAAACCTAACAAACATCCCAGCATGTCAGATATGATGGTTCCCCTTAGGACAACAGACATATTTAAGACGGGCATTAAATTGATCTTACTTTATCACAATTCAATATCAATGTCATGTTACATCCTGAAAATACACCCAGGACAGAAAGACTTCAGGGTAATCACAGATACAGACAGAGAATACACATTAACAAGCATGATTGCTTCATGCACTGTCTGCTGCCAAACAGGTTTAATAGGATTCAGAAAGAGCTCATTTGCATAGAAAATGTGCTGCACTCAGAGCTCTTCAAACCCGCTTCATGTAAAAAAAAAATCTGAGTCTAAACCGACAGCGATAATTAGACTGAGGGAAAAAGGAGTTAAAAGCAAGCGTGTACTTCAGAAAAGGTTAATCAATAGATCGATCTGAGTTTACAGGTAAACTCATGAGATCTGACCTGTACTGAATTACTTACTGTGTGAATTTTGAATTACTGCATTTGTTACCAGGATAAAGGCCAGCAAACTATGTGAAGTTATGTGCACTTTAAACATTTCTGATATTGTCCATGTGGGGTCGTTGGTATAAAGTAAAATGCTGCCCTCTCCGCAAGTAAAAGGTCAGGGTGAATTTGGGTGAACTGGTCTGTAAATGCAGCAGATTTCACTCAAACAAGCTGGCAGGGTGTTGATGGTCCTTCATTTTGCTACTTCATACCCTTCTTTGCTCACTCAGTTATTGGGATTATGTTTTCCACTATTGTGTTTGTACTGTGGAAAGTTCTTATGCATTTTGAAAAGACATTAACCCAGAGACAGTCATCATTACTAAGAAATCCTCATCTTGACTCCCCTATATAGCTGTCCCCCTCGCATAATCCAAACAAAGAATTTGAGTCGTGAGAGCATAGCCTACAAAGATATCCCCCGCTATGAGTTACATAAGTGAAGGCAAAGTCTAGCTGACATAAAAATGTATCATCATGGTGACTCTTTAAATTTATCATCACAATAACAGGTCACAACCCTCTTCTCATGTTTCTCTTTAGCATTCACCTCTGCTTTGAGAGAAGGCAGGAGAGGGGTTCTAGTGTTTTTTGCAGATTTAGGCTGTAAAAAAACGTGGTCATCGTCACAGACCCCTTCAGAAAACACCAGTGACAGCAGCATGACGCCTTGAGCATCCAAAGCTATTTGCTGATACAAACATAGATCGCACTGTGCTGGTCCCTCGCTCTCCAAATACATGATCAGAGATAAAACTTCTCCCTCCATTTATGCAAACACTGCTGTAGCAATGAGAGCGAGGAGCATAATTGAGCTCTGTTGAAGTATCAAAACCCCATCAGAGCGAGTAAACAAGGGTTTTTCATTCACAAAACAGAAATGTGAGTACAGCATGAGTGCACACAGCTGGATCAGTGACACATAAATATCACATCAGAGAACGAACAGAAGCTGATCTGATTTGAGTCAAGTGATTTACTTGTTCTGTTCAGTGTAAGTTTTTGAAGAAATAAATAATACTGAAATAGACATAAAATCACACTTAATCTGTTGAATAGGGCTTTTGTTGAGTAATGTTGGTGGAAAGTCCCAGTAATTTAGATGCATGAAGATGAACTGTGATTTGTTGTGCCATGAACTGCACTGTTTCTGCTATGACTGAGTGAGGAGTAAAGGAGACAGTTTACTTCAGAAATATCTTTTTGTTTGATGGCTGATCCAAAAAAATGAACCAGACTGAGCCCCTTGATCTATGATTTGAGATCTGTTGCATTCCACTGAACTACTGAAATATACATAACACAAACCACACTGCATCTGTACACCCCCTCCAGGCAGTAAAGTCTTCTGATGAATACAGAGTAGCTACTTATGAAAATAGTTGTTGATCAGAAAATACATTTATGGTCAAGTTCTGCAAGTCGAAGCTTAAATGCCTCTAAGTGTTTTTCACTTAAGTAACCTACCTCCAGATTGTGCTCAAAGTGGCTGAGAGTGCCGAGTGGGTTTCTAGAGTGCAGGTCATCCAGGTAATCTCTGTACGACTTCTCCTCTTTCCTCAGCAGGCTCTCTCGTGTCATCTCATAATTCCAGGACGGTCGTCGTGGGAAACCAAGACCTGGCGGTGAATAATCAAATTACAGTTTGTCAGGCACTGAGCCACTCCATTGACCCACTCTGTTCATCAGTTTGTCTTATTTTGAGACTGTCATGTGGAGAGCATTAAAAAACAGGCAGACCTTTCTCTGATGGATAAATGTCATGGATGTTTGTCTCAAGTTCTTTGTCCGAGACAGGCTGTAACACCTTTTCCCTCGCCGACTTCTTCCTCTTTTCCACTTCTTCTTTACTTTCCTTCTCAAAGTGCAGTCGGAACCTAAAAGAGCAGTTCAAGCAGGGTTGTCAGTATAGCTTTGTAATCATTTGTCCAACACTCGACTGCTTTATTTAAATAAATTAAGACTTTCAAAGCAATTAACTGTTTCTTGTTTTAAGATGACATCACGCAAGATAAAGGAGGTTTTTAACTAAAATGAATATCAACAGCTTTATTCTATTTTAAACAGATACTTTTAAACAAAACTGAAATAAAGTAAATGTTATTCATATTTAAAACTCACCTGTTGGGGTCATATCTACCTTCTCTGCTTAAAGGCTGCTGATTTATTCTCCTAATATCAGTGGTCTCACTGTCAGAGGTGTCAGACTGCCGCTCTCCACCTCGCTCCACACTGGCATTGCGGCTGCTTGGCCCAGAACCTGTATCACCTGGAAGCCCAGAGTAAATGTCGGGATTTACAGTCAAATACAGTTAAACAAACACAAACACAGGCAGAGGTTTGATCTTATTGTATTATAAATAAGATCATTTAAATAAAATGTTTAGTCTTCATTGTGCACCTTACATCAAAATCACAAACTGTTTTACCTTGTTTAGTTTGTATTAGATGCCTTGACAACATGCTTTAAATGCATAGCAAGGTATTTTTCTTCATGATATTGTTATTCATGGTATTTATGATAGTTCGCTTCATGTTACCTCGTGGGGTGGACACCTGCTTTAATCAAGACATGCTGATAAAATCAACTACACATAGTGTTAAACATGTTTTGGTTACATCATGCGATGTACAACATTACATAACCTTTCTTCATAACATTCGCTTTCACAAATGTATGGACTCTTAAGGTCAAACTGGTTAAAACATCCCTAACATAAGCCAGTAAAAGGCTAGATTTTGACACTGAGACAATTTGGCAAACAAATCAAGATCTGACTTTTTCAGTCAGCAAAACATCACAGGGGTGAATGTGCTTCTCTGTTTTAAAGTGTGGAGATGGAGTTAAAGTAGGTTGAAGAATAAAAATGACTCTTTGTTGCACAAATAAATGGAAATAAATAACCACAGTGATGTTAAATGGCTGAGTCCTTTGCTGGCTAGTGGATATGTGCGGCCAAACATAAACAATCTTACACCGAGAAGCGATGATTTCAAATTCATTTCAAGGTGATATTACACATCCCTATTGTCTTACATCGTCCGCACACAACCTTAATGTGCGAATCTAAAAGCCTCTGTTATGCCTTTAAAGGTTTGGTAACTTTGCAGTGCGTACACCTGGGATATCAAGTTCGAAGTCAATTTATATTACACTGCTAGTTATTACAGCTAGCTGACAGAAAACATTGGAGTTGTTTTAATAAGAACTGTAAGTTCCGATGCTCTGTTTGTTAACAGTGCGTGATAAAACACTGTAGTAAACCAAAACAGTTAGCCGTTTAACTAACGTTGAAATTAGCTGTGCAGCTCAAACCGTTAGCTAACTGCTAACGCTAACATGGTAACGTTAATGGCATCTGTAGTTACCTCTCTTTCTCTCCCGTTTGACTTGTAGCTGTTTCTTCTTCTGTTTGTTGCTAAATGGCTTTTTCCTAGGCATACTTAAAAATAAGCTGTTAAATATATTTAAGCTATGTACTATGTACTTCTATGTACACTCTGCTAATCCGCATCAGCGACGTTATTTACATGGGTGAAGTTTCTCGACTCCTACACTTTTCAGTGACGCCATATCCACTGCAGACTGCAGAGAATGGTGGACGATACCACAATAATGCTCGTAAACTGCCCGAGGTTTGAGGTAAAATTAATACTGTTATCGAAGGTATCGATTTCGATATCTTATTTTGGCGACAAGGAGTTATATCTAACGGTTCTGTCATAAATATATATAAAGAAAGTACCACAAATTGCTACTTTCTGACAATAAACTCCCCTCTCGCTAATGGTTCGGTCCACTTTTGTAAACACCTCTAAAGATTGCACATTCCTGCAGAGCACCACACGACTTGTGCCTAAAACAATAAACATGGGTGCACAGTAGTTTCTTTACACATGTAGAAGTAAAATCGACTGTTTTGAGTGATTTATTTAAGTTATCATGGACATAGTTCTCTCTCTCTAAAAAAACAAAAACAATTAGTTAATGAATAAAAAATATTAAACGTTTTACTTTGGACTTTAAATGTTTCTGAAAATCAATAATCGGAGTTTTCTTTTGGCAAATTCTTGATATGAATATCCGAGCAGTTGAATTTTTTTTAACTATATTTCATTTTACTAAAATTGAGAAAATAATCTGCAAATTGAAAAAGCCATCATCATGGTTACTAATGAATTACAATTCATAAAACTGCGACATTAATCATAAGAAATACAGGAATTTACTTACAGTGAAAAAACACCAATGCGGCCTATTTCTTACGGTTTATTGATTCTTTTTTTTTTTTCATTTAAAAAAAAGCATGATAGTTATATGGTATGTGCGTCAAAAAGTATTATACATCACTGTTGACGTTTAATTGCAACATCACATTTGGATTGCATTTCTTTTAGGACATACACACTCAGCAGTACAACAGGATAACATAAAATGTGAAGCGAGGTCATGTGAATGCCAGCAAATGGGTCTGAATTGGTTACATCGATTACCATATCATTTAAATGAACAACATATTTAATATACTTGCAGTATATTGCTATGTAGACTCCATTGGATTTCATTCCTAAAAAGGAAAAAACATCGATGTCCCTTTTGGGTTTAAAAAGTATTAACTGCAGGCATTTATTTTACAGTATTGCAGAGGTTTTACACTTACATATAAAAAGAAAAAGAAACCTCTCAGTAAGAAAGTATAAAAATTTACCTTCACAGTCAACTGCCAGTTTTCCTCAACAGAGAAAGACCATAAACTGATGTGGTCAAATTATTTGGAAGAGCATGTGGAGGGATGAAACATGAGAGAACTGCTTTCTCTTTGAGTCTCTTCCCCATCGTGAAACCATCATTATGATGGACTGAAAGATTTTATTGCAGTTTTTTATACATTTCTGACCTGGACAGAAATAACTAATGAACAGAAAAGATATTGAACAAGGCAGGAAAAAAAGACATACAAAAACAATACACAGTTATAATCTTCAGTAAACCGTATCACCATATTGTTTATCCTGTCAGTCTCAAAGCATTGTCGAGGCACAGTCATTTGTCTTTAAAAGTTCTTTTTTAAATTTTTTATTGCTTTTATCCTTTGACTCTTCAGCCTCCATATTTAGAATTAATATTCAACCTCTCCATCCCCCAAAACTAACTCTCATCATAAATGTCTAAGGGTTGAGGTGCTCCACTTGAATGGTGGATGCTGACACAGTAAGACAGAGGTCCTTGTGGGAAGTTATGTCCGCTATACTAACTGGCTTGTACTGGATGTCACTGGCAGAGACTGTTTTATACTGGTGCAGGTCGAATGGACTGGAGATGTTTTGTGACTGGGAGTAGTTGCTCTGGCTCTGCCCCTGCTGTCCTCCGCCTGCCCCTCTGCTCCCAGCTCCCCCAGGCTGGCTTAATCCTCCTTCTGCACTCTCTACCTGGCCCTGAGCTCCAGTCTGACTCTGGGCCCGGCTTTGGTTCTGGCTCTGGTTCTGTTGTGTCGTCTGTGCTGCTGGTGCAGTCAACTGGTCTGGGTTGTGTTTCTCCATGTGTTTCACCAGATACGTCTCCTGAGATGAAGGGAGGATAGGTAGAGGGGAAACAGTGGACATATGACTACATGGTGTAAAGTAGCTGCCAGAAGTCTGATGCCAGAGAGGCGATTCATAGTGTTGCATGTAGGATTGTTCTTCAGAAATGGGCATTTGTCTTACTGAGGTATAAGTGCGGTTGCAGAGTCCACATGAGTAGATCCTTGCATGTTTGACTGTGTGTGTGGACATGTGCACCTCCAAGCTTGCTGAATCTATGTATCCTTTGTTGCAGTTGGGGCACTTGTAGGGCTTGTCCTTGTTGTGCTGACGCCGATGGGACTGAGAAAAAATGGTTATTGTGGTAAAAGTTTTACAGTACAGACAACAAACTCTTGGAGCTCAATAACTATACATGAGGGAGATAAAGACTGTCACACCTGTAGATTTGAAAGCTGTGTGAAAGATTTCTCACAGCCTGGATGGATACACTTGTATGGTCTATCTCCTGTGTGAATCCTGAATAAAAACATGAGAAGACAAATGTGTACATACAGAAAATCCTAGCGCTTTTATCGAGATCTAACTGACTGAAGAAAGACACAGAGGCAAGTGAGAAACCCAAAACCAGCGATTGACTTACCTGTTGTGCTGCTGAAGGTGACTGAGCTGTCTGAAGCTCTTTTGGCAATACACGCAGGTGTACGGTTTCACTCCGGTGTGGATGCGGACATGCTGGGCCAGGTAGCTAGAGTTGGCGAATGACTTGGTACAGTGGGGACATTTGTGTGGCTTGGACTCTGTGTGGTTCCTGATGAGAGCAGACAGGAAAACAGGTTTAAATGGTAACGTTGAGATAAAAACACTGCGTACTGTGTTTGACAAATACTCAAAGTGAAGGTCTCAGTTTATCAAAACTAGACAGGAAGGCCATTCGGAACCAGTCATGGGCAGATAACAACACAAAAAATCTTGGGGGCAGTGACAAAAGCCAACAAATATTTTGTGTTGTTATTAAAGCAATGGTAAAATACTCCAACATTCACACAAACCCAAAATGACAAAGCAATACAGTGAGTTATTTAGACTGTTCCCTTTGTTATGCATGTGTGTCTGCTCTGGGTGATCCAAAAGATGAACAAATGAAATATTACAGTTTTCTAACAGCTTTTATAAATGCATTTATTTAGACATACATGCCTCCACAATGAATCCTAAATTAATTTGATGATAGCCAGAGGGAACAGCAACAAGACAGCCATGATAAAATGAATGCGGAGAGCAGGGAAGCAGAGCAGGGAAACAAAGGATTTCTGTTACACATTGTCATTCAATCGAGAAAGCAAGAAAAGGCAATGACAGGGAAGTACACCAAACATTAACACAATAGTTTGAATGGTGGAGCAAAATGGAACAAAGTGTGCATTTTAATATGTATTTCCAAACCGTACGTGTGTGTTGTGTGTGTGTGCTGGGAAAACACTGGCAGGAGATACGACAGAACATGCAGACAAAGAAATACATTAAACAGGAAAAATGCAATGCAAGCTGCACAGAGAGAAGCAAATGAATAAATGACGAGAGAAAGAAAGGGCAAAATGTTCTCATTGTATCAGTTAATATAACAGAGCTCCATGCATTTCAAATGGCCTTTCTAATTATGGTATAAATTACGAAAAACTCCTCACAGACAAAGTCTGACCTGAAAAGAAGTCATTTGAATTTTACTTTTCTGTAAAGGTCACTTCTGGATGGGACTGGTAGCATGCCAACATCTACATGGCAGTGAAATATGCATCTGCGCACCACTCCAAATTCTCCCCCAGGAGGAAGAAAAAGAAGAGGACAGGACTCTGGACTTCTAAAAGTCACTTTGCAAGATGAGTTAAAAGGACAGGGGGTACGGGGGTTGGAAGTGGGGATTGGGGAGGGGGGTCTGCAGTACCGTGTGTGCTGCTGTAAATGACTGAGCTGTCTGAAAGATTTCTGGCAGTAGGAGCAGGTGTAAGGCTTGGCCCCACTGTGGATGCGGATGTGCTGGGCCAGGTAGCTGGAGTTGGCGAATGACTTGGCGCAGTGAGGACACTTGTGAGGTTTGGCCTCTGTGTGCGACTTGGAGTGGATCTGCATGTCAGACTTACTGAGGAAGGTCGCCGCACACATCCGGCACCTACGGGCGGAGAGACACAGAATTGGGGGAAGGGGGGCAGGATGGATAGAACAAGAAGGAAAGGAAAGGACATATAAACATACAAGAAGACAGAAGAGAGAAGGTTGGAAAAGAAATAAAGAGGCGATGAAGAAGACAGGATAACAAAGATTGAAACGTGAAAAAAACAGATACGATAGAAAATGAAACTTACAATTTAAAGAAAAGAGACAGAATAAGATAAATCAGTGGAGAAGGAAAACAGAAAGGTGGAGTGAGGGTTAAATCAAATGTAGGGGACATGTGAAAACAGGGTCAAATGTAAGGGGACAAACTTAGATACTTGAAAAAGTGACAGAGCAGTGCACAAAGAGACCAAGAGCATGCTGTACGAACACAAAGAGGGACAGTAGAGGCAGGGTAGCAAATTATGTCCAGTGTGTGCAGAGGCAAAGAGAGCATCTACGGAGCGCTGATGTATTTGCGTCTCAAATACATTAAAGGAAGGAATAAGCTGTCCAAAACAAAAGCAGGCATGTTCTGCCACAACATGTGGAGAAGAGTATTGATAAGGAAAAGTGTGTCTGTGTGTCAGACGCTTATATCAAGCTGGCCTAGTTCGTCTCTATAAGCTCATCTCTATGCAGATCTCATCTGAGCACAGAGCAACAGGTGTGCTTGCATTCCACAGCTAGAGCAAGAAGAAACAGGAATACACAGCAGGCGTAGTTTGGACACTGTACCTGTATGTCTTAGTGTTGTCTTTAGGGCCGCGGTCTTCCTCTTCATTTGACAGGTTGTAATGGTCTCCAGTATGATGTGGCAGAGATGTAACCTGTCAAAATGATATGTTAAGTTTACTCATCTAAACACGCCTACTCTTATTTACACTTTTACTTTTGGAACCTCTTCACTTTTGAATTCTTACCTGTCCGCTTGCTGTCAGATGAGCCAGTATTAGCGTTTCATTTCCTGCCGCCCCCACGGCTAGTGTTGCCTTCTTCTTCCTTCCTCGCTTGGAGGGCGCTGGCATCACGACCACATGGGGAGTCCCATCTCCTTCTTTTTTATCTACAAATGATTGAGCAGCTGGTGAGAAAAAAATCGAAACCTTGAAGCAAGCTCCTGGAGGTGTTTACAAGAATGCTGGAAGATTCTCAGGTTTTTGTTGGTGCGTGTTCTTTTAGTTTTCAAGGACATTAGAGTGAATCTCAGTGAAAAACAAAGGTATTTCTCATTAAATACTTTTGATCATAAAGCCCTTTTAATGATGATTTCTACAACATCTCTACATAAATATGAAAGTAAAAACATACCAATGATTAATGAGTAAGCTGTACCATAATTGCACATGAAAGATATTTTTCTTTTGTTTGAGGCAAACCGATTAATATCAAAGTGAAGAACAATTAGTTGCTGACACAGTCTGGATAAGTAGTTAAATTATTAATTGCTCATTTTTCTGGTTTGTGAGAGAACAGTTTGTGCTTTGAAGACAAGACCACTGGGCTGTGGCTCAGAGATTTTAGAGAAAAAGGAACAAAATCTAATTGTATTTTCTCTCATCTCGTCGCTCGCATGGAGTGAAAATGACACTTATAAAGCAAGCGTGCCTGATCATGTTGCAGAAATCCAAATCAAGATGTGTTACAAAAGAATTGTTTTTTCTATTGTCATATTTGTTTTATGTTCATCACTGTACTTTGAAATCCTGGTCTGTTGTAAGCAAATGTAAATATCCCCACAAGAATGATCACAATGACATCTGTAAAGACAGGATCTGGAATTAATTGTTGCTTTCTTACTAATCTGTCCAAACTGATTTTTGTCATTTTATAATAATTAAAATACTACCTGATCTTAAACAAGAATGATCAATTTATCAACAAATCTTGTCTAGGGGAGAAAGAAACATTTCTCAAGAAAGTGAAAACTGTAGGATGGACTGAAATTACAACAGGGGTGGGACAAAATATCAGTACAGCAATACACCTGATCTCCGTGTTATAATAATCCAAATTCCAGAGCTGAGAACGGTATGTTGATTGAAAATGTGCTCTAGACAGATGTGACTTGCAATGGCCCTGATAACACAGTCAGTTTGACCTGGATAGAAGTTTATAGACTGAGGAGTCTGTAGACAGGGTATCACTGACCTGGGACGGCTGGACAGAGTTCTGAGTGACAATTACTGCTCATATTATTGACAATGGGTGCTAAATGCATTCCTATGTGCTACAAAAAACTAGCGTGATGCACACTGCTGCTCATGTGGCAGAAGTTTTTCCCGGTGGCTGTGGAGGGATGAAGGCTGACTGAAAAACCTTCACATTGTTTCATCTCAGTGAAAAGAAACCAAAGTGTAGTGAAAACCTCATTTGTCCTGCACTTTGCCACTTTAGAGGCATTATGTATTCATCGGTCAGCAAGATATTTTAATTTATCATTTCGTGATTGTCCTGCAGTTTATTATTGCTGTATAGTGGTATCATCTATATTGCAGGCCTTGAATTACACATCTTATCTTATCGTATTATAAGTTACGAAGCAACTCCTGCTCCTTATTTAAGAAGCAGAGTGTAAGAAGAGAATTACAATGTTTATGTGTTAAATGTGCCATATTGTATGTTTTACCTGTAGAACTGAGCGCTGAAACAATCATGGTTGTTGTTGTTGCTGGGTGGCCAGTGACAAACGATTGAGACGAGGTGGGGGACACTAATGTTCCTTGAGGCGTTGTGATGACCAGACCCGCTTCAGAGAAAGAAAGAAAAAGACAAAGAAAGCAATAAGAAGGGCAGAAATTAGACCTAAGAGGTAACAAATGTGACATTCAGCGTTTCAAAAAGAGATCTCTCTTCATTTCGAACTGTTCACGTTTGTTTAGTGCTAGATCAAGTATGACAGCACAACGCTACTTTTCCATTATTTGTAGAAAGCCTTGAGGTTTTTGCATCGATTAAGACACAAAGTTGTTCTGTTTCGTCTATTGTGCAGCTTTGTGGTCCCATCACTCAACAATGTTACAAATCTGTTTCCTCCAGTTTTGAGCTCAACTGCTGAGTAGTTATTCCAGCCGAAACCTTTAGTACTTTAGATGTGAAACTGAACTTTTTTAAAAGGTAATATGTAAAATGTATCACAAGAATGAACAAGAGCTTTCTCCTACTGAGAGACACCCAGAGGCTTCTCGATGTAGACAGACTCACCTGCTGTCATGATGCCCGTGGAGGGGACTGGCAGCATGTTTTGGGTGCTGTGAGGAGGGTGGTGGTGTGCCACACTCCCAGCCTGCCCTCCTCCATCTGTCTTCATCCCAGGGGTGGGGATAGTGACAAGAGCTGTTTGGTAGTGCGACGCAGGAGAAGAAGAGAAGGAAGCATTCTTTTCCTGTTGCTCTTTCACCTTGTTCAGGAATACAGCATTCTCAATCTGTCAGCGGAGAGGACATTCTTTATTTCAATAACCAGACTGATTAATCTTTTTTTCTGACAGTCACGGAGCAATCCTCAAAAAAAGATGCACCCCCTGCCAATCATGGCGAGATAACATATGCTTGATTTCTTGTCCAGACGTACCTGTCCTGACACCGTGGGGATCGGAGACCAGAAATATGAATTAAAATGCGAGTCTTCCATTTTGTCTGCAATGACACAAAGACAGCAAGAATAAACAACTGGAATTACTTCTCTTTCTCAAACTTAAAATAGGAAAAAGGGCTTTAACAAGAGCAAAAACTGAGAATTACTGACTTATGCTCCTAATACTAAAAGTAAATAAACATCATTTTAATTTCATGAGTTGACAAGCATCAAGGTGGAGAGATGTCACCAATTCGATGGTGATGAGGGTTTCCTTAAGTAGATACAAATATGTAGATGTAATTTGGAGTATTGGTATAGTCACACAAGACCGAGGGAATCAATCCAAAAAGATTTTTAAAAACTGGCAGCACATTTCTCTTGGATTTTATAAGTGTTTGCTCAAGTAGCCTGATACGAATGGATTACTGAAACAAACAGACTGCAGCAAACATCAAAAATCTCTCCAACACTCATTCACAAGTATCAAAATCTTATGCCTACTGTGATTTAAGTCATACCAATAAAATCGTCAAGAACTGCCTGCTTCACAATGAGGCTAAGCAAGACTTAAATAGCAAAATTGACAAGCTGGACATGGTTATTACACTCTGTCCAAATGGGAATGTTGTGGTTTTGAGCGCCAGTACAGTTCCTGACCTCAATCTTACAGTAAACACAGCAGATTCAACTTCTTCAATAATATTAAAAGTTGATTCATTAGACAATCAGAGCGATTACTGTGCAACATGAATAAAATGCCACCTATCAATTGCACATCGTTTCTACAAAAAGCACAAGCTAAACACAAGGACTCCATTTCTATTCTTCTCATCTTCAGGCCCGACATGCTGGTTTACATACAGTTAGCTCGCAGACAGTGGTGTGTCTGTTGTGTCGTCCTGTTTGGGAAAAAATAACAAGCAAAGCAAAAGGAAAAAAAGGAAAAAAAGGGCCGAAGGATAAAAAAAACTGAAGAGTAGTGAAAAAAAAAATCAATAGACCATCCTCATAGACTTCCGGCTGTGGCGACGGGCGGAGACAGCAGAGGAGTCCTGCTGCAGGTCTACAAAATCTACCACCGAGTGCATGACCAAAAGTGGCGATTACCGGTAACGACGATCCCGGAGCCCTCCCAGGACCTCCCCTGGACCCGTACGATTTCCAAACACTTTTCCAGTCGGGTCAAATTCCTGCAAACCAGCGAACTTTTTCCCCCCCTTAAAGCTTTTTTTTTTTTTTTTTAGTTTTTTTTTTTTTTTCTCCAGTTCGGCAGCTGCCTCGTCCAAAGCTTTACTTCCCCCGGATAAGGTCGTCAGACAAAGAGTGTGACTTTTGATGTCACTTCCGGTGACTGATGAACTATTTATTTTGGTATAACACTATTTCGGTTGGGTATTTTTCTCCCCTTTAAGAGAAGGGCGATAAATGTGTATTCATGGTTTCGAGCCGCGTATTTTTATTTTTATTTTTATTTTTTTACACAATTTTGTTTGCGAGTCGTCCCTCCATGCCGCATTCACGTGCTGTTGGAAGTAAAAACCTAACGTCTGAGGGCACGAAGCAGATTTTTGGCTCACTACAAGTTGTTCCCTCTTGCTACTGAATTTGTAAGCTTTATTTCCTAGGGCGATATGACTACAGTTACTCTTGAAAGTTCTCGTTTTCTCATGTAAATAAAAAGTTGACTGTGTTTCCTTGTTATGTGTGGGGGAGAGTGGGGTAAGTTGAGCCACCCCGTGTTGCTTGGAAATGGCAAAAGAAATTGATCATGTGACCAAATATTTAGAGATGGGCATCAATTCATGGAGTCTGTGAAGGTTAGAAGCACATGGGTGAAGGGGTTAGACATTTATTTCCATAAAAAAAACTTGTTTCACTCTTGAAAGTGAATTTAGTCTGTCATAAGTTTCATTAGAATTGTGTTCAGACCAAAAAAGATCATTTTCAATTTGTTTTATACATCAATTGTGGTATCTATGAACTACAACATGAGGTCAAAAACCTAGCATAAAAGTCCACCATTTTAGCTTGGAGGACTAATAAAGTCGTAATAGTAGTTCTGGGGTAAGTTGAGTCAGTGGTTCAACTGAGAAAGTAAAGGAGTCTGATGAGAGGATCAGAGTGTCAGTTCAGATTGTTGAAATGTTTTACTTTTTCTTTTCTAAAATACAGCTGTGAATGTTCTGAATTACTTAAAGACATTCTCATGTTAAAATGACTTTTTACAAAACAGCTTTTAAGCAACTATATGCAACAATAATAATAAAAGAATTACTGTACCAGTTGAATAGCGTATAATAGATAAAAGTACACATGAATGTGAAGAAGTGACTGTTATTTAGGGAGAGAGAAGGTGAGGGAGGGCTGGGGTGGAGAGTGGAGGGGTAGTATGGTCAACTTACCCCATACACGGGGTAAGTTGACCATATGAGACCACTTTTTTTTGGCATGCTGAATTATTCAGACAGTTATGTTTACACTCTTTCTGTTGGTTTGCAGGGATGCACAACATCTTGACATATATGCAGATACACTAGTTAGAAACAAAACTATGATTGCCTTGATGTAGTGATCCGAAATATGAAAAGTGGCTCATCTTACCCCACTCTCCCCTATAACACAGATGAACTACCTGCAGCCCATCAAAAAGTCCAGGGCTGAATTTAACATCACTCCTCCCACCCTATATTGGACACTGGTTCACCAGCCTAGGAGAACAATGGAGAGAGCCTAAAAAAATATTGATGCATTGTTTCGATCATGAAAAAGAGGTAAGACCTTCAATTTCTCACAACAGCTCTTAATCAAAGTAGCCTGTAATTTGTGGTGTCATTCACCTTTGCAGCCCACAAACAAGTTGATATTTAGTTGTCGGAAACAACGAAGATTTTTGAGTATGGCTCCAGGGGTACGTTTAAAAATGTCCAAAAATTTCAAGACTTAGAGTAAAAAGATTTTCTTTAAAAATCACATACTCTTCGCAAATTTGGAAACACGAGCTGTTATGGAGGCACTTGAAGGCCTCACCGTCTGAGGTCCTCCCGTTCACACTGTGACCTTTATTTTGACTCATCTGATAAAAGTGACTATATAACTATACCTACCTTCTTAACCAATCATAATAGCTTCTTCTCAAGGTAAATGAACTCCCGTGGAAATATTACATGAATTTTTAAACAATTTGATTAATCGATTTTAACGCAGTTCTCCAATTGTCCGCGTGGGGGCGCTGTTCGGACACTTATACACGTCTACTGCATCGTAAACATCCGGCGACACGTCTCCCAGACTCAGCGCTGAACTGTTGGAGGCATCTTTATTTATTTTTTTACCCTCCTCATATTTTAAGTTAATGGTTCATGTTATTCCTTTGACTTTTTTAGAGCCAGTTTGACAGTTTAAAGCGTTTTTTTTCTCCTTCTGACCTGCGGCGCTTTAGTCTAGCCCGGAGCTTCAGATGGGGGAGGTGAGAAAGCTGCAGAAGAAGTTGAGACAGATTGAGAATCTGGAAATAAAAATCAGTCTTACCCCAGAGGAGAGATTTAAGGTACAAAAACACTTCATCTGCCTATACCCTTCTATTATTGTGATCTGTATAACCTGTGTGACTTTGGCAGAGCCTGAGATTTCCCTCTGGTGTAAAAAAACAGGTGATGACTGAAGCTTCGACTTTAAAAACTGCAGTCAGAGCTTTAGGAAAAATGAAAAACACAAGAACAAATCTGCACCGACCCACACAAGCTGAAGATCACTGAGAAAGGTTGAGCTGCATATTCAAACAGTTCATTGAAGTAGGCTTATTACAGCATATCAGATTTGGCACCTAGTATCCAAGCTCACATGGTTAAATAAAGATGGCATTTTAATGGTGTTACAAGTTTTGAAGATGGGCTCCTTAAAGTAGAAGTAACAGTTTTGCTATCTTAAAGAGGAAAAATATGTGATTAGCATGAATTAAAGATAATGTTGGGATGAATAATTTGACAGTTTTTGCCTCGGGAATGTGAGAGATCAGAAGCCCAGACTTTGAGCAGAGTGCATCAGACAAAATAATGATCAGGAGCCTCAGGAGAGCTTCAGTCTGTCACAGAGCAGAATCTGGGTGCTGAAAGGTTGTGAATGTAGGTCCTTATTTATACCTTTCTGTCCTTGATTTATTAATGAGTAAAAGGTTTACACTAGCAGAAAAATGGTTGTAATAAATATTTAAGTTCTCGTTAAGGAATTCACTTAAGGTGAGTTACTGTCTGTGTGCACAACAGAGCCACTGAGACTCAAATATGAAATATATTTTCAGGGACTCACTTGTAAACACATGTGAGAGCAATACAGAAGAGCCACTTAAACCCAGACATCATTGCGAATAGAAAATGTAGAGACCACAGCAGGTTAAGACTATTTATTTCATTCCATATTTCATACCATTTTATGAAAAAGTAGTATTGTCTGGTAGAGTATATTTTGAAGGACACTGGAGTGTGTGCAGCACTTCTATTGTGTGCTATATCCTACCTTGTCATATCATATGATTTTATATTGTATTGTATCAGAAGAGTCTCTCATTTTGTATCACAACCACCTCTAATGACTTGTTTTTGGTTTTGGTTTACCTCACTTATTCATGATTGTTCAATTTTTGAAAGAATAAATCAAGTTGCCATGTTTTTGTACAAACAACCAGATCTGGAATTTTATGCTCACAAATGCTGAAGAACAACAATAAATACTCAAAAAGTGCTTAAAACATCCCGTGCAATGATTAATTTCAGCTTCAAAAAGTCAATAACATTGATTATTTAGTTACTGACGATTTAGCAGCAGATATCCAGCCACATTTTTCACAATGTAGCTCTTCCCATTGTGAGATTCTCTGCCCACTATTGCCCTCCAACTATAAGTTAATCTAATTTTTTTTACTTTAAAGAAGTCTCCAAGCCAAAGTCAACACAATTTCCATGTTCTTTATTGCATCGACATGAGTGTTTTCTTAGTTTTATCAAAGCCCTGACTGAGCCACAAAAGTGATGAAAGTTTTGGCACATTTAAAGATCTGATGTGTAAGTTTAAAACTAATGGAGGGCTCCTTTAGAATAAGTAAACATCTACTTTCTATCAAAAAGGCATTGCTAATTCACTCAATTTTGCATGTTTCATCGCTCATATTGAGACAGAACTTCAGTGTACGTTCCAGTCGCAGCCTAATAAATGAAGACAGGCTGAGCATGTTGGTTGTGCATATAAACAACTTGTGGATTAAGCAGCTTGGTCTACAACCAATCTTGTGCCTTCTCCCCTCTCAGATCTCCAGGAAGGCGGAGCTGCGTTCCAGATTGGCTGAGCTTCAGCTGCAGCTTTCTGGCCCGCAGCAAACTCTGGGGATTGTGGGAGACGGAAAAAAGGAGAAGATGAAAAGACAAGTGTAAGGAAGTGAGGGAGAGGTACCAGTGAGAAGAGGGGGGCAGATGGAGGGGAGCGTAATTCTTCAAAAGCAATAACATTCAGGCTGAAGACTTTGATCTTTTTGTATGCCGAACCGAACACACTGGGGGGTCAAATGCTATCACACTAGCACAAAAAAAGGGGACACTGTTCCTGATGTGTCATGTAAACAAGAGTCATGGATGTCCTCCCATTATTAGAGCTCCTCTGGGTATTGTGCAGTTCACCATATGTTGGTATTAACATTATCAACCTAAATAAAACACATCCAGTTCTTCTAATGCCCAGCTCATTAAGAAGTAATGTTTGTGTTTGTGCATGACTTCCTCCACAGGTAGGATGCTCTGTGTGCTTTGCATTTCAACTATTCATTCAGCTCCTGCTTTCTGCACTGGCACAGGGAGGATGCCCCCGAGGCCCTTCCATCACAAACGCCTCCAGCCTCCAAGATCCTTAAGGGAGAGAAAGAGTCCAAAACTCAAGAAACGCCAGCGCCGACTGCCAGGCAGAGGGAGACAGGAGGGTCAGCACAGACAAGCGGGTGGCAGGAGAGGACCGAGCCCGTTGAGGTGTCAGATCACTGCCCAGACGCATCAGGAGGTGGAGTGGACTCTGACAATGAGTGGGCACTACAGCAGGAAGGTGGGATGCTTGAGAAAAGCGGCTGCAGACATTGTTATTACAGTTAAAAGAACAATGAAGCGTCCTAATTTGTGATTAACATCTGAAACCAGATTATACATTTATACCCTGAGGAGTCCTAACAAGCTCATGTGTCTGCCAGTGTTCAAACCAGCAGACTGCGCTTGTTTCCCTGAAGATTTTATTGCAGGTTTTGCATCCTTGGAGCTAAATTAGTGCAGTGTTTTGCACAGCCAAACTAATCCATATTGAAGAAGTGTGTAGATTAACAAGCTGGGGTGCTGATGAGGCAACGTTGCTAATTGCATGAATCATTTTTTTCACTCACAGAAGCAGAATTTACATCCCTCCGGTCGTCCTGGGAGAAGGCAAGATTCCGCTTGAGGCTGTTGGAGGGCCACAATGACATTGTCACCTGTGTGGTTGCCGTTGACAACCTGGTTGTTTCTGGAAGGTAAAGCGGGGCCACGATTTGCATAATGAATGTGCAAAGTGAACACTTCACCTAATTTATCACTTAATACGCTCCTGCTTTCTCCTTTGCTGTCTGACATGTATTTGTTTTCTCCCCCCCCGCCCGGACTGCACGGTGCAAATCTCCTGCGATTTCCACTGAACGCCTTTTAACTTCTTTTAACGCCTTCTCTGACTCACTATAACTTCATTTTTTCCCTCTCTGTATTCTCTTTTTCTCACTCTGTTTCTTTTCCCCCTCTCAAGCCGCGATACCACAGTGAAGGTGTGGCGTGTTCCCACGGCAACAGAGCACAAGAACCTCGGGGGTCACAGCGGTGGGGTCACCTGCCTGTCTGCTCCACCCCCCGAGTACTGCAGGAGGCTGGGTGAGGACACACACATCCATACGCTCATACGCACGCCTTTACATGAGCCACAGCTGAGTAATGCCTGTGTCCTGCAGTCTGGTAATTATAGGAACAGTTCATCAGATCAACCCCAGTGAGAGATAACCTCAGCAGACACTTTAGAGAGCTCACTGCCTGTCTGAAGCAGGCAGCCCTCCATCACTTCAGCTCCAACGTCTCCCCTCCTCCCACACTCACTCCCCACCTTTTCCTCCCCCCAATTTAAAATACAAAGTTGAGTTTGCCGCACATAAACGATGCAGCTTTAGTCACACAATGTACATCAACTCATTATTTGTTTCTTTATTTTTTTAAACCCTGTCCCTTCTGTCTTTGCCTCTTCCCTGCAATCTGTCTCTTTTCTTCATTTTGTACATCATCACTTATTTACAGCTTCCCTCTCGGCTTAATCTTTTTTGTCCTCTCTCCTCTCTCTCTCTTGTCTGTTATCCCTGTTCCTTCCTCCTCCACATCCTCCTCCTCTTCTGTCCCCTCCTGCTCTTTTGTCTATGTTTGCCCTCTCCCCAGCCTGGTCCCTTTCTCTGTCGGACAAGGAGAGATTTATATTGAGTGGCTCAGCGGACTGCAATGTGAAGATCTGGGCCCTGAGCATTGGTAACCTCAAACATACGTATTAAAGATGTATACCTGTGTAAATTATACCAGACGTAGCCTTGGGGTCTGTCTTAGAAACATGTGCTTGCCTTTTAATCGATACGTGTCTGTGTGACTGGTAGTCAGTGTCCTGATAATGAAATGAGTGTTTTACAATTTCCTTCAGGGCAATGTGTGAAGTCGATCTACACCTTCAATGCTGTGACTGCGCTCTGCTTTGTGCCAGAGGAGGATGGCTACATCATCACTGGGTCAGGTGAGTTTTGTGTGAAAAAGCGGCAACTCATCACATCAGATTTGTATCTGGGACCTACTTCAGTGCGTCTATGCTTTTGAGCGTATTATAGGCACAATCTCACGCTGCTGTTCTCTGCCAGTGAGTCAGTGTGTGTGTGTGTGTGTGGTGCAGGGCCATTGAGCTAAATCACAAAGATGGAGGCACAGAGTTTAGGGCAGGCAGGCTCAGGTGTGTCGAACCGTGACCAGCAATAATGACTGCCAGCCACCTGTCAGCTCACGTTAACCTCACACTCTGTCTCCCCTCCCAGACGGGGGGAAAGTTCAAGCCTGGAGCTGGCACACCTTCCAGAACTGCCAGTCAATCAACGCTCACCAGGAAGCAGTCACCTCCATTCAGGTGGGCCGATCTCATGCCCGCATACTGGCCACAAAATTGCTGGATGCTTGAACTGTTTGTTATGCGCAGCTTATTTTTATGATGTTTTGCACAAACAAAACATTTCTCCCTGACTACCGGCTCACTCGAGCAGTGTCAAAACTCTTAATTTAATTTGTGAAAAAAGCTTCTTCTGAGGAAATCAAACATCTATATTACTCCGCTCCAACCCTCACGCAATTTTTTCAGGTTTATTGCCTTCAAATCAAAGATATTTGTGAAGAAGAAAGCTGTGGAGCCTGGCCAATTATAGAAGCACACTGTACTTGTTTTGAGCAAAAAGGCTTTTTATGAATATTGAAATCCAACGCTGCATCTGCACATTTGTTTTCCTATGTGCAATCATCAAAATATGCCCAAAGCATTAAAGCGCAGCACATCATTGTCATCTCTTTTGTGTTTCTCATGCAAAGCGCACAATCCATTTATAACCAGCAGTGGCGCAGAAAAGTACATTTTGAAACTGTTCACACACTTCCTCTTCATTTACACAAATACACATAAACACACACACACGCGCTGGGTGAAGACTTGTATCACCATGACAACCGTGTCTCCCATGCCCTCCACAGTCTCAGGGTCCGCTGGTGTTCAGCGGCTCAGCTGAAGGGGGGGTGTCTGTGTGGGAGAACCGGTGCTCCGATCAAGACCCCCTCAGGCTGCTGCACCACTGGAGCGGACAGGTGACCGGTTGTGGAGGGGGGCCAGGGGGACGCGTGACCCTCAGCCCGCGGGGAGACCGGGTGTTCCTGGCCCATGGTAGAGCCTGGCTTAAGATCCTGCACTGGAGGAGCGGTAAGCTTTAGAATTAGATTGGCTGTGTGTCTGTGTGTGTGTGTGTGTGTGTGCGTGCGTGCGTGCGTGTGTGTGCGTGTTTGTGAAATACAGAGACAGCTTGAAAAAGGAAGACAGATGCAGGAGCATTTGCATAATCCTTCCACCTAACATCTGTCCAATTACCACAGGAACCATGTCCAGACTGACCAATCACAGCAGCATCACCGGGGTAACAGATTGTGTTCACCAGGCAGGAGGCCTCCTAATTGGCTCCTGCTACGATGTGGCAAATGGAGAGAGCTCGCTGAACAGTGAGTCCCAGTGAAAACCATGTGCAACCAGAAGTTCCTCACTCGACTCTGAGTGGGTGAAAGCACTTTAAGACAAAATCGAAACCGCTTTGTTTTCCTCCACTGACCTTCTTCCTTCCCTCTCATGCCTACAGTGTTCGCTCTTCCTCAGTGTCACTACCTGGCCTCTCTGACCTGGCCCTGCGCTCCCAGAATCCTCTGCTTTGCTGCATGGACCACTGGGAGCGGGGACCACCGGTGGGTCACCGGAGGTCGAGACCTCGTCGTATGGGAGCAGCTCCCCAGCTCCGGCAAGCAAAGGTGGGCACAAGACGTGTCATAACAACTCACCTTCAAAAAGAACTGAGTCTAAACTGATAAATTATGTTTTCTTATTTGCATATTCATCATTTTCTCCAAGGTCACAAGCATAGCTAATTCTAAAGCTATTCTGGGATTCACAATATGCTAATGGATTAACAGATCTTGACACACACTTCTACTGGTATTAGGTGTTAAATGAAGTGCGGGTATGAATGTTTCAGGGGTGACGTCACAGTCAGGAGAGACAGCCGATTGGAGTCCTGCTCACTGGAATCAGAGGGAGACACAGAAGATGACGAAGAGACTGATGGTACACATAAACACACAAACACACACATAAAAAAAAAAACACTCAGATTATAATTTTAACACCTCTCCATGTCGTGATTTATCAACACGCTCTTGATGAGCATCCGTGGAATATCAGATACAGTATCCTGTTAATTATAGATGATCCGTGTCGTGACAAATCCTTTTGACCTGCTTGTCAAATTTAGATTACGAGGAAGACAACGATGAAGGAGAAGACAGTGGCTGTGATGTTACAGAAGATGAAGGGTCTGGCTCGTGGCTGCGCTGCGTTCTTCAGTGAGAGACAGTTTCTCACACCATGGACACCACAGCCTCCAGCCAGGAGAAGGAGGAGAGGGAGGGAGGTGACAGTGAAGAAGAGTGCAGGGGGGTGAACTGTGACAGTGTCGGAGAAGGAGCATATGGATGGAGAAAGTGTGTGTGTGTGTGTGTGTGTTTGTTTGCATGTGTGTGTGTGTGTGTTTGTGAGCAGATAGTTTTCCATGTAAATATTATTTCCACATATAATAAAAGTGTCACAGTGTGACTCATGCCTCCAAATTTGCATTTCTTGTTGTCTTTTTTTTAATCAACCTGACCCTGCCTCTTCTTCAGACTCCAGATCATCGCCCTGCTCTGCTCCGCAGCCCGTGAAAATGAATGTAAATTCAATTTTATTCCACCTTTATTCCCCTCCTTCCTTCCTTCATCCCCCCTTCTCTTTTTGTCTGTGTTTCTGTCTCATTCTCTCTGGGGTGTCCTCCCTGATTGTGTAAACATAATGGAAGAGTTAAAAAAAACTCCCGCCTCCAAAATGAGCTTATTAATGTCGTCCTCAGTATCATTTCTGTTTGCCTCCTCAAATCCATTTCTTCTCCTCTGTGTCCATTTAATTGAAGCATAAAAAAAAAAACATAATTAGCATTTAAATCTCTTTCCTACAGTTGCTTGCCTTCCCCACATCGCTCTCTCTCTCTCTCCTCTCTTACTCTACCAGACTCTACATGTCTCCGTCGCCTCGGCAACCGATGCTTTTTTTCCCTCCCTCACTTGCTCTCTGTGTCTCCCCCCTTTCTCTCTCTGACTCCCTCTCTCATTCCCTCTCTCTTCACTGCCAGAGGTAGGCATGATAACTGATATGTGTCGGAGCGCGTGTGTGTCTCTGTCCGTCTGTGTGTGCATGTGTGTCAGTGTGCGTTTCTCTGAGTGACATTTCTGTGGCATTTGGGCAGCAGTTGTAGATGGGAAGTTATCCCTCTCTGCTCAAAGTGCCACATAGTGTGTTGGCTCCGTGCATGACGCCTCTAATGATGATGAATGTGCTGCGCTCAGGTGTGTGCGATCTGTAAATGTGTGAGACGGAGCAGAACAGACAATGAGTGTGTACTTTAGTGTGTGTGTTTTTGAGAGTGGATGTGGTTGCTGTACGAACATGTGGTGCATAATTGAGCGTTAAATTTTAAAGCCCAGGGGTGTGTATGTGTGTGTGTGTCTCTTCAAAATAGTGACAGTGTTGGCTTGCTGCCAGTACATCTTGATGTTTTCTATGTTTACATGTCTTTCATTTGGTAACATTAAAGAAGAAGAAGAAAAAACCTGGTCCCTCCCCCTTTCCCTCCTTCTCTCTCTCCCTCTGCCTCTCTTGTTATCTCTCTCTCTTGCCCCTCTGTCCTTCCTCACAGAGAGAGAGATGATCGGAGCAGCGGAGTCTAAGTGAACAGAACGAAGCGATGGAGAGATGGTAAGATGGACAGTAGGAGCTGAAGGAGGGGTGTATAGGCGAGCAGATGCTTACAATGTCATTCTGAGTGATAGCTGGCATGGTTTTTGAGCTGATGAGGTCGAGCAGGGCGCCTGCAGACAAAAAGATAACTTCTCCGTCACTCCTCCACTTCTCATTCTTTTTCTCCTCCACTTTTCTTCCAGCTCCATCTCTCCTGTCACACGACTGACCGCCCTCCGCTGCCTCCTCTGCCTCCTTCTGGTTGCTCTGGTGACACAGCCCTCCACCTGTAACCGTGACGACAGCCAGGGCGAGGAGGAGCAGGTGGACGCCCTTTCAGTCCAGCTGTCCGTCACAGCCCAGGTCACACCCACCCCTCTGTGGGCGGTGGTCTGGGGCCCGACACAACCTCTGGAGGATGAGACCTATCACTTCCACTCCAGCCAGGAGACCGACCCCCTGCACCCGCATCCCCACGGGAACCGGCTGGAGGACAGCACCGCCACCTCGCAGGAGTGGCCTTATCCCAGCGCGAGCATGCAGCCAAGAGAGGAGGCACCACTGGAGTCTAGAGACCAAGAGGGAGCAAAGGATGGAGAAATGGAGGTGGAGCCTGAGGAAGGTGGGCATCAGGACTCGCAGATGAAGAATTTCCAAATAGAGGTGTTCATGATCCACAGTCCATGTGAATACACACATGCCACAAAGTCCTCCAGGGAATGAGCTGTCAGAGGGGTGAAGGCTGACAGGGAGCTGTGTGCAGCCGGCTGTGTCTGTGGCGGGGGAATGCCTAATAAAGTTCTCATCACTCAAAGGCAGGAATTGGCCGCTGTCAGACTGTACGATACAAAGAAGACGTCACCAGATTAGAGTTTGAGTTGGAGGCCGGTGTTTTTTTTTTTCACATTCAGTTTCATGTTTCAACTGACTTTATTGATTTCTGTGATCCCTCTGGATACAAATATACAGTGCATAGACATTGTGTGAGAAATTAATAACTGCATAAGAAACTGTGTGTGTGTGTGTGTGTATGTGTGTATTACAGTGGATCCTCAGTTCTACGTCACCGTGACCATCTCTTCCCTGCTCATCCTGACAGCAGTCATCATAACTGCAAAACTCTGGTAGGAACCTGATCTCTATTTGTTTTTTTATCCCCTCTGTTTGTGTGCACACGTATTTGTCTTCATCGATGGGAAACCTGACTTGTGAAGACTTTCTTCCTCGCGTGGCTTTAATGAGTGCTCTGTCTGACATTTTAACTCTCTGAAAAGGGCAGTCCACATTAAGAATTTACAGAGTATGAAAGACGTGTGTTTGTGAGTGAGAATTTTGCTGAAAGATTGTGAATGGTTTTTGAATAATAAGCAATCTCAACCACTTTGAGCTGGACTCCTGTACCATAGCAAAGGACTACACCTGTTTCCTAAAAAAGTGTAGAAATGGGAATATTCAGTGATTTCTAATGGTCAGATTCTAGACTGAAATTCTGACATGCTCACCTCTCCCTTTGGTGGATCAGTGGTGGCCTTTAAGGACAAGAAACTCCTGTAATGCATAACAAGTTTGATCCTCCATTTGTCAATTTTACCAACATAAATTTCTATTACTATGAATCCTGCTGCGCATTACAACCACCCTCTTCCTCTTTGCCATCCAGCTGTTGCATTTCACGGAGTCGCCCACCAGATTCCTAACCACATACGTCACTAGTTTGTCTGTTCTATGCTACAATAACAACATGGCAGTGCAAGATGGCGGCTTGTAATCCAGAAGGCTCATTTTAAATTCACAGAAACAAAAGGATTGTTATATTTAGGTGATTATGTACTAATTTAAATATGTGTGACAACAATATTTAATGTCTACCAAATCTGTTCCTTTAATTACTGCTCTGCACCTTAACGATAATCTGACTTGATGAAGACATGAAGTAGGTAATTTTGTGTTTTCAGTCAAAGACAAAGAGGGTTGAATTTACAACCATTTTTATTACTTTGTCCTCGATCGCCTTCATTCTGACAAAATGTAATGTGTATTTTTAAGAAAGAGATATTTTAAAGTAAACAGAGGATACTTAAAAGAGAGGATATTATTCTCTTTTTTGGGCTTTGTACGGCCCCTCTGAGAGCTCCTCAGCAGCTTTACATGATTCATATTTCAACAGATATTATTTTTCAGGCTGCTGTCTTTAAAAACTCTCATTTCAGCCTCCGTCTGAACACTTCCTTTAAGCCACTGTCCCTATAGAGCCCCCCAGCATTCCAGAACCCACCATTCTAGAGGCCTCCTTCACTGTTGCAATACAAGAAAGTTGTATTTCCTCTTATGAAATGACAAATAAGGAGATTCACTGTCTGCTAATGTCAGGATTTCAGCAAAAATCTCATATTGATCTTGTGGATTTCTGTGACTTTTTGAACAAGCTATTTAATGCACCCTGTAAGCCCATTTGAGGAATATCTCAACAAACATTAACCTCGAAATCTGAAACTTTGTGTTCAAAGATGAAAAAGCATAGTGCCACCTGTTGAACAGAGCAGGAAAATTCAGGATTAGGACCTCTCTGTGGGGTAATGAGATAAATCTAAGGTGTAACAAGCTGATCAGCAAGAAGAAATAGAGAAAAAATTATGTTACTGCCACAAAAGATGTGATTTATCGACATATTTAGGGTGACTTCAATAGTATTAGAAAATATTAAAAAAGGGGCTATCACTTTTTATTGATCTAGTTCTGATCAATACCAAGGGCATATGGCTTATTTTGTTGATTAGTTAGGGTTGTGTGTGGGAGTACAAGACCAGAGTTAACTCTTTTAGGGGGAAATGAAGCTTGAATCTGTCATATTTAAAATGATAATTAAAGACACACCCTTTGTCTTATAAATGATGAGTCAGGATGTAGAACTGTGGAGAGTGCCAGACATGTGAGCGTAATTTAGATAATATATAGATAATTTAGTTTAGCCAGCTGTTTGCGTATCAATGAAGACAAGAGTTTGACAGTTGCACATGTGTTTCAGACATGCATGCTGCACATAATGAGTCTCCTACTGTATTTCCTCTTGATAATGAGATCATATTAATTTTTTAATTATGATTTATGAACAACATTGTGTTCCTGAAAGTCACATATTACACAGATCTGTCACGTTGTGCCTTCAGAGTTACAATGATTAAACACTCCCTCTAACCATTAGTATGTGGAGGCAGCGTGAGCGGACCTGTTGTCATGGCGATAAAATGGCTTCACTGATGTCAGTGTTCTTTAACAGCCATTAGAGCTCTCACAGCATGTAAACACAGGGTGGGGGTAAACACAGGGTGGAGGCTCTGCGTGTCTTTCGCTCTCAGGCCTGGTAGTGAGTGCTCTCTGCACACATGGCCATTAGCAGGAAATGGGGAGTCATCTATGTGATGTAGTGGAGCAGTACCACGCTTTGCTGATCAAACCAATAACACCTCGTTTATTTGACCACTGGGACACTCTCCTTTTCTCCTCCTGATCCTCACACTCGAGTCATTCTTCCTTTATTTTGCTTTCTCACTACTTTATACTTGTCCTGCCCCCTTGTTACTGTAACTCTTATCTGCTCATTTTACCCACATTTCTATTATATCATAATTTTACATTTCATTGCCTGAATCTGTATAATTCGTTCCTCCTCATGTCCCTTTTTCTCCCTTTTAATCTCAGATTTGCTCCCACACTCCTACATCATCTTCTCTCTCTCTCTCTCTCCCTCCCTCCTCCTGCTAAGGCCTCCTTCCCCTTTGCCTCTCAGGGATTTCTTTTTCTTTCTTTTTCTACCTGTGTTTCCCCTCCTTTCTCTACCTTCAGGTTATTTCTCTTACTCGCAGTTATCATCATTGCCTCGCTCTAACGCTGCCTGTCTTTGTACAGCTGGTTCCCCTCTTATCTCCCCCGCCAGTCTCCCTATCTCCCCCAGCACTGCCAGTCCGGCTGCAGATCCACAGATAATCCCGCAGCTTGCTGTGAGCTGATACACGATAAACCCTCCTTTTCTCTGTGTTGTTTCGATAACTTACTTCATCTGCTCCCGCTGTGGAGGAAAAACCCCTCTCCCTCTCTCCCTGCCCGTGGATCCAAAGTGGCCTCACATTAAAAAGAAAAAGTGAGGATTGCTGGAATTCGTGCTGGAGACATGGCAGCATTTTCCTCTCTATAGACTGGCTCGTGCTTCAGTGTCATAAATGTGTAAATAACACCATGTGTTAGATGGAGAAAGGAGCGGGAGGAGGCTACAGATGGACTAAAATGATAGCCTATAGTGAGAATTGGCCACCGTCCAGTTCATTATGATTATAGAAGAGCGGCATATGTGCTCAGTGATTTTCCCAGGCCTTAAAACAGTCAGTGTGGCTAATTTTATCAAGCATTTTTGTGTGTGAATGCGTGTGTGTGTGTGTGTGTGTGTGTGTGCAGCAGGGAGAGAGAAATCAGACAGGTGTTGCTGAGGGGAAATGAGGGTGCAGGATGGCTATAATGGCAGCCGGAACACCTCTAGTGGATGTCTAAGTATGTCTAAGTGCCCAAACCTGTGACTCCTGACTGTGCATTCACTTTGCCTTAGCGTCTCGGTCGAAATATCGGTGCAAAATAAAGTTAGGGTGTAACACACCGTAACACTGAGTTAGACACCCTGTTGAGAGATGAATGTTGCCGACCGCTTGCTTCTCCAGTTATACCAACTTCAGTAACGACCACACGATAGCAAAACACAGAGCCATGCGCTCAACCAAAACGCCACTCTATAGCAACAAATAATGCTCAGAACAGCACCTAACTTCATCAACAGTACATATAGGGTCCCATCCACAGCACTAGCAACCAAACATCTTTTTAACTTTGCCTGATTTCTTTAGGAAAGAGACGAAACACAACTCCCTTACTCTCTTCCAGCAGCCGCTTGTTTGTGCAGAGACCACCGGGTGAGTCCATTGTCTGAGGCGGGGTGACACAGCTCAAGGAAGAACATTTATGATCATTTCTTTATAATTTCGTTGAAGTAAAAATCATCATATTAATCATTTTGCACTGGAGAGGCAGTAGTTCTTCTGCCTTAGCGTCTCGGTCTGATTGCATTTCCATGAAGAAATGATCATAAATGTTCTTCCTTGAGCTGCGTCCCCCCGCTGCAGTCGATGGACTGGCCCGGAGGTCTCCATACAAACAAGCGGCTGCTGGAAGAGAGTAGGTGAGTTGTGTTTTAGATATCAGTCAAAGCTAAAAAGATGTTTGGTGGCTAGTGCTATGGCAAGGACCCTATATGTACTGTTGATGAAGTTAGATGCTGTTCTGAGTATTATTTGTGGCTATAGAGTGGCGTTTTGGTTGAGCGCGTGGCTCTGTGTATTGCTATGTGCGGTTGTTACTAAAGTTTGTATAACTAGAGAAACAAGCCGTCGGCAACATTCATCTCTCGACGAGGTGTCTAACTCAATGTTACGGTGTTTTTGACCCTAACTTAATTTTACGCCGGAATATCCCTTTAACTCCCTCTCCTTTCCACTAGTCCCCTGCCTTGTTGCATCCTGCCTCACCCTGCCTGACTCCCCCCTCTCTCTCCCCCACTCCTCCCTCTCCCCCTGACAGCGTTTTAATGAGTCCGATGAGTGCACTAATTCTCTCTCACAGTGGCAGTGTAATGTGTTCGCTGATGCTAAATGGCTCGCCTGCTCTCGATGCTCTCTGACTTTTTTTTCTCCATCCCTCCACTCTCTCTCCCCTGACTTTCTCCCTTTTTCCTTCTTCTTTTCTTATCTGCTTAATTTCAACCATCCCCCTCAATCACTTCCTGCTCTTTGTAACTTCCTCTCTAACCTTCTTTTACTTATCTATCCCTTTGAAACTCCAACTTTCTTTGTGTCCTTTAATCTCTGTTTCTATTCCTGTCCCACTTCCTCTTGGTCTCTTTTTAACATCACTTTCTTTTATTTCTCTACTTCCAACTTTTTTTTTTCACTCTCCATCCACTTTTCCTCTCCCTTTCCATCCTTATCTCTTCTTCTTCAATGTGTGTCCCCAAATTTATTGCTTCTTTTCATCCCCTCTCTCTCTCTCTCCTTGTCTTTCTATCCTCCTCTTCCAGTTATGATCGCAGCTGTTCCCAACATCCGCCTCCGCTTTCCCGTGGCGTGGCTCCCCCCCTCTCCCTCGCCCTCCCTCGCTCCCTGGCTTCAGAGGATAGCCGGCAGACGCTGCACAGCACCTCCTCCTCCTTCACCGACAGGGAGAGGTAATGAGTCGCCTCGTCAGCTCGGCACAGTCTGGGTATCTCATGACTCCAATGTGCATGTGTGCGCACCTCTGGATTAAGCCGGCTTCTTTATATGTGTGTGTGTGAATTTTTTTTATTTCCTTTTTTTTTTTTTGTGCATGAACATGAAGAATAATTGGACTGTAGTGCAATCCTCCAAGGAGTGCTGGTGGCTGGAGTATTGCTGTAAGAAGTATCCGTGTTTTTAAACTCCCTCTCCAGATGAGTCATCGTGGGCCCAGCCGCCGTCCATGAAATGATGCTTTTATTTGAGGGTATTCAAAGTTAATCTCAATCAGGATGATAATAATAGTGCTTCCTCTCACTTCCTCCCCCCCCATCAGCCTTTCTTCCTCCTTCTCTTCTGTCTCTTTTCCCCCCGCCGTCCTCTCGGTCCCCTGTGATGCAGCTTTCCGTTTGCGTGTGCACCACTTTCTCAGCTTCGGGCCTCACTGCTCCACTTCTCTCCTTCTTCTTCTTCAGTCTTTCCTTCCCTCATACCATCAGGCCTCCCCAAGCCTCCCATAACTCTCCTCTTTCCTTTTATTTCCCCCCTTTTTTTCCTTCCCACACTCACTCTTCTTCTTCTTCTCCGTCTGTGTCTCTTGCTGTGTCAGGATCCCAGTAGTGAACCTCTGAGGTGACTGTTTCTCCATATGGTAAACATTTCTACGGGGCCTGAGGAGGAACATCAACACGACCAGAGGGTGCGCCCACAGCGCCATTTATTTTCTCTGAAACTGTGAAATGAATTCAGGGATCCCAGGTATCCAGCCATCACAAGACTCCCCGGCTCCCTGAGGTCTTAAAAAGCTAAACTCATCCTCCCGCAGCTCCCTCCCTCCTTCTTTCCTTCCTTCCTTCTTTCCTTCCTCCCTGCTCTGTGTTCATTCCTTTTATGCGGCTCTGCCTTACTGTAACCTGCTCCTTGTTTTTCCATCTCTCTGTATAGCCTTGAGCTCTGCCAAAATACCCAACCGCCCTGTTTCGTCTTGCCTTGACTAATTCACAAGCAAGCAGTCTAACAGCCATGCAGAATCCCATTACCCATGAAATGCCCTACCTGTGCTTCCACAACAGTTTCCAATCACTCAGTTTTAGTTCAAATAAGCAGCCGACCGTTCTTTCACTCAACTTCAGTTCAGTGTAGCAGGCTGGTGGGCTATTTGGTTCGTAAACGGTTAAAAGCCATTCTCAGCATCTCCAAACACTGAACAGGGTATTTCACAAAGCTCATTGGCACTGCTCTCGCCAACAGGCAATGTGTTTAACATGTCACGCTCCAAAAACTGCTGTTTATCCCCCGCTTTGGGCGCCTGAAATGCAAATAGTGTGGCTTTCTCCCTCTGCAGAGTGTGCAGGAGTCTGTTTTGTTTCATCCCCCCCACCTCCATGATTTGTTCTCTTAATTATGTGGCTAACGTTCATCCTCTTTGTTGAGCACCCTTTGTTCCTGCTGGACTATGTAGAGGTGTGTTAGGCATAAAGAAGCTCCACATGCAGCAGAAGGGTGGATGGAGGAGGCTTCCCTGCTGAAAATCAATGTTTCCCAAAGGTTTCGGATGGTGCACAACAAAGACAGATTTATGGCATCATGGAAATCAGCAGTACGCATAATGAAAGGACTGACATTACCACAACAAGGATTCGTTTCCAGGTGACAGCCAAGAATCTCAATCTGGAAAACAAAAACCACCGACATTTTGCTTCATATCAGAATCAAGAAACCAAACATCCGAACGAAAGTACATAGAGGAGCTTCTTTTCTCTCTCCCTGGTGAATCTGCATGTATATAGTAAGAAAACTTGTGAGAGTTGCTTCAGATCTATTATTTATAAATGTCTATTTTATCTATCAGTGAGTGATATATTGAAGAATATCCTAAAGCCAAATGTCAGGTTGCGTTTTGCGACTTTTCTAAGCATCTTTGAGACATTACAACCCCCAGTTACACACATTTCCACTACAGACATAGTGCTGGTGGCTTCATGAGTGGCTCGTGCAAACCTACCGATATAAAGTCTTGTGATTTTTAGTAGCATTCCTGTAGAAATGTGGTCTTTCTGTACCATGGAAGTTCAATAAAGACTGGCGTTTTAGCTCTGAGTCTATCTGTTTATTTCTGTACACGCTGAATAAATTCCCCTGGGAGCAATGCGTTCCGCAATGCTTTATGGGATTGACAAAGCCAACACTGTGCATTTTAATAGCCACCCCTGTATCCTAATCTTTTTTTTTCCCCCTCAAAGTGAACATTTAGTCCTTTGCCTTGCATTGATTTTAAACCACAGGCTTGGCATTAAAAAGTCCAGCATGTGCCAATCATGTTTTCATCGAGCAGCTGCTGAAAAAGGGAAGAATAAGGCGGCTGCTTGTGTGTGAAGCTTTTCCTTATCTCCTCACCTCATATGGATTCCCCTTTGCTTCAGAAAGATTAACAGGATGCTAAGCAAGAATTTCCTCAGTGTACACTTTTTCAAACAAATGTCAATAAAATCAAGGCGGGCGCGAGTTGAGAAATGCCACCCGAGCGTATTGAGATTCTCCATCAGTCTGCTGCACCGCCACCATTTCACATCTCCTCTGGGCATTTTACTGATCAATCACCGTAATTGATTGGCTTCATTCCACTCTGAAGTTTTAATGATCCTGTAGTTATGAGACACATAGCAGCAGACACTGCAGCAATCTGTAAACAGCACTGATAAACACCAAAGCTGAAGTTAGGCGTGAACTCGCGGATGCAGAGTCACTGCTCGCACACTCACACCTTTAATGAACACACATATCTCACCTGCCACTTTCTTTTTCACCGGCAGACACTGCGAGAGGTGTGCAGCTGTTAGAAGTCACAGCTCCAGTCTGTTAAAAAACTTAACCAGTGAAATTCATTGACACTGAGTGAAATTAACACTCCTATTAATAGAGGCGAGGGTGATGCTAGAGGTAGAAGTGATGGAAACAGAAGCAGGGTTAAATAATGAAACCGGATCGTAATTTTCTTTTCTCTTTTTTCCCTCCCACCGGGGCTGCTGGTCAACTAATTGCGACCATTAATGTCATGCGGGATGAAGAGCAGAGAATGAAGAGAAAACAGAATCAAAAAACGACAGACAGAGTGGGATGATAAAGGCAATTTCGACAGCGTTAAAGAACTACCAGAGAGGCTGGCCGACCATTTCAACAAGCAATTTTTGACATTGAAAAGAAGCTCTAGGCGAAAAGACTCATATGAAATATGAATGCACATAGTGTGTATTTCTTTGTGTGTATGTGTGTGTGTATGCATGCTGGTTGCGCACAGGGGAAGCCTCAGCTCTGTAATACATTAGTGTCTTTAGGGACATGCCCTAATTAATGGCTTGACCTCCTAACGGGTAGCCCCCTTCTGTGAGTTAACATTTAGCTGTGCACCCTCCAGAGATGCACTTTGAAGTGCATTTAATAAAAGAAGTGACAGTGACATTAATGAGCCAGTCAGGAGAAGTACAGGGGTTCCTTTTATTTCCCGACATTTTATATTCTGATTTTATTCATGTTTCAACTCAGCAGAGAGAAAAAATACAAAGAATCTAAACCAAAAGAACATTTTTAAACCAATAGATACACACATCGGAGTCAAATACACTGATCCAGTTTCTGGTCAAAGGCAAGTGACTCCTGCTGCAGACTGTTTGATCTTGATGTGAAAGAAGAGCTGTACGTGTGTGTGTGTGTGTGTGTGTGTGTGCGTGCGTGTGTGTGTGTGTGCGTGCGTGTGTGTGTGTGTACACTAACAGTCTGTCTGTTAGGTTATTAGGAACTGCAAGAGTACAAGTCAAACCTGTCATTTCCATCAGCCCGTGTGTTTCTGAATCCATTGAGGTGAGATTTGGTGATCAGAAAAGTTCCCATGAAGCTTCCTGGTTTTATTGTGATGAGTGTGTCAGAAAGAGAGACAAAGGTGTCCTTGAACATTGGTCACATTGTTTTATGTATCCGTTTGTCCGTCAATGTGTCCATGTGTCCGCTAATCTGTCAGAGTGTCCTTCAGTGCCGCTGTCTCCACATCTCAGTCTCTTTTCTTTAGTTGGATTTGGACCAAATCTTCCCACTGCCACGGAGCCTGTAAACAAACACAGCATCACTATTTTTGTTGCTGATGCAACACAATGTCTAGAATCAGAATTTATATGTCTGGAATTGATCAGGGTGGATTTTGCAAAAGGAGCTATTTCTAATAATAACTGCTGCTTTATCAGTCTCATCCTTTCAACTGCTTGATGAAGAAATTGTGTAAAAACTCCTTTAATTTGAGCATTGAGGTTAAGCTATCATTGGGTCGAGTTTCAAAACATTTCGTGGATCTACATTTGAATGGCGTGCGTTGCGTGGAGATGAAAATTATAGGCCCCTATGCTTCATCAAAAAGTGACAGGCGGGCAGGAAATAATGACAGCTTTCTGTTCTTCAACAACAACATAAACAGGCAAGAAGTAAAGCAACTTGTCTGATCACTGCGGGGGGAAACAGCTCTTTGGAAGAGGAGGGGAACGTGCCGGCATTTGCACATACCCAGTGACATTTTACAATTCAGGACAGATGTGAAATTAGCCATTGGTAATTGGGCTGTATGGAGGCAGAACAGGCCCTGATAGCAGGGTTTGAACATCACGGCAAAACACAGACGTGCATCTGATAATAAAGCCACTTCATGCAGACACATGCAAGCGCTCACACACACACAGACCCAGCACTTACACCAGCAGCTGGCTTTTTGTGTTTATTGAGAAAATGGGAGCGTAGCATTTAGCTGTTGGATTAACATGACTCTCTACAAGAACACTGGACTAATGGCTTTAATTTAGGATTTGAAGTGGAGTCTTTTTAGTGCTGCGGTTGTAACTAGGTAAATTCAGATTTATAAAGAAGCTTTCAAAGACCACAAAGTGCTATAAAGAACAAAAGGAAAGAGAAGTCATAAAAGAAACTTAATGGAAAAAAACCTCCAGATGTAGCTTTTTGTCTCAATTTGGTAACTTGTGGGAATAAATAGACTTTTTTTCTCCTCACAATCACATATAGAGGTGCGGCTACAAATCGGAATATAAAGAACAATTTTCTGTGAATTATTCTACATGGTCAAACATATTTTATGTGTTCATTTCTGAATGTTTGGCCAAGCTTAAGAAAAATGAAAGCAATTTCAATCCAACTCCTGGCGGTTTGTCTGTATAAACAGTATATAAAATGGTTCTCTGAGCGTGACACTCATGCAGAAAACAGGTTACTCCCTCTATAAACCACAGCAAACACACAGGTGATGTCTCCTCACTTACCCTTTCACCTTTGAACTTTTTTTGCCTGGTTGTCTAGGTTCCTGAGAGGAGGCAGGGTCTCGGGGTTCTGCAGGCTGATCTGCATCCTGATTAGAAGCGGCTCCAGCGGGGGCGGGGCCTGATGATGGGGAGGCGGCGCTGGCCTTTAACGTTTTCTGTAGGTTTGAGACCTGAAGGTGAGAGGAGAGATTAAAAATTCAAGATTAAAGAGGCAGGGGGTGTTTGAAAGGAGAGCCTCACAGTCTCTGAAGGCCTCAAATGAAAGTCAGGGTCCCTATATGAACATTTGAACACATTTCATGTACTCTAATTGCTCCTACAGGGCATCAAGTGATCCACTCCTAATTGTACTTTTAATACAAGTGACGGGGGCCAAAACCTGCTGTTCCTGATCCTTTAACAAAGTCCTGAAACATCTGTAAGAAGCTAATGGGAGGCATCAGCAGTCTGGTTCAGTTACATAGTGGGCGTCAGTCCCTTTCGTATTAAATCCACTCTTTGTATCTCACAGACTGTGTTTTTTTTGTGCTGAGCTGCAGAGAAGGGAAAGTAACTCAAAGACTGAATTTCATACCGTCTTTGAACAAACTACCAAAGTGTTCCCACATCAGCAGTCACAGACGAAATGACTTGAGCATGAAAAACCTGGTTTCAAGCTCACACGTGGGACTGAATTTTTCATGACAGATGTGAAATGTTCCTCGAGGGCTGGATGCACGAATGAAAGCAAGCCCTAAAACAAGATGCATGTATGGTAATGCGCATGCAGTCGTGGGGGAACTCAAATGACACGAGTAGCTAAAAGCATCAGAAAAGCTGAGATGTTGAGGTATGGAGGAGAGTAACATTTACTGTATTATCTTGAGGGAAACAGTGAGACCACAGGCAGAAGTGGAGATGCACTAACCTCTGTTTCCACTTGGACTTTGACTTTAAGCTGACTCTCTCTGTATTGGTTTGCCCTCGAGACCTGCTCCTCGATCCCACACAGCACCGCCTCACAGCCTGTACACCTGAAACAAAAAGAAAGTGTGGAGAGAAAGAAGATTGTGAGCTTCTGATAAGTGAGTATAAATCTAAAATGGGCACAGACACACAGAGGTGATACAGACCACTCCTGAAGCGTGTTGACTATGTTTGGGAGCTCATTTGGGCCGAGGTCACGACCCACACTGCAGTCCACCTCCACCTGCTGGTTCCTCTGATCCAGTTTGCCCTGGATGATGTCGCAGTAGACGGCCTCAATCAGAAGGTCCTCCAGTTCTCTGACGTTCTTCAGCTCAAGCTGCTGCAGGAGCAGTGAATACGGCAGGCACTGGGAGGGAAAAACACAACCAGAATTTAATCCTAATGGTCTCTTTTACTTTAATAAACAAGATATACAGGCAGATACTTTGAGTCCACTTTAGCGACTTGATGGAAAATGACAAAAAATGTTTCTGTGAAATTGCCCATTTGTCTAAATGTCACTGCCAGAAGAAGATGAAAGGAGAGTTTGGACAATTTAACAATCCTCCACTGGGCAATTAGAGGGTTCAAGCTTACATGTGAAGAAAGCGGTGACATATTAAAGAGAAAAACAGGGAGCAGGAGAGAGGGGAGCAATGGAGGAGGAAAGTGAGATAAAGTATTTAAAAAAAAAAAAAAAAAAAAAAAAGAACAGGGCTGGTGAGAATAATGAATCAATTATTTATCAAGAGCAGAGAAAGAAAAGGGCATAAGCAGTATGGTTGGAAAGTGCAAATGAGAGATGTATTTTAGACGAACATTTAATACTTTATCATGCACATGGAGGGAGGGAAAGACATCTTTAATCAGCAGTCGGAGTGTTTCTGGTGACTTTTTTTTCCGGAGAAACTTCAGATTGAAAAGCTTACTTGATGTGATTTTAATTAAAGTCCTACAAAAAAAAAAAACTGCTGAAGGTTATAAATCTTTGCCGATCTTACGTGCACCTTAAAAAATGTATCTGTATGAAATAGCAGGGCTATATCCAAAGGTTGGATTGCTGATAGTTTATCAGTATCTTGCTTTATGAAGCCCGCAGCATCATAATTAGGGTCTGACAAATGGGGGACTGATATAAGACTGGTATCGACACTAATTACAGAGATTAAAACACTTCACACACAGATGAAGTGATTTCATTTACACAGAGACAAAGCTGCCTTTACATAGGTCGATTTGGCACCAATTCATGCCACTATGACTTGACGGAGGAACTCTAAAGGCTGCTGTCTCTCAACAAAAACTTGACAGAAAAATACAAACCATAATTATGCTTTGTCATAGAGTCTGAGGGTCTGACCGTATTGTGCAGCACTGTTTGCGCAAATGGATAAAACTACAGAATTAAAAGTGGTGTTTTGGACAAACTTCTTAATGACAGCATTTTTGGACCGTTCCAAACTTTGTTCAAAAATAAATCTCAAACTTGGCCGGCACTCCTAGAAACATCACCACTAAATGATGGCCATCCAGTACAGGCTAAAAGATACACTAAATACGCAGCCTGTCAATGCGACATGATTTTATGAGTTTATTTGTTTGCCTTCCTTGGATAGCGAAATAAAGACAGGGACTGTGGAGAGTGAAGAAGGGGTTGAGGCCCTGAGTTGAACCCGAGAACCTCTGTGCGTGGGGATCACACTTCAACTTCTACACCCAACTGGCCCCCCTTATTTTCTACTTTTGATGCAAATCTGAGATGACAGTGAAGCTGCACTTTATGTGTAAACTGCAAAAGAAGAGAAAGGATCAGTACCTTGAGGTTCGATGCCAGGCTGATGATGGACAGATGGCGGAGTTTGTTTCTTTGTGCGGGGGTCAACTCTGGAAGAGAGGCGGCTCTCTCTACACAGCCGATAAGAGAACAGAAAATGAAAAAGTGTCACAGTGTGAAAAATATCACAGAACAGTGTGTAAGTGTCACTTTGCTGTGGGTCAAACAGCCACACATAATCGAGGCACTACTTATTACTTTGAAGTGTAATGGCATACAGAGACACGTAGCTGAGTGGGGAGCAGTTTAAGCAGTCAGAGAACACAGTTAGGAGGAGGTCGCTCTCCAGCGCCTGCGTCTCCTGCTGCCATGCTCCCCTGGTGACAGCGCTGACACCCTCTGAGACAGCAGCTCTGACAGCTCCTCTAAGGGCTCCACTACACAGCTCTCTGAAAGGAAATGTGCTCCCTGTTGGCATGACTCCAAAGGGAAGGCAACAATAAAGTAGGCTAAATTCTTTTTCCAGGCTATTGGTTGGTATTCAGCATAAAATTAGACATAATTAACATTCCACTTCTCGTTGAGGCTTCTCGATGCATTACACAGACGGCAAATGAAGTCACAGAAAATTAGTTTATACGTCTGTCTGTGCCAGCACTGGTGTGACACTGACAATCATCTGTGAATAAAAACACTCACAGAAAAGATGCCAAAGATGCTTCAATCAGTGATTTTTATCTGGGAGTAGCCTGCCAAGAGTATCTCAGGTGAGAGATTTGAAGCTGCTGTCTCAAGGTGCCTGCCTCTCAGCAAAGAAATACAGCTCATAATAAAAGGAGTTGCTGGGCTGCACCATTACTTATTTACACAATGCTGCCACTGCAATACCTTTGTAGTCGCAGTAGGTTCCATAGGCAAAAAGGTTGAGGAGCTGGTACATAGGTGCATGAGGCCCGTTCTCCAGCTGTGGTTTAGAGGGCAGACAAGAGCAAAGACAGAAGGAAACAGGTAATGAGACTCCTGCAGAGAAATGTAAACAAAATTTTATCTATCAACACGGTAAAACCCTGAAGTGAGGTGAAACCAAAGCCTGGTGAGACTAAAAAAAGATATGACAAAAGCTGCAACACTTGGACAACATATAATCTGACAGACACTTTTCAAACTCATTCATTACACATTTGCTATAGCTTGAAATTAGGGCTGGGCGATATGGGAAAAAGTTTATCACAATATATTTTTTTCATATCAGTCGATATATCGATATATATCAAAATATAAAAAATGAAATTTAACAGTACATATTGGTAGTATGTCTTTTGCAACACAATAAGCTACTGCATCTGTGAGGTCTTTGTGTCTCTTCGATGTTTTGTTGTAAGGCGTTGCGCTCGAGAAAGTGGACTGAATGGTCGGCTGTTTCTGCTGCACGGGCGCCATGGGCTACTTGTTCCGCTCGGGGTTTGTAACCTTTTGCGTTGTGCATGCTCTGCCCCGTGGCACTGCTTCAGGTGGTGAAAAAAGATTTGAGGTATTCCCCGACTTTGAGAGGACATGTACTTGACATAATTTTAAGTGCACATTAATCTGTTTCATGTCCGAGCTCAAAAAAACAAAATACCTCCACACCACCGAGGTTTTGGTGCCAGCGTCATCATCTATTGAGCCTTGTGCTATGGTTGTGTGTAGCTGCAACCTGCTACTACACAGTTCTTTGCTACTTGGTTCTAATTCAGCACATGATTGGTTCAGCACGAAGCGGACCCGGAGCAACTCCCCTTTTTATTGGCTATTCGTATAGTCTACCGAAACATCGCAGAATGCCGACTATCGAAAAGGATATTGACCATGTTTTATATTGATATCGAGGGAAATTAATTTTCGATATATATAGTTATCATTTTATCACCCAGCCCTACTTGAAATGTAAAATTTTCCTGGTATTCATCTTTTTTAACCCAAGACTGCATTTTCTCAGTCATCTGTGGCAAGTTGAAGAGTCCTCACCTGCATGTGTGTGTGTGTGTGTGTGAGAGTGCTGTATGTGTTGAATGGGGGTTGGGAGGGTGGTTGGGGTTTTGTATTTGGATTCTTATTTATTGTATTTCATTGTTTTTTAATATCCTGTGCTACTTTCTTTGTATGAAAAGTGCTTCAAAAATGAAGTTTGATTGTGTGATTGATTGATTCCATTATCGATTTTGTCGGTCATGGCTTTGCTATCTTCTGAAGAGCCTTTTTCTCAAATTCGTGACCAAACAAACAGCTCTGAAAACATTTGGCATTTCCCCTCAGCTCCAGTCCTAGATCTATCTACTGGTACACAGACCTTCTTAGATTATTCAGAAGGCAATTTTATCCACACCTGGTATCAAAATCTCTCTCCAGTTTTTTTGTGTGACAAGAATTCAGAATTGAATTTCTGAATGACAGTGAATGTTTCCCTTTGTGTTTCCATGTCTGACTTAATACTACAGACTTGTTTCTGAAAGGTTCAAAGACGTATGGAGTACAGTATCTGCTCCACCATATGGGGTCCTATTCTCTTTCAAAGTGCTTATGGTACCTGCGAGAACACCCGCTGTGAGAACACCATGTTTTACAGAAATAAAACACACGCAGGTGCAGAAGTGTTGCATCGACGTGGTATTTCCATTAAGATGTAAATGAGCCCAACGGCAGTTTTTCAAAAGTGCGGTGCAGATTTGATCGGAGCTGCACATGTCTTGACAGCAATGATGAACAAAAGAAAGCGCTCTCTGCTGTGGAGACACAAACATTGTTTGACAAGAAAACACTTAGAAAAGCGAGTGTTTGTTCAGTCCTTGAAGAAAAAGCTTTATGTGAGGAGATAATAAAAATAGCCGAATGTTGTGAACGACTTCTTAGAAGAACTTTAAACTTTATGAATATATTATTGCTGTGAAAAGATAAAAATAATTCACCGGATCTTCTTACTAAGTGATTATGACCGTTTCATTCAAACTCCACTGGACTGGCAATGGCGATGATTCACCTATTCTACGGAGACCTCGGGATAACAGCCGTGCTCTCACACTTATTTGATACAGTCAGATGAAGCTTAAGCCACATATCAGCTGCCCTCACATTCATCAGCAGTGGAAAGCTGCTTTCTGGAACCATGTTGAATTCAGGAGGGACATGTTGTAAATGCAGGTATGCTGAATACAGAGAGCAGCAGGTAGACATAAAACCAGAGGGTTACAGCAAATCTGCACATTTGTTTTTTCCACTGCACTTCTTATTCCCATCACAATAACCTTATCACACATTTCCTCGTACCACGCAGATCGACTTTGTAATGCTTCTATTAATGTGCTGTGAAATTCTGCTATTAGGTTTATAGTATTCTCACTCTCTGAACCTTTGAGACATTCCTGTCTCGGTTTCTGTTTGTCTCTCTCCCTTGGTGTTTGATATAACAGATTTGTGGATTTTACACCTGAGGTTAAACTTCGGCTGCAGAAATCTCAGCACCCATTCTGCAGCACTGCCAAACCTCGGTGTTGTCTTTCAGTAAAGACAAATTTCAACCACTTGTACAAATGCATCAGAACTCCAGAAAAGAGTCTCTCCTGTGGTTGAGTGTCTTGACTTTAACAGCCTTTCATTTCTAACACAGGGCGTGAACCTCTCAATTTTTTGTGAGTTTAGTGTGCAACAAACGTGTTTCACTGGTGATGTACTTTTCAGAAATTAACGGTGGCATCACACCCGAGAGTTCTATATAGAAGTGTTGATTGGATGGGAAGTTACAACAATAATTATTTCACTGGTGTGTGTGTATGAATTCCCACTTTCATGCGTGATTAAAATGTCCTGATGTGATTTATAGAAACTTCCGTCACACACATCACAAACAAGGCAGGGCTTGACACCAACTTTTTTCACAAAGAGCAAATGTGCTCCGAAGTTGAAAAAGTAAGGAGCACACAAAGAACTTTAGGGGCACAATGAAAATTGATCAAATAATGTTTGTCTTATTGGTCGACATAAGTTCTATTATTTGAAATCAATTTTAGGTCTTTTGGTCACATGACATGGAAGCTATTGAAGATGTTCAAAAATTTGCCTTTAAATTTAAAAGGTTATTCCAGCGTAAAATTAATTTAGGGTCAAACACACCATAACACTGAGTTAGACACCCCCGAGAGAGATGAATGTTGCCGACCGCTTGCTTCTCTAGTTATACTAACTTTAGTAACGACCGCAGGATAGCAATACACAGCGGTCTGAGGAGCCATAAACAAACCTCAACCAAAACACCACTCTATACTTTCTCTATACCACTCCACTTTCTTTATCATTTCCTTGAAGTAATAATCACCATACTGATCATTTCTGTAGATGCGGTAGTTCTTCTGCCTTAGCGTCTCGGTCTGATTGCATTTCCGTAAAGAAATTATCATAAATGTTCTTCCTTGAGCTGCGAAACCCCGCTGTAGTCCGTAATGGACTGGCTTGAGGTCTCACTACAAACAAGCGGCTGCTCGAAGAGAGTAGGTGAGTTGTGTTTAGTCTCTTTGTTAAAGAAATTAGGCAAAGCTAAAAAGATGTTTGGTGGCTAGTGCTATGGCTGGGACCCTATATGTACTGTTGATGAAGTGAGGTGCTGTTCTGAGCATTATTTGTGGCTATAGAGTGGTGTTTTGGTTGAGGTATGTTTACGGCTCCTCAGACCGCTGTGTATTGCTATCCTGCGGTCTTTACTAAATTTGGTATACCTAGAGAAGCAAGCGGTCGGCAACATTCATCTCTCAAGGGGGTGTCTAACTCGGTGTTACAGTTTGTTTGACCCTAAATTAATTTTACGCCAGAATATCCCTTTAACACCAAAATTTTTAGAGGACAAATTAGGGAAATAAAGAGGTGTGTCTTATTGGTCGACATAAGTACTCTTATTTGAAATCAATTTTTGGTCAATTGGTCACATGACATGGAAGCTATTGGAGGAAAACAGCCTTTTTTGAGAACATCAACTGGTAATTCATTGATGGTCCCTTATTCAACACCCGACATTGACAGTGAGGGTGTCGAGTAGATTTAACCGCGCTGATGTTGCTGTTCCCGGTTATGAAGAGTGATAAGACACCGGTAAATCCGCAGTGAATGTCTGTCGAATATCCAACCTTAAACCAACTTCACTGCGGTATTTACATCAAAAAACATTTGTTGCCTCAATACAATTCGCACACATCTATTTTTAGTCGCAAATGCAAGTGAAATTGTCGCACTGTCGAGCCCTGCAAGGTGTTCACAGGCCTCCTCGCTGACTGCTCTGTGATTTTGTGTGTAGTTTCAGATTCTCAGTGTTTCTTTGATAAACCAACACATGTGAGGTAACTGTCAAAGTTATGATTAAGATGTGTTTTTTCTTTTTTTTTTTTTCTCCCTGTTCCCGGTCTGAAAAGGTCTCACCAGACACAGAAGGTGAGGAAGAGAAAGTGTGAGAGCGCGTGTTTACCTCTCTGACATTTGGCAGCTCCAGGATGTCGGAAAAGACGTAGAGTCCTGGGGTCTCCAGCAGGGAGCTGACAGCCTGGGCTAGCGCTGAGCCTGACAGAGACAGGAGCTGCTCCACCTCCATCTGATGCCAGGGGACACAGGTGACAGAGACACGGTGAGCGGGTTAGACACGAGTACTACAGAGAGACACATGAGAACAACAGAGCCGTGTAGAGAGTTCAAGTGTAGTGAAAATCAAGGAGTGATACGTCTTTGTTACCGCCGCTGCTGCCACTTTATTAAGGTGCTATCACTGATCCCAAAGCTCAACGGATAAATGACTCGACCGCATACGAGGGGTTTTATCACGTCTTCTCAAGTGCGGTCATACAACTTGTAGTTTGTTGAAATCGCACAGAATTTAAGTAACAATATGTTCTTTTCATTTCAGTTCCAACAGCCAAGTACTCTTGACCAAAGCACTTAACCCCCGAATTACCTGGAGAGCCACTCAGATTGTGGACAGGCAGCTGCACTCTGTGGAACCAACACAGGCAACAAGTGTAATGAATACTAAACAGGGCATGTTTATTCATCCGAACCCATTCCCTGCATGGAAACATGATGCAAATGCACTACGGGCTGACAGCAAAGAAAGAACGATTACCTAAGTAGTGACAGTAATCTGCCTGTGCTCTTGTGCTGACATGTAGTCTGCAGGAAGTGAATCCTAAAGAACAAAAAGCTTCAAATGTTTTTCTAGTACTGAATCTCTGTCGTTCCTGTACTTTGGCCTGACTTTAGCTTTGAAGTTCGCCAGCTTCATAGTGAAAAAATACTATGTTTAAAAATAGTACAGAGAGGGTGTCAGTCTGATTCAAGCTGTGTCCCTCCCAACTCAAAAGTCTCTCAACTGTATACAACAGTTCAAGCAGATGTCCTCTTGACTCTGATGTGATATTTTAAGATCTTAATCCCAAAAGACGAATGCCGGGACACAAGGGAAGTTTAATTTTACAGATACATGATTCAGTTATTGCTGTTGCATCAGACCGGTTTTATTACCTAAGGGTTTTTCCTCAAATTAATGCAACAGAGAGTCTGGATACTCACTGCTGAGCTCAGTCTAGTCTGACTGGTTCAGTAAGTGCTCATGGCACCAATGGATTGTATAATCCTTAAACTGATGCATTAAGATGTACGTCATCCCCCATATGTCGTCCCACTGGACAATCATCAAGGAGGTGTAAAGAATATCCTCTCTGGCAAGCTGAACAGATGAGCAGGCATGTGATGCAGCCGAAAAATCTCACTATCTACCTATTTGAAATTCATAAACCTATAAAAGTCAAATCAAGAGGGCTGGATTGGATTCATCGGTGTGCTTCTATTGATTCAATCAGGACTAAAAAGTGGCTGCAAATCAGCGACAGATTGCAAGAGGAACAGAGCTGCAAATTATGCAGGGATGCAGACGCCCGAACACGCAGCATCTTTGTGAGCAGAGGGGTTAAAAAAAGGACGAACAATACTGAAAACAAGGAGCATGTATTAAGTCAATGTGATAAATTGCTTGTTAGTGCAATTATGGTCTTGGATAATGACCAGCTACATTATAGTTGCTCTACCCTTCTCACTTCATTTAGCCCGATACTGCTATATAATTGGGTCATGGATGCATTATGTTAGTAAAGAATAATAATCGAACATCGCTCCTCTCAGATTCAGAATCTACTTCTCTCTTTTATCATATTCAGAACATTTTTTTTTTGTTTGTTTTATTTGCTCTTTTCCAAGGAATCTTCGATTGAAAACAGTGCCAGGGAATCAAACAGAATAAAACACTTCATAAAACAATAAAAGATTCAAGGCCTGTACAAGAAGAAAACATTTGAGATTGAATTTGGCAGTTGTAAGGTTTCAGCGTTGTGCATGATTACCGAAACTTACTGAAGCTGCACACGCGACAATAAACCCTCGTCTCTAATGAGTTCATCTATCTTCCTAAAAACAACATTGACTCAGAGGGGCCTTAAGACCACTGTAAACCCATCCTGAGAGGAGATGCTTTCCTCAAATAAAGAGCAGCTTGGTGAATTACTTTTATGTTTAATTTAGCCACATCTCGATAGATATTTGAACATGTCATATATTTTATGAGCAGTTCGACCTCAGGTGGTCAGAAAGTTAATAGATTTGAGATCAAAGCCTCCTCATACGCATCAGAGAGTACAACATCACTCAGTGTAAACATCATAGCTTCAAATTATGGGTTGAAACAAGCTCTTACAGAAAAAGTATATTACGTCAAGCACTCCCATTTAAGCTACTTAAAGCTACTTAAGGGAAATCAGAATGGTAAAACTTTGTGTAAAGGGATTAACTGAATGTGGCCAGTGGTGATAAGAATACTTCGGTGTCCCTGTCGAATGAAACGCTGTCACTTGAAAGATGCAAAAGTTTAAAAAACGTATGGGAGCATAGGTGGCGCTCCTGGACAATGTTTACCGCCATTTTTTTACTTTATGAAGGAAATTATGAATTCAGTGCAGGTTTGTGTATCTGTGTAAAGGGCTGAGATTTGAGGTGTTACACTGATACAGTAATTAAAGGGAAACATTATATTTATTAGTGATTCTTTGTATTTGATGCTGTTATTGACCTTTGTGTCTTGAGATAATGAAGGTAATTTAAAGTTACGGTGTGTAGTACTTAGTGGCATTTAGTAGATCAGACCAAGTAGAAATGGAATATGATATTCATACGTACACATTAATAGTGTGCAATAACCCAAATGAAAAAAAAAATCATTGTTTTCATTGACTTTTAAACACAGAAACAGGACCCCAGGAGAAAAAAACTATTCAAATGAGTATCACATAATTTTTGTTTTAAAATTTTTAAATCGATTTTTTTTCTTCCAAATTTAAGAATAAATCTTAAAAACTGACTTACATGTGATGTGTGTTTTTGGGGAAATATGGTTCCTGGAATCGTCAGTAGACAATCATAATAATTCAACTGTTTTACTGGTGTTAAAAATGCAGACTAAAAATCGAGAAAATCGATAATATCGTAGAATCGCAATTTAAATCAAATCAGCATCCAAAAAATCGTAGAAGAATCGGATCGGGAGAAAAGCGTATCGTCCCAGCCCTAGATTCTCCCACTACACAGAGTGAACAAGCTAGTAGCCATTGCCTTTTTTGTTTTCAGTGAGTGGCTTAATGAATTGCACCAGTTGGAAGACAAAGATGACCAAAAATGGAAAAAATTGTACATTTCGATGGTAAGAACTTGACGAATGGCAGATCATACTTATCTTAACCCTATTTTTACATACAGTACCTTTTAAGTACAGTTTCTTTTAAATACCTTTCCAACTGTTTGATTAATCATTGAGCTCTGAGGGAGAAAAGTGTTTAAAAAAAACACCATCAGACTGAACAAAGACCAAGGGGGTGGACTACATCACTCCTATACCAAAGTCCTGTCAAAGGCTCCCCGTCTGTCAGAGAATAGGTGTTTAAGTACTGCCTTTGCTTGATATAGAACTGAATAGTATAGGGACAGAAACCCAAGTTTTCTGACTGGGAAAAGTTTGCTCTCTGTCCCAGGTGTCCGAACCAAACATAAAAAAGAAGCATTCAGCTTTTGTGCCTCAAAAATCTGGAGCAAACTCAGGTTTGGGACACATCTGCTGACAGATACCTTTCATTTAACTGTTTTGGCAAATCACTTATGACTAAGGATGATTTTTAATTGATGGGGGATTAGCAAGTAGAGCGATTCACCTCAACCCCAATCACTGCAAACACGCAAGTAATTTAGCACTAACAAACCCATTGCTAAATGTCAACTGTGTGGAAACATTTGAAACGAATTAGCATAAACACTTTAAACAGCCGCTTGTTCAATAAAGCCTTTTTTAGAGATGGTAATGGTAGAACTGCATTCAGTCCCACCGATTACATGAAACATCTATTAACTAATCATATAACAGAATACTCCTGACTTTATTGACAGCAAAGTAGTGGGCACCTATGGAGAAGGTAGTTGAGGTTTGATTTCCCTCTGAAGAGCTGACATGTGTTGTGAGTGCAGGAGCGGCGAACACAGCTGATGTGATCAATGCCCTAACAGCTCTGAAATAATGTGTTCTTTCCCAAGAGACAACTACTCACCAGGGAAACAAGATGATGAAAAGCACTCTACTAGAAGCCATGGAACAACCTCAGTCAGGTTGAGACTGATGCACGACACTCAGTCGCAAAATTTGCACATCCCAGATACAAAGACAGCCAAGTCAAGGGAGGGATGTAAAACACTCTTTCCTTCTGTCTTCATCTATGCATGTGTTTTACTTCATCTATGATGTATGCTGCCTTCTACAGAAGCTTCTGCTAATTATAAAAACAAATACAACTATATACTACTAGAGTGCTTTAAGTTTGTTTTGCTTTAAAATAAACCAAAAATATCTCTAATGAAAATATCCTACAGCTATGATCTCAGCAAACACAAATATTCAGACTTGTATCAGGACTTGTATGAGAAGATACTCCCTCCACCCATCCATCCATCCATCCATTTTCTACCGCTTATTCGTGTTAGGGGTTGCGAGGGGGCTGGAGCCTATCCCAGCATCTTTGGGCGAAGGCAGGGGACACCCTGGACAAGTCGCCAGTTCATCGCAGGGCTGACATATAGAGACGAACAATCATCCACGCTCACATTCACACCGACGGGCAATTTGAAAGTGGCCCATTAACCTAACCCCACTTAGGCATGTTTTGGGGATGTGGGAGGAAACCAGAGTACCCTAGAGTAAACCCATGCAGACACAGGGAGAACATGCAAACTCCACACAGAAACGCCCTGAGCCGGATTCAAACCCAGGACCTTCCTGTTGTGAGGGGATAGTGCTAACTACTACACCACTGTGCCGCCCGGGAACTCAATTTAGAATCAGGGACCAAAAAGCTGGTTTATGACTGATTGTTGTACAACACTGCACAGAAACTGTTGTGCTTGTATAATGAAGCTGTCTGATTAAAATTTAACTTCTGTTTTACGTTTGTTTTTTTTTCTTTGCCTTGATTTTGCATGACTTTTTGAATGACATAATTTTTGTAATAACTTGTGTGAAGCACAATCAACACATTAAATTCATTTGATACTGAACTGTGATATGACAGTAGACTTCCCTAACCTTATTAAAGATAATTGTGGAATACTTCTTGTTTTTCTAATGGACCAATAATGGAAATCTGTATTACAAAACTCTACCAATAGTTTAGAAATACAGCAATGCTTTAATCTATCAAGCAGTAAAGTAGATTTTTATATCCACAATGAGAACAGACATTAGTATTACATTATTAGTATTACTGTAACTATGAAGAGCTGGGTCATCCAATGCAATTTGACAAATTTTCTATAAATTCTATTTTAGTGACGCTTCAACATTTTAATTTTAGTTTAAATGATCAGGCAGGTGATCCGTTCATTTATTCCTTTATTATCAAAACCGTGGTGGAAGGTGCTGATGGTGATGTACTAAGGAGTGTTATATCGAAATGTGGTTTTTAAAGTGTAATATTGAAAAAAAAGTTGCTTATATTCATCTACGAAACAATTATTATTCGCCTGACCCTAATAAAAATTAAAAAATTGAAGTTTCCTGTTATTAAAGGTTGTAAAGTTTCCTGATAGTCGCGGTTATGGCCGATTAGTTTTATCGAGCTGCATTACACTGTTCAAGTGTTCAAGCTGATCGGTGTATAATCACGTGTACAGTATTTACCTGTGCCAGATTTCTCCTTAGTGGGATTAATGGGACATTAGTTGTTTAAGTCACACACAACAACAATGATATCAACGTTAGAAAGGAAGTGAAAGATAATGTGAAAAAGATCAATAAAATCAAAACAAAAATACAGTTTACAGACGCCTCACTCGGCTAACACTGCAGCTTATAGACCCAAACTACACATAGACCTCCGTGTTGATGACATGTAAGGTATTATCCTACTAAAACTACACTGTTGCTGTTTATTTCTGTCCCTAAAATTCACATTAAAACATGAATTCACACGTCTTCTGGCTCTGTGTCATGCTAGCACTGTTGCTAAAGGCTACTGATTTACCAGGCTTCGCTTAGCCGACGACGTTAGGCCTCAGGTCATTTAAGCCTGTTTAACGATTTAAATCACACCGCCATGCATAAAAAATAACTTATGAACAACACATATGGGTGAATATGCGCAGTTAAATGTTAAAAGTAAGCTTATCAGTATTCAAATTTACCTTGTTGTGTTGGTTTCTTGCAGATAGCCTCTCTCGATTGTTCAGTTCCGCTGTCAGCTTACGTACGATAACAAAGCAACGTCATCCGCGATTGGACAGCAAAAGGGAGTAGGCGGGACTAGTACGGCTGTCAATCACCATCTTTGTCAGCGGATCAGAGAAAAGAGCGTCACCTAGCGGGGATGTGAGTAGCACCGTCGAGAACAGCCAAGATCGATGATGTGAATCAGTAGCGGTTAACTGGAGGTCATGAGGACTGAGATAAACCTCACAGGGTTTCAGAACGATTAGAGAGAGGATATTTGTTGTCTTGCTCGTCTCTAATTAGTCTTACTGAGAGCCACACACTGTTATCCTCCAAATGAGCAAAATCACTCTCAAGCTCTGAGGACAATGAAACCTGGGGCCACAAGTTGGTCTTGCTTTGCTTAAATTTGTCACAAGCAAAATTTGTAAGAAACTACTTTTATCAGGCTAATAAGCTGCCATAACATTGGACCAGACTTCACAGTGTGTAAATGTGGCCTTGGGCACAGAGTCAGTTTTGAAGTAGCTTCAAATATAATGTCCTTTGACCGAAGTAACATATTTTGATTTAAATACTGCTCATCTGAAACAAAAGTACACTTAAAGAATGACACTCACAGGCATAGAATAGAATTTGGTGTTAAGGCTTCCATCCTACATCCCTGTTTTTTGACATGCGATTTTTTTTTTTCAGTTTATGACATGGTTAAAATCAACACCTTAAACATTTACTGCAGTAAAGTGCAAAATTTACATTAGACATGCCACAATATTACTCCAGAAATGTAATTTATAAATGTAAAACACAGACAGGAGTCATTAAACTGTAGGCCTATAACGAATACTTCTACTCTCACATTTTGAGAGAATTTTTGATGACTATTAATCATCCTCGGTCAGAGTACAAAAATATTCTATTCAAGTAAAAGCAGCTACTTTAGTAACATTTTACTCAAAGGAAGTCAAACTTACAGTCAGAGAATCTACACCAGGACTGTGACTGAAATGAACCATGCACTGAGTGTCCACATTAGATTGCAGTTATTAATCATCAGCATACATGTGTGGAATCATTTTGACTCTGCACCTCCTCAGGGTGAAGTTTTCTAATATTTTTGCCGCATCTTTTGTCAAGATTGCATTTTGTAGATGGTCCCTTCACTATAATGGTATGTCATAGCTGGCTGCTACAAGCCTTACAACCTAAAAAAAGAGCGACTAAATTGATCATGATGAGTGAAATGGCTGCTAATGTGCCAAGTAAAGTTTTCTTAAGTATCTTGAAATGAGATGTACTGGGTTATTAATTTCAAGGGACTTATCAAGAGAACTTTGGCCTGAAATATCTCAAAAGAAGATTTATATTTGGACCTGCCAGGTCAAGTTAGCTTAATTGAAGTGTAATGAGATATTTTGACCTGAATTGAAACAAATTCACTTTGTTAGACTGAGTTTTTTTTTTGCAGCATAGGCTTCACCTTATCAGCTATAAATTTTACAGTCTTTTCACAAGAATTCAGCTGTGATCAATGGCATCTCTCTTTATGTAGCGATAAATCACGCCCTTGTGAGACTGTTTGAATGGCACAGTCCTCTCTGTTGCTGTGCTGACTGGCAGTTATCTGCCTCTGAGCTCCACTGATCCTTGTATCTGTGACAGAGGCAGAGAGGGGGGAAAGGGAGGTAGATAGGGTAAACTATAAATAACAACTGGACTTTTCTGACAAATGTGGAGCACACTCCTCACACAAACCCCTGATTTATTGATGAAACTTCTTAATCCTGATTTATCCTAGGCTTTGGTGCAGGAATGGATACTGTTCTGTCTGTTTTCTGAAAATAAATGTAACATCTATTTTGGCACTGCACTGAATTTCTCTTTGGGAGTTTTATGTCTATAAGCCCAGTAAAAGAGGCAGCTTTTCGAACACTTTAGGTACCCCATGGACCATTTATTTAACATCATCTATATTTTAAAATGGATACAGGATTAAAACTTGAATATTACACACAGATAAATAAATGATTAAGTCCATTAAATATTGAGATGGACTTTCTGTTCTGATGTTCATTTTTCACACCATCTTTGGCCTCCTTCTCAGACAGCTCCAATTATTAAACCAATCTTTTAAAGTCTTTTTTCTAAAGGTTTCCTCAACAAATACTTGACAAATATTTCCAAGCACAAACCCCAAACTGACCAAATATTTCATGAGCAGAGAGCTTGCAAGTCAAAACAAAAACTTTTTCAAGGTTGTAGACGGATGTGCACCAGTAAACAAGCTGCAGAAAAGACAAAAATCATATCTTAAGCCACCTTGAGTAACCTAACCCTTTTGACAAATTGTATTTGTCATTCAACACTTCACTGGACACTGCATCCATCTCCTGCTGTAGGGGACAGCCAAGATTAATCTAAAACTTTGTCCAGGTGGGCTCTGACACTGTCTTTTCCCCTTATTTCATCATATACACAAAGCTTAACAGTTATGAATATGAATGAGCTGGTGACCCAGTTAGTGACAGAGTGAACTAATATGAAAGAATATTTAGCATCACTTCTCTAATCAAGGGAGGCACAGTGGTGTAGTAGTTAGCACTGTCGCCTCACAGCAAGAAGGTCCTGGGTTTGAATCCAGGTCAGGGCGTCTCTGTGTGGAGTTTGCATGTTCTCCCTGTGTCTGTGTTGGTTTACTCCAGGTACTCCCAAAACAAGCAGAAGTGGGGTTAGGTTGATTGGCCACTTTCAAATTGCCCGTCGGTGTGAATGTGAGTGTGGATGGTTGTTAGTCTCTATATGTCAGCTCTGCAATGAACTGGAGACTTGTCCAAGGTGTCCCCTGCCTTCGCCCGAAGATGCTGGGATAGGCTCCAGCCCCCCTGCAACCTAGAGAACGGGAATAAGTGGTAGAAAATGGACGGATGGACTTCTCTAATCAGCTATCGGTACAGTTCCCCCCTCCCCCATGATAGCTGAATTTCACCTAGCTGCCATCGTCAGGGCCTTGGTATCTCATATGCTGGTATATTATTGTAAGACTACCTCAACTTACTGTGGCTCTTACTATAGGAACATTGTTTATATCGCAAGAAAGACAATGACATTTCAAAATATGTGCTGAGAAAAAGTATTTGGCTTTAACTTCACCTCTTAACCTAAAATTTGCATTTGCAAAACTAGTATCTCGCAAAGGTGACCTTCCCAGTCAAAGAGGCTTTTCGCTTCTGAGATCCACACACACACGTACAGTACACGCACACAAACACACATACATAAACCCTTAAGTGTGAGTTGTTTTTCTCACAGACAGCACACAGTAACAGACCCAATTAAGAGGAATGAGGAACACCTGTGCCAGTCAGCAGGGCTCCACACAAAGTGTTCTTTACTGTCCATGAAGATACTGGATAATTGTGCTCAATTTAGCACAAATACACTCACCAAACTCACAGTCTACTCACACGAGCACACAAACTTACACACACATGCACAGAGTCGTCGCTGTTCCTTGGTGGGCAATATAACAAGGCTGCCAATCTGTGCACAGCTGTTTGTGCCAGTCTGACTTACTCCTGTTAAAGCAGTAACTTTGACTCCCTTTCAGTCCAGTCTACTGATGGGACGGGCAACTTCTGCTCTCCAGGACACGACAGAGACAGACACACGACACAGACAGAGAGACAGAAAAATAGATAGATAGATAGATAGATAGATAGATAGATAGATAGATAGATAGATAGATAGATAGATAGATAGATAGATAGATAGATAGATAGATAGATAGATAGATAGATAGATAGATAGATAGATAGATAGATAGATAGATCTGTTTATTTCCTTGTATTTTTGCTAAAATATGACTAACATCTTGTCTGCTAACCTGAAGTTTATCACCACCTACACACTTACATTTAGCCAACAATATTACTTTTCCATGAGTATAATGAAGGAGCACAAATGTATTTAGAGTTAAAGTGAGAGAAATCGAAATGTAGGACCTAATGAGGAGGATATGATCAGCATAATAACATTTATTTACCTTAAAGGTAGAATTGATTCCCAGACCAAATGTCATCCTTTCAGTCAAATAATAAGACATGATCTCAGAGCAAAAAAAATGTGTAAATTAGAGGCTCATGGAGGTGTGAAAGCATTCATCCTCTGGGGACGATCAACACAAATCCCATTGTAATTAATAAAGAAGATGTAACCCATATATTTGCCTTTAAACTGATGCAATATTTAAATTGTTGTGCTCCATTCAGTCCCTGTACAAAAATAGGATGATCCCCAGTGCAGTCTGAGTCTTTATTGCTGCTGCAGCCGGAATAATTGAGTTTATGTGAGCTCCCCTGTGGCTCTAAAGAATTATCTTTTACAACATAAACTTCCCCTGGTTTCACCACTGGATAATTTTCCACATTTGTTTTTCCGCTGTTCATAAAGCCAACTTCCCTTGCCTATTAACATCAATTTCTTAGTGCTTGGAGAAATTATACACTACAAGAACAGTTGTTGATGAAACATGGGCTATGAGCAAAGAGAGTAAACATTTATGTTGTATCATCATAGAAAGAGACTCAAATTGGTGGAGTTTTGTCATAGTTAGGCTCAGAGGGATTAAAGTTAACCCTTTTGCTGTCATTCAGTTCATTCATCCCAGCATTGACTTTCGTTTACCTTGTTAGACTGTAAGATTAAAGGTGTAATTTCTGTGATAACTGAATTACGTCAGAGTTGGAGAGTTAAATTCTCGATAAACAAATTACTCGTCAGTTTCCTGGTAAGCCTGTAAAACCACTGCTGCAGGTGCTGTAGTGAGGTCACATGTGGTTCACAAAACGATTTTACAAAACCCACAGCATTTACTAATGGATCTTTTAAACTATACCTGTCCATTTTTGTGAAATATAGTATTAAAATTACATTTCCTCATAGCAGATGAGGTTTGCTGTGCTGCGAATGCACCATTACAGAGCAGTAGAAAGCAAGTAAAGGGAAATGATTTCCTGCTTACCTGACCCAAAATAGCAATACCTAACAGCTTGGACGATTCGCCACTTTATCTTGATAAAGG